GGGCGGATCCCCTGGGGGAAGGCGGATCCCCGGGGAATGGGCGGATCCCCTGGGGGAAGGCGGATCCCCGGGGAGCGGGCGGATCCCCCAAAAAAACACACAAATCGAAATCGCGACGGTGTGCTTATTTTTTTCCCATCATTCGAAACACAAACAAACCACGCTGCCGTCGTGTTTCGCTGGTTTGGGTCTCACAGCGTCAGGGTCTCAAAAAAAAATCTCAAGGAAATTCTACCGACGGCCTAAGGAGATTCTCCCTCAAGGAGATTCCCCCCCCATAAAATTTAGATTATGAGCTGACGTCGAGCTTCGTGCTCATATTAGCATAAAAAGAAATAGTAGACAAGACGAGCGCTGGCGCCCGTGCAAGATGAAGGGATGAGCGTGGGCCAAATTACGTGCGCGCCGACCGTTTCCACCAAGAGCCCCCGGCCCGCCTGTGCACCGGGGGCGGAAGACTTTTTGGCCCTGCCCTTCGCCCGCCTGCCCCGCCCGTTTGGCGCCAGCCTTGCTGCAGCATTAGCCCAGGCTGCGCTCCGTCCTTACATACAAAACGCGCGCAGCAGCTCTCCTCTTGATTGGCTCCCGGCGGCGCGGTGCTGGCGGCATTTCTTTTGTTCGGTGTTTGCGTCTTTGAAACTGAACAGAAGGCGACAGCTTCTACTTTTGCGCGCGACCCAGTCGCCAATGCTTAGCACAAAAGCAAAAAAATTTTCGCGTTGCGCGCGTGCCCCTGCCTGTGGGTCCCTTTGTAGCCGGTTCGGTTGTGCGGTTTGCATGGCCGACAGCAAGAGCCGGCATTTTCTATTCGCGTGCACTCCCGGGCCTTGCAGAGCAAAGACCTTGCTCCGCACACGAGCAGCGCGCGCTGCGTCCTCTCTTTCTTTGCGCCGACGGCGCTGCGCTTCAAGTTCCTGCACCGTCGCAACGGCTTTTTTATTTCGCGCGCGCGCCGCGCCCGCTCTGCCCGTCGTTGCTTCGCACCGACGGCCCTGCGCCTTCGTTCGCGGACCTTCAAAATTGCCTCCGCCCGCGCGCAGCACGTGCTCCGCTCCTCGTTGTTTCGCGCCGACGGCTTTGCGCTTTTTTTCACGTGCGCACGGCAAAAATTTTAGTCGCGCGCGTGCCGCGCGCGTTCCACACTTCGCTGCGCCGCGCCGAGGCCCTTGCGCTTTCATTCTTTCATGGGCGGCCGGCCGACAAAAAAAAACTTCTCTCGGGCGCGCTGCGCGCGCTCCACGCTTCGCTGCTTCGCGCCAGCGCCCTTGCAGTTTGTTTCCTGCGTTGGTGCCACACAAAATTTTTTTGCATGCGCGCCACACCTTCACCCCTGCACGCACTTTCTTGCATGGGAGCCCGACAAAATTTTTTTTCGCGCGCGCGGTGCGTGTGCCCCATCCCTTGTCGCTTCGCGCCAGCGCCCTTGCAGTTTTATTCTCACGCGGGTGGTCAGAAAAAAATCGCGCGCGCTGCGCGCGCGCCATTTTTCGTTGCGCCGCGCCATTGACCTTGTACTTTCTTGCGCGGGCGGCGGACAAAAAAACTTTTCGGGCGAGCGCTGCGCGCGCTGCATCCTTCGATTCGTCGCGCCAGCGCTCGCGCAGTTTCTATCTTGCACGGACACCCGACAAAAATTTTTCTCGCGCACGCGCTGCGCGCGCTTCATCCGTCACTGTTTCGCGCCAAAGGTCCGGCGGCTTCTATTTTGCGCGGGCGGCCAAAAAAATTTTTGTTTGCAGCGCGCGCTGCGCGCGCCCCTTCCTTCGTTGCTTCGCACCAATGCCCTGGCGGTTTCTATTTTGGACGGCCGGGCGACCATAAAATTTTTTTTTCCCGCGCGCGCTGCGCGCGCGCCATCCTTTGTTGCTTCGCGCCAACGCCCTGGCGGTTTCTACCTTGCACGGCTGGCCGGCAAAAATTTTCTCTCGCGCGCGCGCTGCGCGCGCTCCAACCTGCACTGCCTCGCGCCAACGCCCTCGCCGTTTGGTTTCTTGCGCGGGCGGGGCGGTTGACTGACAAAAAGTTGGCTCGCGCGCGGCGCGCACTGCTCCATCCTTCGCTGCTTCGCGCCGGCACCCCTGCAGTTTCTCTTTCTATCTCGCACGGGCGACCGACAAATATTTCTTTGGCGCGCGCCTGCGCGCGCGCCGTCCTCGGCTTCACTGTTTTGACCTGGCGCCCTTCTAGTTTCTTGCACGGGTGGCCGACACAATTTTTTTCGCGCGCCTGCCGCGGGCGTGCCCTTCTTCTTCGTTGCCCTGCGCCGAAGGCCATGCACAGTACGCGTCCGTTCGCTCGCGGCTGGCCGGCGAAAGTCTCTTTCACGGGCGCGCGTTTTGGTTTCTTGGATGTGGGCATTTGGCGTGTTGTAATCGGGCTACCCCGGGTCGTGGTTCCATCCACGGGTTTGTTGCCGAGTCACTATCCCGGTGGGGTGCCGGGAGCCGGCGCAAGTTGCAGGGCCTGCTTTCCCGGTCGTTAGGAAGGGCCCGCCTTGGCGGGGTGCCCTTCCTTGAAATCGCGCCAGATGAAGAGCCCGGGGCCCGCTGCCCTTGCAGTCTCGCTGAAGTTGCTGAGGGGTGGCCTCCCTGTCAAATTGCCCGCAAGCACGCAGCGCCGGAGCGGCTTCCGGGCGCCTGGCCCTTGGGTTGGGGTTGAGCTTTTATTGTGCGACTTGCCTGGCGCGATTTGTGTTTCGTTTGACGTCGATTCTAGATGGTCGTGGGGGTGGTTTGCCTTTGAGGTCGCTTCGGAGCGGGTGTGGGGTGATCTGCCTCTGTCTGATGCGCTGTCTGTGGTGCGAACGGCTGAGAGGCGAGTTGCCGGCAAAGCGGTCGAGGGACGACTTGCTTTTCGTTGCGACCCAGCACCGGCCACATCGCGCAAAATGGCCGTGAAATTGCGGCCGTTCTTCGGGCTTTATAGGGCAGTGCACTTGATCTTGATGTGAGATTGCATGGGGCAAACTGCCCTCGAGCGCGGCGCCATAGTCGGCAGGGCGCCCGGGAAAGGCTTCGTAGGGCCTTGCGCCCTTGAGCTTGCGTCTGCGTCGGGCCGCATAGGGCAGTGCGCCCGCACTTGAAGGTGCGCCTTGGGCCGCAGAGGGCGCCTCGCCCCGGGCATTGCACTGCGCCCGGGCGTCCAAGGGCGATAAGTTCTGCTTTTGTGGTTTTCTGGCAGGCTATGAGAATCTCCTTGGCAAGGAGATTCTCCCACGTTCGGGGAGAATCTCCTTGTCAAGGAGATTCTCCATGGAAGAAGGAGACCGTGACGGCAGGAGGGAATGAAGGAAATAGAAGGAAAATGAAGGAAAAAGAAGCACATGAAGGAAAAAGAAGCACATGAAGGAAAAAAAAAGAAAGAAGAAAAAAGAAAAAAGAGAAGAAAAAGGAAGAGGAGGGGGAGGAGGGGAGGAGATTCTCCTGGGGGTCCAGGAGAATCTCCTTGGGCCAAGGAGATTCTCCGAGATTTTCCTTGAAGTCGCCCATCTGAAAATTTTGGACGAATAAGAAATTCTAAAAATCTGAACAAGAATCTGTTTGCCAGATGAACAATTGTGAACTCGAATCTGACCACGTCTGTTTGATGTCTACTGAAGAAAGTCGCTTCGGTTTGAGTTGAGCTTGCGATACGGATCTCGTCGTTTCTGTGCTTCGGGGTAAAAAACTAGCTACTTGGAGAGCTTGACCTGGCATTCGTGACGTTTCGGTTTGGTGAGAGGACAGAATCTGTGAGTTAGAGCGTATGTTGGTTTATTTGCTGGGGTTCTTGGAACTTCTTCTACTGACGTGTCGTCCATTTCTTTGCACATGCACGCGTACGATGCTTTCTTTCGAAAAAACTACAGCTAATTCAACATCTCAGCACCTCGCATCATCGAAGAACACCAAGATTAAAGAATAGCAAAATCACAACCAAATAGTTCTAAAGCACGACCGTAGTTGGAGCAGAACCACTGGAAGAAACAGCTCTACCCCTACTTCACGACGTTCACCTCCTTTTATTGCAGCAAAAAATCCTTGCCAAAATAAAAGGAACATCATGCCGCGCGCTTCTCTCGGGTGCACCCTGGAGAACCGGGAGAGCCACTATGCGGAGTATCAAATGTAAAAATGTCTGGGTCTGGAAGATTTTTAGATTTGTCATGCATATTTTCCATGACCCATGATGTCTGTGATGCATACTGTAGCATCACAGATTTTTAGAGCGATTTGTGATACCTCTACCGCATGAGAAATGCCCTCTACGCGTAGCACGAACTGGAGTCCTCCTGCTGGTCATGCAATACAATTTTTTTCAGATGAATCCAGAGACAGCATTACAAGTTTAGAATTTTCCAGACCCAGACACTTTTGCATTTGATACGGAGCCCACGGACCCCATGTGGAACCGGGACGTGCGCGGGAGCGAGCCCGGCCCGGGGACCTACGATCCCTACCCGCTGCTGAACCCGGCAACACACAGCATGAGATCCGCCAACTATTTCCCGGACCGCGCACTCCAGTACCCCGGTGGGTCCCTGTACGCGCAGCAACCGATGTGGCTCTCATTGCCGCAAAAGGAGAGAAATCGCTTCTGGATGCAGCACCGAGACCAGCTGGACGCGCGTAAGTTGAAGAAGCTGGAAAAAGTTTTCGTCGACTGGCGCGACAAGACGTCCGCGCCGTCCAGCTCCCAACAACCCGGCGGGCCGACGTCGCCAACCGCACGCCATTTCACCTACCAGGCGAACCAGATTTCCACGGAAGTGTTGTCCAACAAGATGCCCGGCGTCGGGAAGCCAATATCCGAGTGCAAAACAACTAGTCCTCGGCCTCCTCGTCCCTCTCATTTGTACTTTTACTTCTATGTGCAATGAATAGAGCCCAACCCCAAGAATCCAGCACCAACAGTGAACGCCCTTTGATGTTGGCATAGTCTGCATGAAAAATTCATTCGGAGGTTGTACTAGCGGCCTACTAGGAACTTTTGTCATGCACACCAGGGTCCTCGTCGTTCATGTGGTCTCCTGGTGTTCTTTCTATTGATGTGTAAGTATAGTAAGTATGCCTGCCTTTCAAAAAATGAAGGGGACGACGAGCAGCGGGACGACGAGTTGTGCACTCTGATAGCCGAGTCAAGTGGAACAAATGTCCAGGACGGTCCCGGCGCGATTTTTCGACTCGGGCATGGGGCCGACAAACTCGAGCTCCTCCTCGAAGAAGGATATCACACAGAAAAAAACTGGCAGGTCATATTTGGAATGCAAAAATAAATAGACACAAAAAATTTGTATTGCGTAGCCTAAATAGCATGCTATGAGGCCGCCCATGACAGATCTCCCTTTGTATTTATTTTTGCATTACAAATATGCCCTGCCAGCTTTTTGCTGTGGGATAAAGGACACGAAAAATTTAACCGGATTGCGCAAGGACGGGGAGTTTGTGCTGACAAAAACCGCCAAGGAGCTGGTGTACACGAACCGTGACTTGCCGATGTCTTCGTTTGCCCGCGTGCCCAACAACGTGGGAAACAAACCCTTGCTGAAACGGGTGATCTCCGAACCCTGTTACGAGCAGTACGACACGGCGACCAGCACCTTCTCCTTCGGGGAAAGAAGATCACTGCAGCGGAAGTTCAGGTAGATGAAACAGATAAGGAATTGTGGGTGTTTCTTGTGACCTGCAATTTTTTTTGCTTTGCTGGGATCGATACCTGTAATGCAACATCATGTCAACTACATGAATCATTGTCATTGTATGATTCTGCTTCTGTACTAGTTCTAGTTGCAATTTCATCTAATTTTGATTCACCTTGGTGGAGCCATCGAATGAATATTGTGTCAAAGGAAATAAACCCTATCAGGCTCACTCGTGGTCTTTCGAAGATTCAGCGCAAAGTCCTGGAATCCAGGAAATCTGTCGCGTCGATCGCGAGTCTGGCCCGCGACACGACGAAAAAGCAGAAGCAGGGGAGGACGGAAGAGCCAAGTTGGTACATCCCGCCACTGCCGAAGGAAGAAGGTCTGGGCGAAATTTTAGCGAACAAATCGCTGAAGAATTACAAGGTGACCGCGCGGGCGCGCGACATCGAGCCGAACGAGCCAAATCAGCAAGACTGCATCCCAACGAGGTGGACTGGAATTGGCACGCGGGATTACGACTTGTACAATTTGCTAAACATGACATTGTAGGGGTTTGCTTTGATGTGCTTATTTGTGCGTCACAGAGCAGTTTGATACTCCTGCATCTGTCAACCGACGAAATAATAAAGTCGATCACGGTCAAAAAAATTAGAGGAGAAAAGTCAAGACCTTTGTTGCTTCCCATCGGGATGAATGGGGCAATGAGGTAGCTTGTACTACTATTTGCCACTTGCACTTGCAAAATCTTCTACAAACGAAAGACGCTTGTTTATTACGCTTAACAGTTTCGAATTGCAAAAAAAAAATGTACTACTACCGATCAAATATTACAATTGTCTCAACATCAACCGACTTGAAGTGTCACATTTGTTCATATTGGAAAATTACAGAACCTGTCCAATCTGTAGTTCTATATCGCGGTGCTCCTAATTGCAGCAGAATCTAGATCTACACATAAAAGAACTTCGATGTTTATTCCTACAGTACTTCTTTATCACGAACTTCAACTTGTATCCTACGACCATTGTGAATACGAAAAGGACATGACTTTGATTGTCCGACCAAATAAAAAGCAATGTACTGGAGACGGAGTCCACGTCCTCCCCGGGGCGCAAGAAAATTGTGAAAATTGCTGCGTGCTGCAGCTTTTCATCATCTGCGTTAGCGTTCGCGGAAACATTACTTGTTAGGCGCGATGTTTGCTAGTACTTGGCTCCTACACAACCAAAGCTAACAAGATCTGCTGCTTGGTCTTGAACCGGAGGAAAGATGCTCAATAAATGAACGAGAAAACAACTTCAGAGAGATGATCAACGTACTTCTTCATCAAGGTCCAGGTCTGCTCCTGCAATCGAACTGTCGTGCGCAGGAACAAGGTCCGCACGCCGTTTCAGCTCCCGCCCGAAAACATCTGCAAGCTTTAGTGTCGCGGCTCGTTTGATTATATTCTGAACATCAACAGTCAGAATGGCGGGTTTGGCTCGGGGACAAGTACGTAACTGTTGAATACCTCTAACGAAAAATAAGTACTTCTAATGTCTACTTACTTGCAGACATTCGGGTTCGGCTCGTTCTCCTGCGATCATTAGAAGGAAAATTCTTATGGTCGTGCGATTGCGATTTTTTATCCTTTTTTATTGCGTTGGCTTGTCATTCCTTTAGTACCATCTCCCGCAGAGGACTCTGACCCATTCGCGACCGACTTATCGTCCTTTCCCAGACGCCTTGTCAAAATGAACTTCGTGAAACGCGAAACCCTGACCACGGAAATCACCGACACCGGTGTGGTGGAAAAAACGAAACGACTAGAATTGACGGAGAATGACCAGGTGCGGGATAGGATCGCGGCACTTCCAGAATTCAGCCGCAATCGGATAACCCAGGCAGAAACGGAAGCGCCAAAAGAACAGCAAGCAGGTACAGAATTATTTTGACGTAAATTTGAATTTCACAGTATGTTGAAACAAAATAATTTGTTCGTTGCACGAAGCAAACGCTGCTGTGACAAATTTCATGACTCCAAATTCCAAATCCAACAGATGAGTTCGCCGAGCGCCATCGCTTTCTGCGGCAGGAGGAGGAGAGGATACACAGCGAGTCCCAGGCGCATCTGAAAGACATGCGGGAGAAGCAGGAGCAGTTCCACAATCAGGTCTTCGCCCGACAGCAGAAGGACGCGTCAGACTTCGAGCAGGGGCGAAAGAAGCTTCTCAACGCGGACAAATCCAGCGTCATCACTGCGAAAATCGGAGATACGGCCGCCAACGCGAATAGCAATAAAGGGACAGCAACTACAGGGCCTACTGCTACAAGTTCGAGCAGCACAGGAGGGGGCGGAACATCAAATAATAACCCGAATAACCCGCGGCCGGGAGATGCGATTTCGAAACGGATCATAGAAACGGAATCGAAGTTTTTCGACGACAATATGGTGAATAAGTTCGTCGGGAGGACAAAAGCAAGAGCGGAGTTCAATGTGAGGAAAGACATTGTTGGGAGTGGCGGAACCGTCACAAAAGTGAAGAAAATCGGGAACATGGTGATAAATTCGACAAAGGGATTTCCTGACAAGAACCCGATAGAATACAACCGGGAAAGGAGCCCGAAACGAGCGACAGTGGCTTTGGGGCCGCCAGCGGTTTCGAAAGTTCTGACAACGACGAGCAGTACTACAAAGGCTGTACAGAATGCTGCGACATCAACAAACAGTGCCGGCGCGACAAAGAGTAAGCCTGTTGTCAGTGTCGTAGCAGGATATAGCGACTCGGAGTCGGATTGATAGATACCCCTCAAAAAGTTTTCGACGACTCCAGCACAGAAAGATAAAAAACAAAAAAAGCGTGCAAGCGGTCCTTAACGGCGCTGCCTTCTTTGCACTGCACGGAAGGACATGATCCTGCATTCGTGTTCGGAACCTGCGATCGTTGGTAGCTTTATCGAGTCCAGAATGCGTCGCTCGTTTGTCGGTGACTTTTAAGTAGCAGTGGCACCAAAAGTCAACATCTTCGGTAAACAGCTCGGTACTCAGTCGGTGGTATGCTTGCCAAGAAGCTCTCTGCCGTAGAAGCGAAAGAAGCGCTTTTAGCCCCCCCAGAAGTATCGAGCTCAAAAATCTGTCGTGTCACTTTCACATTTCAGAGCCAGCCGCCTGACCGATACGGCTTGTGCGCCTGATAATTTGGGTGCAAAAACATGCTGACCCTCTTGTAAGTAGAGATCGATGTAAAGTCGATCCCAACTACATTCTTCATTTCCTCCGCACAAAATGTCCTTTGCGACCATCTTTTTTGACTTTTCCGGACCGGAGGAAGGGGAGGAGATTCACCGAATCGAGTGGGAGGATGCGTGGGCACCACAAGACGAAAGTGATGCACATTCAGAATTGCACACCATACAACTTCCGTCCATGAGCATAATACAGCATCAAGTAGACAACAACCGCGCAAGCAGGACGACCAAGAACATGTTGACTTCGGCACAGCCACAGGTGGACGTCGTCGCTGCTCCCGAAGTAGTAGTAGATCCTCGTCGCTCTCTAGCAGCCACGACGACCCAAACCGCCCCGATCACCCCGATTCCCGTCAATTGTCCGGACAACACGTGGACAAAATTTACCTACAACTTGGTCCAGGACGACACGCACCACACCGGCGCTTCTAGCAACTTCGACGTGCAGAAGGTCGTGGCGGAATCTTGCTACAAGGTGATCCAAACGCAAAACGCGTGGACCAGTCAGATGGGGGCTGGGGTGCAGGGCTGTTTGTTATTGAGAGGAAAATCCCCCTTTCCCCATATCGAAGCGGTACATTTCCGAAAATTTGTGTTGCTGATTTGAGACCACAAATCACGGCTTTCTTGCTAGAAGACAAGTGCAGAGGCCTCCGCGCCATTGTGGAAGCGATTTGGCATGCTGTTGAGCCTAGGGGACTGCCGTTTGTATATGCGAAACAACTAGACCCTAACGCCCCTACCTAGGCTGAGGATCTGGCTGCGATGCCTCACTGCAAGACAGCGCGCATCTGTGTGCGGAGGTCTAGCACCAGAAACTTCGTCTCGATATGGAGAGGGGAGATTTTTCCTTACGATGTTTGTACTGCGAGAAACTGTGTGAGGATGAAGGCGGGACGTTAGTCACCATCACGGAGGAAAACCTAGAATTCGTCGCGAAACTTACGGTATGGATTGCAAAAGTGTCTGGGTCTGGAAGAGTGCGCGACTTGTCATGCTGCTTTTCCATGACCCATGAGGTCCGGAATGCAAGACCTAGCATGACAGATTCTGTGCGATCTCTCTCATGCCAATCCTGCATGAGAAACTCCCTCCCGACTTGGTCAAAACTGGATCTTTTGGTAATCATGCAACAGAGATTTTTGCATGCTTCAGATTTAGCATGACAAGTTGCATTGTTCTTCCAGACCCAGACATTTTTGCAATCCATATACGGACGACGCGGTGAAGCCTCTGAAGGGGTATAGCGCAGCAGCCTGCGTCGGCTTGTACCGGGGCTGGTCCTCGTTCAAGCGCGATTGGTTCTGGATCCGGGAGGAACTGACGTATCAGCAGGTGGTCGGCGGGGGAACAACAACGACTGTCGGTTCTCCAGTTTACAACCTGACGGGCACGGGGTTGCGAGAAAAGGCCAAATGGGTCGACTGGCAGGTGGGGAACCCGCGGGAGGGAGCCGGGATTCCGCAGGACTGCGGGTTTATGTACTCCGGCCGGATGAAGCGGCCGGGGCGGTTGTACAACGTGCCGTGCAAGCCGTACAAATCGTTTGGGGAACGGGAGTGTATCTGTCAATCCCCCGGGAGGCCGCACTTGAAGTGGGCACATGACAAGGCGAGACTGGAGGCGACAATGGACATGAGCGACGGAATGGACAAATTTTTCTACGACACCGCCACATTCTACTTACCGCTTCCGTTTTGCGGCCTGTTTGGTTTGATGCTTCTACGCGCGCTGTTTGGCTGGTTGTGCGCCAGCCGGCGGGGAACTACCACGATAGCGGGAGGAGGTTCCGCCGCGAGTACTAAGCAGAAACAGGCTGGAGCGTCTGTTGGTGTTGACCATGCGGGCGAAAGTCAAAAGGAATCTGGAACAGCGGAAAAAGCAACGCCGGCGAACATCCAAGCGTCCTCTTCGCACGAGCAAGAGCAAGCCTCTGGCTCGCATTACGAGGCCGTTCAGATTCTGCCGGGGCTACGATTTTTTGCGATCTGGCCGCTGTGTCTCACGGTGCGAAGTATTTGTCATGACAATTATGGCACTGCGAGAAACGTCTACAGCAGTACGACGCCAGGGACGAACGCCGGAGTAGACCTGAGCGGCCCCGGAGTCGCGATCGGCGCACCAGACTCCTACAATTACGACGATGCGCACCCTCTGACAATAAACACCGCAGAACATCAGCTCTCCGCTTCCCCCGACTCCGGCTGTTGCAACTACGGGAGAACCTGTTTAATTTTCCCTGCTTGGCTCTGTTCTTCCTACTGTCTCACCGATTTCTCCGTGCGTTTTGTCTGGCGGCTCCTCGTGGCTGTTTACTTCGCACTCCGGGCGTTTTTGTTGGCGGAGGAGGGTTTCATCGTGCTTGGTGCTTACTATGTGGGCATGGGAGTCGTCAGTCTGGTTGCGCACTACACCTTAGGCCGCGTGCTGGTGGACTCGCCGGATCGGGTTAGGAAAATTTTGGCTTGCTACTCTACTACTGCTTCGAGCGGTTCAGCTGAACAAGCCCCGTTTATTGGGACTGTGCAGCGCCATCTCCTCCAATCTTGGCCGGAGCGACTCCGGCAGGCGCAGAGGAGAATGGTGACTCGCAGACTGCTCCCCGTGTTATTGGTCCGCGCAGTGTACTTCTTCATCCAAGAACGGTTTCGTGGCGGAATCCAGACCTCGGTGTTTTTCTTCGGCGCGCTGCAGCCGTTGTTTTGGCTTCTCGCCGTGCTGTCTCTGACTTCCGACGCGCTTTGCGAGCAGTTGGAGAGGTTTGTGCTGAAGAGGATCGAGGGGTGCATTCTGGCGAACAACAGCCAATTTAACAGTACAACCGGCGGGACCACCACGTGGACGACGAGCAAAGAGAGCAAGACGAGCGGGGTGAAGAAAGAAGAATTACAGGCACTTTCAACAACAACAGCATCTTCTGCAGCAAACGACAGTTTTTTGTCGCGTTCATCCTCGCCTCCCCTGCTGCAGGTCTTCGCCGACCACTTCAAAAGACACGGGAAGATGATGGAAGCGACCCGGAAAGTGTTCGGCACCTCCATCGCGGTGTGCTTCGGGACTCTCACCGTGGGGCTGTTGTGCAACCTCCTCTTCGCGTTGACCGGGTCTCCCTTCTGGATGGCGCAGCTGGTGATTTGGTTTGTGCTCTTTTTCGTGTTCATGCGGCTCTTGTCGCGACTAGGCGACGCGTACAACACCGCCTTGCAGAAAATTCGGGAGTTACTGCTGTTTGTAACCGCAACGACGACGACCGGAAGTACTTATTCCGGTTTTACAACAACCGCTGCAGGTGCACTAGCTTCTTCGAACAACGCAGGCACGACTGCTACCGTGCCAGTCGACTTTTCACCCGCTGCTCCTGGTGGAGCGGGAGGAGTTTCCGGCGGCGGTCAACATTTTGTGGGCCCCCAGCAACAGCTTCAGCATTACGCCAATATCGTCCCCCCGACAGTCGGCGGGACGATGCGGGCGAATCTGGAACTGATCGTGAAAACCATGGAAGACCGATTGGTGATGAAGCAGCACACGTGGGTGCTGTTGGGCTCCCCGATTACTGCGGACGTTTGAAGCAGACTACTGCGTTCTTAGTAGCGAGCTGCTTACTCACCTTCGCACCGATGTTTCTACAGAATACGCAAGGATAGGACCACGTTGAGAGAACTGAAAGCAGTTCGGCCTTTTGTTGAAAATATTTCCGGAATCGAACAGAAGCGATAGTGTCGCTTTATTTCCCTATTCAATTTTCTATCAAGTGCTCAAACAGACTTTGAGAACAGTTGTACTACCATTGGAGTATCTACTTCAACGAGGTGGTAAGTATCGACGCTGATCTTGACCATGTTCCCTTGAAACGCGAACCTGGAATAAATCGGAGTGGCGTCTTGAACGTTCCTTGCCACCCCTCGAGAGAAAAATGTCGGATATGATGCAAAGATTTCGGTTCGGTATTTCTGATTGCAGCTAATATCACTGTGAGATAATCTACCTGATGAAAAACGTGCTCTTTCATCCATCGAAAAAGTACTCCGACTGAATTACATTTTGTATATTCACCCAACGGAACAATCGGAATAAAGTCGGAAAAAATCTATCGCTCGTCATCTTGAACCCAAATCAGCTCTCATTTTCCGAGACCACAAACCTCAATCTGAAAGATCTAGATCCCATGGTAATTTTCGGCCTTTAGTTGTAGCATTTCAAACTGGACGTAAGATTCAAGTTTGCAAATGGGTGCATTTTGGTTACTTCGAAAAAAGCTTGAAGTGGCCTCAGGAGGCAACGAGCAAGGTTTTTGTCGAGGTGAAAGAACAACTGAACTAAGTTTTTAGTAGTTTCACTTCGTCGAGCTCGAGCTACCTCCTTCAAAATCAAACTTGGCTAGTTTTTGCTGCCTCTTTTTCACTACGCTACATTCGTTTACGTTTATGTTGCCTTATGTAAACAACTTACTGAAAGAGAAAGAATTGCAATGTGCTCGCTGTATCTGCTAGACTTTCTTTGACACGACCACGAAGCGTGAAGATCAACACTGCTTGAAATTCGAAGCTGTTACTACACAACGAGTTTCCGCAAGTGCAGTTGGATCCTAGCAATCAAAAACCAATTCGCGCTGCTGACCTAAGAATCTAAGCCCTAAACCCGAAAGAACCGTCGGCAAACGCGGCAACCAACCCTAAACCGTAACCGTACTATTTTACACAATGCCGCCGCCCAACGCAACCAAAGGGGGCGGGAAAAGCCCCACAGGAGTCGGAGGGCAGGAGCCAAGCTCTGGCACACCTACAACTTCTACCACCTCCGCTCCCATCGTGGGTGGTATGGCGTGCCGTTTCCCCCAGTCCCGGACGACTGCAGAATTCTGGGAGAACTTGATCACGGGAAAAAACATGATTACCCAGGACGACGAGCACTGGGAATCGGGTTTCCACAACCAATTACCCCTGGGAAAAGGATCGGTCCAGAAACAGGAGTACTTTGACACGTTCTTTTTCAACATGAGCGGCGCGCAGGCCGAAAAAACCGATCCGCAGCTACGGTTTCTGTTGGAGCTGTCGTATGAAGCACTCTGTGATTCCAACCTGGACATCCAGAAACTGAAAGGGAGCAACTGCGGGGTGTTTGTCGGTACCGTAAAGTGTTTATTCGGTTGGTTCTTGCATCTCTTGGTCTTGCCTGAGCAGGCCCTTCAATGGTTGAGTTCAAGTTCTGACGGTTCAACATGCATCAAATCCACCGCATAAAGACCGAGTGAACTCCATGCGCGAGATACTTAAAATTAAAATCCGCCATCAATTATTATGAATCAGGTTCCTGTTTTTCCGATTGCCACAAGGCTTGGCTGCACGACGTCCCGGCCATCACCGGTTACGAGAATACGGGCTGCGCGCAGTCCATGTACGCGAACCGGCTTTCGTTCTTCTACGATTTCCACGGACCTTCCTTCAACGTCGACACGGCTTGCTCCTCTTCCCTCGTGGCCTTCTCCCAAGCGTGCCGAGCTTTGGAGGCAGGCGAGTGCGACGTGTGTCTGGTGGGAGGAAGCTCCATCACCCTCCACGCGGGCGTCTCCGTGGCGTTCAACCGGTTGCACATGTTGAGTCCGGACTCCGCGTGCATGAGTTTCTCGAAGAACGGGAACGGGTACGCGAGAAGCGAGGGCGTCGCGATGTTGGTGCTCTACCGGGAGGACAAGGTCGGGCAGTATTGTCGGAATCCGCTCTGCAAAAACCCGACGCCCAACAGTTACTTCAAGGTCCTCGGGTTCGGGATAAACAGTGACGGGTTCACGAAGAAGGGGATCACCTTCCCGAATGGCGAAGCCCAGTACGACCTGTACAGACAGGTGTGCAAACAGGCGAACGTGGACCCGTCAGAAATTTTTTACATCGAAGCGCACGGAACCGGGACCGCGGCGGGGGACGGACAGGAGCTGGAGGCGCTGAGAAGGGCGTACTTGGAACCAAGGAAAAAAATAAATTCTGCGGAAAATAGTAACAAAAAAGCGAACCTCGATAGTTGTACAACTAGCACATCAACAAGCGTACAGCAGCCACTCCTGCTCGGGTCTGTGAAATCCAACATGGGCCACGCGGAGGGCGCGAGTGCCATGGCGGGTTTGATCAAGCTCTGTCTGTCCTGGTCCCAGAAACAGATCCCGGCGAACTTACACTACACCTACGAGGACCGGAATAAGGGGTGTGAGCAGATGCTGGGCGATTTGACGAAGTGCCAAGTGGTCGAGAAGAACTACCCGATTGAGGAGCCAAACGAGAAAAAAGTCGCAATTTCTTCCTTCGGGTTTGGAGGCACCAACGCGCACGCAGTGCTGTCGGGTCAGGTAAACGCGGACAACATGACCTCAGAGGACTCGAAGATGAACAAAGTGACCAACCGGGCGCTGTCTGAGAAGATTTGTGAGGAGGAGAAGTGGCGGCTGATTACGCCGATTTACGGCAGGACTGCGGACGGGGTGCACGCGGCGTTGGAGGCTTTGCAGGAGAAAAACATCGCGTTTGACCACTTGGTCGGGCCACCGAGCGTCCACGACCACTTGAAAGAATTTCCCGCGATGGGGTACAAGACGCTAGGGGGTGATATCGTCACTTCCGACGAGCCGCAGCCGTACGTGGTCGGTCGTGCGGAGAGTGGTGAAGAATCTTCACCACTACAGGAGGAGCAAAAGAACGACCAAAAGCGCCGTCCCCTCTGGCTGCTCTTTTCCGGCAACGGCGGCATGTGGCCGTTGATGGGGAAGGACTTGTACGAAAACAGTAAAATCTACCGCGAAACCTTCGACAAGTGCTGCGAGCATTTGCACAAAGAGCACAACTACGACAAATTGAAGCAGTTTCTGACCGAACCGGACGTGACGAAGTACACAGCGGTGGAAGGGGTTTGCGGTTTGGCGGCCGTGCAGATCTCGCTCATCGAGGTGTTGCGGCGAGCGGGGCTGCAGTGGGACGGCATGTTCGGGCATTCCGCTGGGGAGACCGCGATGGGGTATGCGGACGGGTGCTTGACGCTGGAGGAGACCATGTCGGTTGCGTACTACCGGTCCCTCTGCGGTGCGGATTCGGTGGACAAGGAAAACCCGGGGGGGATGTACGCCTGCGGGGTTTCCCGCGAGAAGATGGAAGAGCTGCTGCAAGCGTACCACTGCACGCGGCTCACGCAGGTGGGCTGCGACAACGACCCCTCGATGGTGACGCTGAGCGGGTCGGAACGGGAGATGAAGCCGATTACCGTGGAACTGACCGCGAAAAAAATCCTCTGCCGGAAGGTCCCCACCTTCGGCGTCGCGTTCCACTCCGCCATGCTGGAACCGGGACTCGCGAAGTTGAAAGAGCAGCTGGAGAAAGTTATTGACAACGCACCGGGGAAACCGAAAGAGCAGCGCCGGCGATCTTCCAAGTGGGTTTCCACGTGCTACGACGACGATGTGATCCGGAAAGACCCGAATCACCCCGGGAACTTCGTGTCCGCCGAGTACCACTACTACAACTTCCGCAACACGGTAGAATTTTACCGGGCGGTGAAATCCCGAGTGCCGGCCAACGCGGTGGTGGTGGAGGTGGGACCGAGCGGCTTGTTCCGGTCCTCGATCAAAAAGATCGCGGCCGTGGAGAAGCGGCCGATGCACTACTTTTCGCTGATGTCGCGGGACAAAAATTCGCTCCACACCTTCCAAAACGCGTTTGGCCAGCTGATGTTCCAGGGTTTGGTGAAGGAATTGACCGTGGACTTCGCAAAGCCGGAAAAGCAGTTGTTGCCGAAGGACATTCCCGTGATCGCGTCCGATTTGAAACTGAAGCAGGTGTTCACGATGTGGGACCACGGGACGATCTACCCGATCCCCGGGATTTCCGATATGGTCAACAAAACCGGCGCGGTCGGGGAGCAGGAGATGGGAAATTTGTCCGGGGAGGACTGGAAAAACATCCACATCGTGGAGTTTGATTTCTCGACGGAGCGAGACAGTTTCATCATGGACCACGTGATCGACAACACGGTCTTGATGCCGGCGTGCGGCTACATCTTCGCGGCCTGGGAGTCGTTTGCGAACGTGTTGAGGAAGAGAGGTTTAATCCAGGAACTGAACGAGGCCCGGGACGTGAAACTGGTGGACTTCAAGATCCACCAGGGCATCAGGCTCGACGAGTCGAACGTCCAGATGAAGCTGACCGTGCGGTTCTCGCCGGCAAGTGGAGACGGTGCCGCGAATGTGAACGGGGAGGAGTATAAAATCTTCTACGGGGAGGAACACATTGTGACTGGAAGGATCAAGTTGGAGAAAAGTACGACTTCTGGTGGTCCGGCCGCTGCTCCACCAAACACGACTGTCGTCGCACCGCTCGGAGGTAGTCCAAACGAAAACATGAATAACGTGCCAGACTCTGACACGTTCGGGCACGCCCTGGGCGCGGTCACTGCGAACGAGTTTTACTGCCGGATTGCGCGGAACGGCTACAATTACGAAAACGCCTTCCAACTGGTCGAGAACGTCGGGATTGACGACAGTTGGGCGTGGGTCAGGTTCGACCACGCAGTGGAATTGGTGCAGTCCGCGGTGCAAGCCGCTACGGCCGATGTCGCGAAGGACCAGACGGGGGCGAGCAATGTCGCGGAGAAGGGGCAGTTGGGGGACAGCAGTTCCAAGCAGAAGTTGGAGCTGCAGGACGACATCGTTTTCAACCGCTACTGGATCTCGTTTCTGGACAACTTGCTGCAGGTGTCTCTGCTGAAAAACCTGAACGATTCCGCGACACTGCGAGTGCCGACGTCCATCCGCGAAATCTGCATCCGCGGATCGCAATTTGGGAATTTCCTGCGGAAAATGCGGGAAGGGACGGTGGGGATGCGGCACATCGAGTCGACGGATTCGGTGCAGTCCCGGGCGTCCTCCTTGGAGAACAAGGAGCCGGGGGTCATGATGGACAAGGAGCGGAAACTGTTTCTCGTCGAAGCCCAAGCGCAGTCCGGGACGCAGTTGGTGAAAATTTTGCCCTACATGAACCAAGTGGCCAGTGACATCGCGGACGTCACGGGGTTAGCGACCTCGATTATGGCCCGATCGACCAAAGCGAAGGAGAAACGGGTACTGCACGTGGCGCGGAAAAAGATCTTCGACTTGAAAAACGCGGTCAACGTGCGGAAGGACGCGGTACTTTTTAGAAAACATAAACATCTCTTAGTACATGAATGTGCTTTGGCATAAGACACCGACTATGCAGTATCTTGCAGTATCTACTTACTTTTTCGTCGTTTATTTTTGCATGACAAGTTCTCTGTTGACATTCTCCAAAAACCACACCATCGAAACAGACCGCCATTTCTCTCCTTCTCTCCTACCTGAAAGAGCAATTTGTCTCTGGAAACTTCACCGTTGTCGACTTTCTCCCGGTGTCCATGCAGGAGCTGACGCAGAAGGTGATGGAGACTTCCAATGTGGAAAAGTTTTCCGTATGAAATGCAAATATGTCTGGGTCTGGAAAGTTGTGATGCTGGGTGGCGTATCATGAGGTGGCCAGCACAAGTGCTGGCTCAGCATGACAAGTTTCTGAGCTTCTAGGTGCTGCCTATTCTGCATGACAAACTGCGTGTCTGCATGACAGAAAAGTGGGGCTCTTGGGTAATGTGCATGACAAATTTAAGAGTCATGTCCATGTGAGACAAGCATGACAAACTCGCACTATTCCAGACCCAGACATTTTTGCAGTTGATATTCTGTTCTGTTCGACAAAACTCTCGACGAAACGAAGAAGCAGGAGTACCAGCAGAAATCCGACGGGGTGTGTGAAGAAGTGAAAGAGAACGAAAAATTCGATGTCGCTCTAGTCCACGACGAGAGTGTCTTACCGGAGCAGATAACGAAGGTGGACTCGCTGCTTGCGACGGAAGAATCGAAAGCGGAGGAGTTTCAACCCCCGTTCGTGATCGTGAAGTCTGACACAACTGGGAAGATGTTGCAGGGCCAACTACCGGTCGCGAACTTGTTCTCCAAAGTGATTCGTGTGAACGCGTTGGAAACCGGGAATGAATTCATATTGTACAAAAAGACACCGGCGAAGCCAGCACTGAGTGCAAGAACTTCTGGCACTTCGAACAATCATGCAGAACTACAGGGCACCAGCAATGCCTCTGCCACGGCACATCAACTGAACCCCGCGTTGCTCCAGTCGCAAGTGCTGCAATTTTCCGGCTACGACGGGTTGGAAGTGAGCAAAGAGCAAGTAAAAGAATATGAGCAACTTTTCCTTCGGTTGTCTGACGACTGCTTCACGAAGGACAACATCAGGAAACTCGCACAGTTTCTTCAGGAGGTGAACGACAGCGAGAAGTACCCCAAACTGCAGAAACTGTTTCTACTCGCCGGCGCAAACGGCTTCCCGGGCTTTCTCCGTTGCGTGCAGAAGGAGCCGAGTTTTTCGAAGATCCGCGGAGTCCACTTGGTTTCAAACTCATCTGCGAATATATCTGTCGGGTACAGTAACGAAGCCTCCGAGCGGATTGCGAATGCTCTCCCCCAAATCTCTCAACTCGACGCCAGACTGATCCGGTTGGACGTGAAAACCAAGCAGCTCTCGGTCGAGCTTTCCTTTTACGAGGAGGAGCAGCCGAAATACCCGGCCCCGTTTGGGGAGTTCCTCACCTTCCCGCAGCCGGGGAACCTAGAGGCGTTCGCCTGGAAGGCGCACCCGCACTTTTCCGTGTTGTCGCTCGGGGACGAGGTGGAGAACCCGAGGGAATTTGGGACCATGCTGCTGCCGCAGATTGTGACGAAAAATTCGTCCGGCGTCGGGACGACAAGCTTACTATTGGACGAAACGGAAGCGAGTCTACCGCCGAACGGAACAGGAGCAAATACTGGCACAACTTTGCTGCAAATTGAAGTCGCGGCGGATAAATATACGTGCTTATCCTCCAGAGCAGCGGAAACGTTGCCGCAGAAATCCACCAGCAAGGGAACCACTACGAGCGAAAACGAACGGTCGACCTCCGGATTGTTCTCCAACCTCTTCGGCGGAGGGAGTAGCAACAACCTCCAGGCACTGAAAAAGGACAACGGCACCCCGGGAGGGAATAAAGTCGCAGGTAGTACTATCGCGAAAAACTACTCCCCCAGTTCCGACGGAAAGATACAACAAGATGGGGACTTTCTCTCGGACACGGACGCGAATCTTTTCACAGAGGCAGCGCTCTCCCGGAAGTTGCAAACGGAATATTTGAAGCAGGTGACGGCGAACGCGACGAAGGATCTGCAGCAGTTCAACCGGCTGAACAACACGAACGGGAATAATAAGACCGGCACTTCTAGCAAGAAAAGACAACTCCGGTCCGTCGACGTTTCCTTCGCTGCCTTGAACTTCCGGGATATCATGCTAGCGTATAACAAAATCGACAAAGACGCGATCGTCGGCCATAGTAAGATGGGCGACGGGTTCGGTTTGGAGTTCGCGGGGTACTACACCCCCTCCGATTCGTTATCCGGCTTCGCCGAACAGGCGTACCACGGCTCCGACATGTTTTCCGGACACCATCATCACCTCAGTGGGAATGAAAATGAAAACAAAATCAAGGTGATCGGCTTGACCTACAACAGTATCGCAAGAAAAAACTGTTTCATTGTAAACTTGTGATGCAGAAAATGCATCTGAGAAGTGTTTGTCTTGCTACACATGCAAGACAATAGCTGTGTTTTCCCTAGGGAATCTCGCATGGCAAATTTTCTCTGTGATGTAGAGCAAACTTGTGACGCAGATCTTGCAAAATCATCACAATGAAACAGTTTTTTCCTGTGATAAACAGTCTCGCGACGAAGGTCACCGTTCCGGCGAACTTGTTGTGGGAGTTGAAACCCAATCAGGAGTTGCGGCATTATGCCACCGTGCCCTGCGTGTACGCAACCTGCTACTACAGCTTGCTGGTTCGGGGGCAATTCACGCCGGAAACTTCGGTCTTGATCCACGCGGGCGCGGGCGGGGTGGGGCAGGCAGCGCTGTACATCTGCTTAAAGAGGACCAGTGACCCGAGTCTTATCTTCACAACCTGCAGCACGAAGAAGCGGCAGTATTTGCTGGAGAAGTTCGGGCATTTGGGGTTGCAGGAGAAGAACATCGGGAACACGAGGGACACAAGCTTCGAGCAACTTGTGATGAAGAACACCAATGGCCGCGGGGTGGACATCTGTCTGAACAGCTTGTCCGACGAGAAACTGATGGCGAGTGTCCGGTGCGTGGCGGCGTTCGGTCGGTTCTGCGAGATCGGGAAGTACGATTTGATGCAGAACACCGGGCTGGGGATGCATTGTCTGTTGAAGAACGTGTCGATTATGGGGATCGATCTGGACCAGATCCTGAACCAGCCGAGAGAGTGGGCGACCGTGCACAGGTTGGTGCAGGAAGGGATTCTGTCTGGCGAGGTCGAACCCTTAGACGTCGGTGGGTGTTTCTCGATGCGGCAAATCACCGAAGCGTTCCGGTTCATGGGCGCGGGGACGCACGTCGGCAAGGTTCTGTTGCAGTTTGACAATACTAGCACGAAGGGAGATGATGTTGGCTCCGGCTCCGCCTCCACCACTGCGGGCGACATGACCAGCCGGTCCGAGTCTAGAGAATCAGACGCGGCGGGAACTATAATGGCAAACAAAGCTGCGGCGGGAACTATGGGCTTCAACCCACCAGGACGAACGAATATTGCAGGCGCATCAAATAGTACTTCTTCTACCGTTGAGCAGTCCCCAGCTTCTTCATTATCCAACAACGGCGGAAAATGGTCGGTATTAACCGACGCCCACAGCGAGCATCTAGTCGCGGACACGCCGAACTTCACTCCGAAGAATCCGAACCGGGACGGGTATTTGATTATCGGGGGTCTCGGTGGGTTCGGGTTGGAGTTAGCGGAGTTTCTGGCGATGAAGGGCGTGAAGCACATCGTTCTCTCGTCCCGCGGCACCATCCGGAACGGGCTGCAGGCGAAGTATTTGACGAAAATCTGCAAGGTGTACGGGTGTCACATTTCCGTCACGAACGTGAATTTCGCAGACAAGGCGAAATGCGAAAAGTTCCTGAACCAGAATAAGCACATCGCGGGGTTTTTCAACCTCGGAATGGTGTTGGCGGACGGGCTGTTTCACAAGATGGAGGGCAACCAGTGGGCGACGCCGATCTTGGCGAAGGGGATCATCACGGAGAATTTTTCCGAAGTCGCACAGAAACTGAATCTCGAGTTCGACCACTTTGTGTGTTTCAGTTCGGTTTCCGCCGGGCTCGGGAACGCGGGGCAGACGAACTACGGGTTTGCGAACGCCGAGCTCGACCATTTGATCCGAATGCGGAACCAAAACGGGTTGTCCGGGTTGTCGTTGCAATGGGGCGCGATCGGGGACGTGGGGGTGTTGTCCCGGGCGAATTCGAAGAAAACCGGGCTGGTAGACGCGGTTCTGCCACAGGAAATCCAATCCTGTCTGCAGGAACTGGAGAAGCTTCTCGCGAGCAACAGTACCGGGGTCCACACGGTCTACTTGACGCCCAAACGGGTGAAGGACGACTCGACTTCGAACGATAGCTCGGTCCCGTTGGAGCAGAAAGTACGGGAGATCGTGGGGGCAAAAGCAACCGTGAAAGACACCGCGACCTTGGAAATGTTGGGTGCGGATTCGCTGCAGTCGATGGAGATCCAGTCTCTGATCAAAATGCGGACCGGAGAGAAAATCGCCATGGACAAACTCAGCAAGATGACGCTGAAGCAAATCCGGGAGTTGGAAGGGTAAATAAATGGGGTTGGCGGAAAAAAAGAATTGCAATTGGTTTAGTAGCTCTTGTACTAGCTGCGGCTACGCAAGAACCTTGCTTCTACCTCTTTTTTTGGACACCGCCGATGCAGAGCAGCAGTCTCTTCTTTGTAGTACCTCCGTGGGTTACTCATTCTTTTTTTGCCTCAGACTCCAGATTCATCTCGAAGCTTCAACTATCCCCGCTGTAAATTGGTGTAGCATAGCGTTTTTGACTGGGGAACGGTTGAAGCTTACTTGGTGCTTGGAGAGCTGAGAAATGGTTGATAAAAAGCTGTTGACACGCAGGCGCTAGACGAAGTAGTCACTGACACGTATTTTTATGAGATAAATATTCGTAGAGAAAAGTCGTGAAAACTCGTGAAATGTGTCGTTTTTCATGTATATTCGTTCATATTCATATCCATTTCCGGCTGGGAAATTTGATTTTCATTTTCTCTGTATGAGATTATGTTTTCTGCTTAGTACTCTCGAGTACCGAGCAGAGCTTACTCTGTACTTTTGTCCGCCTCTCTGTTTCTCTTCTCGAGCGTCAGGCTAGCCTGGCAATCGAGTAGAAAACATTGAGGGTCCTGGAGGGGACACCGGCCTTGTTTTCTTTCCGCATGTCAGAGGACACGCGTGATAGAATCAAGGACAGAGTTAGCGTCATTTATGCCCTGTATAGTAAATCGCTTCGGCGAGCCCCTCGTACTTCTTTTAAGTGCGTTATCATAGGCATCCAGTGGTAGCGAGATTCCTCGTTGTTTCAGACTCTCGCAGACACGTATCACCGTACTCTGTTCAGTGCAAAAGCACTTAAAATGACATGTTCACAGCTGTTTCAGTCTTCGCTTTCAGAGAGCACTTTGCACGCATCGCAATGAATCGAGTCGCTTGCCAGCCTGAGGGAAACTTTTTCTCGTCTTGATTTCAGTTTCACTTCCCTTTCAGTTTTACACCATCCACCGACCATAGACACAGAGAGAGATGGAAGGGTACGAGCCGGGAGCCGACGGCTCCAGGCTGACAAAAAAGGAGGCGCTATTCGCATCGCCCACTGCTCTAGTCAAAAAATATGGGACCGAGCTAGTCCGCACCGGCCCAGTCCACCTGCTCACGCAAGTGCCCAAAATCATCCGCGACGTAAACCCGTTCTTTCGATCCCGGAACGCGGGCAGAGTAGACCTCACTCCGGTGTGGTACATTGATCGTGGCAGGTCGATTTTCCAGCGGCAGCCCGTGTTTGTCAAGCACAGCGCCTACTTTTTACCGTCGCTTTCGAGCTTCGGTTCGTACCGGGCGCAGGTCTTCAAGTGTGAAGCAGAGTGGACCTTGTCCCGACGGTCCAGCCTAGGATTGCAGCCGGGGGACTTCCATCCAGGGGCCGAGGAGTGGTTCACGCAGTTCACTGACCAAAGATCACCGGCATCCACGCTCGCTTCGGAGGACTCACCGCGCGACCCATGCAACAGTACTGCCTATTTTCAGATGTTTTGCACACAGACACTTTCACAGTTTTTCATGTTCACACCAGGCATTGTTTTGCTATTTTACACCCATTCCGCATTTTATCACCAGCCCGACCGGAGCTACTGTTTCGCGTCGAGATGATCTTGCACATCCAGCAGCATACCATGCACCCGGCGAAGTGGCAGAACGACGGACCCCAGATGCAGCCCGAGCAGCTCTGGAAGCTGGCCTTCCCCTTGCACGTGGAGATCAATCATTTACAAAAAGTGCGTTTTGTTTATCGCAGCGACGGAACGCTCCGCGCCAATGAGGTGCAGCGAATTCAGCCTTATTTGAACATCAAGAAAGCCAAAAAGGACATTGAAAACTACTTGTACAACGAGCGTGACATCAGATTAGAAAGATCCATTGCCACAGACCAGATCCGCTTACGCAATGTCCGCTCGTTCGCTCATGGCAATTTCGCAAAGCAGCTCTTCGCTAACAAGTTAGAAGATGAGCACGTCCCTTCAGCAAACAACTTCAGCTTTATCTTGCCCACCGTGATCCACAGATCCCAAGACACCCGCACAGCGGGCATTGCACATGCAACGCATGAATATGATGACATAGCGCGCTCTTCCCCTTTGGAAGCAGCAATCGACCAGTACACTCGTGGTGACGTCTAACATGTTTCGTTTCGATTTACAGTTTCAGGCTCAGTTTTACTTCCACAAATGCACCGTGCTTACAAACATTTTTCAGGGATTCTCACTTGTGGTAACTTTTTTAGCGATTAGGACGTGATGTCGAAGCCAGTAGAAAAGGGCAAATCTCCCAGCGGAGAGACCCAGAACAAAGGGAAAGGAGGAATGGATAATTATAAAAACATGTTGATCAACCAAAAACAGCAACGCATCGACAAGTTATCTCTGCTGATGACGCATGATACTGTTGATCTGCTGGAGAAGGTTAATTGCGAGAAACGCATCGATTTCATCGTGAATGCAATCAAAGAGCACTGCGCCCAAGATCAAATCGACAAAATCAATAATTCTTGCCGAAAGTCCAAGCGTGAGTTCCTCAAGGATACTACAATGGCCGAGTACAAAATCAAAGTCCTCAAGGACATCAACACCGCCCGCATGAATTTTTTGGAGAAAAACGAGCGCCAGGGACTCTTCTGGAAGGTGCAGCCCTGGCCTTTCGAGCACAATGAACATGATGTGTACATTTTGTCCGGTGGTGTGTGGCCGGGGACGCCCCTTGGCGAGGATGACTCGTCCGAGGAAGAAGAAGAGGAAGAAGAGGAAGAAGAGTCGTCTTATGACGAGCTGCATGACGTCACCTTTTATGATCGTCATTTCCACCCATCGGATTACGACCAGGACTCCTCGGATTCTGATGCCTCTATCGGAAGCGGCTAATAGCTTACGATTTTATTAGAATACTTTGTATACACTCCTTCGCAGCAACTTCCAACAGTATGGGTACATGCAAATCGAGAAATGAGCCTCCGAGCACCTCCACCGCACCAGAGCAACCAGCCTCTCATGAAAATGATGGTATAGAGTGTATTTGTTTCATCGACTCCGATTTTTCAGTTTGTCTTCTGTCAGCACACGATACGCATGCACAGTTTTCTCCTGGGTCCACCAGGAAACGCTAAGTAATGACAAAAACATCCTATGCCAGGTACTTCAGATGATTTACACGCAGTGGAGCAGCAGACCCTACAGGATCTCGGCTTCGCTTTGTTCGATGACGACACACCGGAGGAGGCCGCGCGTCGCCCTTTTTCGGTGGTGGACGCGACGGGATACAAGCTGAGTGATAAACCATCTTCGTTACAGCGTTTCAACGCTTTGGGGACGCTCACAGCCCACATCATCAGACGAGAATACAGACGGTCCTCCGGTACAGTGGAGCGCGCCGTATTCGCCAAGATCATCGTCCAAAGTATACAAGTATTATTTTTCTCTCTTTTATCACCACGCGCCTTTGTTTCAACGTGACATTCTGATATGACATTTCCCATCATTGCAAACCTTTTCATCTCTCAACATGACAGATCAACACCTTCGCGGACATCCAGAATCTTGACGACATGTTATCGCTTTTCTTCAAAGTCACAAAATCCATTGTGACCAAGCACGAGCTGCCTAGGCCCAGCAGGGATTATGATCAGTTGTGGTTCTCGCAGCTGAGCGCAGAGTTGCAGCAGCACATCGCGAAGTGTGCAGCTGAGCCAGGTTGCAAGTACAAATTACTGAAAACGGTTTACAAAGTGAAAAATGTATACCCGAAATGGAAGTCGGCGAAGAAAGTGTCAGAATGCAAAACCACATCCTAATCGCACCAATTTGGAACCACAATTTCAGCAAAGCCCAACACGGGCACCCCAGCCACGTAGGCTTGACCATCGCTTTCAGGCGAAGATTGGATGATGATTTCTCCTTTATCAGCATGTCGTCTTTTCGGGCACAGTTGAGATCAGTCTTGTCGGTCTTTTCTTCCACGTTGGGCCGTATTCTCGTCGTATAGCACTAGCGTCACCTCAGCTCATCTCCGAGCATAGTCGTGCTATTTTCTTTTTCAATAATCAGAGCACCGACCACGGCTTAGCGCCAGAGAGATTTGAGAGGTTCTTACCTTTTTCACGATGGCAAACGACGAAAACAAAAACAAAATGGCAGAGGGTGAGGAGACACCCGCTTTTTCCATGAGCTTCCAGGTCATGGACCGGATTACCGACCAAGTACCAGTCGAGTTCGAGCTAACCCCCGAAATCGTTTTTAAGAAACGAGTCAAATCAGCCGCAGCTTACGACTATGACGCCAGAACCGAGGTAGCATCTGCAGCATCAATTCAAGCCACGCTAACGGACATCAATGAGGATCTGAATTCAGGAATCGAAGAAGATGGCCGAAAACACGCGTATTTTCTTTTCCACTGCATGACCTTTTTATGCACAGTTAGTCTCGTCTTTCTCTCTGTTTCCCTAGCATACACTATCCATTTCATCCACCACAGGGGCTTCCACGGCATCAAGGAAGGAAAAGCGCCTGCTTTGCGTTTTTTGGAGCTTCTACAGCAAGGCGATGATTTCAACATGGATGACGCCCCGAAGCTAGTCCACCTCGGCGCATCAGCACTCCTACACCTAGGACAGTATGCACATTTTGCAGGACAGAACGCAATCAATGCACAGAGAACCATGAAAGACCTCCACAAGGACAACGCAGATGCAGTCATCTTTTTCATGAAAATGACGGGGCCCAAGGGACAGAAGCTCCTCACCTACCTCCGGACTCTTTTCAGCATCTACTTCAAGTACGTGGCCAAGGAAGATTGCAACAACTACCACGTCGCCATCAAAAAAATGTTGATGGCGCCGAACTGCAGATCCCACGTCGCACTGCTAGCTGCAGTGCTAGGGAAGATGAGAGCAGAGTGCATTCTTTTCGCGACCTGCGAGGATGCGGATTTATGGCAGACGGACTTCTTCCACGAGCTGGCCCCAGCAGCTTTACAGGAAATCATCATAAACGCCTGCAAGGAGAAGGGTCTCCTAACTCTCTCCACCAAGTGGACATGGCCTTTCAGCTGCACCAAAACCGTCGAGCAGATCACAGTCCAGTGGGAGGAACATTTTTGCCAGAGCGGGGCGGTCTTGTACGACGCTCCAAAGAAAAACGAGCCTTTTTTGCTACCGACAAAAACCCCGTCCACATTAGACCAGAAATTAGGACGCGGAGCTTCATCATCTTCATCCACTGTGAACAGCCGAGCACTGGTGAGTCAGCAGATGGGCAGCCGCATTTCCAACAGGAACAAAGCAGCAACGGACAGCAACTTCAACCCCTTCGAAAATTATGAGCGCACCGTTTTCCGGGGTTTCGACACAGTAGAGGGCACTTTTTGTTTTTGCTTTTTCATCTCATTTCACAGTCAAGACAAACTACAGCATGCCACTACGCATTTCACTTCCCAGAAGTTTTTTATTCCTCTCCACACCTTTACTTTCTGAAGGTAATCCGACATCTACATTTCCCGATCTGAATGCCATGTCGTGCACGGGGCCCACAGACACCGAAAACGGCGCCACCACATCATCCCAGCCAATGGACGGAGCATTGATGAACAGAGTAGCGAGACATTTCGCAGGATCGGCAGCAAGCGCAAATCCGCAGGGATACACGCAGGGCGAATTGCAACAACTCCAGCGTTTCCGAGACGAAGCAGACCCGTCGGCATATCTGATGCCTTTCCAGCAACAGAACACCGTGCCGGCAAATCTGAGACGAGTAGCAAAGCTGGATGTCAAAGACAACTTAGCAGCTCCGCTTTTTGTACAAACTTACGACGAAGCCGCAGCCACACTGCACCACAACTACTCGCAATTGACAACCGGGGCTTTCATTCAGGGTAGATCTTTTGTTGGTTTCTTTTCTCATTTCTCAACGATTGGTCATGTCATCTCACCTTTTCCCAACACTTAGTCCTCCCTTCACATCATTCGATCACTACACCCAGGTGAACCAGCTCACGAGAGCGTATGGGCGTGCACCACCAGAATCGTCTTGCTGCAGTACGCCAGTTTCCTGGACCAGGGACAGGAAATCACGGAGGATTTTGTGTTCGATCTCACCACTTTAGCAATGAACGGGAAGCTGTCGCAAGCGGCCTGGGCACGATTAGGCCGCGACCATCCAAACGGAGTAAAACTGGACAAGAAAAACTGCTCCTTGCATTGGCCGAAAGGTTTCATCGACACCGAGCGCACCCTGGAAACCTACTTCCAAATATCCAAAAACAACACCAGCGACAACTCACAGCTCTTCCAGCACCTCGACTTCAAAAATCCGACCGAGCTGACAGTCGCCAAGCAGCTTGTGCTGAAGGCGAAGGAGGATTGCAATTCAGTCCGGTCGGACTGCGGAGGGAACCCGCAGCAGGCAATGATGGACAACGCGAGGAAGTGTATCGAGAAATTACACTTCGCCCAGCTAATCGTCATCATCGCGATGGAGTGCCACAACCCGCCGTTGTGGAAGGCGTCGCCACTGGAGACAATCAACAACTACTCCGCCTTTTTCAGCCAAATAAAATCCAGGAGCATTCACAACAAGTTCTTAGCGAAGAGCCGGACCAAGGCGGTCATGTTTCTCATTGACGCTTTTTGCACCACGGATTTGAGCAGCATCATGCCCAACAAGTTGTGCGACCAGCTGAACGCTTGGGTCTCGCAGATTGACGAAAAATCCAACCAGGAGAAAAGGGACGAAGAGAAAAAGGGAAAGGGAAAAGGAGAAGGAAAGAGTATTGCTTCATTCACATTTTTTGTTTTGCATCTGCTTGTCGTGGCGCGATTATACAGTCTCGCCCACCAGCACCAGATCGCACGCTTTTTGATCTACAAATCATATCATAACAGATAATGGTGGTGGTGGCAAGCACGGCGCCACAACCAAGGGCGAGAGAGACAAAGGCAAGGGCACCGGCAAGGGAAACCAGGGTACTGGCAAGGGAGACAATACTAGCACTCCTTTCGGCACCTTCGTGGGGCACTGCAAGGACACGATCGCTTACTGCTGCGAAGTGTCCGACATTCAGAAAGAGGATTGGAAAAAGTTGTGTGCTCCTTTTATCGCAGGAGAGTGCAAGATGCGAAATGCAAAAAATGAACTTGTGAATTGCAAACATAACAATAGTTGTCGTCACGATCCCAATCATACAGCCAGCAAGCAGTGGTTACAGTCCCACCCGGTTAAGCATGAAGCCAAAAATGCACATGTAAACAAGAAGCGTAGCAACGATGACAACAACGAGAACACCGGCGACAAGAAGCAGAAAGTGGAATAAGTTTTTTTTTTTTTATTTTTGTACGATGAAATTTTTCACACAACTTTTTCCACGTTTCACCCTTTCCCCCACCCACAGTGACATTCAGAGCTCTCATTTTATACCAAATTGCACACATTTCTGGTGCCCTCTGTCCCATGGACAGCATGTATTGACCATCACACAGCACGTGAACCACCTTTCCGAAGCTGCACGCGGGCAGTGCGCGCCGACGCTGTTTTCTTGTGTCTCTTCTGAGGTACAACACGAGATAAAAAGCGCGAGATATGAGTCTTGACCTTGTAACGAGACAGCGAGATGATGAGGTCGAGATGCATGAGCCGGATATGCCTGCTCCAGTACTACAAAACTTATCATCACATTTTAATGATCCTTCGCTTTAGGAGAAAATTGCTGAATGAGAAAATGATTGTCTCCCTGTGGTTGCTGCTCGCCACAGCTGCGAGTGCGATCCGCGCTCCAAAAGAAGAAGCCTACCCACGAACCTTCCAGCCAGACAGCCACCTCATCGACCACTACCTCCACCTCATCACATCGAATTCCACCGTCATGCCAGTGCTGAACAATGACCAAGTGTACTCCATCGAGCACTTGCGTCAGTTGCATAAGTACCCCCCGGAGATCCGGTACCGCATGGAAGAGGAACGACTTGAAAAAATTATCCAAGACATCGAGACGGACCTAGTGATCAACAGCCACAAACTCGAGGAATACGAGGCTAAAAAGCCACAACACATACGCGACATCAACGAGAAATTTATCAATCATGATGCCGAGTACGGCACTCGCAAAATGTCCGCGTACCCGATGTACAAAGCCGCCGTGGCTTGCGGGTATGTCGACGAGCCGACCCGTATGATGCTGTATGGGCCTGACGGTTTTGTGAGCCGGGGTTTCAATACAGAGGGGAAAATCCCCATCTATGGCTGCTGGCCAACAGGAAAGAAATTATCCGACAATGAAACGGAAAAGTTAGTAGATTTTGACATGGACGATGTTGATAGAAGATTAGCGTTAGAATCTTTCTCCAAAATCCGATCAGGGCCGTGGTCTTTTGAGTCCGAGGACATCATGACCCGCAGTTACGATGCTTACCAAAAACTGATCGACAGGGGCTTAGCAACCCAGCTCTGTGACGGCTGCGCAAAATATTTACATGAATCAGGAGAATGGTTTGCAGCGATTTTCGGCATAGGCCAAAAATATAATGATTCTGAAAAGCGCTACGACAAAGTACGCCCGATAAGTAATGAGAAAATGAGGAATAAGCTTTTGAGTCCAATACAAGAACATATGTCACTTTGCTCAATGCCAGAAATTTTACAAGCAATTTGCCTGTGCGCAAACCCCACCTACGAAGACCCTTTTTTCCAAAATAAGAAGGACACTTTGCAAAGCACACAGGCTGCGCAACAAAAAGCAAAACAGTTCGCCCAAGTTTACAAAAAGCGCTCCTGGCGCGATGTGCGATCGCTGCCAAGACGGAAAAAGGCTTACACCGGAATTTCTTTTTTGCCCTCTATTTCAAAAGATGACGAAGCGCAAGCTTACAATCAAATGGGAGCTCAAGACCCCTTTAAAAATTTATTTCAAATTTTTAACCCTTATAAAGGATGCCAAGAATTTGGATTTTTAAAGTGTTTGAATTTCGGCAACACGCATAGCATATACGGCTTCGTAGCCTCACACAGCCAATTATTCCAAAAATACGCAAGCTTGATTTTAAAAATACCCACTTTTCAGTATGTGGATGATATAATGTATTTTAGTGATGAAGACGCCGTACTGGCGCCGTTATATCAGCGAACAATTAGACGAATACTAGCAATATGGGGCATTGCTGTGGCGCCAGAAAAACATGAGGATATGCTACCGCATTCCTCACCAGCAGAACTGTTAGGAATAGCCTGCAGACACCTAGGGAAAGCAATTGAATTTTACCTCCCTGAGAAAAAAGTCAAACGATTCAACGAGGAGGTCGATAAGTTATTTAGTTTGCTGCAGGATCCAGCCAAGCGGGACGAGCCCAGCACCTTCAAAGCTTTAGAGCGCTTACAGGGCCTTCTAATACATGTGCTTTTCAATCGAAAATTTCGTCGAAATTTGCCAATTTTAAAACATATTTTCGAAATAGCCTCGAAGTCAGGCCATTTCTCGGAGGTCGTAAATTCGGACAGCAGACGAGAGCAACTTTTGATTATTCTCGAAAGAGTGCGAGACATCATAAATCGCCGCGATGTCACTCGAATCGAAAAAGACCAACTCATCAAAGCCCGCACCCACATTATGTCTGATGCGTCAGCAACACAAAAGGAAGGAAAGGTAGCGATAGGCGCCATCGCGTTTTTAGCAGACGAAAAATCTAGTGTAGGATACAGCTTGCATTGTACCCAAAAGGACTTGCCGTCCTTTTTCAAAAACAGCTCAATATTGTCTCTGGAGACGATAGCAGCAGGACTCGCGCAAAGACTGCTGTACCCCTACTACGAAAACGACAACGCGATATTGCACCTGGACAATGTCGGCGCCCTTAGCGGTATTGTTAAGGGGTATATTAACAGCCCTAAAACTGCATCAATTGTGTCTGTTTTGTGTGACAGAGCCTATCATCAAAAATGCGAATATACGTATGCATATGTCAACACGAATATGAATAGTGCCGACGCCACAACCCGTCTAGAACAACTAAGCGAATTGCAACGGGCTTATGGCACAAAGTTTGTAGTAAGTGAAGAGAAAATCAAAGAAGAGCTCCAGCTCTTCGCTGACGAGTGCGAAGCAGCCTCGAAATGCATGATGCTAAACACTACGAAAGCCTCTTCCTCAAAGGAAGCATAACATGAATCATTTTTCTCTTTATCACACATGGAAAACACACTGCATCACACACACACGAAGCATAACGCATTCATTTTGTTGTTGTTCACTTCTGAGTTTTTGTCATCACAGGACCTGCAGAGAAAGCAAGCGAAGCTTCCAGCGAAGGAGCACAAGTGCCATTTCGCAAAAGACGCTGGCAAGAAGAATAATAGGTATAACGGTATGAGGTCGCAGATCGAGTACTGGGATACCCAAGCGAGGCGAAAGAAGTGTCAGAACTTAGTACCCTACCATGAATCGCACAAGTGGAAACTCCTCCCGCAAACAACTCTATTGTTTTGGCCACAAGAAAAACGGGATTTTCGAGTAAACAACGAAATAGCCACAAAAAACTCGTACTGGCGCACATGGATGAGGTGGACGCAGATCCACAGGCCGCACTTCCACTGGAATCCGGACTTGTATCACACCGAAGCTGATGTCCAGCTTTTGCGAGCAGCACATGGCAGCGTGTCTTGGGCCAGAGACGTTGTCCCGTACGCAGAATGGCTACTAGAACATGACATCGGAAACTGCAAGCCGTATTTTACTTGCTTGCGAGCATGTGCTTGTCTTCTTATGCAATGGTCGGCACTGCATACCAGGCTCTCTTTGTAGCATTTTATCTACAGATACATTCTCTCTCCACTGGTGACACACAGGTACGTATCCCAGGTGACGACTCGCCTTAGGGCTCTGCAGTTACTGGAAACAGGGAACACATACGCAGGGAGCGAGCAGGAAGCAGCGTATTCCAGAATTGACTCCATGCTCTCAGACAAGTCCACACAAAGAGCCGCCCCACCGATGATAGACAGACTAGGCCTGTTATCACCACGCGAAAAGCAGATCTACGCCTGCTGGGCACCCACAGGACTACGACCATCCGCTTTTGTCAGCATTGACCAGTACCAAGTCCAGCCATGCAAACACCGGCCCGACCTCTTTGTCGGCGCTTTGGTCACCAGCGAGAAGGTTTTTGCAAACCCAGGCGAAAAATTCTTCGCACGTATCCCCAAGGACGCCTTTGATCCGAGCATCTTCCCAGTCTTTGAACACGAGATCGACATTCTCGCGAGGAAGTTGGGAACAGTTCCCTACGGAATCCGTAGAGGTTTAGCTATATGGCTTCGCCTACGCACACTGGAGCTAGGCATCACGCCAGGATCGACAAAAGCTGTCGCGAAGTTACGGTTTGAAAAATTCAAAAGAAAAGTAACGGACCACTTTGGATGGTCCCAGGGTTCCATGCAATGGGAGCAGACCTATTCGGTTGATACTTTGAATTATGTACAACGACCGTTCTTGGTACACCCTGCACTCAAGGAGTGGTTTGTCGAATAAAACAGACTGTATGATACTTCCTTATCATGTACTTTTGTTTTTTGTCAAATTGGAAAAACGAACTGCCAGCTATTCACCAGACCTGGAGCGTACCAGGAAGTCCTTTTTTTACGCAAGATTGACAGGTGCTTCGTTTCTCGCACCGTTCGCGTTCAGCTCTACAAGCCTCTCTGCTTCAGGGAGCTCCCAGTACACAGATCACGGCCATGATCCTAGCGATCCGATGAGATCATTTGTGTTGCCGCAGCGACTTTCCTCGGTGTCCCCTCCACACTTGGACCTGTGGCATGCTCAGATGATCCACCATCGAGTCTCTTTTGGCCTCACACACTCACAGATCGCAGTACTGCTTCGCTCGACACGATTGGGCGAGCCGCGTGTTACGCAGTTGGTGATATCGGGAACGCGATTCCCCCGTGTCGTAGCCGCGTTTCGGCTCTCGCAGAGATCCGCTACTCGGCTTCTGTCGCTCCAGTTATGATTTGATGCAAAGTCTCATAGTTCAAATACTGAGTTTCACGACAGTTTTCGCATCTAATATTTTTATGAGATAAATATTCGTAGAGAAAAGTCGTGAAAACTCGTGAAATGTGTCGTTTTTCATGTATATTCGTTCATATTCATATCCATTTCCGGCTGGGAAATTTGATTTTCATTTTCTCCCCGCCCGCCACACCCTTTGTTCTTTACCTGGTGACCTATCTTTTCATTTCATTCATCACTATGTCACTTTGCTTTGTGCTCCGTCATTCATCAGCCCGCTGGTGAATGGTGTCGCACTCTTCGGACTCGCGTCCTCCTTCGGGAACGCGATTCCCCCGTGTCGTAGCCGCGTTTCGGCTCTCGCAGAGATCCGCTACTCGGCTTCTGTCGCTCCAGTTATGATTTGATGCAAAGTCTCATAGTTCAAATACTGAGTTTCACGACAGTTTTCGCATCTAATATTTATTCAAGGTATGTAGTTGTTGATTGTTACACTTTCATTTTTTTCTTTTTTCAACGTTTCGAAGAAGTCAAAGCAGTGAACTCTTTTTTTTTGTGTGAAGAAAAGTGTTAGTAGGTTTACGACCGGAAGCCCTGCGCTGTTGCTCAACCACAGTTAAGCTCATCGCAATGAACTCATTCGATTTGAAGTTTTCAGTATCTTGTCCGTTTCGCTGTATTATCTTTTTTGTCGTAAGTACCCCGACTCGTAGTACCCTGTTATGTCTTTCACGACAGTTTTTTTTTTGCCTCGAACAAGTACAGCGACATTGGTCCTGCTGTTCTTCCTTTTACTTTTGTCCCGTCCCTACTCCCTACCTCCCCGCTTAAAGCTCTACCCTACTTCAAAAGACCAAAACTCCGAGAAAATGCACTCCATTTAGGCTGAACGGATTTGGTTATCACATCTTCGAGCATGAGGCTATGAAGCCAGTTTCCAACCTCTATGCACTCTATATACGTTTCTCTGTGTAACAAAAAGATTTTTAAGTAGTATATGTGAGTATTCGAGTGATTATAGTTTCCGCTGTAAATAGAGTTTGACCACTTTCGCTTTCTGAGTTCTCTCTGCTCGTAGTTTTTTTCTTGCGGAATTACCTTCAACCCCCTTTAGCCTGATTGTCATCCCAGAGACCTTTGTTTTCCACACAACTTCCGATAAACCATTGAGGATCAAGCACGTTTAGAAGAAGTTTTGTTTTACCATGATGAAGAAGAAGTAGAAGAAGAGGAAAGCGCAGAAAAAGATGCGCACTTCGTAGTTTAGTGTGGATTTGTGTTCTGTAGAAGTAGCTGAGGGACTGAGAACTTAGACGGTTGCCTCAACGCATTTTTTCCCTCCGCCGCCGTTGTTTTCAGCACTGCCGGCCCCGTGCCACGTTGTAACTGTGCAGTATGTACTTGTAGCAAGGAAGTATTGATTTTTGCGAGAAGTATTAAATCCGATCCGCCGCCGACGTCAGTTCATACTAGCTTGAATTCAGACCACGACTGCTGCTTTCTGTGGTTCCACTTCCGCAGCAAGTTTCTCTTTCACATGCAAAGAGAAAGATGGTCGAAACCAATCCCGGCACGCCATCGTCTGCAGCGAAATCTATGAAGCTTTTCCGTGGTCTTTTTCGAGGTCAGCTGACAGTTCCACGCCCGACTCGAGCGCAGCTCGCTGCGAAAGAAACCGCAGTAGGGCCAGTTTTTCCGACTCCGGCGACAAAATCCTTTCCCTCCTCCCCGCGAACGGGCAACAGTAACACTCTTCATTTCACCCTTCAAGGCGGCCCATACGACAGTGTGTGGCTGCGAATATGGAACATCAAAAACGCAGACGCGCGGGAAGGAGCCTGGCCGGCACTGTGGCAGCTCTTGCAGGAGATAGTAAAGAACGGTGGCGCGATTCCAAAAATCGTTGATCCGGCGAACAACATCGACCCCGGCGACGCGAAGTCTTTCGCAGGTGCCGCAGAAGTGCCCAGAATAGAGGCGCCCAAGGCGCTTGCGAGCAAGTGCTATCCGCTGTACGTTTGTCTCCAGGAGGATAGTTTGGAGGAGCTGGCGTTGCTGCACCCGTTGAAGAAGCATGGCTTTCGCTACCACCACGTGTGGCACAACCAAATGGATAGACCTGGTATAGGGCTTTGGCAATTTGGCATTCATTTTCTAGAGAATGAGGTGCTCGGATCATGAGCACTGCCTGGCAGTTCTAATTTTTCTGTTTTAGTATCTGTTCGCGACCAACATGATTGAAGCCGAATAAAATCTTCGACCAGATACTCCTCCTGATACCACCACCCCAAATTCCGGCCCACCGGAAGACAAAACCGCCACGGAGTTCATATACTACAAGTGGATTGGCCGTGAGAAGGACCGGGTCCCGCCCTATAGCACGACACAGGGCGGGGTTGGCGTTCTGATTTTTAGCCCGGATTTGAGCAAGCTGCTGCTCGTGCACGAGTACGGCTGGTGGAAGCCCGTGACGGGGATGGTCGGCTATAACGAGACAAAACTGGAGGCGGTGACCCGAGAGTGCTTCGAGGAGGTCGGTGTCCCGATCGACTTAGAAAAGGGAATGTATTTTCTCGGCGGCTGGCACTCCGGAGGCCAGTGGGACAGGGTGATCAATGATGAGTTTTCCACGTTTGCGGTCATTGCGAAAGCGGAGGAGATAAAGGTGGACGGGGAGGAGATCAAGGACGCGCGGTGGGTGGAGGTGGCAAAGATTCCGACGTCGGTTCCCGAGGCAGGAACAACCGAAGTCGGGTTTCGAAATTCGCAACCAGAAATCCAGGTGGAGGGCTTGGGCAGGATAAACCCGATGCTGTGTCGCTGGTTGTGGAATTACAACAACAACAAGGGATTCCGTTGTCAATTGCAGGATGGTGCAGTCGGAGCCACGGACGGGCCGCCGGCGGCACCGAGATTGTATATGGGGTTATAGGCTTCCTGCGTGCTTGTCTGTGGTATCGAGATGAATTTTCGCTACTGCCGATAATTTGAGAATACAAGAAAAAGAAGACTCGCGCGCAGTAAAAGATGTTGAAGAGCTTGCGAATTGGCACCCTCTACCGACAGCGAAGCCGCCTAATGGTTCGCTTCAAGTACTGGGCGTCGCAACTCCACCACGTGCGTTGTTCTGTGATGTAAATAGTTTCATTTGCACAAGTAGGGAGACGTTCTGCTCTTCGCGCGTTCAGGGTGTTGCGGTTTTTTCTCTAGCCGCCCACTGATCTTGTGGGCGTCCGTCACTGCCGAGGTCCGTGCGCTTGGTCGCCGTTGCGCCCCGTTGCCGCAGTTGTGGCGGCCCCCGCCGGCACTGCGCGCCCCGAAGCCCCGCGCAGCCTTTAGATCCATCGCAGCGCTTTCGTCATGGCTTTCGTTCCGGGCGATTCCTGTATGAGCTCCGCCCCTGCGGCGGCTATCATGCTGAGCGAAAATCTGAAGAAAGGGCGTGGTGCCGTCGCCCGTGGTGGCATCAGCATGCAGGCCGGCGCGGGCGATGGTTCAAAGGCGCGGCCCCTAGTTTTAAACTGGCTGGCGGACGGGGCGCGGGGGGCACGCAGGGGCCCGGCGCCCGCTTGGCGCATTTCGCGGCCGCCGGCGCCGGTCGCACGCGACGCGTGCGAGGGAGCGCGCGCGCCCGCGGGCTTCGGCGCGCTGGCCCTTCTAGTTCTATCCTGTTTACTTGAAGCGCCCGCGCCCCCTGTTAGCCCCGCAAGCGCAAGCACCGGGGCCCGCCGCGCCACGCCTCGGAGGGGAGCCGCGGCGCTTCGACAGTAATATTCTGCCACTTCGCGGATGACGGCAACGCCTGGGGCTTCAACTACGACCCGTCCTGTGAAGCCGTGTATCAGCTGACGCGCGGCGACATCACTCCCCCCCCCTTGCTGGGCGCCTTCCGAAGCCGGCCCGGGCGGGCGCCGGGGCGGCCAGTTCCTGCGGGAACGGCCGGGCCGGCGCCGGCCGGCGGACGGACCCAGGGGGGGCCGGCCGCTTTTTGTATCGGCGATAATCGCCGGCCCGCCCGCCCCCGCCCCCGCAGCGCGGCCGCCCGCCGCTTCGGTGGAAACATTCCGGTGGGCCGGCAGGCGGACGTGGCGGCCCTTCTTTGCGCGGCTTACCTATGGCCTTCGGCCCGGTCCTGAAGCACGGACGCGGCCGGGCGGGCCCGTTTCGTGCCTCGGGGTGGCGCGGCGCCACTCATTCTTCGTAAGGCGCCCACGCCAAATCCGTCGCCGCGGCCGGCGCCACGGAAGCCAGCGACGAGGGCGCCCGCGCGGGCCCAGTGATTTCAGCATTGTTGGCCTGCCGCCAGATGGCTCTTAGTCCCCCCTGCTCGGGGGGCAGTCTGACTTGGCGCGCCGCTGCGACACATACCGCTACCTGAGATCGGTGCGCCCTGCCCGATTGAATGTTTTCTGGGAGCCGTGCCTGATGCGTAAGAACTCGCTCTGCTTTTCAGTTGTTCTGTGGCGGGCACAAAAAAGTGCGCTGAGTTCTTTTCTTGTGTTTTGTCAGTCTAGATTCCTACCGCGCTTTGTCGGTAATTTGCGATCACATTTAATATTTGAGCATTGACCACATCCACATCGCCGTGTATTTTACAGTTACCCTCTGCCTCTTGGTCAGCGGATGCGTCGTGTGGTGTTTCAAGCGTCACGCCTCTGATCTTTCTGCAAGCTTAGCCACCGGCCCATGGAGGCGAAATAGATCCAGCGATCCCTCGTGCTACGGCCATCAAACACATTGCGCTGCAATGCCACTGACGGGTCGAGCTGTCGCAGCCGCCGTGAACAAAATCCAAGATGCGGGTCGTCCTGGATAGGCGGGCCAATCCGTGCGCGAAAGCGATGCTGTGGCGTTGCGACAAGAGCCGGCCGCTTCGTGTAGCTTTGCTCGCCACCGCAGCTGGGACGCAACTCGCATTCCTCTTTCCGAGGCTAGCCAATGCTCAGGATCATGTCGGCGGCGCGCCACTCCCATCATCTGCAACGCTACCCGTCTCCGAGAATGGCGCCGTCGACGAGCCACTTGTTCCCTCAGACGACCCCGACCGCCTCCCGCCCGCGTCGAACAAGCTGCTGCAATCCTACTACACCTTTGGCGCCGACCGCTTCGCCTGCGACGGCCAGTGCATGTACTGCTCCAGCTCCCACGCGCACGCCCGGTGGTCCCGCATTCGGGAGGTTTTAACCACGTACAAGGAACGGCACGACCGCGCCGTCGCAACCCACGACTACAGCTTCGCCCAAGCCTGGCACTTTGAGTTGCAGGAGCTACTCGACTGGTCGTGGGACCGACACAAGTTCGAGTGCATCCCGGGGATCATCAACTTGCGGCTCGCTTCCTACGGCTACACATCTCTGCAGCAGTTTACCGAGCCGACCGACGACGTGATGGACTGGCTGATTCAGTTCAACGCCCACACAGGCGCGTTGGATTTGCTGCAGTCCGCGTGGCCCCAACTGCTGCAAGGCGGGTGGCCGATCTTCATGCTGTTGGACGAGGTGAGCCGGAAAATCCGCGGGTTTTTGAATCCCAAGGACGAACAGGAGAAGGAAAAAGCGGCGGAAAGTTACCCCAAATTGTGGCGGAAGTCGTTCTGCGACGCCGAGGACGCGGGGACGCCCTTTGTCGAGGAGTACTGGTCTCTGCTGAGAAACCTGCTCGACCGGGGCACGAACTTAGAATTAGGGCACCACATGGGGTTGGTCCTGAAAAGACCCAAGTGCGACGTTGGGTTGGCCACGGCCCTGCTCGGGGTGGCGTCGGAGTTGATCAACCAGCACGAGATCTACATGAGCAGCATGGAGGAACTGCACAACGTAATTTTTGTCCTCGTCACCGCGGCGCAAGACTCCGTGATCTCCTACACGAAGAAGGATAGGTCGGACATCTCGCTGTGGTTCGACCTGCTCTTGACCAAATGGCCGATCTGGAAGATGCTGGACCGGCTGAGCTGCAAGTCCAGCAGCCAGACCTGCGTGGTGAGGTCGGAAGTCAGGTGCTACAGCCCGAAAACGAGGAGCTATCTGGATTGTCACAGCGTGTACGACAGACCGTCGTGGAAGCCGAACTACGCTTTGTGTGGGGAGCATGACGTACTACCGTGATTGATGTTCTTCATCTCGTCGTGAGTTCTGATGTAGTTGAAAGAACGTTTCGTTCTTTTATGCCAGTAGTTCGTGTACTGGTAGGAGCAAGTGCAATCCTGATCCTGTATGAGAAAGTACTGCGAAAGAAAAATCAAGCGACTTCTTTATGTCTTCAAATTTCTCAGACGTGCACCCTTCTGAACGGAACCAACAACCTGAATTTCTCCTACTACGACACGGTGTCCTGCGTCGACTGGCGGCAACCGCGCGTCGGACACGAGTTCAAGCCGTTTCTGAGAAAACTCACGCACGACGACGAGCTGAGGGTATGTTCCCAGTGCGGCCAGGACGGGGTCCTCCGGACGATTTTCAAGAACATCCGGTTTACGAAAACCCCGGTGGTAGAGAGGGACTTGCTCTTCGAATTGCTGAAGAACGTGACAGTTTCCTTGAACGAGTCTGCGGCCGCGGAGGTGTTATCAACAGGTGTGAACTACAATCCGTATCCGACCCAAGGGTTGCAAATCAGCGGGTTGAACGGCACGACATCGCCAACACCCGCCAAGGGCCGCGCGGCCGTCCAGAACGGAGAGCAGCAGGACACACGACTCTCCTCCACCTCCAAAACAGACGACACCACCCCGAAAATGCTGTCTTCCCTGGAAGCCCCGCAAACTTCGATTTTTGGCGAGGAGGAAGACCAGCTCCAGTCCGTCGCGACGGAGCTGCTCACCGCGGAAAACCACATTTACGAGCAGCCCTTCTTCATCGAATTCGGCGCCCGGAAACCGCACATGCTCAATTCCGCTTGGCTGCGGGAGCACTGCGGGTGGAAAGGACTGCTGATGGATTTCCAGCCTGGGGGCACAAAACACGGAGGGTGCGGGGAGGGCTGTGTCGGCAAGGACTTAGTGGAAAACGAGTTTATCACGGCGGAAAACGTAAATGACGTGTTTCGGAAGTATAGGGTTCCGCGGGAACCAGACCTGCTCACGATCGGTATTGACAAAGTCACATGCTCGTCGTATTTTAGTTTTGCCCTAGGTGATGATGAATCCGTTTTGGAATTCAATCCTTGTTGCGTTTAGGTGATGATGAATCCGTTTTGTCTGGTGAAGTTCAATTTTGTGACCGCATAAAAAAACTAGAACTTCTTCACATGTTACATCCAAAACCAATAGACATCGACTTCAACGATTATTGGGTCTGGAAAGCGATTCTGGAGAAGAAAGAATTCTTCCCGCGCGTCGTGGCCGTGGACTACAACGCAGATTTAGATTTGGAGGACACCAAAGCCGTGTACTACGACGCCAAGGGTGAGTGGGACGGAACCAGGTACACCACCGCGAGTCTGCACGCCTACTATTTGCTCGCGCAAAAGCACGGCTACGAGTACGCGTACAATTTGGAAATGGGGAGTCACGCCTTTTTCATCCGAAGGGACCTGTTACACGAAAGTGACCACAACCTCCCCATCCGTGCAGTGCGGAAACTCAGTCACAAGGCCGACTACTCGAAGAGGCCGTTTCTAGATACGCTGTTTTCCAGTATCGGAAATGGGCGGCTGAACAAGTAAAGAATGAACGTCGGTCGCCTTGCTAGAGAAGAGCTGCACGACCACGAGTTTTCCAGTTTACGGGATTTTTTACCTAGCGAAGAGTCATCGTTTTTTTACGCAGAATTTGTCTAGTACTAGAGCTGCATCTATTGATTTGCAGTGCCGCGGCCGCCGATATTTTTGAGAATAAAGATTCAGCTCAGGAAATAGAAAAGATTCAAAGCAGATCGCAGTTTGTTTGTGTGAGTTTGTCCATCGAAGATGCACGAGAACGCGTTGGACCAAAGTTAGTATGTTTCTGATTTTCGTTCAATGATGGATTTAGATGATGTGGCCAGCAAATGTGCTTCCCTGTTCTCTCGTGGCGCTACTCCGACGCCTTTTATGGTATTCAGTTCTTGTTCTCTGTGTTTGTCCTAAACCCGAGCGGCGGCATGTTCTTCTCTGCGATCATCCGGCGTGCGCCGTGTTTTCGCAAATCCAAGATTTTCAAAACGGTATTTTTGGTTTCTTCTTCATCTTGTCGTTCGTGTGTATAAGTAGCGACAACAGATGATGCGCCGTGGTCAAAAGTAGGTGTAAACTTCTGAAAGATAGATGTTTCCAAGCGACTCTACTCTCTCTACGCTGCACTCTGCCAGCCTGTTTTGAAGTGTAAAAAAATACCGCTGAGCTACTTTCAAGGATCAAGTTGACTTACTTACTTCTTGCCGTGGTCCTAAAACGCAACAGAAAACAAGATGTCTTCGTCCTCCTCCTGGAATCCGCCTACGCGGCTGCGTAGCACCCAGAAGATGTACAGTCTGGGCGTGCCAAGAACTACCTGCGAGAATACTGTGGCTGGGTCGCGAACGATCATCCTCGACAATAAGGGGAAGCCCGTGAATAAAATTCTCGACACTTCTTCTTCTTCTCCTGCTGGTCCACCTTTTCCGAATGGTGCAGGAGGTTCGTCAAGTACCACCAGACTGCAAGTGCCATCGCCTGGGAAACAAGCTGGAGGGTCGTCCTCGACGGCGCGTGGGTCGTCGTCCCCGAACGGAAATTACCCAGGAAAAACAGTGTCACAGTTTTTTTTACTATGTTGTTCGTTCGTTCCACCAGCACGGCGACAAGCTACTTTCTCTGCCAGAAGTGAGGGGAGAACGTGCAATGCAGAGATCATAAGGTTGAAAAACGCGGACAAAAAGAAAAAACCTGCTACAGAGCTTGTCTGTTTTGCTTGTGCGACACAGTGTGTAAAGAACTGTGACACAACTGTCTTACTTTCCATAGCAAGGTAGCATCTTCCGGTACTCGCACATCCGCATCGCCGAATAGTACAAGAGGACCACTAGCACAACAACGGAGCAGCTTCAGATCACCCAATGGCAAGACAAGTTCTTCATCATCATCTTCGTCTTTCCTGGGAAACAGTCGAAACTCGCCGAACCGGAACCTATCGAACCCGCCGCGCTCACCCGGAGAAGGCTCGGTCAGGGAGGGGAAGATAAAGGGCAGCACGGCGAGAGTAGCAGACCGGATACAGGCCTTTGAGAAAACGAGGTGGAACAGCAGCACGAGGGTCGGGGTTGGAGGTACTAGAACGTTGCGTACGATAAAATTCTTGCGATTGTTCATTTATTGCTCGCGTTCTTTGCGTTTCTTGCAACCTTCGTATACTAGGGAATAGAATTTCGTTTGTACACTAGTACGGAGTCATACATGCACTTCCCGGGCTGCCCTCGTCGAATCCGAAATTCGGGGAGAATCGTCGTGTTTAATCTCTCTAACCAACTACAGGAGCCCGCGGCGCCACGCCCGGCGCGAGCGCGTCCTCGTCTTCCACTGCATCGCCTAAACCAGCAGCGGCGGTAGAGCAGAGTAAAGACCAACATCGGAGCGTCTCCAGGTCGCTTCGCAGCTGTAAACAGGAGGCGTCGATGACGGTTTCTTCCTTTCTCCAGCCGCCGAAATCCCCCGCCTTGTTGCAAAAGCCGAATGCGACGTCGAGGAATGCGAGTATGTCCAGCTCTTCGAGGCAACCGCTGAAGGAAAGATGGCCGCCGTCGGCCACAACGTCGCAGCACAGTGGAATGAAACTGAGGTCGCCAACGCCGTCTGCAGCGTCTGCGAATAAAGCACAGCAGCTCACAGCCAGTCGCTTGTCTCCGCAGCCCTCGCACAGAACCGTCTCGCCCACCCCAGCGTCCTCGTCGTCCAGGTTGCATCAGACCACGGCCGCAGCCGCAAACAAGGTGTCGCCGAGAGGAGGTGCAGCAGCAGGAGGAGTTTATTCAGTAACTTCTACAGGTCCCCGTGCGCCCCCGGGGGCTTCCTCGAGAAGCACGTTGAGCGCAAGTTCGTTGTCGTCCACCACAGCAAAAAATAACGTGACAACTCCCCGACTCGTCGCAACTGGTGCGTCGACGGCGAGCGCAAAGCGCATGAATCTGGGCGACCACCGGGTTTTCGAGCCGCCAGCGAGACCGGTGTTGGCATCGTCGTCGTCCACCTCGCGGATGTTGAGCACGTCGAGGACATCAGACCTGCTGCAAACAAGCAAATCCCCTGGTCTCACTGCCTCTCCGGCCTCCTCCACGACAACGAGTAGAGACAAGTGGGTTTCTCCGCGGCTGAAGAAACAGCAGCACGAGCCAGGCCTCGTGAAAAGGTGCATTGAGAAACTCACGCAGCGGCAAACGCCGAGTCCCACGGGGAGGGCTCCTTTACTGACGCCGAGGCAGGAAGATCCGTTGACAACTTCCACAGCGAGCTCCAGACTTGTTGTGTCTCCCACCGCGGCACCAGCGCGGGGGAGTCAAGAGAAGAGCAAAAATACTCTCACTCTTCCCTCACCGCCGAACAGGGCACCCTCTGCACGGAATATTGACAGTTCCGCAGAAGTTCTGATTTCGGCACGATCTTCTTCTGGAAGTACTACTGCAGGAGCCGCGGCCCACATTTTCGGCAACGCGAAGCAGAGCCCGCGGGAGAGCACGGCGAGCCGCGGGAGCGTGAAAATCAGCTGTGGAGCTGCGAGTCGATCAAGCAGTAAGAACTCTGTTGCTAGTCACGCGAGCAGTTCGCGTACCTCTTCGTCTCGAGTAGTAAGGGAAAACAAAACGCCAGGCGCTTCTGCTCCCTCCGCTGATTCTGTCGAGATGACCACGACAACTCCGACCTCCGAGAAGAAGGACAGCGCCATTCTGGCCGCGTTGCGGAATCTCCGCCCGATTTCCCAAGCCTCCACATCCGTGTCCACTGCAGGGTCGAATTCCGTCAGTGCAGGTAGCTGCAGTACCACCTCCCGGGGAGGATCATCTAGTAGCGCTGGACGACGAGGGCCGGAGTTTCATACTTCCTCTACTAGTTGTAATTCGACGGTAGAACTACAGGATCAGGAGCAACTTCTGCACAGCCGCGACCAACATGATCCCAGGACCACGGAGCAGCATTCCATGGTCCTAGTGCCCGCAAACAACCTGTCCTCACCGTTGATCGGAAAAAACCTGCTGCGAGGAAGCGACTTCTCCGTTTCCTCAGTCACATCCAACGACCCTTGCTCATCAAATAGCGCGGCCGTCGTGAGCTTCGGCTTTGACCACAGCAGGACAAAGATTGACACCCACCACTTGAGGAGCTCTAATAATGGTTCATCACTCTTGTCCCCGCCGCCGGCCGCGGCCGCGGACCGGAAGAGCCGGAGCAGCGGAAAGTCGGGCCGCAGTAGTCGGAACTCTTCGTCGCTCTTGACTTCGAGGAGCTCTGGGACCTCGAGGTCCAGCAGGACCAGCAGCTACTCCAGCAGTTGTTCCGGCTCGTCGTCTCGGGGCAGCACGCCCTCGAGAAGAAGGAGCGCCAGTGTGAGAGAGAGGTATATTATAGGATCCAGATTGAGACTCGTCGTCACGGCCTGTCGTTTGGAGGATCCTACTACTTTTTGGCAAAAAGTTAATAGATATCCAAAAGAATTATGCTCACCAAAAATCAAATCTGCAGCCCGTCCTCTTCCTCCAAAGTGGCGCATTCCCCGCACCGTGAACGCGACGCCCAGCAGCAAATTGTAACTTCCAGCAGCAAGAAAGACCATCGTCGCCGTTCCTCCACCGCATCGTCCTCCATGTCCTTTGACCCCTGGGACGGGTTTCCGCTGTACGAAGATATGATCCGCCGCTCCGTTTACGATCTCGGGTTCGATCCGGCACTGTCCAACGTGGAAACCCGCCCGACCGAACAGGTGCGGTCGAAAGAAGGGGCGAAGGCGGACGCGCAGCTGGAGGACGTGCGGAAAATGCTGTCTGGTGGCTCGTCCGCGGGTGGGCAGATAGGGAACAACAGTGGGAACGGTGGAGGCGGGGGTCGGGCGAGTAAAGGGTCGTGCAAGAATTATAAAGATGGCACCAACAGTACGCAAATCATGGACAGCTTCTGGGCGGACGGGTTTGGGGACGGGATAGGAAATGCGACCGCGGTGTCCTTCGGGTTTTAGGGTGGAATTACGGTAGTGGAGACTGTCAGGGAGATACTGCTCTGTTGAGGACTTCAGATACTTAGCTTCACAATTTTCACATTTATTGCAACTTGACTAACACAGCCCGATTCTGCCGCATTTGAAAAGAGACTTTTTTCCGCATGGTTCATCTACTTTCTGAACCAAAGACAACCTGTTCTAGCCGCAACGATAGAAATAGCAAGTCTTGAGCTTTAAGACCAGCCGCACACTACTGATTTGAAGACTTTTTGTAGGAAGAACTGGCGAAGAAGAAGGTGTTGAAGTAGACTTCAAGCTTTCGCTTGCTATCAGAAATGAACATTGCGTGTGGAGCAGCTGGCAGCTGAAGTTTGTTGCAGCCACAAATGTACACAAAAAAGGATTTGAGATGGGGCAAGTCTGCCTATGCTGGTTTCCGTTGAGGGCAAAACTGCTGCGCACTGTTTTGGTGATGAAGCTGCTAAACCTGTGGCAAGAAGAACAGCCGACGCCACAGATGGCTGTTGTGTTTGACAAAGCCTACGGCTAAAAAGTTTTGTGTTCGTCGAAATATGCGTGTCGGGTGATTTTGCGGGCGCACTTCTTGGTCGAAGCGCAAGAGGAGAGCAGCGACAATTTTGGCTCTGTTTATCACTTTATGGCGCGACTCAGTGTAGAGCGCTCGTCGCCACGTTGTTCGGCACGATTCCGCTGGGGGCGGCGCGGCTTTCGTGGCTGGGGGCCATGATCGGCGTCGCGAACTACGCGACGTGGCAACTGGCGGAATTAGCGAGATGCGCGAGAGGGGCCATGACTAATCTCCGGCGCGCGCGGGCTCCCAGTCAGCGCGCTGCTAGCGGGGAACCTGAGGCAGTAGCCCTGCAAGGGCCAGCAGAGGGCGGGCGCGCGCGCCAATTTGGAGGGCCCCCCTTGGCCACCCGCTACCGGCCAGCCAACGGCAGGGCGCGAAAGCAATTCGGGGGCGGGGGCCCTGGCAGTCAGTGGGCAACCGGAAAAAGCGGCGTGGCGATGCGCCGCAGGGTCCCGGGACATGTCTGCAGCGCGGTGGGGCTGGCTCGTCTAGCGGTCTGCCCGACGGCAGCCAGGTCGGTCCCTGCCGAAGCGCCTTCAGAATGTTCAGGGGGGTGGGCCCCAGCAGGGAGGGGGCGGGGCCGCGCGCCTGCATGTGTGCCGGCCTTCCCAGACCCTGCCAAGCACCTCCCTCGGCCGGCGAGTAAGTTCTGGCGGTGGCAAGGGGCGTGCTTCGGCCGCGCGGCTTTTCCTGCCGGGGCCGCGTTTTGCGGGACCCCGCGCCCTTGCCTACTGTTGCGACCGCCTTCGGGCGATACCTGCGGCGCCCCGCCCCTTCCGGCGTTGGCCTTTAGCACCAGCCCGGCCGGGCGGTCGGTGGCTCTCATTCATTTAGCGAGCCCCCTGCCCCCCGCGTTGGGCCCGTGCGACCGCCCCCCCCCCGGGCCGGCCCCCGGCTTGTTTCCTTCATTCGGGGACCCCGTGCCCTTCCCATATCATGGCGCATGCTCGGCCTTCCTTGCCACCCCGGACGGTTGTGTGGTTTGTTAGGCAGCCGGGGGCCGCGCCGCGCCGGCCCGCTCTGTTCCTTCTTGCGTAGGGCGGCCGCGGCGGCGCCACCGCCTCCATAGGGCCCGGGATCTCGTGCAATTGGGTTGCGCGTCCGCAGTGTGGCACCTAAATCCAATACACCGGCGCCTCTGGCCTGCTCATCGATCGCATGAAATAAACAGCAAGCCGGCGACTCCCTCCGGGACGAGGAGAGGTGACCCTGCCGGCACGGTAGCGGACAACAGCTAGCCCGGCGAAGAGCTGTGAATTTGATCAATGTGTTCGGCGTATTGATTCATTAGGCCCAAGTCAATGCATGCATATGTGAAGAAGTGCCAGAAGCAGAACTGGATGTGATGAGATGGGAAAAAGGTGAGCATGCAAAACTGATGTTGCTAGTGCTTTAATATGTAAAGGCAAAGTTGTATGAAAAGCAAACTGATGCCGCCTATTGGTTCTGCTCGTGGGCAACCATGACGCTGCGTGGCTGAACTTGGTGCGTGTGCGTTGGGTCTTTCCCGTTTGAAGACTTTTTTCATGTCATCCCTTGCCTACTTTTTGCCTTTTGTTTGTCCTGGGCCTGGTCTCAAGTCGTCTTGTACCAACTAGATGTAAAAACTGCGCAATACCCCACGCAGGTGCAGGGGTGATGATGATGATGATGATGAAAAAGCCAGAATGAGAAAGCTTTGTAAAGTCTTGCGAATTGTCTTCAACTTCGTACCCACGGACAAGTCTATGATTGCAATTTTAGCCGTGAACGCGTTTACCGAACCAATGTCGATTCAGCACCCATCAAGTAGCGATGTGTATGGTGCTGCTGCACCGGCCGCGCGCACGCCCCGCCTGCCGCCAAGATTGCCGACACGGGCAGACAGTCCGAGCCCGAGCTGGCGCTTAAAGCTTGAGGCAATGCAAAACGAATGGACCGGGAGCGCAACGACCGCCGGCGCCCCCGGGAGCAGTGTATTTCTGGCGAACTTTCTTCATTCGTTCCCATGCGTAGTAGTATAAAATTTTTAGCTCCTTCACTGTAATTGCTCGTCATGCGCTCTCGTTGATCGGCAGTGGTCTATCTCGTACTGACGACTTCGTATAGATACAAAGAAATGCAATACTTCCAAACCTTCACGACCCAGGTAACCGGCCGAGACTCCGGGTTCGCCACTGCGGAAAAAGATTTCGCCCGACGGTCGCTTTCCCTCCTCCGAGGGACTTCGAAAACGACGAGAGACAGCACATGTGTCGATCCCACAATTACTTCGGACGAGGAACTGCATGCGTCGAAGGCTTCCACCAGCAGCGAGCGCACCACGTCCCCGCTGAAAAGCATGGAGACGCTTGGCTCGACCGCGAAGAAGATGGAGCTCTCTCCCACCGCCTCCTCGCCTTTGACCATCAACAAATCCGCCTCCAACAACAGCAACCCCACTACTGCAACGGAACAGGAAAAAATGAAAACCAAGCTGTTGGAGAAGGAGCTACTCCTGACCAGAGCGGCGTTGCAGGACGCCAAGGGGGAGCTGGAGATCGAAAAGGTGATGCACGAGGCCGACAAGCTGACGCACGACCAACAGGACGAGGAGGCGCTGATGCAGGAAATCGAAAGACAAGCCGGGGAGTTGACGTTCGTCCGGGCACAGCTCTCGCACGCGAAGGAGAGAGAGAGAACGGCGAACGCGGAACTGGTTCGGCTCAGGGGGTTGCTCGCGACGAAGGCGGAGGAGAGCAGGTAGTTGAGAGTTTGCTTTGCTGCTGTGTGAGTAGCATCAGTCACTTCTCTAGCCGGGGACTACTTCTTAACTGTACTGGCCTATGATCGGGTGTGAATCGGTGTGAATACACTCAGTGCAAAAAAAAACAATCAGCCTGCAGAGCAAAACGTCCCATCTCCGGAACGAAGTGGAGAGCGTTTTGAGCCGTGACTTGAAGGAGGAGCTGACCACTCTGCGCAGGGACATGGAGCAGAAAGTAGCCGCACGCGACCGAGAAATCAAGGAGCTGCGGGATGAAGCGGAGGAACGAGAGCAGGTAGAGACAGAGAGTTTGTTGTCATGGTGCTTGTTCTACTGTAGTATAAATTTGCATTTTTCTAATTCTACTGCGACTGCAAGAGAAGCTTCTATGCATATGTGTATGTAGGTACACTACACAGCTGCATTCTTGAGTAGTTCGAATCTGTACTAAACAATTCATAGATTCGCGAGGAGAAGGAGCAGGAAGCGCTTCGGCTCCTGGTCCAGCAAGCGCAGCTGAAGACCGAGGTACAAAAGCTCGAATGTGACCAGATCACCAGGTTCGTATCCCGGAGTATGCTTTGCAAAAGTAAAATATCGTATTGCCTAATAGTGCAACGTGCATCTCAATTTGTTTTGTCTACAGGAGAAACGACACTTCTTATCATGCAGATTCTGGTAGAGAATGAGAAAGCGCATTTGTCCTGCGATGTTACAGCAATTTATTACTTTTACGAGTACGAGACTTTTGCACGGGATACGGAGTGACTACGAGCAACTCCAGAAGCAACTGGCCGATGCGTTTCGGGAGAAAGACGAAATTGTCGCGGCAAAGAATCACGAGTTGGAAGTTACCACCACCGCCTTGCGAGAGGAGCTGGAAGAAGCGAAGCAGGCAGCGTTGCAGGTAAGGCAGCAGCTGGAGGACCAGAAAGCGAGCAGAAATGCAGCCTCTTCTCCTTTCGTTCCGCAGCTCTCATCCAGCAGCTCTACAAGTAGTTCCGGTGCCTTCTTTCAGCAGCAGCATTTCGACCTCAACAACAACCTCGCGGGAGATCATGTTGCCTTGACCAACGCTGGTGGTGCTTCTAGTTCATCTAATGCTCCTACGGGCGCCGGCACGCCCACCGCGCTCCGCGCCACCTTGGCGAAGCACCGGGGCGAGATTCAGGCCATCCAGCGGGCGAAGGACAATTTGGAAGCACTGTTGCTAGAGGAGCTACACGAGCTGAAGTCAGCGAACGAGCTGAAGGAAAAGTCCATTCAGGAGCAGCAGGTGCAAATGGAAAATCTGAAACTGGACGCGGAGGAGCGGATACGGAAAAAGATGCGCGACTTCACCCTGGAACTGCGCTCGATGTTCGAACAGGATTGGCAGGAAGAGGAAGAAGCGCTGAAGCTGAGCTACGACACGAAAATTTCCCAGCTGGAGGACGCCTTGACGACGGTGCAAAAGTCCGAGTTGAAAGCGGTCGAAGAAGTGGCGGAGTTGCGAGCTGGGTAAGTACTATTTTTTGTTTAACACTGCATGTTTCAGATTCAGATGTAGTTGCAGCATGTTCATCGTTGTTAAAACAAGGCTCCTGCATGTTAATGGCGCGGAAGAGTCAAGATGTTTTTATGAAAATTTCAGCGACAGTGTGTATGTGATTTGAGAAAAGAACAAAAACTCCCACAGCCTCTCCCTCGCCGAGCGACAGCTGCAGCAGGTTCAGGAGAAGCAGTACGAGATGGAATCGTACCGTAGGCGCGAATTAGTCGCCAAAGAGGAGCTGCAGATCCGGTGTGAATCTTCCGAACAGGACGTAGAGAAGCTGCGACAGGAGCTCCACGAAGTCATCAACAAGGCCGAGGATGACCATTTAGCTTTCCGGTCCGCGGAGGCGTGTTTACAGCAGGAACTGCTGCAGCTACGGAAGAAGATCTTGAAGACGGAGCTGCAACAGGAACTCGACAACGGCACTGCAGGTGGTTATACTACTAGCAATGGTTCTGCTTCTTCTGTAGCGGCCGGCTTGAGTAGTGCGAAGCGGTTAACGAATTTTTCGGCGTTGGCGCCGGCGGTTGGAGCGGGAATCCCTGGGGGGAGAGGAAGTGGTGTTGGTGCTGTTCCAGAGTACCGAAGAAGATCAGGGTGTTTTGACCCCTAGTAAAGATACGTTTTTGGCTTTGACTTTAGCTTCTAAATGCGCTGAACTAATCCGGCCTTCTGCCTTCTGCGTAGTGATAGTGAAGGAGTCGGAGAACTATTTCCGGAACGTGTTTTGTTCACAAGCTGTTTTGTTCCACACTTGTTTCATCTGTTCGTTTATCGATCCGGCAAGAGCAATGGAGAGAAGTACCAAAAGAAGTGGAATCTCAAAGCGGTTGAGCTACCGCCGCATGCAAAACGACGTCGCAAAAGTTCAATTAGGTTTCCTGGTTTTATTCGATGAAGCCGCATTGTTTTGCTGGGTGTTTTCTTGTGTGTCTGATGTGCCACAGTGCCGTGAGAGATCCTCCTTCCTTTGTGGAAAGAGAAACAGTGTGGTGAACTTACTACAGCCAAATCGTTCCGAAATGGGATCTTTTCCTTAGCCACTGTAGTTGCTCGTCCGCTTCTCCATTCTAGTTGAAACCACATGCGACCGCGATAAAAGACCCTCGTCTTCACACCGGGCCGTGTCATTGACGTCGTTGACTTTTTTAGCCACTTGATTGAAGTTACTCCCGTGCATCTCAGAAGCCAAGTGGAGCGGATCATGCCCACCTCTCTCCCACCACCGGAACAAGAACGCTCGGCCGAGCTCCCCACGCTTTTGCGAGGGACGCACGACGGCTCGCAGCATGGCCACAGCAGTTCCAAAACAACCAAAACTGGCGCAACAATCCATCCGACAACCTCTGCCGGCGTGTTTGGCAAAAACCAGTTGCTACCACCCTCGGTGGACGCCACGACTCCTCACCCCATCACCGAGGAGCCCGTCGTGCCACCAGCTGCCTTGCGTTTGCCCATCCGGCACATGGTTGTAAGCACACCGGAAAAAATCGCGCGCGAGTTCTTCATGCAGCCCACGCCAGACATCGGCGACCTGGTCCTGGACGTCGAACAGGAGGTGTTAGAAGAGGAGGAGCTGCGACTGGAGCATGAAAGGTAAGTCGATTTTTTTCAAAAGCGATTTCATTGTTCTTGTTGCAAGGAAGGTCTTGTCATGTGTCCTCTCGCCGCAAGGAATGGAATAGAACCGCATGGCAAAAAAGTAATTAATCAAACAACAGAACCTCTCGCTCTCCTACCGTTTTCGCCTGTCCTGAGCGGCAGAACATCTCCAGTACCGAGCAGTCGCCGGACCGGAAACTGTCTTCTGACCGGACCCTTGCCGCTGCCGGCGGCTTCACTCCGACTCTGCTACAGGACTGGAATACAACGGATAACGAGAATAAAGATACGACTGAGAAAAACAAAAAGAAGCAGCAAGAACAACTCCCCCGCTCAAGCTCCCTGAAGAAGAAGACAAATAAATTTGGCACAGTCATTTCTACTCCCGGCGCAACTATCAGCAAGACACATTCCACCGGGCAGCAGCACCAAAACATGAAAGTTAGCCAGCCGATCCAGAAGCGGGTTTCCTTTTCCGAGGAACTGTTTCTGCAGTCGATCCAGTATCTGCCTACGCCTGTCGACGGCGAAGAGGACGGCGAGCGGGTGGATAGTACTTCTGAAAAAATCTTCACAATCGGGGAGATGAACATTAAGGCCCACAGTCGTGCAGTCAGGAAGGAAGACCAGACGACATCGTCTTTCGGAGAAGCGGAACAACAGGAACGACAGTCCAACAAATCGATCCGCTCCCTCTCCCCCTCCATCAGCCCCAAGGTTCGGCGTGGCCGCGGCTACGCGCACGGGCGGAACTCGAGTTTGATCGGCGATATGGGGGAGGATCCCATGGTGGAGGAGGACGACGAAGACCTGTTTCTGGACCAGTTAGGTGCAGCAGCAGCAGCAGCAGCGCACGAACAACCACGCTCCGAACAATTGGATCGTGATCTTCCGCATGTAGTTGACAAAGAACTCGTCCAGGATCAAGAAACTTCCTTTTCCGCTGTCCCGACCCAGAATCTGTACGAACCGCTGGATCAAGTAGAGGATGTGACTTCCTCTGGTGCCTGTTCGCTGTACTCGCAAGAGCAGCGGTCTTTAGACGATGCTACGATCTGCGCTGCGGTGGACACGCTGTTGCCGATTTCGACCGCCTATCCACTGTAAATATGTCTGGGTCCTCTGGAAACTTGTGATGCGCGTGCGGCACTCGTGAGGACTTTCAATTGACGGCCAACAAGCATGAGAAGTTTTTGAGCTCCCACTAACTTTGGAGCTGTCGTCTATTCTACATGGCAAACTGCGTCGACAACAAAGTGGGGCGTTTGCGTAACGTGCATGAGAGGAGAATTAAGGTTTATGCTAATCAAGCATGACAAACTCTTCCGAACGCAGACATATTTGCGATGCATACCACCGCCTTGCAGTCCTCCGCCACTATGGACCTGGAAGAAGAATGGCGGATCGACGCGGCGTTGCGAAAGTTGGCGAGAATGCAAAAGCAAAAACGGCCTTCGGAGGTGGATGACGCGGTGCTGATTGAAAGTGACGACCTGCTCTCCAATTCTTCCTCCAGCGGTGGCGGTAACTTCTATGCCACAAGCGACAGTTCGTCGGACGACTTTGGTTTCGACGGCGTCAATGTTGATCATGCGGGAAAAAAGAAGTTTTCGAAACTGGGAAAGATCCGTTCCGGTGCGGAAACCTCGAAAATGGTGAACAGCACGGCGAAGGTGGTAGAGGGGTTGATGTTGAGTGGTCTCAACAACAGCATTCCCACTCTAGATTTGGAGAACACAGCAGGCGAACCACAACAGCTGCAATTTGAACGGCATCTTCTTGATGACGAGGGACCTTTTTTATCGAACACAGGATCTTCTCTCTCTCCCATCGCGCACACAAGTTCGTTCCCCGAAGCCGCGGCGATCATGGCAACTACTTCTACAACTTCTACATCATACAATCCTTGGGAGCCCTCCTCCATGATCGGCGAAGAAAACGTGCAGTCTACAACCACGCGAACCATCTCCCTGTCCGCGTCCCCCGAGTGCCGGAAATCCGGGGCGGAATATCTGGCGAACTTTCTCTCCACTTTGGAGAACGTCGACCAGGACCTGGTGCAGACGTTGTTTCCGTCTCTGAAGAGCAGCGGTTCCTGTGGACGAAACAAGGACGGTGCTGAGATTACTACACTTCTGGAACAAGAAGACGAAATCGACTACGACGACCTGAACAAGACGCCGAAGAAACGGACGTCTCTAGCGGGCATGCGACCAGTGTCTTTGTCCCGGTCCCCGAAGAAGAAACCAAACTGCAAAAGTCCAAAACCGGAGATTTTGACGGAGATTCGGTCCTTCAACGAGCTAGTGATGCCGAACCGGTTGGAAACTCTGATCCCGGAGGGAAGGACGGGGTTTGAAATGATTCGTGCGGAGAAGAAGAACAATCAGAAGGACCATCCTGAAGAAGTTGAGGCAGAACAGAAAGAATCTCCTTCGAAAACCGCTTTTCCCGCCGAGAGCATGATGAAGAACGTGGTAAAAACTACTTTGCCACCCAGTAGTTCTTCAGGTGCTGTTGTTTTCCCGAGTAAATCTCACGCGGATAAAAATGTGGTGCTGGTCCGGCCGGCTTGGGAGACTTTCGCGAACAGTCCGATGGATGGTGAGCAGGGGGATGTTGGGAGAATTGTCGGTTCTGCTGGGGGAGAGAGTAATGAAAACGAAGCGGAGGTTCTTGCTGGAAATGATGACGAAATTGAGAAACAACGCGACCAGAAAACGATGGGAATTTCTGCAAAGCCAAACTCTACTTCCTGTTCCTCTCCCACGAAAAATCATGTTGCACTAGGTCCATCTCGGCCAACAACCAATGGGGATTCCAAAGTGGTCGTAACAAAAACGACCTGTGCGGTGGGGGCTCCTTCTGCTACACAAATACAAGACACCAGTGCGATTTGTGCCAAGACCAACACTGCTGCTTTGTCCAAAATCTCCTCCACGGCAAAATTTGGAACGACATCTGGTATCCTGTTCCAACCGATTCAGCACATGAAGTGCTTGGATTTCCGTCCCAGTTTGGGCGTCGCAGCGTCTTCGGCGCGTGCGCGTGGTCCTGGGGCGCAACAGCAAATAATTTCCTCGGTGACGATGAATGAAATGAATACGGCTGATGTTGTTCCTCCACCTCCTGCGGCTTCGGGTTTTTCCTCTGTTATCATCCCCCCCGCCGTCGTGATGAACAGGACCAATTACAAGTACGCGTTTCAACCCGGTTTTCGTACCACCACGCAGGTGAACGCGAAGATCCAATCTTCCGTCCCGGTACCGCCACCCCAAACCCGGAAACTGATTTTGACAACCGGAGGCAGCACCACGACAAATCCATCTAGAACCACGATTAGTAGTTCTTTTCCAGCTCAGCACGGTGTGCTACCCCAGCAGACTTCGAAAAATACTAAAACCGGGACGACTAATATTGTGAAGAAGTTGATGCAAAAAGAACAGAACTACGAAAGCGCTACGGCAGTTTCGGATCAACATGCTGTCACCGCGAAGCTGCTTATCCCTATCGATGCTAGTGCAACTGCTGTCGGAGTAGAACAGGAAAGAGCTGTTGGTACGACCATGCAGAAGAGTCTCGCCCGGCCGACAATGCAGGAAATCCAGACAAGCGGTGTTGCGGGAAAGACGACGGTGACACAGACATTGATTGAAGACAATGTGTGCAAACATTCTCAGTCTTTACTAGCCGATGAAATATCAAACCATCCTACTTCTGGAGAGCAGCAGCCGGTCCGGAGGTTGACCAGGACGAAAGTGCGGCGGTCGATTACGCCATCGAAGAATGGAATGAAAGATGGCGGTATTTCTGCAACTAGTCGTGGTCCGAGCCTGGTGATGAACAATATCAAACGAGGATCTCCTACTACTTGTGGTTCGCCGAAAGAAGCACCCATGCCTGGAGGCTCTTTTGCAGGAGCTATGACAACGTCGAACACGACCCCGGTGAAGAGCAGTCCGGGAAACAACTACAACAACCGCAGTACTAAGAGCAGTCCCAAGGTGCTCCGATCTACCAACTCGGCGCGGAAAATAAAAGACACGAACGCGGCGGCGGTGGCTATTTCCAACAAAACGTTGACAAGCGGAAGAACCTCGTTTACTACCAACAAACAATCGTCTCCCTCACCGGCGAAAATCATTGCGAGCAGCATCAAAACGAAGTCACCACCGAATTCCGCGGGGTTGCATCATCATATCGCCGATGGTGCTAGTACGACAGATGCTGTGATGAAGATGCTGCACAACAACTCCGAAGATCAAGAATCTCCTCCGGTGAACCAGCAAAACATCAACGACACTATCACCCTCTCCAGCCGCGTCGAGAAGCCGCGCGCGTCCTGTCCCACCGCAATTTGCCAGCCGCAGCCGCCAAAGTTACCTGCTGGGGTTGTGGGTGGTATGCTGGACGCTGAGAATCAATACCAAACAGCTGCGGGTGTGATGAACCGGAGCGCGTCCGTCTGCTCGCTGAAAACCCCGACGGAAATTGCGAACAAGGTGAAGTACCAACTCCCGCGGAAGTTCCTGAAGTTCACGCCATTGCCGGAAAATCAGTCCATTTTTTTCCCAGGAGGATTGCCGATGCCGAATTGCCGGGGTGGGTTATTGCGGACTGGGAAATGATGAGATAGGAGGAGTGATGAATAGAATAAGTTTTGAAGTTTTTCAATTCGGTAGTTTTAATAGTGTACGAGTACGAGTACGAATTTACCGAGCATCGCGCTGCAATTGCAAAGCCATGGGTTACTGTCGTTTCATGTTTGGGGTCACACTTTTTTTTACAAAAATTGCTACGGATTGAGGCATGTTTCTTTTTTTCAGTAAGGCGAAGTTGGGCTTGGGAGCCACGCCCACTGCACGAGAGTCCAATTGAAAATCTAATGATATACAAAATCAAAATGTTTCATCACGCACACGCTCTTCCTACCTCTACCATCATATTCCGCTTTCTTCCGAATAACATAACTGAAAGCCTATGTTGACATAGAAGTTTCATGTTTTTGATGTTGTTTCTCACTTTTAGTTTTTTGGTCGTCGTTGTGAATTTCAAAACTACAATTTCCATGTGAGCGATAAGTCTATCGCCTCTGTTGAGTTTTTTGGACACTTCCAAGAAAATGTGCATCCTATTGTCAATGCAAAGGGACAAGCAGACACGACAAGCGCTACGTCATTTATGTGACCCCGCAACTAAAGGAGATGAATGAATGATGTTCGCCACCTTAGTCGCTTGGTTTCTCTTCCGGCGCCATCGTCTTGTAGATGGTTTTGATCGGGTTCGTGTGCGTGTTTCTCGTGTCGATGGCTCGCTGTGCTGCTCAGCGACTTCTCCTATTCTTGGTATATTCCTTGGCTATCTATGTATGTCGCAGTGGCGTTCTCGGATTCGCGGTCGCGTTCATGAGAGTCGGAGTTCGTAAGGCAGTTGGAGTTACTTCGCACTTTCGTTTTCCAAAAGAGAGTCCTGAGCGCCTAGTTGCAAGGGGTTCTTTCTACGTAAGGAAACATATTCTATTCAAAGATGTTGCGGAGGAGAACTGAAGGACGGAGTCTGTCAAGTAGCTGAAACTGAGAGCGGCAATTTGTCGCTCAGGGGGATTTTTGATGCTGAACATGGAACACTGAGTGAAGTTTTAGCAAGCGCGCTAGGATGATCTTTCCAGGGAAAATTTAGATATTGTTTCAAGATGGTTCATCTCTACGTCCAGAAGCTCGTCAACATGCTCATGCTGCCGGTCGTCCAGCTCTTTCTCTTGGCGACACTTCTACCCGCACAGAAATCGCATTTTGTCGTCGCCGCTGCCTCCACCCAGGGCTCGACATCTGCAGCACGTACCCTGTACACCGAAGGCTCCGGTCTTGTGCAACACCTCCTAGCGAAGCAGGTCACTTGGTTCGAACATGGATTATTGGGAAAGCCACCACACCACCACCACGAACACGAGAGAGCAGATGAACATAGTTCCTCCAGCTCCTACGTGGTGAGCAACCTAGAGCGAAGCAATCAACACGGCGACCAAAGTGATCCTGTACAACCTGCTGAGCCACAGCACACCTCCCGAAGTTCCTCCAGAAACCTGTCCTTTCTTGGCAAGTTGGCGGCCTACACAGCAGCAATTGGAAACGAAGTATTTCTTGGAGCGAAACTGCTTACAAAGGCTGTTATCCAGGAATATGAGGTAGTTTGTTTTTTGTCATTCATATTAATTTGCAGAAAAAAAGCGAGCCTTTGCTTTCACTTTAAGCTCGCACTCATATTACACGCAGACAATGGCACGTCTGGTCGTGCAAGTATGCATGACAAAAAACGTGCTACAATAGGTTTACTTGTCACGCATATTAATTTGAGTTTGACTTTCGGCTTGTTCGTTTGGTAGCTCTATTTAGGTCCTTTTAGCGTTCTGTTTTTTTTTCAGCACTGAGTTTGCCAGAAAGAAATTCTGTATCCAGAATAACAAAAACCTTCAGTTTTACCGGCTGCACTACGGGAAGTACCCGAGCGGGTATCATCCGCGCAAGCAACAAACGGAGAGACGAACAGAAGCGCTGGCTGAGAAAAAGGTACTTCTTTTTCATGGATGTTGTTGAGGATCAATTAGGATTGCAAATTTTCATCAGTAGTGTCCTGCATCAGTGGCCTCATGTGGGAGGTCCTCGAGCTCTCGTGAAAAAAAAAAGCAGAAAGATACCTCAGCAGTAGATACCATTTCACATATATTGCAACAGATCAAGTCGGCCGAAGACAGCACGTCGTGGAGGACACGACCCGCAACGTCGTCTTTCGCGACCAAGTCTCCGAAGCTTCGCACGGAGAGACAGAAATACAACGAAGTAAAGGCGAACAGTCAGCATCAGCAGTCCTATGTCGAGCAGCAAACTGAAAAACAAAAATCAGCCACCGCCGCCGCTACGGCCACCTCCGAGTCGGAGGCGGCAGAATCAGAATCCGGAGTCGAGGCCGCGGCGCAGTCCACCAGCGGATCGCTCCCCGCCCCCGTGGTCGACCAGCTACTCGGGTCGATCTTGATGTTGCTCATCTGCGCGCTCCCGTCGACTTGCTTCTACGTTTCCCACGCGCGACTATCGTTCCGGGAGCAGCAGATCGTGGAGGACGAGGTGCGGGGCAAGATCAAAAAGCAAGAGCACGACATGGGGAAAAGGATGAAGCAACAGCAGAAGGCGGCTGCACTTGCGGCGGGGCAAGCAGGAGGGACGGAAGGGGGTGCTGGGGGCATCGGAGTGATCCAGGAAGAGCCAGCAGGGGTCGTGCAGGTGTAGTCAGGTGCTGTGTGCGAATCAACGGTGAGACTTACTTAGATGAATGGATGGGTCAGGGAGTTGTACAATACGAATACTCACGTTTTGAGTCGGAGAAACTTCACCTTGTGACAGGTGGTTTCTTCATTCTGAGGCTGAAGTACAAGCGACACCAAAAACCTAGTTTTGAAGACTACTGTAAGATCATGGCACGAGTATCTACTTTATTCGCGGTTGTAGCTGCTGTCCCTACACTATCAAAGTCTCTTTGTTCACGTCCAGTGCGTTCCTACGGCGTGCCGTGTGCCTAGATTCTGTCGCCGATTTTTTTTCGAGTCTACAAAAACGAACGCGGTTTCCTTTGGCTGATACCATCAGACACAGAGCGCTATAAAACTCGTCTGAGAGGAACGCAAACCATGCCAAAAAGTGCGATTCGATGAAGCAAATTTTGAGTGAGTTGTGTTGTGGTTTTTCGTTTTTCCAGTCCCTGTGGCTGACTGGAAAAATCCGAGAAAAATAGTTAGAATGTAGAAAGCCCACTCAAGTTTCGATTAATTTACAATTGAGAAGCTTTTGATAAAGCAGCAGAACATTTGTGCCGACGAGTCGGTGTCGCATCAATAGTTACATTTTCACATCACAAGAAAAGGCACCACAAAAATCATGATCAAGTCCGTGTCGCATGGCAAGGCCTCGAACAAGGCCGTGGAAGACCAAGACCAGCAGCGGGTGTACGATTTGCACCGCAAGAAAATTACCAACGTGAAGTCCCGCATTTGCTCGAACTGGTCCGAACGGGAAGTGCAGAAGCTGCAGCCTTCCCTCCGGAACGCAAAGCGAGACCAGCTGCAGTCCGAGAAGCACTCGCAGATTGAGCGGGAAAATTTCAGGCTTTTGCAACGGTATAATAAGTAGTGTGTGATGAACAAGGGTGTGAATGTGTCGCGTGAAGTAGGTGCTCAATAAAATAACTCTTTGTTGTTGTTCATGATTCTGCATCGCTATCGCACACAGCTGTTTTTTCGTCGCTCGTAGTAGTTGTAAAAATCTGTTGTACATCAATCACGAAGCCATCGATGAAAACAAAAAACGAAAACACGCACGAAGGTTTATGGAAATTGATGGTGCCAAGCCCAAAACCACACGCGCTCCGAAGACGCACTCGATGCCAGCCGCGAGGAGAGCGGAACTGGAACGGATAGAACGGGAGAACCAGGGGTTACTGAAACGGATCACGACGCAAAAATCGACGATTAACACGAAAAAGATGGAATCAGAGCACGAGAACCAACAGCGAATCATGCGTTTGCGGTGTGTGGAGGCCGGGCGCTACAGAGGTCCAAACGCTGTCGGGGTGCCGGGGGCGAGGGGAGTTCCGGGTAGTTGATTTTTTTTTGCAGGAGGACTCTTATGCGAAAAGTACGTTCTCGTTTTCCTTTTCTTTTCGCAAATCTCAATTAGTTCTACGACCATAGTCAATGACACTTGTTCTAATGAAAAACTACATTTTGCTCTCGCCCATTTTTGATCTCCGCTACCTCCACGCTACCATGACCAGGTTCCGCGAGCAATCATGCCACCGCCCCGGGCCGGAAAAATCAAATGAAAATTGACGCGGACGCACATGAACTGGATAGTGATTACGAGGATGATTTCGAACAGGAGGAGAATTACGACGAGCTCGATGCTGACGAAATGCAAAAGGTCCGCATTGACCAGCCGATTGACCGCCTGATCAATCGCGGCCGACTGTTTGAAGAAGCCGAAGATAATGAGGACGAAGATGATGAAACAGTAGATGTTGATGAAGCTGCTGCTCGTCCTGGTGTGAAACCAAATGAAGACCAAGACGGCCATGATCAACAACATCTTCTTGAGCCGCACAGCACCGAAACGTCTGCACAGCACGATGTGAGTATGCAAGACGAGGAAATTCAATCAAATGTGGAGCAAGAAGATCACCCAACGGACGTCGAAACCCTAACCGGAAGCACAACCACTCGTCCGGAGCTGCACAATATCAAAAGGAAAAATCCCCCCTCCCCATACCGAAAACGTGTCCGTCTGAAAATTTGCGATGCGCATTTGTGACCTCAAATCCTGTCTGTCTTGCAAGAAGGCAAGTCCAAAAAGCGTTCCGCATTTTTCAGGCGGTTTGTGATGCTGTTTGGCTCAGAGCGTGCACGTTTGTCATGCTAGGCGCCTACGTCAAAACCGCTCGGCTGAGGCTTGGCATATGCCTGGAGTCCTCTACTGCAAGACAAATCTGATTTGTGTATGGAAACCCAGCATCAGAAACTTCGTTTCGATATGGGGAGGGGGCATTTTTCCTCATGATACACAACGGCGCGGAATTCGTTCCCTCGGCCGGTAGTTCTAGTAAAAAAACCACACCTGCTGCAGGTCGTGGCGATAAAGCCGCGGGAACCAACATAATTGCCGCGATCGGCACGACGAGAACTACGAGAGCCGGCGATGGGGGCGAGAAGAACAGTAGTACTCCTGCAGCTCCTTACGAAGACAATGACAACACTTTAAACGAAAATTACCCCGAAGATCAACAACAAAACGAAAACTCCTGCTCCGAACAAGCCCGTTCCCGAAGTTATTCGACGACCGAAAATCTTCACAATAGCAGCTCTAGTACTACTGCAGCAGGACCACCAGCAGTAGCCCAACTGTCCGCGAAACAGGAAAACAAGCGGCAGAGGTTTGAACTGGACAGAGCGCTGGCCCAGTTAGAAGAAGAGTTCGGCGATAGCATGGCGTCCAAGGTGAAAAACTTGAACAAACTACTGCCCGGATTGAATGGTGGTAATAGTAACAATGCTGACCATCGAATGTTGTCCGGAATTGCACCAGGTGGTCACAATAGATCAGGCCCCTCGTCGCGGACGGTAAGTAAGCAACGCCGCAACAGCCTGCCAAAAGCGCCAAGCAGCTACAGCTCCGCTGTAGATAGGCGGGCGGCGGGGGTGTATAACACCAGCACCAACAAGTCCTCGGCGGGGGTTGCCACCGGGAATAAACTACAGGGTAGAAATCATGATCATAAGTACTAAATGTAAATGTGGATGTGATGGAATAAATAAAATCGAGATCATGCTTCGTGCTTGTGCGTTATTGGCACGACTTTCGACTTGATGTTCTCGACGAAGATTCTTGCTTTCGCAACATGATGCTAGAAGAGATTTAATGTTCTGTTGCCTCGAATAAGAAAGAGTAAGAACCTCAATTCTTGTTTACTCCACAGCAACGCCATCATCCGGTCTCCCCCCGCCGGCGAAGCAAGCACCGAAGCCGGACCAACATCCCCCCGCGGCCAAACCAGAAGTGACCACGGTTTTCGTTCCTGCCGGGTTCGGGCGGAGCGCGCAGTTGGTGAAGCAGAAGAAAACGGAGGCGACGTACGGCTACACGAAGCGGGCCCCTGTGAAGCCGGCGGAGGAAATTTTGAAGGAAGCCATTCTGATGGAGGAGAAGCGGAAGAGGGTCGGGAGTTTTGACACCAACGATTTGTCGCAAATCAAAACCGCGGCGAACCAGCACTACCAGGCGACCAAGGAGTACTCGCACTCCGAAAAGGAGCAACTGGTGAACCAAGCCGACGACTGGGGCAAGCAAGTGCTGCAGAATCAGGAGATCGAGCGGAATGCGGTGACGCGGAAATATGATCTGTACAAGGACAAGGACCCCAACCAAGCGGGTGGGGCAAACATGAAGCAGTTCCGGGCGGTCGCGGTTGGGGACTTGCCGAAATTCCTGGAAAAACAGGAAATGAGAATCGGGGGGAAGGGGGAGATCAAGCAGGAAATAACGGCTGGTGCCGCTGCTCCTGCTGCAACTGCTACGGGGGACATGATCGCTCCTGGGAACGATACTACTGATACTGTAGTAGTACCAAGAACCACGGACGCAGGAGATCATGGGAATAAAGCACAACAAGCAGCTGCGAAGATCCAAACAACCTTCAGTGCAACCGCGTTAGACCTGAAGCTGGACACGGTCGAAGACGCACAGCGCGCCGCGGACTACTTTTTGCACAAAGGCCAGGCCGAAGTTCGCCGAGACCTGGAGTTGAAGAAGCAGGCGGGGGAGAGCGTGCAGGAGGAGTTGGCGAAACTGCGGAAGCGGGCCATGAGTGGCAACGGAACCATTTTGGATAGTGACGGTATTCCGACGAGTAGTACAACTTCTAGAAAAACGAATGCCTTGGTTCTAGAGGGAAAAAAACTACACGATCAAGAACCTCGTGCGGACCTGCAGTCGATTTTGCGGAACATGCGGGACATCCACGGGGTGCCAATTTCCGATGCTTTCAACAGCAGTGCGGATTCTTTGCTGGAGAAGAATGTAGAAAACCATGACCACCATCACCAAGAAGTCGCTGTGAAAATAACGAGTAGTGAACAAGGCCAAGGGATGAATTTTTACAACCCAGATGTGGACGAGCAACTACTAGATCCGGCAGCACAACAAGGCGCAGCTGTCGAACAACCCACCGCGACAACTTCCGGCTCCATTTCTTCCTTCCTCCAGACTGGAGCGCGCGTTGACGAAAGAACAAAAATAGCTCCAGCAGAAGTAGAGCACGATGGGCAGGTGGATCATGAATCTCAACCAGTAGAAGGGTCGAGTTCTTCATCCACTTCATTTGTTCCAACCACTGGTCCTCGTGCCAGGTCTAATCATGCAGGAGGGGGCACAGCACCTGCAGTAGAACTACATGCTCTTGGACCAATGCCATCAATAGGGGCGGGAGCATCAAGTACGGAACTACTGTCGGAGCAAAATACTACGGGTTGCTCCCTTTCGTACTCGCGAACGATCGCAGCGGCAGGCACAGCAGGTGGCTCATCTTCGCTTGGACTTGGTGGCGTTCATCTTGCAGGCGGGGAATCTCGTAGTAATGCCACGGCTGCACCAGAAGAATTAGAAAATGAAAAGTCGCACCATCATCTTGCACCGTGGTCTACTGCAGATGAAAAGACTTCTCCGGCGGTTGCTACTCAAGACGAGGTCAACACGATCGGAAATCTTTCTGGAGGTGGAACGATAAACCTCCCGGATGAGTACGAGCTGAAAGTTTCCGCGCTCGATCTGGCCATGGACGTGGAGGCGCGTATTCGGGAAGCGGAGCTGATGCTGCGAAATACCGCTCCTGCGTCGACAGGGGACGACAAGGAGCTTGCTCCTGCAGAGCCGGAGGGGTCGTGAGGGCGAGACCTCCGACTTCTTCTTCGAGATTTTGGATTGGCGGTCCGGTTTCTGTTTGGATTGTCTGCACTACTTCTGATCTGCCCGCAGGCGTAAGTCGCGGGAACGCGAAGGGAGAACTTTTTTTGCGCACAGATTTGTTTTCTGTTTTGGGCAGCAGCCTTCAGCCCCCTTTACCCAGTGAGCTCAACGAAAAATTTAACTTTGATTGACTTTTTTGTATGCTTTTTCCGAGAACTGGCGCTGGATCAGGTTGGCGCCGATTTCTTTGCCGGATGGTACTGTTGAATTGCGATGACGTGATTTGATTTCTTGCTTGTAGCGCGAGTCGCTGTTCTTGCCAAAGACCTGAGACGTTGTCGTGCCTACCTCTGAAGAGATGTTGTCGTGCTAAAAACAAGGGGCAGATTTGCATCCCAGTGTCTCCTACTAATTGGACGAAGATCTTAGAAGTTCGCGTTTATCTAGGCGGGGGCCTGCAACTGACTTGAATCGTCGTGGTAAGTACTTCTTTCAACTGTTTGGGTTCTTTCGTAGAGCGATTGAACAAGAAATACGGGCTCGATATTTTTGGCGAGACACTTCGTCACTTCTCGTCGTTTTTCTCATACATAGTCATTGATTGCAGTAGTCCTAGTGGTGTGAGGTTATGTATTTGACCAAAATTCAAATGGAGGGTCTGACTTTCGTCGTTTCTCAAAATATACTGAAGGCCAAAAATAGAATTTCGCAGTATCGTCGAAGCTCGTTGTCCAAATCGGTATTAGGAAGCTGATATGAACGGCCTGTTCAGTGCGCGTTCGTTTGGGCGAGAAGGGAATGCAATTCATCGTCGTCGAGTGCAAATAGCTACCTGCACTTTTCGAAAATATGTTTCGTCGGGATCGAAAAAGGCAGTGAAACGTTCTTGCGAAAAACAAAAACTTTCAAACTTCTGTACCGACCATCCTGGCAACTGGTATAAAGAAAGAAAAACACAGTAGCTTTATTTTTGATTTGACACAAGTTTAAATGACTCTCACAACAAGCATTACCGAGCAAAACTGAAATTTAGCTGCGGGAAGTGCCTTCGAGGCGACACTTCTTTGATAGATCTTGGAATTTTTCTTTGGGCTGAAGACGAGTTTTGTGAAACGATATTTATTGTTGGTTGAGAAAAAAGAAAAAAAGTTTACCGCACCGCACACAATGCATCAGCATCTGAAACAACAACAAGTACTAAAGACGATGATCTACTGCTCGGAATATCATCGTCACTTGTGAAGTCCGATTCGTGAAGATCTTCGATCGGGCGGTGCTACAACGAACTTTCTCAGTCTACCACCTGCGTTATTTCTCCAGTGGCGCCGTCGTCGCCCGGTCCGGATAAGATGGAGAAACGAATCTTGCGGAGGGAAAGACCACTTTCGGCAGCAAGTAGAAGTTCTATCATTTCTGACCGCTCGAAGATGTTGTCCTTGTCGCTCCCACTCGTGCCGCTCTTTCACGTCCTGATCTCCAAGAGCAAGAACTTCCTCGCAACAGTATTACACGAAGAAGTACAAGAACCTCTTCTTGGAACAAAATCAAGAGGCAGTAGAACGGGGTCTTCAAGGGGCCGCTTGAGAAGAAGTGCAAGAACAACTCCTAGAAGGTGTACATGCTCTTCAGGTAGTTCTTCAACAATTTTGATCTTTCTCTTGGTCCTCGTTCATCTCTCGTCCCTGATTGCCACCTTCGGCCTTCTTTTCTCCTCTACCTGTTCGTCCAGCTTTACGACAAGAGGAGCACGAGGCTTGCGATTGAGCTTCACAATCGGGCCGCTGCTCAACGTTGGAACAACTCGTGTGGCCGCTGCAGGTGGAACAAGTAGAGCTACGGCAAGTGGTCAAGAAACTTCCACCCAACAAGAAGATCACGCCGACCAAGACGATGAAACAGAGGAAATAACTCGACGAGCACATGCTGGTGATGATGATGATGATGATGATGATGATGGTCGAGGTCCTCCTCATGGTCGAGAGAGGAATTTCAATTCTGGCGGTCATATTAAAACCTCGCTCCGTGGTGGGGGGGCAAGAGCCACGAGTTTCTTGCAGGATGATGATCAGGACGATCATTGGGAGGTGCGAGAAACAAGAAATCTGCACAAAATAAATATTAACAATGATCTGGCAGTGTACTACAGTAGCTCCGGAGAAGCCGTAGCAGTGGAGCAGATGAACAAAAGAAATGGTGAACAGCAAATAAACGCCATCTTCGAAGACGAAGAACACCACCGCGACCAAAGTAAGAACGATGTCGCGTTTCTGCAGCGCCTTAACAAGAAGAACTCGCGGCCTCTCGGGGCGGGGGCGAAGCACGACGACCGCCGAGAGAGGACATCAAACGGCAAGCAACTACGTACAGTGGACCAAGAAGACGGTCTATCGGGCTCACGCAAGGTGGACAGTAGAAGCCACGAGACGAGCTCAAGGGGTGAAGATGAAGCAGGATCATTTTTTGAAATGATGTCTCACGAGGACGACCAAACTTCTTCAGACACGAAGGACGATATCAATTGGGAACAGAGAAAAGATGAAGATCCGACTGTACTAAAAGCAGGTTCGACTTTATTGGAAGTATCGCCACCCCCGGGAGGTTCTTCATCTTCGTCTGCAGGTTCTGAAAATTCCGTCATCGACCTAGTACTAGCATCGCCCGGGAAAAATGAAACATCGCCGGAATGGGGAGACGAAGAGGAACGTCAAGGAGCGCAGCGCCCACGTGTTGCTCTACATGTCGACCTCGACCGCACCGAAGGGACCACATCGACAGTACAACTCCTAGCTGCAGCGCGACGAGAAGAACAGCAAAAAGGATTCTTACAAGAGAATGAGTTCTTCACAACTTCTCAGCAAGAGCATGAAACCAGGGTGGCGACGTCGACACAACTACTACAGGAAGTACAACAACGACAACAAGAAAACCAGCAGCACCAGATGACGATGAAAGTCAAAGGCGGCGTGGTTGAGGCGGGGGAAAAGGCGGGGGCGAGATCCACGAAGTGGGTGCTGGGTCCCAACCGGGCGTTTGTGCCGGGTGACGATGGGTTCAACAGCGCGCAATCGAAAATAGAGCCGACCAGTCCGGGCCAACTGGAGAAAAAGAAGAGCGTGTTCGGGAAAGACTACCACTGGTGGAGAGAACTCGACGCGCACGGCAACAAGCTGCGGAAGCGCGGGGCTTACGACATCCTTCCGCACCGGTCCAAAGTGGCGCTGTTCTTTCGCCAGGATGCGCGGGCAGACGGACTCGTGTTCTCCGATGACGCTGTTTATTTCATCGACGTTCCCGCCGTATCAAATACAAATTACTTATGTCTGGATCTGGAAGATTGCGGATGTTGGCAAAAATGCCGGCTTTGCATTTGCATGGCCCAGCCCCAGCCCCAGAAGGTCTGGGATGCAAGGACTAGCGTCACAGGCTTTGCGAGAGACCTTTACGCATGAGATGATGAAAACTGCTCGCAGCGTGGCCAAATTAAAGTGACAGCCTTTGCTACGCATGCGTGATAGATTTTTGTGTGAATGTCAGAGCGCATTCACACGAGTTTGCATCCTTCCAGAGGACGCGGACATGTTTGCAGTGCATGCGCCGGATCCCTGCTTGCGAAGACCAGGGCGGCGGTCTTGGCCGCGCCCGGTGAGGTTTCTGCGTTCACCGGACTTGGCCACGGCGGCATGACCAGCTGGTATGCGGCCCGGGACGCCAAAAAGAGTTGGGACGGCAAGGTGAACGTGAACTGGTTTCCCTTTTCCCAGATCAGCTCCATCTCCTCGAAAGCAATGGTTGAAGATATGGAGTACACCACGGTGGAACTGTATTCCGGCATGTCCGACTCGCAGGATGCGCACGGATTGCGGAATACCCACCTCGACCCGGGTACAAGGAACAGCTACGCCACCGAGATGGAGTCCGTGCACACGGTGATGGCCAAGCTGCTGTCGGCCAAGCACTATGAACTGCAAATATGTCTGGGTCTGGAAACTTGTAGTGCTTGGTTGGGAATAGTGAATGTTCTGTAATGCACAGCCTTGCATGAGAAAGGTCTGCGCTGCTTAGTGTTGCGTTTTATTTCCGCGTGACAAACTGCGTTTTTGCATGCCAGGCAAGAGGCCCTTTTCCTGCTCATGCATCACAGATGTAAGACTAAGAGTCATTCCAGACAAGCATGGCAAACGTGCATTCTTCCAGACCATCAAGACATATTTGCATTCCATAAGCACGCCCCCCTGCGCACGTCGGAGGAGCTGCTGCCGCCAAACCAGGCGTCCGTCTGGTGGCAGGGCGCGCACTTGACCTGGTACAAGGCTTTCCTGCTTGCCAAGCAACCGTACCTACATGGCCAAGCTGCTAACGCTTTTGAGAAGCAGGTGAGACAGCAGATGGAGCAAGAACGGTTCGAAAAATACATCGAGGAGAACAAGAAAAGCATAAAGGCTCTTGATCAAAGCGAACAAAAGAAAAAGGTGGAAGAAGCAAGAGAAAAAACAAAGCTGAAACCCAGGGAATGGCTCGAACAGCAGTCCCTTCTGTACCAAATAGAGGCACAGACGATTTTGCGGACCCTGTTGCAGACGGACGAGAAAATTGTGTACGCCTTTGAAACGTGCGCGTCGCTCCGGAAGACTGTTGCAACCAGGGCGTCCTCGTCGTTTTTGGAGACGAGATCCGGAGGTCGTGGTTCAGCGTCCAATCATGTGCCCTGCTCTACTAGCTCCAGCGCCGGAACAAGCAGCACCGGGATCGACTACTTTTTTCTCACCACCAAGCGGATCTTCGTCGTGGAGCACGGCCTGCCGACCGGCTCGAGTGCGGCTCATCTGCAGGAGGACAACATTGTCCGAAACTTGCAGACCTACACCTACAATGCGGTGCGGTGCTTTTCCGTGGAGCAGGTCGGCACCGGAAGCCACGCCAACCGGCGGCTGAAGCTGGAAGGCGACGTCATCCTGAACCTGTGGACCAGCTGGCTCCCGAACCTGCCGCGCAAGCCGCAGGAAAACTGCGACGCGTCCGACTGCAACACGGGGGACCTGCGACGCCGCCAGCACCGGCACACGGAGGACTACGACTCCCGTGTGGTCCTGCAGCCCACGCTGGCCGGCAAGCTGTCACCCCGGCAGGTGGTGGAGCTGATGAACTTCCTGTTCCAGATGACATCCAACCGGTATGAGGCTCTCAAACGTTGCATTCTCAACTGTATGCATGATTTGTCATGCAAAAGCACTATCAACAACAACATCGACACGATCAAGCTACTTCGCATGACAAATTGATTCTCGACGCGCTAAACTACAGGACTAGAATCCGCACCAACTCTCGAATGCAAGACACGCAAGGAGTAGGACAGGAGGCTCTCCCTGTCACCTGTGGTATTCTTGCATTACAAATCCGTGCGACACTTGAGAGAAGTGTAACATTTGCGAGCGCCATAACCGAGCGCAGATGACGAAGTCGCTGCTGGACGACAAGGTTTTGTTTTCCAGCGACAAGCCGCAGACGTATGTGGAAACGATGAAGCGGTTCTGGGACGGCTTCCGCGGCACGGGGGGGCTGGAACCCATCTACTCGGAGGAGGGCCGGGCCCTGATGGAGTGGCTCACCGAGGAGGGCGAGACGATTCTGGTGCTGCACGAGCACATCGAGATGGTGCTCGCGTCGAAGAGCGGCCATAACGTGTGGATCTTCACGAACAAGCGGCTGCTGATCCGCGTGCTCGAGGGGCGGTACACTCGGTCCCGGTTCGCCGAGCGGGTCCGGTCGGCCGCCACCTTCTCCCCCAGCATCGAGTGGATTTGCATCCCCCTGGAGCAGATCGGAGCGGCCGAGATCCAGACCGAAGCGACCGGGTTCCAGCCCCAGCTGACGGTGTTCACCTACACCAGGGGCCTCACGCCCCCGAACGACGAACCCGCGGAGCCGGGACTTGCCGCGCCGGCCTTCCCGCTCGCCCGCGGCACCGACGTCGCTTTCGTGCTCAAATGTGTGCAAGCGCTCCTCTTTATCCCAGAGAAAAAAACAGGCAGGGCATCTTTGTAATGCAAAAATAAAGAGAAACACACAGGAAAATCTGTCATGGGCGGCCTCATAGCATGCTGCTTTGGATAAATATGCAATGCACATGCAGATTTTTTTGGGTATTTCTTTTTGCACATATGCAAATATGCCCTGCCTGCTTCTTTCTGTGGGATGCTCTTCAACGCGAAAGAAAAATTCAGCCTGGACCTGGACGAGCGGTGGTCCTGTATGTCAGGCTACCTTGATGCCTACCAGCGGCAGGTGGAAAACATGGCGCGGCTGAAGAACGCAGGAGCAAAAGGTCCGAGACCTGCTGCAGCTGCACCCTCTACAACTTCGAGCAAGTTGAAAATCGACGAGAATGTGATGACCATTTCGGACCCGGAAGCGCTGCGTGTCTCTCGGGAAAGGATGCAATCTACCTGGTGGGTCAAGCGGGCTCAGGCCGGGGCTGCCGGCGGTGAAAAGGTGTATGACCTGGTGAAGCAGCTCCGGGACTTGTCCGGGATCAGGGGCATTTTGAAGAAGCACGACTTGCTTTTTCCAGAGGAGGCCCCCCTGCTCGCCTGGCAAGGCGTCGACTTTTATTTCGAGGGCTACGGCGAGCACGGGAATAGAGGGTTCGTCGACGTCGTTACACCGCTACGGCTCATCACGATTACTTTTCTCTGCAATGCAGCGCTGGCGACTTCTGGGAGTAGTAGAGATTGCCCCGACCTGACCGCCTCGCAGGACGAGGTGGGCGCCGGGAAAGAGAACCAGGGTGTATTAAACGAAGTGACGGCAGTTATCACACTGCCCTGGTCGCGCATTGCCGTGTGGCGGGTCGCCAGCTACCCCCCCGGTGCCGCCGCAGCCCCACGGAAGGCGACTACAGTATGGGGTTCTCAAGCGTTACATTGTTTGCTGTCAAATGACTACTAGTCATTGTTATGCTGCAAGGTTATTTGTTCCATCAGTCTCGCTCTCGGTCTCCACATATTAATCAAGCTACTTCGCGTGACAAGTTCTCGATGCATGCGCTTAAGACCATAGAGATCCGTTCCAAATTTGTGATCGATGCAAGACGCGCAATGTTGGCGGCCTTTCACTTTTATTGCCATTTTCAAGCCACAAATAGATTTCTCATGTATAGGGCTATCTATTATGCAACGCTTGAGCATTACTCCATACTCAGCGTCCAGCCGGAAGATGGCCGGCGGCGACGAGGACGACGAAGAGGATGATGCGTTGTGCCGCCAGGGCAAGAACCGGTCCTTTTTCACGCTCCGCACCACGATTGGGTACGGCCCGCGATGGAACTGGGCCGTCGGGCCGTGTGTCAATCTGCTCATTTGGCAGCAGCTTCTGGCGTCGCTGGTGTTAGCCGCCGACTTCACTAACTTCGTGCAAGATGCCGACGCTGGAGTTCCTCCTCGCGCGTCGCGGGCATTGCCCGTCCAGTTGGACGCTGACGGCGAGGATGACGACGGCGCTGTGGAGGAGGACGAACAGGGCGTGGCCCTGGGAGCTTTGGCTCGGGACAACAGGGTGCTGCAACAAATGGGCATGTATCAAATGCGAATATGTCTGGGTCTAGAAACTTGTGATGCTGGCTTGGGAATGGTGGACACTACACTGCAATACAACGCAGCCAAGCACGTTGACAAGTTCTTGAGCTGCTATGTGTTGCGCTTGCCATCGATCTCGTTTGGTCTCGCGAAAGTTCCACCCCCCCCGAGTGGGAGTAGGGGGTTTTCAGGTGCGAGTTCTGCATGGCAAACTGCGCTTTTGCATGACAGGCAAGAAGCTCTCATCCTGCTCATGCATCACAGAGTTATAGGGGTCCGAGTCATGAGAGACGAGCATGACAAGCTTCCACTCTTCCAGACCCAGACATATTGGCAACGCATAGCATGGGCGTCACCAACATGGTTTTGCAGAGGAATTTAGCAAAAGCCGCGGCGGGAAAAATAAGCGGATGGATCAAGGAAATCGCGCAGCGTGCCCGAGGAGGGAAGAAGGGTCCCTCTGATGTGACCATCGATCGGCAGGACGCGAGCGTGTATCCTCCGCAACAAAAGTATCGCACTCGTATGTAATCGCAATCATCCAGCAGGAAGATGATTAGACAAGTGTGGTTTTTCAAAAAGTCACTCACCATTTTGTAAAGAGATGCATAGCGTGTAGTCCTAGTATGTAGTAGGAGTGCGATACTTGTTTCGTAAAAATGCATAGCGTGCCCGCGCTCACGATTCGCGCCAGCACCACGAAAAGGGACCTGCTGCCGAAGGAGGTGGAGAAGAGGTTGCAATTCCTGCACGACTATCAACTGCAAATATGTCTGGGTCTGGAACAAATCAAATTCTCATGCTAAACCTGAATCATGTACAAATCTGTGTTGCATGATTACCAAAAGCTGTTCACTTTTGAGTTAATCGAGAGACAGTTTCTCATGCAGGATAGGCATGCCATTGCCATGTCTTACATACCAGACCTCATGGGTCATGGAAAACCTGCGTGACAAGTCTGGCATTCTTCCAGACCCAGACATATTTGCATTTGATAACGACGGCGACGAGGAGCACAAGCCGGGTATTTTCGCGCGCGCGTACCGGTGGTTCTCGTTGAAGGCCACACGCATCGTGTATCAAAATGAAAAATCCCCCTCCCCACATCAAAACGAAATTTCTGATGCTGGATTTGCGTACACAAATTTGCAGTAGTGGACTGCAGGCTCATATCATGCCAATTTAGAGTGAGAGGCTTTGGCCTAGGCGCTTAGCATGAGGAACGTCGATGCTGCAGGAGGCCCAACAGCATTACAAACCGTCTGCATAATGGGGCGGAGGCTATGGCGTTGCTCCTTTCTTGCAAGACAGATACGGCGACTTGTGGTCACAAATCAGCGTGAAAAACAGGCACAAATCACCTCCAGGGCTACGCGCGATCCCTCCGACGCTGCGTGTGGAAGGAGGATGTTCGGCGTGTCGGGGGTGAGGGACCCCTGACGTCTGGTAGATTATGTGTGTACCCGGTTTTGGTGTCAGATCTTGTTTTTCATGCGACGACAAGAGGGCAAACTGTTACATCCAAACAACTGATGACGACATTGGGTCTGTATTTCGTGTGTGGTCAGACTTCACACAGTACGACGCTGAAGTAATCGCTCTCGACCAGTTGCTGCAGCTGCTGCCGAGTCGGATAACGGCGTGCCACAAATTCATCTACATTTTCGTGGATTCCGACGGCGTACTACAAACACTACAGAACGAGGGGAGCAGACTGGAAAGCATGACAAAACTCCGCAACCTACTGAACAAGATCCTGCTATCCAGCCCGGACATCAAGATTGTACTACACTGGGTACCCTCGCACCGCAACTTCCGGCTGAACACCATAGCGGACAAGCTGGACACTTTCGCGACGGAGACTGCTGAGCCGGACCAGGACCCTCTCACTAAGAGGAGGGTGAAGATGATAGTGCGCGACCAGATCAGAAAGAGAAACGCAGCAGCAGCGGGCGATGAATCTCCGGAAGACGTCACCACCCTGCGAAGGGCGAGAAGAGTACAGATACTGGGGCGGGTCCCGCTCGCGGGGCTCAATCCGCAACAGCAACGTGGGGCCATGAGCCTATGGACGGGCGAAAGCTTCCTTCCTGCGGGGATGGTTTCCATCGACAGCAGGGGATGGCCGGTCTGCCGAAAGTGTGGCACCGAGCTGCGCGTCACTAACGCCTCGACCGGGGTCTGGGTCCGGGGAAACGAAGCGGAAAAGGACGACCCAAGGATTTTCACACGCCTCGTTGACCATCTGCTCGTCGAGTGTCCAGCAGCCCCGGATGCGAAAGATCATCACGGGAAGGATGCAGTGCAGCTCATCCGCAAGGAGTCGAAGAAGCAGCTCAACAGACTGCTAATTGCGGCGAACAAGCAGCAGGACCTGCTCCGAGACGCACAAACGTGGCCCCGCAGGGCGAAAACAGACAAACCCAGCCGGGAAGAAGAGGAGGACAACATTCCGGGCGAATGGATGGAGCAGGCCGCGGAGGCTGTGAAAAAGAGAAAGATACAGCAAGAGCACCCAGGGACATAGCCCAGCTGCTCTAGTCCTTCCCCTGGCGGTTTTCAGCTAAAGCATTTTTCTTCGAATGGCAAGAAGCAAGCTCTACAGCGCAAGCTCACTGACTATTCTCGACCATGCTCTTTCTTCTATTGTAAGTTTCCCGATTCAAGGATCCGTATCTGTTCAGAGGCAGTTCGTACTGTAAACGAGCTCAGACAGCAGTAACAACGTGCAAAAGTAATCAAGATCAAGATTAAGTTTTCGATTGATCATAACAGTTTTTGGCACGAGCTAAAATTCCATTTTTCTGGTACTTTTCCAGAACAAGCCTCCAGATAGTCCTTCAGATCAGAATTAAGGACAGTAGCATTTTTCTGGATCATTTATAGGCGTTGTCGACTTGCCAGTATCAAAGGTAAGGTCGATGTTCCCCGACTGCAGCAGCAGCGTTTCCCAGTGAGGTAGTCGCGCAAGGTCGTGGCGAGAGAGAGCGCGAGCTCGACTCTTTTCAAGAAAAAAAAAAAAGGAAAAGATCGCAAAAGAAAGTAAAGAAAACCCCAAAAGCGACACTAAGCAGCCTAGTCTCCGGGGTAAGAAGCGAAAAAAAAAAAAAAGGGAAGAGTGGAGACGTAGCTGCAGGTGGTTGGGCGACCTGGACATAACTTCGGTTCCCCAGGAAGCCCAGCGGCGTCTGGTTTACCGGGCTGCGACATCAAGTTGTAGCCTGTCTGGTTCCTTGGAACCTAAGGTCTTGTATTTCTGCCCGACTTCGAGAGATCTCACGCTGAGATGCTCCCCGAAGGTTAGTCGGAGGCTGATCAGGTGGCAAGTCGCCGCCCTGTTCTGTACGCCATTGCTGATGAGGTGGTTGCTTTGGCTGACTCCAATTGCACGGCCGGTCACCGCTAAAACGGGTGGTGCCTCGCTCTGCAAGATGCTTTAGAGTTACACTTTGAAGCAGACATTTACTCGCAGTAATCTTGACAGTGCCCAGACAGTTTCTCGCCCACCTAGAGGCGAACACACATGTTGTTTTTCATGCGACGCCAATGCCCCCTTTGTGCCCTGGTGGCACGGAGGACGCGTTGCATTTTCTGGGACCACGCAAATTCTAGCCTGCGAGGGGGGGAAGCGAGCAAAAAAAAGTCTGGCCTGCGGATATCGGGAGGAAAACAGGCAGAAATCAGCATGGCAAATTCTCTGAGGCGTGCTTTTTCATCGATATGGGGAGGGGGAATTTTTCCTTACGATATCGTGACGGGGGGGAGCAGCAGTGATTTGTACTACGTGCCCGAGCCGAAGGATCTTTACCACGCGGACCTGCCCGCCCTGGTCTCCGACCTGTTCTCGGGCGAGAAGATCGAGCTGGCCCTGGAGTCGTACACGGTCACCGTGCTCTTCACCAGCTATCGAATCTTGTACTGGAAATGGAACGAGAACGACGACAGCCACGAACTGCACGTCGTTTTGTACAAAAACGTCATCCGGTGGAAGTTGACCACCCAAGCCCGGTTTTGGGACCGCAACGAGGAGCTGAAGATTTTCCACGGCTACGGCAATGAAAAAACCGAAGTGCTGGAGCTCACGTTCGACTCCACCCGCCGGGAGCCCATCTTTGCGGCCGCGGCGCTCATCAAGGGACACGTGCAAGAATACCACGACAACGAAGTACGCATGCACCACTTCTACGTGCAGAATTGTGCCTGGGGAGGCTGTGCTGGCACCAACAACCCGGGGCATCAACTGTGGAAAGTCAATAAACCCGCCAACCAACGGGCGAGGACCGCCGAAGAGTTGCGAGAGCACCAGGAAGCGTCCGAGCGGGAAGCTTTTCACGCCGAGGAGGTCGCGAATGCAGAGGGGACCGTGAGACACCCGGTCCGGATTAGCGGGCCGCAAGCGGAAGAAATGGAAGCGAAGTTCAGGGACGAGGAAAAAGATCGAAGAAAGCGCGTGAGGCAGAGAGAAAGGGAAGAAAGAAGACGCGATCGGGTATTGTAAGGAAAAATCCCCCCTCCCCATATCGAAAAGGCATGTTTCCGAAAATTTGCGTTGCTGATTTGAGGTCACAAATCACGTCTGTCTCGCAAGAAGACAAGGGCAAAAGCTTCGCCCCCATTACAGAGGCGATTTGTCATGCTGTTGGGCCTAGTGGGGAGCCGTTTGCCAAGCTGAACAACTAGACCGATACGGCCCTACATAGCCTGGGGATCTGGCCGCGATGCCTTTCTGCAATAGAAAGCCGATTTGTGTACACAAATCCCGCATCACAGATTTCCATTTCGATATGGGGTGGGGGGATTTTTCCTTTTGATATCGGGAGCAGCAAGCGGCCCGCAAGGCGAAGGACGACAAGAAGTTCGGCGGGAAGCTATCCCTAGTAAAAACGTACCCACACCAGAGTTGTAATGCAGATTTGCAAAGACAGAAAGACTTGCAATGCGCATCCCCATGAGAGCCATTCCCAATCGTGTTTTGGATTTTGTGATGCTGTGAACAGGATGAGCAGATGAATCTGTGACGCGGCTGCACTTGCTAACCTGCACTACACTGCAGAGTGCAACTTGTCATGCGTGACTCACAAAGCTCCTAGGTTTGTGTTGCAAAATCCCCATCCTGACGCTGGTGTGTGTACGTTTTTACTCAGGATAGAAGCAAGAAAGGAAGTCGTACCAGGAACGGTGGAGGGCCTGGCGGAACAAGAAGGAAACAGAAGAAAGCAAGCGGGAGAAAGAGGAAAAGAAAAAGAAACAGGAAGAAAGTAAATACGTTACGGTTAGTGGGGTAAGGGCCGAGAAACAAAAAACAACGTGGAGGGAAAAGGTTCAAGGTTGGTTCTCCCGTTGAGGACCGACCGCATCATAAGTTTCCGATCCTGTGGTCCCCCCGGAGGTGATGTTGAGTCTACTTCAAGAACCATGTCCTCGACGTTTCTGTAAGCACTTGCTCTGCCGATTCATTCATCCCGTTCCTTTATCATATCTCAACGTTTCATCTGTAAGCACTTGCTCTCTTCATCGCCCTTGTATGAGTACTACCCGGCTCGTCTCATACTTTTGCGAATGATGTTATAATTCGAAATCGAAATGGAAGTGCACGTTAGTTCATGTTATTTGTTATGTATGACAGGCCCAATGAAAAAATGAGTCGGCTTCACTCTACTGACCTTTTTTTCTGGTTCTTCAGTTGCAGCTGCAACTCGCACGGCTATGGTGCCGAAGTGTAAGAAATACTTACTATTTACAAATTGATCACAAAGAAATGTATAAAGTATAGCGAGGACAGGACAACTGTAAGTATAATCTCGAGAAGTTTCACGCCTATAATATGAACATAGCCGCACGATTTGGTAGTGCAGTTTTGTTGCCTATGCTTAGACCCTGCATCTAGGTGGACGAAGGTTGATGGCATGAAGTGACCCACGAACCTATTTGAATCTTAAAGCACGATTTTCATGTACGAAAAGGATGCGGAAGAATTAAATGCAGACACTTCTTGGAGTACTCTGAGGACACAAGGACTCATCGCTATCAAAATCTAGTACACGCAGGGTCGTTCTCGTCTTCGTCTCAATTAACCTCCTGCTTCACGTCCTCCGATTCTATGTATGATTGTCGGTCGTTTTTCGCCATCGCCTCCTGCAGTTGAAGGTTTAAATCGATTGATTCTTTTATTCGGGTCGTCGTGATCTTCGTTTTGCCATTATCGATAGTGTTTTACTAGTGCCGACATTTATTTTTGACTCTCTTTCACCACAGAGAAAATTTGAAAATCTATGAAAATTTTCACAAAATAAAGCGGGATGAAGCTTGAATGGTTTTTTTCTTGAAGTAGAGCATGAGCAAGAAGTCTAGATGAAATTCGTGTGCTGGTCCTGGACGAATATACATGCAGCACCCTCCTGATCTCGTCCTCTGAAGATTTAATGATTTATTTTCTCCAGTTCTTTGTGAAAAAGTGCCCCGAAATACATCATCAAAATTACTCTCACGAATGGGTTCCCGTCGGGAGGAGTATTTGCGCCGTCGCACGAGCCACAAGCTCCGCGAGTGGGTTGTTGTATCGTCCCCGGCGGGTCGTGAGGGTGGTGGAGAAGAAGGGACTACTACACGACAAAATGATCTTCATGCCAACACAACTTCAATCGACCAAAATGCTGCTCTCGACGCAGAGGAGGACCACCGTAACGAGGACCACCGTACGAGTACCGGGCGAGGACCTCCTCCTGTTCGCTCAACATCTTCGCGGCACAACAAGAACCGTAGTTCCTCATCGTCTTCCGACCTCTTGGAGGAAGATCGGCAGGACCCCGTGACTGTCTCCAAGAACTTCAAGATCGAGCTGCAGTCGGACGCTTTTGGCACCAGCTCCGCGAAGCAACTGCTCGCCGCAAGGAGCAAGCAGCAGGGTCCTTCGAGTAAAGAGTCAGAAGTGCTGTCGTCTTCGATAGTCGGTGGAGCCGTGTCCTCTGCCAGCAACAAGAATTCGCTGGAGTCTCGCATCGAAGGTTTGAAGCGGGAGACGAATCTGATGAAGCAAAAGTTGGAAACGAAACGAAACGCGCGGGCGAGAAACGTTGCGTGGGAGGTGCCCACGACTAGTTGTACAGGAGATGAAGAACAAGTAGAACCCAAAAACGTCACAAAGAACACAAATGCAGTTTCCGTGGCGCCCAAACGACCGGAATCGGTTTCGCGCCTGCGTCCGCCTCAACAGATTAATACCGTGCATCACCGTGTAAGGAACATTGCTAGAAGCGATCAAGGCGGCCGCGATGGGCAAAGAAATACGAAAGTAGAGACCACACACCGCCGGATGAGCTTGCAAGAAAGAAATCCAAATTCCGCATCGCGGTCAGGTGCGTCCTCTTCAGCCTCTTCGTCTGAAATTGAGACCATGGGCGGGACGCGTGGATTAGCACAACTACCGCGAGATGATTCAGCTCATGAAGTACGAGCAGCTGGGCTGTCCACATCCTCTGCTTTTTTCACCTCCTCATCTTCCGAACAAGAAGTCCAAGTCGAACCCGTCCCCCACCCCACCTCGATCGACGACGAGCTTCTGCTGGGCCGGCTGTTGCGTCTGGCGCTCGGGCGGGAGCTGTTGGGCAGCTGCAATGACGAGAGGAACAATATTATGCACAATCTGAATAAGTCGGTTTTGCTGCAGGCTGTGGAAGAAAGGGAACGTGCGACAGGAATTCCGAATGGCGCGGCAAGTTCAGTATCAGTTTCAAGCAGCTCGAAGCGCAGCTGCAACTCCAGTGTAGTGTCGACCTCGAAAACGTCCTCCAAACTGATTTATCCTGGAGATGGTAGTTGTGCATCAACGTCAACCGTGGTAGTGGCACCACTATCGACGAAACAAGCGGCAGGCGAACATCAAGACGAGCCAAGTCTCACCCTCGTCGATGCCAGCCTGCATCTAGCGGACGCACCGAAAAGTCCGGAACTTTTGCGCCAGACCAGTCGGCTTCCGGAAAGTTCAAATAGTGAAAATAAAGTAGCAGGTGAAGGTGGAGGGGAAAATGAAGCTACTTCTAGCAAACGAACGGCGACGTGCAGGAAAAAATCTTCTAAAGAACCGCTGAACACGACCAGGGACGAGGTCTATGCTGAGGAAGTTTACGGAACTGCTAGTACTATTGCAGGAGACGAAGAGCCGCAGCCGGCGAAAAGTATGACCAGCGCGAGCAACAGTAACAGCAAGGAGATCACCTCCAAACTACGCCCTGCGAGTGCGCCGGCGCACAAAGTATCAAAACAGGAGAGAAGAAGATCGTCTTCATCAGGTTCCTTTACGCCGGTGGTCGCGCAGAACCCGGAAACCATGACGTTTCACACCAGTTTTCATTATCAGTCTTCCCCGGAAAAGAGTGAGACGGAGAGCTTTTTGGATCGCAGTAGTGTTAGAAAAGGAGAAGTGGTGGACGTCGAGCCGAAGAAGAAAAAGAAATCCTTAACTCTGGTTCCGGAACTTCAATCTAGAACGGTGAGCAGTGGTGTGGTACACCGAGGAAGCAAAACATCGACAACCGCGACCCGCACTAGCAAAGAATCAGCAAATGACTCAAGTGTGCAAGTAGTTGTACCACCACCAACTCTTCCTGTCAGATCCACGAAAAAGCAAGAGGCGAGAAAGCAGGCGGCGAGCGCGAGGCAGCAGGCTATGGAAAAATACGCGAAAAACGCTAGTACGGGTAGTACTTCTACATCTGGGTGGAACAGAGTTGTAAAACAAGAAGGCGCAGAACTGGCCTCGGAAATAAACAAAGATCCATCCATCAGTGCCACTACAAAACCCAGCATGTCGAGTGCGAAAGCCAAAACTCCGGCCCGGCCGAAAGCCACCCCGGGGTCGTCCACGAGGGGAACAAACGCGGAATCCAGCAAATCCGCACTGCAGTTGACTGCTGCAGAAGTTCTTGCTCCAGATAGAATCGACGCTGATGCTCCTACACAAAGAACATTTCAACGCGTTGCTTCCAGCACGACCGAAAAAATCGATCCAGAGACATCAAATTCAGCTGCGACTGCGAGAAAGAAATGCTCAAGCGAAGATATTGGCTGCATGGTGAAGAAGGAGTTTACCAAAGTGCAGCCGGGCGAATTTTCTGTAAGCGATGCTGCGAACTCCCTGCCACCGACGCGGTTGGGCTCGAAGATAGTACAACAGGAACAACATCAATTCGCAAACATGATTAAAGCAGGCAGCAAAGAGCACAGAAGTTGTAGTTCTTCAAAAAACAGTTCTGAACTATTAACATCTTCACGAAGGAGCGCTTCCTCGTCCAAGAAGAGCAAGTCGAGCAGTGGTTGTGTATCCATCTCCTCTTCGGCCAGCAGTACGGCGACGAGATACGATACGGAAACAATCCGAAACCGGAAGCTTCTGCTGGACGGATTAAAAATGGAGAACAATACAACTGAGAACGGTGGACCTGTCCTCGAGGAAGGTGGAAATTTTGACGCAAATGGTGGTCCTACTACAACATCAGGAACAGCGCAGGAGGACGTCGTGAACAAAGTGCAGTGGTTGTTGGAGCAATTTGCGACGGAAGTGGATGCGATTGAAAGCGAAGTTCAACTGGACAAAGGGCATGGTGAACAAGGTCAACATGATGAAGACAACCAGAACTACCAAGCAGGAGCTGCTACAACGCAGAGAAGAACTGCATCAAGGACATCAAAGCCGACATTGAAAAAGAACAACTTCCCCCGGTGCAAATCCGCTGGCGTGATAGACACGGCGCGGAAGCAGTATTTTGAGAGCCACGACGACTATTTCGCAGTGAAAAACAACAAAATTCTGGACCGGGACGGTAAGGTTGTGCAGGAAACGAGAGAGCCACCAGTAAAAATTCTGGCTGGGATGAAACAAGAGGATCATGATCATGATGCGTGGTCCTCGTCGTCGAAAATGTCTAGACCTCGGACCCCGCAAAGGCCCCGAGCCTTCTCCAACGTGCAGAGCCGCCTGCTGGAACCTAAAAAAAATACTAGGACGCCTTCATCCGCTGGGCGTCATGAAGACAGGCTGATCGAGCGCCAGGCGAAGGAGTTACCATCTGGCGAAACCAATTTATTTTCCAAGAACACGACTACGAGAAGTCAAAGCAGTACCTCCCTTGATACTAACCGTGTTGCGAAGAGACCGACGACACGTCCGAGTAGGTTGTCGACCCCTACCACGCAAATAACGTCTGACGTAGGAACAGAGAAAGTTACAGCATCTTCAGACGAGACGACGAGAACGGGAGTCGCGGTTCTTGACTGTCGTGCTGCTAATCGTAGTTCAAGAACTTCTTCTGCGACGGGGACTACTACAGGTGAACAAATCAGAATCTGTGCAGCTACCACTTCTCGTGTACCATCCTCCGCACAACTTCTACAGGAAATACAAGATGATGAAAAAGAGCTTCCTTCTCGTTCGAAGTCCTGCTACACCAATCGGTGGGACCGGCTATCGACACAACGGTCCACAAGAAATATTAAATTCCGACCGGCACTAGACACGCCGAAGGAGGTTTTAGACGCGCCACCGCCGTTCAGTTTTAAGCCGACGTTGCGGGCGACAGAGGTGTTTAAGGACGTGAAGCCGCGGTACCTGCAATCAGCGGACGAATACGTGGAAAGGAGACACAACCAGATACACTTGGAGGTATTAAGTTGTACCACTTATGAGTGTCCGTCGTAGAAGTGTTTGTAGAGGGTTTCTTTCAATCTAATTGTGATTCTCATTCTCTCAGGTAGTTTGCTCTGCGCTTGGGCTTCGTGCTGCTACAGCATGGCAGAAGAGCTTTGCAGCAGTCATAGGATAATTCTATTGTGCTGATACTGATAGATAAATACTAAAAAAAAACGAAATATGAAAAAATTCCAGCTCCTAGAGGAAGAGGAGAAGCGGCTCCGCGCCGAAGCAACCACGCCCTCCGGTGTGTCGCGCATGAATATGAGTCAGTCGACGTTCGAGAAGCAGAATACAACAAGTACCACGGCAGGAGCCGCCTTTGCTCGCGACCCGGACCATGTGAATTCGGATGACGAGCGGGAAATGAAGAAGCAGTTTAGAGCAAATCCGGTGCCGCAGTTCAAGCCGCAGCACGTGAAAGGACAGTACAATCACTTCCGGTTGCAGCACGCGGCACGGGCGGAGAAGGAGCGGAAGGAGCAGCTGGAGTCGAAAATGACATTGCGCCCCACGACACTGGCTCCATCACCGACCAAGTACAGAACCAGGCGGCCAGATGTACCCTACTGCTGATGTACAATGATGTCGGATTAGCATAATTAGACAGAGATCGAGATGAACTGAACAGCGCATGTAGAACGGGTGCTGAAATAATTAACGCGACGTGACCACTGTGTAAATGTGACTATCTCGGAGACGAGGACGAGATATTAGAAGACCAAGGCAACGAAGAAACCAAGTTTAGAACTTAGCACGAAGAAAATGTGTATCTTTTGAAAGTGGGTCCAGGTGTTGTGCGCCTACCCTTCCTTATGTTTCACTTTGAGATGTTGATCAAATTCAAAACGTATTGAAAAAGCCAAAGCTCATCTATAATTGGATACCAAAAATAAATATCAGAATATGTTTCAGTTTCAGCAAGAACATCAGGGGCGACCAAGTTTTGATTTGAACACATGTACAAAAATTTAAATATCAGGAGAAAGTTGATGTTGAACGAGTTTGCCGCTGGGTGCGTCGTGTGTGCCGCTCCGGCGATTTTCCTGTCGTATGTTGTGTGGGCCATCGTTCGGCGGATTACTGTGTATCGGTAAAAAAGACTCCGTACTGGTACTACCCGTAGTCTCTCTACTTCGGCGAGGGAGTCAAACACCGAGCGAGGAAGGCAACTTCCGTACTTTGCCATGCGACGTCGCTCTTTGGCAGTGAGTAAAGTAGATTTAGATTATCGAAGTTTGCTGTGGTCCTCGTCGATTTCGTGCGCTGAGCTAGAACGCGAGGACAATTTTTGAGTGCGCACGGAACAACTGCGAAGACGAAGTTTTCCTTCGAGTTTTATCCTCAAGCAGTCTGATTCATTCGCTCAACAGTTAGTTTTGTTCTGTCGACTGGTATATGAAAAACTGGAGACGTCGTTGTAGTTGTTATTGTTTTATCGAGAAGATGTCCGCCCGCGGCGTGATGTCCTCTCTGCCGCCGGTGTTCCAGCACCCGGCGAACAATTTCCAAGGACCCCCCATGAGTTTCAAACTGCAAATGGGGGTTTTGCTCTTGAAGTTTCTGCTTTACCACATCCCCTTCTTCCTCTTTATGTGGTACCTCTGGGTGACGGAGACCTTCATCCCCAACCACTACGCAGACCTCCTGTACGTGTTACCCTTGAGCATGACGGCTGTCGAAGCGATCCCGTGGAACAAGTGCACGCATCCGAAGAATCTCAAGTACATCTTGCCTTTGCGCGTTTCGTTCCCGTTTCGCTTGGTGTTCGTCTACATTGTGCAGATTTGCCACATCCACGTCTTGACCTCGTTTTTTCAAGTCGGTGGTACCAAGTCCTCGCTGAGCGGCGGCGGGCCGTGGCACTTGTTCGGCGCTAGTACAAGTAAAACTTCGTCTGAAGATTCCATCATCGCGACGGAACAAAATTCAGAATCGCGGCCGAGCAAGAAGGCTTTGGGTGGCATGATGAAGAAGACCACAAGCCAGCAGGAGCGCCAAGACGGTACTGCTCCGACGTCTGACAGCTCAGGACCGCTACAAGATAGTACAGCAAACAAAAACGGGAACGGTCCAGGCAACAACAAGGAAATCATTCCATTGCCGGGGGAAGACCCCGTCCCCGCGACACCGAAGTTGAAGACTATGTCGGTCATCCTGCCCTGCGCCGGCGAGGGCGAGTACGCGTTTAAGACCGCGCGGTCCATTTTTCAGTCGTGGGACATCGCGAAGGGCGACGACGAGAACGACGACCATCCTACCCTCCACGAGATTATTGTGGTGGACGACGGGACGCAGCCGAAGTTAGCCGATACGCACCTGCCGGAGCAGGTCACAAAAGACTACCGGATCAAGATTGTCCGGAACGACCGGACCGTCGGCTTGATCAACGCGAAGAAGATCGGGGGCGACCACGCGACGGGCGACATTTTGACCTTCTTCGACTGCCACGTGGCACCCCAGAACGACTGGTACGTGCATTTTTTCGAGAAAATCAACGAGAACTACAAAAGGATCGTCGTGCCGTCCATCACCGCCTTGGACTTGAACACCTGGAGCCAGCAGGGCCGGCACGAAGCGGGCGTGGCCAAGTGCTACTTGACGTTCGACGCGGATTTCAAGTGGTTTAACTCGGATGATGACTACGTACCCCTCCTCTCCGGGGGATTGCTCTCCATGTCGAAACGGTGGTGGGAGGAGACGGGCGGGTACGACGAATTCATGAAGGGCTGGGGCGGGGAAAACATCGACCAGTCGCTTCGGACCTGGCTGTGTGGGGGCGAGATGATCACGTTGCCCCACGTGCAGGTGGCGCACATGTGGCGCGTGCACTCCGACCCGCGGACGCAGCGGAAGTATTCCGTCCCCGGGAACTCCGTCACCGTGAACCGGTTCCGGGCGGCGAAGGCGTGGATGGGGGAGTACGCGCAGAAGATGGAGAACGAGTTCGGGTACGGGCGGGGGCAGCGGGGGTCGAACTGGTACGGCGATTTGGCGAACTTGCTGTCCGTCAAGCAGTATGGATTGCAAAAATGTCTGGGTCTGGAAGATTCCGAGATTTGTGATGCATATTTCTCATGACCCATGATGCCTGTAATGCATGACCTAGCATCACAGACTTTTAGAGGGCTTCCTGATATGCCTCCCGCATGAGAAATGCCCTGTCCGCGTAGCACAATAAACTGGACCCCTCTTGCTGGTCATGCAATACAATTTTTCCTAGAATCCAGAAACAGCGTGATAAGTTGCAAGCTTCCAGACCCAGACATTTTTGCAATCCATAAACAGAAGAACAACTGCCGGGAGTTTGGGTGGTACTTGAACCGGTTCCGCCACGTGTACATCGACGGGGGCTTGATCCCCGAGCACACGTTCCTCATCGAGCAGGTCTTCAACGAAAATGGGAAAGTCGCAGGAGCAGCGCAGGAGTCCTCCTCAAGTACTAAAATAAATCAGAAGAAAAAATTATGTCTTACCTATTTGCGCGGGTCCGGCACGTCGTCCGATGGGAACGGGGAAGTAGGTTTCAAGGATTGCGACCCGCGAAACGACCGGCAGCGGTGGCACTTGGCGAACTACAGGAAGGGGTTGCGTGCGTGGAACACGGACCAGTGTCTGGTCGACCGGGGCCAGAACAAGTTCCAAACCTACATCTGCGACATCTCCGGGCGGGACATTTCGGAAAATTTCAAATTTTTCCCCGACAGCAGGTACGGCAGCCGCGAGGCGTGGGCGGAGAAGCCGGTCCTCGAGATGGAGAACACGGTAGGCCAGATGGTGATGGGCATGGGGGAAGCCACCTGCGTGAACCAGTTCGGCGCCAGGTACAGCTGCAAGTCAGATGTGAATCCGGTGTTCCGGCTGCGGGACTTCAAAGTACCCCTGGAACGGGAACTGTTTGTGAAGCAGGGGTTCGCGTAGAAGCAGGGTGAGGAAGATGTTCGGTGGAGCTTGCTGGTGTGGTTGTGTGTTTCTTGTCGATCATCTGAGGAAAAGAGCAGTTGAATGCTGTCACGCCAAGAAGACTTTTTTACGGAGAAAATGTTCTTCCGGAATAAAGAAGTGATGAGACGAACATACAAAAACCAGGCACGGCTTGTTTGAGAGCAGGAACCTTTCGCGATTTTGGTGTACCTAGTAAATGCAATGGCAGAGTAGAAAATGAAAATGCTTTTTATGTGGAGGTGGAGACTGTAGTGTGGGCATTTCAATGTCGCCTTCCTTCGCGCTTGCTGTTCATGCGCTTGCGCTGTCAAAACTATTATGGTTGCGATGTTGTTCAACAAGCGCGTCTACCTCCAAGCTGCGTCAAAAAAAGCTTCCACCAGGTAAAGAGATTGACGCGCGCTGAATCCGGTCAAGAGAAGAAATGAAAAGTCCCGACTTTGTGGCTGACGTTATAATTGATTGCGGGCACAGCCACCTTCACCTAGCATCACTTCGGCTTCATCATTTCAAAAAAATCTCGGTCTTTGCACTTTTCGTAGAAAATTCTGTCGGGGCACACAAAAAATCTCGGTCTTTCCGAAATAAAGAATTCGTACACTCACATCGTCCATCACGATTTTTCTTGTGCCATCTACAGCTTCATTCGTCCAACACCTTTCGTCCGTGGTCGAGCGTTCGAGACTGACTACTCGTGCAAGAGCTGAATCTCACTGTCACAACCTCCTCAACATCTGTTAGCAGTGAAATTCGTTGTCACGTCTCTCACACTCCCCTGTAGACAACATCACACTCACACGCTGTGTGGTTGTCTCACGACTACAATCTCTAATCTATTGTCATCACTGTTTCATCACATCCGAAGGTACATAAGTATTAGGTTGAGATGAAGTACTTAATTCGTTCCTACTCTCTCAAGAACTCCTAATATTCGACAAAAAGCCTTCACCTTTATCCGAAAATGCCGACGAAGCCGAAGGAGCGCAAGGACCTCGGCAACGTGGACATCGGGGACTTCAACCGGGATGTCTATCAAAACGAGAAGGAGCTGGACGCGGCCGGCCAGGCCGTGGCCCGGGAAAACGCCATGCTGTCGGGCGCGGTCCTGCTGGTCGGGGTGCAAACCGCGATCGAAAACGGCGCCCTGGAGGACACGTGCGACGCGGTTGCCGGCCTGGAGCAATTCGCCAAGGACGGCGCGGAACTGGCCAAGCCGGTGCTGGAGTTTCTCCGGGACGGTGCGGCGCAAATCGCCGCGGAACTGAACGAGGAGAATCTGAAACTGCTTTTGAACGCCTGCAAAAATCTGGGGGAAATGGGACTCGAGGCCTTTCAGGTAGGGACGGATTTGGTTTTTGCATCGGACGATCGACATTTTGATACGTTTAGTAGATGTTCATATGATGAACATGAAGATCATTTGTTGATGCATATTCATATTCTCGATGACCACAGCACTAGCACTAGCAGCTGCAGCACGTGCGCCGTCGTGTTACAGATGATCACAGCACTTCTCAATCTGTACATCTGAAAATAAACGAAAAACCCAGGTTCTCGGCGCCAAGATCGCGGAGGGTGCGCAGGCGGCCGGCAAGGCGATCGAGTCCATCGATTGGGAGACCCTCGGGTCCGACGCCGCTGCCATGGCCAAAGCCGCCGGCGAGGCGATGAAGGAGGCGGGCCGGACCGCCGGAAAGCTGATGTCCGACGCGTGGGAGCAGCTGACCGCCGACGAAAAGACGGAGGCCGCGGGCGGCGACGAGGAGAAGGCGAGCGGCATCAGTAAGGGCTTGGAGGAACTGTCCAAGACCGGGTCCGGGCTGGCGGCCGACGCGATCGAGGTGTTAGGGAACGTGTTGGAGAAGATGAAGGACGAGGCGGTCAATTTGTTGCAGAAGGCGGTCGGGGTCCTCGCCCGCGCGGGAATCGACGACATGTTCAAGCAGCTGTGGGAGAAGCTGTCGGAGCTCGTCGGGCAACTGGCCGAAGCCGGCCGCGCGGTCGCGCCGGTGGTGCTGGAAAACATCGGGTCGGCGGTGGACGTGGTCCAGGACTTCGGCGCGGAGATGATGAACGGCGCCGCCGCGGAGGCCGCGCGGGAGAACGCGGCGGCGGCGGCCGGGATCCTGCTCGGCGCGCTGGAACAGGTGCCGGACGTGGCGGAGGACGCGGTTAGCGCTTTAAACAAGATGAAATCCGACGCCGCACCCTTGGTCGGGAAGGCGCTGGAGCAGGTGAAGGGCGTCCTGGATGCGGCGGTCGCGAAGTTGGCGGATGTGGACGTGGACAAACTGCAAAAAGCGGTCGCGTACGCCGCGCAGTCCGGGATGGCGGGGATGCAGGACTTGTTCGCGGCCTTGAGCAGTGTTGTGGGCGCCGCGATTTCCGCGGGCAGACAGGCCTTGTCCCAGGTGGAGATGCCGGACCTCGAGCAGTTCAAACCGCTTTTGCAGAACGGCGCCGCCATCGTCGCGTTCGTGGCGCTCGCGCCCGTCGGGCTGACCGCGGCGATCGGCATTGCGGCGGCGGAGCTCGCGAAGGACGACGTGAAGAAGGCGGGAAAGATGATGCTGGAGGCGCTGGACAAACTGTACGCCGAGGGCCAGGAGGTCTCGGAAGACGCGTACAACGCGGTGAAGCAGATGGCCGAGGAGGGCGCGGCTCTGTCGGGCGAGGCGGCGACCGCGGTGTCCGGCGCGGTGGCCGGGTTGCTGGAGAAGATCCCGGACGTGGACGTGGAGGACCTGCAGCGCGCGGTCGGCGCCGCGGCGAAGGCGGGCATCGAGGGCATGCAGCAGCTGTGGGACGTGTTGTCCGAGGCGGTGGACGCCGCCGTCGCCGCCGGCCGCGAACTGGCTAAGGTCGACTGGGAGTCCATCGTGGTCGCCGGCGGCGACTTCATGGCCCAGGGCGCGGAGATCGCGGCCAAGGGCTTCGGGGAGCTGGGCGACGTGTACAAGGTGGCGCGGTCCGAAGTCACCGACGCGATCAACGCGTTGGCGGGCGCGACGGTCACCGGCTGCGCCGCGTGCATGGACTTGATCAAACTCGAGATCTTCCGCGACGTGTTCCAGGCCCTCGGTCTCTTCTTCTCCAAACTCTTCGCCGGGCTGTCCGAGGGCGCGGGCGCGGTCGGGGCGGCAATCTGGGGGTTCGTCGGGAACCTGATCGCGATTGACTGGGGCGCGATGATTCCGGTGGAAACGCTGATCATCATTGGCATCGTTCTGTTAGTCATCGTGGCGGTGCTCGTCGTCATTTCCTTCGCATACTTCCTCTACGTCGCCATCACGCAGCAACAGGACGAACTGCGCGAGGGCCACGAGGCGGAATCGTGGTCGGACAAGAAGAAGACGCAGGGGCGGAAGGTCTGGTTCATGACCCAGGTGCTGACCGCGGCGTTGAGTATCTACCTACCTTTGACTCGTACCTGCATTGAGATTCTGTACTGCGATGTGCCGTTTGACCACCAGTTGAAGGACGGACTGAAGGAGGACATGTTTCGGTGCGACAGCGGCCTGATGACGGGGATCGCGTACTTCTTCGGAATCTTCTTCGTCATTCCGTTACCAATCCTCGCCTTCTGGCTGATCTCGAAGAACAAGCCGCAGGGCTCGCCCGAAAACCCGGATCTCACCTACGACGACGACGGCATCGAGGTGGAATTCACCGACAAACTGTACCACGAACGCGTCATGACCGATCCGGACCAGATTGCTTGGTATATGGTTCTTCTTTTAGATAGATGTTTTGAATGCCGATTGTGATTTTTTGCTTCTGGATCTACAGTAGTTATTTGGGCACGACATTCAGACTCCGTCTTCCTTCTGCAGCTTGTGTGTTCATCCAGGGGAGCGTGAATTGCGATTTTATTCGAAAAAATAAAGAAAATATTCTAGGCGTTTCCGCTCCTGAGAGTGAGACCTAAATGAGTCTAATCACCCTACAACTCCTACAGCCCCTACCGCTCCCTGTACATGGGGTTCGAGCGCAAGGCAGCCTGGTACAAGGTCGCCATGATGTTGTTCAAGCTCGCGCTGGTGCTGCCCGTGATTTTTCTCGCGAAGAAGTGGGACACCGCAGCCGCGCAGACCTCAGGCACAACGAGCGCGCCGGAAATGAAGGGCATCATCATTTACGATCAGTACCAGAAATGCATCGACAACCCAACTTCTTACCTCGACTTTACCGGACTGAGCCCAGGGGACGTCAAAATCACCGTCAGCCTCCACTACAGCATAAATAACCCGGGTGCTGTCGCAGATTTCAGCAAAGACGCCGCGGGCTGCAACGACCTCTTCAAGGACGCGTTCAGCATCGAGGACACCCCGGCGCAGGGGGGCGCGACCTTCGGTGTGGTCTTCGCTTTCGCGCTCCTGTCCTTCTACTTCACCCCCTTCGTGGACCCCAACAGCGACCGCATGGACATCATGGGCCGGGTCGCCATGTCGGCCACCACCCTGATTGCGGTGATCTACGCCACGGGCGTGAAGCAGGGCAGCGGCGGGGACATGGTGCTAGGGATCGCGCTGAACGTCGTGAACGCAATCAACTTCATTTACCTGACCTTCTGCATTGTCACCGGGTTTCCCTGCATCCGGTCGTGGTGGAAGAACAAGATCGGGCGGATCGACTTCTCCGACACGAGTTTCAAAAACCTCCGTTTTCTCTCCTGTAAAGAAGCAGTCCCGGACTGGGACCTGTACCGCGAGATCAAGCACCGCATCTGGCACGCGTTTTGGAACACGGTGTTGTTAAATGCCTGCGGGGAGGAGGTCGCGGCCCGGATGCTGGAGCTGAAGGAAAAAACCCGGCAGTTCGGCATCGAGAAGATCAAGATGCACTGGGCCGGGTTCAAGGACCCCAAGACCTTCGCCATGCGCATGGAGGCGCGGAAGCAGTACGAGGGGGTGGATCTGTACTGGGACGATGCGACGGGACCCTTGGACAAGAATCTGGACTCCGCCAGTTGCTTCGGGAAGATGTACATTGACCCCTACCCGTTCCACATGGTGATGGTCTACGACGACTGCGACGACGTGGCCTTTCTGTGGGGCCCGGAGAAACTGGAGCAGTTTTTGAACCTGCAGAAGCGGGAGGACATTGTGGCCAAGGTGTACAACCGGCGCCGGTTCCGCGGGCTGTCGTTGTCTGGCGGCGAATTCGAGCTCCCCTTCTCCCGGCAGGAGTCCGAGACCGTGCCCGATGGTACGAGAACGGTGACGGACAAGGACGGAAATTCGCACCAGGAGCAGGTGTTTTCGACGGTCACTTTCGAGTGTTACTACACGAACGGGGCCGTCAACGTGGGCGCGAACACGGACAAGAAGTTTGCCGCGGGGTTCGACGTCTCCATGACGTACCGCGATGGGTACGGCGACGCGATCAAACCGCGCACGTGCGAGCCGGTGCATTTCTCCAACAGGGTGGCGACCCTGGGCCGCGACCACGTGGGCCTGGACTCGTCCTTCGACCTGACGGACCGCATGAACGAGGTGTTCGCCGCCTCCCAGCATTTGTGGGAGCCCCAGCTGGAGCCTCTGCAGGAGGCCGCGCAGGCGTACCGGTCCGACCTGGTCGCCAGTTTCGAAGCGAAAAAGGGGATTTTGCACAACGGCTTCTGGTACTACGTCTACAACAACAGCCAGATCTCCCGGAAGGAGCTGCTCCAGTACATCAACGACTATGAAACCAACCCGACACTGAAAACCTTCCCGACGGACCACCAGGCGGGGCTGAACTTCCTCTTCCTCCGCATGCAGGCGGTGAAGCACCCGGTGGCGGCCTTCTGGTTCTGTTTGTGGGACGACATTTGGGAGGAAAACAAGGACATGGCGGCCTTGAAGGATTTGGAGGACGACATCGCGCCCACGAGCGGGAACTCCATCGCCTACCGTCCGATGGAACGGGAGAAGCTGCAGCAGTGGCTCGAGGAACGCAACCTGTGGGGCGGCACCAGCCAGGGCTGCTGCTGCTGCGGGGACTACCTGTTCACCGAGGCCATGCTGGACGTCATCTACGAGCGGTTTGAAAAGGAGAAACAGGGAGTGGCCGCCGGGGTGTAGTAGTCGAAGAGCCGCGTCTGGTCTCGGAAGATGACTGTTGGTGCTGAGGAGCGCTGATCGTTTTATTTCAGGGTCTGTTTAATATCATTGTCTTCGTTCATGGATGTGTACCTGCCGCATTAAATTTTCGCGTACATGTGCAACTTTTTAAAAGCAAAATGATAATAGTACAGCATGATACAGACAACTGTAGCTCGTCTTCTTTCACAATACAATAGATACAGAGAATACTTTTACGTGCTTGCAATAGAAGAAAAAAAGGAAAATAAGTAATAAGTCGATATGTGGGTCAACGATTTATATGGTAAAAGTCGCTAGCTCTACTAGCGGAAGCGGACGAAAACAAGTATTGTCCACCAGCTCGAGTTACCCAGAAAAACCCGCTCGTGTATGATTTGATAGTAGCACTATTAGCAAGAATGGGATCTAATTTTCGTGTTACCCTTGACAACTTCTCCCCTTGCACAGTGACATCAGAGGTTCGAGTCGCATCATCTGAGATTGATAAGAATAAACAAGCTCCTTGTAGCTTGTTTACTTTTTTTTTTATTGACGTTTTTAGTTCGCAAGTCGTAGCATGTCGTGCTGTACCCTGACTAAGACATGCTCTAAACGTTGAACTTGAACCAGGTCCCAACCCATTGCACGCTCCCCCCCCAGTGCAGTTAGATGATGATGATGATGATGATGACATACAGCACTCCTGTTTCAGTAATTCTTGCCTGCGCAGGTGCCTTTTCACTAGCTTTCTATGTATATGTCTCGGCGGACTAGTACAGCGCTTGCTTTTCGTTTGCAAGGACAAAGACTGTTGCAGGGCGGCTGCCTCGCCTGGTTGTTCTTCACACCTTGACAGGGGAAAAAAAGAAAAATTGATTGCTGTAGGTCCCGTTTCTGCTGAAAATGCAAATGGCAAGGAAAGATCCTTGTCCAGATGGTGCTGGAGTGGGTACTATTTCGGTCAGACGACTACAGGCCTTGTAGACTTTGTCGACACAAGTACTTGATGTGAGAAAGTAATTCGGTCGTGCATATTCGTTTTTTTCGTTCATCGTTCGTCGTGCGTCGTTCTTCTTGGTTGTGTTTTTGATGTCTTTACGTGGTTATTGAGCATCGTGATTGTTTTCGTGCTCTGCAACCGTTCGTACACGCGTTTTTCATTCGCAGCGCGGGCTTTTGCACTCGCAACACCTTTGATAATTTCGAAACAAACTACGTTTTCACGACCTTGCTACAGTTTTATCCCTAGTACATGATCCTTACAATCTTTTAGACGGACCTCGTAGCCGCGCCCCAAACCACTTCTAGAAGGAAAGGCTAAATACGACGTACCCCTGTCGAGGACTCCATTTTTTATCTTCGTTTTTTCCGGTTATTCTCCTGCCCGCTGATTTGTCCTTTTGCTTTTTCGCGATCTTCGCAGACAGTTAATATCTTTCCGACTTCCACTTCTAGTACTTGCAGCTGGTGTAGTATTAGTTACCCCACTTCCAGCAAGGGTGTTAGTCAGGTCAATTTAGAGCATCCCTTCATTTGCCACTTCGACGCCTGCTGTGGGGCATATATTAGCTCGTCACACGACCCGGCAAAAATATGGCGGACGGGAACGAGGCGACTGCAGTACAACCTCCACAGCCTGCGATCACGACCAATTCGGCCGCTGTTCCACCTGAGCTCGACAAGAAGAACTCCGCGCCGCCCCCACGACAGTTGCACCGGGGCCCGAGCAAGGAAGACGTGGAAATTGCGCAGCGGTGGAAGAAGGAAATCGAGCAGATCGAGGTAAAGGAAGAGTTGAAAGTGGTCAAAAATCTGTTCGGGGGAAGGAAATCCACCAAAGAACGGACAAAATCGATCGTCGAAAGAACTTCATCGGAAGAACGGACTGGGGCAGCAGCTCCTTCCAACAATTCCGCAAAAGAAGAACGCGAACAAGAAGACGACAGCTTTACCTTCAGCCGGTCCCTGCCCCGGGAAACGAGCGACGACAGTAGCTGGCAAATCAACACGAAGGAAATAGATGCGGATGGAGGAGGTGGTCAAGAAAAGCCGGGCGATAGTACCGCATCGAATCTGGATGCAACGCGGCTGAATCTAGTTGCAATTTTGAATCAGGATAAGAACAGTAATTTGGAAGATTTTGACGTCGACGTGGGGACACTGGTACACACGGTGGAACGCGAGGATTTTTCAGTCGAGGAGCGGGAGGATGCTCAGACGGACGCGGATTCTCAGGCTGAAGAAGCCGAGTCAGATATTAATCTGAGTAACCACGACGAGGACCCGATGAAATTCAATGACCCCAACCCAGACGCCTACCGTCCAGAGACCGTGAAGATTATTCAGAAACAGGTTGACGCAGCCTTTGTGTCTTTGTGCAAGCAGACTTTTTCCAAAGCGTTAGACCGGATCAAGCTCTATCACCAGGACGCGGATAGGCTCAGACAGTGCCGGGAGAGGCAGGCAGTCAGGGAGAGGAGGAAAAGGGAGGCGAAGTTGATGGGAAGTACTTCTACTGCTTCTTCTTTTATGGGGCGTGGTGGGAGAAGAAATTCAAGTACAAATAAGCCAGGCGGTGGCGGGAGTAGTAGCAGTAGTTGATTTTTTTTTCTATCATTTACCCTCCGTCTCCGTCCGCCTTCTAGATTAGGAGACGAGATGATTGATGGGGAGTAGATCAGATCATGGAGCGTAGTGAAAAACAAGGCATTGTCTTATTGCGATAAACTGAACCCGTGCAAAGATTTGCGAAGTGAATTATCGCTTCTAGATTTTTTTTTGGTCCGCAAATGAGTCTTATCTCGTGGAACGCCGGAATCGTCCCCAATAGACTCTCAGATCATGTTGAAACAGTACAAGAAAGCGACAGCGCGGTGATCGCGCCACAGTGTTCAAAGCTATCAAGGAAATCGACAAAAGTAGGATGTACAACCGCAACAATTTTTGTATCCAGCACGAGAAAGAAAGAGTAACAGTTCAACAGTCGATCTTTTTCTTGGTGCACATGAATTTTATGCGCCGATCCATTTGTACTTGCAGTAAGGGCATTAAGAGCAAGAAGATGAAGTTGTAATTCTAAATACTAAAAACACGAGAACGCAGGACACAGAAACACTGTACCCGGCAGAATGATCACGTCGTTGAGTCGCGAAACGACGTAAGTAATTTATAGGAAAAAAAAGCAAGTAGCTGCTAGCTAATGGCAAGCTTATTTCCGTTCACAGAAGTTCCGCGAATACGTACTGTAAGATCATGGCAATTCGATCTTCTTGTGTATGATAGTAATTTGTGCGCTGGCAATATTGGATCTTTGATAATCTGATCGCGGCGCGTTTTGGTGAAAAAAGAGATGCTTACGTTTTTACCCAAAAGATAAGCCCAACTGATGACGAACTAAAAAACAACGGGGATTTTCTCTAAGAATCCGCAAATTCACTTTATTTCTCGCGTGAGCACGTATACTGCTTGCTTTTATTGTTTCTCGACTTGTACAATCTACTAGTACTACGCATTGCATTGTGTGTCTGTTTCGCTCTTGATCCACCCCTTCTAGAGCGTCAATCGATCTCAAACTGCATAAATACTAAAAAAAACTTCAACAAAAAAATTTTAGGGAGCGTGGTGCCACGAGGTAGAACTACTTTTAGTTCTGAGACCACCGACGGAGCTGTATATATAATTGCATCTTTCATTATCTTTATCGAAGAAGCCCGGACAGGTAGTTACTGGTTTACAGCAGCTTTGATAAAGGAAAAATAAGGATCAAGATGACGAAGCAGACCGGTGTGGTGGCGAAGTGGTTGAACCACAAGGGCATTGGATTTATTACGCCCGACAGCGTGAAGGAGAAGGGCGACGCGGACTCCAACGCCAGCGATATTCTGGTGCACTTCCAGCACATTCAGCAGACTTCTGAGGACGGTTTTAAGTCGCTGCAGGAGGGGTCCCATGTTGAGTATGACTTGGAGGACGACCCGAAGCACCCGGGTGAGAAGATGATCGCGATCAACGTGACCGGACCGGGCGGTGTTGACTGCACCCCGAAGCGCAAGGGCGGCCAGGGCGGCGGCGCCGGCAACCCGGGGGGTAAGCCCAACAACAACAAGGGAAAGAAGGGAAAGGGCAAGGGAAAAAAGGGAAAGAAGGGCAAGGGCAAGGGAAAGGGTGGTTACGGCGCCAGCAGCAGCGACACCTACGAAGGCGAGGGGGAGCAACAGGAGTAAGTATTTATAGAGCTGTTCTTTGTAGTTCTTCTTGTCCGCATAAAGTAACTACGTACACTGAAACTGTTTCAAATACAACTAACGAACCTGCTGTCTGTAGTTGGCCAACGACTGCCGTGGTAGTGAATGATTTTTTTATGAAGATGATGCTGTATCCAATGGGTAAAAAATAAAAAACTCCTGCTCATCTACAGGTACTGAAAGTTCTCTACTTCTCAGGACGAACGTCTGGACAAGTGAACAAGAAAACTGCATCAAGCGGATGGGGTGGTATTAAGTCACAACAACAAGCGCTAGTAGTAACTAGAGTTTGATGTTGAAAATCATAGAAATCGGGCGACCGCGACAAAGTAAGTATTTGTTTCCGCCGGCCAGCAAGTAGAGCAAGGAATTTTTTTACTCGAGGCATGAAGAATTAATTTCCGCAGGGAGGAGCACCACGAGTGGAACACTAACCGAGACGATGTTAAGAAAAGGGACCACCGAGACGATGTTAAGAAAAGGGACGAAGCTGCAAATTGTTCGTAATCAGTAACAGTAGCTACGAATAAAGACGAGCAAGATGAGGATGATACGGATCGAAACCAGCGGCGCTACCACGGGAGCATGGATGCGTCATCCAGCAAGAATATCACCAGCACCTTCCTCTGTCTTGACCCAGCACTTTCTATTATAGGGATACAAGGAGTCGAGTTGAAGATCTCGATGGATAAGTGAAAACTACTTACCCAAAGAAAAATATAGCTGCCTCGTTCTTGTAATGTCTGAGAATGGAGGCCGCCTGGAGTGAAGCTTATTCGCTTTATTTTACCAGCATTTCCCCGGTTTTTGAGTTTTAGCCTCGCGTCACTGGAGAAGGAAGATGGCAGTGTGGTTCGAAATTCTCAAACAACTACGTGCTGGCCGCTAATGAGCTATGTACCAGGGGGAGGTTGCTGTAGTGTATCTTCTTGATATGTATGATATATGCCCTTTGTCCTGCATTCTTCACTCAGTCTTGGTCCTGCGAAAAGGAAGACTTCAATACCGAGATTTAGAAACTTGTACTTGTTTCGACTTGAGGGACCTCCGAAGAATTGCTTTCTTGTAGCTCAACCTGTTTATTCTATGATTTAGATTTTTAGTATGCTGCACTTTGAATATACGAAAATATTGATGTCGAGCACAAGCAAGATGGGTTTTTATTGAAGTTTCCTTGTGATCTTTCCGCGGGCCTTTTTTGTGTCAGCTATAGATCTTCCACTCTTAGCACGCATAGCACGTATGACGTTTCGAAAAAGATACAAAAAACAATGAGGATCAGCACTACTAGACAGACACTTGCGAGCAGGTTCCTCTGTGTGCACGTGTATTTATTATTTCTACAAGTACTATCACGGCACTGGCATAATATTGCAGCATATTTTTTTGAGAAAATCCAAATCGTAACGCACCCGAATCGCAGCTGTATCGATCTACATCTATTGGTACATTTTGCAAGAACCAGTAACAACATGAACTTTGTTGTAGGACAGCCTACCCGGGGTTCATGCAACAAACTCACTGTCTACATTAAAAGACGCGGCTGCGCGCGATACTTTCAGTTTCTAACAGTTTCTGCTGCAGAGTCTGCAACAACAAAAAAATTAGGCCGATTTCTATCACTATCCGACTCACAAGAGGAAAAAAAGTCTGATACAATGGCAGTCTTGTTTTAAAACGTTTTTGACACTTTTGGATATAGTGCCGCGACGAGAAAGATTTAAATTTAATGTTAATTTGCTTCTCGAACAGCCTCCGGAGATCTCCACAGTAGGTCCTCGCCGTGGTCACATTCAAACACACGCAACAGATGAAGCCGGTGCTTGGGTGTCTTCTTCACTCTCGCGTGCGCACTCTAAGCGATAGGATGCAGCTTCAAGAGGCAGCACATCAATTTTCTCGTCGCGGCAAAGAATAAAGAAAATCTCCATGAATAAAATAAATGTAAGCAATTCGTGCTACTTTATTGGAAGTAGAAATAATTATTCTCAAGCGGAGAATCTGAATAGGATTTTTCACTTGTTTTTTCGGACCAAAACAGACAAAACAACTACGCGGGCTTTGCTAGCAAGGTCGGCGAACTGGAACAATTCTTTCATGCGTATGCAAATAGCAAGCACTAAAATAAAAACAAAAAAAATTCCGCGCATAGGAATCCGTTCTTGTTCGTACTACCTGCTTGGCATGGTACCTGTACTATCGGAGTTCTATTTTTCCTCACAGACATCTCATCAAAGAAGCAGCTAGGGCGTATACACCTGCCACTGACAGCAGCCGCCATTTTGAATTTTACTAGAATAATCATTTTTTCTCAATTATAGTTGTGCTACAAGTTCTGGAGCACTTCTAGTAGAGACAAGCGGTCTCTACTGCGGAAAGCTGTCACGGCTTTTTAGTAAAAAAACTGCAGTCTGGCGCGCAGCCGATAGGGTCTATTTGACGATGTTGTTGAACAGAACGGTGCAGTAGACAGCGGGAGCCGGCTCACCTTGATTTCGGTTGATGTACGGTTCCTTCCTCTGCAGCGCAGTTTATGATTAACCATCGCTCTGTATTTCCCCTGACCTTCTCAGGACCTGCTCCGAGCCACAGACATTACAGGCATTGAAAACTGTTGCAGCACAGCGCTATGACTATGAGCCAGTTTATTTTACAGTTTATTGATGAAAATCGAAGTAGTTATTCAAGATAGTACAACTCACACTCAGTTGCTGGATGATATTAAGTTCTCAGAAAAGTTTTCATGATTTTAAGATGACAAGCGGTCTCTACTCACTGCGATGTTGAGTCGACAAGCGGTCACTCCGCACGCTCAACGATGTTGCAAATAGGACCGCCGCTCGATAAAAAAAACATAGTGCCAAAAATTCTATTCCAATTGCGAATACAGTCAAATTTATTCATCGAGAACTCCTTACAGAGATTTATTATGCTGTATTTCACATGACTGACCACCAAGAATATACAAGAAACAAGACTCAAAATAACAAGACACAACAAGAAACCTGGAGACAAAAATCGACAACAAAACTACGCAACAACAGCACAGGCGACATGTCATCGAGGACATAGCACCACACTATGCAACGTGACATTCACAGGCCCATAAGATAGGATAGAATCATCAAAAGACTCTGCTCCTAGCATAGCCATGCCCTCTCCACAATTCAGATATTACAGAAGATTTTATCATAAAACCACACAGTAGAGCACTTTATCGAAGACTAGGGACGATCGATGATCACGGAGTTTTAACACACTTACAAATCACCCACAGCAGCACCTGGTCGTCGTTCCCCCAGTCTTCCGGAACAAAAAAGAGCAAACTGCATCAATGGTCGAAAGGATCTACGTACTTTTTCCTAGGAACGGTCCGACCCTCGATGAATTTCTAGACTTCCTCTCTTTGTGTTGACTATATTTTTTTTTGAGATTCCATATCCTTTTGACAGCATGATACCAGAAGAAGAACTACACCAACCCTGCCACAATAAAAGCCTGCCTATTTTTACAAAAGGAATTTTTGGGTCTCATGAAGCAAGCGGCTTCGGATCTGGGTTTGATGGATTTGATGACTGTCGTCCAGAATGACCTAGATTCAACAGAAATAGAGGAGTTTTTTCTACGCTAGCTGCTACACAAAAGTGCAACATGATGCAAATGAAACGATACTAAGAACAGAACAATAACGAATCTGAAGAGAAGATGTGATCGCGAGACGAACGGTCGAAGGTTTTAATTTTTTCTTCTTCGCCCCTCAAACGGGATATTTTATTATACGAAACGGTACTAGTTGCGGCATATTGGGGTTTGTGGTGCAGTAGTACGAGCCCCCCCAGTCGCGCGTTATTTTTGCATTAAGTACCAAATATACTTTTTCTCGCTGCAAAAAAAAATATTTTTTTTGATGTGGCAAGATGAGACTATACAATTGCTCGACTCAGGCCTTGCTCATGATCACATAAGAATCTAACTGCGGGATAGGACCTATTAGTCTCGTAGGTAGTTGTCCTTCTCGCGAGGACGACCACAATATTAAGGAAGGTGGATATTCAATATGGGCCGCGCGGAGCAGCATAATCTTCACCGATTATGGCTGACAAAGGAAACTGATATTTTTTTTCAAAAAAAAGAATGCGATAGTATTAAGCAAGGAGAACACAAGGTTTTCGAATAAATGCAATAGTACTATATCGCTGTTAGAAATGAAGAGCTGCAGCTTGATTGTTGATGTACAAGAAAAATGCACAATTGTCAACAAACGCGAAAATGACGTGAGCACTAATACATATCGAAGATGAGTTTTAAATGGGAAGAAAGGGCACCGTGGCTGCAGTTGTTGCCCAGTAGTTGTAGCAACACAGTCACGTTTGCTTTCTACCTGCTTCTCTCTCTACTGCGATTTCAACATTACCCGTTGGAATCCTATTTAGTTGATACATAATAAAACAATCTGCAGCATGTTTTGGAGACCACGAAGAAGATGACAATGGGCCGCAAAAAGAAAAACTATGCCACGACGTACACGTTATTAGATTACACTTTGCCAATTTTGGGATCAACAACAGTGCTCGTCGTGCTGTTGATGTGGCCGCCGCTAGCAGAAAAACCTGCAACTACACGAGAGGACTACAACGATTCACAGTCGGTATCGACGCTGAATCGACGTCGTTGGCTTTGTAATTTTTCAGATCCACTACCACTACAACCACCGTTACCCTTTGATGTAATAAAGACGACCAAAAAACAAGCTAAAGACAAATAAGGAGCCTCATGCGCGGAAAAGAAAGTCTCGAAGCGAGCTGGATGTGGTTCCGGTTCCAGATAGCAGGCACTTCATCAGCTTGCGCCTTCGTGACGCGAACGACCCATGTTGCGAAAAATACGACCGAAAGATGAAGAACACGACGAAAAAATAACTGCAGATTTTTTTATGCCGGCAGAGTAGTAGGAGAATACTTGACCGACTTTCTACTTGAAAGAACGGGCGACAATAACCAGGGTAGGAGGAGAATACTTTGTATTGCCCTTACTTCCAACTATATTAGCTAAATGAGATGGAGGATCAGTGTTAGAAAATGATGAAAACTACACGATAAAGTCAAGCCAGCTCTTGTTTTGATATCAGAAAGATATGTAACTCTCTAGACCATATGATAGCATGCAGATTTTTATGACTCAAAAGAACAGATACAACTTCTATATTTCCACCCACGCTCGCTCCACCTCGACGAAAATCAAAATCCACTATCAGGACATTAAGACCAACTTCTAGACGGAAATATCGACCACGGAAAGAGTTGCTCGACAACGGCCACACAAGAACTTCGACCAACACCAAAGTAAGTTGAATGTCTATAATTGTGTGGAGACTTGGGGCGCAGGTCTAGTACACCTTGTTTCATCAGATGGAGGGTAGCTTTATTTCATTCTGGTCACAAACACAATACTTATACTTCTAGTACCGCGGGACTGCATAGTAGATGACCATGGAGAAATAAATTCCCTTCAGGAAGAACAACAGCAACCTTGTTATGACTCGGATCTTGGATCATTGATGGTTAGAAGTAAGCAAAGGGAATAGAGAATTTTTTAGAGATTCGCAACCATATAATTTTATCCAGAAAAATTATACCTGTACGATTTTTCGCACGCCTTCGAAGAAAAGCCAAAACAAAAAGCTATGCAACCACAACATTTGAAGTCATAATCTGAAAAGTCTGCGCATGTCATATCCAACATAATATGTTTCACTCAAGCGGAGTGCTTGTCTATAGTAACAGCATAGAAAATCTGATATCTTTGATAAGAGCCACTCAAGCGGAGTGTTTATTGTACAAAATTTCAAAGCCACCCGATCATTCCGGTCGTGTGCAAACAGGACCACAGCAGCCTCTTTTTTGTGGTGAGTATGGAAGCAGGAAATTGGGCAAGAGTCCTCGACTGTGTGACTTTCTGCTTCTCTCAATTGCACAAAAAGGGCGCAGCTGTTGTTCTGGCATTGAATAGAGGCTTGTGTGGACAAAAGACAGCACTATCAGAAGTTCTTTATTATTTCAAAAAAGACTACCATGATTTCAAGTTCTTGAAGATTGAGGTTTCTCAAAGACCTCCCTCCCGAGGCTTTTGATTAGCGCAATTTCATTACTTTTGATTATTGGAAAAAAATCAAACAAAACCAGGCGTCTTTCGAAAACCGCCGGCCTCTTTCCTCGCTTTTTGAGGCGGCTCGCTTCATCTTGATGAGGCGGCACGTCGGGACCTCTCCTCTTGGCGTGTTTGTACACTGTTTTTGTGGTCGTGTTCAGATCAGAGGTGCTTATCCCACCTTCTCCTTCATGTAATTGGTCGACGTATTTGAATTTGATCGCAAAATGCAAATCCCGGTGTTTTTCGGTTTGGGGGGAAGTGCATGGAAATCAATTCATGCGCTGCATAATAGCGAGGAGGTAATTGCAGGAGGCAGCTGCGAAATGGGAGCCTCTGGGGTGGGAGTAGTTCATTTGAACTGATGTTGAAGAAAACTAATTCAGGCGACGAAAAATTCATCTTGGAATCGATCGTCCAGAAGGCTGCAGGCACACTGAGAGAAGCTGAAATTGTCGTGTTTTCATTTTAGTCGAACAAATCGATTCGCTGTGCTAGTGCTGTCGCTTTCACATTCAATGTGGTCGTGGTGAAATAAAGCCCGTCAATGGTCGTGTCCCTAGTCCTGCTGTCATCTGAGCTTCCATTTGCTCCTTTGGAAAACAACAACATTCACGTGCCAGCGACTCCTAGATATGAATTACAGCTCGGAAGAAAACGTATCGCGATCGCGTCGTCTCCAATGTCATCATGTGCCCCTGCAGCATGAAGGAAGTCGAAGTACTCTATGTATTTTAGTGTACCCTTACATGGTTTAGGTTTTTTATTTTTTCCAAGCAATATGATGCTCTTCCTTCTTTATCTTTTCTCCTCACGCTACTTACCATGAAATCGAAAACTGTACGAAAAATCGAATCGCACGTCCTGCTCGCAGAAGCCTCGTAAAAAGAACTTCATGGCCCCCCTCCCCCCGTTTTTCGCTGCGATTGGGAAAGTTCTGGGCCCTCTCTCCGCCCGCGTAGTTGCCCCGGCCGTCACGCGCCTGGGATTGAACAAGCTCGGCGTCCTCGGCGCCGCTCGCGTGTCCGCCCGGCTCGCACCGTTTTTTCGCCGGAATGCGCTGCTGCTGGCGGAGCAGGGCCGGGAGCGGCAGTTTCTGGACAAGTTTGCGGAGGGTGGCGAGTTGTGGGCGAGCTTGAAAAAGTACGAGATTGCCCGGCTGAAAGCGCTCGCGGATCATCCTCAAGGCGCGGCCGGTCGTGCAGCAAAAGGTCGTCATGGGAACAAGATTTTCAGCACCGATCGTAAAAATGGAAGTGCTGATGTCACACTCGAGGCGGAGAAGCGGGTCGCTGCTGCGTTTCGGGACGCCGGTACCCGGGCTGCGGTGGAGGATTTCGGAAAGAGGAAAGGGCAGCCCTTGCAAGCACTCGCACGCTACAATCAATTTGTTGTGGAGAAGATACTCCCGGCGGAAGCGGGACTACAAAACACTCAAAATGCAGCCGGGGGATTGAAGATTGCGAAGAAGCGAACAAGTAGTAGAATGGCGGAAGAGGAACTTCTCCTGTCAAAAAAGAGTTCTACCACAGAAACATCGTTCTGGAATAGACCGCTTTTCAACTACATGAGCGATAACCCCATCCGGAATTTTTTCAACCAGTCTCGCAACTTCTCCCCCGTTTACTCCGTCGCGAGACTACCCGCAGGACTACAAAATAACCTACCCGGCGGAGGCGGCCAGCACAGCTTTGCTGGAGCGCAACATCCTTACAGAACAAACCCAAACACGTTCTTTCATCTTGCGCAGCAGCAACACCTGCACCAGACCGACCTTTTGGCCAAGGACGTCCACAAGTTGAAAACCGAGGCGCAGCTGTGGCATCTGCTTTACCGGACAACGCTATTGTTCCCGGCGGTCGCTGCGACGATCGTGGTCTTATCATCTCTCGAGAAGTACGAACTGCAAAAGTTGGTATTTAATACCGTACTTGCGGCATGACAGGTTTCAGCTCTATACCTGACTTTACATGACAAAATTAGATTCCATTCAATTTCAGGATTTGTTTCCCCGCTGGAAATAATGTAATGTTTGTCATGCAAAAATGCGTACTGAGCACAATAGTTTTGCTTTTGCAGTGCATAACCCGCAAGAAGAGAAGTTTGACGACCAGGAGAAGCGGTGGCGGTTTTGCTTGGTGTCACCGGGGCAGGAAAGGGAAGTCGGGAGAGAGGGGAGTGACCAATTGAAGCAGCAGTATCAGAAACTCATCTACAACTCGTCCCATCCGTTGCACAGAGAAATCGTGCGGGTGACGAATTCCCTCCTCCAACCGGACTGCTTGCCACAGGGGTTTCTCGACAAGCCCGCGGCGAAGGAGATCGATTGGCGCATCGCCGTCGTGGACGAGCCAGACACGATGAACGCCATGGTGTTACCGGACGGGTATGTGTTTGTCTACACGGGCTTGTTGGAAAAGTGCGTCTCGGAAGACGAAGTGGCCGCGGTTCTGGGGCACGAAATCTCCCACGTTTTGCTCCGCCACGGCGCGGAGCAGCTCTCCAGCGGGAGTGTATTAGCCATCCCGGGAAACTTCTTGGAAATGTTCGCGTTTTTAATCGGCGGGTTCACCAGTGTAATCGCGAGCGTGTACGCGTCGAAAGTTTTGGGTGGGTTGCTCCTAGAACTCCCGCAATCCAGGTTCTGCGAACGGGAGGCGGACGAGTTAGGGTTGCGGATCTCCACATTAGCTGGGTACGACCCCTTAGCGGCGGCGCGGCTGTGGGCGCGGTTGGGGGATGAGGCGACCAATTCCGCCTTGCGAAAATACGTGGTAGAGAAGATTAAGGAGGAAGAAAACTACGGTTGTGGGGCGAGTTGTACTAGTTCGTCGGAAGGAGGTGTCATGAATGATGTTGACAAGGAGGGAGCCACGGACAGCACATTGTCGCAGGCAGCTTCATCATCCCGAAATAACTCTAAATCATCTTCCTTAGCAGGGCTAGGATCCGCCGTTTTTGGAGCTTTCGATCCGTTCGCCAGTCCTCACGCCGGGGGTATGGCGTTGCTGGGTGGAGCAGCTGCCAGTGGAGGCGCAGGTACACCTGCGGGAAGAGGAGGAACATATAGCGCTGGTTTTGAAACAGTCACTGTCATTCGTCCTGGAGATGAGAGCCTTATCCCCGGCAACGAAGCGACAACGCCCTTCGTGGAAGAACCAAATGTTGACTATAACCGACTTCTTGACGACCTGGAGTTTTTCAGCAATCGAGACCGCGCGAGGAGACGGAAAGTCGCGGTGCAAGACAGCCTGGCGACGCTGAGTCCGTATTTTTCCGGCGCATTTTTGGAGAGCGCAGGACTGCTTGGTCCAGCAGCGACCGTGCCGACGGAGGACGATACTAGCGAATGGTTTGAAAAATACGCCCGGAAAGTAGGGAGGAATTTCTTTTCGTGTTGCGATGTTGGGGCGCCGGCGGCCCCCGAAATTCCATTTTCTGAGACAAAGACGAGCATTCCACAACTCCCCTCCACGACCACAGTCCCTGAAGTTACGACACTAACCCCAAGCAAAGCGGCCCCCGCCGTTCCTCCCGAGTGGTTTTCCACGCACCCGAGTTACGAGAGCCGAGTGGCCTGTCTGCTGCAGCTTGGATTAGACTTGCAGAAGCATCCTTTCTACAGCACGCGGAGAAGACATCACAGCTTTGCCAGCAACCCCATGCTTTCGCTACGGCGGTTTCTGTCGCAAATGGAAAGTGGATTCTCACATCCCGGCGGAGGCTCATCGCGGAGAGCAGGGAACCAGACTGCCGACAACGCTTCCAGAACAGAGCTCGAGCGGTGGTGCGAGCACTTCCGCAGAAGGAGAAGAGACCAGGACCGGAAGCCAGGGCCTCTGTGGGTCTATCGAACTTCTTGACGTTGACTTCTGACCGTGGGTGGTGCACCCAGTGAAGATGGCACAAATATTTTTGAAGGAGACCTGAATTTGGGTAAGCACTAGCGACAACGTTTCGACCACATGTAAGATTCCGTGCGATCGGGCCCGCAACAGTTGTGCGGACTTTGTAAAATCCAAAAGAACAAACGACTATGAAAATGAAAAACCACAAGTTTTTATGTATTCATTACTGTTGAATATCGATATCGAACGAACTCTTTTTACGTTGTCGATTCTTGTTGAAGTAGACGACAATGTTCCTGGTTTGCTTTGTTCATCTTGTGCTAAGCCACTTGGCCGCACTGTTCTCTCATCTTCTATGGGTGATGAGCGAGCTCCAGCTCCCGAAGAATTCGAGCGGCATCTATCTTCAAAGAAGGCTATGAATTTGCACTGCTGAGGTGAGAGAAGATGTTGACGCGTTTTGGTTCTAAACCTGCCATTCAGAGAGGAGATATTAACATAAACCGTTGCTGCAATTAGATTACTACATCTTCAACAAAGCTCTCGACGTCTCCTGTTCTCCTCGTCATGATCAGTGTGTAGAAAGATAAATTGTACCTTCTTCATACCTACGCAGCTTTTGAAAAGCGTAAATCAAAATGAAGAAGCAGGCTCTCCTGAATGCACTGGACGCCACGGACCAGGCTTTCTTGCAGCAGGTGGAGTTCCGGTTAGGCGTTACGAAGAAGGAAATCGAGGAAGACGAGGAGGACGAAGTTTTGCAGCTCGCGGACTTGAAAGCCCTGGCCTGCGACGAGGAACGGGAGCGGGAATTTGTGAAGCGGTGCACTTCGACAGAGAATAGCAAAAACAAACCTTACTCCGCCGACGCACCGGAGACAAACAATGCCAGCGAGAACGCCGACAAGGCGTCGAACAAGGGCAGGCCACCACGGGTGTTCGAGTGCTTCGTGCCGGTGGATTTGGCAAGTTATCAAATCTCCATAGCAGGAGGAACAGGAAACAAAAACGGTGATAAAGGAGAAATAAATGCCGAGCAGGAGTTTTTGCAACGGATCGCGAGTGAAGGCGTGGACGTGGAATGCAGCCGGTTCTACGAGGGGAGATTAGAGCAGATACTCGCTGGGGAACGGGCGTGGTCCACACCAATAGACGATGACTTTTCCATGGAAGAAGAGGGTGTGCCGCCAGGTGAGACAATCTGATTCGACGGATGATTGCGCCACTCAGTATAGCAAAAAATGCTGCTTGATGTATTTGTATAGGGTTACTACAGCTGTAGTTTGTTGTGCAGCAAATTTGTCACTATCAGGTTCCCACGTCAAGTCTCTCGTCGACAATTTCAATCGACGGACGGGCTACCTTATGCAATGCAAAAGCATCGTACTAGTATAAATCACATGACAAATTCCCTCAGCATGAAAAATGGAATTTGTAATGCGGATTTAGGTTAAGAGGGAGATTTGTAATGCATGATTGCGATTACTACGAGTACGATACTTTTGCACAGGATATACCTAGCTCCCGCGCGAGCCACGTGCCCGGCATCCGATGGGAGTCTGCTGCACCTATCAAATGTAAAAATGTCTGGGTCTGGAAGATTGCCGGGTTTGTCATGCACATTTTGCACGACTCCTCAATTCTGTGACGCATGGCCTAGCATCACAGATTTTTAGAGGCCTTCCTGATGCCTATTCCGCATGACAGATGCTCTTTCCGTGCTGCAAGATTTGGACTCTCTTTGCTGCTGATGCAATACAGATTTTTTTAGAATCCAAAATCAGCATGACAAGTTGGATTCTTCCAGACCCAGACATTTTTGCATTTGATAGCACCAGAGAATGAGCAAAACGGGGGTCGTCCCGCGCGCCACCGCCCCACCGCGGTCCGCCCCGCTTTTGAACGGGGGCCGAGCGACAACCGCTGCGAATAAAGTAACCCTCGCCCCGGTCGCGGAAGTAGATGATGAGAGCAGGGAGCAACAATCTTCGGTTCTCGAAGAAGTCGACCCTTTGAAAAGGGAAACGGTTACAGTCGATAGCTTTCTCGAAGGAACGGAGGAGGAAGAAAAAGCGGCGCAGCTGATCCAACTGAAATTTCGAAAACGGCAGCTGGCGCTGGGGAATAAACGACCAGAATCTACTTCCATATCATCTTCTTCAAAGCCCGGCGGCAGTACTGGTACTGCAGACGACAACCGCATCCCGTCCGTCGCGTCTGCCACGACCGCTGCACGATCGAGCTCGACCGCGAGCTCAGCGACGACGGCAATGGACGAGAACCTCCAGGACATTTCCACCTTCACGGCAGAAGAGCACCAAGCGGCCACTAGCATCCAAAGGCGGTTTCGAAAGCAGAGGGCGTTCAATGAAAAAGAAAAAGATAGCAATAATATCATCAATCAGGACTCTTCCATGCTCTCCGTCGTGAGTAGCAGCTCTGGTGCAGGTGCAGCACCCTCCTCCGCCAGTTCTAGCAGCTCCTCCTCTAGTTCATCTGGGTCATCTTCATCTTCATCCGACGCTTCGAGTTCGGCCGCGAGTTCCGCGCAATCCTCCCCCCTCGAAGCAGAGAATTCCATCCTGATGGCAAACAACACCTCTAGAAGCAAAATCTCGCCCATCTCGCCCAAAGACAGCTCGGGCGCGGATGAGAGCCAAATTCTCGCGGATCTTTCGCTTGCGTTTGAATCGGCCAGGGGATCGAGCAGCTCCGAGACACCAGCGTTCTTCAACAACAACGATATTAACCGCACGTCGAGCACCAGCGGAACTGCAACGAGGAAGAAAACGACCACTTTGCTGGCTTGCAAGGTGGTGCTGCAGCAGCCGTTTGTCACGTCCGACCGGAAGTATCTGTCGCAAGCATTCATTCCGGAATCGTACGACGCGATTGTGTTTGAAGACGAGGACGAGCCACAGAACTGCGTCTACATGGTGCGAGACAAAAAGCAGGTGTTATATCCTACGTAAAAACGTCCCCACACCATAGTCAAGAAGGAAAATCTGCAACACAAATCTCCAAGTTTTGGGAGTTCTGCATGACAAGTTTCCATCTGCAGTGTAGTGCTGGTTAGCAAGGAAAGCCGCATGAGAAAACCATTTGCTCATCCTGTTTACAGCATTACAAATTCCAAAACACGACTGGCAATGCCTTTCAAGGAGATGCGCATTACAAATGTTCCTGTCATTGCGCATTTGCATGACAACTCTGGGGTGGGGACGTTTTTACACAGGATATGTTACCGCTGTACACCATCGCTTTGGAGCCGACCTTGAAGTCGGAGGAGGTGAACCACTTGAAGTGCCACAACTGCCGGGAAAAGGGAAAATTAGACACCGACTCCGTCTATCATGTGCAAATATGTCTGGGTCTGGAAGAGTCATGCTGCTTTTGCATGACACAGAAGGTCTGGCATGGAAGCGCTAGCATCACAGCTTTCGAGAAGCTTCCGCAATGCCGAACCCGCATGACAAATGCCCCACTCTGGTGACAGAAAGTGGGCAGCTTTTTCTGCCTAGTATGCATGAGAGATTTTACCGTGTACGTGTTGTGAAATGCGCATCACAAGTTTGCACTCTTCCAGCCCCAGAAATATTTGCAATGCATATCGTCTGGTCTGTGGAGTTAGAAGGGTGGACGTTGTGTGACCCGTGCTTAGAGTCCTTCGTGGCCTTCATTCCGGACTACAAGGAAAAAAAGAAAGTCGTGTACAGATGAATAAAACCTATTTTCGTTGTTGGATGTCTTTGTTTGTCAACATGATACAACTGTATAAAACAAGGCGAAGCCTACTTGAACTTGATCGATCCCGATGCGCACAGGTTGGTGTCATGCAGCTTTGAGGCGTGATACCCATAATAGCATCATCAAGTAGACATGAAAGATCATTGAATAAGAGCAAAAAATAAAAACCTCACAGCCCGATCCGCGAGATGCAGCCTGTGGCGAAGAAGTGCCCCGAGCACCCACAAGAGAATCTCGACCTCTGGTGTGACGAGTGCAACCGACCGGTGTGTCAGCTCTGCAAGGTCACCGGGGACCATTCCACCGGGGAGTTCAAATTGCACCACTTGACCTCTCTGCCGTTAAAGCACCACCAGGTGCAGATGGACTTGCAGCGCACGAAGAACCACTTCACCTTTGCGCAGTACCAACTGCAGAAACAGATCGACACGACGACGAAGCGGATCAAGAATGTGGAGGAAAACATCGAGGCGATGCTGAAGATGGTGCGACAGCAGTCGGAGGAGCTGGAAATCCAGATCAACAAGGCGGCGTTGGAGGGGCGCAACGAGCTGCAGTGCAAGCGGGGGATTTTGGACGCCTTTCTCGGGCAAATCGACTACGCGCAAAACTTATCCTGTGCAAAAGTATCGTACTCGTACTAATCGCATTCATGCATTACAAATCTCATTCTCAAGGTAAATCCGCATTACAAATTTTATATCTCATGCGGGGGAAATTTGTCATGCGATTTATACTAGTACGATGCTTTTGCAATGCATAAAACTTCCTGGAGTACATTTCCGACCCGGTGAACCTGGATGGTGGGGAGTACCTGGAAATGGTCGACCAGTACCCGGTGCAAATGCAGCGACTGGTACGTGAACAAAGATTGAAATTCAATCAATGTTTACTGTTTGACTTTTGTGTCAAAAAATTGACTGGCGTTTGTTTTGTTCTGCAGCGCACCAGAGATGATCCTGCTCCCTCACTGCATATATAAGCACGCATGAGAAAGAACATCGAGCACTTCACTTCATTCCACAGTGTGCCGATCTCGGGTCTTCCAACGAGGAATACACCTTCGACGAGTCGCAACAGTACATCCCGGCTATGGCCATTGAAGGCGAGGTCGGCATTATCGAGCGGTGCAAGCCAAAATACATCTTCAAGAAGCAGCAGAAAAACGTCTTCCAAGCGGCAAATATCACGTCGTTTTTAAAGCGGGAAGTCATCAAGTACAGATATCTTTATTGTGATTTGACTGAACATGATGCAATAAATGCATGCGTAGAAAATGGCGTCCATTTTCATGCATCAACATCCAAATCCATGTCATCGAGTTCGAGTATCAGCATGCACATCATCAACGACTCCACCTACTCCCAGGACGAAGTCTTCCCCGGTGACGCCTCTCCCGACCCTGGCCGCCCTAACGCCCGGGCCCGCGGAGAGCGCAGCCTTGCCATCGCCCCACCAGCCCATCAACCTCGAACCAAAACTGGAGTTGCGGGAATATCAGGAAAGTGTAACATCCGCGGCTCCACCAGCCCCTGTGGCGCCGGCGGTGCAGCAGATGCTGGGAAAGAAGCATTTGAGCGTGATGTCATCGGTACAAATTGGGTATAGTTTTTTGTGAGTGTTGAAGCTGTTCTTGCAGCTCGCACCAGAATTCATTGGCCTGCTGAGCGAGCATGATGTTTGTCCATGCGAGTTGCTGAGTTCATCAACCATGATTATGAACTCACACAATACAGCTCCGGCACCATCCAAAGTACGATAGCAATCGTAAAACATACTTACTGACGTGGCGCGCGCAACTTGTTTTGCAGCGTTGCCAGCGACTGGCAACGCTCCTGGTGCGTCGTGGAATGCCTACAGCGATGACGCAACTTGGTGCCCGAGGTGCGCCAGCTTGCGTCTGTCATCCCCCAGTAAATGGCGGCGAGGGGTGTGAGTGGAAATGGTCCGCGGGCAGATTTGGGGCCGGCGCTTTGCGCTGTATAATGTTGGCTCCCCCGGGTCGCCCAGCCCTGGTCGGTCTCTGTGGGCGCTGGCAGCCACGTTGTGATAAGTAGATGAGGCGCAACCGTGGGCCCCCTGCGTTTTTCCTTGCTGCAGGGGCCGCCTTTAGCGGATCCCCTGCGCACTCTAAGGCTCTGCTGCCTCTCGGAAGGGGGCGGCGCGCGACCCACGCGGCGCTGGCGCCTGGGGCGTGGTAAGTATTTTCCCGTTGCCGGGGCTCGTGCCGAACGCACGCGAGCCTCCCTCTGCCGGCGGGGGGCAGGCAGTGTGTGTTCTCTCCGTAGCAGCCCTCTAGCTGCCGCGCTGTGGTTTCTGTTTTTTCGCTCCCACCGAGAAAACCATGCGCATGCGTGGCGGCGCATGAAAGAACCACTGGAATTGGATATGCGGCGCACCGTGTCGGGGCCGGCGCGCTGTCCGGTCTCTCTGCCCGGAAAGCCAACACGGCCGGATTTCTGCGTTTCGGCAGGCCCCCGCATGCTTACCTTCGCTACTCCTTTCTTCGCCGACTACCGGCACACGCTTGCCGGCTTTTCCCTTCAATTTCCGCCGGCAATAGGCTATGAACAACTGCTGCCCTATTCCGCTTTTTTCTGTTCTGCTTCTGTTGCGCGGGCGCGCGCCTTCAACGCGCACCAGCCCGGGTCCAGCGTCCCGATTCAATCGGCGAAACAGGTCAGGCCAAGGTGTTTCGCCGATTAAATCGGTGGCTTTTCGTCGAAACAGGTCGCGCGGAGGTGTTTCGACGTCGAAACACTTTCGCCCGAGCTGTTTCGGCGCTGGAATCGAGAAACTCGGCCTGGTTGGCTCTCGTCCGCGCAGCCTTTTTTTTCTTGGCCGGCCCCTGTTCCAGGCCCTTTTCCCAGGTGGGCACTAGCTCTGTGCGGGAGATCTGGCCGCGCCTGACAGACAGAGACAGACTCGCGCTGCCTCTGTGCGCCAAAGCGCCTCCCCGGTTTATTTTTTGAGTCACGGCATGATGTTTGTCCATGCGAGTTGCTGAGTTCATCAACCATGATACAGCTGATGATATGATACCGATAGTCAGCACAACGATGACACCAGGCCGCTCCGCTCTCCGCCCTGGGTCGCGACGGCATGCCAGTGACGGACACGACGAAGAACCCGCTGCTGCTGAACCGCATGCGGTCCTATCGGAGGGAAAAATCCCCCCTCCCCATACTGAAAAGGCATGCTGCTAAAAATTTGTGATGGTGATTTGTGACCACAAATCCTATCTCTCTTGCAAGGGGGCAAATGCAAAGAGTCCGCCGCTTTATGACGGCGATTTGTAATGCTGTTGCGCCTACATCGAAGGCCTCTGCTATACTCAGCACCTATACAGAAACAGCCCTACGCAGGCTGAGGCTTTGCCTGCAGTGCCTCGTTGCAAGACAGAGCTGATTTGTGTACACAAATCGAAATCCAGCAACAGAAATTTTCGCTTCGATATGGGGAGGGGGGATTTTTCATTTTGATAGGTCCAACCCGATCCCCTATGACATCGAGCCGGTTGCGCACAGTAACCAGCAACTGGTCCCCGGGAATCCATTGCAAGCCGAGAACGTGTTTCTGCAGAAGTGGGAATCGAAAAAGCAGCGGAACTTGCTGAAGCAGAAGAGCAACCTCGTCGACGAGTCACCCGTGAAGAAAATGTTCTCCAACATGCTCTTGGAAAGAAATAACGGGACCACAAACGAGCAACAGTTGCAATTTCTGCAGAACCAGCTGGACCCGGACCGCATTCCGATCTCCCGGCAGTATAGGAGGAACAACGACGAGTTTTTGTCTGCACCCGACCGGAAATTCGCGAACCTGTGCAAGAAATCGGTGTCTAGGGACACTGCGGACACGACAAGTACATCCAGATCTATTGGAATTCGACTTTTTTTTTCATCAGAGGATAGCAACAGACACAAGACAAACGAACAAGTGAGTTTAATACTAGCATGACAAAGTAGACTAAGACGACAAATATCAACCATTCTATCAGTCGAAGAAGACGACATTGACTCGGAATCCTGGTGCGATTCCGCTGTGGACAATGATTATCTCCTGCAAAAGTAAAAGCGCTCGTACTAATCGCAAACATGCATGTTGGCACCGCTACCGTATCCAGCATGACAAAATACATATCTGTTCTCAAACAAATTTCTAATGCAAGCTATAGCAATTGAATACCTTTATTCTAGCGCGATCATACTTTTGCAATGCATAATGATGGCAGCTTCACCATGCAGATTGGCAAAACCAAATTCCTGAACCCGACGAAGCGGAACCTGTTTTCCGACAAGGAAGAGGCACTCCATCTCGTCGGAGAGGTATGGATTGCAAAAATGTCTGGGTCTGGAAGATTGCAAACTTGTTGGTTGGTTGGTTGGATAGCGCCTGTTGCCGGTGCAGGTCCCGCCCTCCATCGATTGCGATCCGGAGTAGCCGGAACACAAGGCCCTAGTGGCACAATCGATCGACGAAGCCCTTTCTAACCGGGCACAATCGATCAACTTGTGATGCCGCGCATTTCAGAACACAGGAAAACTTCTCATGCATAGGCAGCAAAAGTTGCCCACTTTCTGTCACCAAAATTGGGGATTTGTGATGCAGATTCGGCATTGCGGACGCTTCTCGAAACCTGTGATGCTAGAGCTTCCATGCCAGACCTTCTGCGTCATGCAAAAACAGCGTGACTCTTCCAGACCCAGACACTTTTACACTTGATAAGAGGGACGGGCGAGCAAAAACGAGGAGGACTTTGAGACCTACAAGCCCTACGTCGCCAAGTTGCCGATTGCGAGCGTAACCGAACAGGTGGCGCCGACAAGCCACATCCCGGAGCCGGCGCAGTTCACCTTGGTAGTGGACAGCGGGACGCACAAAAAGAGGTACCGGCTCAATATCGTGCCGAAGGGGACTAGCAGTGGTGCAACGGCAAATCATGCCGCGGTGAAGAATGGCAGCAGCACAGCGATAGTCGCAGCGGCGTAACTTCTAGTGTACAGCTTGGGTGGTAGTTGAATGAAGTTGTCGTGGGGAATTTTTCAAGAAGGGAGGTGGCTTCGATGAGGAATATTTTTGACAGTAGATTCTGATATAGAGTCACAGAAGGACCACGTCAAGTCGCTTTTAGGAGATCAGCATCAGTGATGTCAGCAGCCTTACGTGGTAATTGCACAACTTCTGAGAGCAGGTGAGGACTTCGAGTTATCGAATGTCCTGGTCAGAACCGGAGAAAGATCATTGCCGCCACTGCAACCCTACTTCGAGGCGAAGATGAAACTACTACAAAACTACTCGAAAGGATCATGGAAGCCACAGCATCGCTGCCTTTCTATGTTTCAACAATTTTAGCTTACTATAAATTCCATCACTACTAGACTAGACCCACTAGCAAATTAAATTGGATAATGTATGGTTCCAAACTACGCAACTTTTGTTATTCGTAAATTCTATCGGCTTGTTCACCATGATCATAAGGATTGCAGCACATCATTAATTTCAGCTTCACTGTTGTTACAACTATGCGAGCTCGTGCCTTCGTATAATTCCATCCGTAGTGATGTTGCGCGCCGGCGTAGATGTACCTGTACCTAAGAACGCGGCATCATTGCTACGCAGCCACACGTGAAGTAGATTTGTTTTACGATACACAGCAACTGGACTACTGAAAAAAGCAGTGTACTACAGGCCTGTTGAGGCCTAGACGACAACATGGTGTTGAAACTACAAATGCATGCTAATAAGAACGCTGTACGTTGTTTCTGTTTCCGCGCGCGGCCCGCGACCAACATACTCTGAACAAAGTGAGTCGTGCAAAGCGCCATTCTCTTTTCTTGAATGAAAACGCCCTGTGTTTTTCTACCAGTCTCACCACGCTGAACATGCAGCGAAAATACCAAATAAACAGGTTTCGCAGGCCGGGATCGGCTTGAGAATGTTCACCAAGGCGACGCAGTTTGGCAGCTACGCCGAGGCCACGGAAGTCCAGGCGGTTGCCAAGGGTCTGCTGAAGCAGAAGAAGGAAGGCTTGTTGGACGAGGAGGATGTGACGCAGGGCGCCGACTTTGCCGATGTTGTCAGGGCCGTCGTGGACACGTTGAACAGACCCAGCGCGCGCGACGTCATCTCCCACCTGCTTGCGGAGGGCGAATCAAGGAGCAAGACTTACTATGGCCACTACAAAGGCTGCACGGGCCCGAAGTTGCGCGACGTCCTTGGGCAGGCCGTCAACTGCTTGGTCGCCATCAATGTCCTCGCCGTCCAGCACCTGAAATTCACGGACAGTCGCCAGCGGCGCGTGGAATATGATGCCCTTTTTGTCCCCCTCCGGGAAGCAGCAGCGTCTTCGTCGAAGCCAGCCGGCAGGGGACAAGGCAAAGCGCCAGCGGCGCAACCGCCACCACCAGCAGCTTCCTCCAGCCGCAGCAACCCGAACATCTCCGCGGACACCGGTGCCAAGAGTAAAAATGCCAGCGCGGTCATATCCTATGGAAAAGCGCACCCATTACAGAGTGTTTACCTACACCCGTGCTGTCATGGTCTAGGGAAGAAGTAGGCGCATCTTTGTCATGTGTGTGGGCTCCTGAGTCGAGACATTGTTCTCCTTGCAGTCGGTATTCTTCAGAGCGGGACTCTGTTTGCATGAAGACTTCATTTGCAATTGCATCCCTAGTCTCCAAAAAGAGATCGCAATCTTTAGAGTGGGCGCTTTCTGTTGGAGGATACCGAAGCAGCAGCTCCTCAGTTGTCCCCGCCCAGGCGAAAAAGGCTCCGGCCGTAAGTGGATCCAGGGGTCCTGTGCTTCCAACGAGTTCAATAGGTCCGTTCGCGGCGGCCGGCTCCAGTGCCGGTACGTGTAGTAGTAGCGTAGTGCTTTTAGATTACTTTCCAGTAACTGTCTGTTGTAGCAGCAAAGAGCTTTTCCATCGTCCACACTCTAGCAGCACAATTTTCCAGGCTCAGGCGAATTTATTGCGTGTGATAGCTTACCGGGGCCGCTCGATTTGCTATGCCGTTTGCAATGCAAATGTGTCTGGTATCGGAAATTAGCGAGCCTGGTCCTGCTGGTCTGTATTGCGAGGCCCCGAAGAGATCCTCTTGCTTGTCATGACAAAACGCCGCTTCTCATGCGGAGGACACGTGCAGCACAGAGTGGGGCTCGCTCGCATCATGCGTCACAACTGTTGATGCAAACCAGCATATGGGGCGGGGACGTTGTTACTCAGGATATGTGTGCTGGTTCGCTCGGGACTCAAGCAAAGCAGCAGGCCGGTTTTCTGACAGTTTGCCGAGAGAGACGGGTGAGAATCTCGCGTGGGGGTCTGGCCGCGCATTGGGTACGTACGCATGAGACGAGCCGACGACGCCGCGGTGGAGGCCCAGCAACAGCAACCTGGCGCAAGAATGGGGCGCAACGGTGGTGCGAGGCGCAAAGGCGTTGCTGTGTAGATTCTGCGCCAATTATTCTATTGGGCTTCGTAATCATCTTCCAAAAAATACAAATCTCAGGTAGTCCCCCGTGGAGTCGATGGATTGTCGCTGGGAAGCCTGACGCGCTTACGGAAGCAGACTGCCGGTGGCGGAGTGGCACTGGGTCGCAGGGTCATAGAAGATGGCGCCCAGGTTCGACCGGTTCGTGGATAACTAACAGCACGACAGACCCTTCGCTCTGCCCACGGAAAGATCAGCAGCGGCGACACGACCGAGCACGACAACAAACTACGACCAGGCCAGATCACGGATTCGATGCTGCGACGAAACTAGCCTGATTCCACTAGTCTGATTCCATCCGTAAACCTGATTCCGATACGCGGATTCGATAGCTTAGCCTGATTCCGTTAGTCTGATTCCATAGATAAGTCTGATCCCGTAAATGCTTTAGTCTGATACCATCGACGACCAATAAGAACGCTGTACGTTGTTTCTGTTTCCGCGCGCGGCCCGCGACCGACCAAAGCGTGCGCAAGCGCTCGCAAGAGCGCTTTGCGCGCGGGCTTGCCCGCGCGCAAAGCGCTCTTTGCGAGATGCTCATCCATCGCAAACGCAGCGCGAAGGCTTTGCCGTTACCATATGGGAGGAACTCGGGGGTATGCAATCACTGGAAAAATCGGGCGTTACCAAGTGTGTTTTGCCTTCAGAAAGCGGATCTGGCAGAATTGGTGGGAATTTTCCGGAAAGCAGCCAAAACAGCAATTACCAAGCGGGGAGAGCGTAAAAAAGAGCAGTTTTGCAGCTCCGCCCAGTCTGAATCTGAAAAAAGATAGTGGTATTTTAGGCTAGGGCCGATGGTGTGATGTGTTTTATAGCGAAAAACGCGTCACGTGCAGGCAGCTCCAGCCGCTTGGAAATTGAAAAAAAGCGTTGAAAAAATGCAAATTTTCGCAGCATGCAAGCGGGCGAGAAAATTTACCGATTTTCTGCAGTCCCCGGAAGCCGCTTGGAAATTGAAAATGGCAATTTTTCCTGAAAAAGCAAAAGACGCTTGAAAATTGCCGCTCAAAAGTGGTTTTCAAATTTGTCCGGAGGCCCGTGGCACCGGGATTGGACGAGAAAAAAACAATTATCAAGCCTGTGGAGGTGTGTCCACCCCTCACGGTTTCCGACCTGTATGAGGTCCAAAATTGTGAGCCTCCTCCCGCTTGGAAATGCTCGATCTGGGTGGCCCAAAAGGGCTGCCGGAAATGGCGCGAATTGATTAACTTTTTAAAATTTGCGCATTTTTCCTGGCCAGCGTGCCCTCGTGCATAATGTTACTCGCGATGGTGTTCTGCTCGCCAAAAACCGCATTCTCTTGCGCGCCCTTGCTTCCTGGTTAGAGGATGAGAGCGCGGCCCGAAGCGGGCTGTAGTGTTGGACCGCGGCCCTTGGGCCGCGGTCCAAGAGTGGTGCCCGCGAGGGCCGCGCTCTCATCCTCTAACCAGGAAGTCAAGGGATGCGCGGTAGCCTTCGCGCTGATTGGGGCGCTTCGCACGCTTTTGGTTACCAATATCGCCCTCCGGGCGCGACCTTAATAAGAACGCTGTACGTTGTTTCTGTTTCCGCGCGCGGCCCGCGACCGACATACTCTGCCCAAAAATACCTTGCGACAGCTGCGCCCAAAGAGCACTTCGCTTAATCCATGTATGGCATTGTTTCGTGTTGAAACTTTAATCATAAGTTGTATTGAAAAACTGATGCGGCTGCATCGAAGCAGCGGCCGCGCCCCGTCAAACGCCCATCTTTTGCTGCAGTAACGCCCCTCTGCGATGCGCCCGCGCCCCGTCGTGCGTTTTCGTTGTTGCGTTTCAGGGAGGTGATTCTGTAGACTTACAATCTCGTGCAGTAAACAATATTCAAACCCTAATTCGTGCACATGTTCAGCAATAAAAAAAGTTTCTCGTCAGTCGTCAAAAATCCGCTGAACAAATTTCGTACACATGTGAACTCGTACCTGCAACGTTTTCATCGTACAAGAAAAGTCGTTCTTCAGTCGCGCATTGCCCTGTGCTTGTCGCAGTTGATGCGTTCGGTTCTGCGTTCGTCCTACTCCTACTTTTTCTGCCTAAGTACTTTCGTCCTACCTAGGTACGTTCGTCCTCGTCGGTGTCTCACACTGAAACCCTTCTTCCAAACCCTAACCCAAAAGACAGGGACTTCGACGCCGCGCACGGTTTTTGTGCGGCCTAATATACAAATCATTTGAAACTTTTTTGCGTAAGTACTAAAAGTGCTAAGTAAGTACGTAGCGTTCAGCCCTACCTGTTCTAGTTCAAGAATAATAAAGTCAGGAGTCACGTACGCGTGTAGTCTAAATGTTGGACGATTTCAATTTTCTGGATTTTCTCAACGACCGGCGCACCGGCGTGGGGTATTTACTGTTCTGTATGTCCTTCATCCTCGCCGTTTTTGTCCTAGATTTTCTCCATCGCCCCGCCGTCTGGCCGCCCGCGACCGCGGTCACCGTCAACCTGGAGCCCGTGCAACCCTTACCGCCGCGCTCGCAGTTTGCGAACTTGTACCCGCCGAGGCAGAACTGACAAGTAGTTGGAAGATTTCTTGTGAAAGGACCGCGGCGTTGACGTTGTACTTCAAACGAAGAATCGTACTAGATCTAGTAGAATTCCGGCTTGCTGACGAAGAAGTTCGTTGCGGAAGAACATTTTTACCAACAAGAGAAAGCCAGCAGGGTGACCACGCCTGGGAAATAAATTATTACATGTAGAAAAATCCTACGGCACAGCCAAGTAGAAGATGAGCGAAAGGAAAAAATCGTCGAAGGCCCCAGATGAGCAAGCGCCTTCGGGCGGAGTTCCGCCTGATATTAATAAAGCTGGAACGGGACGAAAAATGAACAAGCCGGCACTGCTGGCAGATGCTCCGGGTCTGGACCCGCACGTGTACGGTGTGTTAGGTATGGCCTCTGCCGTAAGTTCAGTGGCCTCGTCAAAAGCAACAACCGAAGAGGAAGATGATCTTTCAGTCTCAACCCCAGAAGCAGAAGCAGGGGGTGGACTACAACAGCAGCCAGCACGAGGCGCGCCAGTTCGAAAAGAAACCAAGCTCAAGAACAAGCAGAAGAAAGAGAAAAAACAAAAACGCGACCGTGCTGTCACTTCTAGCCCGGAAGACGAGGAAGCGAGAAAGGAGAAGAAGAAAAGAAAGAAACTCGCAGCCCTCGCGTCTGCACGGGCGCCGGAGTTGGTGAGTGGCATGGACGATGGTGGTACTTCCTCGATTATGACCAGCAGTGTAGAAGTTACCAGCAAAGAGACCAGTGAAAGTGCTGAAGATCGCTCCGCAGCACGAGACAAGCAGCGGACGACAACCAGCGCAAGAAAGACAAGCAAGCAAATAGATACTGAAGTACTAGGGCAAGCAGGCCACGATGCTGACAGCAATAATCATTCTGCGGTGCTGCCACCTTCGCCGAAAACCAGCATCGTTCACCAGCAACAACCGCCCGCGCCCACGACCTCTCCGACGGAAGCGGCCCGGGCCAGTGCGGCGGAGGCACTTGGACTGACGAAAAACCGCGTTTCCCAGCAGCTGCCGATAATGGGGCAGACCATCTACGCATCCATGGACGGTCAATCTTCTTCGGGGATCGTTTCTCCGAACGGATCCCGGCAAGGGTACGACTTTTACCCCCTGAAGAGTACCGCCTCGACCCTGAAGCGGAGAACGGATGCGGCCGACGAGGAAAACTTTGCGAGCGCGGCCACCGCCAGAGCAACGCGCGCTTCGCCGACGGAGGCGCGAGGAGACCGGATCAGCGAAACTGCAGTAAAAACAGGCGCAGCTGTGGTCCCTGCACCGAAGGACACGATCGGGGAAAATTTCATTCCGGCCAGCATAGTACCACCTACTGCAGGAGCAGGAGCTAATGAAGCTAAAGGAAAGGGCAAGGTTGGTGGTCAAAACACACCTCCGGCTCCACCCGCGAAGGGGCCCGGCCCCAAACCCGAAGGAAACACGCCCGCGCCTCCGGCGGTGCCCGCGAAGGGCAACAAACCGTCGCCGCCAGCGACTCCAACCGGCAAAAATATGAAGGGCGCACCCGTGCCCGCAGTTCCCCCGGCTGCGAATAAAGGGGCCGCGGGTATCAAAGGAGGAAAAATAAATAAAGCAGGAGCCCCCGCCGCCGTGCCGCCGACGGAGGGGGCGGCAAAGGGGAAAAAGCCCGCCGGAAAAAACGCGAACTCAGGCTGGAGCTCTTCACGAACAGCGTCTCCTGCGCAAAACTCGGATACCTCGACGGGCAGCCGGATCAAACCGCCTGCCGTCGTGTCTACTACCACGAATGATTTCACTTCGGAGTTGCAGCGGAAGTTGGAGCAGCGGTCGAAAAGGAAAACGGCGGATCCGGGCGTCGAACAACCGGTCGCCTCCCACCCGCCGACGGGCCCCAAAGACGCCTTCGGGTCGGAGCTGCAGCGAAAATTGGAGCAGCGCTCAAAGAAGAACGCTGCGAAGGACGCTGGGGGAGCAGTTATCCTGGACCCGATCGCGCGCCGGCCTGGCAGCGTCGGACCAACGGAAACCGTGGGCGTTTTGCAGGGATTTCAGTTTGTAAAATCTTCCGGTTCGGGGAAGAAAGCTGCTGCTACTGGTGGCCCTGTTGATACTACTGATAGTACAACTACAGCAGGAGCTGCAACAGCGGCAGTGGACCCGCAAAGTAAAACCACGAAGACGCAACAGCAGGCTCCTCCGGGTAAGATCTCTACGACACTGCTGGCAAACAACAACAATAACGTAGGAACACCCGCAGAGATCAACATAGACATACCGAGAGCTGCTTCTTCGAAAACGGCAGCGGGGCCACCACCAATCGTGCCACCTAGTAGACGAACCACGAAGGCGAAATCTTCACCGGCAGACGAGAAGCAGAACAAGATACAGTTCAATAGAAATTTGATCCAGCCCGAAGTGAACATCAATGCGTCCCACCCGGGGCTGATCGTCGATTTGACCGCCTCCCACGCGATTATCGCGGTGGACACGGCGCCGAACGAAAAGGAGAAACTGTTTGAAGTGGATCCGCTGACCGGGGCGGTCAACTGGAAGAACCCCATGAGCGAGAAGTCCATGGCCGCGAAGCGCGCGGTGGACTACGCGGCCCAAGACGTCGGGGAGACGAAGCAGTTTTGGCAGCAGATGGTGCAAACCGGGGGGAATAAAACGCAGGCGATGAAGATGGTGACCGCACGGGGGCCAAAACAAGATGGAGCAGGAAATAAGACCGTCAAATTTGGCGCAGCTCAGGATTACGAGCCGACTGCGGTTCATCTCGCAGAAGAAAACGTGGCGGATATGACGTACTTATATTTATTAGCATAGCAAACCTTACGTAGTGTTTTGTGATTTCATGGAAAAATACTAGTTTGACTTTGGCACGAAAAGTAGCACTTTTTTTCTCTAAAAAATGATCTTCTGCAGCTTCTGCCTGTCATCGACTTGTTTATGTTGATCTATCAAAAGTTAGTAGAAGGAAAATCAGAAACCAAAACTCCACGAATACGAAAACGAATCACTTTCACAGCGCATCCCAGCTGGGTGCCCAGGGTAAAACAGTTCAAGTTTTCCGCAAAACCAAGACCGGACGGGGGACGCAAGCTCCCCGGGAAACTGAGTTTGTGCTCCTGCACCTGCCGCAGGAATCCCAAACGGATATTCTGCCGGGAGGCGGGCCTCAGCGGAATATGCGGCGGAAGCGCGGCCCTTTGTCAACGGATAACTTGTACGGGAACCCCCAAAGTTATGGACTTCTCAAATGTTACATTCTCAACTGTTACATGAATTTGTAATGCAAGACTGGCAAAAGTGAAAGGAGGAAGATTGCGCCTTTTGCATTACAAGAAGTTTAGCGCAGATTCAGATGCTGCTTAGCCCTTCCGAGATTTGTCATGCGAAGCAGCTCGATCATCTGCCGGCTGAAGGTGCTTTTGCATGACAAATTCATGTAGCAGTTGAGAATGTAACGTTTGAGAACGCCATAAAAGTATGAACAAGATAAACGGGACGTTTCAACCCACCGCTACGCACCTAGTACAAACCGGACGACCTGCGAATTACGGCAGTATGGAGCCGAACTCGTCTCGGCCGAGACCAACGCGAGACCCCTCCGATTCCGGCACGATTTTGCTGATCATTGTGTGCGTCGTGGCGGGTTTGGCACTGGTTGCGGGGATCGTCGTGACGATTGTGTGCTGCAGTAATTACGCGGCGGATTCGGGCCCTGCTTCGTCGGACACCGCGACAACGACTATCGGAGCAGCTGGTGCTGTATCTTCACCTCCAAGTGCTGTGTTGCAGCTTGGCGATGGAAGGCAACGTGGCGAAACCGAAAGAAAGTACGGCACTACTGGTGAGGACCGTAGTACTTCTAGTACGGCCGCACTAGTACCTGCAGAACGTCGTAGTACAGAGACACAGTTGTCAGCAGCATCTGCGGCCGCACGAACCGATGCGGAAGATTCCCCGCCGGGTGAGAAAAATACGCAAGGGCAAGAAGTAGTACCACGTGCCGAAGATTCTGCTGTATCGTGGAGTCAATTCATCCAAGGAGAAAGTACACCGAGAACAAATAGCTACTTGGCACTGAAAAAGCGCCACCAGAGAAGAGCCCGGACGGTGGTCGTCAAGAAGGACGTCGGCTTGTGAAGGGGCGTGTCTTGTTTCGATTTCCTTTTCATCGGTAGCTACAACTTCTCGACATGAATTTCAATTTTTCATCCTCTCCCTGACCCTGCAGTAGCTACCCGCCATGTTGAGTAAGTACGCTTATACTATGTAAAGTAGTTTCTCCATTTAGATTTATCGGAAAGGCTTCCAGTACGGGAAGCTTACCTATGTATACTTCCCCTCGATGAAACAAAGTCAAAGTGTTTTGTCTCTGGAACGAGCACCCGTTGGTTGCACGAAGTTTTGTGTCTGGAGCAGCAATGAAGTCAACACGGTATAATTTCGAATGGAGCGCCTGTACGGCGCTGGGCTTTTTGGTCGGATCCTACTAGCCGGCACCTCCACGCCTGATATTTTCTCGACCTCGAGGCTCCACGTCCAGCTCGTTGAAGTTGAAAACGTGTACGTTATACTGGAAAAATCTGTGATAATTGCTTATGCTTCGTTGAAAATTGAATCTCGGTAGAAAGTATGGAAAGTTAGTCGGATTGTGCCGTGTGTTGTTTTTCCCTTCGGTTTGTGCCGTGCATTCATTGTTGCGTTCGCAACTCTTCGTGCCAAGAATTGACGGTAACTTTCGTCGCGGCAGGACTCGTCTTTCGTTCGTACCACCTCCGCTCGTTCGGCTTCGGTCAAGCAATGTTTGTGTTTGGTGCTTCACAGCTGGTGACTTCTTGTACCATTTTTTGTGTGAATACTTCTCACTTTTGACTCGCTCAGCACGTGACCTCCAGGCTACCCGCAACAGTATATTTTAGGCGTTCTAGTCACCCCGAAGTCGATAGAGATATGGATGTGAAAGCTCTACTTCTTACCCCCTTTCAAATTGAATTTTCATCATCGAAAATAAAAGCAAGTTCCTCAAAAAACCCAACTTGCTAAGCATACAGGTTCAACATTTCCGATCTCGGTAGAAGTTGTTTTAGAGTTTTTATTCCCCCCAAGTAGTAGTTCAACATCAACATCAACAACATCAAAAGTTAAAATCAATTGTCTATCTGCATGAGGGAGTATGGCCGGTACGGGCGGGCTGGGCAATTCAGCTTTCGATAGTAGAAATTCTGAAAACAACAAGGTCCCCGATATATCCGTCGTGCCCCGCAACCAGCGGCGTCACCAGCAGCACGCGCGAGGCAAGAAGCACGCGACTTTCGACCCCCACCCCGAGGCGCAGAGTCCGCACGCGTTTCGGAAACGGAAAAGAGAGGAGGAGGCTCTCCTAAGGGCAGCGAGGACCAGCCAGGCCGATTACAACAAATCTAGCAGTACCGAACAAGCTTCCGCCCTTCTTCTTTCTGCGGAAAAGAATTACGAAGAAGGAAGTGGAGCGGGCGCTTCGATCGTAGCCGGGACTACATCAACATCTACCGGAGAAAACCGAAGAAATTCTGTTTCCTCGTCCACCACGGCCAGCTCCACACCCGTCGTGCTTTTAAACTCCAGCAGCGTACCCGCGGCAAAGTATTCGACAACTACTTCTGATTTAGCGATCCACCAAAATCCCTTTTACGCGAAACGAGAAGCAAGAGGTGAGCGCGCCATGGACATAATCGTTCCCGATATCTCAGGCAAAGCGCGGTTTCCTCCGCCACCTCCTGCTAATGAAAAAAATCGCGGACAACCCCCGCCGCCGCGGCAAGCCAGCGAAGGGGAGAAGGGTCCGGCGAGCACGGAAATAGAAATAGGGCATCAAGAGGGAGGGTCTTCTTTACCACCAGGGGGCGATCAGAGAGCCAGCATCTCTTCAGCCGAGACAATGGGCGAGGTGCTGACCAATGAAGAGATGCTGCAGAGCTTTGCGAATTTCACCAGGAACCGGCAGCTGCAGCAGGAATTTGAAAAGACGAAACAGGCCGGAATGATCACAAGTAGTACTCAGGAACAAGTCGACAAGAACACTGGTATGGTCGTCAACAACACATCTTCTACTGGAGAAGATAATGTAACGAGCAGAGAGGGAGGTGATCAAGGTCAAGAACAAGACTCGCGGTCGAAAAGTAAGGATAGCACGAACCCCGCGACGACCTCCAATACAGTGGTCAGTAAGCATCAGAAAAAAGATGATCTCGTCCAACCGAATAGCAAGGGAAGCAAAGACCACGCAGAGCAGGAAAACAATAGGAGCCCCGCATCTACTTCTCCGAATGTTGCGGCCGCGGGCACCGAAGTTTCAGCTGCAGAGCAGAAGATCCGCGACGACATTGCGCTCCGAAAGGACCACAAGAAGCAGTTTGATAATGCCGGCTCTGTAGTTCTGCCGGCAACTACTGCAACACAGCAGGAGTCGGCGGTACATAAGAACGGTAAAGAGAAAGTAGATAAAGGTTCTTCGCATGTTGAACATAATAAAGAGCAGAAGAAGCTGCACAAAGATCATGATGTTTCAGTCGCGCCCCCAAGGATGAAAGAAAAAGAAGTAGAGAAAGACAAGCACGGGTCTACAACTCCTCGCTCTGGAGGCACCCGTTCGGAGAGCAGGCAAAGAATCCAGCAGGAGGCGGACGAGCTGCTGCGAAGCTACGAAAAGCAGAAATCCAGCTTGCAGCGAGAGCTGGACCGTATGTCCGACGAGCGCAGCCGAAAGAGCGTGCTCGAGGAGGACGGCGGCGCGAAGAACCTAACGAATTCCACTCGGCGGGGGCACCACAAATTTTCGCGCAGCGGGAGAGATGACCACGGGTCCTCCACCTCCGTCGATAGAGAAAAACACCAGGACCAGCGGTGGGTCCGGCACATGGATAGTATCCACAGCGAGCTAGACGAACGAGACAAAAATCAAGCGAAACTTCTTAGAAATGCTTCTGGTAAAAGAGGGCATGATCATCGACATGATAAGCATAGAAAAGGAGCTGATCAAGACTACAGCAGTGGCTCGGACGGGCGGTCGCGGCGGGCGGGGCAGCCGCGGCGGGTGGATCTTACCCGGGGGAGGTCCAAAGAGGAACTGCTAAGGCGAATAGAGCAACTCGAACGTGGAAAAGGGAAAACGCTAGTACGGGGCCGCAGTCGCAGTCCGCCCCCAGCGGGGGGAATAAATAGAGCTGAACTACGTGAAAGGAACAACAACAACTCGGATCAGGCCAGAGGACAAGAGACTTCGTCTTCGGACGATTTGTTGAAGAGGATCGAGCAACTAGAGCGGGATCATGCAGCTGCGACAGCGGCGGAACGTGCATCCTCTTCCCGCGGGGAGCAGCAGCATTTAGGAGGAAAAGCAACAACTACAGCTTTAGGAAAAAGTTATGCTCCACCTTCTACAAGGAACAGTGCCGGAGCCGGAGACGCTCCGCCTTCCGGAACGAGTGGGAACAAGATGAAGAACGAGCTACCTAATGACCACACACCTGTGACCTTCGACGTCCAGTTAACGGATGATACTGCTGATCCCACGTCCGTGCCGGGCTTGCTGCAGGACCGCAAGCACAAGCCGGTCTCCGCGGCGTCGATCGGTTCCGCGCTAGTACGGCCCCCCGACCTGTCCAATCCGCAGCGCTCGTCCAAGCGGCGGCACAACATCGTTTCGGTAGATTCTAAGATCATGCAACTGGACTCGGAGCGGGCACTGACCATGCGCGCGGCCGTCACCGCCGCCATGGCCTTTCGCTCGGTCTACAACGACGGCAAGGCGACGCGGGAGCGGATAAACAAAGCCCTGGCCGCTGGGCGGGAGAGGAACAACGGTGTCGGTGAGAATAAACGGCCGAGCCGAAACGGCAACAACAAGGCCTCAGTTCCCACATCTTCAACTCCCGGCGGCGTTGTTGTTCCAGAAAAGAATAAAATCGTCGACACCTCCGAGGTATTCAAGGACGTGCCGGCTGCGGAAGCGCTGCTGCGGAAAAGCCGGGCGCTGTTGGCAAAAGTCGAAGCGTCTGAAAGAGAAATTCTCGGGTTGAGCACAACCGGTGGTGAGCAAGTGAACAATAATACTAACTCCTCCATGGCCCTCCTCCCCGCAGGTACGTCTTCAGGTGGTGTTGACAACTTTAGAAATTTAGTGCCTGGAAGTGAAAAAGAGAATCATGCAAGTACCAGTCCTGCGTCCGCCGCCGCCGAGCAAGAACTTCCACCCGGCGGGGGCCCCGGCGCCGCGATAGTGGATCTGCCGTTGCCGACCTTCGACGAGATAGACGCGGAGGCGAAGGTGACCGCGGCTCTGTTGTTGAGTAGCACCACCACGAGCCCCCGCACCGCCAGTCCGGAGCCCGCGAAACTTGCCGACCTGGTGGCCGAGGGCGAGACTTTGCTGCACGAGGACCTGGAACGAGCCCACATCGACGAAAGCGAGGAGGGCAAAATGAACCTCGAGCGCGCCAGCCAAGCCTCCACTACCAGCGCGTTTTTGCGCAGGAAAGAGAGAACCAGCACCGCCCTGAAACCAATGCGGCAGCTCTCCATTCCGGAGGGGGAGTGGTTACCCAGAAACTTAAACAAAGTGCAAGGGGTTGTACTAGGCGACCAAGAAATCGCAGCCGCCACAGCCGAGGACTTAGAGCAGGCCGTCCGCGCCATGGGGAGCGGGATCAGCATCGGGTCATCAGCTTCTACTGGTAAAAATGGTGCTGCTACGCAGGGACCTCCACTACAGAAGCTCCAGCAACTCCTTGCGCTGTTGGATCAAGAGGAAAGTGGTACACCAAGTAGTGGTGCAGTACTTCTTTCTGGCAACAACAACAAGCGCTCCTCGAACAAGTTTACTGGCGAAGATGATGATGATGCTTATGATGATTCCGAAAACGACGAGGACATGGACAATAACATGCTGGGTCAGGACGTGGTAATCGCGGTGACACTCTTGCAGAGACTGGCGAGGCTCGGGAATGGGTCGGTGGAAGCGATGAGCGACATTTTGGACGGGCTCGAGCGCGACCAAAACGTCTCGGGTTTGACCGGCGTGGACATCTTCTGGGAACACGAACACATGGTCGCACGCATTCTGCGCGAACACGTATTGATTTTTAGGCCCCTGCTGTTTTCACATTTTGGGTTTTCGTTCCCAGAAGACCTTCGCAACTACTCGTATGGTTCTGATCACCTGTAGATGTAGCACTTCTACTTCGGTAGGAAGGCGGCCACTGCTTTGAATTATGGGGTAGCACGATATTGATAGAGATAATCGCTTGCTGCGCGCTAGCGCCTTTTTACATTATGTTGTGATTTTGATAAACATAAATACAACACCGAAAATACAGGAACTCGCGCGGCCGGCTTTCGGAGATGCGTACCACAGCCCATTTGACCCACTGTCTCCGATATCCCCAGCAAAAACAGTAAGAACTTCCTGGCACGCTGGGGATGCATGTGATGCATGACATTTGTGTACTTGTTCGTATTGTTGTCATGAGTCGGACACCTCTCTTTGAGGTGGTAGTTTTTCTTTTCTCTGAATGTAGTGTACTCGTTCCGTTTCCATGCAAGAGCGTGCAGGCAGTTTTTGCAGTGGATAGCCGAGTTTAAGGTCTCTCGGTGCAAGGTCAAGTTGAACGTGCAGCATATGCGGCAAAGGAGTCGGTTGTGGTTCGAAGATTTTCACAAGACCAGCTTCATAGACGTAGTGTAGGCAGTCATAAATTAGGCTTTGCTCCTCATTTTTTCAGTACTCAATTCGTAACTATTCTTTCAAAATTATTGTGTTGATCTCTTTCTCTTCAGTGTATGTTTCTGTCGGAGTGCCAGCAGTTTTCAAAACGAAACAGTACGAGGAAGCTTTTGGTTTTGGTGCCGGTTTGTTCTTCCGGTGTCCGCTTCCCCAGGAAGAAGATTGCCCGACATTTCAATGCAGGGCACTTTGCCCCCCTCGTTGTTCGCTTCCTTTTCGCGAGGAGCAATGTGTGTTACTGTATGTGGCCGCATAGCGCGTTCGCGTTGCCGTGCTCGGTGTGCGCACTGTCTTATTTTGAAGTTAACGGAGCTGCTCCTCTTCAATCTTGCGACAGTGCTCTGCTCTCTATCATGCACGTGGGTGCTTGTTTTCCTCACCGTCTCGGTGCCGAGACAATTGTTTCTCGGTACCAAACACTGCAGAAAGGATATTAGCGCCAGCGATGAAAATTTCACTTGCTCGGTAGATGAGAGTGAAACAAGCGCATGTATCGTTGCTGGAGCTTCTCAACATGACTAGTCGGTTCTTCGATGCTGTTCGTCCACAATAAAGTCAATTTCTAGAAGTCGTGTCTTTCTTTCTCGTTCGGTTGGAAAGATTTGAATGTTGGTATACAAACCTCGGTATTACTATTAGCGCTAACATTTCGTTTTCGTCCAGCTGTCGCTCTGGTCGTCATTGCGTACCTGTGATGAACTCGTGCAAGGGATGAACAAAACTTCGTCCTGAAGATAGCAGCTTCTTGATGTATGACCTCTGTTGAAGATGAGTCTAATTACTCTTCCGCAACCATCTACATTTCTGGAATGAGATAAAGTAAACAGGATTTTTGTCACACGACAAAGAATTCCGATTCCCTTCCCCCTACTACAACTTGAAAAAGATAGAACTTACTCTTGTTTTTAATCACCTTTGTTCTCAGCCCTTTTTGTTTTTACAACTCGACACGAATCCGACTTGCTGTACCACCACCTGCTCTTCATTTGCTACGCTCCTCGTCTAGGAAGTGAGAAAATCCTCTACGTACCAGGTGGATTGCTTTTTCTTGCAACACTTCCATTCTTGTCACAAAACCCAAGCCCCTGTGCATCTCTACTTCGTGCAAAAACAGAGACAAAAATGTCCTGGGTCGTGTTGGCGCCGGTGTGGTGGGTTTTTCGCAAAATGGACGAAGTTGTCGATGAGTACACCGACCACAGCGGTAGCTATCCACTCCTAGTCCATCCTTCCATTTTGTGAACATACAATTCCCAGGTTTTTCATTTGAAGCTTATGTGGTCTATTACTATTGTGCATGAATATACTTACTTATCTATGAGAAGTCATCTTGCTCAGTGGCCAACAGAATAGATACTGTACAACTCTGGCGTTGTCCGCATACTCTAGTGTTGAAGGCACAGAGGTGCTACCAAGTTTTTCGGAAGTCAAGGCTCTTTGTGTAAGTATGCTTGGTGATGATCATGACCACAATGGGGACTGAAAGGATCCCGCTTGCAATTGCGGACCCTGTAGTTTGTTTGAGGAATTGGATATAAATGTAAGGCCATTTTGGTTTTGCTGGGATAACCCTGAGGAAATCGACATGAATGCCCCGATCAGACTGGCCCGGCAGGAAGAAGAAGAAGATGAAAACGCGAGGAAGTGTTTCTCGCGCTGTGGACGATTTATTTCCTTGCGAATGATGATTCGACTCACGCTCTTTCTCCTCCTTACTGTTCTTGGTGCGCTTTTTTATCTTTTCCTGTACTCGTCCGGCCATAATGTTCAGACGAGTTGCGCAAACGAAGGAACAGGTTGGCCGTGGTGCTATCTTTTGCAACAAAAAAGCTCCACTGAGTCGTGGTCCGGTACTAAACGTGAAGACGCACAAGAAGCTGGTACGTCGAGCGGGGATCATGGTACCGTGGGCGGCCAGCAATGGGTGGGCGAGCGGGCACATGTTGACAGGGATCCGCAGTATGACTTCGTTCCGGAAGGGACGGAGATGGACCACAAGAAGAGCCCGGTTCTGACTGGGAATGGTGATCATATGAAGCATCTGCCAAAGCGTGAATCTGATCGCCAGGCTCCACCTGCAACAATCAAAAACGGGGAGGACGGAGGCAGTAGCCTCCCGCGGCCGCCGAAGATCGCACAGGACGCAGCTACTGCTGGCGCCACTTCGGCTGGGGGGGACAAAAATAAACAGCACGGAAAAATGGCGCCGAATTTTTTAGACGAAAACGCATCTTCCAGGACCGGGAGACCATCAAACCGGGGCGGATTCGGGGAGCTCTTAAAAAATGCAGCTCCGGATGATGAAACGCCGGCGGGAGAGAAGGTACTAATTGATAGTGATCCGTATGAATATGAGGAAATCAATTTCGAACTGTGTCACTGTTTTAAGCGAAGCCAATCAATCTCGGACTTCATCGTCCTCTTTGTCGGTGATTTCGTCCAAAATTAACAAACAGGCGACCCCAGCACAAGAACCAGGCTCGGATCTGCAGCTCGGAATCCCGAATACTGAGGATCCGGGGGAGGGAAAGCATCAAAAGCCGCACGATCAAAATGTGCTCGAAACACACGAGAACCACGGGGAGACCACGAGCGAAGAACGACCGCAAATGAGCCAGGGCTCTCAGGGACTCCAGCGCGCTGGGGCAACTTCAAGTGCTCCGGGGAGGTCTGAGTTTTCCTCGGGCTTTTTGGAAATTGTCCGACGTCATACTGCTTGTTTATTTCCTGCTGGTTCTTCTAGCTCGTCGGAATCGGTGGATCCAACTACAGCAACACATGAAGAAAAAGAAAAAGAAGCAGAAGAAGCGCCAGCATCTACTCCACGAGCAATGACGTATGAGGAGGGCGTCCAGATGCTGCAGGAGCTGATCGTTGAGGAAGTCGGAAAAGCTGACCACAAAGCCGAAAAAAAGGAAACAAAAGAAAAGATGGGTGACCTGTTCCCTAAGACCATCCAATTCCTACGGATGGAGGACACCAAAAAGATTTTTCTGCTATGGGGCCAGTACAAGGCTGAGCTACATGATCAACCGGCGGAAGCTGCGAAGATGGAACGAAGAGAAGGTGACTCGACCTGGGATATCGTCCAACGTGCGTTGCAAGGGGGGGGGGAGAATGCCGCCGACGGTTTGCGCCGTCAGGGCCAGTTCCTGGCTCTCAGTGGGACAATCGCAACGACGTTCGTGGACAGTGTCAGCAAGAGCCACGAAGAACATCTGGATCAACTTGAAGGGATCACTGCTGTCCTGAAATCAAAAGACGGACAAATCCTCGCGTTTGGCGATCGTGGCCTTCTCACATGGTATGAAAATGCTCAGCGGCAACATGCTGGGAAGTATCGGATTGTCAAAGGCGACGATCCAGCAGAGCCAGATGGAGAAGATGTGAGGTCCCTGTACCAAAATGAAAAACTTCGCCTCCGCCCCATATTCAAAAAGGAATTTCTCGTTCCGGATTTGCGTACACAGATGAAGTTGTCATGTCAGAACGTAACAGCTACGGCGAAAGCGAATACATAAGGCTGCCAGGCATGGGAAAGCGCTCAGCAGGAGTCCAATGCCTGTAAGTGCAGCTCAACAGGAGTCCACTGCTTTGCGTGGAATATCATGACAAATCCCCAGAAAGCCAGGCATCGGCTGCGTCTCTTTGCCTTCTATTGTTTAATCATACGAATTCAATAATATTTTTGGACACAAATGATCCGAGAAAACCGGCTGGCCTGATCCTGATAGCGTCCGCGCTGGAAGGAAGCAGCCGCGCCCGTATGCGCGCGGCCGTTTGACCATCCGCCTTCAACCGGGAACCTTGGTCTTCTTCAGGCTGGAGGGAAGAGTAGCACGTAGCAGCCCGCCAAGGGACATACTACCAGCATCATCTTCACGCATGAGGGGTCTCCGCGTGAATATGGGGAGGGGGGATTTTTGTCGCAATACCCGGGCAAAACTAGTGCCGCTGACTTTAATTACCGGGTATTCCACTTATATGACCATGGTCATTGCAGCAGCTGCACCACCAGCAGAATTGGGTGAAATTGGCCGAGGACATGTTGACTTGCGGAAAGTCGCCGACATGATCATGAGTGAACACGTACTAGAACGAACTTGCCTAGCCGGTGCCGAAAGCGAGGCAAAAAATCTGCTATCCCTAGAACCAGGGAGTCAGAATGTTCCCTCGTGGAAACAAGAACTCGGGCAATTTCTCCGAGCGGTCGAACCCGATGCACATGTTGAGAAGAAGGCGGAGCTGCAAATGCCTCACCGCGCTGCACTACCTCCAAACGTGGTGGGGTCGTCACCTTCGTCCTCCTCGGCCGCAGCCGCGTCGTCTGCTGGGGATTCACTGCGACCACACGAAACACCGATCCCTGATGCTGATGGGCTCTCTCTTTCCGAACCATGGAGAACGGCCGAGCCGGTCGCTCCCGGAGCGCCAGGCTCGGGTCTCCCCGCAGCAGTAGCCCCGCTTCCATCTTTCGTGGCAGGAGCGGCAGGACGGCGACCTGCAGGAAGAGCAACACCAGGAGCCGGAGGGCCAGCTGGGCCGCCTCAAGAATCGCAGCGGCTTCTCCTGCAGCAACGCGGCCAGGAGCCTTCCCCTTCGCACATCCCAACCAACCGCGCAATCGGCGGAATAAACTCACGCAACGAGGCGCAAGGGGGCCGTGAAACGCAAGGGGTGGCACCGGGGGAACTTGGCAGTGCAGGCGCGAATGGGCGGAAAGCCGGTGGCGGGTGCTGCGATAGTTTTCTCGAGCACAAGCCGGCAGTTTCCAAAGAGGGACAAGATACGAAGAAAAAGCTTCAGCAGGGAAGAGACCCGGATGGGGATGATGAGTTTCTCGAACACATGGATGACCCAGACGACGAAAGACTCGACCAAAATCAAGACTTTCGAGAACTGGAACGAAACACGACCGAGGAGCCGTCCGCGTTTGCTTCCAGCTTTTTAGCTGCTGGGTTGTGCCCTTCGTCGCCGGTGGAAGAACCGGAACCCCCTGCCCCTCCAACACCGCGCCAGCCTCGCCCAGTAGTTGTAGTAATACGAGCTGTAGCCGATAAGTACGACGATGAACTTGAGCAGGTCGCCAAGACGGAACTCGACGATGATTTTTTGACTGCGGTGCAAGTCCTTGGATGGAATACAGCTATCTCAACTCATCCGAAAAATCTCAGCGTTGACATTTCAACCCCCAACGCTGGGGAATTTATCTCAACTGCCGGCACCTCGGTGCCTCCAGCTGCATTGGTTTAGGGCTTCGGGCTTGGGTTTGGGGTTTAGGGTCGTCGCCGGCCGGCGGCGGCTGCCCGCCCGCAGAGTCTCTTCTCGCCCCCTCTTCTTGTGCGCGCCCTGTGGCCTTTGTTTTTTGGCCGTGCACGCGTCCGCACCTCCGCGCCCGCGCTTGTCTGGCGTTTCTTCCCGCCGACCCATTCGCCATCCCACGGCAATTGCTCATGATGATGATCCGCATGCGTGACGTGGGTCGTTGAGATTAATTTTTGGGAGTGGTTGAGGCCCTCGGGGTCGTTGGGATCGAAGCGTTGAGATAAAAGAATTGAGATTCCTGTATGCCATCCCAACTCCTTGATTCCGTCTGTCGACGAAAATTGCTGCAATTGACTCACGATCGGCAAGGAAACTTGCTGAAGCCTGAAGATGGAGAAACGACGCTCGAAGCCTACTTCCCGACGCTGTTTGAATTTCTCCGCCACGAGGACACTAGATCGATTTTTCGATTGACTGGCCAGCTGTTCGCGGAGGCGGAGAGAGGCGGAGAGGCGGATGCAGCTGCAGCTGCGATGCGCAGAAATGCAGGGAAGGAAGCGCAAGGACATGAAGAAGTTGATGGGATGAAGTTCCAAAATACTTTACAAAAAGTGTTTGAAAAGCTCGACCCGCTGTCGCCAAATATGAGACAAGATGATTGCGAATCGCAGGTGTGGCCCTTGTTTTTAGAAAAAGATATGCGCGGGAAAGGCAACGGCGCGTATCAAACTAACTGGATCGGCCGCCTGTGTGTCGCGGCTACAACGTTCGCTGCGAAGCTGCAAGAGGCGCCCAGCATGGAGGACAGCGTCGCCGGCATCGGTGATTTTCTGCGGAGTAGTGATGGCAGAATCCTGTTTCGAAGCTACGGCTTGCCGTATTTCAATGACAAGTGTGGAAAGGATCTTGGCGAGGAAACCAATGGTGGAGCAAGCGACTATGTTGACTGTCCGCTTCGGGAACTTGGTGTCCGCAATTCGAGAGTTATGGTGCTGTATACCATGGCACAAATGATCATCCGCGTACTAATACGGCTGCAGGTGCAGAAGCACGCGGAAATCGTCGAAGAATGCAACCACGACCGCGACCTCGCCAGACAACTTGCAACCGAATCCTTTTATCGTGCCTTCACAGCGGCCACTACCCCGTCTTTGGGTTCCGAAGAGCCGGTCCGCCGGCAGTTGAGATGGCTCTTAGCTGCGAGAAACGATGCGCTTAAACAAAAAGACGCTCAGTCCAAAAATGAAGACCAGACAGCAGGAACGACCCCTACCACCCCCTTTCGCGTTGAAGACGGTTATCTGGGCCAGCTGCTCGGTTTCTGAGATGTGTAGTCTCATTCCCATTGTCACCGTAACAGAGTAGTCAGTCATTAATTATGCTTTGACCATGTATGATCATTTCACTTTGATTTCAGTAATTAAAATTAGTTCACTCAATGTTAGGATGTTAGGAATTTTCATTTCAGTAAGAACGCAGTAGTTGAGGGTTTATGTTTAGGATGTTTAACTTTCGTAGATTTCTTTACTTCAGCAATCAGCCCCCTCTTGTTCATTTTTTTATTTCTTTTTTTATTTTTTATCTTTTCGCCCTTTTTCTTTTCGTTTTTCATTTTTTCCCCCCCATTTATTTTTTTTTTCGCCTTTTTTTGCTTTGGTTTTTCCTTTTCGTTCCCCTTTTTTTTTCTTATTTTATTTCGTGCTCACTGCTTTTTTTTTCCTATTTCTTTTATTGGCAATCTAGCTCAATTGCAATTTTTCAGTTTCACTTCCAGGAGCGTTCTCCGGGCTATTTCCGCTTTGGGCTGGGCACGTGTGCAGTGGGGTGACACCACCAGAGCATCGACGCTTGCGCTACATTGATCATACCAAAAAGCCCGCGACCGTAAATCGGAAACATAAATCCGCATGCCTATAGGGGTAAACCCCAAACCCTTTTCGAGGACCGTGCGCCCGCATATATAGCTAACGTCTATAGCCGTAAGCCGTGGCGGGCGTGCTATGTTGTGGGACGAATAGCAGGGGCGTTGATATGGGTCGAGGCTAGGCGCTATGTGTAGTAAGCCGCTACGCCAGACGGTACTAAAGACAGGGAGGTAGATATAGATATCAAGACATGGAGATAGTCATAGTTGCCCATAGGGGGCGATAATCGGGATCAAGGTAAACGCGGAGACTGGGAACGCCCTATGCCGACGGGTTTTGCAAACCCCCGCGTGAAAAACCCAGCGGGAAACACGACCGAAACCCCAGCCATAGATGCATGGCGCGGAAAACATACAAAAATGAACCGTGCCGGGTGCCCCCGCGGCGAACTTTTTACTTTCGCGCGCTACTGCCCCCCGAAATAAATGATCTCCTGCTCTCAGGTACTAGCCATAGGGTGCGACCAAGGAAGCCAAACGCCAATAATAGAAACTGCGCATCCTGAAGATAGAGAGCGTATATTAAGCCCGTAGACCGCGGGCGATAAAGAAACAACTTTTCAAAACTACACCGGATGCGTGTGCAGTTTCCGCCGATGGTGAACGGCTGGCCACAACATATATAAAAGGCTTTGCGGTCATCTATAAAACTATCGCTAAGTGGTCTCCCATGGGTCGGGGGCGGTTGAACCCACGATGAGAGGGGGCGGGGACCGTTGAGCCCAGATTGTTTTCTTCGCCGCGACAAAGTAAGGCGGAAAAAAAGACAGCTGCCCCTGCAAGGACGCGGGATGCGCGGGCTAGCGCTAAGAAAGCAGGCCAGGTAAATAAACAGCAACACTATACGACAACGGACATAAAAGGGTAGAGACCTAAATCTACATGGGAATACGGGAGCAGATGGGAAGACCGATTTTTTTTTAAAGGAGGAGGGGCGTACGAATTCACGACGAAGCTCCTGAAGACAACGAACGAAGGGCCACGCACGTGCACGAACCGACACGGCGCAGTAAGCCGCTGCGCTACATGCCATTTTTTCTTGGCCCTTTTTGGCCGGGCTAGCCAGGCTACGGGTACGGAATTATTATTGCTACCACGTCGCATGAAAAAGCTTTTCTGTTGTGTTCCAAAATCATTGCGTTTCTCTTTGTCAGGGCAAAGCGCCGTGACTTTTGAAAACGAAAGAGTACGAACCCTGTTGCTTTTCGTCCCGGTTTCTGTTTCACCAAAAGATTTTCAGTTCGATTGCCCAACATTTCAATGCAAGACAGTGTGTTCTCCCGCCCGTTTGTTTTCTATTGTCCGGGAAAAGAATTGTCTTTCTGTTTCTGTGGCTTGACGCGTCGCCCCCGGACTCGTCGCGTGTATCGCCTGCTTTTGAGCCTGATGGAGTTCTGCAATATTGTGACCGCCGCGCTTTGATTTTATTGCTTGGCTTTTTGTCAATGTATGTCACTTCCTTTTCGCGTAGCTTTGCTAAAACTCAACCTCAAGCCAAAATCAAAGAAAATTTATTACATACAGAAATCACAGGAGCAGCAATTGCAACTCGCGCTCAAATCGTCCTAGATGAAAAACAGCCGAAATAAACGCAACTCGTGATCGTGCAACACATTCGTCCAGATCTATGTTGTAAGCGTTTCCGTAACGTTCGTGGGGTCAGGTCACCCGATTGCGCCTTTTGTCGTTCCATTGTGGTGCCGTCGTGCATGTCGCTAATAATCGTTATCGTCTTCTGAGCTTACTATAAAACCGCCACGGAAGATGAAAGCATAAGCAAGAACGTGAACGCTGTGAAAAAATCCTAACAGGCTACTTTATGTTGCAAGTAATCTGGTGGTAGGGGTTGGAACATGTAGTGAGACCACTTGCCCCCGTAGTTCATTGTGACGCATGTTCTTTGTGCTTAAACTACATGAAGTTTGACTAAAAGTAAAAGTACGCCTACGCCAATCTACCTTCCTATGAATGTTGTATGTCCTGAGACATTTTTTTTTCGTGTACGTCATATTGGTGAGACTAACTACTTCTATATCTGATTCGCTTTCTTTTACTGCTGCTCCTGGTTCATCTGTCACTCTTTCTCCTACTGTATTCGAGACGAGGAGTAAGTCCTGACCCTGAAGACGCTCGCCTCTTTCGGCTGATTTTCATTTTCATTTTCTGCATTTGTTTTGTAGTTGTACCGGTCGGAGATCTACTTCATCAAACTTCAGCACACGACTACCATGATCTCCTCTTCCAAGCCCAAGACGATGCTCCCGGTGAAGCGCAAATTTCAGGGCGACGTTCTGTCGGAAGATACCCTGTTTTGTCCCGAACTTTTGTTCGACCGAAAGCGGAGGCGCAACGAGAGCACAGCGGGGTTCGTGTCAATTCCCTCCAGCCCGGTGCGACCCTCCAGCTCCTCGTCTTCTTCGTCCAGCCAGAATCGAACCCTGGAACACCAGGTGGACCTGCTAGCCGCGAACGTGGAGGCGCACCAGGAGAAGATTCCGCTCCTGGGTGGTGTTCTTGACACCAGCGAGGACGAGGATTCCATTCCGGACGAGACCAGCAACGGGTCGATTTGTAGTTCTATCGCTAGTGCTAGCCGCAAGCGGAACAAGAATAAATCTTCCGCACTAGCAGGTGCGGGTGTTGTGTCCACTTCCCTATCCCTGTCCCCCGACACGAGGCAGCGGCACATGCTCCGGGTCGCGCCGCCGGCCAAAAAGAAGTCGGACGAGGTGGGCATGGTGTTCGGCTCCTCGCGGTTCCAGCTGGCCATGAAGTCCACCACGGTGTTCCGCCTCTCGAGTCCCGATATCGACTTGCGAACCAGGCGAAAGGAGAGAAAAGCCTTTTTGAAGTCCCTGACTACGGAGCTGCCGACCAGATACGGCGAGCAACAGGAAACAATAAATCCAGCGGTAGAGCACCATAGTACAACGTTGTGCCCCCTCGTGTCGCCGTCCCCGTCGCCGCCGCCGGAATTCCCGCTAGATCGAGTGCTGATATCATCATCTTCGCCCGATGTTGAAATCGTGAACAACTCGAAAAGTTGTAGCCCGCCGCCGAGCTCGACCGCATCGTTCGACGCTTATTTTCCTCAGCACAAAAATACTGATCAGCAGCATCAGCTCGATAGCATGATTCCCTCCATGGTGAGCAACAGAGTTGTTCTTGCGGGTTCGTCGTCTACTTCGAGTGCTGCTTCGCCCTCGTCCTTGGGCCCCTTCGGTTTCATGGCCGCGAGAAGCACATCTAGTCCAGCAGGACAACACTCTACTGCTGGGGTCGATTCTGCGGTTTCGAGCCCAAACGTGCGGAAAGAAACGAGGGGCTTTCAAGCTTTCGCCTTCGTCCCGATGGCGGCCAGCAGTTGCACAGCCGCTGCATCTACTTCCGGTTCATCTTCCTCGACCACTTCATCTACTTTCGGCCCGGCCTCTTCTGGAAATAAAACAACTTCCGACATGGCCTGCAGCACGATAGAAGAAGACCAGTGCGGGACGATCAACAACTTCGTTTCCACTTGCGGGACGATAGGAAGCCCGCTGCTAGAAACCAGAACGGCTGACGTGTTGAATATTAACCGAGCAACTGCTGCTGATTTTTCCGCAATGGTAGTAAACGGCTCAAAGGACGACGAGAACGATCGGGCTCAGAGAGGAACGGGAGAGCAAGCACAAACTGTTAACAGATCGAAAGATGATCAACAAAGCGACGCGCCGCTCATCTTCTACGCCTCGCCGACCCCGGTGTCAGCGGCACCAGCGCCCTTCTTCTTCGACGGTTGCGAGATGAGCTTGGGAGCTAGTCGTTGTAGTTCTAATCAGAATATGATTCAGGCGGATCGCTTTCATCATGAGGACCGTGACTTGTCTGCGAAGAGAACTTCAATGATGTACTCCGCAGCTCCTGCGCCGTCTACAACTTCCAGGACCTCTCCTCCTGTCGTGCAACAGCGCGGGCGTCGCCCGACAGCACCTGCTGTAGCGACGTCAACCTCAACGTCGACCTCAATATTTCGAGTTCCACCGTCCCGCGAAGAAGTAGATGACGGTGCGAACGAAAGAACGAGGAGCCGGAACCTGTCCACGGATCGCCAGGGGAACATGACCGCGTCGGAATTTTCCGACAGCGACAACAGTTCATCTTTGCTGGACATCTCCAACATGACTGCTGTTGTGCGGTCCGCGAGTAGCACACGGAACAACGACCGTGGTTTATTCCTTCGGGGCCGGTCGCCCCTGCAGTCCAGCCGAAGCTCGAAGAACGGCAGTGCTTTCTCTCTGAACACAAGCGAGGACTTGGAACGGCGCCGGGCGAACGAAAATTTCACCAGCTTCGACCGGACGGTCAGCTCCGGGGTCAGCTCCACTTCCGGGAGTTCGTTTGACTTCAACATTGTGGACCGCGGAGGTGGTGGTGGTCCTTCAACCTCGCTAGGCTTTAATATCGCTCCTTCCTCTCCTACGGGCCCTGGTGCAGCTAGTACTCTTTTCGTCCCTGCGCGGAGCACAGAGAACAATGACGGGGCGTTTTCTAGTTCGACCGCTACACCACCACCGGCTCGTCCTCTTGCTGGTGACAGCACTTTCATCGGCACAGATAGCAGTGGTAGAGCGGGTAGTGACCGGAGGATCAACTTGTCATCCCTAAACAATCGCAATGTGCCGCTTGCTTCGATCGGATCGACCTCGAGCTCTTCCGCAACGTTGCCCGCATTGAACAATGTCGTTGGAGGTGGTGGGGACGAGGAACAGGATTTATTGGTACATCACCAGCATCAGAGCGAGCAGAGCAGCAGCCGCAGGTCCTCCTCCTCAACATCCACCCCTGGAGCGAATGCGATGGAAGACGTTGCAGTTGCGCACGAGATAAACTTTTTCAGGACCAGTGCTGCGACCACGACCAAGGAGCTGGAAAGACAGATCAGCGGAGGCGGGGTAGAAGTTGTCCTGGGCCAAAATACTAGCAGCGCAATTGGTTCCACGAATGGATTATCTTGTAATCCAGATGGTTCTGCAACTGCATCAGCAACCCGGAAGATGTCAAACACCGCGTTCCGCAAACGCGTGGACAGTTTGTCCGCAGCCGGTGCGGACTCCGAGCCGGAGAGTTTTACGCCCAGCATCAGCCCGAAGAACAACCGGGGGAGTAGTTTTGTTGCGAGTACTACTAGTGGTCTTCAAGGACTACTACACGCGGCGGATAATGATAGTTTACGAACTACTGGTGCAACTGCGACTTCCTCTGTTGTTCCGCAGCCGTTTTTCGCGTTTCTGGCGTACCCGGAGCAAGCGTCCTCCCCGGGTGACGATGCGGAGGAGGTGCAACTGCCAGAAGACTTGCTTTTCCAGGACACCAGTCCGGTGTCTGGAAATACGAAAACGCAAGAACAGGAGGATCCGACTGCATCCAGTCAGGTGAATTTCTTCCTCTCAGAGCAAAATCAGCAGCTGTTCACGGTTGGACAGCAATTACTAGACAGAGCGGAAGCTGCTTTTGCTGGGAATCATCCTGTCGACCTCCGAACTGAAAGTGAGATCACGGAGTATCGGAAGCAGCTGAAGACCGTTATGTTGAAACTGCGCCGCGTCTTTCGCAAATTGAACGACGAGAAGCAAGGTACTAGCAGCTTGAGCGGAAATAATAGAATCATCTCCGACGAACTACATGCGGTGTACGAGAAGCAGACGCGAGCCATGTACGACGCTTTACAACAGAAATTGCGGACGGTAAAAGTAGTCTTCAACAACACACCAGCTGTAGTCTCAACGGCAGTGCCTCAAGCTGTGGTTGTGGGAGAACCTGCAGATGACGAGGACGAGGAGCAAGACCAAAAGGCCCCTAGTGAAGGAGCAAACAGAAAGAGCAAGCAGGAAGTAGAGTCTCACGGGGACATTGCGGACCGAATTTGGCGCAGTCTGCATGGCGAAGATGTTCTTGACAAGAACAATGGGAACAAGAACTACTCCACTGAAGTAGAACAACGCCGGTCGGTGGATGTTTCTGCAGGATCATTAAGGGATGAAACTGAGTATATGCGGCCGATTTCTGAGTCCCCGGAGCCCCGCAGTCGATTGCACCAGGGCTCCGAATCCGCAGACTTGGCTTCCCGGAATTATCTGTTGTTCGAGCAGGTCGGACGGGATTCGGCCGCCGAAGCGGTGGCAGTTTCCGCGACGGAGGAAGATAGGGAGCGGATTAGCGACGGAGTAGATAAGGTAAAATGCGACGTGTTATACCTATTGCTGCTGAGGCATTTTTGTTTTTCTGACAGATAGCCAACTGTTCGTGCTGAACTAATGCTATGGAATGGGAATCTTGTCTCTCTACTGCAACTGCATTACTAGAAAAATAGCGTACAACCAGCAAACAAAAGAACTGGTCGGACTGTTTCGGGAAGCTACACATGTGTCTCCTCGTTGTGTTACCAAGCTACAAGCTCCTTCATCTGCATGCGTTTGCGTTTGTATCGCTGATGAAAATCAACCTGTACAAAATTTGTCGAACAAAACACAGTCCGCCATTCTCCAAACTACCGAGTTCCACGGTACGGCGCAAGTGGAACTGGAAATCAACTATCAAATGTAAAAATGTCTGGGTCTGGAAGATTCTGAGATTTGTCATGCATGTTTTGCATGACCCAGGATGTCTGTAATGCACGGCCGCGCATCACAGATTTTGAGAGGGCTTTCTGATGCCTCCTCCGCATGACAAACGCCCTCCCCGCGTAGCACAAACTAGACTCCTCGTTTTGCTGGTCATGCAATACAGATTTTTCTAGAACCCAAAGTTAGCATCACAAGTTCCAATCTTCCAGACCCAGACATTTTTACATTTGATATCAACGCGGATGGTACAACCGGGGCGATCATCAGTGACTGGAAATTGACACGAGACCTCACCGAAGGAACGCAAACTGCGTTAGTGTTCGATAAACAGGCTTTAGGCAGACCCAGATCCGGTACTGCAGGTGGGGGTGAAGATTCCGTGCTATCCAGGAGCATGATGGAAAACGCGATGAACCGCACGGAGAGCACAAGGAGCAACAACTCCGCGTCGAAGCGCAGCCGTGGTCAGAAGCGATGGACGGCGAAAGACTTGGAGGACAACTTTGAGGATTTTTCAAGGGACAATATCACTTTGTCTACCACGTCCTTGCCGAACAGGAATACAACTTCACACGATAATGCTGTTGACGACTCCCCTGCTTCGCGACGCGGACAACAAGACAGGAGTTTTAAAAGACAACTGAGCGCCCTGAACAACTCTCCGAAGGTGAAGGTTCTTGTGGGAAAAAATACCAACTATAACGATGGAAACCACGATAGTACAGCAACAACTATTCCACCCCCTAATATTATTTCCTCAGAAAGGCAGAAGAACTACTTGAAATTGATGGATTTACGGGTGGAGCTGGAGGAAACGCGGGAAAACGTGAAGGACCGCTACGACTCCTATCAGAATGAAAAAAGCCCCCGCCCCATATCAAATGGGAAATCTGTGACGCAGGATTTGTGTACACAAATGCGCGCTCTCTTGCAATACGGCATCGCAGCCAGATCCGCAGCCTAGGGACGGGCGTTTGAGTCTAGGCGCTTAGCATTACAAACGGCCGTCCTCTAGGCCCAACAGCATGCCAAATCGCTTCCCTACCCAGATAGCAACAAATGCTCACGCCGCAGCCGTCCCAGGAGCCTTTATTTTGTTGTTGTCTCTCGGTAGTGATCACTTTGTCCAAACTTATTCTACCTAGAGTTTGTCGAGTAAGTGGCTACCGTTTTAAGGTTTAGAGAAAGACAGGGACACCCAGCCCTTAGCTTCCCAACAAGACAGACTTGATTTGTGGTCTCAAATAAGCAATACAAATTTTCGGAAGCATGCCTTTTCGATATGGGGAGGGGGGATCTTTCCTTTCGATAACTCCGTGAAGCAGTTCGCGACGCAGAGTCCGCCCCACAGCCCGGAACGGATGAAGGCGGCGAATGAGTTGCAAGAATTGCGGGACAGTGACTTGAAGTTAAAGTTGGAGATCACCAAGGTGGACAACAAGTTGAAGGAGGCGGAAAATGTGCTGGACGACAACGAACTCTCGAAGCTGAAGAAGCAGGTCATCGAGCGAAACGGCGGAAACCTCGGGAAGCAGTTACACCCCTTTTCAGGAGGTGGAACAACTTCTGCAGGTCGTAGTTCTTCTGGTGGAGCAATTGTCTCTTCGTATAAGAATTTTTCCAATTCGGTGAGACCGACTAGAGCGTCTGAATTAAGACACAAAGCGAACAAAGGTAAGGTGGACCACAGGGGCGATAAAAGCAGCTCTGGAGCAGGAGACGCGACCAGCTCTAATACCGCAACTGCTCGGGACGAACAAGTTGAGAAGCTCGCAGCAGGCGCTGCGCACCAGCAGAGCAACAAACAACCGAAGCAAAAGAAGAAAACAGCGAGTAAACAGGCTGACGCGCTTGAGCAAGATCATGGCAAAATATTAGTAGACCAAATAGCCCCGGAGAAGGCTTTTCAGAAGTCGATTTCGCATCCGGTCGGCTTGCTCCGGGGGGTGTACGAGATGACGGAAAACCTGCAGCGCATGGACCGCGAGATTTCCCTCCCAGGAGCGGAGAAACTTTCCCTCGAGGACGAGCGGGAGAAAACGAAACAGTTGCGGCAGAAGCTCGCGAATCTGACGAACCAGTGCGCGACGTTGTCGGACGAGTTGGAGAAACAGGCGGAGGACCTGGAGGACGCCACGCGACAGCGGCTGTTCCTCGACGTGACCAAGGCGTACAAGAAGACGATCGAATTGCACGAGCGCCTCAACACGGTGGAAGTGAGGCGTGCGGAGCGGTTTCGGGTGTCAAAAGTCGTCGAGGAGGCGAGGAAAGAGGCGCTTTCGCTGCAGGAGAACGGCGTGCAACTCCCGCGGGGGCTTCCGGACGCGGTTTTTAGCTTAGAAAAGGCGGTGCAGCAGACCGCCGCGGAAAATTTGGATTTGGAGCACGTGGAGCAGGAGTCGCAGGAAATTTTAGCGGACCTGCGCATCACAAAAGCGAAAAGTATGTCGTCCGAGGTCGGGGATAAGGATAAGAAGAATTCGTTGTCCGGAATATTGAACAACATCGAAACCACCAGCACAATCTCGTTCGGGTTACACAGCGATGTCCAGGTGGTCAGAAGCAGGTACAGTGAGGAGCTGGAAAAGGAGTTGGCAGGCGAAAGACGAGGAGGTGGCGAAAGAGCAGGAGGTGACGCTGATGCAGTAGATTATTTCCACCAAGAACAGCTCCTTCCCGAAGTCGCCGAGCAATTCATCAGCAGAACCAGTGGCGGTGTAAAAACGACGTCCACCGGCGCGGCTCAAGGATCTACTTCGCCGGTGGTGGCTCCAGGAGCTGGTGCTTCTCCTACTGCAGGAGAGGTGGACCGCGATCAGCAGATCGCAACTTCCCTGCTTGAGGCGGCGCAGAGACAGTTAGACGAGCAGCGGCAGTTTGCCCTGGAGGACATCGCCGCCTACGAGCGGAAAACGCAGGAGGAGATCCAGCGAAGAGAGAAGGAGCTGCTGAAAAAGCAACAGCTGTTAGAGCAGCAGGAAAAGGACCAGCTTTTCGAGCAACAGCGCGCGAAGGAGGAGCTGCAGAATCTGCGGGACGCGGCGAAGCGAGACATTGACGCGAAACGGTTCAGTTTAAGGGCTGAGGAAAAGGAGAAAGTGGTCCAGGAGAAAGAGGAACTGGAAAAGTTGAAATTTGAGTTGACCGAAGAACAGAAACGAAAAGAGGAAGAGGCGGAGGCTATCCTGAGTAAAAATGTCCCCACCCCAGAGTTGTCATGGAGATTTGCAATTGCAGGAACATTTGTAATGCGCGTCCCCAAGGGAGGCACTTCCAATCGTGTTTTGGCACTTGTAATGCTGCAAACAGGATAAGTCGATGGATTTGTGATGCGGCTGTCCTTGCTAATATGAACTACACTACGGACTGCAACTTGTCATGCGTGGCTCCCAAGACTTCTGGAGTTGTGTTGCTACGTTCTCAACTTGACGATGGGGTGGGGACGTTTTTGCATTTGATAGAGCGGCTGCTCGCGTCGGCGCGGCGGGAGAGGACGAAGATAGAAGACCAGAAGCGGGAACTGGAAAAGCAGAAAAAGTCCCAGGACACGAACATCGAGGCGCAGAAAGCGACGTTGCGTTTGCAATTGGCCGAGCAAGAAGCGGCGGCGCGGCGGGACGTGGAAAGCGCGAAGCAGAAAATCGAGCAGGCTCGTCGCGCGCAGGAGGAGCTGGAGACGGAGAGGAAGAAGATGGAGGCAGAGGTGCAGCTGAAGCTCCAGCAGGAGGAGGAAAAGGCGCGGGTCGCGCTGGCAGAACGGGAGAAATTGGCGCGACAGGAACTGGAGTCGATGGAGCTGCGGATCCAGAAGGACGCCGAGGACGCGCGGAAGAAGGTGACCGAGTTACAGATGTTGACGGACCAACTAGCGGAGGAGAAGAAGAAGATCGAGACCGCGAAACGGGACAAGGACAACGAGATTCTGCATAAGAGGGAAGAGCTCGATAAGGAGGAACTGTTGATGCGCAAACGGTTGGAGGAGCAGCGCGAGAAAGCGCGCATCGAAATTGAGGAGAACCGGTTACAGGCGGAGAGAGCGCTGTTGGAGAAGCAGGAGGAGGCCCGGCAGGAAATCGAGGACGCTCGCGCGAAAGACCGCGAGTCGCGACAGGCACAGAATGAGCTGGAGCGACTGCAGCAGCAGATCCAGTCGCAGGGGGAGCAGCTGCAGCGGGCCTTGGAGCAGCAGAAGCTGTCCGCGCGCATGGAGATGGAAGAGCGGGAGGAAAAAGTGCGGAATTTGGAAACGAAACACCAAATCGAGGCAAAGCGGCAGGTGGCGGAGTTCGAGCGGAAACAGTTGGAATTGCAACAACAGAACGAACGTCTGCAATTACTCATCTCCGGCATTGATCCCACCGTTGTTTCGGGGTCCTCAGCGCAAGGTCCGGTCGTGCTGACCCCCTCGGGCGGCGCGCAAGAACGCATTCCCGACGCAGACGCGATCAAGGATTTCCGCGAGGCCTTGGAACGGGAGTTCCCGAGGTTGCGGGGGGACAAAAAACTACCCGAGTTTTCCCCGAGAAATCTCTCCTCCGCGTTCAATTTTAGCGACTCGATCAACATGACTGCTGGAGTTGATGCTCTAGGCCCTGCTGCAACGATCACAAGTGCAGTGCCGATGCAACTAGGCTATCCGACGGACGGCCAGCCGACGTCGATTGCGACCACCCCGGCGGTTTTGCCGATGGAACTGTACGTGCCGATTCTGAACACGACCGGCCCGTTAGTCGACCCGGGGGCGAGGCAATCGCAGAACAACCAAAACTTGCGCGACAGACCGACCAGAGCCTTCCAACCGTCTTTGGTCGATGGAGGTGGAGGTAGTGCTAGCTCCTTCAACCAGCAACGAAGTAATAGCCCACTGAATCTCCAAAACAACCCGTTGATCCGCAACCCGTACGGCGTCTCCCCCGCCTCCCCGCTGAACCGCACGACTTCTCCGTTTCAAACGCCGTTTCAGAACCCGACTGTAAACAGCACGCATCCACTGTACCGAAACAACAGCAAAACCAGCAACGGCGCGGGGCAGGAAATGAACACGAGGTCCGCCATGACGCAGCCCCAGCGGGGCGCGGACTTCATCGAAACCCGAGCGGAGCAGCTGCGAAGTAACTTGTCAGGATTTGGTTCAGCATCATCTCCCCTGGAATCTGGAGGTGTCAACATCAACGAAATAGATTTATTCGTGCAGCAGCAGCAGCAGGGAGCATCTAGTTTAGGGGGTGGAAAAATTGCAGACGCGACATCAAATACGAATAGCCCAGGGGGCTGGAACTTCGACCTGAACGGAGCAAGAAGTAGTGCCACTTTTACTTCCCAGCATTCCCCGATGGACGTGTTCGATCTTGACGCGAAGACGAAGGAGAAGTCGAAGAAGCTGGACCGCGAGCAGGCCTTGGAGCAGAAATACCACCGGTTGCAGCAGCAAGTGGACACGCTCCTGCTCGAGAAGGAAAGCGCAACCCCGATGAAGATCAACGGAGCTGGTGCCCCCAGTGGCGTCGCTTCCACGCCGCCGTTTTCCGCCACAGATAGGGACTACGCCGACGAATACCCCTTCCGGGATCGGAAATCGAGAAAATCCAGAGCCTCCTTGGGCACCGCGCTTTCGCAGGGTCGGGTGGATCATCCACGCTCGACGGTAAATTACCCGGCACGGGACATTACGGGGACATCAGAGCTTGTTGCTGGAGCTGGTGCAGTGGTGGTCCCAGTCGCAACCACATCTCCTTCGCAACCTGGTCAGATCCGTGTCAGTACCTCTCCGTCGCCACCCAGTACGAGAAAGTCGAAGAATCGGTCTTCGCTGAAGGACCAAGAGCACTTCACCGCGGCGCAGAGGGAACTAGAGCACCACAAAGCGCAGCTTTTGGCCGAAAGACAGGCGTTTGAAGAGGAAAAAAGGCGGCTAGAAGAAGAGAAGAAAAAGCTCTATCTGCAGCCGTATAACCCCGGCTATTATAACAACCGACAATCCACCTCTGCGAAGTACAAAGGTGCGGCTTTGGATCATAGGGTCCCGTTTCAGGATAAGGAGGCAAGGAAGACAGTCGAGAAACTGAGAAAGGACATGGAGCAGATGAAGGAGACGCAGAGGAAAAACGCGCGCGCCGGCGGACATAAGCTGGAACAGCTCGCCGCCCGAGATCGAAAGAGGGCCTACGTGTCCAAAGTGCAGCAGTTTAACAGCAACGGTAATTCTCATCAACTACATCCTCGAGACAGGTCAATAGATGATAGGGAGCTGCAACAACATAGCAGTATTAACAGACCAGCGAGGGGGTCCGCTGCGACGCAAGTGCTGGAGCCGCCAGACCAACTACGCGGCTCCTCGAGCAGAGGCCGGAGCACGGCGAAAAATATTAAGGGCAGCACACCTGCACCTGCTCCAGGTGGAGCTGCTACCACTGTTCCGAACATTCACTCCCGGCTCGGAAAGCCGAACGAGGCTTTTTGGAAGTCGGCGCAGGAGTCGTTTGCCCCGGAAGACTCGAAAATCAAGGAGTTGAAGGACGGAAAAAACGTTTTGGTCGTTGCCTCTCCACCCCAAGCCGCCTCCCGGTCGGCGTCTCCCGCCAAAACCGCGTTGCCGCCGCACGAGCGCCTGATGTACGAGCGAAGGGTTTCGAAGGCGTCAGGATCGCGCAGTCCGGGAGGTAGTAGAAGTCCTTCGAACAGTAGACCCGCACGGCCCCCGGGCCACGGCACGGACATGAGCTTGAAGAAGCCGTCGAATGTTAAAAATGGCCGCGCGGAGTGGATCAGCTCTTCGTCTGCCAGCACCGATGACTTAGTTCACGACGACTTGAAGTCAAAGAAGCGCCGAATGCTGCAGCAGCAACGACACAGATCTGACTCCCCGAATCATGCAACTGCGAGTAGACACCGGGAGCGCGCGCCGAGTCCTCCCGGAGGTGGAGGACAACTAAATCAGCAGGGAAGTAGTAGAACGCGGAACAACAAGGTAAAATCATATTCCGCTTTGGACGAACCAGAGGATGCGGTGCTACAGGGCACCAAACCCTTGGAGGAACTAACCCTAAGAGATGTCCAACGCCTCGCGGTGCAGCTGAACCACTGGAAAAGGGGCGCCGCGGACGTACTTTCGGAGATGGACATGTCGGTGCAAGCCCGCTCGGTTTCCCCGCCGGGTGGAGGTGGAGGCGATCTGTTGAACAGTAATAACTTCAATCGGCAGATGAATCAGTACCAGATCCGCGGGGAACTGGAATTATCTGCAAGCAACCCCTTGTCGCCCTCCAGTTCCAAGCTGACGACAACCTTTGAGGGGACTCTGAGGCCACATCTTGGTGGGGAGCCGAACTCGAACCGGGCAGTAAAGGCATTCGGCACTTACGTGTCGTCCAGTGCGCCGTCAGCGGCGCACCCGGGCTTGCTGGCAAAGGACGTGCGCTTCATGGGGCATCAATTGCCGACAGTGCAAAATCAGGTTCGTGTAGAAGCAGTAGGAGATGTGAGGTTGCAGCAAGTTCAACAAGAACGCAGGAGGAGCCCCCTGGAACAGAAACTTCTGAGCGAAAGAGAAATTCTGATTCGCGAAATCCAGAACAGCTTGCACGGGAAGACATCCGACGAACTGGTAAAGTTGAACGAATCCGCGAGTAGCAGCATGGAGAGCAGCAGCAGCAGCAGTAGCACCGAAGGTGATCATGGCCGCGGGTACAAGTACAACTACAACCAACCTCACTATCAGTCGCGGCAAAGCGCTGCTATGGCAGAACAACACTCTCCAACTTCAAAAGAACCTACGGAGAGAATTAGTGGAGCTGCCACAGTTCGTCGTCCAGGGTACAACAACCACCGGGGGCTGCACCCCCACAGCAGAACCCCAAGTCCGCCCCAATATCATGGTCTTCAAGCGAACAAACAGCACAACTTTACGCCGGACAGCAGGCATTTGTACCACCAGGGCTCGTCTGCGGCTACACCACTGAATAGAGGAAGACACGACGACCCACGCGGCCACGATGAGCCTGGTATTAACGCGACCACCAACTTCCGCAATAGCAGTGACAAAGACCGCGCCGGCCAAAGACACTATTCCCACACGGTGGCGAGCTACAACAAATCCCACCTGGCTGCCAGGCGCTCCGCCGCCGAGGTGGCGTTGCCCGATAGCGAAAGCGACAGAGTGTCCGGCATCGACGATCGGGATGATGTTGACCCGATGGTCGTCGTTCCTCCTTACATGCAGGCCACGGAGAGTTCCCGGCCGAAACGGTTGTCCTACCAAGCGGCCAAACCAAATGAGTTTGGGCGGCTGCCGGACGGGGTCAAAAACCCGCTGATCCAACGGCCGCGGTCGCAATCGCCGACGTACACCGTGAGAAACCAGCCGCACCCGGACAAGGTCGTTGGCTTGACCAAGTTGACCGTGACGAGGCGAGAGAGAAGGGAGCGGGTGAACAGCATCACGGAGGCCATCAACAGCCGGTCGGGCATGATCGCGCCGAGGCCACCGACGGCAAGGGGGCACGATAGCCTGTCGAAGAGCACCCGATCGCTCAGTCCGGGGGAACTGATGAAACAACAACAAACTGTCGCTGGTGCTGGTCATGCAGCCTCGTCGTCCCCTGCGTTCGGGAGTTCCTCAAAATCAACCCGGATGCCGCCTTTCTCACCGGTGCGGACGCGACCAAGGCCCTTTGTGTTCGCAGAATCGGATTCGAAGGGGGTGTTCGCCGGGGAAAGCAGTAGCACGACGGAAGTGGATGAGTTACAGAAAGGCAGGTCGCCGATCTTGTGCGAAAATAGCCAGGTGGTCGTGGAAAGAAGATCACCTACAAGAACACTAGGAGGATCAGCGGCAGGAGCTGCGCATGAAATAGAAAATCGTGAAGATCACAATCGGGGTGATGATAAATCACTCGGCCCGTCATCTGCAGCAGCTGCGCACAAGATTCCTCAGAGCTTCTATGACGATACTTTTTCCTGCGCGAACTCCTCAACTTACAGCGGAGGAGGTGGCCGCAGTCCACCTAAAAAGCACTACGTGTCGGAAAGAATCAGCCGGCTGGCCGAGCCGAAAAAGGGACGAGGGGTTGTGCCGCCGGGTGCTGCTGGTGAAGAGAAGAAAATAAAGAGCAACGTTAGTGTCGTGGATCTGGAAGAACATAGTAGCAAAATAACTTCATGCTCGAAGGACAATGATATTGACGGGGATCAGAATCTTGTGGAGTTGTCCGCGACGTCAGAAATTTGTTCCAACACGCCATCGAGAGTGCTAGATGATTCCTTCAAGACGCCACCAAGGAGCTTATTAGGGGAACGAACGCGGAATGGCAGGGGGAAAGGGGCAGCTTCTATGAGCAAAAACCTGCATCACGCGAAATCGACGCCACACTTAGGCGGAGTCGTGAAAGATCAATGGTCTGCGCAATCCGAGCAAACGAAAAAGGACCCGAAGAATTTTCTCCGAAGGGACCCGGCCCGCGCGACGCCGCAGGTGCCGGTAACAAGCACTTACAGCTACCTCCTGGAGAAAAGATTCGGGAAGAAATAAAAAGTAGAAATAGGCTGTTTTTTTTTCAAGTTTGAATTTTATCAGTTCATCAGTTTCTAAAGGTAAAGTACCACGCGCGTCGTCGTCGGCTACGCGCACAATCATGTTTTTGCGTTTCGAATTATCCTTGAAATTGAAGACAAGTACTTTCATTCGTCGTACACGACCCGGGTACGAGAAACGAGCGTCCCCGTTAACTTTTCCCCCAAGCACCCGAACCCCGATCATCAACAAGAAGGAGAACCCACTTGTATATGTACGAATTTTTTAAAGGTCACGATCTTATGTTTTTTGTCAACACACATTCATTCAATTTCCGAATCCGAGCTTTTTTTTTTTGTCAACTGATCATATACACAATCAAATTTTGCAACACTACGCGGACATGACTTTCAAGTCGAGCCTCTGTTTTTTGGTGAAGGACATCAATGTTTCCCCAGCAGAACCAGAAATGCAATTGCCTACCTGTACCTGTACCTGTAGTACTTTTCCCCAACCAAAAATTTCTTCGCATCAATTTACATTCTTGGTACAGCAACAGCATTGACGTTCAATGTGGAGCCGCCACTCCTTTCTTAAGTAGGCACTGTTCCCTCGTTATTCTTGTCGGTTTTACTTCTTATTGATGGATCGGTACCGGTAGCTTCACGATAGACCAGATGAACATCATTGAAAAACAGTCGTCAGACGGTTCTATTGTCGGTCATTGTGTCCTCTTGTTGCAGGTCGTGTACTCTGTCGGTCTTCGTACAACACTGCTTCTGCTAGAGCATGACCAGGTTGCGTGCCTTGTTGCTGCCCATATCAGTATCGGTTTTGGCTGCACTTCTTTGAAACTTTCTTCGGTGATGGACTGAACTTGAAGCATGCTGTATTCGTATGTTGCTTCTTGCTTCATTGATTTGTATTTCGGTCACAAATACACCCTTCAAGCTGCGGAATAGGTGATACTCTCAGACGTTTCATATGACAACTTCTACAGGCACTCTTTACCGACACAGACCACAACTTTCGCCCTTCAAATTCACATTTTTTTTCCATTGACTTTGACATTCATAAAAACTACCCATCACATTTTTCTCTGCATTTTGATTTCTCGCACGTATTACGAACTCCCTGGTTGCAGTGTGTTTTTGTCCAATAAAACTGAAGTAGAAATGTCTTCTAAACTGAGCCGTCAACTACAACTTCCCGTCGGGGCGGGAGCAGCGGGCTTCCCCCTCAGTGGGAACCGGGTTGCCGTTGCGCACCGAGTGATGCAGAAAGAGAGTTCATCAAGCACACTCACAAGCTCTCGGTCCACCCCGAGTTCCTCCCACCCTTCCTCCGCGAGAGGTCCGCAGTATTCGCAGAACGCGGGTGGAAGAATGAATCATCTCCCGAACATTATCCGAGGCGAGGGAAGTAGTGGTTCTCACGACATGCACGGCGAAGGTTCGAATTCGATCGGATGCTTCGATGTTGGCGGGGACAGTCAGGACATCGAGATCTTTCTGCGCTCCAAATCCACGAATGGCTCCGGCGGGGAAGTGGATCATGCTGAGAACGACGACGACGATGCTATTTCCGATTTGGCGGAGCGACACGAGCACGAAGCGCTTCCGTTCAACGCAAAGGGCTCGCGCCGGCAGAAGAAGCGAGCGTCCGTCGATTCCGAAGGTTTCGCGGTGTTCGACAAGGGTTTCGACCACGCGCAATATTGAGAGGAAAAATCCCCCCTCCCCATATCGAAAACGAAATTTGTGATGCTGTATTTGAGTACACAAATCGACTTGTAATGCTAGAAGGCCAAGAGACGCAGCTGTGGCCTCGTTTGCAGGCAATTTGTCATGCTGTTTCCCACTTCCAGCTGCCCCCTGTCATGCTGAAGATGCAAGGCTTTCCCACGCCAACCAGCACTACAGTCCGCATATTTTCCCTTCTAGCATGACAAACCTGATTTGTGGCCACAAATCTGCATCACAAATTTCTAGTTTGAGTATGGGGTGGGGGGATTTTTCTTTTTGATACGCAAACAAAAGAGTTCGTGGACGACTACGAACGCGGGCGGCGGCGAAGACACCGCTTTTCCAGTACGCACTCCGATGGCGAGGAAAGCAAACACACGGCGGGCCTGTTCGCCGTTCTCGGGGCCATGAAGCTGAAACAGCCCGCAGACACGGGGGCGCCGGAAGCGAGCCGCCCAAACGGGTTTGACTCGCAAATGAAAAGCACCAGCAGTGCCGGGGTCGGTCTCCCCTCGGGTGTAGTAGTTCAACAGATGGACCAGCAAAGCCTGGCGAGCGCGAATCTTCAAAGTGGACTCACTCAAAGCATGAAGCAAGATTACGGGGACGCGGTCGGGGCCGCTGGCAGCAACACGTCTTTCGTGTTGAGGCCCTTGTCCAAAGAGGAAGAAGAAAGGCGCGCGAAGGGGTTCGCCATGATGACCAGTTCCGGCCACGAGGTGGGTCCGGGGCTGGGGTTGCTCGCGGATCCCCGCATCGTGAACAAGGAGGCCCTGGAGAAGATGCAGAGCATGATGTCCTCGAGAAAAGGGTCGACAGTAGAAGATATGGAGCAACGGATGGCCAGTAGGCACAGAAAAAATCAAAATAAGTGTTACAGGACTTACACATCATCGCGTTGCAGGCCAAGCAAGTTACTTATGCTGTCATGCCGGATATGCATATGCTAATGCTTCAGGTAGTTTCATACGTGTAGTTTTCATTCCTTATGAAGATCTTTGCATTGCAAGTTTTGGTTTTCACAACTCTCATGCAGAGAAAACTTGTGTTTCTGTGTTGCTGAACAAATTCCAACAAATGTGTAAAAGCTTCCGCACTTTTTTTTCTTTTTGGGGGGATAGCCAGCGCCATGAACGCACCAATGGAGGAGGATGGCGAGTCGGGCTCCGGCGGAGCCGAAAAAAAGGTTCGGTTCTCTTCCTCCAATCACGTTGCGCCCCCGGCCAGGGAAGTGGAGACGAACGTCGACGATCCTTCCGACCTTGAGGACGTCTCCTCCGAAAGAGTGAAGATCAGAAGCCAGGCCGAAGTGATCATGTCGAATCTTGGCTCCGGGCTCGACATGCACGAAGAGCATAAGCAGTTGGAAGATGTCATGACGAGGAGGTCGCGTAAATCTTCCACCGGGTCGGGTGCCGATGGTAATGATTTTCGGGAGGACAGAAGCGTTCGTTCCCGGAGCCAAATCTTGGACCCCACAACTCCGGGGTCGCGACTGAACAACCGATCTGGTCGTGGCATGGGCAGCTCTACCTCCTCAGGCGGTGGCTCGGGGGGGGAAATGAGGGGTCCCGGTTCAACATCGGGAGAAAGACCGCCCTCGAGGACGCCGAGCAAAAACAAGGCCGATTCAATCATCCGCGATAATTCCTCGTCGGTTCGGGGCAGTTCGAAATTCATGGAGGGTGAGGATCCGACGGTTCTTGCAGCTGGACAGCACAACAAGCAGGGCCGGTCGATGCGCGGCTCGTCGATGTCATCAACAAGGATGGAATCCATCCGTGAAAACGAGGACGACGAGGATTTTAATGTCGAATCAAGCGCGGCGAAGATGAGAACAAACAACCGTAACGTCGAGGACGACCTGCACCCGACCTCCGTCGAGCAGCGCGAGGCGCAGCGGCAGCAGCGCAAGCGGGACTTCGCGCTCGGGGGGCTGGTGGGGTTGGACATTGGCCAGGCACTGGAGAACGTGCGGCACTGTTTCCAAGAAAACCGGGAAATTCTCTACGGCGACCTGATGTCGAAACCGAAAGAGAACGATCTGGAGATGGAAAACAGCAACAACGATCCGACGAAACGGCGCGCGGAGAGACGCTTTCTGAACGAGCTGGAGGGCTTGAGAGTCGCGTGTTCCGGATTCGTCGCGACCTTTGTGGACTCCGACGAGCACGTTCAGGGGCTGAACTTTCTGAAAAACACCACGACGCTGCAAGAAATTGTTTGGACGTTGGAGCACGCAACCTGTTTCACCGAGGGCGACGCGAAGCGGGAAGACAGGTTGCGGATGCTACACGACCGCGTCAAGTTGCTGGAACGGCGGGCGGGAATGCTGAAAACGGTGCATTTTTGATCCACTGCACAAGCCCGATCGAAGAAGAGGACTGTATTTACAATTACATATTATACCCTAAAAATTTGAGTTGGACAAGTAGCGACTGTATGTTTTTGCCCATATAAATCGTCTTCTTGCAACATCCATGACGTTTTTGCTTTTCTTGAAATACGGAAGAGTTTCTGTCCTTCTGACCAGATATCACCGAGATCATTTTAATAGACCTCTCTGCAACTATTTTTAAAAGAAATATTATTTTTGATACATGCAGCACGAGGAACGAACCTTTTGACCTTTGACTATCACAGACTTTTTTTGCTGTACAGCCGTACGACCAAAGTAGAACAGCACTAGACTCCTTTACCGAGGCATTTGATTTTTTATTTCCCACAAAGACAAAAGATATTGCACAACATATTCATTCCAGACGGATAGTTCTAAGTACTTACTCAAAAACTGGATCTCGCTTGACACACCACGGCAAGAGTTTCTTCAGTAAACTAAAGATCTCGGTTCGTACACGACTTTTGAAGGCATTACTCGGTCTGCTTGCGCCTTCTCATACTGCGCGCTTTCTTGATTTCCCGATTTTCACTTCGGTCTTGAGTCCGCATGCAACGCAGCACCTTATCCTTTCGGTCGTCCTCTAAATTATGTCGTACTTCTACACACAACATCGTGAACAAGCAGTAGTATAATTCGACGTATCGAGGTCCTCCTAGTCGTCCTCCGGTTTCGTTCATATCGTACGCACGCTCGTGGTTCTGCTTGCAGCCACGGTTTCACGACTTTGGAAGACTCAACATACTAGGCTACTGACGTACTCGCGATAAATTTCACCTGCAGATGACTCAAATCTGATCCCAAACCCCGACTTCATTTCTAGATTGACTTTATGTCATCATCAACGTCCTCGCGCTGCATCTATAAAGCTTCTAAGTAGCAGGTCTACCCTCACAACTACCTTCAAGTTGTCATGCTGCCCCAAGTAGTTGTAGATGTAGAATCAGCAACTCTCAAGACGCACGTTTCTAGTAGAAGCTTTACCGAGAAGTTCTACAGCGCCACACAAATTCTTCCCGACCCTCTCGTCAGGAGCTACATCTTCTAAATCCGCGAGAAGTTGTCGTCCAACCATGTCTACTTCCCTCACTTCCGAGGAGATTGTCAAAAACACGGCCTCCGCCATGGAGGCCGTGTGCAAAATGTACCAGAAGCACCGGAAGAATTTATACGTGGACGAGTTGAACAAAAAAAAGCTGACGGGCCTGACCCCTGAGCGGATTCCGCAGAAAGAGCTTTCTGAACACGAGTTTCTGAAATCGCTGGAGCAGATCAGGCGGTGCTGCGCAGACGTGGTGAAGTTGAAGGACAGCAACCGAAACGACGCCGAGGAAGCGATAAACTATTTCAGCACGTCGGGCGTCCTCACGGAATTGGTCTGGATGCTGGACCACAGCGATTTTTCTATGACGTTGCAGGGCGACGCACGAAGTAAGGACGTGGCGACACTTCGGGACCGGGTGAAGGTCCTGGAAAGGAGGGCGAGAAGGGTACAACTGATGAATGTTTTTTCCTCTTTCACTTGTTAAACCGATCTTATCACACTGTCAACAGAGGGCAGCTTTTAGTCACGACGTACACGCACTGTTGATGTTTTCGAATTCGTCGCTCTATTTCCACGACGTTTGTTGAAAATGAAAGTCACAATCGTTGAAACTCCTTCCACAAAACAGCTGAAACAACCCCCTCCCTCCGACGATTTTATCTGGACGGATCCGCTTCGCGACCGCGAAAGCGAGGGCACCAGAGCGTCCTCGAGTGTAGTAGATCCCCGCAGCCACGGAAACAGCAGTTTCCAATTACCGAAGTCGACCGCGACTTCTATGAGCCAGCGGACTAGCGGGACGACCTCGAAAAGACGTTCCGGCGCGGCCACTTCTAAGCGAGACAGCAGTACAAAAAAGGCTTCCACCGTCGAAGGTGATCAAAATGCGGCGGAACACCAGAGGCAATCTTTATCTTCCACGACGAAAAGACAGTCGAGTACAACTTCTAAGAAGTCGACGAGTGAAGAAAAGGACGGTGAGAATGCTACTAGGCAATCGGATAAGAAGTCAGAAAATCAAGGTACCGAGGAACAAGAAGCCACTCGGCGTAGTTCCTCGGCGAAGATGAAAGAGTCCTCTCGTGGTTCCGAAGGTGGCAAGAAGTCGCGCCATTCCAGTGAGAACGTGTACCCGGCGAGTGCGGAGCGGAGCGGTTCCCAAGCTGGAGACCAGAACGCCAGCACGGGAGAAAGAACGTCAGACGTTGTTCACAGGTCTGCCGCTGAAGAGCAGCAGGTCGCGTTGTCCAACGCCATACTTTCGAACCAGTTGGAAACCCACTCCGAGGGCGCGCACTCCCACCAAACCGTGTCCGCTTCGGAGTCCGAGAGAGATCATAGTAACAAGAAGAAACTGCTGCAGCGGCAGAACACGAACACCACCGCGAAAGACGGCGCGGACCATAAGCATCATAGGTTGAAACACTTGCACAGCAAGGAGTTCGTCCGCATCAGGCACTCGCAGTTGCACTCCGGGTTGAGTTCCATGCACTCGGGGATCTTAGAGGACGATAACGACAACGCGAATGATAATGACGATCATACTCAAAACAGCACTTCTTCGCCCGCGAAGAAAAAATCTAAATCAGTAGAGAACGACAAGAAGCATCTATCAAAAGGAAAAATCCCCCCTCCCCATATCGAAACGAAATTTCTGATGCTGGATTTGCTTACACAAATCGGATCTCTCTTGCAGTAGAGGACTGCAGGCCCATATCAAGCCCGAGTAGAGAGGTGCTGGCCTAGGTGCTTCGCATGAAAAACGTCTATGCTGTAGGCCCAATAGCATCACAAACCGCTTACATAATACTGCGGGGCCTTTGGGGTTGCCTTCTTGCAAGACAGAGGCGATTTGTGGTCACAAATGAGCATGGCAAATTTTCTGCGGTGTGCCTTTTCGATATGGGGAGGGGGGATTTTTCCTTACGATAGCATCATCATCAAGAAAAGCAGCATAGCAACCAAACGGAGCGCCCCATGGCCGGTAACGCGGACCAACATTCGGTGAAACAGCACCAGATAATGCAGGACCACGTCACCCACGCGGCTATGAACATCGGGTTTCGCCCCTCCCGGTCCTCCGAAAAGCGCGCCTCCGAGGGCCCAAGGGACAGCGTCAAGGGGTTCGCGATCGTGAACAAGGCAACGGACGAAATCCTCGAAATTCACGCGACCAGACAAGACGCGGACTTTGCCTTCGACAAGAAAGCGTTTTTGAACGGGGTGAAGAAAGCGGACAACACCTACGGACCGGCGTCGAACAAGGCAGAGAGGGACTCCGTGGCCGCTGGGCTCGTGGCGGCCACGAGCCGGACGAGCAATGTGGAAGATGATGATAGGTTGAAGCAGTTTGAGATTAAGGAAATCTGGTGTAAAATGGACCAGATGAAGCAGCACGTGAAGTCTATGATTGAGGACTCGAAAGCGGCGGAGCAGAAGGGCGGGAAGCCGGGCCTCACGTCCGCGCACCAGCAGTTGCGGAAGCAGCGGTCCGACGCCCGGATTTTCGACAAGACGCCAAAGAGTTCCAAAACGAGAAGTTTGAACCCCGACGTAGACGGGTCCGAGCCCGAGTCCAACGTTTCCTCCGCCTCCTACACGGACGAGGACGGGGCGAAACAGCGGGGGCTGTGGTTCGACCACTGGCGGGACGCCGAAGAGCCAGTGTACGAAGACATGATACGGAAAACGCTGTGGAACATGGGCTTTCACATCGGGGACGCAAACATCCGGCAGCGACCCATGGAACAGGCAAGGACCAGTGCGGGCGAACACATCGACAACGTGCTCGAAGACATGTTCGCCGATATGATGTGAGCGTTTTGATGTTGTAGTTCACCTCCGCAAGAAGTGGTGCGTTTCAATTGAATTTCTTCTACTCTGAAGAGCAAACTACGGCTTACGAGTTGTACGAATTAGCATTGGAACTGATGGTGGTCAGCACTACTACCCTTTGAAACTTGTTCGTAAGTGCTGCTCTTTCTTAATATGCGACGTGTATTCGTCCCGCTTGTTTTTTCCTCGACCCTACTCGAATTTGAAACCCAGCTACTCTAAGTCTAAGGTCGTCGTCGTCCCCAATGCGAACACCTGTAAATGAAGATCCACAGTCAAAGTGACAGTCGCCGTGACAGAGCTGGGTGGACTTTTTCTCGCATGATTTGCTTTCATTTTTATGTTCTTCTCTGAAATAAAATTCAAATTCTTCGCGCAAAAGTAGACGGGGTCTTTATTTCATTAGAGCAAGGCGTTCAGTTGGTGCGCCGCGTGTTCAACTTCGATCGTGTAGTCGCGGTGCAACAGATCAATCATGTGTCGTCAACATCGTTTCTGCGATATCAAGCGGGTCTTTCTTCCTCGGCCGTCTAGGTCATCAAGCTGGCAAGCAAGTTGGAAAGATTATTCTCGTGATCTGGGATGTTGCAGGTGATGGGGAAAATGAATCTTCGTCCGTCGCAACACCAACAGTCAACCTAAGTTTTCATTTGGGTCGTGAACAATTCGATCGTGTCGTGATTATTTCGCCAACAAAATCTTGTCCTCGACCTCCTGGTTATTTCGTCTTTTTAGGTGGGGGTGAGCAATTAGGACTAGCACTAGGAGAAATCAATAGGTCGTCAACATCTGCAATTTTGTTCTTGCAGATCGTTTTGTGTACGTCATAGTCATTCCCTTTTGCCATAAGATCGAGGACTCGTCACACATTACGATTTTTACTTCTTTTTGCCACGACTTGTTGTATCCTTTATTACGTGCCTATCAGTAGAAGTGAAAAGGAAAACAAGGAAACAGTAATGACTTTTTGTTCATCACTTTATTTAAGAAATTTAGCGATAAGTAGCATGTGAAGGTCTCGCTTAGTTGAAGAGACGAGCATGTAGGAGCTTTTCATAGCATCTATGCCGTAGAAGTCGTTCCCGGTACAACTATTTTCTTCGCCGCCTATGTTCTCGCACCACCTTGCTTTGGAGCAATCGGCTTCAGTCGACATCGCTCCTGTTCACGGGGCGGCCACGACGTCGTCATCTTCTGTGGCCACAGATGGTGCACGTGCAGAAGCAGAAGGAACTTCTGCAGCGCCCTTCTATCCTTCGTTCCACACCCCCGGTGGCTCCTCACACGAGCCAAGCTCGGCAGATGGTAGCAAAAAGTCGGTAGATATGGCGGTACAACAAGAGGGAACGTGCAGCACAAAAGCAAACCACCAGCAGCTGTGCCATCATGAGTTTGTGTCAGCCTATGGCACGTCCTCCTCGTCTTCAGGTCCGGGCTCGGACCAGGACATTAACAACAGCAGGCACTCGTCGAAAAGACGGGGCGACTTTTCTTCCGAGGTTTTTGAGGAGACAACTACGGGAGTTCTTCTCGGAGCCGAAGGTGGCGACGTGTTGTCTCGCACGGTCGTACTAATAAAGAATCCCGCTCAAGAACATCAGCACCCGCCAGCACATCAGTCTTTCTCCTCCAGTCCGATGCAAAAGCTTTTCAACAAGCGCTTCAAAACCGGCGGGTCGTCTTCCTCGACCGCACCTCGACGTTCTACGGCTGATGTGTCCCGAGACTCGTCTCGGGTGATAAAAACAAGCACAACAGCTGCAAGAACTTCTGTTCTAGGCAGTAGGTCCAGCGTGACAAGGACAAAGACGAACAAGAATCGGTTCTGTTTTTACGACGTGGACGAGGTGGATAATTCTCTCTCTCCCGGAAAAACAACTTCTCCCAAACCACCCAGTAGCAGCAGTAGTCCGGGCAAGATGAAGTTGAAAGAGAACTACAGCAGTAGCAAAGGCAGCAGCTCTGGAGTTGTGGCCGCAAGTAGATCAGCGAAGGTGATGTTGAATAAAACACCTGCTGGTATAAAAATTTCGCGACAAGCACAAGTAGATAGGATCAAACAAGTTTGTTCACCGGACTACTCGCGAACACCCGAAAGTGGTCAGAGCCGCAGCAAGACCCCGCCTCCGAATAGTACAACGGAACTACAGCAGGATGAAAGAACGCTTTCAAAGCAACGGGGAAATAAGGAGGAAACCGAAACGAAAAGCAAGAAGATGAACAACATGGGAGCAGGAGATCCTGCAACATCAAAGAATAAGAAGGACTTTGTGTCTCCCGCCGACGCACCATTCGTCGATTACCACGCGGCACAGTTAGAATTGGAGAACTACCTAGCCAATCTTCCGGACGAAATAGCCGATCACATGCTTCTAGCGGATCACAATGTTAACGCCGGGACAGTCTTTGACAAGGCACTGTCGAACCCGTCGATTCTGCTTATGGTTTTCTCAAACGGTTGTACATCTTCAACTGTTACATGAATAGAATTTGTGATGCAAGAATGGCAAACGCAAACCAAAAGTGAAAGGGGGGAGCAGCTGGGGCTTGCTTTTCTCCCATCACAAATATGGCATTAAGCTTTCCGCGCTGTTTGGTCGTTCAAGAATTTGTCATGCGAAGTAGCGTAGCCCTTGCCGTAGCCCTGATGATGCTGATGGTGATTTTGCATGCCAAATCATGTAAAGAGTTCAGAGTGTAACGCTTGAGCGTCCCATGCTGCAGCTCGACGAACAGATGGTGGAGGAAATCGTCGTCGGCAGCAGCGTATCAACTGCAAAAGTATCGCACTCGTAGTAATTGCAGCCATGCATCACAAATTTCTTCTTTAAGACAAATCCGCATTACAAATTTTAGTTCTCATGCTGAGGAAATTTGCAATGCATTTATACGAGTACACGATACTCCAACTTTTGCAATTCATACAGCAGCTCGAAATGCAGTTCGGTTTTATCTGATGACTTGCCGCGAAGAGAAGTTCCGGTTTCCACCCCACTGGCAGATCAAGATCTTCCAGAAGATCAAAATGAGGATGGTGTGGTGTTGATTGCGAGTCCGGTCAAGGATGTGGAGGATAGAACTGCTGCTCTAGCTGCTGCGTCGGGAAACAAGATGAAGAAAGGAACGAGCGCGGGGAAGGGAAAAGGAAAAGCCGCTTCAGCGCCGGCACTAGGAAGGGAAAATTTGAAAGGTGAAACACGAGACGCAACGCCCGATTACACTAGGAAGAACAATAACAACGGTGGGGTACTACTAACGCCCGGCACTGCAGCAGGAGTGTGGAGACCAAGCACGAGAAACAGCAGCACTGGACGGGACTCCTCTCCAAACAGAAAGAAGGCCGCCCTGCAGCCGGCGCCACGAGTAGAGACTTCGGAGCAAAAAGCGATTTTGGACGTAGCAGTGCAGCTCTGGGAATTCGCAACAGGGAGAGTACATAGATACTTTTATTTAAATATTAGATACATTTATTATTATTTTGATTTTTAGCGGAGGCTTGGGGTTCCTTTTTGCTATATCACCCGTGTGCCTTAGCGTAGTGTCATCTGCGCTTGATGTGTTTGCGTTCAACAGTTTTTGCGCGAGTTGAAGTCGCACGTATGGAGCAGGAACCAGCATGATTGCGCCATGGATAAATCAAATCAGCGATCGCCGACGGCCCGTGCGGATATTAACAACACTACGACATCCTCTTCCTCCTCCTCCGCGAATCTCTTTTCCGATGAATTGCTGACCAGAAGCCAGCTAAGCCTCACGGCCCTCCAGGAATTTGCGGAGTTGCTTGTGAAACGGAAGTGTCTTGTGTCCGATAACAACACCTTCACTGTTCTCTACAGCCGTGATTTCCAGCACCGGAACGTGAGCAACGAGCTGCCGATCGGGAAAAGGGTGTCCGCCGGCCTGGTGCGGGCCCTGCAGCACAAATTGCTCCTGGTGAAGCCCAAATCGGCAAACCTGGACGAGTCCAGGCAGGCCCCGAAGAGCCCGACTTTGTCGGAGTACCTGCAGTTCTGCGTCGCGCACAAGTACTTCGAGCGGGAGAGGAAGCCGTGGCCGGTGCAGAACCTGGTTTCGTACGCGGTGATCTTCCACCGCTATTCTGAGCCGCAGCTGATTGCCTTCGAGCAGAACGTGCTGGCGTCGAAACAGCTGACGGTGACCAGTTCGGATTGTGAACCGGAGGAGGAGGTTGTGGCGAACGGAGATTTTTCAAAAAACGGCAGTTACGTGTACAAGGGCAAGCCGTTTTCCAGTCCGTTCCTGCAGGGGTTGCACGCAAAGGTGCAGGTCGCGAAGCAGAATTACAGCGAAGTGAGGCGATCGTGGAAGCACACCAACAGAAGAAAAAAGTCGCACACGGAAATACAGAACAAGCCGAGAGGTGCTTCGGTTAATACTGGTGGAGGGGAGCAAGATGTTCTTCTTGAACATCAAGTAAAAGCACCAACAGCAGCGGCAGCTGAGTTCCCCCTTGATGTTCTACTTCCCTGCTCTGAACGAGATGAAAAGCAAAAGCGCGCGTCTTTGGTAAAAACGACAGCCGCTGGAGCTATGAAGTCATCTGGTCCTCCAAGCTCGACGTCGATATTACCGCGCGCAAAGCACAAGGCGTTGAAAATGCAAATAGCTACCGATCCTCGAATCACATCAGTGGTCGAGTATCACAAGGAAAAGAACAACCTTGCTGAGGCAAAAGCAGCGAGGAAATCCATAGGAACTTCTGGAGGTTCTTCTGGACAAGGATCTGTAGGAGCCTCGCCAACATCAAACTCACGCCCCTCGTCTCCCTCTAACATTAACCTCTCGCGGCCAGGCCCAGGGCCAGCACCCCCGCCTCTGACCAGCATAACCAGCACGAACACGAGGATTCGAGAGCGCGCGGACAGCATAACCGCAGCGAATAGCGAGGCTTTGAAGAAGTTCGTCGCAGTCGCGAAGCAGGGCACTTCTCGTCGCGGGACGACGACGAGAGCGGGGAAAAGTAATTACAGTAGCAGTAATTATGCAACCAGGCTGTCCGCGCCGCCGGCGCCCGGTACTAGCAGTAGTAATGCTGGTGGTCTACTTCTGGGTGATTCTAGTACAACTTCTGCAACGTCAAAAGCGGAAAATCTTCAACGAAATAAATCCGAAGAACCAGGATTTACCTCGCCGTTCACAAAAGCGAGGAATTCTCCACACCACGAGACGAAACGGTCAGATTCCAAAAAAGTGGTTTACGTGGTGCATCATCCGAAAGGACGCGGAGGAATCACCACGGAAAAAGCGATTGAAAAAAAGAGAAATTCCGCTGGCACTACGGCTGATGGTCCTAGTAGTATGGTCGTGCAGATGAATCCACCGCAGGCCGAGGATTTGGTAGCGCACGTCGTTGACATTGACCCTCTCATCTCTGCGACTACAAAAATTGCAGGTCCAAAGAGCCGATCTTCCTCCCCAGCGGGTGTCGGTGGAGCTCCTCCAAAAGCTGCGCCCACGGCAGGAGCGAAAGCCCCCAGTGTGATATCTTCTAGTGTAGCTGGGCCGAGCAAAATCGGGCGAGCCGCGACTAGTACAACTCAGAGCTTGTCTACTATTCTAGACGACCGTGCCTTACCGAAGAAGTCTGGTGTGGAAATTCGTCACAGTCGGAAAGTAGACACGAAAGTTCCTCGCTTCTCCCACAAAGCAGTAGTAGATTCTGCACACGCAGGAGCACAACTACATCATCCACTCCATGTGTATAAACCTCCACCAGAGGCGTTGTTTCCGGAGATCGAAGTAGAACTTCCGAAGCAGCCAGACGTCCCAGAAGTTGCCACGTCTACCACGACTAAGAAAGACGACAAGAACTACGGAACGTCCAGCGAGGAATCGATGCGAATCAACGCCGTGAACGAAGCCAAGAGGGACAGGAGTTTGATTTTGTCCGACAGCGACGTCGCCGCGGGTGATGATGTGGATGAGGAAGAAATTATGGGCACGCGAACCGATTTGCTCTGCCCCGATAAGAAGCCACAGCGGGACGATGAAAAAATGAAGCAGGCCGGCGGGGTCGTGGAACAACAGACCAGTGGCAGTGAGCGTGCTGGTGCGGTAGAGCGAATACCTATGCTAGTAGACGAGGAAATAATTACAACGGGAAGTAAGAGAATAAACTCGCCACGAGGACAAGCGGAACCACCACGACCGGATCGTGATGTTGAGCCAGTGACTGTAACGGTGTTACTTCAGCAAGTAGCCGAGGAGGTGGAGGCAATGAAAGTAGACGAAAAGAAGAACGGTCTAGCTCCAGGCCTGCTTCCAGATGACGTTCTTCCCGGTATCTCCTCTACCACGCGGCCACCCCTCGCGAAGCCGCCGGAGTTGGAAAAAGATCAAGTTCGGTTCGAAGGTTTGATGCGGTTCGACGAGGATGAAGTCCACCACGACTTGAGCTCTTCTATTCTGACAAAGGCGGAACAAATGGAGGACGGTGCCGGAACTACGCTTGAAGGTCGACGTAGTACAACGACTTTACCCGGCGGCAGAGTAGGATTACTGGAAGAGCAAGTCGACGCGGCGGGCAACAACAGCCCGAACATGATCAATATGCTCCCTGCAACAAGAATTTTCAATACACCTACCGAAGACGACGACCACACCATTACAACTTCGGTGCCCACCCGCACCCCCTCCGTCGGTCCCGGGTCGCGGAAAACGTACAAATTCATGACGAGAGCGAACACGGTGGCGCGGATGAGCATCCACGAGACGATAGACGAACGGATCGAGCACGGCAGGTTAAGGAGGGAGAGTCACGTATGGGAGTGTCAGAATCGAAATTGACAAAATCGAAAAATTTGTGATGCATAAAATCGATACCAGTTGGAGCCTCAGTTTCCAATGGGCGCATGACAAATCTTGGGAGCACCGAAATCCAGTCTGTCATGCTGTTTGGACAACGAAGACTGCTCCTGTCATGCTATTCTGGCAGCGCATTGCATACCCCTAAACAGGGGCGCAATCGGTCTCATTTGCCTGCTCCCCAATACAGGCCTTCAGTTCCCTACATTTTATGCATCACAAGTTTTTCGATCTTGTCAATTTCGATCCTGACACTCCCATATCACGTGAGTGGAAAGGTCGAGAAAACCTTGCACAAGCGAAACAACTCCCCAACACGACTTTCCAGAGCGTCTTTGGAGGACTCGGAGGGTGGAGCAGGCGGAGATAGTGCAACTTCTATGCACGAGAGCCACATGAACATTCCGTTCGGCTTTGCGCCCCGACCACGGTCTTCCAAGGACAATAATTCCTCGAAAGTTTCTGTTTCTTCCGTTTTATCGAATTTGGGGGCTGCACCGGTCCCTTCACCATCAACATCTGCGCAGAAGCAAGCCGTCGCTGTCGTGAGCACACCGTCGCCGCCCGTGCAGGACAGCAAACGTCAAAAAGCGATACTGCCGCGGTTGCGGTTGAGCAAGGTTACGGGGAGCAGAGGAACTTCGTTGTTGTGGAGATCAATACCACCGAGAAAATGGAGGGTTGATGAGGTATTAAAGGATCTTTGTCGCGTTGGACGACTGCTTGTGATTCTAATGGTGGCTCCTGTGAATAAATGTGGTTGACACGATGAAACTTAAACTTTAGCTTATCAGTCAACTGGATGAAGAAGAAGATGATGATCAACTACAATTTAGCGTACTATCAAGAAGCGACGTACTAACACAAACACACTAACTATCCAGGTTATCGGCTTCGCCACGGACGTCCTCGACTCCACGTGCGCCCAGTGTTTAGGCGACAACAAGTATGACAGTGCACAACTCCCCGTCCCCCTCATTGTCATTTGTCATGCAAAATACCAAACTCACACCTCGCTCGTAAGCGCTGCTAGCATGACAAATTTTGGAACCTCAAATAGGACTAAAATCTGCATGCAGATTCGTCATACGAAAGCCCCTTTTCTGCTGTTGCTTGTGTTGCTGTTCATGCAACACACATGAGGGACGGGAGCGACGTTGTGCACTGTCACAACAAGATCACCGGCAAAGTTTTGCTCAGCCTCACGGACGCGGACGTGGAGGCTTTATTAGGGCCGAAAAAAGTGCCGGCGGCGAAGAAACAGATTCTGCTGTCGCACTGTCGCGCCTTCAAGAAGCTCCGGGACCCGGTGGCCACGGTGAGCCGGATACTGCGGCAGTAAATAACTTCTTTTGATGAAGCAGAGGATGTTCTTGAGCATGAGCCTCATGAGGGATCACAGAAGTAGGAGCAAGATGCAGTGGCGACGTGTTGATATATGTGAAACGCATCAATTCAATCGTACAGATAAAGTTTCGAAGAAATGACTTTTACTTTTACACACAGACCCAGATCCACTGCAGTACAACATGCTTGATTTTTCCGAAGCAGTGCAATGCCAATGCATGTCGTAGACAGACTGTAACACTAAAAAAGAAACACTAACATCGCAAAATTAACCCTTTAAGCTTGTGCTTGTCATGACCAAGGACGAGGTCATCAACAGGATGAAACTGATTGCTCAAGAAGAAAGTGAAGATTGCAACTGTATTTACAAAAGAACTGTGCGTGTAAGTTGTAAAAAGAAAAACGTCACCCATCGTCGTTAACCCATCCCCATTCTCAACATACACGATGCGTTTTTGATTTTATCCCCTGCACTCTGCTAGTACGACGTTGCGGCAACCTAGTGGAGCAAGACAATAGAACAGCAGCATTTCGCTCTCCGTGGTCTTCACCTGCGTTGAAGAAAATCGTGGACTGGGCGAAGATCGGTCGATGTCGCTCCTGCTACGTCAGGAAGAATTTCGTCATTCGTCAAGCTCCTCTTCTTCGTTTATGTATTTGGCCGTGAAATACGAAGTAAACTAAATCGACGTGGTCAAGGTCAAACCAACAACGAACTTCGTGGATTTTGCTTTCAATGCAGTGCTCGTCTCGTCCGATCTTAAAAAAGATAATTGCTTCTTCATCGAGTTCATACCTATCACATGTTGACAGTGCTTTTTTTTTTTCCGATTGATAAAAAAAAGCGGCTTTTGGGCGGTTTGCTCATTCAAATTTAGATGAATTTGATACAGAATATAAATACCTTGAGCAATTGAAATTGGTCGAAAAGTCAACCACAACAATGGTAGCAGACACGCTCACAAAGACTACGCTGGAGGCAGCAGTGGCGTCCTCATCTCCACCTGTCACGATGTTTTATCCAGCAACCACAAGCGAGCAAGAGAAGTCGACCGCCGCGCAGCAAGCTGCGCTGCAGCAGCGGATCAAACAGTCGGTGAGGTCGTTGTCCTTACCCCCACTCCGCTCCGTGGACGCACAGATGCGGGAGTACCGCGAGCAGATGATTCTGCAGGCGCGGGAGGCACAGATCCAGATGGAGGAAATAAAGCGAAGGTCGAAGTCGACCAGTAAATCGCTCGGGAGCGTGCCGCCCACCGCAATGCTGAAAATCCCCGTGATTCCGACTCGGAAATTGCACGTGCAGCCCCCGCAGCCGAAGTTCCAAAAACTGGAATTAGGAAAAACCCCCCCGAAGCCCTACGACGCGGTAAACCCGGTGCTGGAATCGAATGTGTTTCTGCAGCCGCCTATGCAATACACACTTATACTTCCCGTACACAAACAAAATGCATGGCACCTTTCGCCAAGCTAGCCTGTGCCACGTGTGGTCATGCTGGACAGGATTTTTGCAGGCAATTTTTATTTTCGTCATGCAGAACAAGAAACCAAATTTCAATTTTGTATGTGCAGGTCGTCGTGTAAGGGAACTAACTTTACTGTGGATATCGTCGCAGAATCTGCTTCGCGGGGACAATTTGAACCGCGGGTACGCATCGGTCGGCGTTCCGTCGCCTTCTGGGAAAGGTGGACCACTAGCGAAGAACAAGGTAACTACCAGTACTAGTCCGGCGACTAGCAAAACGACAACTAGCGCCGGCGGTTTTCTTCTGGGCCGGAACAGCACCTTGCTCCCGCGGTCCTCGTATGAACTGCAAAAATATCGTGGTCGTACTAATTGCAGTCTGGCATGACAGATCCGCTTTGCTACCTGAACCTGCATGACAAATTTCATTTTTCTTTCTGGGAAAATTTGTCATGCGATTTATACTAATACGATACTTTTGGTTTTGCAATGCATACCTCGTCCCTCGGGGCGGTCGGGTTGCGCACCAGGGTGCAGGCGGGCGAGGCACCACTGCTGCGCGACGTGGACATGCGGGTGCTGCAAACACAGTTTCCGCACTTCAAGCCCGCGGTCGGCGAGCAGTTGCAGAACAAACTGCAGACCCCCTCTATCCTTTGCAAAAGTATCTCTGAGCGTACTGGTACCATTACCAATCGCAATGCATGCAAATGCAACAAAAATTGTTTATTTCCTTAGAATTGTACTAGCTCAGTATCTACGCGGTTGGTCTTTAGAAAAAACAATTTGCTTTTGTCAGTCAATTACTACTATGTATAGTTGATGTCCGATACTTTTGCAATGCATACGCTCCGTCCTCGCCTGTGTCGCGGGTCCGGTGTCTCCGAAGAGCGATCGCGGTCGGTTTTCACCGGTTGCGGCGAAGGACCGCTCGCCGTCTATGGGAGGGTACAAATTATTAGGGGCCGGCGCCGACGTTCCTAGTCGGTCAGGGTCGAGGAGAAACAGCATGAACATGAAGCAAACCTACTCCTCGCATCTGTTGCGGACAGAACCGCCGGCGGGAATGAGTGCGGAAGTTTACGCCGCGATTGTGGAAGTGATGAAAGTCAACCCGGCCCGGCCGCCCACGCCCCTGGAGCCGAACCACGCGTGTGCGATCGTGTGCAGGGAGTTGTTGGCGAGGTACTTCTTCTTCTACAGAGGCGTCGCATGATACATCATGCGAAATATTGAGTTTGTGCTCCATGATCAAAATCTTTGATTTCAATGAAAACAAACTTCCAAAATGCTCTTGCTCTCAGATTGGAATCCGTAGTCCGACAGCAAGCGAATAACGTGGAGAGGACGAAGAAAATGGTTCGGGGGTTTGTTGCGAACGGGGTTTTCAGCTTGCTTTCCGCACAGCAAGAAGACAGCATTGCGGATATCCGGAAAGTTTTGGCCATAGTTTTTCCCGATGCCCCCACGAGGAAGCAAGAAGGTGCGATAATGTTGATCATGCTAGTGTTTCATTGATCTGGTTGCGTTTTTTCTTTTTGTGGCCTGCTCGAGCCGAGCTCGATGATGACAAAAATTTTATTTGCGAACAATCAAGAACACCGACCCTCGATCTTCACATGAAATAAAATGACCCAATAAGATCTCATTGCGCGCGTCCGACTCCTGGCGACCACAGCTTGTCCGAAGGACGCGCTCGCGAAAATGGCCCAGGATCTAGCCAAGCTGATCGACGACGAGAGCTTTTCCATGGCCAACGCTGCGGAAGACAGCCTGGTGCAGGGCGTCAGCGCGGGGTTGGTCCGGGCGACTCAGAAGCTGTTGTACGCTGCGGTGGCCAAGAACGAGGAATCGGCGTTGGAGGCCGTGTATGAATCGCAAAAGTACCGTGCTTACTTAAAACTAGTATCTTGAAACTCAATTGCATTGCAAATAATTTCCACCTCAGCATGAGAAATGGAAGTTATAACTCGGATTTACCTTAAAATCGTCACGTATGATAATTGCAATCACTTTCACTGCGGTCGTACGAGTGCGCAACTTTTGCGATTTATACCATGCGGAAGGAACTGGTCCAGAAGATGACGGCGTTGGAGGCTTTGGGTCGGTCCTTGCAGTCCCAGTTGGAGCAGGACACGGAAGAGGCAGATGACACGCCGGGAAGGCTGAAAAGTTCCAAACCCGTCGCGGACTGGGGAGTGGAGGAAGTATCTAATAAATGCAAATCAAAAAAATCTTGCTTCTTCAAGAATCTTGATGGCATTTGCGTTGCATGAGATGAAAGATGATGATGAAGTCTGGCGGCCTCTGCCGCTTTTACAACTACTTTTCTCTGGCACGACCACATCCACCAGACGGCATAAAAGAATTTAAAAATCCACACAAGAACAACTCCATCAATGACTACCTAGGTTCTTCAATGGCTAGTCCGGCTGCAGGAGCTCCCGGAGCGAGATCTTGTCTTCCAGGTCTTCCAAGACAAACAAATTTTCGGCGAACAGCTGCTCACCCTGGACGAACAAAAATTGGACAGTATGGGGATCACAACGTTCGGCACGAGACGGCATTTGAGCCTGGCGATCCGGGATTTGAAAGCGGATATGGACCAATCCGGGTCAAACAGTATGTCGAACACGAGTTCTGCGAGATTAGCCACCCCGAGCCTGAAATCCGAGTTCTCCAGCCGCATGGGCGGTGGCGTTGCAGGAGCAGTACCTCCTGGTGGTGCGGCAGCCAACAACATGATTTTGAAGGTCGGAATGCACACCGCGCCGAACTACACCTCGTCAAGTGCGACGTCCGCAAACGGCATCCGGAAAGTGGAAGAATCCTTAGGGTTCGCGCCCTCTTCCAGCCCCAGCCTAAGCACCGTGAATGGCAGGATGAACAACAATGCTGGCGCGCGGTCGCGGTCTCCCGTCGTGGCAGGGGGAGCGACCACAGGTAGTACCAGCAACAAGAAGCCGGTGCTTCCCGCGGCGAAGATCCAGGGACTCGCGCCCTTAGCGCAGGTCACCAGTCCGCCCGCCAGTCCGAAGCAGGGCGGCGGCAGCGGAAGAAACTCGCCGGTTGGGCCGCAATCCCCGGTGTCGCTCGTGCCCGCGATTTTTGACAGTGCGGTGCCGGAATTGCGGAACATGTCACCGCGATCCTCGTCGCCCTTAGCGAAGGAGCGACTGTTAGACTTCAAGCAACCGGTGTTGAAGGCGAAAGTCCTATGGGAGTGACCAACTCGTCCCCTTCTTGTCATGCAAAATACCGAAGAACCCAGGCCAGGCTGTGCCTCTGCGCACTGTTTCTTTTATGTCAAGCTCTGTCAGCCCAGCAAATAGCACCACACTCCTGTGCAAATTGGTCATGCAAAACCTGCATTCTCGCTGACGCTTGTATTGCCGTTCATGCTACACAAGTGTAAATGAGCAGAGGGAGCAGGGGGAGTTGTGCACTGCCATAAGTCGAGTCCCCCTCCTTGAACCCCATCGCGCCGATCAACACAAGCAAGCAAACTATGCATTGCAAATAGGACGAAATGTGTCTGGGTCTGGAACTGGAAGGTTGTACTTAATATGTGACGCGTCCCCGCCGTCCCGCAGATAACGCAAAAACTTGCCTATGCCTTGCGCGGGTAGCACAAGAAGTCCTTCTAAAACAGTAAGTATTTTTTCTCATGCGGGATATGCATAGCGAAGCCCTTAGCCTTACTAGTATAAAATCTGTGAAGATGGGCCTTCACCCTGTATCCCAGGATTGCTCGTGGAGAATCCGCATGACAAACTCGTGCACTCACCCGGTCCCAGACATCTTTGCATTTGATACAGACGAAAGAGCAGGGGTCGAGTTCCGGACAGCGGTTCCCGCGGCTCGCGCTACCGCAAATGGACTGGAACCGCGTCGTATGGAGTGCAAATATGTAGTCTGGGTCTGGAAGAGTGCAACTTGTCATGCTAAATCTGAATCATGCAAGCGTCTGTGTTGCGTCAGTCTCAGTGCTAGTAACAGCTGTCCACTTTCGGCCAAGTTCGTTGTGAGGGAGTTTCTCATGCACGACAGGCATGACAGAGACCTCCTAGAGTCTGTCATGCTAGTACGTCCCGCATTCGAGACCTCGTGGGTCATGGGAAACCTGCGTAACAAGTTGACACTCTTCCGGGCCCAGACGTATTTGCACCTGATACGTCGCGAGCCCGGACGCGGCGCTGTCCCAACTCCGCACGGACATGATGGAAAAGCGAGCGCGTTCTCTCGAGCGCATGCGCGCGACGATCGCGAACGCGGGTTCGAATTTCGAGGCGGCGCAGAAGCAATTGGCGGGACATAACGCCACTAGTGCTGCCTCGCCGCGCACCGCGACGATCGCCGAGACGCGGTCCGCGGCAGTGGCGTCGGCGTCGCAGTTTTTCAAATCCGGCGCGGTTTTATCCAGTGCAAACATGTCTCTCGTCTGGGTCACCTGGATCTGGAAAAGTAGAACTTGTATCACTTGGCTGGCATTCGTGTGAAAATTAATCGGTGTTGCATGACCAACAAAAGATCGGCGTTTTGTGCCATGCAGAAACACAGTTTGATGAATTTCCAATGCGCACTTCGCATAGGCATATGAAAAAGCGCCCAAAATTTTTGCCATGCTTTGCTGCACAACTAGAGAGGCTGTTGAATTCTGACCATTCAGCATCAGAAGTTTCCAGACCCGGAGGATGACAGATATTTGCAATGCATAGGTTTTAAGGGAGAACGTGGTGCAGCCGATTGCGTCGCCTGTGTCCAGCCCGAGATTGAAGGCGGCGTTAACCGGCGTCCCGCCGTTGGGATCAGGGGATATGGTCGGGTTTGTGACGAGCGTCCCGGAAGGGGAGTACCTACCGCCGAAGTGGATCGGGAAAACGGGCTGGATTTCGGGACTGATGCGAAATATGCCGTGCAAAAGGATCATCGCACTGCAACTGCTGCCTAAGACATGCTGACATCCAATTGTTCCGGACGGAAATTTATAAGTACAGGGGGTTCTTTGTGATGCAGGTTGAGGCATGCATATGCAAGCAGGTCTGTCATGCGAGACTGCAAGGACTTGTAAGTAGGAGTGCGAAGATTCCTTTGCAGTTGATGCGAAACGGAAAGGTGCAAGTCTCGGTTCACGGGGACCAGCCTGGGACTAGGGAAACGGCGGAAATCACGACAACCTTGCTGGTTCCGGTGACCAGGTCCGGCGCCGCGAGTCCCGGCGCGGTCTCGTCGCCGGTTGGATCCAAGGGAACAACGGCGGTCGGGGCAGGCACCGGGGTGATGATGAACAAGGGATCTGCAGTTGGGGGCGTTGTCCCTGCCGGGCTGACGAGACCGGTGTCGGCACGACCCGGGGCGAAGATATGGCGCTCTCAACTGTTACATTCTCAACTGTTACATGAATTTGTAATGCAACACTGGCAAAAGTGAAAGGAGGAATATTGCGCCTTCTGCATCACAAGTTTGGCGCAGATTTAGGTGCGGCTTACGCCTTCGCAAATTTGTCATGCCGGGCAGCTTGATCGTGAGGATGATGATGGTGCTTTTGCATGACAAACCATGTGAACAGTTGAGAATGTAACAGTTGAGAACGCCATAGAAAAGCAAACCGGCGGCGGTGAGAGGTGGCGTTGCTGGGGCTCCACCTGCTGTAACATCAACTCGGCCCGGAACAGCGGGCTCTAGAAGTAGTAGTCGTGGCGCGCCGTCGCCGGTGCGGGGGCGGGTTCCCTCGCCGGTGGCGCGAAGAGGCCCTAGTAGTCCCTCGCCCGTGGCCAAAGCAAAAACACCAACTCCCAGCACTTCTGTGAGCAGTAGGCCGAATATTAAACAGGCGATGGGGAAGATGCCGAGCACAGCTCCCGGGACTGCGTTGAGACAAGCAATTGTAGGCTCCGCGTCTAGTAACAGCAAGGCGAGCGCCACTACATTCGCTGCGAGGAGGGCGCAAGTGAAGAAGGCGTCGGCGAAAACCGCGGCAAAGAGCAAGACACCCAGCTACGCACCGCCGTCGCGCGGCAACACTGTGGGGGCACCTTCTAGTACCACTACGCTGTCTACTAAGAACGCAGCTCCTAGTGCCACGACGAAAATGCCAGAGCCGACGCGAACGATCACGGCTTTAGGCACAGCGCCGAAGAACGCCTCGAAGGGAGAGCAAACGGCTGTGTCTGCGGGCTCCAGCAAAGTTTCTAATACGGGGTTGCTGAAAACAGGATCGATTCTGCTGCCGAGCTCGCTTGTCGGTACTACCACTGGTGCGGCGTCCTCGAGGGGTGCAACTACTGGAACAGCGGGAGCCGGTGCACCTCCTGCGTCGAAAAATGTTGTTTCATCTGCAGCTGCTGTTCCCTCCATGGTGAAAACACCAACTCTGACAAGCACCAATGTCCAGCTGAGTTCGCCACCGAAACCCGTGTTGACGACCGGGAAGATTGGCGGAGCGAAATTCCTCGGAAATGCGGTTCCGACGTTGTTTTACGGGGAAGAAGAAGTAGAAGAGCACGTGCTTGTTCAGGATCTTCACGATGAAAAAGTTTTCGTCGACGACGAACCCGAAACCACCAATTATACGAATGCAACTGCAGTAGCAGTCGAGGTGGAACAAGAAGAGAAGAAGTTGAGGGACACGCAGACGATTTTGGTACCAGCAGTTTCGTTCGTGGAGCAGGGCGAACCTGCTTTGTCTGCGGTAGTGCGGACGATCCGCGCGACGGGGACGCCGGACAAGTCGTCGAGTCTGTTGCAGCCGGCTGGTGTGAAGGAGGTGCTGAGTAGTTTGGAACGGGGGGCACGCGCGTGAGGAGGAGGTAGTTCTGAGATTTGCATATTAGATTACATGTGAACCAACCTAATGTCGTATCTGGAGAAGGAGAAGAAAAATTTTCAAGTTCATCAAGCTTTATCTTCGAAGAAGTCGCTTGTGACAACAACGCGTCTTAGTACTCTGTTTCTTAAGAAAAATGACTGTTATTTATCAGGATATTTTAGCAAAAACGATTTTAACCTTTTGACGCAAAAATTATGCTTGCAACATTGGCAGACACTACCGACGGTTTCTCTTGTATGAAAAGTTTAACATCAAAATTTCTTGTTTTAGCAGAAAGAAAGTTTCTCAGTTTGCACTTTAGCTTTAGTTTCACTTGGCAAGTACGGTATCACCAGTTGTATCTTTGCAATCGCATGTTTGAGTTTGGATCAATAGTACTCACACCTGTATTTACTTTTCATCACATTCACATGTAATATCATCCTTCGTGGGATTTTTCAGATTTGACGGAATTTCTTCAACGACCTGATTGTGTACAATATACAGATCAAATTTGGATTAAATTATTTATATTTTTTCAGGATTTTTCGAACACTTACACTTGGGGAAAACAAAACTACAATACACAAAAATAAATGGAGGTGACGTTTTGTCAAGCGGAGCCACCACCAGCCAGCTCCTGTGCCCGCTTTTGTTCTGCTCTTTGCCAACATCCTGATGACAGACTGACCTGCAGTAAAGCGCTCTCCTTTTCTTTGTTCGTAAGAGAACTTGTGTTTATGGCATTTTTCATAAGTTCGGATAAATAATTAAAGTGCATCCGAAAAGAAGAAAGATGGAAGCGAACACGTTTCTGTTGTGCCCCCAGCGCAACTCCGCCGCAGGTAGTTGTTGATACCTTCCAGCTGCTGCTGGCTGCAAGTCAGAGATGCGATACCGCGATCTTCCGGCAGAAGATGGTCACAGTCGTCCCGTCGAGTACAAGAACCACGAAGATGCAGGAGAGCCTACAACTTCCCCGGCCAACTTCTCTTGCCTGCAGGCCGCCAGCTCCCGAACCCGCGCCTTTGCGGAGTCCTGCGTGCAGCAAATCTGGATTTCCGGACGGACCGTTGTCGTTACCGTGCTCGATTGGTCGGAGTACGCGGGCGAGCAGTGCTTCCAGGTCAACGCTTTCGAGCGGATCGCGCAGTTCTTCCGTCAAACCGTCCTGGACCCAATTTTTCGATGCCTCCCCTTCGCGAGGAAGTTTGTGCCGAAAAAGTTCAGCGTCGCGGCGTTCCTGATCGCCTTGAACTTCGAGCAGGTCGGCCTGGGCGTGTTGTTCATCCCCTATTCCTACGTTCTGGACGGCAGCGACGTCTTTTACGACGGCGTCACGGTCGACAGTTTGAGCGTGTGGTACGCAACGGTTGGGAGTTCCGTTGGAGAGAGGACCACAAATAGAACTACAAATACTCCTGCTGATGCAGCTGCAGCGCGAGGCGAGAATGCTGCATCGTCGACGAGGAGACCCGTACGTGGCAACGAAAAATCCTCCGGGGCAAGAACTGAGAATGTTGACATCTCACTCGAGGACAAAAGTGCAAACCAGGTCAAAGATGCGACAAGATCGGGAGCGCACGACACTTCTTCAGCACAGCAAGATGAACCAGGTGGATCAGGCATAGAAGGAGGTCGTGTCAGCAGCACTCCCGCGGATGTTGATCATGCAGTAAAAATGCCTTCCCTCTCCGGAATTTTCGATCCAGATGATGTCGACGGTTCCATCAACGAAGTTGAACCCACTGTGACGCAAAAGTTCCTGACCGAGGCTGGACTCCAAAACGTCACCTGGCACAGCGTCCGTTCTGAACTCTACGCATTGCAAAAATATTGAGCGGGTCTGGAGGATCGCGAGATTTCGATTTGTCCTGCAACATCTCCTCGTGGACCACGCACGCCATGGTCCTGTGGAATGCACACAGAACCATCACAGCTTGTGTGAGAGGACCTTGTTCCTCATGCCTCTTCCGAATGAGAAGTCCGCGGCTCTTTGCCTATTTAGTAAGCAAGTATTGATGTTGCTGTTGGCGTTTATGTAGGCAACTCAGATTTTTTTGTGATCGAGACTTCGTGTCGTGGCAAGCTGCATCCTGCTGCCAGACCACCCCGACATGTTTGCAAAAATGTATAAGCGCGAGGGAAGTGCGAAGTTCCGCACCTTGGAATTTTCCGTGGTCGTCGCTCTCGTCGTTCTGCTCTCTATCCGCATCTCCGACCGGCTTTCCGCCGGGGCGAAGGAAACCGAATGCTTATGAAATGTAAAAATGTCTGGGTCTGGAAGAATGCAACTTGTCATGCTAAATCTGAAGCATGCAAAAATCTGTGTTGCGTGACTACCAAAAGTCGTCCAGTTCTGACCAAGTCGGGAGAGAGTTTCTTATGCAGGATATGCATGAGAGACATCGCACAGAATCTGTCATGCTAGGTCCTGCATTCCAGACCTCATGGGTCATGGAAAAGCTGCGTGACAAATCGCGCACTCTTCCAGACCCAGACATTTTTACATTTGATAATGCTCGAACATCAGCAACGCTTGGGAGATGGTGTCCACTGCGACCTTATCAAATGTAAAACTGTCTGGGTCTGGAAGGATCCAACTTGTGATGCTGTCTTTCAATTCTAAGCAAATCTGTGTTGCATGACCAGCAAGACGAGGCCAGTTTGTGCCACGTGGAGAGGGTATCTCTCATGCGGAATGGGCATCACAAAGCCTTCTAAAAATCTGTGATGCTAGGCCATGCATTACAGGCTTTGTGGCTGATGCAGAATATGCAACACAAAGCTGGCAGTTTTCCAGACCCAGACATTTTTGCATTTGATAGACCTTCGGCTACGCGCGGGAGTTCTTTCTCCAAACCGCGTACCATTTCCTCCTTTTCGTGGACTGCGTCGCCGTGGCGTGTTTTGCAAAGAAAAAAGTGTTGCAATCATGATTGATGTGTTGCAGGAGCAGGCCCGGCAAGACGAAGACAGACAACCTTTGCAGTGTTCTTGCACGAACTGCTTGTTTTATGCGTGATTTTTCTTAGGATCTTCGCATTATCACGCGGAGAAAATTTGTGTTGCTGCAGCTCCAAGTACAACAAACGTGAAGCTGTAGCACTTTAGTTTTCTCGGGATACTTGTTTACAGTACACGATCAACTGCTGTTTGCTCAAGGAGCTACGTATGCCCTGAAATAAATTAACCACCCCCATCCAGTTTGTCATGCAAAACATGTAAGCAGGTTCTTTTCTGCGCTTGACTTTGTCGTGTAAAAAGTGGATGGGGAAGATGGTTGATTTTCAAGGAATACTGCTCTTGGCCGAAGTGAAGGACTACCAGGCGGAGTATGTGAATGTGGGGGGAGATGGTGGGGACCAGGTTGGTCCTGGTGGAGCAGAAGTGAGTTCGCAACCTGTACTAGACCGTAGCCAGCAAAGTAGATTTGTTCAGCAAGATGTGCTAGGTGGAGGTGCGCGAGGGGAGCAGCCATTGCAAGAACTTCTTGCACAAGCGCAGAACAACTACAAGAGCTACAACCAATCTGGCAGCACGGCGCCTTCCTCTCATCTCTCCCCCACGAGCGCGACTACATCGTCCTACTTCACTATTCAGGAAACGAAACTGTGTTATAGAAGTGCTGTTGGAGCCAGCGTGGTCTGCATGGTGACAGAGAGATCCCGTTATGCAGATGCTAGTACAGGTACGTGAAATTCTTGAAGGGCTTCCTGGCTTTCTGGCATGGCAAGTGTAAGTAACTGTGTTCTTGCCTTTTCTGCATATAAACAGTTTTTCTCTCGCATATTCACCCACTCCATCATCACCTCGAGCAAATCGCTGAAGGTATGCAATGCAAAAGCATCGTACTAGTATAAATTGCATTACAAATTACCCCAGCATTACAATTCAAATTTGTAATGCTGATTTACGTTGAGAAAGAGATTTGTAATGCATAAATGCAATTACTACGAATACGATACTTTTGCACAGGATAGAAGGAGGAATTTGACAACTATGTGTCCTATCCACTGCAAATATGCCTGGGTCTGGAAGGGTGCAACTTGTCATGCTGAATCTGAATCTTAGTTACAAAAGTCTGTGTTGCATGAGTGCCAAGAGTTGTCCACTTTCGAGCACGTTGGGAGGGAGTTTCTCATGCAGGATAGGTATGACAGAGACCTCACAGAGTCTGTCATGCTAGCTCCCGCATTCCAGACCTCGGGGGTCATAGAAAACCTGCATAACATTCCATTGACTGCTCGTCATGCGATGCACATACAGAGTTTTTCATTTCAAAAAATCAAGAAACAGTGTCACAACTTGCACTTTTCCACCAGATGACGACCCAGGTTTGGAATGCATATGTCTCAACTGTTCCGTCTGGGCGCCGTGGAATTGGATGTCTTCGTCGGGATTTGGGTTGCGGCGTCCATCCTGCTTTTTTTCCCTTTTGTCGTGAAATCCCGCGCTAACTGGCTCATGCTGGAAGTCGGCCAGAGCTACAGCAAGGGAGAGCGGGTGGGATCCGCTTTCGGGATTTTGGCGGTTTTGTGTCTGGTGTACAATTTACTGTGGCTGGTTTGCAACGGTGAGATCTTAGGGCCGGCGCAGGAAACATTAAACGGGGAGTCCTCAGACGGAGGCGGAGCGAGAACAGGAGCTTTTAAAAATGCGAGGGGGACGCGTTCAGGAGTCTCTCTTTCGGGGCTGCACTATAATCAGCAGCACCATGATATTCTTCGCGACGGGGAGGGGCTCGAGTACTTCTATCAGCGGGAAATGATAACGACAACCAGCAAGAACGCTGCGGCGAAAATGAAGATGCACGACCAAAATTACTACAGCCACGGAACTACAAGCCGCAGCGGGTTGAAAAAAGATTTCTGGGCGATGGATAGTACTACTACTGCTGGTGCCCCCTCGCAGCTGATGTCCGCCGCCACAGCTGCTCCGTTATTTGTCTTGCAGCTACAGGAAAATGATCAAAATAAGACTCAAGGGCTTCGGCGTTCCGACGATTATAATTCCGATAATGGTCCTCGTCCTGGAGCCAGCTCCAGCACGAGAACATCTGACACCTCAACCACAGTGGCCTTCCGCACTTACTCGAGAAGCATCTTCGAGCAAATCCACACCGTGGTGGAGCTATGCATTGCCAAAGTATCATACTCGTATGATAAGTTGCAGCGATGCATGACAAATCTAAGTCCTTAACTTTTCCAGCATGACAAATTGCATATTTTCTTCTTGCAAAAAAAATTTATTGTGATGCAACTTATACTAGTACGATACTCCTGCAATGCATAGAAGCAAATGGTCCAGGCTTTCGACAAGACTTACAAGACCGTCAAGCACCAGGCGCTCCGGTTCCGCGGGTACTGTTTGGGCATTTCCCTGCTCTTCTTCAGTTTCTTCGTGAACCATATGCATTGCAAAAGTATCGCACTCGTATAAATGCATTGCAAATGTCCTCAGCATGAGAAATAAAATCTGCACTGCGGATTTACCTTGAGAAAAAACTTTGTAATGCATGATTGCAATTACTACGAGCACGATACTTCTGCACAGGATAAACCACTTGGAGCTACCGTTCGTGCTCCGGCACCACCCCGTCGGGGACCAAGTGTTGAAATACGCGCAGCGACTGTCCTTCGTCTGGAACTTGGCCATCGGGATCGGCTTGGCCCAGGTGAAAAAGAACCCGAACCTGTTACTCCCGACCAGCTGGGTCTTTTGCCGGCTGTACCTGATTGTCGCGCTTTTTTTCGCTTTGGGGACCAATTTACGGCGGCTGCAGATTTACCTCTTCATGTCCATCGCGAACCTGTCCAAGTGGTTTCTAGTCCATATGACGCGATCCGCTGTTACAATGTCAAATACAAACGTTACTACAATAGAGTCAGTCTGGAACAATAATCTGTCTTGTGTGATCAGCATGACAGAGTGTAGCTCTACCGCTTGTATTTGCAATAAAAGTTTCTCCAGATTGATTATCATGCGGTTTGGGACTCCAGAAGAACTTGTCTGTCATGCGTACTATTCCTGTCAGAGTAGGCCAGATCTTCGTGCACTTTTTGCGTCACAGATTTTCATAGCTATTGCAACGTTTGAGAATTACAATTATGTGATTGTATTTGTAACAGGTGAGCAGGTTATAGTCCAGTACGAGAAGCGGACGGGCACGAGGGTGGTGGACGTCAGAATACCGAACTTTGAAGAACTATGGGGGTGTCAGGATCGAAATCCGCAAAACTGAAATAATCTGTAATCGTAATGCAAAAGAGCGATACCAGCTGGAGCCCAGTTCGTTAGTGGCACATGACAAATTTTGGCAGCACGGAAATCCAATTTGTCATGCTGTTTGAGCAGAGAAGACTAGACTGCTTTTCTCATGCTATTTTAGCAGCTCTATCTCACACCCCAAAGAGGGTTATAATCGGCCTCAGATGCCTGCTCTGCAAGACAGGCACCTTGCGTCTAGCATTTCATGCATCACATCAAACTATAATTTCAACTTTGACGATTTCAATCCTGACACTCCCATAAGAACAGTTTTTTGACGAGGAAGATGTAGCCGCGAGTGACCTTCTTTTCGAGGAAGAAGTTGTAGAAACTGGTTTTACGAGAAATCCGCTTTACCCGACGAGCAAGGAAGCAGTTTCGCAGAGTCTGCAACAACCACTGCTCTCGCTATCAAAGCCGTACGACGCGGGAAGGATTTTTGAAGATGTCGCGAGCAAAAGATCGATGGTGCAAGGTGAACAGGAGCCACGACCAGAAGGTGTACCACATGAAATATTAAGACCACGAGGAGCTGGACGATCAATAGCCGCTCCTTCTTCAGTAGCACCAGCAGCTGCTCAGGGGGAGCTGCCGGGCATCATGAGTAGTACAACTAACACATCTTCAGACCAACTTGTGCTTGTTCCTACTTTCGCAGGAGAGCACCGACCTGGTCTGAGTAGAGACCCGCGAGTACGAGGGTCTGGCGAAGTAGTCGATCGCGACACGACGACCAGGGACAGGATTTTTATAGACCCGAGCAGGAACACGAACAACTACAACAAGAACAAATGGGCCACCAGCACCTCCTCCTGCTCCTCCGAGGGAGCTCCTGCAGAAGCAGAGCCCCCGCTTGTTCCGAATGAAGATCGGAACATCAGGAACAGCTTTGGAGATCGTGACCACGACACGACCCTGCGGTCTACTTCCTCCTCACTCGTGTTGCAGCGCGGGCCGTCGTTATCGTCGTCTCGATTGACTGACCCGGTGGTCGTCGGAGAAAATGACATGATGAGCAGTGCTGTCACTGTAGTGGTCGAGAACAATAGCGAAGATGGCCTGTTTACAGCACCAGAACCCACCTCCGCAACGGGTGGACCGCCGCGCAGGAGCACGACAGTAAAAAACCTCACACATGATCGTGATTCAAAGCAAAATCTAAATCGGGAAATCAACAAAATCCCTTCACACGAGTCGTCCAGTAGCAGCGGCTTTCACACGGCAGAAGAGTTCTTCTCCGAAGATCAGATATTCGTAAACGGCACGGCGGGAAGAGTTGTTGTCGTTGGGGCCTCGTTATGAATTGCAAAAGTACTATCGCACACGTACTAATCGCAGTCATGCAACAAGACAAGTTTCTTTTCCAAGCTAGATCAGCATGAGAAATTGCATTTGTCATGTTGAGCTAATTTGTATTGCAATACTACGAGCACGATACTTTTGCATTGCATGCTTGTCCTCCTCCTCGGGATCATCCTCCAGCGCGCCAGACTACAGTTTCCTACCGTCCCTGCGCAGCGAGGGAAGTGCTGTAGCAGGGGCGGTGACGACTTCGGCTACGATGAGCGCTCAACGAGTTGTACTACAACAACCCGAGGGGGAAACGACCAGCGGGGGTGACATATTAGAAGTAGCGGCGGAGAACGTCGTAGAGCTGCATCCAGACGACGGCGAGAATGATGTTGATATTCGAGAGCAAGAAACGCAGAATCGTCAAGAACAAGACATTCTTGGCGATGAAACGATCGGAAAAAATCACACAGTGAAACAACAATTAATGCTACCTCGAGATCATGGACAGGAAGGTAATCATCGTGAGAAGAGGACCATTGCACCGTTGGGTCTTGTTTCAGGACCTGCTACCGCATCACCATCTTTGCTAGGTGACGATGTTGACGACCAGGAGGAGTTATTTTCCGCCAGGCAAGAAATAAACTATAACCAGCACACAACCGCAGAACCTTCTCTCGTCGACGACGTCCCACCCAACAGAACCGCACTGCCTTTACTTTCGCACCGATCGCCGAGAGAAGCCGCGGGAGCCATCAGGAAGATCGCAGACACTCACGACGAAGTAGAGCAGCACGAAGATCATGTGGGCGGGGAGCAGTTGTACCGGCGCCGGAACCTGCATAAAAATCCCTCGTCGTCTCGAGGCAGGACGAGCGACAACAACCTCCTGACAGCACGACCAGACCGCATCATCCTAACCGTGGACCAACTCGAGCAGCTCGTGCTGTTTCCCCGCTCCCTATTAGAGTGCACAACTACTACAACTCTCTCGCCCCCTCATTCGTATCTATAATGGTAGGCGGGTGTTGTTGAAGAACAGCTCCTATACAGACGCCGGCACATCGACATCGACATCAACACGTGGAGCCTGTGCATGACATTTGCATGCGGCGAATGCGATACTACTTATTTGCGGTTCTGGACTTTGTCACGCAATAAACAGTGCCGCAAGGAGGTAAGTAGCAGCTGGATTCCTGGGTTTTGCATGAGGACGATGAATGAGGCGGAGAGGCGGGGGATTTGTGTACTGTCATACTTTATCGAGATTCACGCAAAGAAGGACATTGTCAATTGGCGGGTGGTCCTCTCTTGGTTCCCGGAGCCCGACCTGCACCAGAGAAACAAAACGTACGTATCAAATGTAAAAATGTCTGGGTCTGGAAGAATGCAAGTTTGTCATGCTTGTCTGGCATGACTCATAAATCTGTAATGCATGAGCAGGAAAGAAATGGCCTCTTGCCTGTCATGCAAAAACGCAGTTTGTCATGCGGAAAACGAAGCACAGTAGTAGTTGAAAAATTTGTCATGCTTGGCTGCGTATTGCAGTCCGCCCACCAGTCACATTTTAGCATCACAAGTTTCCAGACCCAGACATTTTTACATTTGGTAGTACGCAACGTTAGACGATCTCGCGCAGGAGAAAAAAATCCTGGACCTCCGTACCGAAGCCGGCTCCGTGGAACTGTCTGCGCGGAAACGCAGGAGATTTCTGGATCGGGATCATGTTGTTGATGGTAGCGATCATTTTAGAAACAGCACAGTACGAACCGGGAACAAAATGTTGAGGCCACGAGGACCCCTTTTCGGCGCTGGGGGCCGCGGGGGCGCGCATGATTTTTCACCCGTGTCGCCACAGTCGGGTGGCAGCTATTCGGACTCGACTTCGCCCGACGTCGCTCTTGCTGGCCCAAGCAATTATCCGGAAGATGACTTTCGGGCTTTTTTTGAGCGGGACGCCCGTGCGCCGCCCAGTCCGATTTTTCTCCAAATGCGGGGCGAGCGAACCTTCCGGGGCGGGCATACCGTATAAAAAAACTGAAGTCTCAGTTTGAGTTTCAAAACTTTGCAGTCTTTACAAGTTCCCTCAGCATGACTACGCCCAAAATCTGTGATGCGTCAGATGCAAGAGAAAAAACTTATCAAGTTGAAGTTCCCTTTTCTTGCATGACGATCATGACAAATAGATAGCACTGTCTCAAGCTCAAGGAAGTTCCGCATTACATACTTACAAGTTGAGACTGAGACAGTTTTTTCTCGCGATAGGGCAGGGTGCAGCTTTACTGGCGACGAACACGCGGGACTTGATTCCTATGGGACTCTCAATCAAATGTGAAACTGATCGCTCTTAGTACGTGATTTGGCATGCCGTAGCATTATCACCCTTCGACGATCACGATCATGCTGCTTCGCATGACCGTCATGTCGCGCCGCACTAAAAAGAATTGAAATTATCTGTTTCAAATGTGGAAAATAAAAGCACGACGCTCATGCGCAAGCTCTTTTGCTACTCTTCTTGCACTTATGGTAAATACGCAAGCTCCACCAGCATCACCATCACGTAGCTACAAGTGGGACGAGAATGAGTGTAACTACGTTTGAGAGTCTGATACTTCCCGACGGCGACCGTTCGAGTACGACATCTAGTAGTGCCGCGTTTTTAAACAACAAGACATCTCGAGAGCAGCAGCAGTACAACTTCAAGAAGCTGCAGTTAGAGCAGCATGCATCCACCTCCAATCGCAACCTGGAGGAGGACTCCGCCGGTTCGGTCCATCATGAAGGCGGAACATCGCGGACCATGCGGTTTCGCAGGACAAGCAATCCGAGGAATCTGGCCTGGTGGTCCGGCTCCTCAAGCGCGAGCAACATGGGAGGTGCAACAGCACAACAGCAGCTTCCAAGAAATTACAGCAACCCCGCGGCACAACGACAACAGTCGCGGAACAAAAACCTCGCAGAGTACGCCCTGGATGAGCGCACGCTTTCCCGGATGACAGTTATGCATCCGAAAAAGTATCGTATTTTTCGTATAAAGAGTAGGTATAAGAATAGCAAGAGGTCGCATTTATCATTCGCATTCCGTATTGCTTATGTACTTGATCTGGAAGCTAAGTTGTTTTTACGAGTACTGCTGAGCAGACGAGTACCACGGTTTATTTCTTCTTGGTTTGTCGTGCAATGCAAAATTTAAACTACTGCGAGAACTAGAAGTACGAGTGTACGATGCTTTCGCACGGGATGACGGTGAACGCACTCCAGTCCGACATTTTCGTTAACAACCGTGGCGAGGCAACGCGAAGAAGCCGGCGACGGCCCGCAAGTGCCGTCCGTGGCAAGGCCGCGCCACCGGGTGCAGTTTTCCACAGCAGGAGTTATGCGACGTCCACCGCGGATGAAAGGAGTGGAGCGGGGTTTTTCTACGGCTCGTCGGCGACGAGTTCCAGGTCGAGTAGTCGCGAGATTTTTTCCCAACAACAGCACAACTCCTTCTACTCGACAGAGATACTACAACGTCAACCACAGCAGGCCCTTGATCGTGTGCGTCGTGGCGGGGGCACAGGAGGAGTGGTCAGCACTAGTTCAATACCGAAGATATTTTTACCCGGCCAGCACGGTGGACGAACAAGATCTCGCGGCCCGCCGAGCGTCGGGACGAGCAGGTCCGAGCAGTCGACCGTGGTGATTGCGCAGCCCGGGGTCCTGGGTGGTGGTTTCTTGCAACAGGGGCGACAAGAGGTGGAAAACGACGAGGAAGATCTTTCTTTGTCAAAAAGAAGATTTAGCTTCCCGGGGAGTCTGTTTGGGGCCGCGACGAGTTCGGGATTGCTCAACAATTCCAGTCGGTGGTCGCGCTCGCAAAGCCCGGCTGCCTCGGATGAAAGACGGGTGATCAATGACGAGAATGACTATGAGCGTTTGAAGATGCGTGTGGTGAACAACAGCCGTAGCCCGTCTCCGCCCTCTTCGCCTCCACCTGATGATGTTATCGCAGAAAAAGATCCGATGACGTTTTCTCACCCCGAAGTAAAACATCAAGATGTTGGCGCCCCCGCAGCACCAAGTAGAACCTCCGGGCAAGAACCGCTGCAATTACACCAGACTTCAGGCACGATTCCGGGGGGTTCGGAAAATCCTGGTACTACGACCACCGTGTTTTCAGACGACGAGGAAGCGACGGTAGTAGTCGACGTCGAGCGGATCAAGAGGCAAACACTTGATCGTATACAACGGCCAGTTCCTCCTGCTAGAAGTAGACCGCCCTCGTCGACGCCCACGATGAAGCCCTCGAGCTCCTCTATCCTGTGCAAAATAAACGTCCCCACCCCAGCGTCAAGATGGGGATCTCGCAACTCAAATCCAGATGCTTTGCACTCACGCATGACAAGTCGCAGTCCGACCGTAGTGTAGTGCAGGCTGGAAAGGACTACAGCCGCATTACAAATCCATCTGCTTATCCTGTTTGCAGCATTACAAATTCCAAATCACCACTGGAGGCGCCTATCATGGGGATGTTGCGCGGCATCACAAATCGTCCTGTCATTGCAAATCTGTGCGACAACTCTGGGGTGGGAACAGTTTTCCTCAGGATATCCTCTTCGTCTTCCTCATCTTTCTACACCGGGACAGTGGACAAGTTGAAAAGCGTCTTTGGAAGTGGTCGCGGGCAAGACAATGAGGAAGATGTTGTTGATCCAGAGACGCGGGGCGAGCAAGAAAATATTAAAAGCGCTGTAATTATATCAAGCACGGTAACCCCGGAGTTCACCCTGCGCGGCTGGAACGGTAGCTGGACAAACATGAGACAGCTCGAGAACGATGAAAGCCTTGAAAGTAGTAGAGGACAGCACATCAGTTCTAGCGCAGCTAGCAGTAGTGCCAATCTCAATCTTGTTGTTCCAAATTATGCGACGGACCCTTGGAACCTGACGAACGCTTTGTCTAAGGTACGAAACGAGAACGGGGGCGGAGCAAAAGATGACGCAGACGAAAGAGACTTGAAGAAAAAAGTAGAAGGACCATACGCAGCAAGTCGTGTAAGTGACCGAACGAGACGGAGAGGTCTTCGGGAAAAGGACAGCAGCGGTTCTGTCCACTACACACTTGAACACGGCGGCGCTGTTGACTCTAGTACTGCAAAAGGCGATATTAGTGATATTCAACTTGTTCACAGTACTTTGAAGACCAAGCAGGAGGAACAAGCTGGATTACCAACAAGTGAATCTTCCTTGATGTTCAGAAACCACGATGAAAACAAAGCCCGCACGGCAGGCGATGTCTATTCTGTCGCAGAAGAACCTCAAGGCGGTCGGGGTTCTTCGAAGATTTTTGCACAAGATAACAATTCTTCATGGGAAGATAAAAGTGTCGCTAATATCACCAAGAAGCCGAAGCGCAAGAAGAGGAATTCTTATGAGGACTGGAATTCACAGTTTTACAACTGGTCACCCGCACCTACTACGAGGAGCAGTGCGAATGAGCAGAAGAACAAGCAAAGAAACACTACAACAATTATCGCAGAAGGCGAGGACAACTACCTAGACCTTCAAGTCAGGAGGCACAGTCACCACAAGTCAGGAGGCACAGTTGTCACCACCGGTCGTAGTGCTGGTGCCAATTTCATTCCCACACTGTCGCCGTACACGACAAGAATGTCCAGACGAGAGGAACAACGGCAGTTGTACAACAATAGCGGCTACCAACATTACCCAAATTCGGTCTACAGCGGGCCGCAGCCGCTCGTGGAGGACGTTCGGGCAAGCCTGCTTTTCGACCAGCGTGCCCGGATGATCGGGGGGTTCGGGGCCCGCGACGAGTTTGTGACGAAGTTTTTTTACCCAAAGCCGTCACTTTTTGCGAAAAATGGTATTGTGTACAAGCTCACAGGCGTCCTGGCCCTGCTCCTGGTCGGTCTCTTCAGCTTTGTCACGATCAGGCTCACAAGGGACCGGCAGTTGAAGGCGTTGCGAACCGCATCCGAAACCGCGCGGCACTACGGGGATCGAACCGACGATGGGCGTATGCACTGCAAAAGAATATACAGTAGTACTTGTAATCGCAGGAGTTGTCACACGACTAAGAAATACAAATTTACTCAGCATGACAGATGGAATTTGTGATGCTAGAGCAGCTAGTGCTAGTGGTCGAGATACAACTCGGGGACAACTAGCTCTCACTGTAATGCATCAAAAGTGCAAATATTTACATTTAGAAATACTATGAGCGCGATAGTTTTGCAATGCATAGGGCGGAAGGCGAAGCAAAATCACATCATTCTGGCGTCGAACCAGTCATTCTTTTTGGAAGCCGCAACGCTGTACCTGGCCGAGTGGGTCACAACTTTGTTGGTCGCGAAGGTGTTTTTGCTCCTGTTAATTGCGTATCAGCAGCAAAATAAATGTACTTAAATGTCTGGCTCTGGCAACAAGATGCAGATGTTAGCTATGCCGGCTTTGCGTGGCCCATCCCGTTAAGGTCTGAAGTGCGTGGCATAGCATGCCAAGTTTTGCGAAAGCCCTGTAATGCCTTTTCTGTATGAGAAATAATTATCGTCGAAGGTGGTGGGTAAAGTAAAAGTGAACGGCTAGCTTCTCCTACCTGACTCATGCAGATGCATCAGCAGCACACATTTTTGCATGACTGACAGAGAGCATCACAGGTCGACGCTCCTCCAAAAACCGAGACATATTTGCAATGCATACTGCGCGGATCGTGTTTCCACGCATCGTCGCGTCGACCAATCCAACGCTGGCTGCAACTTCTATGGGGTTCTCAAACGTTACAGGGAACGCTGTTACATGTTGGATTGTTTGTGATACAAGAACAAGAGCATGAGCAATAAAAGGAAAAGCGAAAGGGGGGAACTTCCGCTGCCTGCATGTGCATGTAAGTATTACAAAGCTGGAACAAGAACGGATTCGAGAGCTACTTGTCATGCGAAGTAGCTCGACCGTGTGGACGTGGACGTTCTTGATAGTAATACTGCGCGACAAATCATGTAACAGCAACCAGCGCAGCGCACGTTTGCGAGTTCCATAACCTCGTACGCAAGAATACCCAATTTGGATCTCGTCTTGGTACTCGTGTGCCTCGGCATTGTCTTTTACTGAAGGAAGCAGCGCCTTGTGCCACGCCGTGCAGGACGAGAAGTGATGCCCCACCAGGTTTCGAATCGAAGTAAGTCAGTACTTAGGCTTAGCTGAGAAAACTTTTCGTCAACAACTACAACAAGCTTTCAATTTTCTACGATGCCTTATTTTGCGTGCCACACTTTTTGTATGTTGCGTATTCAAATACAAATGAATCAGCCGAGCTGTACCTCACCGTGACTCTGACGGCCCGCCACATGAAGAACAAATGAAACTACAAACAGAGGACTCGTACTAGTTCAGAAGCTTGTACATTCTAACCAAATGCAAGCTTGCTGTTCTGAAGACGTTGCACCATGCAAAAATGTGTTTTTCCGGGCGAAGAGGAAGTCTTCTGGGTCGTTGTAGTTACTACTGATCGTCCAGTAGTTCGCCACCGGCGCCCAGTCCGAAGCGTAGGTGGTAAAAATGATAATAGATGGCACGACTTTTGTCTTACGAGGTCGGAAAGAACTACAGCTTCTCCTCCGGGTGAGCGTGTGGCACATGAAATATTTTCGAGTTGTATAGGGTTATTCGTATAAATAATTCCTTCTCCTTGATCTCGTCTGTCATTGCGTGGCGGGCATTCTTTCATCGTACGTGGTGTCTCATCGTCAGTATAAATCGTGAGAGTCGGAAATAACGCACTTTCCGTCCAAAGCATTCCTGGTGCTGCAGCATATGTTTGGTGTTTGGAAGTAGCTAGAAGAGTGGAACTTATTTCCTTAGTCGTCCTCTCCTTAGTGTTAGTCGTCCTCATCGTCGCCGCTGCAACGTCGAAGCTCCCCTGCCAGTCGTCCTCATCGTTCAATCGTTCACCTAAAGTTAGTTCTGTCGTCACAGTAGTCAGCTCTGCCCCTACTTGCAATCGCTTTCCAGCGTTGGACCTGCCTCATAATATCGTTGAGTGTGATCCTGACTTTCTGCTAAAAATGCACAGGGATAAATCTTCGCTATCGCATTTTTTCGCGCTCAACCGGTTTGAGAAAAAAAGCAATTAGCTGGGGAAAGCTACTACTTCAAACACAACTCTCACACAGTCACATCCTGCACAAAAACATCGGAGCTTTTGCTCGTAAGAAGTGTAGTAGGGACTTAAAAGTAAGAAACAGGAAGAAAAGTAGAAAACCTGCTTTCAACGAACAAAAATCTTCAAGATCATGGCTATGAAGATGCAGAAGGTCGCGATCGTCGCTGTCGCCGCTCTCAACCCCCTGGGCGGGGGGGGGGGGCGCTTTCGGCGCGAAGATGAAGAAGAAAGAAGAATCCTCGACCGCGTCGCATGTCTGGCAGGGAAATGAAGTCAGCGGGAGCCTCGTGCAGATGAAGGCAACTCCTATCGAGCTGGGGGAAGATTTCCTCGGCGATAGTGTCGTTTCCCTGGCTTCCCTCCCGCATCTCGCCGCCGGCGAAGCAAGCGGGATCGCAAGGACATTCGGCGCGAAGATGACCGGGAAGGGCACGTGTTTCGGAAGGATTCCGAGCCACGAAAGCCCGACAGATGTCAAACAAAACCACTGCGACTGGCTCATGCAGCAGCACATGACACCCGACCACGACAACAAGAAGTGGAGCTACAAGTGTCCCGATCTTGTGTCGCAATGCGAAAAGAAGTGCACGGACGACATGATCACCTGCAAGGTTGACATGCACCTCGTCGACACGACCTCGAGTCCTCCCGGCCAAGCTAAACTCGCCGTCAATTGCTGCCTGGCAAAGCCCTACTAAGTTGTTGCTGATTGATTTTTTTTTCTTTGAGAAGTAGTTTAGTATCTCACTTTGAAGCTTTTCGAACAAAAACAAATAAGTATGTATTTTTTATTTTTGGGTGAAACTTTGACTTTCTTATTCTTTCTAAACATAATCACAACAAAGCGTCTTGCACATCATTCCTCCTTGTCGTTCCCGTTGCAACGAGACTCGAAAAGCTGCAGCTGCGTACTTGTTCCAGGTAATATTCGTGCCGAGTAAGTAGCTAGAAAGTAGAAAGAGGCAACGTGGCATGTAACGCACCAGGTAACGGACGAACTATACGAAAGCGTTTTTCTTCTTTTATCTTCAAATATATATACATATATAAGTTACCTCAAGCAAAAATCAAGATCAACCAGCTTCCTACTGTTTTCTTATCGGGTAAGAATTTCAATTTCACATAGCATATCCTGAGTATAAACCTCCTCACCCCGCCATAGTCAAGATGGGAAATAATGTGCTAGACAAATCGACCAGCTTTGCCTGTTGCGCGTGACAGGTCTGGCCTCGTAGTGTGTTCCTGTTAGTCTCAGTCTCGCGAGTTAATCAGCGCCACAGATTTAGCGCATTATGCTGATTCGAGCATGACAAATTCCGAAAGACGACTAGAAAATCCTTGTTATGGGGCTCCGCATGGCCATGGGAAACATTTTAAGCATGCAGATCTGCGTGACAACTCTTGGGTGGGGACGTTTTTGCTCAGGATATAGCATCCGCCGTTTCTTTGCACTTATTCTTATTTTGATTTAGAAATAAAAGTAAAAGCATTGCTCGCCAGGCTCAACCCGAACACACAAACTCATCACTCTTGTCAGGCGCTAGCCGAAGCATCAAGGAAGGAGATGCGAAGAGACGCACTTGCGTCCCTTTGAAGCCTCCGCGTAGCACCATAAGCATAGCCCAGTATCCCAAGTCGACAAAGACGTGAAAAATAAGGGCGTCGACCGTTAATTCCCTTCACATTGTAGCCCAATTCTATTCATAGAGGACTGACGCCGCACTATTTTCTTTCGGATGGCCACCTGACCAATTTTTACGCGCCATATTTTGCCATCGAACTTGATCCGATAAAGTGTCGCTTCTTACTTTCGCGTACCCAACCCATACCCACAAAGCAAACACATTTTCAGTAGCCCCCCGAATAAGCAAAAGACTTGCAAAAAGATAAAAAAGGGCGCTTATTCTAAAACTCTATATCCTACCGAGTTGAGAAAGAGACGAAAAAAACATAGAACAGCGGCCGGATAGGTATAGCCCCGATCATATATGAGAAAGCTGCACTAGTCGAATTTTCCCCATAAGTAAAAGCACAATGGGGTTGATTGAAACTGTCGCTTCTCGGCCCTGGCAGATGAGGCTGTCGCCTCTTGTTTCCAGGCGGAGAACACGACAGTTGCAGATGAGCAGCCGCACTTTCACATTTTTCATGAAGACAAACTTGCTGCTCAAAGGATACACCGCATGTGCTACTCTACCCAACCCACACCCAGAAAAAAAAGACAACGGCGAAGGCCTAGCGCTCCTGAAAAGAGCGGCGCTTGCGTTCTTCATGAGCTTCAGGCTCCCCCTCTCGCACCTTATTTGTTCAATGGAGGTGCGAGCGTGACTCTGACTGCTGTGTTCTATTGTTGCAATCTGGTTGGTGTGTAAATAAGGCGGTGGTCGTGGACGTGGCCAGCACCTGCTGGAGCAGCTTGCTACACACACAACGAACTGTATGGCTGAACGCATCAGAATATTTGCTTGAGGTCGAGGACGTCTGCGACGTCTCCTCGAGTACGGTCACGGTGAACAAGGTAGCGAGGAACGTAAGCACCCTGCTGCCTGTCCTTAGCTCGAATATTTATATTGATAGTCACCATGATTCATCGGTAAAAGTGAAATGATCGGTCCAGGTGTGAGCAATACGATGCGAACGACAGTGAGACGAAGTGTCAAGATCCTTTCATGAAGTCGTGGAACATCTGATCACGAAAAAAGTCTGCAAATATCAAGGAAGACAGAAATCTCAACTCTGCGAAAGCGAAGCTGTCGCTCTTCATCTCTGATCTACAGGACCCGTTGCCGGAATGGCATTACACGGAGGCTGTGATTTACGATCTAGGCTTTTCTGCCGCCGGTTCAGGTTCAGCATCTTTTCTTGACATAGGTAGGATGCGCTCCGGATAAATTGGAATAGGCTGATATATCGTCCGGTCTTTCTTTAAAGCCACGAAATCAAGCTCCTAATCTGAAAAAGACATGTATTGTATTTGATCGCAGAAAAATAGAAAAATTCTACTCTTAGTACCACCGGCTAGTATTCAATGGATCGAGAAGCGTTCATTTTGCTGGTAGATGTTACAGTAATTGTGATCCTTTTTTTCATCTTATTGATTATTGTGCAATCCTGTGTAAATACCAAGATCTTCTCGGAATCTTTACCCGGAGCCATCTCCGGAGCTCTTTGTTTCGCGAAGAACCGCAGCGGCGTCGCAGGTACGGCTTCACCTATGGATGCTGCACCAGAGAAGAATGCCACTGCTCATCGTGCTGCGACGACGCATCAGTCAGAGGTGTTGACAAGGAACAATGATATTGGTATTGCTGTAACGTCGAAAGGCTCAACAGCTTCTCGACGAGGCGTTAGCGCTGGTTCATCTTCGTTCACAAAAAAATACAATAGTCCGCCCGTGTCAGGTCGAAATAACTGCAACAAGATAAAAATTGCTCCAGAAGAGGGTGAAGCTGTTGCAGTTGTGGTTAGCACTATTACTTAGAGGCCTTTGCTGCGTTTATTTTTGTCTTGCTCATCGCTAGGGTTTGGTGTACAGTTCTGGTTTTATCTCGGAAGAAAGAACGTAGACCTTATTTCTCCACACGCCTCATCCTGGTCATAAAGTTCAAGTACTTAGTTTTAATATTTTCTACTGCTAAGAAAGCACCATGAGTTCCGCCTCCGAAGACGATGAGTCTGCCCTTTTCGGGAGCGCCCCGGCCAACAGTTCCTCACCCGCCGAGGATGTAGTTGACCCTGCGAAGCAAGAGGCGCAGAAGAGAAAAAGCACCGGTTCATCATCCGCACGGGCCCGCCAAGAAAACGAAAAGAAGCAGAACAGTATGAAGAAAAGCGGGGACCAGGTTCATTTGCAGGGTGCTAGCAGCAGCTCAACCGGAACGGGTGGGGAGCAGCATCAATCCGGCGCTGCTCCAGCACGAGGGGTAGATGTTGGAACTACAAATGTTAATGCAGATCATAAAGCGCAGTTCCAGCAGCAAGCGGCAGAAAAACTTCTGTGGCTCGACGGCGAAGAATATAACAGCGAGGACGATTACGATAGCGAAATTTTGATGTTGACTCAGAAGGCCGCCGAAAAGCTAATACGGACAATGCGTGATACAAGGCTTCTATTTCTGTAGTTTGTTAAAGTATACGTAGTACGTCTAAGTAGAGGGGGCCGCTAAGCCTTTGCCTCCCTCTTTGCATCAGTAGGTACGAAGGAGCGACTTATTTGAGGCGATTGCGAACGCGAAAAATCTGGTTGTTTTGTCAATTCTGAACGTGAAGACCATGAACTGGTGCGCAGTTCATCATCTTTTTCTCACAAAGCACGACGAAGAGACGCCCTGTCCCTAGCTTGCGCGCCCTTTCGAAAATTCTCAGTCGACTCAAAATTTCGCTGGGATAAGGATGAAACGTACGAGGACGATAGTTCCGAGGAGGACTCAGAGGCCGGCGCTTTCCGTACTATATTCTGATTGTACCTGCTCCTACGGAGTCACAAATTAGGATTTTTGATGGCCGAACCATGATTTGTGTTTGTCATGATGAAAACGAACATGTACGAATTTGAATCAGCAAGAGTAGAAATGCAAATGTGGTGCTTCATATCCAGATGCATACATTTTGCCAGCATGGCCAGCTGTTTTTTTGCAGCCTGTCGCGAAAAAAAATTACTCTGGCCAAGAGGGGGGCTTGTGTGAACGATGAATAAATGCTTCACAACCGAGATAAAGTTTGTTATCACAACTACAGACGTGCCTGCGGACGACGGCAGCGGCGCGCCCCCGCTTCCCGGCACTACGAACGGAGCAGGTGTCGATATGTGCAACCTTAGAGGGGCCGAGCGCTCCGACGGGGGCCATATTCAGTCGCGCATCCCTCCGCGGTGGATTCAAACAACAGGGGCGCCGCGGCCGCCTATCTGGAAGAAGGCCAGCTGTTTGCGGAAAGAGTGGCCCTGCGCCCGCGCGACGCAGTCCCCATGCGGTCGGGCGCCTGGAAAAGGGGCAGCCTTTGGCCTTCCTTGCCGTGCGCTTCGCGTTTTCGCTTCTTCCTGTGGACACTGGCCAAGCTTGCGCGGTCTCTACCAGGGCAGGAAGCGGGCCTTCTTGCACCCACCACCAGAAGGCCGGCCCGGGCGTCACCTGTTGCGATCTGCTCCCCTGACAGGGCAAATCCGGAAGCCCGATGTTGGAGATTTGGCCCCCTCCAAACGCCGTCACGGATGGCCGCGATTTTTGTGAATACCAAAGTCAAACCCCATCTGAAATTGGTATTCACTGCAAATCGCGACTTTGGTATTCAGCGCCAATTGACCCCCCTCTCTTGGGGACAATCTTGCACAGCTGAATACCAAAGCCATACGGAAAACATGCGTCCGAGACCCCCACCGCCTGTGAATGTTACTCCGCGACCACAGATATTGCTTCCCGCTCAAAAATGCAGCGACGCATTGCCGTGGGCGGAGGCTGCAGCGCATGTCTAGACCGCCTCTTTTCAGCTGCGCAGCTGCTGGGTGAGGTGCAGGTGGGGCGGCCCGACAATCAGGCAACCAGGTACCGCCCCGCAGGGTGTTCCGGTCTCGTCGGCACTAAATTCGCCGGAGGCACAGGACCCTCGTGCCGGCGGCGCGGCCAAGCCGATAACAGCTGACAAGGACAAGCCGGGAGGCGCCTGTCACCCATAAAAAAAGCCTCAAGCCAGGCGCTTGCCATTTTCGGCTACCTACCGCCGCCACACGCCCGCGCCAATCCTTGCGTTGCCGGTCGTCACCGTGTGGCGGGCCTTGCAAATAGTACGGGGCTCATTGCGGCGCCCGGGGGCATTAGGTGGGAGGCGGACGGACAGGCTCCGCAGGCCGAGGCGTCTGCACGGGTGAACTGGGTGGGGGAAACATTTTTTGCGATTTTCGAATACGAATACCAATTTTCCCGCTATAACTACAGACGTGCCTGCGGACGACGGCAGCGGCGCGCCCCCGCTTCCCGGTACTACGAACGGCGCAGGTGTCGATATCCAAGAAAGCAACACCATCGCATCACATTCTTGCAAGTACAAGTAGTTTTGCATCAGAGATAATTTGTCGTGCGTAACAAGAAAATTTTCCTGTACTATTGCAGAAAGGAAACCCTCCAGAAACACTAGAGAAATCACGGATGTTGCAAAGAGAAGATTGTCTACGATGCGTATCTATGCCTTTCACATGGGAAAAATTTTGTGTAGGGCAAAAATGCGCAAGAATGATTGTGTGGGTGGTGTTTTTTGCTTGAATAGTCCTCGACCAGGAGCGAGACCCCGAGGACGTGCTTTTCCGACGTCACGACGCTTCCTCTCCTTACGAGCGCGCGAAGGCAGAATGGCACCGGAGAGAGGAAATGGGCATGGGCGCGCGGCCGTTGCTGCACTACGCGGTCTTTGCGGCCAAAAATCTAGAGGACTTCCGGGAAAAGACCAAGTTTTTGCAGCATTTGGACGAAGACGCTTTGTCGACCGTGCTCGCCCACCAAGACCCACTGAACAGAACCGCCCTGCACTGCGCCTGCATCGCTGGCAAACCCGAATTCGTATTGCTGCGCATTTTTTCAACACGCACGTTTTCTTGATTTTGACACTGCGATATTGGATGAACTGAGAAACATATAAACTGACGCGTTCAAGAAATTAGGTTTCTTTATTCTGAGCAGAATAAAAAACCTCAATCCGAGTCCCAGCTCGACAGAATCTGAATCAAAGGCACAGCTGCTGCACCACGCGGACAAGCTGTAACCGCAATGTGTATTTTCAACCGAGGCATACTGCCTGCTGGTGGTCGTGCGCAAGAAATCAGTACATGAGAAGTCTCAATCTTTGTCGTGCGATTCTTCAGGTTGCGCTAATATATCACTACGAATACAACAAAAGAAAAGGGAAAAGCGTAAAACACGACTCCCTGCTCTGTCTATTTCTCACCAGGTCAAGGCCATTCTGTGGGACCTCGCTCCGAATAATAGCACGCGGGAAAAACTTCTGAGCCAGCGGTTTTTTACCCGTTCTCTGTTTTCAGTGTGTTTTGCCCCAGTGCCTCTCTGACATTCTCCGCCCGGCCCTCTTTCTGGCGGCGGCGCTTTCGTTCTGCTTGGAGCCTCACGCGCCGTTTGAGTGCGGCGAGCCGCGATGCGTTGACGGCCAGCCAAAGGTCTTGGATTTGCATCCGAGCAACCATGAGGGCAAGTGCCGGCCTCCCGGGAAATAGCCTCTGGGGGTCGTCCTTGGGGGTTCAAGAATGGGGTATCCGACATTTTGCTCCGATGCATTTTTCTCCATCGTGATTCGCTTCAGAAAAAAACGCATCGGAGCAGTTTTTGTCGAGGTTCTTGTTAGATGTATTGGACAACATTGGATCTCGTTGAATCTGCTCTGATGGAGACAGGGATGTGTTTTTCGGATCGAAGCCCTGGGCCTTGAGTGCCTTTGGACCGCTAACGAACCTGAAGAGGTCCATCAGGAGGGCAACCCACGCGAGCTGGGGGGCATTGCTCTCAGCTTTGGTGACGAAATCGAGGAAAACAATTCAGAGATCCCTGATCCGGAAAACGCATCCGTGTCTCCATCCGAGCAAAGTGCATCACCAGCAAACTTGCTCCGCTACGGTTTTCTTTTACGGAGGCACGGGTGTGCTTTTCGGATCAGAGATTCGAGCAAGCAAAGTAGCGAACTTGCTCCAGTGCCTTCTTTACTGCTTCGCTCTTTGTAAGACGGCTTGGTCTCTCTCCAAATGCATCAGAGCAACCTCGTGTCTGATTATAGTGCGCGCGCCAATGTCTTCAGGGCGGGTAGGTTTTTCGCACTGTGTGGACCTGATGCGGAGAGGCGGGGAATTGCATCGGAGCAAACTTCCAAAAACCTGCTGCAACAACCCCTTCCGAGGCCCTTTTCGTGCTTATCAGCCCAAGCAGGTCAAATTGTCTTCGAGCTCCCACATTTTGCGCAGATGCTGGCGCGGATGAAAATTTTACACCTTTAACACCAGGTCAAGGCCATTCTGTGGGATCTCGCCCCGAACAATAGCACGCGGGAAAAACTTATCAAAGAAAAAAAGTTCGTCACGGTCACTCATGCGCATTGATTTTCGCAATACAAAACTTTCTGTCATGCGTAAAAATGCATCACAGCCACACTTCATAAGGGATTTCCCTAACGTTTCTGCAATACAGAGGAACGCTGTGATGCTAAAAAAATTTGTAATGCAAAGCCTGCAAGTTAATGACTGTGACAAACTTTTTTCTCTCCATAAAACTTCTGAGCCAGCGGTTTTTCACCCGTTCTACCGATCCAGGAGTCGAGAAGGGGGTTCCGGTATTACATTTGCACTTAAACTATGTTGAATTTATTTCTTTGGTTTTGCATCTTCATGCACTATTGCCACAAGCACATCATCCTGGTCAGTCACCAAATCAATGTGGTGAGCAACTGCTTTTACTTTTGTATGCAAAAATGATCCCATGGAATGATTTTTTTCGCCGAAGGACTACTTTCTTAATTTCTTGTAATTATTTACGACAAAAACAACAACCACCGACAACATCTTCTATCAGCTGCTCCACATGGCTCTCTCTACGGCGGGCTTCAAAGAGTACGAAGACGCCGCCATCGAGATCGTGAAGCACTTGCTCCGGGCCGCCGCAGAGGTCGACGCGTACACGATCGACCAGCGAAAGCAGTGGGCGGAAACGCAGAAACTGGAGACCGAGGCGGAAAAGGTACTATGTCAACATGATGGCGGAGACAACTTTTGCTTCATCGTTCTTGTGAGCACGAGTGATAAGTAGTTACAGATCGGAAGACCGTAGACCGGGAAGACGAAGAAAGCAGGATTTTTAGTTCTTGCATCAATTTGAGGTACTAGTTCTGCAGCGAGCTAAAAGAAGCAAAAACAAAATTTTCGTCTTCTCATTGGTAAAATCACAGGCCGCCGTGGAGAGCCTTGTTCAACACCAGCACTCGGGCTCTGGAACCTCGGGAGGGACAGCAGCTCCGAGGCGAAACACTTCAGAAAACAAAAAAGCGAACAAAGCCAGCACCGAGGACATCGTCACCACAGGCGGCGCCGACTTGGTCAACAGTACAACTAGCTCCTCGGGTGACAAGAAGAACAAACAAAGTGGCGCGCCGCTGCCGCAACTTTCAACTACTGAGAAGATGATGGCTGTGAAAAAATCCAATCCCTCTACTGCAAGTAGTATGAAAAGCAAGAAAGAACAAATCGTGGCTATTAACGAGGACACCGACGGAAATGTCGTTGAGGTGGCGGAGGTGGACGAAGACATGCTCAGCGGCAGCGACGCCGGGGAAGAACTCTTTTACGAGGACGAGCACCCGTGCCGACCGGACATTCTGTTCGCCGTGGACGCGCAGCGGCAGACGGCGCTGCATCTGGCCTGCGACATTGGCAGCGCCAAGGCGGTCAAGCTCCTGCTACGCGAGGGCCTGGACCCGCTGGACTGCGACAAGGCAAACTTATCACACGCAAAAAAGTGATGTTACAGTTCTGTGCACATTTGATGATGTTCTAACTTCAGCAACACAAACTTACTTGTTTCTCTGCATCACAAAGAATATAAAAGTTGGGACACGACTTTTGCAGTAAAGAAGATCCGAAGGACATCAACAAACACGTGTGTTGCAACGAGGGTCGGCCACCCGAGGAGCCTGTCCGATCGATGACAGACCTTGTCTATATATAATCTCGCTTGGTGGTCTGCTTTCTGCATGACCACAAAAATGCGTCACTACAACACCTACACTTTTTTTTCGTGGGATACAGCTGCATGCCTATCCACTACGCGATCGACCGGCAGTGTGTAGAAACGTTTGACACGATCGCGTATGGATTGCAAATATGTCTGGGTCTGGAAGAGTCGGGGCTTGTCATGCACATTTTGCATGACCCGTGAGGTCTGTGATGCTGGTGCTAGCATCACAGATTTTTTGAGAGTTTCTTGATGCTAATTACGCATGAGAAATACCCTCTCCGCGTGCCAAGAAGTGACTCCTCTTGCTGCTCATGCAACACAGATACTTTTAGAATCCGCAGTAGACAGCATTACAAGTTGCACTCTTCCAGACCTCCAGGGATATTTGCAATCCATACCGCGTCCGTCACCCCCCTGGAGTACATCGACATGTACAAGATGCCGAAGGGGTTCGGAGCCATTTTTGAGGAGTACAAGAAGCAGGGAACAAGGAACGACATCAACAAAACAGCGCCTGGGGTAGTTCTTGGCGCTGGCGGCGCAGCGACTTCATCTCGGAGTCAGAAGATCGACCAGACAGCAAAGAGTAGGAATGTAGATGGAAGTCCAGATCATGAGGAAAAAATACCAACTGACGCCGATGAAAATAACGAAAAGGAAACGAAGACAAAAAAGAAACCTTCGGAGAAAAAGGAGAATAAAACATCTACCCTTAACAACGGTAGTACGACAACTGCGAAAATAATATCCGCGGCCACTAGTAATAAATCCAGTGGAGGTCATGTCGATGTTGGAAGTAGAGCACATATTAACTCGGGCCGCGACCAAGGAGTACAACTAGATCAGGACGTAGAGACCGCACAGGCCGTGGCCGGCCAGGAGAACAAGAAAACCAAAACGTCGCCAAAGAAAAACAACTCGTCCAGCAAGAAAAGGACTTCGTCCTTGGCCGAAATTCTCGGGAGAACAACGCAGGAAAACAAAATTCAGTCGACAGCAAATGATGAAAACAAAGATGACAACATCAAGAGGACAACTGCTGGTGCAACAACATCGCCCGCTCGAGCAACAAGTGGAAGGGCAGATGATCTTTATCAGGGGGTGTTGAAACCCAGCAATTCCCTTGTTGTGCAGGAAGATGAAGGTGACAGTGAAGACAATGACAAGCTGAACACTTTTCAAAAAACAAGCGGTAGTGCTGTAAACGGTGCTAAGCGTCCCCCGGCACTGCACCTTCCGGCGCCGACCAGCGGGAAGAGCATCAAAAGCGGGGTCGCTAAAAGTAGCTCGTCCAGCCCCGATGGCTCAGAGGAGGACGAGGACGGTATCAAAATGAAAAATCCCCCCTCCACCCCGTATAGTATTCAAAACGAAGCTTCTGATGCAGGAGGTGGAGTCATTTGCGTTTATACAAATTACCGGTGTCTTGCAGTGAGAGACAGACTGTGGTCAGATTCTCACGCTCGCCAGGGGCGTTTGGGTCCTCTCGGTGATTAGCATGGCAAACGACTGCCCTGGTTTGCGCCCAGCAGTCGAGGATGACAAGTCGCCTCTACATTGGGGCGGAAGCCTCTACTGCACTCGTCTTCTTGCAAGACCAAGCTGATTTGTGGTCACAGATTTATTGCATCGCGAGTTTGATATTTTCGCTTGAGCATGCGGGAAGATGAGAGGGGGTTTTTCCTTAGGATAAAAGAAGATGGCGTGTCCTTCGATATAGACGAAGAGGACGTGGAGATGGTCGACGTGACGAGGCGTAGACACCAGAACAAAAACGAGTTTTCGGACGGAGAAAATCACGCAGACAGCGACAACGACTCCGGGAGTGAAGATGAGTCCGATTCGGGCGACTACTCGGATGAGGAGTCCTCGTCTTCGGTCCGCAATGCCGTGTTCAGCAAATCGCTCTCGCCCGACCATACTAGCTCCGGCGCCGGAGGGGGCGGAATGTTGAACCTGCTGCAACGGCGGTCCCCCGTCCACCCGGCCTTCCGCTGTGTGGACCGGTCCAACTGGCGCTTCCTGAAGCTGATCAAGGCCTACCGAGGGATCCCCGAGGAAATTGCGTTATCCAGGAAAAAAACTGCGTGAGTGTTATAACTGTGATGTACGGAAGAGGAAGAGCAGCATCACAAATTCGTCTGGCATTTATACGGAAAAAACGGCCTCTCGTGCGCAGCTAGTATGTTGTAAAAGCACCTATCAAGTTGTGTTGCTTTGAGATTGACGCATGTATTCCAGCTTGACAATTGCATTAACTGTTTTGCATTTTCTGCATCACAGACTCACACTTACACACTTTTTTTTTGCATATGCGTTCGTGCTGAAGCACTACGCCGACGTCACGTTTGACAATCGAAAAAAAGTTGAAGAAGCCTTGAACGACGAGACGGTGCAGGAGCTGCCTCACGACATATGCATTGAACAAAAGTACTACCGTACTAGCACTAGCTACTAGGGGAAATCGCATATACAAATTCGGTCAGCATGAGAATCGGAAGTTGTGATGCGGAAATACGCTTGAGACACAGGTTTGTAATGCATGATTGCAAACTTAAAGTTAATAAACTATAGCTAGTTTTTATAGTTCTAGTACGAGTGCGCTACTTTTGTGATGCATACGAAAAACTCTTCGACCACTTTCGCAACGTCGTAGGGAAAGACTTCTGGGAAGAACTTATCGCATGAGTAAAAGCCTCCCCACGAAAACCCCAGAGTTGTCATGCGAATCTGCATGCCTAAAATGTTTGTTTCTCATGTGGAGGCGCCACGTTGAGAATGAGGAGCCACGTTTCGAATGCTATTGCTATCTGGGAATGCTAAAAGTAGAATCACAATAAGATGGCCGATAATTAGGTGTGCCGCAGCTGCGCTAGTAGTTGTTGAACAGTACTTATTTTTACACTGCGAACGCAACCGACAACTTTTCATGCGCAACAGGCAAAGCTTGTTGGTTTGTGTACTAGCAAAGGGACCACGACTTCTCCGGGGTGGAGGAGATGTTTTTGCACAGGATAGAAGTGTGTCTGCGCAGCGAGGGAGACGTTGTTGCAGACTCGGACAGCGACGTGGACATGGTTGACGGTCGTGAGAACCATAAGAGCGGGCTGAACAACATAAGGAGCAACAATAGAATCAAAACGAAAGAACATCAGCAGGACGACAGGCCGACTGCCTCTTCCAGCTCTGCTGCTGGCCAGATAATATACGGTGCGCGGCAAATCTTTAATCCCGAAAGCGTCAGGGCCGCGAAAGCCAGTCTCGCCGCGAAAAAGGCTGCGCACAATGCCGGCGGCAATTCGAGCAACACCAACGCGTCGACGAACCCGGATCTGGCACAGGTTCCAAGTCCTGAGAAGGTAGCTAATATAATCGGAGGAGGGGTTGATGCAGCTCTACCTCTAGGAGGTGGGGCGGCACCTAGTACGGAACAACAAATGAATCATGTAGAACTACAAGGTGGCCAGCAAAATATGAAAACCGATGGTTGTCCTTCATCTACCTCTTCCTGGGAGGAACAGCCTCCAGCGAAGATGACCGCACGAAGCAGAAATGAATTGTTTATCGACCGGCAGCTGCACCTCGCGCACAAGGACGAGGCGCAAGCGCCCAACCGCACGTGGGTGGTGACGCACGAGCACTGCTACGGCCACGGCCAGATTCCGGGCGAGGACGAGGCCTTCCCCGAGAACGGGTACTTCGACTGCGACGACCCCGGGCTGCGCGCCAAGGTGATCGGGCGCGTGATGGAGAACCCGCACCGGTTGGAGGTGCTGTGCGCGCCGGAGCCGAAGGGGTGTCTGCGGTCCAGCGAATTCAAGGAGAATTTGGTGGCCATGAAGGAGGACAGCCGGGACTGCCCAAGGGTCGACATGCTCCGCTGCCACGACGATTACTACCTGCAAAATTTGGAGACTACCGTGCAGCGGTGCGTCGCGAAGCCCGACATGATGGAGCGGCAGTTTTTCGCGCGCCACGGGAACGACCCCAGGTTGAAGGAGTACATCTCCCAGTTTCGCGAGTCCCAGAAGCGACGAACCGCCGGCGACGTTTTGACGCTGGACAAGGGGGACACGAAGGTGACGCAATTCAGCTACCAGGCGGCGCGCAAGGCCGCGGGGTGCGTGCTCGAGGCCGTGGACCTGATCATGTCGGGGAAGGCCGACAACGCGTTCTGCGCGGTGCGGCCCCCGGGGCACCACATGGGCCCGCGCGGCGCCGTGGACGCCAGCGACTTGGCCGACGATCCGGAGGGGAGTCAGGGGTTCTGTCTGCTCAACAACGTGGCCATCGGGGCCGCCTACGCCCGGTGCTGCTACCGCCAGGACGTGAAGCGCGTCGCCATCGTCGACTTCGACGTGCACCATGGGAATGGGACGGAGGCAGTGGTATCTACTAGAGCTGATAGTCGTTTTTTCTGTATGTATGATCATGATGATAATCAGTGAATTATAAGATCATTGTTTAGAAGGGTTTACGGTGTTTGTTTGTTTCATTTCTTCGAAGCGCTATAGAAGCACTGACTCGCAACGGCGGACGAGTACTCACTGTTGTTCTGGAGGATGCTGAAACTAGATTGGGCGTAAAAAAAAACATCGAGGCTCTACTTCACGTTCATCGTTATCGTAGTTTTCGACGGCAGCTCTCGAAATAGTTGGAAGTATTCCAGCCTATCATCATGACCGTCCCGCCACGTTATATGTAGTGAGGTCATATAAATATATCAGTTGTCGGTGAACAAGTAGTTCTATCCCCCAAAAAATCTTCACACAGGTCCGCAACATCTGTCCCACCGGGCGGCGCGAGGCCTCGAAGTATTCCCGCGTGAGCACGCACTTCGGGGAGCAGATCACCCTGCACAGCAAGCCGCCCCGGTCCTCGAAGCCCTGGCTGGATCCGCAGTCCGATGCGAACGAGGTGTTCTTCGCCTCCATCCACGGCTTCGGCGGGGGCTTTTACCCGGGCACCGGCGAAACCGCGCACACCCGGCCGTCGCTGGATAGCCCCGAGGTGGTCAACATCGGGGTGCACGTCGCCCGGGACTCGACCCCCGGCGCGAACTCCACCACGTTCCGGGCAAACTGTGTCGAAAAGCTATTCCCGAAGCTGCGCCAGTTCCGCCCAGACATGCTGTTTATCAGGTATAAGGAAGATTAAGATGAAGATTTACAATTACAAGGCCGCAGTATGTGCTTCAGTTTATTTTTGATTCAGAACTTTTGATTTCATTGCTTTTCTCCTGTGTCGAAATAAAAAATGTCATCCCGAAGACGTACCGTCCTCCTGCCCGTGCATAAAAAGATGCCTCTCGACGTGTTGACGATGTCGGAGATCATCCTGCACAGGGTCGTGCGAGATTCATTTTCGCATGAGAAAGAATATTCCACTTCGGAGATGAACCTGAACCAAAGAAACGAATTGAAAAATTCTACTCAGTGCCGGTTTTGACGGGCACCGGGAGGACCTGATCGGGCAGTGCAATTACCGCTACGAAGACTTCACCTGGGTCACCGAACAGCTGATGTGCATCGCAAATTCCTGCAGCAAGGGCCGCGTTGTCTCCGTGTTAGAGGGGGGCTATAACACCAGGGCAGGTAAGTGCTACTACGTTCTTGCACCACCGGAAAATTCTTCTTTGTTTCATCCACTTGGGAGGCTTGAAGTTTTGCGTGCCATGGTTACTTACACTGATTTGATAGTACTGAAATACTGCCGAATGAATCAACGCCTTCATGGGTATTAGTTCTCCACCTTCGAGATGAACGTCTGAAAAAATGTATCCATGTACTATCATGACAATGTATATGTTTATGTTGTTTATATATAAGAAAATGGAAACTTCTATCCACGCAGGCTACCTCTCCCCTTTTGCCCGTTCCGTGCGGCAGCACGTCCGCGTTTTGATGCGTCACGGCAAAGACGCCCTCTTTCTCGAGGATGAGAAGAAGCAAGAGCGAATGAGGACTTTGCGGAAGGACATCTTCGGCGAAGAGGAAGCGCTGAAGCGTGAAAATGAGGCAGAGCAACAGCATCCCATTGGACCCCAGGAAGACCCGTCTTCCCTCAAGCGAAAGCGCGGCAACAGCTCGGGAAACTCGCCTCCAGGAGGCGGTACAACTGGTGGAGACCACACGACGGGATCAAAACGCGCGAAGACCGGAGCAGCGGGAACGCATTGGTGGCAGGAAGTGCCAGTTGGTCCTGTTGATGAAGCCACCGGGGCTGCACTGGGCTGGTAGAAGAAGTGAAGATGACTACTACACGAAGATTCATCTGACTGCATCTGCATTTTTATGCCAGAAGATCAACATCATGAAGATGATGAAAACGCAAAACGCGCGTCGGTCCTCCTCCCTCGCAGGGCCGACACTTTCAAAGAAACAGCCTTTCTGTGCTTACAACAGAAGAAAAGTCAACATGGATGATGAATCTATTTTCATGATAAGCATCAAGAGCAAAACAGTTGAAGACCCATAGATGAAACAGAAGGAAGAACTCAGGGTACATGTGACAACGAAACTTCACATGACAATAAAGAAAATTTTCAAAGCTAATTGCGTGCGTAAACGATTCAGTAGATCTAGATTCCGACTGAATATATACGTCACTCCCTTGATGATCGTGACGTTTGAGACAGCAAGTTTAAGCCGGGATTTGCTTGACAACAAGTTGCTCTATTCTTGTGTTCCAATTCCTCTTCATTACCGAACTTCGTCCCGGTGGAGATCGAGCAGCCAATTTATATATTAGCAGCATACGTAGGGTAGAGCATGAGCAGCTACGAGCTACGAACCTCTGTCGTCTGGACGCCATAACTCGTCCCTTTCGTTTTGAACTTGAAGAATGATTATATCAAGGCGTTGATGTTGTCTTGTTCAGCATGATGCCCTTTTTGTCTTCATAGACGGCGATCATTGGTGGGAAGGAAAAATGAAAATATGGCGTACTCCCCACCTCGTTTCCAGCAGGTAATTCTGCGACGACCGGCGTAGCTTCTTTCAGTTTTTGTCTCGGCGCTTGCTTCATTTCCTAGAAGAAGCAGCAACTGGATCCGGCTGAAAAATTAGGCAATTATTGGAGAAACTACAAAGTGTCGCCGAGGACATTATACCACACGACACCAAATCCGCTTCAGCTGTTCCTGCGCACCTCCAGGAAATAAGACACGTAACAAAGAAGAGATTTATTTTCCTGCGCACCAGGGAAGACACGTATCGATTTTTTTGGACCAGCAACTACATCTGATGTCATCAGACAGACGAGAGAAACAGGACTAAATTCGAAATGGAATTTCAAAACCTGCTCTCCGACGCGTCCGCGTTCAAAAGACGGCAGTCGGAGTTGACGAAGCCGATTCTCTATGCAGTGCAAAAGCATCGTACTCGTATAAATGCATTACAAATTTCCTCAGCATGACAAATAAAATCTGTCATGCGGATTTGCCTTCAGAAAAAGATTTGTAATGCAACACTTGCATTTATTATACGAATGCGATACTTTTGCACAGGATATTCTCGCACCGAAAGGAGCTGCGCCTTTTCTGGAGGCACGACAGGAGCGGCCCCGACGGAGGACCACGGCGGAATTCTTGGGGCAGGAGAAAAATCAATTTCTTGAGTGGAATGATCATGCTATAGTACCGACGAGCCAGGCACCACACAACATCACGCCGCGCCACCCTGGACAAACTGGAGTTTGTTTCAGCCCGCGGAAAGCGAGGATCAAAAATCCGAATCATGGCTCTTCAGCAGCAACCTCCTCTTCCTCGTCTTCTTCAGCTGCTGCTACCACACGAATGAATAAAAATAATTATGTGCTGGGAGAGCCTGCTGACCTTGGCCCGGCGATGACGAGAAGGAACCACGCCGCTGCGCCCACTGGAGGTCCTCCTCCTGGTGGTCCAATCGAGCGCGGCAGGATGAAAAATCCAATGCAGCGGCTCCTGCGAATGAAAATCGATGAAATGGCACGGGTATCAAATGCAAATAGGAATATGTCCGAGTGGTCCACCTCTGGAGAGTTTCAGAAGTTGAAGTTTGTCATGCGGCTGCTCTACGGTGGCCCATCCCCATGAGGTCTGAAATGCAGGACCTAACATCTTCGCAGTTTCTGCATCAAGGTCTCTTTTTTACCTAGCCACGAGCACGATGTAGACACGCGGTATCAACTTGACCAAATATTAGTCACTTGCAGTCACGCAAGACAAATTTTTTTATTAGATCAAACTCAGATGAAGACACATCACAAATTCTTCCAGACGACGCAGACTGACATATTTTGAATGTATAGTGGGACGAGGGCGAGGCGACGTCGAGAGGGGCTGCAGAAAATTTATTGTCGCAGGAACATCGTGATCAGCAACACGACCTACACAATACTGTACAGCAACCGCCGCCCACATCAAGCACTGTTTCGTCGCCTTGCGCATTAAATAGTAAACCCGCTACTTCCAAAAGAGTCTCCCGGCACGTCAAACTCGAAAAAACCTTATCCTGAGTAAAAACGCACCCACACCAGAGTCAGGATGGGGATTTTGCAACACAAACCTAAGAGTTTTGTGAGTCACGCATGACAAGTTGCAGTTCGACGTAGTGTAGTGCAGGTTAGCAAGTGCAGCCGCATCACAGAGTCGTCTGCTCATCCTGTTCACAGGATCACAAATTCCAAAACACGATTGCAAATGGCTCTCATGGGGATGCGCATTACAAGTCTTCCTGTCTTTGCAAATCTGCATTACAACTCTGGTGTGGGTACATTTTTACTCAGGATAAACCTCTATCGTCCTGAGTAAAAACCGGGCCCACTTCGACACCCAGAGTCAAGATGGGGAATCTTCATCTAAGTACACAAATCGACAACTTTAACGAGTTTTCAGAATATCCCTATGATGAAGACAAAGAAAAGCATCATGACTTCTTCTTAGATAACAGTCGAAATAAATGGTCCCCATGTTGGGGATCATGCGCAGGAGAAACATTGTAGGCATGCAGATCCAGATCATCATTTGCATAGTACAGCTCTGGGGCGGGGACGTCCACGTTTTTTCACACCGGATAACCTCCTCCACAAGGTTGCCCTGCAGTCCGGCAACGCACACCACGCAGAAGAGGCGGTCCGGCAACGCACACCACGCAGAAGAGAAGAGAGGAGCGTCTCTACACGACCGACGAGAACTGCAGGGAGGTGACCTTGACGAAGGTCCTCTGCTGTATCGAACGGAAAGGATCGAAGGTGCCTACGTTTCATCCTCACCCGCAAGAACGCGAGATGTGTCTGCGTCTAGAAGCCCTGGTGTTGACAGAACTAGAACTACTACTACGTCTTCAAAAGCAGGAGTAGATCTAGATGACCAGGTACCGCCAACAAAGAGCCACGAGGTCGTGGAACTAGAACATGAAAAATCCCTAGCCGGCGCCACTCACGCGGCGGAAGCTGCGAAACAAGACTGGCAGTTGGCACGGGAGGAGCTGGAGCGGGTGCAGGCGGAGACGAAAGCGCGGACGGCACGGATGCAGTACTTGGAAGAGTACACGTATTTTGCCACGGAGGGCGGAGTGAATGAATCAGCGGGCGCTACTAGCACGTTGTGCAGCTCTTACAGCGGCATTTTAGAAGGACACTCGGGGTCTTCACCTGCGCATTATGATCATGATCAAAAGAGAGCCCCTCTTGCAAAAGGCAGCACGGCAGCGACGCCTACTGCAAGAAGAGTGGCGTCAACTACTACATCATCTCCCGGCGGACGGCTGGTGTTCTCCCCGAACCGAAGCAGGGGCCGAGGACAGCTTAATACAGGCATAAAAGCCTCGGGAAATAAGTACAAGATCACCAGCTCCACCGCGGGTTTGTTGCAGGAGGAAAAGAAACGGCAAATGCAGAAGCTAGAGGACGAGATTGCCGACTTAATCGACGCCTTGAACGAGGAGCGAAGTAGGACGAAGAAGAGCGAAGGAACTACGCAAATAGCAGACGCAGATAAAGTTCTTTCTCCAAAAACTGCAGGGTGGAAAAATGACAAAGAAGTTAAACCAGCAGACACTACCAGCTGCAAAACGCCTGTTAGAAATGCGCAGCTCCAGGACCAGAGGAAAATAAATCCGAGCAACATCGCGAGCTCCTGCGATGATCCGTGTAGAACCGCTGGCTCTACTTCAATGCGGGGGGAGGAACATCAACATGCTGCATCAACATCATCTCTCCCGATCATGACGACCGGCATGCTGGTGGAGGAGAACTACAGCGAAACAGCGGCCTGTCGCCTCGGCGACCACGACGAGCGAGACCGTAGTTTTACTGCTGAGCAAAAAGTAGATGACACGACTCGCAGCTCCTCTGGAGGGCATTTTGAGCAACCACATCGCGCAGACCACCGCGGCGCTCGTTCTCCTCGACGAGGACCAAGGTCCCCGCACAAGACCGAGGATTTGGATCATGTTTATGTTGGGTCAGGATCATCACATTCACATCTTCATCCTCGTCCTGCTGCTGGTGCTGATCTCGTCCCTGCCGAAGAAGTAAGTCGTGAAGACGACAACAACTACCCAACACCAGCAGCTGTAGCTCCACCTACAACGGTGAAGATAACAAACACAAACTCGGAGCTGCTTGCGCTCGACCAGCTTCTCACGGAACTTCACGTAGAGTACGAGCGCGTAACCGTCCCCCTTGAGTTTTTGAAGCACAAAAAAGCCGCGCTCGAGTCCCTCGAGAAGCACGTACAGGCTTGCTTTGCGCACATGGAAAAACGCGCGCCAAAAGTGTTGGAAAAGCGGACCGCCGCGCGGGATCTGAGGCGGATCTTGGTGCAAATGTTCTCCGCCAGCATGCAGGGGTAATATAGCACGTTTGTGACTTCTTCTCTTGATATCAGCTCATTGCAGTTTCAGTTCCTTCTCTGGTGCTATGTGCTTCAGTTACAAGAAGAAAAGCAGCTTGTTGCTTATCGTTATCCCTACGCGTAGTTTGTTTGTGCTGGTTGTATTGTGTAGCAAAGGTGTAGCTCATCTGGGCACTGCTGCATGCCTCATGGAAGGTATGCAGCAAATGGAATCAACGTGTCGAAGAAATAAACACAAAAATGAAAATCGAAAAATCCAGGTCTGTCGCAGAGTGGGACAGCTTGGCCGAGCAGCTGCAGAACATCCTGTTGCTAGGTCAACTTTACGCAAATGAGCAAGTAGAAAACGCTGGAAGAAAGCAAGAAGTTTTTATGTCAACATCTTCACTCGTCGCAGACGAGGACCAGCTAAAACACCGGAAAATCCTCGAGCAGGCCGAACTCGCGCATTTTTTTGCGGAAGCCATTCTGCAAGACCAACAGCAAAACTCCGTGCAGCTCGAAGAAGAAAAGGAAAAGCTATCCGCCTGCTGTCAAGAGGACAAGCAATATCTCCAAGACTTGGAGCTCAGCACCCTGCGGAATGCGTGCGCGGTATTGCTTCGCCTGAAACGAAGAAAGCGAAGGGATAAGGTGAAACAGCTGGAGCTGAAGGAGAAATTCGACGTGGAAGCCGGGAAGATAATCGCGAAGGAAAAGCAATTCGATTGGAACACAAGATTGATGGAATCGGAATTCCGCACCAAAGAGCAGGAACTTGAGCTGGAATGGTCAAACAACTACATCGCCACGCCGGGCGGCGGGAGCGGAACCTTTACCTCGCGCACAGGTCCTCGTGGAGCTGCGGCTCATGCTGGCGGTCCTGGTCCTCCAGGGGTGACATCTTCAAAGAAATTCCCTTCCACGAACGATCCACCGGGGTTCTCTTTGTTGCTGCTCTCCAAAAATGCTCCGGCCGCGCCCCCCCAGCACGCGACTTCTAATCTTCCGGCCCTCCTTACCAACCAGAACCACCGGAAGACGCATTCGTTTCTGGTGGACCGGATCAACCGTCTGCAGAAACAGCTGGACAACGAGGAAGCAGACATTGCGAAATTACAGCAGATGGGGCAGCAGGTTGCTGCATCGAAAAACCCCGAAGACGAGGAGCAAATCTATGGCGTTCTCAAACGCGGCTACATTGCTCGCCTATTTTACATGATTTCGTTTGCCAGACAAAACCCCGATATAGATACGCACACGTCGATCCAAGCTCCTTCGCATATTAAAATTAATTGCAAGTAGTTCTCGATGCGCGCTTCTTAATATTAGCATGGACTGAAAAATTCGTATCAGTTTCAAATGTGCAACGTGCGTCTTGAAGACGCGCAAACTCCGCCTACCCCTTCACTTTGGCTATTTCTGCATCAGAAATCAATCGTAACAGCGACCAATCATGCAATACGTTTGAGAACAACTCTATAAGGGCGCCGCTTTCGTCACCGATGCGATCCAGCTGCAGATGACGGAGCATTTCGCGGTTCTAGAGCATTTGCGCAAGCAGGACTGTCTGGAACTGAAAAACTCGTCGAACCAGAAAGAGACGGAGAAGGTTCTTGCTACCGGCATCCCCTACCACCGCCAGCTGGGGGAGCAGAAGCAAGCGACCGCCGTGCAGACGGAGGGTAATGTGGGGTTTGTGGCCTGCCAGAACGTTTACGATTCCAGTACAGCCTCTGGCTTTCTTGCTACTGGCGGATCTCTGACCACCTCCGATCACCACTACAACGTCAGTGGCTATCATGCTGGTGGGGCAACGAAGATAAGCGGTGGATCAACTACGTGGGGTAGTAGTACTATCGGTGTTGATGGTCTCCTCAGGGCGGGGAACAATAAGGGGAACAACAATTATGCCCCCGCTGGAAAAACAAAAATAAAGCTGCATGTATTGAAGAACTCTTCTGACGAGTTGCAAATCCGGGTATTGACGGGCTTGGAGGCGAGGAGCGAGCAGCAACTTTGCGTTGTGAAACTGTCTCCGGAAAACCACTTCGACCAACACGTGGTTGCAGCTGGTGCCCGCCAGCCCGGTACAACTAGATATCACAAGAAAAAACTGTTTCACGTAGAAACTTGTGATGCATAGAAAAATGCAACACAGACGCAACATCTGTCTTGCTACACATGCAAGACCACTTTGGGTTTTTAAACGTTTTTTGCCTTGGGAAGCACGCATGGCAAGTTTTCTGTCGTCATGTGCCTTCACGAAGTGCAAATTTTGCAAAATCCTTACAGTGTCAGTGAATGTGAAACACTTTTTTCTTTACGATACGAGAGGCCACAATAGTAATCAGGGCCTGCTGCACCATGATCAATATCGTGGTCCCAAGGGCGCAGGAGCTGCTGATGCTCCTACGGGTGCAGCTGGAGTAGACCACCGTCGACAGGAAGTTATAAACACCGAGTCCTTGTCGTCGCACTCGTACGAGGAAGCGGACGCGATTCCCGGGGGCAGTTTGTTTTTCCTCGCTCCCTTCGAAGGGATACTTCTGGACTCGGTTTATTTTTCCGGGTCGGGGACCGCTACCGAAACCGAAGATCCTGCCGCAAACTTCGATCGTTTTCAGGCCGAACTGCAAAGGGAGGAGAACGAGGGGGAGGCGGTTTTGTGGCGGAAGCGAGGCGAACGGCTCGCGGAACTGGTAGACTTGGATTTGCGGAACCTGGCGCAGCCCGAGATCTTTTTGAGAGAGCAACGGCTTGCTGCCGCTGGAAGCAGGTGTTGTCTGCACAAAGCTCCTTCTACTGCTACTCCAACACCTCTTTCCTTGTTTACGAGACAGCAACTAGTATCAACAACACAACCTCCGGACTTCGGTGCGATGCTGATTCGAGAAGTTCTGACAATCGACTTGACGGCGGCTGTATGCATAATTGCAAAAGGATCGTGCTCAGTATTGATCACATATACAAACAAACCTTTTCCAGAAGTTGATGAAAGTGAAAAGTGCAAGTTATTATACTTGATGCCAAATGATGTAGAAGTAGATGTAGTACGTAAGAACCACTCCCCACGACTGCGTCGTGGGGCAAGGCTGATTTGCATTGCTGCTGGGCCAAGTTTGGAGCTATTGCGTGCATTGCAAGCAGTTTCTGCTTGGTTAGTGAAAACAGGCAACAGGTAGTCATAGGCGACGCCGTCCGCGGCCGGGCTCACTGATCAAGCTCCAGGTAGTACTGAACTGCCAAGAAGAACCAAAAAAAATAAAAAAAGCCGACGTCTCCAGGGCAGGGCATTCACCGCGGCCGAAGAAACTGCTTTTCAGAGGCATAAAGCAGCACAGGTCTCGACACAGAATGGAGCCGCAGGCGCCACTGGCTTTTTTTTGATGCAAAAGTAAAATCCCAAAGGGGAGTTCGAGAAAAAGCACAATAGCAGAGCGAGCAGCTGAATAATAACTCCAAAGCGCGTCCTGTGAAAATATCTTCTAGCACAAGCAGCGCTCTTTCATCGCACAAGAAAGTAAGGCGCGCACTAAGTGTAAGTCGTGCCTGTGGGCACTTTCGAAATGCGCGCGCGCGCCAGTGGCACTTTCGAAATAGGCGGCGCGAGCAATGCTTTTAAAACGCCCAGCAAAGCAACGCGCATCAGAAAAGCTTTTGAGCACTTTCGTGCGTCTTGCGTATTTTCTGAAAAGTCTTCAGAAGCTTTTCAGTCTTCAGAAGGTCAAAGCTTCTGAAGAATGCGGAAAAAAGGACGCAAAAAGTTGTCGCTTTGGAGACACAATTGAAAAACCTTCTGAAGGTTTTCAACCTTCAGAAGGTTGGCCAAAATTGCGACACTTCACTGCCTTTTTTTGTCTAAAAAGTCGGAAAGTCTTCTGAAGGTCAAAAAAGTGCCACCTTCTGAAGGTTTTCAACCTTCAGAAGATTTCAAAGCGGTCATTTTTCACCTTCTGAAGGTTTTTTTGCTCATTTTCCATCTTTTTCTTCTGAAGGTCAAAAAAAACCTTCTGAAGGCGTGACCTTCAGAAGAAAAAAATGCTCACGGTTAAACCGATGGTATGCTCGCTCAAGAAAAAGAGGCTTTTTTCCATTTCTTCTGAATGTTCCAGTGATGATTTTGGACCTTCAGAAGACCTTCAGAAGAGAAAGCTTCTGAAGGTTCAGCAGCAATTTTGCCAAGCCTTCCCCTTATAGTTATTAGATTGATACAAGTCAAGGTATGTCATGCAAGATGCCGATTTTTAGTACGAGCGCGGTTCTTTTGCAGATGATAATAGACAACTGTAGTTGGAAAAAATACGAGAAAAACGTCACCACCGTTTAGAAAAAATCTCGATCATGATGTCGACCAACACAAGAATGGCAGTACATTTCAAAGAATCTGTGTTGGCAGGCAGCCCTGTTTTTTGCAGCAAAGTTCGTCCACCTCGAGTAGTGTCCTGACGTCGTCGGTTGGAATACCAAGGAGGGATGACGCTGCTGCAGCTGTTGGCGGTACAACAAATCATTTTAAAATGTTTTTCCGGCGTGAAGATCTTTGTGATTTATATGTTGCTTTGTTTATTTGCTGTATAAATATAATATGGCATGACTTGCGGAGGTTGCGCTACCTCCATCTATTTCTTCATTCCAGGCACTGGCATACTTCATTCGCACTTCATACAAATCGAAATCTGACCTTCTTTAGGCACCATTCCTCGGCTACAACCTGCACGATCTGTCAGCACATCAAGCAGCAGCCTGCTCGACGACCCTGCTTCATCTGCGCAACAGCATTTGAGGACTCTAGCGGTTTCCCTTCACGCGTCAACGAATCGTCCACCAAGGACCACTTTGTACCATGTGCGTGCAACCAATCTGGACGATTCTGCTCTCGGAGTTGTAGGACCCGATGTGTTCTACGCGACCCTGACGCCGAGGGAGCTGTTTAGCTTCTTCTCAGCACCACCACCAGATTGTTCAAGAACTGCATCAGCAGCAGCTTCGTCTACATTTTCATTTGGCGAGAACACCAGTCAAGAATTTGCACTACACAATGGCTGTTCAGACAAAAATATGCTTCCGAGCAAAATTCTCTTCCGGCACAGAGTTCTTGCGGACGATGAGGCTTTCTTTCAGCAATTTCGCCAGATGGCAACGGACCTGTTTGCCACCGCGATTGTGGACAAGGACAATTCTAGTGCTAGTAGCAGTTACTCTTCTACTACCCCGGGTGCCGCGGCTGCTCCTGCTGTCCCAGCACCAGCTTCACCAGAAGATCAGAACCCATCACGAGGAAGTAAAAACTTCCGCCTCGTGTTTCCGCCTCCACTGCCCCCTCGCGGTTGGGTCGACGATGTGGTGCAAAATCACACGGAGATCCAGACAAATGGAAATGCAGCTGGCGTGTATCCAAGAAAAAACATGACTGTTCCGTTGTAGTCATCCTATTCTTTAGTTTCACTTCGCGAAGAAGAAGATGAAGATCTTGCTACTTCTTCCGGATGAACATGCAAGATGGCTGCATGGTCTGTTATGCTGTCCATGCATTGTAGTTCTTAGGGCCATTGTGAAATACGCTCTTTTTTTCTTGGATAGCATGGGAGCGGGAGGAGGAAGCAGTGAAACCCACAGGGTCGTTGTGAACTCCAACTCTGCACGGGGTTCGAAGCGAGGAAGTAGTAACTCCAAGCGGAGCACTGTCGGGCTGGAGCTGCAACTCAACTCGTCTTATCCTTATCCAGTGAAACAGTATCGCACTCGTACGAATGGCAGTCATGCGCAACAAATCTCTCTGTTTCTCATGGGGGAAATAAGCACATACAGATACAAATTCGAATTCCATTGGAAATTGTAATGCATTCCAGTACAATGTGTACGCCTACGATCATACTTTTGCAATGCATACGTGTAGTTCCGCCCAGGCACCGGGGGCGACGAGGTGCAACGGGCTGATTTTGTCGGAAGTGAGAGTTGGAGCTCTCTGATGAAAGACTATCCCACGCCCCAACTGTGCCTGTGCGGAATTTTTTGCTTTGTGACATGTCATATCGGTATAGGACTACAACAACGAACGTACTTTCCTCTATTTTTTTTGTTGTTATCAACGATCGAAACTGGAACTACTACAGGTGTGCCTTCCCCACTAACTATGTATACATAGGAATAAGTAGATTGATATATTCCCTCTTTGTCTGTACCTGTAGCTTTTACTTGATGCTGATTTTGATTTATATACCTGTCGGGCCGCTGGAAGAAGTGGCTCCTTCTCTTTGCCCTTGAAATACAGGATGATTGACTTTGTTCGTAATTATTTCTACTTCGATTTCGTTTTCTGCAAAAGTAAAGTCTCTGAAACAGTGAAAGAATTATGAAGTGAAACACCTTCTTGTACTCACCGGACTATTTATTTTTAGTTGAAGTGAAACACCTTCTGGTGCTACATCCACCTGTTCATTTTTAGTTGGAAAAACAAATACTAATACAATGACAGTATAGAGAAACTTGCTCCTTATTTTTTTGGCATGTAAAAAAAGTTAAATTGTTGGCTGAGCACGACGACTAAGCGTGATTTCCAGAGAGCAAGTAGTACGTGAACGAGTATCAGCACTTTTTTGTATCAAAAATCGATACAGTAGATGATGCGAGGACGCATATGATTGCAATACCAGGACGATGGTGCTCGTCGTGTTCATTTAGTTGGCATCAACGCTGATATGGAAATTCATTCGAGCGCGGACTTGAGCAGCGAAACCACATTTTTATCACGCTTGATGTGAGCATCTGCATGAGCGCCAAATACAAGTGCTGGTCGATTTATTTCGCCGCCCACCGCAGAGGCAGGCAGGAGGCACGCACTGTGACTGTGACTGGCACAATGATTGCGATCACAATTCAGTATATCTTCGAGCCTACAACAACTACAGTATCCACGATTCTGGCGAGACAAAGGAATTAACCCATACTAACCCGGTAATTATATTGAAATTGTGTGAAGGAGCAGCTCCTGTGAGGTCTACAACCTTGCACGACGCACACAAACCAATATAGATGAGACAACCGTACTAGTTTTTTAGTGCCACCTGCCAGTAGCTTGAATAAAGCGTACTATTGTTGTACCACTTACTGTACCTAGCTCCGCAACATGACAGAGGCCGAAACGACGCTTCGCCAGCGAGGCGAGAGTGAAACTGCGGCAGCGAGCGGCGCCAAAGAGGACCAGGGGAAGCCGTGTCCAATGAGTGGAAAGTACGGAACTTGTCCAGGTAGTACTTGGCACAATTGGAAAAGTAGTTTAAGTTTTTCATAAAAGAAAAATGGAGTTTCGTTTCTCAGTAGAAAAAGATGTCGACATACATAAAGCAAAAATGTTTTTCTAGTATCAAAGAAACTACCTCCGAAATTACAGTTTCGGGCCTTCTGTCCTCCTCTCCCGCTGCAAAGAAGAAAGACCCGTTTGCCGCCGGCGCAAAATCTATGGTGCCGGCAACGACGGAAGCTTCGTCATCAGCCGCGAGCGGGGAGTCGTTTCTCTGGGCGTTGTGCCCGATCCACTGGGAGCGAAACACGCTGTACTTGATTCTTTTGGCCTACGTCCTGGGCATACTGAACGGGCTTGTCGTTGCGAAGTGGTTCATTTACTAGCATCGGGCTTGTTGATAGTGAAGGTCAGAGTCTTTTCATGGACGAGAGGAGGTGGCTCAGTACATCGCCCGTCGCACCACAGCCGCAGCTCTGCGTTGATCTCATATGTTAAGGAAGGAAGAAGGAGACCCACGTGCTGGAGACCACGCAGCTGGCGGAGGGCAACGAGCGACTGTAGTAGAACGTCGTATAATTTAGGCCGCTTTTGGCAGTCGCAGAGCAGCTTGACAAGAACGACAACACACGACAATGCAACAAAATTAGTTCAACGGAGCATCAGCATCATGCGCATGATCATTCTAGCGACCAAAATGTACCACCTGCAAGCAATGTTTCTCTTGCACCCTGCTCATATTAGAGCAATGAGCTCTCAAGTACTAATAAATGCACATATTGGAGGACGAAGTCGAAGTCCGCCTCATGGAGAAAGGATCATCCGTGCCTCTGCAGTTGGACAAGTCGCCGCTCCCGGCTTTGTCCGTTCAGGCACGCGGTTCTTGTCAGGTCTTCGCTGTCGGAGAAGAATGAATGTTCACCGAGAAAGATCGTAATTTCGGGTACATCTACAACAGTGTGCTAGAACTACTTACAAGTGTAGAAATTTTGTAATTCGTGTAGGATTAAGTATCGATTTGATGTTTGCAGCTTCGAACTACCAACGAACTCCACTAAGAGCAGTGGTGCTGCGTCGACCTAGACAAGTTGGCGTCGAAATTTCTGATTAGGCCAGCAGGTTTTACCCATGGCATTCCTTCGTAGTCGTGACACTGACACTTCGCTTAGTGCAAGACTTCTGGCACCCCAGGCGATCAGATTATTTTGAAAGAGAGATCATGAGCAAGACAATTAACGAAGACACCGACCATGAGAAAACGGAGTGTGGTCCTCGCTATCGTCATTCCATCACGTAAAATACCGTTTGAAATCTAATGTGCAAAGCTTTAGAATAAAGAGCACCGGAGCAGCAGCGCCTGCAGCGACAAATGGGAATGGTCATGATCTCGTTGACCAGAACTAATTGGTGTGACTGACCAACAATGTTGACTGTGCCTCTTTCAGGATAGCGCAGGACAATCGAGTAGATCCACAAGGATACAACATACCTGCTTCTGCAGCATTCCCCTCGAACAAAAAAGTAGAAGCACGAGATCCTTAGAGACACAGTCGTGATGAGTATTTTTGGTCACAAAGGTACACGGTGCCCAAGAAGATCACCAGAAAGTCAACAAGCGATTGGCAAGCTCCCACTATCTTGACCGAAATTCCATGTTAGTGGTTGCTTTTGATGCGTGTCTGTGAATGAAATGATGTTGAAGGTCTTGTGAAAGCAAATGCTCAATGGCTCCTTTCCGATCGCCTTGTCAATCCGGTCTTAAGAAGTTCACCCTGGCGAAAAACGAAAAAGATCAAGATCTTCCGTGATCGCAAATGAGAATATTTTTCTCGTGGTGCAAGGAGCTGATCTGTTAGTAAGTACTTGCAGATGACTTCTCTCAACCTGGCAGAAAGACCCATAGTAGCCGTAAAGACTCAAACCGTCGAATCGCATTTCGAAATTCTCACAGCAGGAACGACTGGGATGTTGATTTTCATACGATAGTACGAGCAGAAAGATATTGATCTACCTCTTGCCTTCGAAGGCGTCATCTTCGTCGAGATAAATTTCCGCGAGCGTTTACGATTCGTTTCGGAGTAGATATCTTGATTTTTGACGTCAAAATGGCTTCGTCCGGCAAGACCACTCCCGCGGCCCAGCAAACGGAAACCGCGAAGACCGCGCTGCGTGTGTTTGTCTCCGGGCTCCCCGATGCGGACACGCTCCCAGCGGCGGAACTGCAGAACTTCATCCAGCAGAGCCTGTCGTTCCGCCCCAAAGCGGTATTCTGGGCGGTGGGGAAGTTTTGCATCCAGCTGAAGAAGGAGTCCGAAGTGGAAGAAGTGGTCAGCTTTTTGGACAAACAAGTCTACGCGACGACTGCCGATGAGAAATTCACGCTGCGAGCGACGCGGGCCGCGACCTTTGTGGTGAATGAGCACGACCTGAGCTGCGCGCTGGACTTGAAACTGTCGAAAGCAGACGTAGCAGGGTTGGAGAAAAATCAGAAAAAAATCCCGGTGGAAGAAGCAATTCTGCAGATCCTCCCGGAGGGATTGCGGTCGAAAACCCATGTTCGCTCGTTTTTATCAGCAGATCAGGCAGCCGCAGCTGGCGACAATGGTAATAAAGCTGCTGCTACTGGTACTGCTTCCTCCTCCTCCGCCCCCTCCTCCTTCCACCGGCTTTTTTTCGCTAAGCGTGCCCACGTGCAGCCCGCATTACACACCTTGCAGCAGAAATTTGGAAAGGAAAAGTGCATTCTGTCCTCGATCGTGCCGCAGTTTACGTCCGGGAAGTCCGGTCGGCTGATCGTGCGAAATCTCCGGTTCACCGCCGAGGAAGTGCACGTGAGGAAAGCCTTCAGCAAGTTCGGCGAATTGAAGGAAGTTTCCTTACCCGGAAAAGTGAAGCAGGGCGGAGATCGCAAATTGGCCGGGGTCGCGTTTGTCGAGTTTGTGAAGCGGGAGGACGCGGCGAAGGCTTTGGAGCAGATGAACGGGAAGGAAATTTGCAAAAGGCCTATTGCGGTGGACTGGTGCTTGGGCAAAGATGTGTATCAGCAGATGCAAAATAGCAACAGGTCGGTGGAGATGAAGGTGGTAGATGAAAATCAGGAGAAGGAAGCAGAAGCCGAAAATAGTGGAACTTCAAGAACTTCAGCACAAAAAATAACTGCGGATGAAAATGAGAAAGACCACGACAGCGAAGAAGATGCTGGCTCAGAATCGGATCCAGATGCCGAAGAAGAGGAGTCGGATGATGCCGAAGATGAAAGTCAAGAGCACGACGACGCACATGGAGATTCAAAAGAACGACCTGACCCTTCTGCTTCCAGTTCATCTTCCAACAAAAAAACACCGTCGTCAAATAAATCGAAAAGAGACACGGTGGAGGCCTTGTCCAGCGACAGTGAGGCAGATTCAGACGAGGAAGATAAAGGCGCAAACGAATCGGATTCGGGAGATGACGACGACAGACCGAAGACCGAGCTCGGAAAGAACGCCATCGTGAACTCCGAGGAGGACAAAAAGAAGGAAGTGTTCGTGTTGAATGTCCCTTTCGACGCGACGAAACAGGACTTGGAAGCCGCCTTTGCCCGTTACGGCCCGGTAGCGAGGGTGTATTTGACTCCCGACCACAGCAAGGTCAACCCGCACCGCGGGAGCTGCTTTGTCAAGTTCGTCCAGGAGAGCGCGGTACTCAGTCAGTTTTTTGAATATGTTTATCTTTATTGAATAAGATGAACTAGTCGGAGTTCCTGTCGTCTGATCTGATGGTGATGAAGATGCATGCCATAGTACCCGCCTTCAAATTAATGATTGACCTATTGTATTAAAACCAAAATAACGCACTAATATCAGGTCGACAAGGTCCTCGGTGAGGAGAAGCGTCTGCAGGAAAAACTTCGCGAATTCGGTTGCAAGCAGGCCGCGGCGGTAGGTCAGGGGTCCGCTGCGACGAAGCTGGATGGGTTCGGTCTCGTCGTTAAGGGGAGACGCCTCATCATTCGCAGGCTCGAGAGCAGAGAAGACGTGGCGCAAAAGTACCGATTTTGATTTCGCTTGGTACTTATCTTCAAGAATGAACTTCCTGCGCAAAATAAATAGATTCCGAATCGAATTGCAATGTTCATCACCATGGTTATGTTGTAGCTTTCGGTTTGCATTACGTCCTAAAGTAACAAGGTGCCATCGCATCAATATCAATTTGAACTTTCACTTCTACACTTTACTCTGCTCAGGTCCAAGAAGTCCCTGAAAGAGCAGCGGCAAGCGGCGCGCAACCAGTACGCACATTTGCACATGCTGGGCGCAATCGAGGAGACAGCGCCTGAATTCAAGGAACTGACCAAACAGGAGCAGCAGTTGCGAAAACAGTCGCTGCAGGAAAAGAAGTTTAAACTGAAAGACCCGAACTACATAGTGAACCCGAAACGGTTGGTGTTGAAGAACTTGGATTTGCAACTCGACTCCGCCGCGATCAAGGAGAAGGTCGCGATTGTCATGGCGGCACTGGAGAAGAGTCGGGAAGAGAAGAAAGCCGAGGAAGAGAGAAACGCAGAAGATGCATCTGCCTCTAGCACGAAAGTAGAGAAGAAAACGAAAAAGAAGAAAATAGACAAACTCAGATCCACTGCAGAGGACCCACAGGATCTCATCAAGCCGCACTTGCAGCAGGTCAGCAAAGCGGAGAGACATAAACAGCAGAACAAGATCGCGACCGTCAACTTGATGCGTTCTTCTGACCGAAAGACCGCGGACGGGGTGAGAAGATCTCTCGGTTACGCCTTTGTCGAGTTCAAAAACCACACCGACGCGTTAGACGTCTTGAAGCTGATGAACAACAACCCGAAACTGCAATCCATTGACATCAAAAAGAGACTCCTGGTCGAGTTTTCCTTCGACGATAAACGGGCGTTGCGGACGCAGGAACTGGCGAAAAAACGAAAAGATGAGAAGTTGGCCGCGGCGAAGAGGAGACGGGAAGACGGCGAGGCGGAAGATGGACAAGAGGGTGAACGCGGTGGTGTTGCTTCTACTAGTGGTGGTCCTACTGCGAAGAAGCAAAAAGGCGAAGGGAAGAAAGGAAGTAGTGGCACTTCAGCTCCTGTTTCATCAAGTTCTTCAACAGGAAAGGAGTCTAGCACCGCTGAAGATCCAAGTGAGCCAGCAAAGAAGAAGCAAAAGACCAAGGGAGGCGGAAAGGGCACGACCACCGGCAAGGGTGGTTCCAGCGAAGGGAACAAGAAAGTAGACCATCCTGGTGACTCCAAAGACAGCGATGCCGCATCTTCTCGTGGTCCTAAAAAGGAGAAGAAGCTGAGCCGCGGTCAGAAACAACGCATGAAGCGACGAGAGGAACGAGCCAAGGCGGAGCAAGCCGCGAAGCCAGCGAGCGCTGTAACAGTGAAAAAACAAGGGAACAAGAACGAGCAGAGGCGCGAAACCGTGAAGCAGGCGAAAATAGCGGAAAAACGAGCTCTGAGAAAAGCGCAGAAGGAGAAAGAGAGGCAAAAGCACGCGGAAACGGATGACTTGGAGGAGAAGTACATGCGGGGACTAAGGAGATGATAGCATGATGCGCAACGAGGACGAGCGAGGAGAAAGATCTTTTGTAGTGGTTGAGCTCGCGTCTTTCTCCACATCAAACCTGCAAAAATGTGAAACGCAATTTTAATATTAGCGGCGTTGTGAAACATCAAATTCAAAAACGGGAATGAAATACAAAAGGGCACAAACTTGCAGCCACTCTCTGTGTTCATCTGACTAGCTCTCGCCCGCGAACGGGAAAGGAAAACTTCAGCAGATCTGATGTAGTTAGTGCCCGTTTTAATATTCCGTGTCTTTTAGTTTTGGAATTGTGCTCCTTTTCATTCGTCGTTGAGATCCATTTTTTCCAACATCGGAACTAAGAAAAGCGCCTTTTAACACAAACCAACTACGACCCCCACCATTTAGGTCCTGTCCAATTCGGGTCAGAAGACGAAGCCGGGGCGCGGGGGTGCCAAGCCGAAACAGACCGCGACGACGCAGGAATCATAGCGCCCGTGCTCGGAAGCTACGCTGTCGGTCGGTCTTTATGCTTTTTTTGCATGCCATTCATGTTCATCATTTAGAACCCTAATATTCGAGCGCCCTACTGGCCGTGTCGACATTCTCGTACGATTTCCAAAACCTTCGTTGGTCTGTACCAGAACGAGAAGTGATAGATCTGCTGACGCTCGTGATCTCGTTTGTACAAAAAGCTCTTCTGTAGATGTACTTAGCTGTGTCGGATGCGATTCCATGCACAACAGAACTGTGCGTATGCAAAATGAGATGCTCAATAAAAAAAGTTCCTTTGTCAACCAACGATCATCTGTGCCACTTTGTGTGTCGTGACCACATGAGCACATTCTCACAATAAAAAACATTTCCCAATGAAATTACGCAGGACACAGGATGCTGATGCTTTGCTCTGGCTAGTGGTATTTAGCTCAAACACCGCCAAGATCGTACTCTCAGGCTGTTCGCATGGTTTTCTCCACTTACGTCGTGTATCCGTGGCTAGGATTCTTTTTTTGTTTTTCGTTCTTTTTTACTCTACCTGCTATACGCCTTCCGACGCTACCATACCTTGTCTTTCCTGACCTAGTCCCATTTCCGCACCTAGATATTCTCTATGCATATGCATTGACGTCCAGCATTCATGTTTGCAATTTTTTGTGCCTAGTCCCATTGCAGTCATCCTTCAGAAACCAACGGTAGCAAAATGTGTACACGATGTTCTTCCTCGTCCCCGGCCTTCCAGCTCCGCTCCATGCTCGGCAGGGCTTTTTGCTCCGACCTGCTGGTGGTGCCGCCGGGTGACACGGGACCTACTTCCGAGCTGCGGGTGTAACTGCTACCGGAGTGAGGTCGATGCGTACCGCGACTGCGCCAAAGAGGCCAAGTAGCTGGTTTGGCCCTTTTGACGGCATGAACCCCGCCCGACGGGCTACTGTTCGGGACGTGTGCGCGACAAAACCGATCTCCGCCCAGAGGGTGTTCGTCGACGAAAGCTGGTCGGCATTCGGGCCCGATGACGAAAGCTGGCTCAACCGGTTTGCTCAGCTGGTGGTGCCGATTTGACCTGCCGGTTTTGTGCGCGATGATATTCCGGGCGATCCGGCAGCTGGTCTTCTGCGCGATGGTGTTCCGATGTGACCTGCTGGTGGTGCCGCCGGGTGAAACGGGACCTACTTCCGAATCGCCGCCTTTTGTTGTGCCTGTTGGTCTTTCGCACGGTGGTATGGCGCCCGTACACATATTCCCCGACCGACCTGTCCAACCCTGGAGCTCCTGTGGGTGATGCGATACTCCCTCCACGGACACGATTTACGGACTCTACTTGCATCCCCGACCGCCAAGGCCCCGTCTTTGCACCTGCTACTCCGACTGTGATACCTCCGTTCGGATTTGCGTCTGCCGGTCGCTGTGTGGATTTGATGTTGATAAGAGGATGACGAGCTTTATTTATCGGAACTTTTATAACTCGAACGCCCGACGAAAGCAAAGGAACAAGTTTAAAACTAGTAAAAACTTGTTTGCTTTTCTCCGACTGCTAGTGCCGCCACTAGATAGAGATACCTCTTCTATGAAAGTTCTCCTGATAGCTCACGTAGGCTCGCCTCGCCTGGTCCGCATTGTAAATTCTAACTTTATTATTATCTCCCCGACCGGAAGCTCGGCTTCTTTTTTACTTTTTGTTTCATACGACTGTGTTTGTGTACATCTCGGCACTTGCGCTTATCGTGGTAGGATCCTACTTTCGATATCATCTACAACGAACGACCATCATCTACAACTTTTTTTTGAGCCCAACAAGGAGCTGACCACACAACTAACGGGCTAGGACCACCCAGCACCTACATGGTGATTTTTAGGCGAGTGAATTTAAAATATAGCATTCCTGATAGTTCATGTTGATCCGTCTCGCCTGGTCCGCATTGTAAAAACTCATGTATCATTATCTCCCCGACCTAAAGCTCGTTTGCTCTTTTCGTATAGGATTTCTATACATAGCTGCTAATTCTCGTAACGCACAATAATTCAAAAGATCTGACGTATCTGTTGGTATGACTTTTTTGTATGCTTTCGCAGAGCCGCATCCTCTGTGATCCCGCCCTTCGTATGTATTTCCCATAGCTGTCTCCGAGCCGCTTTTTTCGGAAACGCTATGATCGCTTGTTCTGCCATCATTTGTATTCGTGGAGCCGCACCCTCCACTGCATTGTGCCGGCGCCTCATTGTACGATGTGCGAGCTGGGTACTTTGCCTGGCACTTTTGTGAGATTTGTAGATCCCCGGAAACATTTTTTTTTCGCTCACTTCGATCTTGATCTTCAGTAGGGTTCACGCAGTTCTGTTATTTTCAATTTTTCTACGACTTTCATGTATACACGCAGAGATAGCTGGTACCCCTATTTGGTATCCTGTTTCTGGGGTACCCGGGAGCCGTTTCCTCCCTCGCTGGGTATAAGCGAATTCGCCCGTAAGGGTCCCGTCTAGGCGGTGTGAAAATGTTTGTTGTCTGCGAAACGTAAACCTTTTCTGTTGTCTGCTGAAACGTAAACACTTCAAAAACAAATCTGTACCACAACATACACACCATGACGAAATTCTTCGCTTCTATTAAAACGGAATCGGATTGTTCCGAATCCCATTCCCACCGACGTCACAAGTGTGACGGACCACGGAGAGCAGCGGTGGCAACACCTTCTCTGCAACTACTGATGGCGGCGGCGGTCGTCAAGATTGCCGTGCTGCAAAACATTTTCTTTGACAATGAACCAAGAAATGCCATTCCTGTGTTGGTTCATGCTCGCTTGCTAGAACAAGCGGAATGGCCGCGGATTCAGGTGGCGGAGGAGGCGCTGCTGTTTCTGCAGGAAGAGTGGCACAACGCAGGTGGTGGCCGCCCAGGATCAACATCAGGAGGGAAGAAGTCCTTTTCTTTCTCTGACAATGTGCTACTGACTTCGGCCGGTACTTCGGGCAGACGGGCCGCGGGTTTTACTTCCGAAGACGGTGCGTGGACAAAGAACGCCACAGCGATTTCTGCCAGTCGTGGTCCAGAAAGCAGCTTGTTTGCTGGCACCATCTCTGGCTTTCCGGTGCTGCGTTCGTGGGTCACTTCTGAAAAAGATCCGGCGTCGAGCGAGGACGAGCGCGCCACAGGTCGTGACAGCACGACCGACGATCTTGCAGACGACCCAGTCACATCTTCACGTCGACCGGCCCTCGCTGATGAAAACGGCAAGGAGGATCAACTCGTTCTGCACTGGGAAAAAAAGATTCTGTCCAAAGCCAAGGCGCGGTCGATTTTTGACCGCCCGGTGATAGCGATTGCACCAGCACTATTTGCGTCATCTCGCTCTGGTTCTGTTTCTGGTGTAGTGAAATTGTTCCAGCACAACGCTGCACAAGCCGCGTCCACATCTGGTGTACTTTTTCCCCCGACCCTGTACGCCGATGGGAAGTATTCAATGGAGATTCCGAAAGACGCAAAATTTCCCACATTCTTCGCTCCGTGCGAGGTGCGGCGAGGCGACCAGCACCCGGCTGAAGAGATGAGGTCATCAAGCGTCAATGATCATGGCGCTCAGGACGAGACCTCCGACGGAAAGAGGATGCTCGAGCAAAAGCCCGGTTTCGACAAGAAGCCCAGCCTGCAGTTGGCGGACCTGCTTCCTGACTTCTTCAGCAAAATTACCACGAAAACCAATGGTGATAACAAGAATATTGTCGAGCCAAATAGTACAACGGAAGAACCACAAAATAAAAAGCTGCGGCCTATCGGGCGCGGGCGCATGTCTGTCGTTCACGAAGCCGTATTCGAGGGAATGCGCGTTGCCGTCAAAAGATTTGCTTTCGAACAATCACCGAAAGGAGCTCCTTCACAACACAACATGTACCTCTACCGCACGGTTCTCCAAGCCGCAAAACAGGAATGTTCCTGGGCGAGGAAGATTTTCGAGACCAAGCACCCCGCGGCGAGATTCTTCGTCCGGTGCTTGGCGACGAACCTGCCGGGGTTGCGACCACTAGAACGAAGAGGAGGACTACCGCTGCATACTGCCGGGCATGGAGAAGAAGATGAGAGGACGTCAACGAGGATCTCGATGGCGCAGCATCAATCCGCATTTGTTGCACCTGCTGGTCAAAAAGCTGCTGCTGATGCAAGTAAAGAGGAATTATCCTCGCTTGATACAACTATGACTTCCACTGCTGGTAAACAGCTTTTCGTGATCATGTCCTACGGGGGGAAATCGGAGTTCCCTTCTTCGCCCTTAATACCACCTTCGTCCAGCGAAGTAGATTTGAATGTCGAAAGCCAACAAGATCTGACCGCCCCAAGGATCCTGGCGCAGCTGACCGAGGCGATCAACTTTTTGCAGACCAAACTGCAGGTGGCACATCACGATCTGCGGAGAGAAAACGTGCTGTTTGATGAGGAGAGTCAGGAAATTCGGATTTTGGGCTTCGGTGGCATGCGGTCTTTCGATGATAAAGAGATGGAACAAGACACATCAACTTCAGAAGGCAAAGAACAAGAAGAAAATCTAAATCTCTACGAAAATCCTGTCATGATGCCGAAAGAAGCCTACAATGACGTGCTCTGGACGCCAACGTTTGCGTCGCAGGAGTTTGAAACGGGGAATGCGACGTGTGCGCTTTTTGACGAGAAAATGGAAGAGGAGAAAAAGTTAGAACACAAACTTATTCTCCGCACCTACGACTTCTTCTCCCTGGGTGTTTTGTTTTCCGAGATGTTTTTGCTGAATAAAGCAAGCACGGCTATGAATTCTCGTGCAGCCAGTTCATCTGCGTCTGCACTTCTTACGACACCAAAAAGTGGCACATCAAATGCCCAACGACCGGCTACAACAAGAAGTACTAACCTCATTGCGGAAAAGTACACCGTGTTTTGCTCGAGTTCGGTACTGCGGCCCGAGAACCAGTTGAATTGCCTGGCCAAGGCCGTTCCCTACTTCATTGATTGGGATAAATTGAAACACGACATGCAGACCAGCACGCTGTTGACGGTGCAACTATTCGAAGCGGCGAAAGTGCAGCAGATGAAAACAGAAGCAAAAACAACTTTCTCCCCCACCGTCGTGCAGAAGAACACGCCACCACCAGCACCATCATCGTGGAACGGCGCCGCGCAACTGACGCAAGACAGTGAGTTTGTGTCTATCTTCTGCGACATCTGGCGCGGGTTGTTTCTCGAGCCGGAGAAAAGGTTTGAGGCGTTCCAGAACTTAGTCGCCCTGTTCAAGCCACTGTGGAGCAATAGGTCAGCAAAAACACCAGAGCGAAGCAGAAGCAAAAGTAGCCCGCCGTCAACATCTAGAAGTACTTCCACCGGGTCTTCTGGCAGAACTTCCTCTTACCTCGAGAGCAACAGCACAGAAGGAATTCTTTCTGCGTCACAAGGTTCCACCTCTCCGCTTCTTTCGCGTGCTGGTGCTACTAGGGAGATAATGGGCATTGTCACGTCTTCACCGGAGCTGCTGTCTTCCAAGAACAACAGTACAAGCACTGAGACCACTGCCGGGCGGGAAGAAACGCAAGAAGAAGTTTTCAGTTTGTGATTCTCTAGCTACCGGAGGCGGAGCAGCGCGGCCACGAGTAGCTAGTAAGTTCGGTGAGAGCTGCTGGGCAGGCGTAGTTGTAGTTGTATTCTACTATCAGTATCAGGATGGAGTTGTACGAGTATGAGTAAGTTTTAGTAGAGTTCTTGTTTGAGTTTCGTCATGGTGAGTATGGATCACGTGGATTGATCATTCCTTTTCTAAAAATCTGTTGTCTGCGAAACGTAAAGGTACAAAGAGCTTGTCTAGCGGAGTTCTCAGTATTCAGAAGCCATAACGTAAAGCTTTTGTTTTAGAGGCGGCCCCACTTTTGGTCGTGCGTGAGGAGCAGGTGTTTGTGGTTTTGTTCCAATGATGATTCTCGCATTTCATTTGTCGTTTTTCAAGATCATAGCGCGCGTTTTCATCCGTTTGCAGATCTAGTTCTAGAGCAGTGCCTCTGTTCTCAACTTCGAAGATCCGTTTGTTTCTGCTTGAGTTTTCATTTCAAACATACCTACCTGTTGGCTGTCCTGTCTGTCCTTCTTGTTTATTGATGCTGCACCAAACGTGGATTGGTTGTGGTTCTGTGTCAATATAGTATATTGCATTTTCCATTCGCACTAGTAGGGTCCGCTCTAGTCAGACTGAAATTGCCAAGTTTATTTGGACGAAGTCAACACGCGTTCTATTTCTAATCAGGGAAGCACTTTCTTCATTGCAAGCACCCCAACTGCAGCACTATACCAAGCAAAAATGAAAATGATGCAAAAGTCCTCCGCCGCTCTTCTTCTGCTCGCCGTCACCGGCGCAAACCCAACACTCGCTGCGGACTGGCCAGCTTGTATGGAGCAGAATACCGTAATCCGGAATGCAGGAAAGGCTGTCTTTACGAACGTCGCAGGTATTATAGATACAGATTAGATTTAGAAGTTGTCATGGTGACGGTAAGCTTTCATGTTGATGCTTGATCTAGGCAGCAGTATCTGTATCTGCTTTTTTTGTTTTTGCGTTGGAAAGCGCCCATCCATTCGTATCATCTTCGAAAATAAGGTTATGGTGCCGCCGCCGGCTGCTTTATCGATGACTGCATCAATACGGACAAATTCGCGGTGTCTACTTTGGAGAACTGCATTTCAGTCTGCAACTCGGTCCCAGAGTGCAACTGGTGGGTCTTTGGCGAGGAAGAGGGCATGCAGAAGTGCTGGTATAATTATCACGCCGCAGCGTATAAGTACCTGTTGGGCGAGAAATTCAAGTTAGCCTGCATCTTCTAGAAGTCATTTGTTCCCCCAGTTTTCCAATCGGATCATGCAGCCTTGTGTGACTACTTGTTGTGCCCTCAGACTGCGCATGCCCATGCTCTTCCGAATCATGCACACCACGACCAAAAATGATCACAGGTTGCGCGAGGCCGACGACGGGCGCGAGGAGGGCGAGGGTTGGACCTCGGGAGCCAAGTCCTGCCAGCCCCCAGACACGGAGTCCCTGATTCTGGGAAACACGGAGTGCTGGATGGACGGCTTCGACTACTCCACCTGCTGCGACCCGAAGTTCGGCCCGAACGGAAACACCCAGTGCTGGGACGGCATGTTCAACTTCAACCGGTGCTGCTTCCCGAGAATGGAGTTGTAAGGACGGGAGGGCTCTTGTTAAATTTTTGTTTTCAACAATGACGAAGATGATCACAACTTCACCTGGACTTCTTGGAATGAACTTCTTTTGACAACAAGCGACAACGTACGAGTGGACTGAATCAACAGGAGTTTTTAGGTGACGTGAAGATGAAATGCATTTGTACACACACTAGAAACGAAGTACAACTACAACAATACGCTACCACTTTATTTCGTTCTTCAGGCGACAAGACGACAATTTTTCAGAAGATCGTAAGATTAGTTCTTTGTAAGCAACCGAAGATTGTAAACCCTAACCGCATGTAAACAAAAGCAAAACAGTCATATAGCAGTTTGTACTCGAATATATTTGCAGTACAGCCTGATTCAGGTATCAGGTATGTATGTCTTACGTTAATGTTTGTGCTGCATCTTCAGGAAATTTACCGCGATTACGTAATGCCGTCAAGTCAACGTACTTACAGCGAATGTCATGTAGAGAAAGCCAGGACAACGGCGTGGCTGCTGAGGTCGTAAACTTTGCAAAACAAGTTCGTCGGTTTTTTTTTTGTTCAACGGATTTGGACCGATCGATACCTCAGGCTTTCGCAACAGTTTTTTGTCCCTTCGAGCAAAGAATTATACCCGAGCCATTTTCGTTTTCCATCTTTTTTTCTTTCGTTTCTGCACAGCAGCAGTTGTCGGGTTATTCACGAGAGATTTTTTCTGCTTCCAGCTTGTCTTCATGTTTCCTTTTTTGCTGCTGCGAAATCGTTCATGCAACAACAGCATAGAATTAGAAATCTCGAGACCCAAATTACAGTGTGATGTAATCGTAACTCGAGTTGCACAGCTAGAGTAAGTTCACGCCGAACCTCTTCAATACGTCGCGCGACACAAAGATTCTTTTTGGTCCTCTGTAAATCAACAGAAGAAGCAAGCACTTTCCCACGATCACATAGACGGCAACAAGGGTGCCAGCATTGTCTTTTGGGTTCTAGAAACATCAAACTCAAACACGGTCGTAGTTTCGAGACCTCTAAAGATCGCCAGCGAAGAAAGCTAAAAGCATGGATCACAACGTCAATACAACCATGGCCACGCTGCAGAGCATCGCCTCGCCCACGTCTACCAAGTCCGACGACCTGGGCCTGACGATGAGCGACTCGCTCTCCATGTCGACCCTCGGCACGCCGTTCGGGCTCTCCATGCCGAAGTTTGGCGACGTGAAGCCGAAGCACAACCGGTGGACCAGCAACATCGGGCTGTTCTACCGCCCGAAAGTGGGGGACTACCAGCACCATGCCCACACGCCGTCAACCGTGACTTCAATGGCCGAGACGACGATGGTCATGACGGGCACGCAGACGGATTAAATCACAGAGGAATTTCGGGAAGATGGAGGGAACGAAATTAAAATGATCCCCGCGGCTGGAGGAAGTTAGAAGAACACGTCTCCAAGTGGGAAAGCAAGTCGATCAAGTTGGGAATGGCTGTTGCACAGACGGTCATTCAGGGATATTTTTACTTTTGTGATTCGTAGCTTCTGTGTTTAGCCTAAAAATAACATACCTTACTTGTAGCAAATTGACACTTGATGAGAGAAAAACAATTAAAGCAGCTGGTTCTGTAATGTATCACAGTTTGATACAATCATGAAGATGTATCTAAGTGTATAAAATCTGTAGATCATAATTTGAATGAGCATACTGCGACAAACAGACCTGCGGCTGCAAGGACAGTGAAAGTAGAGCAGTCAGATGGACGAGGGTTGTGAGGCCCTGGTCTTCGATCACTGCTGCATCTCGCATAGTAGACACACATAGGGACAATATTTTAACACATGGGAATGGGAATTCGTTGCATTTTTGTAACGGCCGTTGTATACAAGCATACGCGTTGTGGAAGCTTTCGGGAAAAGCATCAGCCTAGTACAAAATGAAGCTGTTGTGGTAGTACTACACTCGTGCTTCGTGATGTACCATATTAGCATATTGGGAAAGAGATGAAGAAGTCCAAGCATAAACAAAAACCATTGGGATCGAGTACGGCTTGCCATAGCCATAGGATGCTTGCGAGCAATTGGTTGTACCACGAGCATCCATCTCAAGATTTGGAACTACAGTTTTCGCCGAGAAGCTTGCGTACTCAATCACTCAAAAAGCCGCCTGATAGATTTTTTGTTGGTCCTGTGGCATTCTTTGAGGACGTGTCTCTTGCGCCCGTGTGTTCGAAATTCAATCGATGCGGATGCGCCACCTGGGGATCTGCTTGCCACCAAGATCGAGGCGGCCGCTGAGGGCATCCCTAAGAGCCTCAGCGAAGGGATCGCCACCGCGTTCAACGCGACGCTGCTGCCACAGATCGCCGCGCACCGCGAGGCCTTCAGCGGCAAAGCCAAGGGCGGCAAGCCAGTGAAGGGGCAGGCTTTGAGTGACTCTGACAAGGGGCGGCCGGGCAGCTTCGACCCCCTAGCGACGCTTGCCGATGGCGCCGACTGCGAGAAGGAGGCGCAGAGCAACAAGATTGGCCGCAGCGAGCCCAGCTCTGGCCATTCCAAAACTTTCAGCATCAAGGCAAGACCTTGGGCGAGGGTTGTAGTGGCGAGGAAGGCGGGCCGCAGAGGGATTGCCCGCCCGGCGTTCTGATCTGCGCTCCCCCCCCGGCGGTGTTGCGCCGGGCCGCGCTTTTGCTAGGGGGGGATCTGCCGGGCATCCGGCCTGACGGAGTCTTGGATGCGTCGGGCACGCCGGGGCTTCTGTGCATGGGCGCCGAAAGGCGGCCCAACGTGGTGAAGTGTTTCGCTCAGCAAGAAGAGCCAGCGGCGTTGTGGAAAACTGAGAGGGCAGGCCCGTCGCCGATCGCGGCCCCGACGCACGGACCGACCGCGCCAACTTATTGAAAGGCGAGCACCATCCCAGGCGGCCCCGGGCGCGAAGCGGTGCCCGCCTTGAGGGTGGTGGCCCGCCTCGGTCGCCGTGGTTGTCTTATGGCGTGGCCCGTGGTGTGTTGTGCCCGCGGCAACGGCGCCGCCGGAGCGATTCTGGCAAGGAAGCTGCATGCCGTTGGGAATCGGTTTGATTGCGCGTCGGCCGGTTCCCAACTTTCGGGCGGCGGCAGCGTGCTCCTCGCGCCTTTCCAGATTCGCTCAAGATTAGGGGGGGGCGCGGCAGGCGACGCCCGCCGGGAGCTAGAGCGGCCGGGATTCGCGAGGACGGGTAACCCGCTACAGGGCGCGGGGCCCCTTAGGAAGATCGTACAGCTATGAGATCCGCGAAGGCAACTACGCTACTCCGATGGGAAACGCCGGCACCGTCCGCGACGGGCTGCTTGATGACTCGGAGCGTTTTTCGTTCTGATGGGTGACGTCGCATGTCAGCCGCCTCACGCTCGACAGAAGGGGCGGCCGCCGGCAGAACGGCCGCCAAGCGAGCCACGCCGAGGCGCTCGCCTTAATTGCCGACGCCATGCATGGCCGCGCGGAGGTGGTCGGGCAGCTCCGCATCCGGGACGGAGTCGGCGACGCCGCAGAGTATCAAAGAGGGACGGAGCGGAGCCGCCCGGATTCCTTCTGTGAGCGCAAGTCCCTTGCCGGGGGCGGGGCCAGCCGTCGGCCCACGCATTGCCACGCCCCCCCGCCGGGCCCGGCCGCTGGGTTCTTCTGGGCGGGGGCCCCCCTAGGGCCGGCCCGGAGGCGCCGGCGTCGGCCTTCGCCCGGCTCGCTGGAGGCTCTCCGGCGCTTCTGTGGCCCCATCTCCGGGCTTGGAGGAGTGGGCGCAAGGAAAGCATAGATAGGCGCCGGGGCTGTGGTGGTTCGTTCGTTCTATGCGTGTGCCGGCGTCGCGCCTTTTGGGTGGTGGGTGGACATAGACCCACCGTCCGCGGCGCCGCGCCGGTATGAATAGCGCGCCCGCGGGCGCGGCGGCATTTGTTCCGCTTTTTGCCTCTGGGCATGTTGCCGAACGTTGTTGCGCGGCCGGCCGTGGCCATTAATTTTCTTTCTCCCCGGCACCCAGACCCACGCCCACGCGCGGGGCTGATGTTATTTAGCCACACACTTTGTCTGCGTGCCATGCCGGGCGATCCGGGCCGCCGCACGCACTGTGGCCTGGCGCATTAATTTTTGGGGTAAGCCTTGCCGGCGACAAATTTTTGTTTACCATTGTAAAGCTCGTTGCACTTCTTGCAGTGGCAGTCAAGGCGCCACTGCATACAGGCAGACCACCTCCAGGCTGTCTTCGTTCGTCTTGCAGGCAGTGTCCCCGATAGGGAAGCCTCTGTAGGCTCGGTTATCGGCATCGGTAGAAGATGCGCGACGCGTTTTATTTCGGTAGTTGTCGTGACCGTCGTCTGGTGTCGGTAATTTTAGATCATCAAGAGCAAGTATCTCGGCACCGACCATTGAACAATAGTCACTATTCTTCTTTATCTTTTCTAGGAGTAGAGCAAGCATCCTCCTTGGAGGGACACCGTGATCTCTTCCCTTACATCGTGCCAGGCACTCGCTCCTGGTTGCCTTCTTGTCGTAGGGAAATTTCGGTCTCCTCCTGGGTCGTAGTGCATTTGTTTACAAGGGCTTCGCTTAGAATCAAATGAAGATCTTTTTTCGTATTTGTACTTTCTTCGAATCGTCGACGTTCCTACTTTTTTCGAATCGTCGACGTTCCGTCATGGTCGTCGTTTTGTCCTCATAATTTCTCGTGAGTCATCAGTATGTGATCTAACCTCGGGCAAGTGCCCTTATAAAGGACACTAGTGCTACTACTAGTAGTGAGCAGTAAGAACAACATATACACAAGTGAACATAGAAGGACTTCTTGACTCTACTTTTGGATGCTCGCTCGCACGTTTTTTTCTTGAAGTGCTTTTTCCTGATGTGCCGTCTTGTTTCTTTATATATCCATATCGTTGCATGATCAACGAACACAGCACATCCAATTTCAAACCATACAAGTAACAAGACAGAATCAGTTTTCTCGACCCATCGACATCGTAAACAAAATGAACCCAGCCACCCGCCGCCAGCAAGGCGGCTGGATGAAGCCGGCAACTACCTCGCACTATGGCATGAGCATGACAAACGCCGGCAACAGGAGCAGCCAGTCGTGGACCAATTTTCCGCCGATGGGTGCGAGGAGTGCAGCTTCTATCGCGAATGGTGCTGATGTTTCGTATTCGTCCGCACACCAGCACCATCAAATGCTCACCCCTTCGTCCGGTTCTACTTCCACCTCCAGCAAGACTTTTCTCGCCTCCCACATTGCAGCGACGAATTCCGTGCGCCGCCTCCCGGGCACCGGCCGCGGGCCGGGGCAGCCGGGCCTGAAGGCGAATTCGGTCGAGGCGGTCCTGGCGCAACGGTCCGCGGTGGCCATGTCCTCGACCGGGACGGATTTCATGCGGAGCAGCAAGCACAGCGTGAAGGCGACGAAGCAAGACCTGAAAAATTCGCTGACGAAATTAGTGCGGACGACGGCGACGCAGGTGTTGACCGGGAATAGTAATAGCGGCATATTAGGCTCGGCCTCAGGTGGAACTGGTGCCGGGCCGTTGACATCGTCTACTTCGTCCGCTGTTGGGATAGCCGCTATTGATGGCAGTACTACCATGATCACCAGCCCGGTGAAACCAAAAGAGCCACAGATTCTTTTCACGCAGGAAACCGCTGGGCCCTTGCGCACTCCGGACACGACGGCGAGTGGTGGTGGACCACAGGCACAGCGGCTCGGTGCATCCTCAAAATTATTTGCGGCACACCAGATGGAGATGAAAGAGAAAGAAGGAAGACAAGCTGTAGAGATGACAGCTGCAGCAGCGGGGGCATCAAGATCTGAACAGGTGGGGAACAGGAATTACATCAAAGAAGACGCTCTGATATCATCCTCTCGACAGCTTATGGCGTCGTCGTCATCGTCCTCGTCTGACGAGGAGGTGCCGGTGAGTTTCGACGAGAATTCATTCTCTAGTTCGACCACAGCGACTGTTGGTGTTGCAGCAGGTTCCAGTTTAACAGCTGGTCCGCGACGTGCGTCAGGTGCTGGTGGCTCAACATCTTCCAGCTCCTCATCTTCCTTCTCAGGTGCAGGAGCTTCCGAGGGCACTGGTGGCACGAACACGAGCAAAAAGAAAAACGCGATGAAATCTTCCTACACCTCCGCGTTGAAACCGGATGATTCCGTCGGAATCATGCTAAACGCGCTACAGTCCACACGACAGCCAAAAACGACGAGTGCAGTTTCTATCCCGCATGAGCAGAAGGAGAGGAGAAGCGCCCACGATCCTCCGCCTCCTCTTGAACTGGATCTGAAAATCGTGGACCCACGAAACAAAGCACAGGACAATATTGAAGCAGATCATTTTCAAGTACAGGTAGAGCAGCCAAAAGCCGTACTAAAACCCCCCGAGCCTGCTGCGACCTCCCCCCTGCCCCTGACTAAACCGTCCCCCGCCCCCTCCCCTTTGACTTCCTCGAGCAATAAATATCCAAGAAAAAAACTGTATTAGTGTAACTCTCTTTGGCTGACAGCATCACAAATTTGCTCTACATGACAGAGACAACCTGTCATGTGTAGCTTGTAAGGGAAAACACAAGTGAAAAGAGGACTTCATAGTTGTCTGGCATGACAGGTGTAGCTCTGTTGCATGTTCTGCATGACAGAGTTACACTTACACAGTTTTTTTCTTGCATAATAAACACGCGTCGACCAGTGTGGATTTCTGGCGTGGCGGGGCGAACGCGCCGGCGCAAAACCCGAAAATTGAAGAAGACGAGGCGGTAGGAATTGCAAAAGTATCGTACTAGTGGTAAAAACTGCAAGCAACACATATTAGCTTGGCTGGACAAATGGAGTTTGTCTTGCTAATTTGAATTGGAAGAGGAAGACCAGTAGAGATTTGTCTTGCATGCTTGCGATATAGTACTACAAGTGCTATACTTTTGCGCAGGATAGGCAGAAAGGATACGAAGGGCGAAAGAGGCGCTGACCATGTCTTCCACCGGGACTCAGTTCTTCCGCAAGGCCAAACAGCCCATGTTTCCCCAGAAAACGCACAAACCCCCGGAGTGGCGAATGCGCAACAGTGTGGGGGAGGTGTCGCCGGAGCACATGAAGAGAACGAGTGTGGGCAGTCAAATGCAGTCGCCACCAGGGTTTTTGTTGAACACCTCAGACGACGTCTACGTGGCGAATTACACCAATATGGCGATAAAGCGACCGGTACAGGAATAGAACGACCTAGACGAGGATGAAGTTTAAGTTTTTTTGATTGCCATTTCTAATGATATACATAGAAGTTGTGTCTGCTTATGTTGTGTTATTCGGCAATCTGAAATAGAGTGCTTTGAAGATGCGATGCCGATGCAGCTTTGATCCGCAGCAACATGGATACTTATATTCAAGAACCCTCTCCACAGCCCAGCAAAGAGCGCACGCAGACGGAGTTTGCGCCGATGCAAGTGGCCACTATCGACACTTCTGCCGCCAAACACAAACCTACCTCCATCGACAAAACCCTCCACCCGTCGAGGGGGGGCACCACGGGTCCGCCGAAGAGCAACCGCGGAACACAGTGCACGATCTTACCGGAAAAGGAAGGGCCAAAACCGGTGCTAAGGAACCAGATCACGCAGTACGACCCTGCATTTTTGCACACGAGAACCATCGAAACCCAGGCGGACATCGACATCCGGCCGTTGCAGATTGAGAAGGGGTGCCAATTTCCAGAGGAGGAAGAAGACTATTTGGAAGTACCGATGGACCTACACAACAACATGGTGGACGAAATCACGCAGACCGCACCGCTCCCGACCGACACCGTGGCCACGCAGACGATTGACGAGAACGTGATGCAGCAGGACTTGCAAGCAAAGTATGACGCGCTGTTTGAGAAGTACAAGCTGGAGCGAAATCTGCGGATCCTGGAAAAAGCGAAATTGGAAGCACGGGTAGCTGCATTGGAGAAGGTACTGGTAGTTATTATAGTTGTACTCAAGCAATGGTAATGAAAATGAATGCGATTTCGATTCGAATGGAATTCAAATTTTTGCTCATACAAATCTTTCGCTTTCATTGCGAGCCCCGCATGACACGACTACCAAGTCGCGCATCGAAGAAGAAGAATCCAAACCAGCAATATCAATATGACAACAACATTGTCAGGGGGAGCATCAGGAGCTTTTGAAGATCGAGGAGAAGCTGAAGATTCTGGTGTCCGCACCGACCGTCTCGGTCCAATTTATATCAAATGTAAAAATCCCTGGATGTCTGGAAACTTGTGATGCTGGGTGGCGTCTCATGGTGAGGCTACAAATGCTGGCTCAGCATGACAAGTTTCTGAGTTCCTAGGTGTTGCCTATTCTGCATGACAAACTGCGCTTCTGCATCACAGAAAAGCGGAGCTCTTGCTGGGTAACGTGCATGACAGATTTAAGAGTCTGTCATGCCAGACAAGCATGACAAACATGAATTCTTCCAGACCCAGACATTTTTACAGTTGATAATTTGGCACGAAAAACCAAGTGGAGGTGAAGCCGAAGATCCCATTGCACTTGATCGAGGAGAGTGTGAAGACGGATATTCTACCGCACTACACGAAAATCCTCCCCGTGACGGTGGTCAACGGGCAAAAAATGGTGTTCGACGAAACGGTGGAGAACCACGTGCAGTATCAAATGCAAAAATGTCTGGGTCTGGAAGAATGCAAGATTTGTCATGCATATTTCTCATGGTCATCCATGACCCATGATGCCTGTAATGCTTGAACTAGCATCGCAGATTTTTAGACGGTTTCCTGATGCACCTTCAGCATGAGAAATGGCCTGTCTGTGTAGCAAAAACTGTACCCATCTTGCTGGTCATGCAATACAAACATTTTTAGAGTCGAAAAACAGCATGACAAGTTGCAATCTTCCAGACCCAGACACTTTTGCAGTTGATATGCGGAAGCAGTGCACGAAAATCGTGCAGCACATCACGGCAAAAGTGGAGAAAATGTTTCCGGTAGCGAAGGTCACGAATGTGATGAGTACTTAGAAGTTGTTGTACTTCGCTCCTGTTGCATGTATGATCCCGTATCTATTTGATTACGTAGCTGTTGTTGTAGTATGCATGTAAGAAGGTGTAGCTGCCCCCGATAGCATTCCGCTGTCGCCCCGCGGAATGCTAATGCAGCTTGTATTTGTTCCCTTTTGCGACAGCCCTTAGTCTTACTGACATTCACAACATTGTTGCAAAGCCACCGTAGTGAGCAGCACATGAAAATAGCGATCATGTTTGGACGCCCAGGATTATACTTTGAAACACAGCTTCCTGGTGAAGATCCTGATTTAGGTACTACCGTAGCAGGACGAGCATGTGCGAAGAAGTTGATCTACTAGCACCCTGCTCCTGCAGCTGACCTGATGCATGGGTTGGTGCATGGCGCAAGACATTGATAGATCTACTCAGTAGACGAATTGCATTCATTTTGTTCATTCTTGCCTCTCGTTCTCGATCTTTTTTTTAGCTGCGGTCCAAAAGCCACCAGCTTGATCTCAATTACCTCGACTCCTCTACGAACGTGGTTGTCCGTGGGCATGATCATTGTGGATCTCGAAGCTTAGGTGCACCAGACAAAGACATGCAAGATGATGATGAAACATCAGTTGTCAGCTATACTATAGCCAGAAGTGAGTCCTCGTACCACCTCGTCAATATCATTCGTCTCTCTTGTTAACTCTTATTGTGTATCGGAATCGCCATAGGGATAGGGAAAAATTGAAATCGGACGACAGGCAATAGGAGGCAAGTTGGAAGCCAATCGCATGTTACTTCAACAAGCGACGCTCGAGTCAGACGTTTGACTTGAAGCCGCTTCGCTTGATCAGTAGATTTAGAACTCCAGCTCGTTTTTCTTTCGTGTCGCCAGCATCATATGCACTTCATTTCACGAACGCAACCTACTTAAAAAGCTTAAGCACTCTGTGGCAGCTTTATGTTTCCGGCTATCCTAGTATACACGATTTTTTTTCAAGGTTGGTAGTTAAGTTTTATCTCGTTGACGTTGTATGACACAAAGTACAAATAAATCAAAACTCCACATACAAATACCTACAAGATGTTGACTCGCCTCCTCTCTAGCAGAGGTGGAGCTTTTTTCACCGCAGTGTGGTTGCTTCTGGCCTGCTGTAGTGTGAATCCGGTTGAGGCGAAATGGAGAATGACAGCTGCGCAAAGCGGGCAGCAGCCGACGGATACTAGCCAGGTAGAGGGGGTGGACAATGAACAAATAAACAGTATGGACGTTCAGGTGGACGTGGAGGTGGACCAAGGACATGTTGACCAAGGGAAAAATAAAGGCGTTGAATCTTCTGGATTGAACAGCCTTGCGGCTTTGCAGCAGTCGCTACCACAAGTCGACGTGGCGACAAAGAACGGCGCGAGGGAGGTTTTATGTTCGCCGAATCGACAACCGCTTGGACAGCAACGTCGCACGGGCTTGGAAGGGGACCTGCGTGCCTTGCAGGAGTCGCTGCAAGTGATTTCCTCCGAACAAAAGCAGCAGGAGGAAGAGGCCAACGCAAAAGCCGTCGAAGAGCGAGAAATGCAGGCCAGAATCCAGGCAATAGACTTCGAACTTGAGGAGCGAGATGTAAGGCGAGCACTGGCTCGGCTGAACCAGCACAGAACGCCGGAACTGATCGAGCTACTCGCAAAATCTCGCATACTAGTCGGCCTGTTTCACCATTTCCCTGACGGTGCGCCGGGGCATCGGCATGCTGAGCTTGCCGAAGAGGTGGTGGATGAAGACCTCCGGCTCGTCCTGCAGGAGGACGAGGAGGAGCCCAGCCCGGTCAGCCGCGGTGGGAAATTTCGGCGGGTCGCCGAGGATGGCAGGGCGGTGCAGGTACTACAGAATCAAGGAGACCACCACGACAACGAAGTGGAGGTAAAATGCTTCGTGCAAGCGTATTTAAAACAAAACCTACACGAAGACAAGTTTCTTCACTGTTCCATTGACCGCCTGACTTCATACAGCAGCGACGAAGTACGGGCGGCTGTGGCGCGACTGGACGAGGATGGAGACGCAGAGTTGAAGGGGTTGCTAACTTGGCTGCACCAAAGCCCTGCGAACAATCGGTACATGGGGCGTCTCTACCAGAAAAACTCCGGATCCTGGGTCGGGGTTACTGACGAGGAGCTGCAGTTTCGCCGAGTGCTGCGCGAACTAGATTTTTTACTCGAAAAAATAAGGAACGGTGACACCGGACCCAGGCAATCCGCGCGCAGCGCGGCAGCCGCGGCGTTTTCGCCTCGTGTAAAGAGTGTCGTGTTGCCGGCCGGTCGTTCCAACCTAGAACTAGAAGAAGGCACGGATCATGAGCCCGAAATGGCAAGTGGCGAACATGCAGCGGACAAACCTAATCAAGACGTGGAGAATAAGCAAGACGAGAAGATGAGCATGCAACTCAGTGGAGCGTTTTCGTCAAAAGCACTTACGCAATCCGAATTGAACGACCTAGGACAAAAGTATGACGACGACGCGCTCGCGGAACTTTTGCCTTTACCGCACCCCTGGGTCGAGCACCAGCACGACGACGCGATTGTGCCCGGAGAAAAATTCTTTTTCAATCCGCACACCGAGGAAAAAACCGTCACCCGGCCCCGTCGCCCACCCATGGGCGAAAACTGGCGGGGCTACCGCAGTGCCGACGGTCAGATCGCCTACTGCAATCTGGAGACTGGGCACACGCAGAAGGAGCACCCGGGCGATAGTTGTACTAGTAATATAATGCAACAAGGACCAGGACGAGGCAACTACATGGAGGTCGCCCACCCTGCCCGGCCGCGTCGTCGCACGACGTTAGGAGCGCGCCAACCTCCGCCCACCAATTTCGCTCTACGCGCCTTTCGACAACGGGAGCAGGCTGCGGCGCGGAGGACAACTCCTGGCGAAGATCGCAACAGGGGCTTGGGAAATCTCGAGGCGCTGAGACGTGCGTTACCACCAGACGGCGGTACCCAGGAAAAAACACCCATCCCCATCCATTTTTTGCATGACCGATAGTGGATTTTATGCATGTTCTGCATCACAAATTGGATGGGGATGGGTGTTTTTTCCTGGATAGGCGGGCTGAGCAGTATACAAGAAGAGGAGGAAGAACAACAAGTGGGTGAAGATGTTATTTTTGATACAACCAGTGGCGATGCAGATGCAGATCTACTTCATGCGGAAGACGAAGATGCCGAAGCCGAGCAACAACAGAGAGGAGGCACCAACATTATTCAGCACCAGGACTCCTGGAGGCCAGCGCCAGAGCTACAGTTTCGCCCGCCGGCCCTGCCCACCCTTCTCGCTGTTCCAGAGCAGCTGCAGCATGAACTACATGACTTTCCCTCCCCTGCGCCGCCAGGTGGAGGAGCTCTTGCAGCAAAACCTAACAGCAGAAAAAGACAGCTGGAGCGGTCCCACAACTACCACAACGGGTATCTTCGTCTTCCTGATTTCGTTCCACAGGAAGCAACTACACCTACAGAGCCCGGTGTTGTTTTACCGCCTCCAGGACGCGAATCAACGCAGATGATGAAGTATAGCAATATCGTGCCAAGGCATGCAGGAACAAACCAAGAGTTGTTGCCAAAGTCCTCGACTGAGAGGGTGCATGCCGAAGATTAACCGTATGCTTGAATCAGGTCGTCGATGTTGCCTTGGACATCACAAAGTGCGGTTGGTAAGATGGCCACGAGGAAATTCCACGGCGGGCAGTTAAAAAAGCGTCCGGACGAACGTTTCCTCACTAATATCTTTTCGATGGAAAATTTTTATCTCTTGTTCACCATCATGTTGTCACACAAAAATCTTTGTATATTCATACGCATGGTAGCCATCTCAAGCTTTACCTTTAAGAATTATCGCAAAAACATACAAGTACACGAACAAGCATAAACCATACGATCAGTGAGAATTGTCGTTGTGTCTGCTTCGTTACCCTCCAGCGTTCGACAGCAAAGGAGCCGTGCAGTTTCGCATTTTTCTGTCGAGATACTGACAACTGATACCCTACATCGTGCCGATACCGATACAGATTTCGATTTTTTTTCTTTTTTGACTCGGATGAAGAGGAAAAAAGATAGAAATTCGACGAAGCTTTTGCTTCGCCTCTCTTGTTTTTAGAGAAACTAGGGGCGGTGGAAAATTGCCTCTATACTACAGCAGAGCCTTCCGAGGGGTCAAAAGCAAGGTGTATGATCACGGGAGAAAGACGCTTGTTGGAGCTGAAAGCATGGAAGCCCTAGCGCTGGAAAATATCAAAAAGAAGAATCGCACTGCATAATCGACATGCCAAAAGTTGTGATGTGGTATAAGGCGTAAGCGTATCCCTGCAAGAAAAGAAGAAAAAGCAGAAGGAATGTAGCCCCGGTGTGTTACTTACTGGCGTTCTGAGGATAGAGGAAATTGACGACTGCAAGTTCTGATTTACCGGGTCGCTGCTGAAGAAGATCGTACTTCCCTTTTTACCCCCGTCACGCAAGGCTGCCCTGCTTCAGTGACGCAAGGCCAACGAACCGGCGTGAGTGTGAGAGTGAGTTCTTCCCATGAAGATCCCTGCTTTCCTCACTAAGGAAAGCTCGATCGTTGCTGTCCTATCAGGATAAAGAAACAACAAGATGAAGCTCCTGAGTCTGAGTGATAGACTGCATAATTGTATGGACCCGCGATCAAGAACATGGAAGCCGAAGCGGAAGTACGGGGTGTGGATCTCCAGGATCACGGTGTTGAAGTTGTGTTTCGGTTTATTTCCACAACCATGGAACGCAAGTTTTGTTTCATTCTGAGGATCTAGTTTACATGATAGATGATTTCGATAGTAACAATGGTGGAAGTTGTTCCTGGTTGAAGTTGAAAGGTACCAGTTGTACCGCACAACACGACCAGCAGGAACAAGAGAAAGAGTTCATAGCTCTACATACTTCTGGAACAATCAATGCACATCGCAGGATTCTGTTTCGCCATTCACATTGTGTTGAGTAGCTGCAATAAAGTTAGTTTTACCGGCTTCAGAGCTAAATTTGATTTTCAAAAGCTTCAAGAAATAAAACAAGATGCCTCGTTCCACTGCTCATCTCTCACGCCACCGAGTTGTGTCTATCACTTGTGTCGTGGCGTGGATATTGCCCGGTTGTAGCTTGTTGACCACACAGCTCCTGCAAAGTGTCCTCGTAGAGGCGAAGTGGAAAAAAGCGAGTTCCTCTAGTACAACTCAGGAACAAGCACCACAGCGGGTGCCGGACCACAGCTCGCCGCTTGCTCAGGACGACGTCGGAGATATTTTCGTGTTCGGCGCTACTTCTCCTTCTGGGGGGACAGGGACAGGCCGTAGCCGTACGTTTGTTCGCCGCGGTCGCAGCTTCAAGAACGGAAGTTCGTCGAGTACAGCAGCTGCAGCCGGTGTCGTGTCCTCCTCGAATTACGGCGAGGAATCATTTCTAAGTAGAAACCGGAACAAGAAGAGGGCGGTGTTTTCAGAGCAGGAGCAAAGTCTCCGCCAACTGTACCTGCACCTGCAGCCGGCGCAATCTGTCTACGTGCCTGAGCCTGGTCCCAATGATTTTCATTTTCGCGGTGAAGATGTTCCTGGTGTTCCGCTCGAAAAGGGAAGTGCTGTTCTGCTGCACCAACAACACGGTCGTGATGGAGGTGGTTCCCGAGAAGAAGCAGGAGTTTTAGAAGTACCTCGTCCAGCAATTATAGCAGGCGAAGATGGCGCATCCGCATCTACTTCTCAGGAACAGCATGAAAACGACGAGGGAATTCAAATTCAGCAGGAACAACAAACTGAAACTTCTGGCATAAATGCTCTGGCGGATTTGATGCATCAAATGGAAATTTCGCCACGGGACGAGATTGTGGAAGCACAGCATGACGAACCGTCGGAAGTCGATGTTGAAACCGAAAGCACTCCTGAGGAGGCGGAACACGAAGACGAGCTACATGGTCTGATGAGCCAAGGAAATGTGGAAAACCACGATGACGAAAGTGAAAGAGAGGATGAGGACAATGAAGATCCCAATAACACGGATCACGATCATGATGAACAAGTAGTCGAACCTGAGCCCTGGAGGTGGTTCCCTCTCGTTTCAAAAAATGGAAGCGGCGGAGATCTCGACGTTTTGCCGCAAGCCGTGCAGGAGCGTATTGCAAGCCATTTTTTCGAGGAGGAGGTCGACGAAGACGCGTTGGCGGAGATTTTGCCGCTCCCCGCGCCCTGGGAAGAGCGGAAAGACGAGACCTTTCCCGGCAAGCCGCTCTTTGTCAATCCCGTCACCGGGGAGGCAACTCTGGCCCGACCGCGCCGTCCTCCGCTTGGACCTGACTATCTTATCGACAGGGAAGAGCAGAGATATTCATCGCACTAGTAGTCGTGAGCATGCTTGTGGTCTAGTATGTACATGTAGTTGGCAGATGCATCTACTTGAGAGGAACCACAAACGCAGTCTGTCTGTCGTGCTGGAAACGTCACATTCACGGTCAAAAAGAGAAAAGAGAAATTTGTGCTGTTGGATTCCAAGAAAACCTACGATTGCGAGACTTTTGCACAGCATGCGTCGGGCAGTCAAAAGTTTAGGTGGGCGTGTTGCCTACCACAATGTCGTGCACGATCTGTACCAATGGGAGCATCCTGGAGAGATGGAAGAAATTGAGTACCTCAATGACGATGAGTATGCTAGAGATGTCAGATGTGTGTAATGAAATCGACAAAATGCAAGTGCTGGTATGCATCATAAGCATCTGGTGTAATTCTACTCACTGCAAAGTACGTGTTGGTAACCATGACCAGTGGGCGAGCAGATCGTTATTTCGAGGCAAACATTTTTCGAGCACCCGATGGGACAAATTGTAGGCCCAAGAAGTACTTCTTGTGTTGCTTTTTTATTGCGATCCCACGACAAGAGGTTTTTTTTGCATTTTTACGATGTCCACCCACGACCTGACACCTACATACTGTTCTGGCGGAACTCGTACTTCCCGAGCCCTGGGTCCGGGTGGGGACACCACCGGCCGACCCGGTATCAAATGTAAAAATGTCTGGGTCTGGAAGAATGCAAGATTTGTGATGCAGGTTTTCCATGACCCATGAGGTCTGGAATGCGAGACCCAGCATGACAGATTCTTTGAGGTCTCTATCGTGCCTTTCTTGCGTGAGAAACTCCCTCTCAACGTGGTCAAATGCGGACAGCTTTTGGCACTCACGCAACACAGATTTTTGCATCATTCAGATTTAGCAAGACAGGTTCTAATCTTCCAGACCCAGACATTTTTGCAATCCATACCCGGAGCTGTATCACAATTCTGTCACGGGCGAGTTGACATCGACCCGGCCTCGGCTGCCGCCTCTCATGGGAAGCCCGACCTGGCGTGCCTACCGCACGACCAACCCGGTGGGCCCGATATGGTACTGGAATATGGAGACCGGACATTGTCAGGCCGAACACCCGGGCGGCCGTGTGGAGGCAGAACGAGCAGAACAAGACCACGTGGTCGCTCCACCGCAGCACGATGTTGACCTTCAGGGTCAGGCTTCGGAAGAGGACGTCGTGCACGACGTAGCAGCACGAGACCATCGAGAAGGTGGAATAAACCTTCCGGCCGTGCTGGAAGGTCCGGCTCCGGTCGCGGAGGGGGAATAAACACGAGCGGAGGCCTGGTAGAAACCGGTCCTCCCGGTGGGTCCGACGTATGGTAATTGTATACCTCACTCATAGGTACTGGCACTCGCACTACAGCTATTTGAAGTGCGAAGGATGAAGTCATGCCATCGTGTTTCCGAACTCAAAATAATGTAAGTATAAAATGAAAATATCGTTATCGTATTCGTATACCTATACGACGAACAGAAACAGTTGAAGAGAGTGGAAAAGATCAGGAGCAGAACTAGGACCAGTCACAGGCTCTTGTAGAAATAATCGAGCCAGGATTTTTAGTTCTTGTTGAGCTGTGACATTCAGTGTCTATACATTTACATAGGACTGCAAGCATTCAAATCGGTTGTTATTGACTTTATTTCGAGTGCTGGAGGCATTCATACGGCCTACACCTACATGCAGACGTCTGCGAGGCATGTTATTGTCGTTGATGTTGTGCGACGAGGATGTTGCGCCACTGAGGTCCACCAACGGCGAAGCTGTGAAAAGAGTTTTTCCACATGCTCGCCACATATGGATGGACGTTTTGTTTTGCGGCTACAGAAGGACTTACTAGAATTTTCTGTCTTTGCTTTATTTTTCGAATTCGGCATTGCAGCCTGAAAAAGGAGCAAGAGAAGCATATATTGAACAATTTTTGACGATGATGTTGTACATGGTCATGGATTTGGATATGCATAAAGCTTCATTATGGATCGCAGCAAGCGGATCATGTGAAATAGTTTGGAGGAGCGCCACGACCACTCGAAGGCATTGTATGATTGAAGAACGTAAACAAGACAAAAAGATCAAGATGAATTTGAATGATCGAAGAAAAATAATTGAAGCAAGACGAGAGGGAATAAACGATCCTCAGTGGTTTTTATGTGCAAACATTGTTTGCCAGCATGCGTTGCGTGGGAACAAAAGTGGGAAGACCTCCAAGGGCGGTCGGCAGCTATTGTTCATCTTGCAGAAGAACTTCTGGTAGTATTACAGCCTGTTCTTGGTAGCTCCTCTTAAAGCCTGATGGAGGATTAGCATAGGCTCGTATGCTACGGAGAAAGAAGAAAATGCACTCGATCAGGACATGATCACGTGTGGACTTGGATCATCCTGAGGAAGATCGCGCTCTTCACCGGATTTTGTCTTTTATTGGACGACGGTAGCAGCACATATGACAATGACATCGATCAGGGATCTTCATCTTGTTTATGGTCGAAAACGGTTTCTAATTCTATGTTGGTCTAGTTCTTGTCGAGCCTCCCTCTACTACTCGGTGTCAACGTGGTCTACAGGTAGGGCTCTCTCGAACTCCGAGATGGCAAGTACAGTAGAGTTGTTCGAAAATCATCATGACAATAATTGTGGACCGGCACCGCCACGACCGGCAGTCAAACTCAAAGGTAAAGGAAAAGCAGACGCAAACAAGCTTTAAGCTCACATACCGAGCCGTGATCATTCTCCTGTGTCGCGCTCGTGGTCATGGTGCAGTTGCATTTCGACGATCTACGGATCACTAAACGAAGATCTCAACAGATAAATTCCTTCTGATGGGCCTTTGCCGCTGGCACAGATATACACTGTTACTTTCTATCTGTCTATTCTCCAACACCACACCACAATCAGTCAAATACGGGTGTTACCATAATTCGTATGTATGGAAAGTTTTTTCCTTTACGAAGTCTTGTAGCAGTTCTTCCCGAGCTCCTCCTTCATTTTTGATCGACCGCACGACACAAACAGTACAGGTTTTGAAACGCCAGTATTTGGTTCGGTTTTTTATTGCTACTCTTGGTCTTGCCAAGTGCAAGTACTTGTATAGGCTTTGTGTATAATATAATCGCGTAAAAAGAACAAGAGAATTTACAACGCAGGAGCACGGGCAGCTCATCTTCCTTGTTGTATCACTTACTTCACCATGGCGAACCACACTAGTATGGCCAGCCTCTTGAGCACTACATCTACACACAGCTGGCGCAGCTGCGCTTCTGCGATTCTCCTGCTTAGCGTTTTTTCGGACCCCGCCACCATTTTCGGAAACGCTATGTTCGCGAAGAACAGGAACAACTTGAGGCCGAGACAGGAAACAACTCCAACTTTTGCGTCGCCTGGTACAGCAGTTCTATCTGCACTCTCGTCGTCCCGCTCCAGCGCTGACGACCTTCAGAGTGGGCGGGGTGGTCGTGGTATTCGGCTTACACCACATCCCGTGCTACCAGTGAACCACGTTGCCGATCAACCTGGGGAGTTCCTCCGACAGCTTGTTCGGTTGAGTCGCGCCCATCACCAGGGAAATCCGCTCCCCGAGATCAACACAAGAAGAGACGCGATGGCCTTCACTGCGCTGAACGAGGGGATTAGATTGAAACCCTACCAGGACCACCTTGGCTACTGGACCGTCGGGGTCGGCCACAAGCTGGGTGGCCCGGAGGAACTGGACGCGAAAACTAAGCTGCCGAAGCGAGGAACGAGTGCTTATTCCGAGGCGGAAATCGAAGCGCTTTTTTTTCGAGACTACGAGGAGCATGCGAGAACTGCTGCGAAAAACGTGCCAATATTCGCTTATCTCAATGAAGCAGGCCAGGCCGCGCTGGTCGACTTGTACTTTAACATGGGCGCGGGAACGATGGCGAAATTTAGGCAGTTTCACGCGGCGCTGAGAGAAGTGCTCGAACTGAATGACGAGAAAGGCGATAGAGCCGTTGAAATCGCGACAAATGCACTTTTGTACAGAGATGCGTTTTATCCGGAAAAGGGTCCATCCGGATACGCGGCGCAGCATCAGCAGCAGGAGAAGAACGGGCAACTATCACGGCCGAAAAAAGTTGCGAAGATGCTGCGCGACTCACTAGAGAAATTTCGCGAAACAAACAAGAAATCAGTGCGCGGCTGACGACGCAAGGTAAAGGTAAAGGTAGGTACAAGAGAATTACTCGAGGCTAAGTGGTGTACTAATTTTTTTATTTGGTGCTTGTTATTAATTTTGCTGAAACACGCACGCAGCTGTTTTTTCTTGAATCGCATTCCTTACCCCGTCGAATTCACAAATTTGTTGTAAAGAAAAAGAGGACACCGTAACGCTGCTGCAGTATGTAGAATTTTTGTACCACAGCGACCGACGTGTACGTGACACTGACACTAAGAAAAAGAAAAAGCTTCAGCTTGTGGCGAGCAAAGGCCCCCAACCACAGTGACACACCATGCGATGTTGATATTTCGAAAAACCTTTCACTAGTGTTGACTTTCTTCTATAAAGGGAGCAGCTAAAAAATTGTTCGACCGCGCACCAGGGCGGCAAAGGAAACATGATCAGACTCAGAGGTTGCCATTCTTACTGTGGAAGATCCTTTGGTATGTTCATCGACGAGCTGGGGGTCTCCAGAAGTCTTTATGTAATGAGCCACACCGCGATGGATCTTACGCTCAATGGTTGGGTAAATGCATCGGGAGCCTTGCTGATGCGAGATAGTTGTTGTGCGAAAAGGAGATCGTCGAGATCATCTGGAATTCAGTACGTCACAATCCCATAGATGAAAAACTAGCAACGTATGCTTCGCCTGTAGAAGTGTGAAAAAAAATTAAGTTATTCCGCTAGAGCGAAAAACAAAAAATAGAACCAGAACAGGAAGTCAAAAACTCCTGCTCTGTTTCAGTTGATCTCGTTCTTTCTGCCAGGTCGGACTTCGGGTTGGAGCGCCCGCCATCAGTTCGCTATATAGCGAACTCATGGCGGGGACCTGGTCGGACCTCGGGGTGGAGTGCCCGCCATCAGTTCGCTATATCGCGAGCTGATGGCGGGCAGCCGGTCGGGCCTCGGGCTGAGGTGCCCGGGGACCTGGTCGGACCTCGGGGTGGGGCGCCCGCCACCAGTTCGCTATATAGCGAACTGATGGTGGGCAGCTGGTCGAGCATCGGGTTGGAGTGCCAGCTGTTTAAGATTTTGAGAGCCTGCGGCGTCGCATTTTCTGCCAGCGCCGAAAACGCTTTCTTTATCCAGCTTTCACCGCCTTGCGTGCTATTGCTTGTGCAATTCCCCATAAGTTTTTCAAATTCTGCCGTTGGCCTTCTGCTGCACGCTTTGCCTTTCTCCGCTTGCTTGCAATTTTCATTTTTTGCTTTTACTTTCTACCTTTAGTTTTTACTTTTAGACTTTCCTTTTAGTTTTAAGCTTTTACGTAGTCTTTACTTATAGTTTTTACTTTTAGCTTTGTTTATGTTTTGCTTTTGCCTTTTACTTTTAGCTTTTACTTTTGGCTTTTACTTTTAGCTTTTCCTTTTAGCTTTTACTTTTAGCTTTTAGCTTTTAGCTTTTAGCTTTTAGCTTTTAGCTTTTAGCTTTTAGCTTTTAGCTTTTAGCTTTTAGCTTTTAGCTTTTAGCTTTTAGCTTTTAGCTTTTAGCTTTTAGCTTTTAGCTTTTAGCTTTTAGCTTTTAGCTTTTAGCTTTTAGCTTTTGCTTTTACTTTTGGCTTTCGCTTTTAGTTTTTAACTTTAGCTTTTACCTTTAGCTTTTACCTTTAGCTTTTACCTTTAGCTTTTGCTTTTAGCTTTTGCTTTTAGTTTTTAGCTTTTGCTTATTACTTTTAGCTTTTGCTTTTTACTTTTGTTTTTTGTTTTTACTTTTTGGCTTTCACTTGCGGAATAATAGTTTGGCCATCACACTCTTACTCTTAGCAAGGGATAGATTAATATGCGATATTTTACCTCTAGATGGTAAGCCGTCTATCTCAACGACCCGTACCTATTTCATCATCAAAAATTACAATTACCACAGCTAGCGATTCAGACACTCGTCGTGGTACTTTGACGCGATAGTTATTTTTCAGAAGTGTGACTTTGAGTTCTATACACTAGTTGTTTAAAAATTCAGTACCGTCTATCGAGGGTCGTTGGAATAAGAGGCAACGCCAATCACCACGGTATAAAGGAAAGGAAAGTAAAAACCCAAAGTCGCATTAACGCACGGTATTGCTTTCCGATCTTTCGTTTCTTTTTTCTGACCTAGATTTTTTTCCAGGACTGACACAAAAAAATGGCCTTGTCCGCTACCAAGAAAGCGATTTTCAGCCTTTTCGTGCTGCTAGGAAGTAGTTCTTCCATGAGCGGCACCAGCATCTGCATCCTGGTGAGCGCTAAAAAATCAGCCTCGCCCACCACGACTGGGTTTCAGAAAAAACTTTCCCGTACGGAGTCGGGCGACTCGAACCAAAATTCGACACAGGCTCCAGCGTCGCCTCTGCAGCGCTCGCTGTCTGCCGATCCTTCGCCGCGGAATAATACTGAAGGGATCAGTGTCGTGTCTTGTGATGAAATTCAAAATCTGGTGACAGATCGCCATCGGCGCAGCGTCAAGGTTCGCTTTGAAATTGTGGAAAAAAATGGGCGGAAGCTGCACGACAATCCCATCAATGTCACTTTTCCGGACCACCGGCCCATGCGGGCCCTTTACGACACGGCCGCGAGGTTGATCAAAAACTCGGACGTTACTAGTGAGCAGATCGAACTTAAGAGAATCGCCACAAAAAATGGCCAGCGTGAGTACAATCTCAGGTGGAACTCTACCAACCGGAGCCTAGCTTTGGCGAACTTTCCGACTTTGTTTCCCACGGGGGAGGGAGCGCCGGCTGTTCACCTTCAGGTGAAGGTGAACCCGGATCGGGTTCTTGTGAAGGAACCAAGCACGACGACGCATAGTACGGAAATAAAGAACGCAAAGGAAAAATCAAACCTGGTGCAACACCACGCAAACAAGGAAAACATGCAGCAGGACCAAATCGCACACAGGATGAAGGTAGAAGAGTGGATGAAGAAGCACGCCGGGGGCAAGTTTCACGTGCGAGGCGAGCGGCCGCCGGTAGAGACGCCAAAGGATAATCTGGCCCGGATTCTCTCCATGCGCGGTCCTGATGCGCCCAAGCAGCAATGCCATCCACTTTTGCGGCCGTGCTAAGTACTTACCGATTCATCGTCATGTCATTCAGTAGTAAACAGTTCTGAGTCTGACGAATCGTGATACGCGGTCGACATCGCTTGATATTTATGATTTTGAATCTAAAGGGAACTACTAGTTTCAAATGTTTTGAGGAGAGGCGTTGTTGTCTTTCACTACAGCATTACATGTCGAGCACGACAATATCATGATGCATCTCGATAGTTGTTGTACTGTTAAGTTGTATTCATCGAGAATTTTAGATAGCACTGGATGGGAGAATACTGGTTTTGAAAACCCCCTGGTTCTCTGCCCGGCGGGAGCAACTTTCTTGCTGCGCAATGGCCATGGCTTGGTTGCAAGTGCAACAGAGCCTGATGTGATGCTCACTGCGCAAGACCGCAAATGTTTCGCTGTCACCATGCTTATTTCGAGATATGTGCGAAAGACAAGAAAAAGAATCTGATGAGACAAAGCAGAACCCGAAGCAAGCAGATTCTGCAGATGTGCACCAGCAGTGTATCCAGAATGTTCGCGTCGAAGCTACTATCTGTTTCTCTTATGGCTTCACTTTCAATTCCAGCATAAAAGTGCTCGCGCTGCAAACACTACTACTAGCAGCAGCAATCTATATCTTATCGTATGAACATGAAGTAGATCATGATGAGGAAAATGAAAAATACTTCTGATACTCACTACGTACTCACTATTTCGATTTCCGTGAGAATGAAAAAGATGAAATTTTCGCTTGCTGCTCTTTAGAGACCGATCGTAATCGATGGAAATGAGGGGTCGTAAAGATTGCATCACGTCATCATGTCGAAGCTCGAGCTCGTAGGGAACGATAGCGATTCCGATTCATTCCTTTTGGAATGATGTTGTCACGATTAAGTAATAGCGTACTCCAGGAAACAAGCAACTTCTAGTACTCGAATTTTATTCTGACAGCGACAACAGAGCTTATGTTTGCTTTATCGTGTTTGATATTGCTGCTGTGTAAAATTCCTATCCCTCATGTGTTGCTGCTCTTGGTTTTGACTTTGACATTGATATGGTAACGCTAAAGGTAATGTATGATATAGTTCTAGTTTATCATCTTTCATCATTGATGTTGCAGCAGACTTTTGGTCAGTTTTGTATTTGAGGAGCCATTGGTTCATATTACAGTGCAAAATTTAAACTTCCCTCGCTCTGGAATGCTACACAGCAACATTATCGATTTTTACAACTACGTCCATCTAGATTTATGTTTGTTGTATTGATGCAGTCATGAGCTTTTCCTTTTTCCCATCTTCAGCGCGCAACAAGAAAAGTTCCTGCAAGCAGAAGTTCCTTTCTCGCAAAATGAAATTTCTTCCAAACTTTTCCAACCAGCTCTCCAGTGTAGCATGTTTCTTGTTTTTGGGCACCATTAGTACAAGGAGTACAGCAACATTGGTAGATGCAAAATCTATGTTGCTCCCTCCGGACGAAAAAACGAAAACTCGTTTTGATCAGGAAAATCCCACGACGATGGTGCCCATTACGACAGAAAGTAGAACAGCCGCCAGCAGTCTTGACGAGCAGCGGGGACCGGTAGATGAAACTGCTGGTTGCAGAAAATCCTTCCGGCGAGCTGCGGTTGTAGATAATCAACATTGTGCAACAAGCGACGGCAACAAGAGCAGCAGCTCGTCGTCCGACGTACTCTCTTCAGTTGGCGGGTCGCCTGCTGCGAAGCGCCGCAAAGTGGAGTTTTTTCAGGACGAGATTCCCAGCGAAGCCTTACCCTGGCTAAAGGACCAAATCGGGACGGCGCCGCGGTTGAAACGCGAGAGACCTCCACAGGAAGACGATTGTATTGATGGCAGTTATAGATATAGAAGTAGAACCGCTAGTGGTAGTGCCTCCGCGTCATCCTCCTCTTCGGCGCTACTGCTGCGCGAAGGAGCAGAAGTATGTAACCTCGGTCGGGGCTCCTTCTTGACCAAAAGGCGACGAGTAGAATTCAGCTGCAGCAACACCGGCGGGGTTCCACCAACATCTGGAAGAAGACGCAGTAGAAGATCGTTCTTGGAGGAAACAAGAGCAGCGTGGGGCGCGGCGAGCAGCAGCACCAGTTCAGGAAGTAGCGCTGCGGGGAGTGGCGACGAACAAGATTATACTAGTTCGCAGCAGAGACCAGCACAACAACCGGAGCAGGAGCCCGACACTGATACGACGACCGCGAGTCCCGGGAAAAGTCCCGGGGGAGGACAAGACGACCATGGCAATAGAGACGCAGATGAGCAAACCAGTACGGAAGTAAACTCGGAAACGGAAGACGACGAGCAGCTTGAGCACGACGATGATCTTTTTCTATCAAGAGTTAAAGGTAGAGTGGATCAACGTGGCCTAGAAGAACTACAACAATCTGAATCTGCACGACCCGCCTACACCCCTGCCGAGAAGCATCACAGAAAAATTCTGATGACATTACGGCAAAAACCGTTGGAGTCCTGCGAAGTGGAAGCGAAAAAAACGGAAAAGTGGGTGGAGCACCAGGAAAAGACCTACATTTATTTTGACGGGAGAAGACCATCTTGGCCAAAAATGAGTAGTCCTTCCGGCGCTCTCGCTTCGACCACCGCAGGACGAGCGGCTTCAGCATCTTCCTCGACAGGAGAACCACAAATAGCCGCTGGGCAGCACAAGCAAGTCTTTTTTGAAAAGTACCCGAGTGCTTTTCAGTTCAAACACGATCAGGAGAGGAAGTGCGAGATTTTCGAAGCGATGGTGCTGCGGATCGTAAAAGCCGCCAGCTTGGAAGATTACCACCCGTTCCCGTCGATTTGCAATGACTGGGTGCGGATGTGTAATGTGAATGCGCAGCAGGCTGACGGAGATGGAGCTGTACCGCGGTCATCTTCATCAACTAGTAGTTTTCCTACAGCACCACAGGCCGCGGGACCACATCGGCCACAGCACGAAAGGGGTACAACTGCTGGTAGCCGCCACACCGCGCAAGTGGACTTTCTGCAAAAGCTGGTCGATAAAGCGGAGAGGAAAGTGACCTCGATCATTCACACACGGAAAATCAATCTAGGGCACGACGATCGACGTCACGTCGTGCCAACAAGTACTACGGACGACGTCGAACAAGATCATGGCGATGACTTTGTGAGCATTCGTTTCGTCGGCGACCAGTGTTCCAAGGCGGTTCGATTCAACAAAAACGCCCTGGTGGCGGAGTTGTTTCAGGAAGCGGCCCGGTTGTTTGAAAACCCAGAGAACGCGAGGGAGAACATCGACGAAAGCGTGATTGATTTGTTGTACCCCATGGATAGCAGCGCATCGGCCAGCGGCTCATGGTCCGCCGGAAGTGGGGCGATGTCCTCTGGAGAAGCTGCACCAGCTGCGCAGCATCAAGTGTTCTACCCCATGCGCGGATTTCTGCAGCAAGACGAGTCGGAGTCTTTGGCTAACTCGGGTCGGTTTGACAACTCCATTGCCCTCCACGTCCGGGTGATGAAACCGAGGAGCAAGCGCTCGCGGGGAGATGTTGAAGATGATACAACCACGGGGGCGGTCGTGGGGATGCCCTGGTGTGGAAAAATAGTAGACGGCGACCCTCCTGGTTCTGTGGACTTTCACTTTGACGAGGTTGATGAAGAAGATGAAATGGACTACGATATGGAAGACCAACAGGGTTTGGGTTCGGCGTCACAACAACAGCACGAGCCGACCTCTGCTAGTTCAACAGAAATATTATTACCTGGCAGCGTCGCAACGGCCGCTGCCGCACCGGCGGAGGCCAATAGCACTATGGCAGCAGCGCATGCGCAGTCAGGACAAGGTGGACGAGATTCGGATCCAATTATTACGACGAGATTGCCACACCCGTTGCTGCAACAGGCCCTGAACAATATCAGCATGGCAGCAGCGCAGTCAGGACAAGGTGGAGGACGAGATGATTCGGATCCAATTATTACGACGAGATTGCCACACCCGTTGCTGCAACAGGCCCTGAACAATATCAGCAATGAAAACCGCAACCGCGCCGCTAATCTGAATCATGGCAATGGGGTGTCAATGTTCTTACCCGGTTCGCCTGATAGTAGTACAATGGGAGCAGGTGGAGGTGACTCGTCGCCACCATTGTCCCCGCGTCCGTTTGAACTCGTCGAGGGAACCTACCACATCGGGCCGGACATGCGCTTGCACAGGGTGCAGAGGTACCCGCCTGTGTAGGTCCGCCTTTCTTAGATTGAGCGATTGCTTCAGGGGGGATGAACGAGGTGGATGTGCAGGCACGGTCACGGAAGAATCTTCTGAGAGTGGTTCTAGCAGGTCGATTTTTGGATTATGGAAGAAACAAATATACTAAGTACATAAATCAAGGTCATAATCGCCGGCGGCAGATTCTTTTTCAGACTTAATAACTCAGCAGTTGCGCATACGTGTCTTATTTTGAAAAATTAAACCACGCACCTGCACAGCTCACCTATCTTGATGTGTCGCGAACCTGTAATGAGACTTGAAAACGTCGAGAAATAAACCGGCACTTTTTATTCGAGAAAGAAAAAATGAATTAGATGAATCATTCCTTCGAAATTTGAGAAAGCCAAGTTTTTTCTGCGGTAGGAGAAACACATACACAAGGAGAAAAGAACCATGTTGATGTTGGTTGCGGGATGAATAAATAGATTCTATCTAAGCAAAAACCATTATCTTATGACACAGAAGAACGTGCAGAAGTTGTAACCACAGTGTGTTGATTGTGTAGCAAATGGGATTTTTTTCTCCTTCAACAGCGACAAGACAAAGAACGAGCCCTGATTGCGATGCCATTCTCGCCGGTATTGAGAACTTTCGAACAAGGAAGCGTGTTCGCGAATGTATCTAGACCTCCTTTTGGAGGTAGTAGCAACTAAAGCACATTAGGACAATGAAGATGTGAAATTCAAATTCGTAGCAGGGATTATAATCTATCTCAACATGGTCGTGCAATCGCTTGTGTAGAAAAGCAGAAACACGGCACAGTCAGACACAAGAGTAAGACAGAGGAGGGTGCAAAGAAATGAAAGACCTTCCACCTTGATGCTGTGATCCATGACCACGAATACTACCACACCAGGGGTCGACGTTGGCGTCTCCGCTCATACATGTATGAACCACATAAACCATAACCATATAGTAAGTATGTAAGTAGAGTTGTAGTATTAGTTTTTAGTAGTTCATGTTGCGTCTGGAATGACAAAAATAGTGAGAAAATTCCAAGTGTAAGTTCGTCATTCCGATGACATACGAAAGAAAGAACCGACCGCTTTAGGAGAACGAGCGTTCGCTGAATTTCATGTACTTAGTTACATCGGCAAGAACCGGAGTTGATAGCTAGCTTATGTATCGATCCAATCGAGAAAGAAACACAAACAACTATAAGAGAGGAAGATGGACCGGCGTACTCGTGTCGACTTCGTGAACTACTCGTCCATATGAACTGCAAAAATGTCTGGGTCTGGAAGATTTCAACTTGTCATGCCGTTTTGGAACTGTAAAAAAATTTGTATTGCATGACCAGCAAGAGGGGTGCAGTTTTTGCTACGCGGACAGGGCATTTCTCATGCGGAAGGTGCATCAGAAAGCCCTCTAAAAGTCTGCGATGCTAGGTCAAGCATTACAGGCATCATGGGTCATGAGAAATATGCATGTTGACAAGTCTTGCATTCTTTTTCTTCCAGACCCAGACATTTTTGCATTTGATAGTCCATCGAGTACCGATTCGGCGGCGAGTACTTCGAGTCCGGGACCTGGCGGGATGCAAAAGTGAAGGAAAACAGCATTCCCAAAGCTGCCGGGCAACAGCAGCAGCAACAGCAGCCGCTTACCGGGAATTCGCCGGCGAAGTCTAGCACTTCGCCCTCCGTACTACTAAAGAAGGAACAACTGCCGGCGAAGAAGAAGGATGGCAGTTTACCGGGTAGCACGTCGATCTCCTTCGTGAATAACTCGTGGGTAGCCGGGGTCGCGGGCTACGTCTACTACATCGGCTCGGATGGGAGCTGTATCCACAGAAAAAAACCCATCCACATCCATTTTTTGCATGGCAAACACATGATTTGATACGTGTTTTGCATCACAAATTGGATGTGGATGGGTTTTTTTCTGTGGATAAGCTGTATCGAAATCGCTTTCAAGCACCCCATGATCGGGAGTAACTATGCTGTGCAAAAGTATCGTACTCGTAGTAATCGCAGTCATGCATTACAAATCTCCTTCTTAACCTAAATCCGCATTGCAAATTCCATTTTTCATGCTGAGGGAATTTGTCATGCGATTTCTACTAGTACGATGCTTTTGCAGTTCATAGTAACTTGTTTACCGCAAGAAGACACTCGACCTTTACCGGGAATGCGAAGGTAATATATGATGTCCTGGTGATGTTGCCATTGTCCAGCGTTGCGCTTGCGTATAATTTTTGATGCGGCGCACCCAAACGCTTGCGCTTTAGTTCGTTGCTTTTCGCATTTATTATTTTCCAGGTCGACAGCAGGCAGTAGATCTAGATTAGCGACTCGGACGAGGCCACATATTCATAATCCAAAACCCAGGCTCTTTTCGAGTGCGCCCCGGAAGCCGCTCCGGAAGGTGGCAAGACCCGGTCGAAGCAGTCCAACCTCGGCTGGGTCACAGTGAAGAATTCCGCCGAGGACATGCGAATAACCGTGGTGATACCAGACACAGCGACAGACGACTTACAGAATGACGAGGTGTTCAAGATGATCGCGCAGCAACACATCCTCTGTCCCTCCTACGCCACCGTGAGCCACCAGGGCACCACCGCCATGACCCCCGGCACGCCGGGGGATTACAACGGAGGAACGAACTTCGACCCGCCAGACCGACTCTCCCCCGGCGGCGCGGACGGTGCGGCCAGGACGTTTGTGGTGCAAATCGAAAACCGGAGTGAAGAGGAATTCATTTTTGACGGGGATTTCTTCATCGGCGGGCAGTGGGGCGGGCGGAAACCGCACATCAAGCCAAGTGGTAGTAGTAAGCCTACTAGTTCATCGACGTCTACTACGCCAAGTAGCAGCGCTGTCGGTGCTGAACAGAGAACGAACAACCCTGCTTCCCCCTCCAAAGCGCGGTCCAAGGACACGACGACACTGACGTTTAAGTCCGACGCGCTAATGCAGGGAATACAGGGGCTGACGTGGTTTGTCAACGCGAGGAACATGCAGAAATACCTGTGCTTGTGCTTCTCCAATCCCATGTTCGGCGACGGCATTTTCTTCGCCTCCTGCGGCCACCCACCACACGAATTGAAGGAGGTGCTGGTGGAAAGCCAGGCGACGTTGGCGGGTATTTTTACAATGAGTTCTTTCGTCAGTAGTTTGAAGATTTCTCGGCTGATGAGTTTGAGTTTATTGGTGATCGTGATGAGTTTGAATATATCATGTCGTGAGGGAACTACAGGTGCAGTCGGTTGGCTCTTGCTTGGATCCGCTACTTTGAAGTAAGTATTAACGGAAGTAAGAAGAAAACAAAAATCACCTGCACAATAAAACCCAAAAAAACAACTACAACAACAGCGATGGGCACGGACAAACTACACTCCCGTCCGGAGCAGGGCGTCGCGTGGCAAGTGGTCGAGATGAGTGCGTCGTGCCACCGCGTGAAGCTCATCATCCTGGAAAAGCTGCCGTCCATCGACTGGGGCCTCTACCCACCACCCAAGCCCAAAGTCAGGAGAAGAAGCAGCACGGACCAGGTGCCGTCAGGTACTAAGTGTATCAGATATTAGAAAGTTTGTGTTTGCGGAACTCTATTGCGTGTACTAGCGTCTTTACCGTTCGTCGGTGCTGCAGATCATAAAGCGAGGAGTAAGTACGAAGATGGCCGCGTACTTACTATCACACTGAACTATAACAATTTTTCCACACGACAGCCACCTCCACCCCTTCCACAGCCGCTCCGGACGGCAAAACCGAGACGATTTCTATCCCTGAAACCCCGCCGGAGCCCTCAGAACCGGAGGTGGAGAACAACTACCAACTGATGCTCCGCAAGGATGACAAGAAGGACGGCGAAGTCGACGTGGTCACCGCGACTCTGGATAGTACGCGGCCGCGCGACGCTTTGGACGGATTAGGCCAAGGGTTAATGGCCGCTGGCGGCGGGATTCTGGCCGGGTTCGCCGCGCTCGTCGCGTCCCCGATCGTCGGCGCGCAGCAGGACGGCGTGTCCGGGTTTTTCACCGGATTGGGCAAAGGAGCGGTCGGCGCGGTGGCGCTCTCCGCGGGTGGAGTTGTGGCCGGGACGACGCAAATTGTCCGCGGGGTGGCGAACACGCCGGAGGCGCTGTCGCAGGGGAGCAACATGAAGTGGGACAGCACTCTGGGGAAGTGGGTGGACGACACGGTGAATTTGCGGGAATTGGAGTCCGGAAAATTGGAAGAGTCCGAGTCGGAAGAGGAGGAAACAGAGGAGTTGAAGGATAAGTTCGGGGAGAAAGTTTTAGAAACCGAATACTACGACTTACTCGGCGTCCCCGCGACCGCCACCCCGGGGGAAATCAAGAAAGCCTACTACAAGAAGGCCCTGGTCTGCCACCCGGACAAGAACCCAAACGATCCAGAAGCGCACAAGAAGTTCCAGGAGCTGAGTCAGGCGTATAAATACATTGTTTTCATCTTGTGGCTGTGGTTTTAGATTTTTCGTGTATCTATGCTAAAATGAAATGCTTCTTGTGTGTGGTCCCTTCTTTCTCCTATATGTGCACGACTTACCGAAGTCGAGGAAGTTTTTTTTTTTTTTTATCAACATGATGTGACAAATGTGAATTGATATCGCTTTTAATACTCGTCACAGCTACCAAATCCTGTCCGACCCGCAGCTTCGCGAGACATACAACCGAGTTGGAAAATCCGGACTCTCCCAGCAAGACATGCCGGACATTGACCCCGCGCTCTTCTTTTCCGTCCTCTTCGGGTCCGAACAGTTCGAGGGCTACATTGGCAAGTTGTACATCGCATCACAAGCCGAGTCCCTGATGCAGAAACTGCAGAAGAAGGAACAGGTGGACAACTTGGAGCAGGACATCAAGAACGGCAAAGTTGATTCCCTAGTCACCGACAAGAGCAAGAACACCGCGAAACGGCTGAAGCGGAACCAGGTCCGCCGGGAGATCAAGCTCGCCATCGCGTTACGCGACCGGCTGAAGCCCTGGGTGTTGCTCCGGGACGAGAAAAACTTTCTCGCCGCCATCGCGGCGGAGGCACAGGAGCTGAAGAAGGCGAGCTTCGGACAGCGGATGCTTGCGACGATCGGGTTCATCTACGAAAACAAGGCGGAGCAGTACCTCGCGGAGCAGGGCGGTGAATGGAGCCTGTTTTCCGCCTCCGGGTGGAAGGAAACGGGGGCGAAGACGCAGCGGAACATGCGGTTAGTCGGGCAGTTGACGAACGCGGGTCTAGCACTCAAGAAGCTCCACGCAGAAGCGCAGAAACTGGACGAGGAAGATTTGAAAGAGGAGGGAGATGAGCAAGCGGATAAAGCTGCAGCAGCAGAGAAGAAGGACGGCGATGTTGGCGGTGACAACAAGAAGGACAGCGCCAGTGCAGCTTCTAGTGCATCTGCTGCTCCGGGAGGTGCCGCAGCATCAGCTAGTACATCTTCACCCAGTAAAAGCGCTGCAGCTGCTGGCGCGACCCCAAAGGGAGGTCCTGCTGGGACGAATACTGCATCAACCTCTTCAACGTCCGCCGGCGCAGCAGGAACAGCATCAGGAGCCCAATCTTCATCAACAGGAGCAGCAGCAGGCACTGCAACTACAGGCGGGACAACATCTTCAGCAGCCCAAGCTCCGTCAAAGCCAGCCCTTACCCCAGAAGAGGAAGCGAAGAAGAAGCAGCAGCAGGAAAGGAAGAAGCAGGAGCGCAAAGCCGCTGCAGCCCGGGAGATGGAACAGTCGCTGCCGATCTTTTTGGAGATCATCTGGGAGTTTTCCGCCTCCGACATTGAGTCCACCGTCGCGTCGGTGTGTAAATTCTTCCTCTACGACGTGTCCGTCCCGTGGATTCTGCGCATCCGCCGGGCCGCGGCGTTGCAGCGCGTGGGACGGATTTTTCAGGACATCGCGACCATGACGGACAAGGAATTAGATTCCGCGGACGCGAAATCAAAGCTGGAGCAGGCCTTTGTCACCACGATAACGAAGGAAAAAGGGAAAGAGAAGGAGGGCGGCAAGGGGAGTGGTAACACGCCGACCAGCGGCGGGGCGAAGGCGTGAGCTGTAGAGGAGTGATGACGATCGTCGTGCGCTTGTTAACCTGTGGTCCCTGTACTGGATAGATAGATCAAATAAACCATGCTGACGCACGATATTTTTGGAGATGAAGACTAGCCATTGTATCAGGAGACTACCTAGTAGTCGTGGCGCAGACAGAAAATGGACTTGAAAGCGACTTTTTTTTACAAGAAGATTTTCCGGCAAGATTGATTCATACTTTACACATACGCGACTCCGCGGCTATCTTATGTTTTTCCTGCCCTCCCAGTCTACAGACTTCACTCACCTCAATAAAGATAGACGTCGCCCTTCGTCTGTTTTCATGTCACGACGACGGCGACGCGCAGCTAGCAATAGCATCGCCTGCATCTGCTGCCCCGTTTTCTTCAACCCACGTGAGTGACCCACAAACAGAAAGAAACCTGCTGCACAGACAACATGACTTCTTAGAGCAGTAACATTTTCCCATGTAGCATTTTATGGCAAAGGCACATGATCATGCGCCAAAAGGAAAAGCAAGAAGGAGAAAATGAAACTCAGCGCCTTGTTCTACAAAGAAAACGCCAACAGCCTCGGGCTCCGGACGGCTGAGCTTGTCTCTGCGCCGGCCGCACCCCATACGACGGTGGTAGGTCATGTTCTCGCCGCTGGCTTTCTCATGAGGAAGAAGAGCTAGGAGCATGCCACAACCGTGCGCGCGCCTTACGACATACATCTTAGGGCTTTTGCCTGTGCAAGCAAGAAAGAAGCCACAGCCAGATGAGCCTGCGCCGGCCGGGCGCGATCGCGTTCGCGCTTTCAACCGCGGGGCCCCTTTGCGGCTTTATGTCGCGGGCCATCGCCGCCGCCCTTCTCTGTCGCGCGGTGGCCGCTCGCGGTCCTGCCCGCTTTGTTGGAGTTGCGCCGCTTGGCGGAAGGCCCGGAACCGGAAGCCCCGCGGGAACCCCAGGCGGCCCCGAATCTTTCCCGGATGTTTCGCCGCCGCGCCGAGGGGGCCGGCGGGGGGCCATGCGCACCGCGAACAGCCGGCGCGCTTGACAGCAATCACTAGCACCGGGCGGCTCGCCCAAGAAGTCAGTCGGGCCAGCCCTGGGAGGGGTGGCCCTAGCCTTAGGGAGCGCCGCCCCGAGAAAGCGGGCCGCGTGCGTAGTATTGGTGGCGCGCGGGTGCGCGGCCCGTCTCGTAGTCCCGTCCCGAAGGAACGCGCCGAAGCGCTTCGCTGCGGTGTGTGGGTGCCTGCGCTTTATGTGAGTGCCCGGGCGAGTGGTTTCGAAGATATTGCGCCCGGGCTTTCAACGTACTAAGCGGGGGCCCTTCCCGCCTACCCCGGAGGTAGGCTCGCCGGCAGCAGTGAAGTCGAGCGACCAGCGCACGGGCTGGCTCTCGTGCGGGGAAAGCTGTTGCCGCGGCCTCCCGGCGGCCTGTGCATTGGGAGGCTGGCGCTTTGCCTCAGCGTTTACCCGCACCCGCCCGGGCGCGGGTCGACCGGTCTCTCCCGCGTTTCTACGCGCGCAGAGACCGGCGAAGCCCAACATCCGGAACGTTTTGGGGACGAGAGCGAAAGCCCAGCCCTATGGCGCCCAAATTTATGGTCGCTGCGGTTGCGAATTTGCGAGGTTACGGGAAGCGGGCATGGCTTTGGAGAGCTGCAAGCAAATTCGCGCGGACGAGCGAAGTAGCTCGGGCGGTAGCTCCGTCGCCCGCGGCGTGGGGGCCGGGGCGGGGGGCCTGCCTGCGTGCCAGCTCCCGCCTCGGCGGCCGGGGGCGGAAGCAAACTGAAACGGGGAGGCGGGCGCCGCGGAGCAACCGCAACAAGTCGAGGGGGCCGTCGCCCGGGGGAGTCGAAGAAAACGGAGGGGAGCGGGGGCGGAAAGGCCGGCGCCCGCCATCCTTACCCGGCAAGGCCCGTCCGTCGCGCAGACCGCAAACAGCCGCAGCGGCCGCGTCCTGCCCCGTTCCGTTGGGCGGTATGAAAACGCTGCGCGGTGATTTGTGGCCATCGGTCTAACAATCTATCACCGCGAGCCTTTGGCAGTAAGTGTGAGTGTAAAACCAAACCCAAGACCACGCCTGGCGCTTTGGTCGGATCTGAACGCCGTGGCATTTCGTTTTTGTTTGGTTTTTGGCTTGGGCCCGTGGTTGTCTTCGTGTTGTTTATGTTTTCTTATCTATGACAGCCTCGGGCCGGCCAGCGGTGGCTCATTTTTCAAGCAAGCGACGCCTGCTATTTTTGCCGCCGTCCTGGGCCACGTGGGGAGCAAGCGCATTGACGGCCCTAAAAGTGCGGCAGAGTCCCAAGCGAAGCAGCTGCAATCCAAGGCGGCCGGCGCAGTGCTCTGGAACGGAAGAGGAGCAGGGGGGCCAGGCGGGCCCCTCCGCGCGCGCGCGCTCCTGTTCTTCGTTCTATCCATCCGCGTCCCGCCGCAGCCAGGTCCGCGGGAGGGTGCGCCCTCGCGGCCTCGTTGCCCTCCTTCCATCCGGTGGCGCGGCCGGCCTTGTTCGGTGTGCCGGGTTGAACTTGTTTTCGTCCGCCCGGCCCCGCCGCAGCCGCGCGGCGCAACTCTGGGAGAAAAGGGGCGGGGCACGCATGTGACCCCCGTACAGCTACAGGGGCGCGGGCGTGGGCCTTCGTGTGGTAAGTGATTGAGGGCAGGCCGGCGCCTTTTTATCGGCACACCGCGCCGCCAGCACGGTGTCGCCCGCCCCCCCGGCAATCTCGAGGCACGCGGCTTGCTGCCGGTTTGCCATCCATGTTGCTGGTGCAGACCAGCACGCTCCGCCATGCGTCTACGAATGGGTCCGTGTGCCATGTGATCGAAGGGAAAAGATAAGAGCACTCGCCAGGCCTCTGCGGCGTTGATTATTCTATCTTTGCAATTGCATTCTAGTGATGGCCATCACCAAGCGGCACAAGCTCCGTCCTCACCTTCCTATGCCATCTGCAGTTGCTCGATGGATGAATACGAACTGCCGCTCGGCATTTGGATTTGCATCATTTCTAGTAAGTATGTATTTCGAGACCCCGAGGGAGCCTTTCACAACTCGTTTCGTGCGCCATGAGGGCAAAATAACAAGCCGCAATGCCGCCAGAAGGAAGTAGGACCAAGGCGCAGCCGTGTTTGCTTTTGTGAAAGCACACGTATGTGAAGCGACAGTGTGGCTCCGGCTCGGCATTGAGAGATAAACTTAAAATAGTAAAGGAAAACCCGACGAGAACGTGGTAGACACCAAATCCAAAGAGAGAGCCTTCAAATGAAAAACGTAGAACGAGATGGTGCAGAACTGGCCAAGCCTGCACGTCGAACGTAAGCCTCCGGCGCACTTTCTTATTTTCAGTAGTGACGTGCAGCTCCGGCTTCTGTTCCTTTCAGTTTTTCGTTTTTGTCGCAGTGTTCTACATGACCAACAAGAGCTAGAACATGGAAGTCCAAGTCTTGTTGTGAAGTTCAGCGCTTTTTCTTTTCACCCATCGCGCATCAACAATGTCAAAGCCGAGAAACATTCGCGCATCCCTTTCGAGTCCAAGCCAGCAGTTCTCGGACCCTGGCAGCCAGGCCTTGATGAACACGTTTGGCGTCATGATGCCGGATCCCGATCCCGCCCCCCTTTCCGTCCACGATTTTGAGGGGGTGCCGCTCGATCCAAATGAAGCCGCTGCGCAGAAGCTGTTCCTGGAGCAGCCAGGGCATGGTCTTCATGGGAGCAACAAAAGAACAACCCAGCAGAAAGACCAGGAGTTCCTGCTAGGGAATGGCAGTTTCGGGAGTGTGCAGAAAGTCAGGCGGCGCGGGACTAACGATGTCTTCGCCTTGAAGATCATGAAGAACGCCGATGTTTTATCTGGTATAGCGATCCTCGATAGGAAAGTTGTACGCAGTAAAGATGAAGTTGTTTTTCGGCACGGAGTTAGCTCGAACTAGCTACATCAGCGCATTTTGACCATCTTGATAAAAATGATGAGTCGTGTCGTGTAGCTGCTAAGTGGTAAAGAAATTACTTACAACCTCGCACAAGAACGACAAGAAAAGACTCGTCGCAACAACAAGGTAATCTGACAGCCCAAGTGGAGCGCGAAATCGGGATCCAGCGGTCCTGCAACCACGAGAACGTCCTCCGACTCCACGCGGACTTCAAGGACGAGAACTGCACCTACATGCTGCTGGAGTACTGCCCGAACGGGGAACTGTACCAGATCCTGAAGAAGGCCACCTTCTTTTCCGAAAGACGGGCCTGCCAGTACTTTCTCCACGTGAGCAACGGACTGCAGCACCTGCACACGAACAACATCATCCACAGAGACTTGAAGCCGGAAAATCTGTTGGTGTCCAACCATGACGTGATCAAAATCGCGGACTTCGGCTGGTGCGCCGAGTGTGTTTGTGTCAGAAACGGAGCAAGAAGTGCAACCTCTGGGACGAGTTTTCATTCAAGTAAGGTGAACAAGAGGAAGCGGAATGTCGACTCGTCTCCGATGCAGAAGGCACGGATTCTGGCACCGCAGTTGAATTTGAAGTGGTCGCCGTTGGAGAGAAGGAGAAAGGCAAAGGACGATCAAGGTCGTGGCGAAGCAGGTGATTCCGCTACTTCATCTCCAACTGAAGAGGAAGCAGGCAAGGAAGATGATCTCTCGGACCACTATCGCGACCCCACTACGAGTTCTGCTTCGTCTCCTCCCCTCCGCCGTTTCACTTTCTGTGGCACGCTGGACTACCTTGCGCCGGAGATGATCGAGGGCACAGGGCACGACCACAACGTGGATGTGTGGATGGCGGTATCCACAAAAAAGGACCGATTCCCATCCAATTTGTCATGCAAATCATGCATCAAGTTCAGTGTTTGCCATGCCCATGCGCATGCAGACAATGGTAATGGATGGGGGTTGGTGCTGTTTTTTCCTGGATAGGCGGGGGTGCTGCTGTACGAAATGGTGAAGGGAAAGCCCCCGTTCTACTCCCCAAACCACGCCCTGCTGATCCAGCGGATTCTGAATCTGCAAATCCAATGGCAACTGGGGAATCTGCAGATCTCGAAGAGTGTCCGAACCCTGATAACGAAGATGCTGAAGCCGAAAGCGGGTGAGAGGGTGTCGCTAGCGGAGTTAGAGACCGACAAGTGGGTGTTGGAAAACACAAGCATGACGCTGCTGGAGGAGCAGACCGGCGTTGGCTCTTTCCGCCCGGCGTCGAGGACGAATTCCGGGTGCGGTGGAGGGACCGCCGCGGGAAAGGGAAGACAAGGTACAACTAAGCGAGAACTGAGTTTTTTGCAGGTTGTTTGCACGAACGTAGTTTGTGTTGCATGGACATGAAGATGTTGTACAACTTAGAACACAAGTCTTTATTGCACCATCGCTAAATCACCTCCTCCGGCATAAGAAAAAAATATCAACATCAGATGTGGACATCCCAGAAACGCCTACGGTCATGGGTCGCGAACTGAAGGCCACTCCCGCTGCCCCGGCAGCGGTGAATAGCTTGGCAAGTTTTGGAGTGCCGGCTCACGTGCCGGTCGTGGCCGAAGTGACGGCGGGAGCGGTTGAGAAAGGTAAAGCAAGCGAAATTACTCAGCGTCTTCAGCTTGAGGAGTGAGGTTTATCTTTCTGTGCTGCTCCTATGTATTGCCTTGAAACTCGAGCTACTTTGTTTTTGATGTTGGATTTTCTCTCCAATAAAACCAGACGCCGGGGACGTAAATCTCTCTGCTCTTTCGTTACAGGTCTACTCGCGGGTATAGCAGCTTCATCGCAATCGGACGTGGTGCTTGATGTCGCGGAGCAGCCAAAAATGTTCCCGGAAAAGAACTTCGCCAAATCCACCTCGAGCTCGAAAAACCGTTCCGTGTCGAGGACGAAGCCGGAGACCACGACTCACACGATTAACAACCCAGCAAGTACTTCGGCGATATCCACATCCTCCTCCAGTACTACAACAGGTACTTGTACCAGTCGAACCAACAGCCGTATCGGCCGCCCGCCACCGACCACAACGAGCACGAACGCGCGACGAGTGTCGCCGAAACCGGTGGCCAGGTCTTCGCCGAAGCCGATGAACAGGGTCCTATTTCCCTCGCGGGTCGGAGGTGGTGGCGGTGGCGGGGGTTCTTCCTCTAGCAGCGGGGCGACGTCGTCGAGTGGGCAACACAGTTCCTACCCCAGCCATTCCTCCGGTGCGCAGTCCGTACAGGTGCAGAACCGGGTGCTGGGGGTTCGAGCGGTGAGGAGTCACACGACCAGCAACTTCGCAGGTGGTCAGGTGGGTGGATCATCTTCAAGCTCATCCTCTACTCCGTCTTCTTCAGGGGCGGCGGGACAGCAGTTGCAACCTGCTTCGTCCACTGTTGCTGGTGGTGCAAATGGTAATCCGCACAGGAAGAGTCCATTTTTCACCACGACAACGACGACAACAACCACTTCAGCCACCACTGCAGCATCGTCGGCGCAGCAGTCTTCGAAGACAGCCACAGCACCGATCGTCGACGTGAGCTTGCAAGAGGACAAGGCGAATTCGACCACGTCCATCAAGAGCTTGGTTGGGAATTTGAACACGGAAGCAGCCTTGGAAGCGATATCAGTGTCTAGCGTGGAAGTGGATCACGTAGAAATAGGACTTGTGCCAGAGGAACACCAGCCGACGAAGGAAATTCATTTGGTTTCCCCCGAAGATCTTGATGAAGGCATAGACAACGTGAACATCATCAAAGGAGGAGAGAGCAACAAGAAGGTTGATGAAACAATCTCAATCCAGGAAGATGAAAGAGAACCCGTCTTCGCAAAAATAAAGCCATCTGCCGGTGCAGCAGTCATTCCTGCTTTTTCCCCAGCGGCGATCTCGCCAAAAATCTTATCGCGCGAGCCGTCTGCAAATTTGAAATCTTTTGGCACTTCGATGCTGCAGGTGCCCGGGTTTTCGCAACGTGGCAAGTTGGTTTTGAACCACAATGTCGCTGACAGCAGGAGGCCGAAAATTATGGAGCAGATGAAGCTCTTTTCTGCCAAAAATCACGACGGTGTTATAGCAGGTGGTGGTCCAGCAGGCGAGGCGGAAATTTCATCAAAAAAGAAGGAGCAGACAGGAGATCATACCACCGCCGTCGCGACACAGCTCTTACAAAGGAAGAAACTGCACCCGTACCTGCAGGACTTGCTTCAGAAGGACATCGAGGAGCTGGAAGAAAAAAGAAAGGTTCGAGAGGAACAACTTAATCTGAAAGTCGCGCCGGCAAAAGAAGCGGATGACCAGCAGAAGATGAAGCCACGCTTCGAGTCTGCCGCCCGGTCGCCCATGTTGATCCCCCGCATGGTCCCTTTCACGCCCCTGGTCGGCGCGAGGGGAATTATCACCCCGCGAGGCGGTGTTGGGATGGGCAATCTAGCGGGAACCGCTGGCGGCGGTGGCGGAGCAGCGAGTTTTGCGTTCAAAATGGCATCTCCCGCGGGTGGTGGGACTTCAACGCAGCAGCCATTATTGCAGAAAAACCTCCGCGCGAGCGCTGCGCAACTGCAAACCGTGTCTGAAGCCGCCGCTGCGTCGTCTTCTTCACTGAGCAAAAACGTGATGACACAGGAGGCGCAAAAAATCGGCGCATCGAAGACCCTAAAAATTGCTGATGTGAAGAAAGGCGAAAACGAGAGCAACAGGAAAACTTCAAAGGGGGCGTCTCCAGACGGGGAGAACTCTGCAGCGGAAGAAGTTGAGAACAGAGGTCACTCGGCGTCAAGTACAACTAGCAGTACGACCAGACACCGGCTAAGTACCTCCGGGAAAGTTCTTTACAACATAAGTCCACAACATTCATCCTCTTCCGAGGCAGAGCCACAGCAAGAACCCGCGCAACTACTTTCCGCAAGAGCTTCACCGGCTGTTGGCACAACTGCTTCTGCTCAACAGCCTGCCAAAACGCCAGCGGTGCCACAGTTCGTCCGCGGAGCGACAAGCACGCACGTTTTGTCTTCGTCCTCATCCTCTGCCTCGCTGTATAAAAATTCCGAGCAGCAGAGCTCGCAGCTACGACCATGGACCAACAAGCACATCAATCCTGACAACTACGACTCCAGCGGTGGTCGTACTAAGGGTCCCGCCCCCCTCGCGAACAGTTCTTCGACGAAATACATCTTAGCCGCAAACGCAATGCAGTCCAGATCGAAGTCCACTGCTTGCCTCCGAGCAGAAAACTACGAAGACGCGAAGAATTACGCGGTGCCGACCCAAACCTCGCAGTTTCGGAAGTTAGCGGTCGCATCGAGTACGAAACCAACGTGGAAGGCGAAAAGTAGGACAACTGGGTCGGGAGCAGGAACAGCGGTAGCATCTTCGAGCAGTTGTAACTGGCCGAGGAGTTTTGCCGCTAGCACAGTGTCGAGCATGGCGAAGATCAAATCGACTAACAGCAACGGGACGTCGTGTTCTGGCGTAGAAGTAGCGACGTCGTCCATTGCGAGTGGGGCGGCAGAAGTGTTGGCCGCGGGTGGAATTGATCCTGCTGAGCCATCTCTCGATGCAGGAGCGCTTGCTAGTGCTAGTAGCGGCACTGCCGCACTGCAGCCGCATCGTTCCAGGTCGAGGAGTAAGGAGAAAGAGAAAACCACTGAACAAATTGCGAAGAGGAACTTGGATGATGTTCTTGTGGATGGGGCGCAACACAAATCCGACCCGGTAATCGGTCCTAGCTCGGGTTCTTTGGTAGACCGGAACGCGCATGCAGGGAAACAAGAAGGTCAACAAGGTCGTAGGACGCAAAGCGATGAACCTGAGACGGTCGTGCCGGCATCTTCAGGTGAAAAACCGGCTGGTGTGGTAGAAAATGATAGCAGCAATCACGACGATGGACAGGTCGAGATGAAACCTCCCGAGTTTACTGCTCCGAGTACCACGACGAAAGACCACACTAAAGTTGTCCTCGCTCCAAGCGCAACTTTTTTTCAGCAGGAGCTTTTCGAGGACGAAAAACACAAAACCGATGTTTCTACGCCGCGAGCTAGTGATTCCCGAATGCTAGTAATCAGGCCCGCCGGCGCGCCAGCAGTGTCCTTTACAGCCTCGGCATCCTCCCGAACGGCCAGCGTCGTTGGGAAAAATCCGCACCACTTGGCTCCTTCGCAAGCCCAGCTAAACCAGCAGCCGAGACTTGCGCAGAGCAGTGGCCCGCCGTCCTTTAGCACGAGAAGGTACATGACGCCGGTGCAGTTTACGGCAACATCTAGTACAAGTGCGGCAAGAACGCCGAACCATGCAGCTACTGGCTCCGGCGTGCAACTCCTAGCACACCACCACCACCAGCACCCTTCGGCATCCCCTGGAGGTGGTCATCAGCAGCTGCATAATTTTCAGACTATCAAGAAGCCAAATTTCACGACCACGACCCTTGCAACTTCCGCAAGCACTACGGCGTTGCAGAAGATGATGCACAGGCCCAGTGGCATTAAGACCAGTGCAGAAGTACTAGAAGACGACGCGCCGGACGACGACCACGCTTTTACCGAAGAACAGCGAGCAAAATCCTCACAGTTGTCTTCACCAGCGACAGCAAGCTGCGCTGCAACAGCAAAGAACACTGGAACTGGATCTATTACTTCCGGTCTTGTTTTGACATCAAGCAAGTTTCCACAAAACAAAAGCACGAAGCCGCTCTTCCCCCCGCGCGTGCAGATGCAAATCCGGAGTCCAACGCCGTTTCTCAACGTCACAACGACGCCGACGTCCGCGGCCACACCGTTAGTTATGAACAGGCCAATGAACAAACTGGGGACCATGACCAGTCCGATGTTTAGCCAGCGACCGTTGTTAACACCGATGACCCGGACGGTATCGGTGAGGAGAGGTGGTGGGGACGAGGGAATGGTCAAAGCGGAGGCGTTGGCCGTGGACTTGAGGTTTGATGTCGAGAAAAAAGTGAAAGAATAGGTATGAAAATGAATAGCGAAGATGAATCAAAATTACGGAATATGGAATGGATTCGAGAGCGTCGACATCTAATGATGACTCATCATGAGTAGATCTACTTCATGTTATTATCTCATTCACAGACTGTTTCCGGTTCCGCTTCACTGACTGAGTGCCATAGCGGCCGCGGTGGAAGCTATGTAAGAACATCGACTAGAAGAAGCATTACGAGAACAAGTATAAATATCTTTCGCGTGGTACCTGATGTGCGCTTGTGATGTATGTGTATCCCCGAGGACCCTACGAATGACCCTCAATTTCTCATTACGATATATTTTACTTTTTTTTGTGGCGACACGACATCACGTCGAGGAGCAAAGTATTATGTAATGATGATGTCAACAAAATAAATCAAATCATAGAAACAAACGATAACAAGATAAAGGCTACCTCCCCATGTAATGACTGACATGAAATTCCCGTTAATGAACAGCATGTATGGAAAAAATGAAGAATCTATTACCCACGGAGTGGGATGCCACTCGCTGCCCTTTTTTGGGCGGTCGATTGCGATCAGGTATGAAATAAGGAAGCTGATTTGTACGCCTGTGTTCTTGCGGTTGCGGATCCTCTCCACCCGACTTCGGTCGCCAGTGTTGTAGTTATTACAGGGGTCTTCATGCCCATGCGACTGCATAGATCGAGTCGGGCCGACGTTGCAGCGAATGAAAGGGGCGGGCGGCAGTGGGTAGATGCGCGCGCGTTCTCCTGCGCGCAGTAGGTAAAGAACCCCGCGCCGGCCCTGCGTCGTCCTCTGCGTGGCGCGCGGTGCGGCCACCTCTCTCCGCGCCTGTGCGTGGAGCAGCCCGAAGGAAGCAACTGAAGGCGGAGCGAAGGGGCCCGAGGGAATTCCGAAAAGCAGCCGGGGCGGAGGGCATGCGCGGGCAGCCCGTGCGCGCCCCACCTTCTCAGGGGGGGCAGCAAGCTATGGCCTGCGCGGGCCGGCCCCCCCAAGATCGTTCGATGGCGTGGGGCGCATGGGGGTGGTGTTGTAATAGCTGGTGGAGCCAACTTTGCTAGATCTTAAGACTACAGCCGCTCCGCAAGACAAAAAGCAACAGCACCCCGGAAATTCCGACGAACGCAGCGGCTCTCCCGGGGAGCCGCGTGATCCACTGCGGATTTTATCTGGCTCCGGAAAAGGTGGGGCCGGGGCCGGTTGTCATACATGCGCTCGCCTTGTATATTGAAACGCACTTGGCAGACGAGTTAGACTGGGACCGTTCCAGCCGCCACCGGGCTGCTTCAATTCACGGGGCGCGGAGCTGCTGACTTTTTGGCGCTTTCTGGGAGTTGCGCAAAAAGGCACAGTTGGCAGGCACTTGGCGGCCCCAACGCGGCCGCGTTAGTTCTTTGCCAGCCCCTCTGCCGGCCCCGCCCCCTTCCGGGGGGGCTGGCGTGTGGCCCCGCGCGCATTCTGGCCCCCATTGGGCCGCGCCGGCCATTTGGGGCGTGGGTGCTCCCCCCGGAAGGGGCTTCTGCGCCGATCGATCTCGCGCGCCTCGTGCGCGAATTATTTTCGAATGCCTTGCAGGCCCGATTCGAAAAAGGCCCCGCCGGAAGCGCGCTTTGGATGGCGGCCGCCGCCTTGCGAGCAATTGTGGAGGGGACGCAGAGGGGCGCCGACGAGGTGCGTGCTTTGGGGAGGCTTTTGGTTGGTTGGAGGGCGCGGGGGTGGGGCGGCTTGGCCGCTTGGGCCGCCCGTGCACGTGCTAGCTTTGCGCAGGCACGGCGCGCCTGGGGCCTTTGCCGCGCCCGCGCCCCGGCGGGCCGGCCTCCTTGAATGGCTGGCGCGCGGTGGGCTTTGGCTCTTCTGCCATAAGTATGGGTCTACCTAGAGGCCGGCCCGCCGGCCGGGCCGCCCCGCCCCGCCTTGCTTGGCCGTTGCGCCCTTTCATTTTCGGCCGCCCTCGCCCGCTTCGGCCTCTGTTTGTTCGGCCCCGCGGTATTGCTTGGGTGGTGATTTGCCTCGGCGCGCCGCGCGGATTCTTTTTCGTTCGGTGACTTTGCGTGGTGGGCGCCTCGTCTATTGGGTTGCTCCGCCTGGCTGTAGTGCCCGGCTACCATGATTGGGCCTGTTGATTCAGCACGCGTGCCTCTTTTTCGTGTCTGTGGTGTGTGTGCATAGTTTTTGTTGTATAGCTGTCGCCCGCTAGCGATTTATGGCGGATTGTTGTCGGGGCAGCCGGTCCTTGTCTCTGACAGTGAGTATTGCGCGCCAAACATGTGTTCGTCGGTAGGAGCTAGAAGAAGTGGAAGAAGATTGACGAGTCGTGGCAAAATTTTCAATGTCATTGCACCTGATGAACAGCAACTGTCTGAACGCAGCGGCGGGCGCGGAGGCAGCTAAAGTGCATAATTACTGTGTATGATCTGCTTCGTGCGGTTTCTTGATGTAGTTCACATTGTAGTTTTGATATCCACCAGTTCCGCCAGAAGTGAGTCATCTTCTTGTAGCGGAGGAGCATTAGTGTATTGCAGACTGCTTCTTCTTCTTGCAATACGAATACAGTCTTCGTTGCAGCTGCTGTAGCTTTTGGTTTTCCGGTGCGAGGAGTATCAGCATTTCCCCGACCATGAAAAAGCTCATCTCCAAGTTCACTTCCCCGTCGGGGAAGTCGCCGTCCGCGGTGCATCCGTCTCCCAGCATGGGTGTCATTCCTTCGTCCACTTCCACCAACGCCTTTGGAGATCGGAACTCCCCGATGAACCCAGGTCACAACAAGCGTGGCAGTTCCGCGAGTTGCAGTGCTTCGCCTGTGATGGAGCGGAGTGCGTCCTACGCCGGCGCCGGCACAGCAAGCAGTTCCACCAACGCAGCACACCATGACCACAAAGAAGGAACTTCTGCTCAACACCCGCAGCCCCTGCCTTCCCAGCACATCAACTCGACATCGAAACGGCCACAGGCGCTGTCCTCCTCCTCCAAGCGGAGCTCCGCAGTTGGGACGGGAAATTCCCGACGGCAGTCCATTGCGGAAACGCAGCAGATGCTCCGGAACATAATCCCGCCGCAGGGGAACAGCACCTTTCCCTCGTCGCAACAACACGCCGGCACGGGCTCAATCAACAACAATCTGCTGCTGTCGGCGAATTCGCCGAACCAGTCGAAGAAAGTGGGCGGAAAAATCGAAAACCCGTGCCCGAGCCCCTCCATGAGCATGGTGTTGCAAAATGGAGGCGCGCTGCCCGGGAACCCAGGGAACAATGCGATGAACGGTGCGGCGGGTGGTGGAAATAGTTCTAATCGGATGATGAACGTCGCGCCAGCGAACAGCGTCAGAAACTCCATGAACGCAGGAAACAACAACTCCCAGCAACTAGGAGCGGGCACAACTACAGGTTCAAAACCGATGCGGCAGCTATCCCACGGGGAAATCCACACTGCGTCGAACAAATTGGGGGATGCAATGAAACAGAACGGCGTCGGATCGATTTCTACTTCGAGATCAGCCGGGCAATTTCAGCGCATGTCGGAATCCACGATGCAGAATCTCACGCCGGATAAGATCGTCAGTCCGCAGAGAGACGAAGGCGGCGGAGATGGACCGAGCAAAACTTTTGCTTCGGATGGGGGCGACGTGGTGTTCAACATAAACATCGTGGCGCCAAGGTACTTCATTAATTTGAAAAAATGCAACATGCTTTTTGGTGTTTTTTTGCATTTGCTGCTTTCGACATACAAGAACGCCTGAAACAGAACAAGAAACACTCTGATGCAACAAGGCGCACATCAAATCAAGCGAACACAAAACCAGATCCGGTGCCTCCCGGAGTAGTAGCTCGGGCATGCTGCGATCCTCCTCAGAATCGGACGACGACGACGAGGACGATGACGACCGAAAATTTCAGATTGAAGACGAGAAACGCCGGTCCATCACCGGAGTGGGCAAGCGGTCGTCGATGAATCTGAATGCGAAGGAGACGACCGACCTACAGACGAAAATCAAGACGCAGACGCTGAAGATCCAGGAATTAGAAGCGACGAGCAGGAGGGATTCCTTTCGAGCGGACAGTGCGGAAGCAGAAGTGGAAAGATTGCAGATGGAGGAGAAAAGTATATTGGCGTTGCATTTTTTATCCGAGATTGTTTTCTGTCGTGCCAAGTCTGAGGATCTGCACAGAAAAGGTTGAAAATGAAAAAAAAAAAATGTACTTGCAGCAGCAGCCTGAGCTTGACCTCACGGGTCAGATTTTTCTTGTCGCGCATGCAAAAGCAAAACGTAAAACAGTGCGCAAGATCCAGATCCAGAAGCTGGAAGAGGAATTGAGACGACAGAAACTGGGGGAAAACCCGTACTCAACCACCTCCTCCAGTGACTCGGATGACGACGATGATTACTCGGACGAAGAGAACAACCAAGGGGGCTTTACGATTGTGCGCACCAACACGGAGGGGAGAGACCAGACGTCCGAAGTGATAACCAGGTAACTTCTTTGTTTTATGTAGCTTTGACGACGTCGTAAGACTAAGACTACGATGATGAGATGATGACACGACAGTCGTGTCGTCATCTCATCAGTTGTGCCACCATCTGCCTTGTTGTTTAGTCATAGTCATTTTTATTTACGAACCAAATTTCCAGGCTCGACCCCACCCGCAGCGTCGACTTGAAAAACAAGGACGGATCCTGCCGCGCCTCCTCCAGTTCGCAAGCACAGAAACAGAACAAACGGGACAAAAAACGGAACAAAAACAAACCCGGAGGAGGCGTTGGAGGAGCGTCCTCCTCTGCCAATAATCCCAATGCAGTAGCAGGTGCTAGTGCCGCTAGCGGCGGTGCAGCAGCGTCTGACGCACGGGTGAAGAAATTAGAACGGGAAATCGCTTTGGTGCGCAAGCAGGGGGTAGAGAAGGACCACGAGGTCATCAGATTGAAATCTGAGGTCGAAGTGTTAAAGAACAAGTGCAAAGCGACGACCCAAACGCGAGTCCAGATCGAGAAAATGCGGAACGAAATGACCGAGCAGCAGAAGAAAAACGAGCAGAGTGAGCAGAAGCTCAAGCAGCAAATCCAGCATTGGCAAAACCAAGTGGCGAAATTTCGGAAGTTGAATACAGTAGTGGAGAACGTCCGTGCGGAGTTGAGTGGCAGCGGGAACGGCGGAATTCCCGGGGGAGCAACTGGGCCTGGCGGCAGCGAGGACGGCTGTTTGAGTACAATTTTTTGTTGCCAATTTTTTCGTGTTGTTCTAGAGCTTAAATTCTTTTCGGTCGTCTGTTGATGTTGGTTTCTCCTATTTTCTCTGTTCTGGTCTTGCCACGGTTTCTCGTTTCATGCCATACTGGATCTCCGTCAACAAATATTCGAAGGAGTGAAAACTAGTACTAGGAAATCACGTAGTAGTACACCATGGCTGCACTACGATTACGATTTGTACTTCATGATCCATGCGTTATTGTACAAACTACAACCACGACATCAGCCCTCGCTTGCCAGAACCTGGTTAGCCACCAGCAAGGCGACGAAACGACTACGAACGCACTGTCCTTCGAAATCGCGCGCGACATGAAGGTGTGCGACTACCTGCGCCAAGAGCTCCTGTCCGGGGAGCTCGCCACGCGGCGGTCCATCGTTTCCCAGATGCCGTCGGCTTGTCAGAGCCGGATCATGTCTCGCCAGGGCTCGCTCTCCAAGTTAAACAAAAGCGGCGCCGCGACCAAGAATAACGGAAGCAAGCTGGGCAGTCGGCTGGGTAGCAGAACGAACAGTAACGACCAGCTTGGCTCTGGCGGCGCTGCAGGTAGTTCTGGGACTACTGCGGGTGGAGCAGGTGGAACAACGAACACTAGTAGTGCCGGCAATGCTGGAGCAGCACCAGCGGGTGCCGTAGCAAGTGCAGCTGGTGGTGGAGAACAAAATCACAATCAGCAGTCCAGTGCGAGTGCTCCTGCCGCAGCTAGTACAACGACTGCAGTGTCGGCAACTTCGAAGCCAGCGGGCGGGAGTACTAGTGCGACAGCTCCCGCGAATGTCAAAATTACAGCGCCGCAGTCTACTGCATCCAAGTAGACGAAATGAGATCGCGGCCGTCGACAACATGACCGACTAGTGATAGATAGTGTTGTACCAAGAAATAGGAGCAATAATTCTTTCAACAGACTGGTGACGAGAAGCTGCTTTTTAGTTTTTATCCAGTGGTTGATCAACAACTCACGTTTGGAAGCTTCTCCTTTTTATGTTTCGGTTGATGTATGATAGAGATTGCGTTTCATCGCTGCATTTCATTGTTCAGTATCGAGAAGAAATACTGATGGCTAAAAGTAAAAATTCATACAGTGTCATGAAGTAATACGTGAGGCTGCGGCCGCGAAAGACAAAAGAGAAAGACGCCTCGACTTTGGTGTCATTGACGTGCTGCATCATGAAATCCTTTTACTTAATTTCGAAGTGAGAGAAGCGAAGTTCTTGTGTAAAGACATGGACAACTACACCATAAGTGCCCGGAGGTGATGACGAAAACACACTTCACATTGTAGCAGGTATGGATTCGGACGAGTTTTAGAGTTTCAGTTTCACTTTTACATGAACGACAAAGACACCTCCTTTGCGCTAAAAGCATGTGGTGCGAGATGAAGGAGGATAGAGCAAAACATTCACGCAAAAATGGCTCTATAATCAATGAAGATTCACTTGTTGGTTTTCGAGAACAGGAAAATTTTGCAATTGCTCGGTTCTCGTTTTTTTTTTCCTGTTCTGTTTCGGTCTTTTCTACACCCCTGCCCTGGTCGTGCACCAGAATGACGAGAAATAGTAAAGAGCCAGAGAGGTGTGAGGACCCCTTGGGCTTGGATAGCATCAGATACTGAGAGTGAGGGCGTCAGTGTGAGGAGTTCAATTCTCTTCATCTACGCTTTCCTATGCAGTTCCGGCTGTTTCATTCTGAGAGGTTGTATGTGCAAATTTCTCAATGAAGACGCGAGAATCTGGACGATGGAATTTCCGTGTCCAGGAGTGAGGCTGCTGCAATTGTTGGTTACGGAACTCTTAGTTTTCTACATCATATCGTAGAAACGCATGAACCCAACGTAAAATTAAAAACAGGACACAGATACACAGACATTCGCGCACCCCATGATTTTAGCTACCCTCAAAAACACTCTCTTACTCTTCCATTTTTGTATCGATAGCAATAGCTCTTGCTGGTTCTTTGATTCATCTCTGTTTTCTCTCACTCTACTGTATAGATCGTAGTTACCCACTTCTCTACCCGCCCTGAAAATGAAGATAGGTGTCTATTCTGCTCCCCATTTTTATTGCCGAACGAAAAAAATATAAATCATTCTTGTTCTTCTTCTTTATCTTTCTCCCCGACCCCGTCATGTACATGTTTTCAATCGTGAACTACATCGAGCCAGGTCGAAAACGGGTGTTCAATGGTTCTTGGCCTAAATGTTGACGACGCTTTCTTCTCACGACTTCTTCGCATGACCACGGGCCGGATCATGCCACCGGGTGTGATAGACCAAGGCGTGGGCCCACCCTGGACGGTGGAATACGATCCGAACAACGGTAGACCCTATTACTACAACACCCAGACCGGCACAGTCTCCTGGACCAAGCCCGGTGAGCAGTGGAGTTTATGAACTGCAAAAGTATCGTACTAGTCGTAATTGCAATACAAATTAGAAGCTCAGCATGACAAATGGAATTTGTCATGCTGTTTTGCCTTGGGATGGAGATTTGTAACGCATGATGATGATTGCAATTACTACGAGTACGATACTTTTGCACAGGATAGAGTTTGAGCTACGATAACGTTTCGAATCAGCAGTACTGGATCGATGCGCAGGGCAACACAAAACCGCTGCAGCCGTACCTTTTTGAGCGATTTTTTTGTGTTGTTTCTAGTATAGGTCGCGCTTTCTGCATGCCTTGATTTCGTTTCCAGTATCTAAATTCAAATTGCAGACGAGACTATCAGATGGCTGCGAACTTCATTCTCAACATAACATCGTGATGAAAACAAAAAACCGATACAAAAACAGGCCCACGGTGGCCTCCGGCTCCCGACCCGCTACCCCACGAGGTGGTGGATCCACGACGCCGCGCCTCACCCCGCGATCGTCCATCCCCGACTGGTTTTCCCAGAACAAAGACTCGCTGCTTTCCGCCAAGTCCATGCAGCCGAAAAACCAGTACGCAGCGGAGGAGGAGATGCGGTTCCAGCAGCAGCTTCTTTTCCAGCAAAATCCGAATCTCATCCCCGGGATGGGGGTAGGGACACCGAGAAATAACCACCGGCCGGACCCGTACCTCTACACACCCGAGGACGCCATGGTCGGGCACGGCTACAACGGTGGGCAGCATTCGGTGAGCGACAGTGTCGTGAGTTCCGCCATGGTGCCCAGGAACACCACCCCGCGGAAGTCGCGGGTGAGCCCCACGGGATCCAATTCTATCGCGGATTCGTTGCAGAGCCCCATCGTCCAGAACGGGCCGCCGGCGCTGCGGTTGTCCAGTAATTTGACCACGACCTCGTCGGTTTCGCACAGTCGCAGTTACAACCTCCCGCCGGGCAACCTTCGGGGCGAGGGCGAAAACGCCGGTCCGCTGAGCGGCGCCACGACCCCGCAACGGGGGCCGAGTCCGCAGGGAGTGGCGTCGATAGGGAAGACAATCATGTCGCCCGAGGTAGACGGGGCTGCAGGGGAGGACGTGATCTCCTACAGCCGGTCGCAGTCTCGATCCGTGGTCGAGCTTCTACTTAACGGCCGGCAAACGGTAAATGACAACGATGGAGCAGCATCAGAGGTCGTCACTACACCAAGAGGCAGTACAAGCATAAACCAGAACTACTCGCCTCGGTATGAGAAGGTCGGCACGCCGCGGCAGTCGACGCCGCGAGGAGGGATAAGTAGGAACTACGCAAGCAGCGCTGGTGTAGTTCCGAGAATACAGAATCTGAATGGGACACCAATCCATAATCGAAATAGCAACCAGCAAGCGCCGTCCGCCGCGGCGATACAGAATTTCAGAAGCGCCTCAATGGTGTCACCACGCAATAGCGCGTCCTCTACGACTGGTGGAGGTGGATCGTACCACTACAATAACGGCTCGTCGGTTCTTGTGTCCCCGCGGTACAGCAGCTCCACGCACGCCACGTCGACAAAAGACTCCTCCAGTGGCGCACCTGCCTCGTACGCTTCGTCGGCGTCTTTACAGCAGGAGCAAAGAACGAATGACCCGTACGGTACTTCTAGTAGTACTGTTGCACCAACTACAACCACCTCTACCCACCATCTTCAAGAGCAACAGCACGATCCTTACGCTACGTCTGCGGCTGCTCAAGGCTCCTCATCCAACGACCCGTATGCAGCTGCACCGGTCAGTCCTACCGCGGCCAGCAACGATCCCTACGCGTACAATAATAGCGCAGTGGATGAGCGGCAAGAGGAACAACACCAGCAGCAGCAGCAGTACTACGGTACTAGTGCAGGTGGGGGCTCGCAGAGCAGCACCTACTACAACAGTTCGACGTACCATCAGGGAGGTGCTAGTAGTGGTCAGCACCACCAGCAAGAACAGTATAACAGCTACGAGCAACAGAACTACAGCCAGTATCCGCCTGGGTATAATAATCTTCCAGAGAACTACGACCACTACCAGCAGCAGCAGCAACGGTCTGATTACCATTCTCGCCAGCAGGACTACTACGGCAACAGCTACCCACCACCTCTGCCAACCGAGCAAGGCTACCACGCAGGAATGGTGCAGCCCCGTCCTTTCGCTGGTGGTCCGGGTCACCAGGCACCAGGTCCAGGAGGGCAGCTGCCTCCGGGAGGACCGGGACCGCCTCCCGCCTCTCCCCAGTATATGAATAACCATCAGCATCAGCTGCCGCCGCAGCCCGTCCAGCCGCAGCCGCGCATACCCCTCTCGCAGGTCAATATGTCGGCCGCGGCGAACCTCCGAACGGGGGGGAATTCTTCAACGAGCATGATGCACCAAAACCTCGCAATGCACCAGAGAAATAACCTCCAACTCCAGGCGCAGTACTACGCGCCGGCCCAACCGCTGTTCGCCGAGCCGCAGTTCCATCCGGGGTACGGCATGCGCGGGGGTGGTGGTGGTCCTGTTCATCCCGGGGCAGGAGGTGGTCCACCGGGAGGAGGTAGCGACCGTGTGATGCCCGTCTACAACCAGAGTCGGGCGCCACAGCCGAGTCTGCAGCAGATGGATTTTGCGGCGGACCACGAAATGATGCACGGTTTAGAGGAGATGATCCGGGACCCCCGGGTCGCGCGCGAGCGGGACTTTTCCCCCGACGAACGGGACAAAATCAAGCGCTGGGTCCGCAAGGCGCAGGAGTTCAAGGGACAAATTGTCGAGGCTCTCGCCGATTACTTCTCGGACAGTAACCCCAACGACATACCCACGCCACAAATCTCGGGGGCGGCCACTTTCGCAGACGTATATACATAGTTCAGAAGTGATTCATCATTTCAACTGCTTGTGTGGAGATGCATTTTTTTCAAACCAATGGATAGTAGTCGTAGTGATTTCTCCATATCATTAATCATGATTTTTGTTTCGTGCGGCAATCTCTTCTCGTCGTAGAAAAAAAAAACAAAAAAATCTCCATTTTACAATACAGATGTACGATCAAGGCGGTTCTCATAACCAGAACGCGGCGCAGCACCGATACGAGCTCCCGGATGACCGCAGCGGCGGTGCGGACCAAGACAAGTCCAACTTGCGCGTGAAGATCGAGAGCAGTTTGGAGTTCCTCTTTTCGCGATTTCTGAGTGGCAAGAAGGAGAGCGATCCGGCCTTGCCCGGGGCGGAATACGCGTACAATCGCGGGAGAGCGCCACCAGATCCCTTTCCATAGTTGGAGATCGTGGGAAAAGAACTGCTATGTAGCCGCTCACATTCTGTTTGTTCTCGTATCATGAAGATCTGAAAGTAGATCTTCAACGAAGGAGAAAAAGATGAACACAAACAGTCGCTGTACAACTTGTGCGTAATGTTGCTGCCAGAATTTCAGCAGCACTGGGCACGTAACAACTCTGTTCTTCGAGCCATGCGCTGCTGCAGTTCGACTTTCAAGAAGGGATCACGAGCAAGATCTAGCTTTACGAATACGGAACAAGTTAAGTAATTATTGTTCTGTTTGGAAATCAATGGTAGAGCAGCCGGATCTGAAGATGAGGATCGAGTGTGCCTGCGCGGCTAGATTCAGACAACCGATCTAACTGTTTCAGCAGATCCCGATCTTTCTGCTTAATGGACCACATATTCACCGCAGTTCCAGATGCAGCGAGATCTTAGATCGTAGTCCAAAAAGCATCTATCATGTCTGCGATCTCTGTATTAGTCAGTGACACGGCTCCGATGTGGACGAAGCTGTGTCGGGTCTTCTCGGAATTTTTTTGCACGTTGTACTGATGTACTAGATGTACTTCTACTTGATCTTCATGCCCGTTAATTTCACAATTCTTCCTTCGCTTCTTTTTCTCCACAGGCTTCTTCCTAGTAGTCTGTTGCTAGGACCAAGATTATTCTTCACCTTACCGACGAGACTAAAACAACTGGAATTACCGACGGAGAAATATCGCGTTACTCGTATGATTCTTGTTTGCATCCCAATCGAAAACTTTGAAAGTTGCTTTTCACGAACGAAACAAAAAAAGAAAAAACGAAAAGTTGAAAGAAAAAAGAATAGAGCCAAGGCTCGATCTATCTCAGGTTATCCATATCGAATCTGTATTTAACTCTCCCACTGCCATTCTCTACTAAAGCCACACAATGTTGTCATCTCTTCTGCAATTTCACTCCCCGCGAGCCCGGCACGCGGAACGCTATGGGAACCGGCGGGACGTCCATAAAAATCTTCATGATTTTATTCCAGGGTCGCCGGCTCGGGCTCAGACTAGAGGCCTTTTTTGTCGGTATCGGACGCTGCTGGGGCTGGTGGTGGTCTTAGCGAGTGACTTCGGAGGAAGCACTTCTGTCCACGCGTCGAACGGTGCAGGAGCTGCCTCAACGGTTCACGATTCTACTGCAGAACAAGCACCAGCCGAACCAACCAGCACTGATGACTCGTCCTCCTACTTGGATTCGGCTTCTGATACCGAAGAATGCAACCCCGGCCTTGCAGCTTTGTTCGATGGTCCTCTACTGCATCCTGTTTCTTTACGACGAGCCTTGAACAAGAAGAAAGAGCCGGCGGCAAGAACACATCCAAGCGCCGGAGAGGCTAGTGCTGTTGCTGTAGCCGAGCCAGAACATGATCATACCGATGGAAAATCTGATACAACCTCTCAGGACCCTTTTCGCAGCTTTTTGTCCACCGCGTGGTCGAAGATGAAGCCAACTGAGGCTGAACTAGGTCAAGAAGTAGAACTACAAGCGGGCTGCAAGTTGAAGATCACTTCTCTCGCAGCGGGACCACCATCTGCTTCACCCCCACCTACAACTTCCGCGTCTCCCACTCGTCGTCGTCGGGGTTCGCCTCCTGCGCTACGAGCCGCGCCTGGTCTGGTCGCAGCCTTGAACTTAGCTCCAAGCACCATCCGCATCAAAGACGGGGGCCAGCGGATCGGCCCGAATTCGCAACGGATTCCGCCCGCGCCGTCCCTGGCCCAGAGCATGGGGGTGGTTGTGAATGTTGACGGAGAAGCAATGTTAGCCGAGAAAAACGCTAGCCGACTGGGCCGTGCTGGGGGTGGTGATCGGGGGGATGATGATGATGATGATGATGATGATGATCACTACCCCAGCAGGAGCCTGGTGGATGATGATGAAGTTCTTGAGCCCGGTGCCAGCGCTGGTGTCGTAGAAAAATCTCTTCCACGTCCCAGTAGTTGTCGTGGAGTATTGTGCGGCGGAAGTCCATCGTCCAGCAGTAGTTGTCGTGGAGTATTGTACGGCACCCTCCACCGACCGGACGCGGACGCTTTTACTGCGACGAGCCCTGCTCGAATAGAAGACGACACTTTGTCATCCTCGTCTTCAACTTCATTTATCAAAACCTCCGTAGGTGGAGGACGAGGGGGCGGGGATCCTCGTGGTCCTGGTCGTCAAAATGCTTCTGCAACGAGCAGCGCGTCCTCATCTTCCAGGGCTCGGCACAATCACTACGAGTACCTTGGAATTGCCAACAGGGCCGCGGCCGCGACCACATCCACAAGGCCACTACCGGTAGGGGAGTTGCTGCCGCGACGAGCAGCACGGGCCGTCGCCGTTGGAACTGCTTCTAGTACCCAAGTCGGCTCCTGCAGCGACAAGAACCCTAAGAACGGCAGCTTCATCGCGGACGAGCGCACGAGACGCAGAGTTACTTTTGCTGCAGGTGAAGGCTGTCATGAGGAGGATATCTTCCAGTCCCGTCACAGTCCTCCACCAGGCATCTGGTCCAGCCCGACCTATGCAGGGCCTGCTGCACAATCTCGCCGATCATTTCTTGGAAGCCGCGACGAAGTACAACAAGAGAATCGCGGCGCTGTTGGTGTCCTCGAAGAATCTGAATCCTCTCGATCATCTGCTACAAGAGATACACAGCGACAGCACGACGGCCACGCCGGGACGAGGCAGTATACTGATACAACTTCACCTTCAGGGATGAGTTATGATGCAGACAATGTTGTTGTTCACGGTGCCCCTCCTGGTCGATTTTGCTCCTCTGCTCCTCGTTCTGTCCCTGCGCTGCACGATTTCGTTGGGGAGGCGCTAGGACTAGCATCTCCGGATCCACCTCCCGGACCGTTCCACCGAAGTATGTATTTTTTCCCGTATCCAGCACTTGCAGTTGCACCTCCTCCGGGGCTTGAACACCTACGGCCGCCGCCCGTTAATCGTAATCCGAGTAGGCTACCCCAATACGGAGCAAAGGGGCGTGGGAAAGGAAAAGGCAAGCGTAAAGCTGGATATGCTGGCAGAAATTCCAGCATAGCGGAAGTAGGCGAAGGCACTAGTTCTTCGAGTCACGCGGGGGCGTCCAGAGACACTATCTTTTCGAGCAACTAACTGCCTTCCAGAGACACTAGTGAGTTTTTCGAGTAACGTGGTGGCTGTGCCGTCCAGACGAGACACTGGTTTTTCGACTAACAACATGTCGGAAGATTTGTATTCGTTTTGATGACAGCAAAAACAACAAGTCAAAGCTGTATTTCTCTCGAAATGTGGAACGAACTTTGCTCGCGGATGCTGCGTCATCAACTTCTTAATACACAATTATAGCAGCTACTGAAACCAAAACAGCTTTTCTCTTTGAAGCGCCACGGCTGCTACAACGGAGACTCGACTCATTGCAATTTTTTAGGGTTTTGTTGACAAGAATTTCATCAAACTCGGCTTCCATGACGCAGAATAGAACGACTTTTGCAGTTTCCACCGAACGTAAAATACATTCGCAATTGATACTACTACTTTCAGACTGAAAATACGAATACCGGAGCTGCAGCTAGCTCGATAACGGTATCAATCTTCAACGCAAGGATTAAGCTTTATAAACCTTATCCAGGCAGTGCAACATCGCCTACACATCTTCATCTATTGAATACGATCCACAGCACGATCTTGATGGGATAAAAAAACACGAAGAACAACATTCGAAGAAAAAAATGCCGGGGAGCTGCTTTTGACTTTTTGGACTTGAATGAAAGAAGATGAAGGTAAAAGATATGATAGAACTCCAGACAGAGGTCCTCCAGTCCAGATGCTGATACAACACTCATAGAAATGAATTTGAATACCGCTACTGCTATAAAGCCACAAAAATATTAACTCGGCCCTCCAGACATAAGGTCGCAGATCAAGGGTGGTAAGACTAAGACCAGGTCTGCGGTTTTGTTCGTTCCGGTACCTATTACATCTGACGCCTCCAGCAGTCCAATATCATGGTCGAGCGCATCACTCAAGGATCATCAGACGTGTTGGTGGTGCTTGATCTTGATCTCATGGTGATTGTTTTTGTTCTTCTGAAAGAATAACTGTGGGCGACCGTCGTATCTTGTTCTGTGTTGTATGGTGCCCGTGGTTTTGTACCTGTTCGTGATCATGCAGAAGGAACGACATTATGCGCTGGCGTAACAAAGAAGCTGGTTCCTTGAGCCAAAGAGAAGGATCTGATCCTCTACATTGTTCTGTTCGCACAAGCGACACAAGCGGAGATCATACATGATGCCGTCAGAAGAACAGGGCGACGTGTCGACGACAACCTCAAAGTGTCTGCAAATTTCTCGAAGCAGCTTTTGATTTTACGTCTGTGGTTTGTTTTTCTTTTCTTTCACAGTGCTTCTTGGTCTTTCTGACCACGTCGAGCTCTACTTCAGCAAGGAAGGGCGGTTTCTACGGTGTTTACTCGTGGTGCGTGACAGACTTCACCGGCATCTTACATCTGCTGCCAGTGATGAAGAAAAAATGAACGAAGAACTCTCTGGACCGCCCGCGTTCCTGTTCCCAAAGACCGGCAGGAGTATACGATGAAGCGCAGTAGACTCGTTGCCGCGCGGCGATCCGTGGTAGGGAGTAGCCGCAGTAGCACTACTAGAAGAGCAGCCCTGGAAACGCCTCGTCCTGTGCCACACCTCCCACCACATAGCTCTGTCTACCCAAGTGGGCGAGCAGTGACTGGCGTACGACAAGAAGTGCAGGATCAGCAGGAGCAGGACCTTCGTTGTCGTTCTAATTCTCATGATATTACACAACCACCTACAAGTGTTGTACCCCGCGACCAGCCGGACAGGAGCACGCACTTAAACATCCAGCATGACCTCCACCCTTCGCAGCACCGTCGACATCTTCGACACCGCCCGCTCTTGGGGCCGCCGCGTCTGCCTGCGCACGTCATGGCCCTGCAGACGGTTGGGGACGGGAAGAAGTTGAGTCACATTTTGAAGCAAAACAGCGTGCTGTTTGACGCGAACGATTGGGAGCTCGCGAAGTTTCAAATCGACGTACATCTAGATTCCATGGACGGGAAAGACCTGTGTCGGACCATCACGGCGCTGGCGCTGGCAGATGATGAAGAAGTACGTGATGAACATCATGTCCAAGAAGTAGAAGAACAGCCACAAGAACTAGTGTCCACGATGACAAAATCAAAATCATCATCGCCAGTTGTACTTCCGGACAAGGATAATGTCAACACCGGCGACGAGGTCCAAACTACACTAAAAGGCGAACAAGTTGGGGGTCTCGCAAGTACGCCAATTGGTTTCTCCCGACCGAGCAAAGACGAGGAATCTCGCCTTCTGCTCACGGTCGAACTAGGGGAACGGCTAAGCAGCCGCCTCTCTGCGCAGTTGCGACAACTCACCGTCGCGGAAATCGCAAACCTAGCACTGGTGCTCGGGACAACTTCCAATCGAAAGAATCTTAAAAAAGCCGCCCGCCTGCCGATTCTGGCGACCCTGGGCATTTCTGTGGCTATGCGGGCGCTTGAAGCGAAACCGACAGACGTGATCACCATGGCGAAAGCGTACTGCCTAACGGAAATCAAGGACGCTAGCTTGTTTGCGAGACTGGCCGCGATGGCGTTGCTAACCTTGCCCTTCTTCACCCGCAAGCAGTCGATCGACCTGCTAAAAAGCATGACGGAGCTCGGGTTCCGCCACGAAGGGCTCTTGCTCAAGGTGGCACAGACGAAGCTTTTTACTAATGGAAATGCAGTGTACAGTGCCGGTTCAGGTTCTTCAAGTACGCAACCAGCTGCATCTTCCTCTTCTTCTATATCTGCGGAGGAAATTCTCAACGTGGCGTTCGTGTATTCGAACTTTGAGTTGGTTGTGCCACAAGTGTGTCACCTGCTCGAGTCGCATTGGACGGTCGCGCTGGACGCGTTCCCACCACTTCTCGTGCCTTTGGAAGAAGAAAATAAAGATCACGTCGAACAAAATATTGGGGCTGCCGAAGATGGCGTTGATCTTGATGCCAGAAGTAGGCACGACACCAGCGCGGACGAGCAGGTCGAACGAAGTGGAAGTGCACATGTATTTACCAGTTGTCATGTTGGTTCTGCACCAGTATCAGGATCAGCATCACCTGGACGAGCTGCTGTAGAGCCTAGCCCAGATGAAGATGATGAGGAACTCCGGAGAGGTGGAGACAACGAGCAGCAGAGCAAATTGTACTGCCAAGATGGTACATCAGGAGCCACTGCCTGGTGCGAGGACACAACAGCCGACATCACAACACTTATATCTCTTTCACTTTCTTGCTCAGGATCTTCAGCTGATTCTTCCGCATCAGAAAGTGCTGTTTCACTGGCACAATTTCTCGTTTCCATCCACGAACTGGAGTTGTTAGAGATTCTACCGGACGTGGCCGCTGCAGTCCGGGCTCGGGTCAAGCTGGAGACTTTAATACTCGGAGGAGAGCAGCAGGTAGCTTTTGGAGAGAAAAGCAAAAGTCCGGATAGTTTACTCTGGCGATTTTTCGTCGCGTTGGGGGAAGCAGAAGGACGGCAGCGGAGAAATAGAGGAGCAGCTCGGATGAGCTGCTCTAGAGCGACGCATGTTCATCTTCATGTTCCGTTCGGCGGGACGAGGACCGGGAGGTGTGGGGGAGCTGTCGCTGGATACAAAGCTGAACCTTCGACTCCATCAGAAAAAATTTCACCACCTCAGGATAAGCAGAGAACGAGTTTTGATGTTGCTTTTGAACCATCGGAGGACAAGGCGAAGATGAAGGAAGACAGCCTGAAAATTATGTGGAGACGCTATTACCCGCAAGAGGCCGCTATGAACGAGTTGCTTCGGGAATCCCAAAAGTGGCGTCTTCAAGCTTCTACTGCTACTACTTCGCCGATATTTTCTTCCACCAAGGACGACAGCACCGCGCCAGCACAAGCTGCCGATCGCTACTTTCTTGCCGACGGTCGATCTAAAAATCATCCCCGGCTGGTGCACTGTAGTAGGAGTAGGAGACTGTCGTCATTAAAAAATGTCACAGCACCACACCACCTCCCGCAAATGATGCGCACCTTGGGATTGTGGTCCCAGCACACGCCGGTGGACCTGCAACCGTTGATTGCTGCTTGCGTGGAAACCTTGGAGGAGGTGGCTACGAGAACCTGTGCACCATCAGCCTCTAGTGATGGCCCTGTTTCGACGCGCTTCCACTTCCAGAAAGGTACAAACTCCTGGTCTCTGGTCCAACTGTGCCACATAGCAAAGGGTCTCCGGTTGCTTCCGCCGTCGATTAGCGTGAGATTGCGCGAGCTGGTTGCGCCGCTGCTGCGGAATGCAGTGTTGAGCCGGGCGGGGGTCGAAGATGATGATTTTTCTTCCGGGCTGGAACAGGACAACGTCAACGACAAAATCTCAAATGTCACAGAACAAACATCTGCACCAGCACGAAGGCCGGTTTCGTCAATGAAAAATGAAAACCTTTACTGGGAAAGCCTGGCACTGTCGGCAGTGGCTTTGCAAGTGGAAAAAGAACAAGTTATAAATCAAGAAGTAGAAGATTCATCTGCTCTTCGTGTGGAGGAGATTTGCAAGAGAATCGCAAGGAAATCTGCGAACGTACAACTACGGAGGCTGCTGGGGGTTTTCTCAGGAAATGATGATGATGATGACAAAAATTCAGTGCTGCAAGAACATGAACACGAGTCGACTTGTTCGTCCACCGCTTCAAATAGAAATAGTACAGCCAGAACTTCTGCTGATGTTGACGAGAGTGGACGACGAAATGCAGCTGCATCTCCTACATCTACTTCCGCGTCAGTATCATCAATATCATCCGCTCGTCCGACCACTTCATCTCCGAGCAGAAAAAGCCGGCATTTACAAAATTCTCAATTGCACCTGCTTCCGCCTGCCATGCGTGACTTGGTGCAGAGCCTGCAAAGCCGATCTTTCACCGTAGTTTTTCCGGACCTGCTGCCGCACTACGTTGTAATTGCGTCCTCGTCCTCCTGGACACGCGGGAGTCCTTCGACCGATGGTTTTATTTCCGGGCTCGGTGCGGACATGGAGAAAAAGAAAATGAAAAATGAGAAGAAGGACACTGATGCAGTAGACCACACCCACAGTTCCTCGCAGCAGGAACAAGCCCATCAAAATATGAAGCACCTGATCTTGGCTCCCGAGCACTTGATACGAGGTGAAGTGTCCTACGAAACGCAAGCGCTGTGTGCGCGATATGATGTAAAAGGACAGATTCGCTATGCTGGGGACATGATGTTCTCGTCCATCTACTCGCGCCGGTCGGAGAAGAACAAAAGTGCTCAACACGTCGGAACTAGCTGTCAGTCCAAGCTTCTCGCATCAACCGATAGGGGTCTACTTCAGGAGGGGCTTTGTTGACAACAGTAAAAGTACCAGGCAAGAAGTATTAATCTGGTTTATCGAACCTTTTTGGTGTTCCCTAGCTCACGTTTCGGCTGCTCCCATCTGATTGTCTTCGTTATTTTTTCTCCTTCGAGATCGGGGTTGCAGTTGCTTGTTCGGCGCCGGTGGTACTTCTTCCTCGAACCTCAACCTTTCCCGTTTGTGCGGCCGCTCACTACCGCATATCAGCAGGACAGCGGTATTTCGCTTTCGTACAGACTGGCGGTACTAGAAGTAGTTGTCGAGGCAATTTCATTCTTTTGCAGCGGCTACCGGGGTTGCACTTGCAAGTGCATGTCCAACGGATCTACTTCATTATCATTTACATTAATATACGCAGAGCAATCATGTCGATCGCCTTCCGCTTTGTTTCATCCAGTAGATGGATCATGCTCTTGGCTTCATCTGCTCCAGAGCTGCGTCAAAAACCTCTTCGGCCGCGCACCTACTACTTTCCACAGGCGCTCTTCTTCCGTGTGTTGTTCCTTCTTTACGCTTGCCCCGCAGCGAAAGAAACCCAGAATGTCTTTCCGAACGTTGCGGACATGCGGGATGAGCTTCGCGCCGGTGACTACCGGCTGGTCCGGCCGAGTCCCACGACTAAGACCGCGGAAGTGCAGAAGCGCTACCGGATGGATGGGACAGTTGCTGCGTTCGTAAAGAAGGTGATGGGACGAGTCAACGAAGCGAAGGAGACCCTGCGCCGAAAAGAGCTGCTCCCAGCGATGAAGGACGATTTGCAAGAGGAAATCAAAGTCACGGACCAGGAACTGCAAGACAACCAGCAGACGCTCGAAGAGTACCAGGAGGAGTGGCTATCCAGGAAACAACACCCATCCCCATCCAATTTGTCATGCAAAACATGCATGATAAGCTGCAGTGTTTGTCATGCAAAAAATGGATTGGGATGGTTTTTTTTTTCCTGGACACTGGCGGCAATCCATCTACCGCCAGTATAACGCCACGCTGAAGCAGCACTTCCCCGAACCAAGGCAACTGGACTTGGAAGTGATCCACCTGCTGACGACGAACAGCCCAGAAAATCGCCGTGCTTTGGAGCCGCTACTGGGCTACGTGGCGCACGGCCTAACGTCGTTTGGGAACTTCACGAAACACAGCGAAACGATTGCCACTGCCGCGGAGGCCGTTTGGATTCTTAGTTTTAATGACAAGAAAAACCTATCCTGCGGATCAAATAAAGTATGGTGCGATGCTCGTACTCATTGCGTTGGTGCATGAACGAGATGATCAAAAGGAAAATTGAAATATAATGATCTTTATCCCTAGCCTGCACTAGCATTCCAAAGGTGTACTTCTCATGTGGAAAACAAGAAATTGTAACGCACTCTAGCATCCGAGTTCGAGTATGTACGAGAAGTGGCGCTATTCTTATTCTTTTGCATAAACCCAAGAGATTCTCACATTCGAGTATAACGCGATCGAGAAGTTGGCAGCGGTGCTCGACAATTACTTCACGTACTACGACACCACGAGAGATGAGCAAGATACGGCCATGGCGAACCGAAAGGAGATGAAACCGCCGCAAATCAACGTGGAGGCGGCGAAATTCGCCCCGATCGCCGCCATGTGGGCGGCGGCGGCCTTGCAGAACTTGGCCGCGAGCTACTGCAGTTCTTCGTCCTCGAGCCGGTGCGAGTGGGCGTGGGATACGAAATCCTCTCTCTTACAAAACACCACAGCGGTTGTGATCGACAATGCGTTCAACAGGGAGGACATTATGGCCGTGCTCGTGGAGAGCGAGGGGCATCTGTGGGAGAAAATCGCGGGGCGCATGCTTTGTCAAAACAGCAACAGTAGGAAATTTAGAGACAGTTTGAAACCAGCCACGGTGGAAGATGTGCGGCAGCTAGCAGTTTCGAAAAAGGAGAAGGCGATGCTGCAGGACCCGAGGTACATGAACCAACTCGCGGTCTGGGCCTTTGCGGGGTTGCTGAAAAATCTGGCGATACGTACGGAGAGCCATCGCTTTTACGGGGAGGGAGCCTGGAAGTGTTTGTGCGATTTGACGACGAGCGCAGACTGGTTGGAGAGTAGCAAGGCGGAAAAGGCGATTTTGCATTTGGGCGGGAATGAAACGGACTGTCAGAAACGGATGAAAACCATGCGACAGAGGGAGCTCTGACGATGGCAGCGGCAGGTTGTTGGTGGGATTCGATTTGTTGCGAAGTGGCTGATTGATGGAATGAAAATAAAAACATTATCATGCGACCGCGCCCACTGGGTTTTGGATTCTCAAAGTTAGAGTGCGAGCATCAAGAAAAGGCATAAGAAGAAGAACCTTGCTTATGATCGGCCAGGAAAAGTTAGTCCGATCGGTTCGCGGCCTACAAAGTTATTTGAAGTATTGCGAGTTCGGCGCTGCGATTTGTTGTTCGTCGTCTTGCTCTGACACCACTGGGACCGAGAGCGTGTTCGAGGACGGAAATGAAGGCAACATGGGAACACAAGGAGTCTGACCGTGAGGCCAATGAGGTCAACCGCCGCGCTTCCGAGACATGCGCCGCGCGCCCTTCCGCCTCTATTATAATCCGCGGCGGCTTATTGCTGGAGGCCTCCGCCGCCGATGAAGCGGCGCAAGTGCAGGCCAGGGCGGCGCTGCAGGGGGTGCCGGCGACCCCGGTCACCACAATGACGCAAGTCGCCGAGGGGTCGGCGCGCCGAGGTCCGCGGCCCCTTCGGAAACGGCGACGGCCCGGCCCGCCGGAGCGAGACGCTCTGCGTCTTGTATACTCTCACGACACGGGTGGAGCTGAGCACCGCCGGCGACTGGATAACGCCCGCGGCCTGCGCCGCGACTGCGCCAAGCTTCGAGACAGGTCGGCCGCAAAGCACCCGGACGGGCTGGCCACATTTAGCCAGCGGCCGCGGCCGTCCTTAGATGGCAGTGCGCAGGCCGCTCCTGCTTTGGGCTGTAGACGCCTACAAGTGGACGGCGGCGCGGTTGAAGTGCCGGAGCGATAAGGAGCGGCCGCGCCGCCGATTGCTGGGGCCGCCCGAAAGCAGTCAGCGCGCGTGGTCTGCCGCGCCGTCCGCCGGCCGGCCCGCTCTTGGGGGCGCGCCGCTCGGCCTGGGGCGCCGGGGCGGCCGGGCGGCATTTGGTGGAACAGCCGGGCCGCCCGGCCCTTCGTTCCTTCGCCAGCATGGCTCCGCCTGCGTGCGTTCGCGCCACCTTTGTGGCCGGCCGGCCCGCCGGGTGCTTGTTCATTGTAGATCGGGACTGGCCGGGGGCGGGTAGGGAGCTTGCTTGGCGTCCTGTTTTGTTTTTTGGGCCGGCACCCGGGGCCGGTCGGTGCGCTGGCTTGATTCGTTAGGTTTGATATGCGCGCCGGCGCTCTTCGGCTGCGTGCCCCTGCCTTTGCCTTCCATCCTGGTTTGCGAAGTTCTGCTCTTGCAGCCTCTTCCATCCGGGAACCCACGCACCCTGTCAGGCAGCGCAGTCGGCGGACCAAGTGTTGCCCCAGTGTTTCCGCGCGCACGCATGATGGAACTCAAGCTCCCGCTGTCGCTTCGCGTTACGTTGCTTGCGGTGAGGCTCTGTGGTGCAGTGGTCGTCGGTCTGACTTCCTTGTTCATAAAAATGAGAATACAGACTACACCGCTCCTTGGTACTCAACACCAGGGGAAGCTCTGCGAATTGAGAGACACATATATGTAGTGCTCGAGGAGTTGGAGCAGGGCCAGGACTTACAAAAGTATGATCGAGAGGTGGTAGAGCTCTTGCTCAACGCTTTGCAGTCACTTTCCCACATTTTTATTTTTCTGTTGGTTTTTTATTGCCGCAGAGCCCGCCAAAATCAAAATGACAAGCTTGCCAGAGATTGAGAGACTCAGGAGCGGTAAAGGATGAAGTTAGACTATCAATATTACGTATTGCGCTATGTCTCGGTCGATGTTTTTTTTTTATCATGAATATTCAAGATTTTGACTCGATCTCCATTTTGCTCGTGAAATTTGTCTGATGGCTTTTCATGCGCTTCGACTTTTATTTTACGCCAGGGCCCCAAGCAACTACACGGACGTAGTGAATAGATGCTCGAGTTTTTCTTCCCGACCAGGCATTACAGTAGCAGCCTGTGCGACTTTATGATTATGAAGATTTTTTATCGCGACTTGACACCTCCGCCTATTCGGCTGTGATACTTCTCGGAAACTACAAACAAACAGCGTCACATCCCGAGTCAGAGGGGCTTGAAGCTTCACTGGGATGACTTTACAAAAAAAGGATGGGTGAAGACGATCAGGACGGCGCTGGTGGCCGCAAGCCCCCGCCTTGGAACAATCAGAGCCACACGACGAAAAAACCGGGATCAACGACGTCACAGCGGCCCGGCGAGGAAGCTGAGGAGGAAGATGATGAAGAGGACGTTCTTGGCAACATAGAGCTAAACTCCACCGTCACCGCAGAGTCACACCTTCCGGAGCACAGCAATTATCCCACCGCACAGCTACAGCAGGACGCGTTACGGCGGTACCAAACCGATGGCAACGATGGGAGCAGTTTGTCCCTCGGTACCGATTTTATTTTCGGTGGAGCAACAGAAAAACCATCGGTGTTGCTGCAACAGGAAGCGCAGCACCAGTTCGGGCATGGCCACGGTGGGGATCTGCAGCCTGACCCAGGGCCAGGTAACGCTGCAAGAGGAATTTTGATTTTCGTATTCGTCGTTTCAATGGAATTCTTGCAAGTTTTGAGCATCTTCTTCAATGAGTTCCGGTTTCTGAAGATTTGACCTGTGTTTTCGGCGGCACGCAAAAACTCAAGCGCGCCAAATAAACATCAAAAACAGGCCAGCGTCCTACCACATCCCTTGAAGACTTCATAGATTGCCTCAACACCGACGACAGTAACCACTATGGGGCGCGCCCCCCTGCCGTATTACCGCCAACAAATTTATCACACGATCCACGACCCCCACCTCCCAGTGCCCCCTACCCCGGCACAACATCACCGTCCCCACCAACACCCCCACGCCCTCCCTCAACAACCACCCAGCAGCATCAACCGAGCGCCTCCTCAACCGCGCCGCACCCTCCCGGCCCGCCGGACGACGGCTTTCAGTGCGACGACTGCCCAATCTGTTTCGAACCCATAGACCCCGCGGAGGCGGCGATGCGGTGTAAAAACCGCTCGCACCCGCATTTTTTCCACTCCTCCTGCCTGTCCGCCTGGATCCAGACCGCGCGGCAACAAAGGATCCGGCCGAGCTGCCCGATTTGTCGGAACGACGTGGAGTTTCACGCGAAAAGGCTGAACCAGTTTCTGCAAGAGCAGCAACGGGTGAGAAACGGCGGAGCCTCGTCTAGTTCCAGCTCGGGGGATACCATGACGGACGAAGATTTGGGGTTTTTCCAGTCCATTTACCAGAATCTGGACGACACCGTAAAAGACGGCTGGTCCAACGTGACGTGGGAAAATGTCACCTACGCCGGCGGCTTGATCGCGTGCTTCGGCTGGGGCTTCTATTCCGGCTACAACTACGACCGGATGTACGTTCCCTTGGAACTCATCCCGCAGCAAACTGACAACCGAGTCGCGCAGGGTGTGGGCTGGTTTGCCGGGGTGTTGGCCCGGGAGATAAAGCGCTGGCATGACCGGAAGAGCCGGAGGGACGATTGATTACGGTTTCTGGCGGTTGCTTTGTTCTGGTGACATCGGTGTTTATTTGATTGGGCAGGACGACGACCCGAGGTCCAAAGCACCACTGTCGCCGTGCTTTGCTCTGGCGAAATAGAAACACGAGAACAAGAACGTTGAAGTTGATATACGAGCGACTGTCAAAATTATCCCCAGTTTCCATCTACTGTTGAACGTAAACGAAATCTTCCGCTATGCGGCACCCTGATCCTCTCAACATTTGAAAGTTGTTCAAAGTCGAACTGCTCAATGCTCGCATCGTCGTCGTCACTTAGACTTACACGTATTATTATCAGGGTGGACAGCATCAGCATGTGCATGTAGCAGGAGCTGATTGATGCCCCTTGATGATTTTGATTTGGCTTCGTCGTGGTTATTTTTGCCTCCTCGTCCCGGTAGACTGGGCGTCGTTCTTTGAGATGTGAGTGAAGATCGTTTGAGCTGCAGTGTCCGGAGTTTGAGAGAACATGATTAGACGACCGCGAGGAGGCCATTCTGGGCCGGTATCGTCATTCGTTTTTCAAGATTCGCTACTAACTCGTCTTCGTCTTTTTCTCTTTATTATAGCGGCATAGTACACAAAAGCACTGCCTCTGGGCGACAATTTAACTTTCTGTTGTGGGTTCGCGCTGGTCAATTTTTATTCTTATCGATTTAAAGCAGACATCAAAGTGACGTGAACCTTCTAGAGAAGAGGAAAAGCTGTATCTATAGGTCACTCGTGTCAAGAGGCGTTTTTTCTGTAGCTCCTTCATCAATTGCAACGTCAACGGCCGCCCCCCCAGGCCGAAGTAGGTCTTGCGGACTGTGGGGTAGCGAACACCCCGACATCGAGGGGCGACGTTCAGTGCCGAAGAAACAGCTGCTGCAGGAGCTGAAGTCGAGGTTGAAAGCAGTAGTGACAGTCGTGCCCGCATCTCCTCCTTTATCTTCGTCAGAAGTGCGAGGGTCCTACAACGAACTCGTAGCTCAGGCACGGCGACAACGGAGCGCGGGCGGCACTCTTCGCTTAGCGGACAGCACGACCACGGCTGCTCATTCTACTCTTCAACCTGCACCAGCACCACCTCCAACGAACTAATTCAGCAAGCTGTTTTGCTGAAAAGAAGGGTGGTCGGAAAGTCATCCGAGTTTTCCGTAGAAGATTCTTGACCGCGGCCACCGCATCATCAGACCACTACAACTGCTGGTGGAGCTTCAACTGGATCATAGTTGCACGAACGGAGTAGAACAAGAACGCTTCCTCGCAGCGCCAGTAGAGCTCGCACTTCCTCTTGCAGCGCTTTAGTCGTCGGGGTAGTTGTGTCGCGTGACCGGACATAGAGCAACAGGTTGCACCGGTTCAGCAGGCGGAGAACAAATAGCTACGGACACGTGCTGGCTTCGCTTTTCAGCGAGAAAGGCGCGAGGTGGGACGAAGAAGTAGAAAAATACCACACTGCTGCTCATTTTCCCACTCGTGTTGCCTTTGCAACATCCTTAGTGCGCAGGGCGAGAATTGGTTGCCGGGTCGCATTTTTTCACCAGAGTCGTTACCCGCACCGTTCGTGACGCATCCAGGAAGATCTCTGCTTTCTACTGGCCGCACAACTGAGCAGAGGAAATAAGCGAAGACAAGTACGGTTGCCACGGCGAACAACGAAATCGAGGCGGTTGAGCAAGAGCGCAAGCTTGGTCCAGAATTGCCGTGTCACCACGTTGTTCAACTCTAAAACGTGAAGCCAAAACAAAGTGTAACGACGACTACCGCAGTGGGGAGCACATACAGACCGCACTCGGCTGCTTCTAATTCCCCGTTTTCTACTAGACCTAGTTGGGAGGTGGAACCACATCAACTGAAAACGACAGGATCGATCACCGGGAAGACCGAACAAGCGAGAGCCTTTAGTACTACCTCGCTGTCGTGTCAAACTTCCCTGTAAGTACCTGCAAGAGGTGTAGCTGCAGCAGCGCAGCAGTCCACCCTGGTTGGATCTCGTCCCGCCGCACCAGAGTCGGGAACTTCTGTACACTACAGACTACCACTGCAAGTGCGACGTCATCGCGGCTAATCGATCCAGTCACGAGCGGAGGCTAACTAAAACACAGGAGCGTTGAAGCATAACCTGTTCCGCTTCTTCACCCAGGAGAAGCAAGAATGGCGACGCGCACAATAGTGAAGGAGACCCGGTCGCTTGACCACATCTACGACCCCGTACACACAACTTCCGCGCCCGCGGATCACAACAAACTCACGGCCAGGGCACTGGCAGTGCAGTTCGAGAAGGTTCTACGGGACCTGCGTTTTTTTTTGTGATATTTTTAAAATTCAATTGAGTTGCATTGCCATTCATTAACACTTGCACATGACACATTGCCATTACAACGTACCTTCGAAAAATATCAGGTTCCTGAAGCTGCGCACTACTTTTCCGAATTGAAGAATTACCCGAGTGCGACTCTACGACCAGGAAAAGCACGAGACAGCTTCTTACCAAGATATGTGGACCCAAATTGGGTATAGAAGCTTTGAGTTGCTGCACGAGTAGGGGGAGTTTTTCATCTTCCTTGTTTTTTGTTGTGTCGAATGGTGAGCAGATGCAGATGCTGGTTATGCGACAGCACTTTTGTCAAAATTTGAGACGGGGATGTAATGCTAACCGTAGTTTGATATTGATATATAATCAGGCCCCCCGGCTCGACCCGGATGCCAACGCCACGCACGTCTTCGGGTCCGAGCGATTCAAATACGACAAGCGACCACTCGTCAAGATGGGCGCATTTAATCCCGGAACGGGGCCGCAGCTTGTCATGTACCGCAACATCGCTTTTTCTGTTGCTGTTGCTAATCTATTGTGCTATTTGTTCGTCTCATGCTGCTCATCCGGATCTGCGATGCAAACATTACTAGGGCAGTGGGGTGATCCTTTTCTGTCCCATGACTTTTCAGGTATGACATCCAGAAGGGCGGGATGATGTCGAAGCAGGGCACCATGCGGGGCAACATGACGATGGGCACGGTCATGCATCACGGGGCCACCAGAACAGTCGGAACGCAGTCGATGTACCGAGAATCAGAAGCGCAGACGACCCCGTATACACCAGATTTCGTCGCGCAGGACAACCCGGAGGTGTTGACGTTGAGAAATTTAACCTACGACAACGGCCTGCCCGCGTCGCTCTTCGAAGTGAAAATCATCGAAAGGACACGACAAAAGCGCCTGTTCGAGCAGATGCTGCCCCCAGCGACGGACGAATTTAGTTTGAACGTAATTACTTATTCACTGCTGCGATGAGTATGAGTTTCAGGAAAGATGATTTTGATTCGCTCATAAGGCAGATCCACATGGCAGGTATGTTATGCTGCATAGCAAAATAACATTCTATCTTGCGCGATAATTTGCTTTCGATGCAAGACCAAGACAAATTAAATTTTTAGGTCCGCGCCCAGCTTCTGGAGCAGCAGGAGTTCAAGGAATGGGCCGAAAGGGAAAGGCAAATCATCCGACTGCAGGAAAGGAGGTTAGAACTCGTCAAACAGCTATTAGCAGAGCGGGAAGTCAAGAGACAGGTGGGTGCCTTTTTGGTTTATTTGTCGTGTTTCTCCAGGCCTGATCCTGATGAAGATTTGCATACAGCTTGCTTGTGAAGAGTGTTTTCTTGATCTCGATGGTGCGCAGAATGATTATGATATAACAAACCTCAACTACAACCACGCCAACTACAGTCCCGCAACGAAGCGAAAGTGGAGCGGCTCCGCGTGAAGAAGGCGGAAGAGAAGGACCGACTCTTCGCCGGGACGCAATACAGGAAAATAAAGCTTCTCCGGAAGATGTATACCGCTATGGCTAGGAATCAGCGGCCGGAGCACATCGGGGAAACGGTAGCGAGGTATCAGGATAAAGGCAGCACAACCTACGCACCCCTAATGCGGAACGGCCACAAACCAGACTCAAATACCGCGAAGATTGAGGTAAGAAGCGATAATGTTTTTGTCGAAGTATTTTTCATCTAGGTGGATTCGATTGTGAATGAGATCTACACTAATAAGATGACGAGTATATAAAGTAGAGAGCCACAAATTGAAATTACATTTACACATACAGATTCAGCCCTCAGACCTGAAGTCTTACTCCAAGCTGCTCCAGCTGGAGCGGACCATGCCCGCGAGTGTATTGCTACCGCCAGACGTGCACCAGGAAGCACTTATATCCGAGACAAAGAGACAAGACCTCCCCGTGGTCGCTGCGCTTAACGAGGCGATGGCGCAAATTTCGGCGCAGTCGCCGGACATACATCTCGGGGAGAGTACTTGTTTTACTTACTGATCATGATTCAAGTTTTTCGGAAACACGAGACTGTCGTGTTTCCAAAACAAAAGCGCAGGACACCAATTCAAGATCTGAAGTTTCAACTGCTGGTACCAATTCAAGAGCTAAGAACTTATTTTGCAGATGCGATGGAAAAAGCATTGGAATTCCATGCAAGAATAAAAATCAAAACTCATCAGCCGTCTACAACAAATCCGCTATTGACTCAACGGCAAAGAGCCCGAAGAGAAAAGCTAAAGAGACCGCGGTCATTGAAGAGGCGCCGCCAGAGGATGAGGAAAAAGCACAAGCGATTCTCCTGCTTCAAAGGGTGTTGCGCGGACGAGCAATACAAAATAGGATGTTTGAAGGTATTCTTATAAATTGTGTTTTCTGTAGAAATCTGGTGCGTTGGTTAGGTTGCGTGGAACAACGCGTTAAGTAACAAGATCGATACGGATATCTGCAGAATCCCAAAGCCACAAAAATGATAAACGCAAACCAGGTAAGGAGAAGAGGCTAGACCTCATCGAGGAGCTCCGCGCCAGCGAACAGCTGATGCAGTCCGCCGGCGAGGAAGACAAGGCTGCTGTGGAGAAGCTGCAACAACAGATTCTCGCAGAAGAGGAGCAGGACACGTTTGTCGGCAGCGTCGTTTCCAAAGCGCTGGACGATTTGTCAAAGGAGCTAGAGCGGTATAGAGAACAAGGCGAAATGTTTGCTATAATCAAAATAAATGAATTTCTGATGCATCTTCACAATGTCAATGCATCGCACTTACTTTACAGATGTTGGAAGAATTCATCTTCATGCTGTCGTGCTACCATCACTTTGGATTTTCATTTATCATCATCCCAGGGTCCAGGAAATGCGCAGAATAGACGCTATGATGAAGCTCGCCGAACGCGAGCGCCGCATGCGACAAGCCGCCGAGGGTGGGCGAAGGCAGGCGGAAGAGAGGCTGAGAGCAAGAGAGGACGAAGTGTTCAGACAAGTCATGAAGGATGCGCACCAGGTACAGTTTGTGGATGAGTCAATTTATTTCATTGGCCACCCATTTTTAAGTAATTTTATTTCCATGAGGATTAGGATGTTGGGTATTTCAACACAACGCAAATAAATGCTCACTTCGGTCTGTCTATCATGCATAGCGCGCTGTAATGACGTCTATTGCACTCAAACATACAAACAGGGAACGGTCGACACTTACCTAGAGGAAATCCTCACTTCCTGCGTCGAAGCAAGCGCAAAGGAGCGCGCTCTCGCGGAGGCCAAAGCACAAGCGGAAAGGATTAACAGCGTCGTGGACGGTCTCGAGAAGGCGGGTGACGACGAAGGTTGCGTCAAAGAACTCGTCGAGTCCCTGGTCATTCCCCACGCGGAAAGGGAGCTGCTCCAGCGCCGGATCACCATCGAGTCCAAGCGGTTTATCGACGCGGCACGCGGGGCGCTGGACTCCACGCTTGGCGAGGTCGAAAACACGCTGCGCGAGGACGGGAGCATCCAGTAAAAACGAAATGCTCAGGTGAGTAGCGTGGTTCTGGTGTCGTGTGCTATGTTTTTGAAATTAAATGGCAGACCTAGACTGTGAACTACCAAGCACGATTTCGTGGTCTTGTCCCACTTGTCGATTTACTAGCAACAGTTTCCAAAGAACGCAAACCTAGTGCAAAGGTACAGAATGAGGGCTGTGGTTACCAGCCACAGTTTTTCATCACCTGACTAGACCGAGATAGAAGTAGAAAATCAAAAGTCAAGAAATAAACCACAGTGAATATTACGTTTGATAGCAACTACGTTATCGCACAACTTTTGAATTGATAGCAATATTGTGTCGAGGTCTTCGATTTGATTGATAGCTTAAAACCAAATTTAACTCAGAACGGATAAACTACTAAAACCTGTAACAACAGACTGTTAACTCAATAGCTTTACGAGAGCAGCAGGTGGACGCCTACGATGGATTCGCTAAACGTGTTATCATGATAGCAACAAGATCCATTGTAGTTCTCGGTAGCTGCAACTCGAACAGATTTTATTTGATTGTGATACGATACGCAAAGCAGACTTCTGCGAAAGGAGCCTCGTAAACCGATTGGAGCGAATGACAGAATAGCACTGTACTTAAACACCTCCTGTATAATAGCAGCCTGGAAGAGAGTCGTATCAGCTGAAGCTAAGAAAAATGAAAGGTAAAAACCAATTTTGTAAGGAGCAAGCCACTAGATTCCGAAGAGTTGTACAGAGGAGCACGACGATGCTGTGTGCCAGCTGCAGTTGCTTTTCTCATTTTGATAGATAGAAGAAAAAAAACAAAAAGCCAATCGGTTTGATTGAAAATGCAAAATCTTTCGGTCTTGTCTTGCAGGCTTTCGTGTCTCCTGTTAACGAGAGAGAACGCAAGGTCGGTTCGTGCTGTGATGGAAAAATTGCAAGAAATGCAATTCGTATTCGGTTCTATCGCTATCTTCGTTCGAACAGAAGGAGATGGAGAAGTCAGAGCTTTATCAATTCTGAGGAAATTTTTCGGTCTAACTATTGATGATTCGTCCAGCCGCTTGCTGATGTGATACCAATTCGTACAAAATCACTCATTCGTCGTTCAAGTTTTCACTACTTCGTGCGCGCAGTGGTCCTCCTGCGCAGGAGCTTCTGTCGACGTTTTCGTTAGAAGCCTACTTCATTTGAAAAATGATTTTCCGTATGATTCCTCGCAGTGTCGCGTGTATCCCATTTCTGGTACGTACTTTCGCGTATACTTGTTCTCTTCACAAATACCAAACCCAATTATTGTCTTAATTTTTTTGCAAATCCCAAACTCTTCTAAACTTAAATTCAGTCACCTCAATTGTTTATATTCCTTTCAACGCCAAGCATAGCCGCAACATGAGAAGCACGGCGCGCAAGTCGCCGTTTGCAGCAGGGAGAAATATTGAAGCGGTGGTGTGAGGAGCAACTAGCTGTACCCAAGAATTTTATTTTCAAGAACCGACGAAGACAGCCCCCACGGTTAGGACAAAACGTCTTCCTCTGTGACCAATAGCAAGAAGCAGGCGGCAGCAAGTTCATCTACAGGCCAAGAGCAAGACGCAGCAGCAGCAGCAGCAGCAGCTTCTGGTTTTTTACCACAGGTGGATACATCAACTAATTCGTCACAACTTGAAGACCAGTCCCCTCCTTTGAAACAACCCCGAAGCGCCACGATGTTGAAGACAACATTCCTTCCCCAGTTCCAATTTAAGGGCGAGTCCCTGGCCCACCGGGTGATGTTCGCCGGGAATTTGCAGAAATTTCTGCAGGAGGTTCCCATGTTTAAGACGCTCCCCCCGGGCGACATTAACCAGCTCGCGCAGCTGTGCGAGATCAAAACGTTTCCCCCGGGTACGGTATTGTTCAACTCCGGCGACCCCGGTGACTGCTTCTACCTCGTTCTGCAGGGCGAGGCGGAGGTACGGGTCGCGGACCATTCCTGGTTGAAGGTGGGCCAGGAAGCGCAGTTGGCGTGCCCCACGAAGATCGCGGGGCAAGTGTACCCGAAGGGAACCAAGGGGATTGTGGATAAATTCGACGGGAAGCGAGGGTATGATTTCATTTTCAGATTCACGTTTGATTTTCATTTACGTTTCTTCTACTTGCAGAGTTCGTTCTTGCATAAGCATGATAATTGATAAAGCAAGCAGGGATCTGCATCAAGGAGATACGTGTTGTATTGATCGACGCTTGTAGTCAAGAAGATCTCTGTGAAGGTGCACAAGAATTATGCGCACAGCACGACGGTACTACTAGTCGAATTACACTCGGAAATTATTAGGTCTAAATTGAAACCCGTTCTTGAATTATATCAGGTACCCCTACACGTTCCGCACGTTTGACAACGTCCGCGGGCGGGTCGCGGAGCACGAGCTGGTTCCGATTGACAACAGTGAAAAGCACGCCGAGAAATGCATCTGCCTCCTGCGTCCGGGCGACTACTGCGGCGAGCAGGCGATTCTGAAGAATGCATTCCGCAACGCCACCGTCCTCGCCCGGCCGGATTCCGAGAAGCCCCTCGTGTGCGCGGCCCTGACGAAGGCGCAGTTCCAACAGATCGACCTGGGTCACAAGCTCACCTTCCCGCGGAGAAAAGCCGTGATGGCGATCGACGACGCGTACGAGCACCGGTTGGAGAAGAAGGAGACGACCAAATCCGCCGAGGACGCGGAGTTCATCCGGAACGCGATTAAGCAGAACAAGATCCTGAAGGACTTGATCGATTTATCGGAGGAGGACGTGAACGCCATGGTGCGCGTGGCCTATAAGCTCGAGGTGCACACGGGCGAGATTCTCATCAAGGAGGGAGACTTGTTCGCCACCGAGTTTTTCGTCGTGAAGAGCGGAAATTTTGTCTTCAACATCGCTGCGCGCAACGGGTCCGAGCACGACAAGCTGTTCCAGATGCAGATGATGAAGAGTTGCAAAGCGGGCGGCAGCTTCGGCGAGATCGCTCTACTCTACCACTGCCAGCGGGAGGCGACGGTCACCTGTGCGGAGAATGCGGTATACTTTAAGGGATTTGATGCTATGATTATGATCATCATCGTCACTTGCTTTGCCATGTCTTGCCACGATTTTTTCCAGGATCAACTTGCACGAGATAGCATGAAGAACACATCGTAGTACTTCTACGTAAGTAGTTCATTTTGAGAGTGAATGAAAGTTCCAGGCTACATTGCTCATTTGCACCATTGCCATCGTATTCGTAACAGCAAGATGAAGCGCAAAAACTAAATGAACCAACATGCTCACTCAACAGATTGTCTACGCCATCGACCGCGTTGCGTTCAAGAACGCTTTGTACCAAAATCGGAAGAAACAGCTGCTGAAGTACGTCGAGATTATCCGGGGCGTACCGCAATTCAACTGCCTCCTCAACGACGAGGTCGAGGCTTTTGCCGAGGCTTTGTACGAGCGACACTACATCCAAAACGAGTACATTGTCCGGGAGAACGAGGTCGCGACGATGTTCTCGATTTTAATCTCCGGCGAGATCGACATCAACGGGAAAAAATACAACGCGAAGGACTCCTCCGGGTTCTTTTTCGGGGACGAATGCTTGCTGCGGTCCGCCGTGTCCCAACACACGGTGAAGTGCTTGTCTGAAGATGTGCTCGTCGCCTGCATGTCGAAGCACGACTTCGAACGGTTGTTAGGCCCGCTGGAGGAACTCATGCTCGCGACCAACGCGGGCAAACCCCGGGTCAGCAAGGTCGCGGTGAAAAAACAGAACGAGCAGGCGGACACGTCTCACATGACGGACATTAAGATGACGGACCTGAAGCGCGTTGGGATGCTGGGGTGTGGCGGGTTCGGCGCGGTGTCTCTAGAGCAGCACCGCCAGACCGGCAAGTGCTACGCGCTGAAGCAAATGTCGAAAGCGTACGTGGTAAAATGTAAGATGCAGAAGTCGATTATGAACGAGAAGAAGATCCAGCTGATGTGCAACTCCGATTTCATTGTGCGCCTGTACCAAACCTTCAACTCCCGCGACCACTTGTTCTTACTTTTGGAGCCGGTTTTGGGCGGGGAACTGTACCACACCTACCACAAGAAGAAGATGCACGGGGACTCGACGAAAGCGCGATTTTACGCGGCGACCACCTGCACGGCGTTCTCACATCTGCACGAGAAACAGGTGATCTTCCGGGATTTGAAGCCGGAAAACTTGCTGTTAGACCACGAGGGGCGGTGCAAATTGACGGATATGGGGCTCGCGAAACAAACCACCGTGAAAACCTACACGACGTGCGGCACGCCGGATTACTTCGCCCCGGAGATCATCGCCCGGTCCGGACACCACGTGGGGGTCGATTGGTGGACGCTGGGGGTTTTGATCCACGAGCTGATGTCCGGCCACGCGCCTTTCGAAGCGGCGCAGCCCCAGCAGATCTACGCGAAGGTCAGGCGGGGGGTGAGTCAGGTGACCTTTACCTACCAGGGGTCGGATCCGTATGCGGTGGAGATGGTGAAGGGGCTGTTGAAGCAGGAACCCAACGAGCGACTCCCCATGCTCCCCGGCGGGATGGAGAACGTGCACAACCACAACTGGTACGTCAAGGCAGGCTTCAACTGGAAGGACTTCGAGAACAAAACCATGAAGGTCCCCTACAAGCCGGATGTGAAGGGACCAACGGATATCTCCAACTTCAAGTGCAGAACGGAGGCAGACATGCCGAAACACTTTCAGATGGAATACAAAGACCCCGGTGACGGATGGGATAAGGACTTCTAAATGTTGTTGCTGGGAGTCTTTTGATAGTTTGATGCTACTTCGCTTAGCTGTCCTGGAGAGATGCTTTTTAAGCACGACATTTTTGTTTTATCATGATAGTCATAGCATAGTACATTTTCAGTTGCAGCACGCAGGAGAGGAGGTTTCCTATGATTTTTCAGAACGTTCAGTCTTTGTTTAGCATACACAGTATTTTACTAATTTAGGCTTTGCATAATTTGAATTTCGAAACTTTTACTTGTTACACATAGTATTTCCACTTCCACTCACGAGGCGGTGGCCGTTTCCATGGCCGCGTAGTGTTTTTTTACATACATAAGATTACACATCATCTGGTTGTTTTTAAATTCCAATCGCAATCATCACGCATGACGTTAGGAGTTACACGGCTCCTCTCAATGTCTGTACTATATTACCACGCAAAAATGCTGTACCAAATTAATGCTAGCTCGCTCCAATGGGTAGTTGTAGTTGTGATCTGATGGATTTACTTCCGCCATTGCCATTCGGAGTTGCTTGCTCTCACAGCATGTGCATTATTGTCTCTGGTAGGGTTCTAAGTAGACAAAGTTTATTTTTGCCATTTCCCGAGTGATAAAATTAGAAGCACAAAAACGAGGAGCTGCACATGTGACACTAAATGCGTAGTACCAAAAACATAAATCGGGGCGTCGCTTGGGGCGTCAGCACCAGCAACACGGCATGTGTTGTGAGCTGCTGCTCCTTGTCAAGCATGACAGTTGGGTGCCGACAAGATGCATGCAGATTTCTGCTACTTCAGAACAACAACAAGAAAGCCACCGATATTCCGTCACACACTGGGTGCCGGGAAAACTCTCCATGATAACCTTCATGTGAGATTCATGATATGACTACTTTGGTATGATAATTCTTTACGTTTACTCATTTCTTGGAGAATCTGAATCAAAAACCGGCACAGCTGATGCTTCGCGAATGAGGCTGTGGCCGTGAGGACAAGCGGACCTGTAAAAGTTCGGATATGTTGAGTGATGTGTTCGTCGCACAACACTACGAGGAAGTAGATGATTATCTCTACACGGCTGCGACCACGAAGATGAATCACAAGCACAACAAATCAACACAATCAAATCCTTCGGTCCATAAGATTAAAGTCCTCGTCCAGCAGAAACAGCATAAGTATACGAAAAAGTCCTCATGTACAGGTATTAAGCTGCAGATGGACACAAAAGCAATAGTTCGGTCTTTGTTCGTGCAAGCGGAACTTGATCTCGATTAATCTGCATACAAAAATCGTGCCGGTTTGGTTGTCGTTTTGGTTTTTCGTTCTCCCCGTCGTGTTTTAGTTTCTTCTTAAGCTTGTCGTTCAGCTTGTTGCTTCGAGATCTTCATCGCGATAGAAGATAATGGCCGCAACCGTGCAAAACTTTCCTCAGCAGCCTTTACAGTCGTATTGTTGACTCTGTCTTGTTCCCCCATGCACCCCCCCCCCCCGAAACCGAGTAAAAAAGTACTTTAATAAAGACTTGGTGTACTAGTCTTTAGACCCTGCTGCTGCTGCTGCTAGATCTATCGCTTTCGTCCTGCATTTCATTTTCTATTTTTTTTTTTTTTTGAAATTTTTTTTTTTTTTTCGCGGACCGTTCTTCCCTTTTCGCAAGTTCTTTATTTGACCACTTGCTTGTTCAATAAATTTTAATTTTTGTTTTATTATTTCACCCACTGCAACGGCCCAGGCCCACGGGACTAAGTTCTTACACGCTCAGCTGCGAGAAGACCCCCTTTCAATACTAAAAGACAAAATGGTAATTTCCGACCAGCTTGCGGAAGAGCTGGGGACGAAAATCACCACCGATTTTGCCCACCGGAAAACGGTGAAGCAACGGCGGGAACTGGTGTCCAAAGTGCTCGTATGGATTGCAAAAATGTCTGGGTCTGGAAGATTGCAACTTGTCATGCTGAAACCGAATCATGCAAAAATCTGCGTTGCATGACTGCCAAAAGCTGCCCACTTTCGACCAAGTTGGGCGGGAGTTTCTCATGCAGGATGGGCATGGCAGAGATCTCCCGGACTCTGTCATGCTAGGTCCCGCATTCCAGACCTCATGGGTCATGGAAAACCTGCATGACAAGTTTGCATTCTTCCAGACCCAGACATTTTTACATTTGATAGCTCGGCCCGAAGGATGAGGAAACCGGGAAATTTCCGGACAAGGAGGTTCGGAAACTATCCTGAGTAAAAACGTACCCACACCAGAGTTGTAATGCAGATTTGCAAAGACAGGAAGACTTGTAATGCGCAACCCCATGACAGGCATTCTCAAGCGTGTTTGCGTTTGGGAGCTTGTAATACTGTAAACAGGATTAGCAGATCGATTTGTTATGCGGATTCCCTTGCTAAACTGCACTACAATACAGCCTGCAACTTGTCATGCGTGACTCACAAAACTCCTAGGCTTGTGTTGCAAAATCCTCATCCTGACTCTGGTGTGGGTACGTTTTTACTCAGGAGAGAAACTGGCGGTTATTCTGGTGCAAATAGCCGTGTACACGGGTAGTTTAGATAAGTTCCAGTCTTTGAAACGGGACGACAAAATGTCCATGAAGAAAATTGTGAACAAGATGGTGAACAACAAAAAAGACGGCGGGTTCCCGAAACTGTGCAACACCCTGTTCGAGTCTGGGCCGCCGTTACCGCCCATAGTGTGGAAGTTGCGCGAGGCGCCGAAGCCGGTCGGATTCATGGCAAAGATGGCGAACAAACAATCCTTGAGCAAACAGTGCTCCCAGAGCCTGTTGAAGAGTGGAAGCACCGCATCGTTGGGCGATCTGGTGGTGTCTGCCGCGGCCGGAGACATGGCAAAGAAATTGGAAAGACGGCAGTCACAGGAGCAGGGCAGTCTGCTCGGAGGAGGTGCCGATGAACAAGTAGGGGCTCGTCCAGCAAGTCCGTCTGCTGGAGGAGCTCTCGGTTCGTCGTAAGAAGAAACATTTTTTTTTGCTGATGAAAACCTGGCTGCTGTTGACGAGAGTCAATTTCTTCTTGCGATGAATACGATGCAGCAACAAGAGCAGCAACGCCAAAAACTTTCTTTGTATGAGCAAAACGAATGCTTGAGCTCGTGTACCCCACGACGACGCTGAAAAAAAAATAAAAATTCATACAGCGGCTTTGATCTTCGTCTTCCAAGAACACATCCAATTTTACAGACTTTCAAATCGAACACGCACGACATCGGAAGAACTCCAGCTGCATCGGTCTTCTAAAACAAAAGCAGCATTAGAGATCGATGAATTTGTTTCTCAGTGTCTCTTCATCAGGACGAGCGCTCCTTCTCGGTTCCAAAGTTCCTCCACTGACCTGGACTTCGGTTGGTTTGATATTCGTGTGAAAAAGGCAAATTCGGAAGCTATCTCGGTTGTGGTGTTTCGCACGCCCAGTTTCATTTTCCAGTCGGTTGTCGCATTTATGGTCGCTCGTGTACTTATCCAGTTCGTTCTTCTTCTCCTTCATTATCGATTCGTTTCGTGCAGGTGCTTTTTCGTTCCGAACAAGCATCCGTTTGTCAACAAACGGAGCGTCGCTAACCTATTTCGTGGCAGAAACTTACACTTACTTCACTTTTCCATCAAGGGAAACAAGGAGTGCATATGATTTGACGCAATCACATGGCAGGACCTCAAGATTTCTCGTACCCATGATACTCAGTTTTTACGGATCACAACTACACTTTTACTTAGTTGCGTATGCGTTGAGCACTTTTTTGAATCACGGATGAAAGTCACCAGATTTTTATAGCCATGCATGTGGACACCGAGCTTCGTAGGAGTAGCAGGCATGCCCTTAGTACGCACTGGTAACTTGTTCTACCCGGCGTAGAAGCAAGCTGAACCTGAAAGACGCAGACCTCACATAACCTTTACATCTAGCTCTTGCGTCCACTGAGCAAAAAATGCTTATTTCTACATGCTGCTAGCCTAAAAAAAACTTCTACCCCCACCAGTATCTTCACAGAAGAGCCATCATGTTTCTCCCCGCGCCCCGCGCAATCGTGGATTTGACCACGGCCAACCAGAAGCTGTTTTTTCGTGGCCGACTGCGAGAATGTCTGAAGGACATCCCGTTGTTTTCCAAACTGTCCGTTGCGCAGCGGGAGAATTTAGGGCAGGCCATGATGTTGGAGCAACTTGTTCCCGGGGCGGTGGTGTGCAACGAGGGGGAGGAGGGGGACATGATGTACGTTTTACTGCAAGGACTTCTGGAAGTCCAGACCTGCGACCACAGCTTTTTGAAGAAGGGCCACACCTGTCAGCTCGCAGTCGATTGCACGATCAAGGGAGAAAAGTATCCGCGAGGGACCCGGGGGGTCATTGACAAAGTCGATTTGTCCAGGGGGTTCCCCTACACCTTTCGCGTGTCGGACACCCGGACGAAGGGGGAAAAGAAGGAGAAGAAGAGAAAAACTAAAGCTACGCCAAAAAGCCAGGAGGAAAAATCTGCCAGCAGTGGCAGTGACAAAGAGCTACCCAGTGGCGATGAGGCGGGCGAAGGAGGTGGAGAAATGAATATTAAAGGGGAAAAGAAGAACAAGAAAAAACGGAAAAACAGGTCAATGGGTTCTGCAGAACAAACACAGAGCGAGGACAGCGAGCCACGAAGTGGCGCAGAGGGACAAGATGAAGAAGCAACAGATAGTCTTAAACAGGGTTTAGCCGTTGTGAAGAAAAAGGCGAAGTCGAAGGACAACGCGGCAGAGCAGGAAACTAAGGACACCGCCATCCGTGGGAGATTAGCTGGTTACGAGCTGGAGCCGTTGGAAGACAGTGAGCTTTTCAAGCCGAAGACCATCGCGTTTCTCCGTCCGGGGGATTATTTCGGGGAGCAGTCGTTATTGCGGAATTGTGCGCGCGATGCTTCGGTGATCGTCCCACCAAATTTGGTGGAGCTGATGGAGCAGCAGAGGTTGCGGACCTCTTCGCGCCTCGGTAGTTCTTTCCTGCTGCACAAGCACGACTCCAGTGCAACTTTAGGTGGTAATATGTTGTTGAAAAAGATGGCTTCCTCTGGCACGGTGATAAATCAGAAAACACCTACTTCACCCGAAAGCGCAGCGGAGCAGCAGATGACAGGTGGGGCGCAACAAGAAGTAGAACTAGTGGCAGTGACGCCCATAACTACACCTGCCGCAGGCGACACACCAGCTCCATCTCCTCCTCCGGAAACAACTGATTCACCTAACGGCGCGCCAGCCTCTGCACCAGCAGCCGCAGCCGATAAGACTGGCACCACGACGACGAACCTTGTTACTAGCGTTTTTTCAGACAAGTCCAATACCTCTCTTCACAGCGCCGTCTCTACTACTTCCCGAGATCAAAAGATCGATCCCAACGCCTGTATCGTCGCGTGTCTGGAGAAGAAGGAGTTCGAAAGGCTAAACTTGCGACGCGACATTGTGTTTCCCACGCGCCCGGCGGTGCGGGTCGTTGAAGAGGACGTGGAAAAGCGGCTGAAGGGGAAAGACTTGCGGAAGACGGAGCACGAAAGACAATTCCTACTGCAAGCGCTACGTGATGACGTTCTACTTCGGGAGATATGCGACTTGGACGAGAAAGATCTGGTCCACATGGTGGAGATGGCGTACAAGCGGACGGTAACCTCGAACGAAATCATCACGCACGAGGGGGATCTATTCGCGCACGAGTGTTACATAGTCCAGTCCGGGGAATACCAGTGCATCGATCACGTCACGGTGATGGGAAGCAGTGACGGAGCTGCAAGTTCTGCGAACACAACAACTACGGCCACAGGATCAGCAGAGACGAGAACGAACAATTACGTCTTCGGTGAAGCGGGCCTGCAAGCCGCGGGAATACAGACGGCAGGAGCGAACTTCACAGGTGGGACGACAGGAGCTGCAGGCGCGGGTCTAAATACTGCAGGTGGTGGTATATTGAAGAGAATGCAAACGAATTCCGCACTCTCAACACAGCCGCCAGGGACAGCAGCAGGAACAGCAGCCAACAGCCCCACCGTGACGATAGCGGCCCCGACGCCCTCGAGGAACAAAAAGGTGTCGAAGGTAGCTCTACTCGCGAACAAATTCGGCGGCGCCAAGCCGATAAACTTGCTCCCAACGCCAAGTCCGGGTATGAGCCCCAAAGGACTGTTATCTTCGGAGCAGCAGGACGGAGGCGGAACTCTTGCTAACGACGACACGTCCACAGGAGCGGTTAGCACAGCAAAAAACTATACAGCGACGAAAAATAAACAAGGACAAGCTTCTTCAAACTGGCTAAGTCTGAGCAATATTTTGGGGTTCGGAGATAAATCAAGCACAACCAGGGAACAACGAGGAGGTACACAAGGAAGGGATTTGGCATCCTGGATTACAGAGTCGGAACAACAAGATGGGACAACTACATCACCTCCAGGCCAAGAACTGAGGAACTCGAACAGCCCCTATATGAACAACGGCGCCAAGGGGCAGGCCTTCAGTAAGAACAAGCTGCATCACATGCAGTCCTTTGCGGATTTCACTACTCCACCGAAAATGAACTGGAACAACGTGAACAACTTGTTTGGAACCCTGTCAAACCGCGAGATGAAATCGCACGAGCGAGCGCATGCCCGGTACAACGAGAGGCTGCTGAAGCAAATGTTTACCCCCTCCGGCGGGTTGAAGCCGGGCGATTTGTTCGGCCACGTCGCCGTGCTGGAGCACCGGACCACGATCGCGACGGTGCGGTGCGTGAGCGAGGTCGGAACCCTGTGGGTGTTGGACCGGGTTGCGTTCCGTGCGGTCGTGCGCCGGAACCTGCAGGCGCGGCTGCAAAAGTACGTGACCGTGATCCGGAACATACCTGAATTTAACGCTCTACTCGTCGAAGAGGTGGAGGCCTTAGCGGAATGTTTCTACTTGAAGTACTTCGCGAAACGGGAGCGGATTCAGACCAAGCAGGACTCCAGTCAGCAAACCTTTTTCATTCTCCTGTCCGGCGAGGTGGAGATCGACGGGAAGCGTCTGAAAGCGCGGTCGGCCTACAGCAAGATGAGCGCGGCGCCAACGCAGTTGCAACAAATGACCATGATCAACAGTGGGGGAAATGCTGGGGCGGGAGGACAAACAGGGGGGATGATGCTGCCGGCGTATAGTAATTTTCCCACTGCTGGTCCTGGTGCAGGTTCCTCCGATGCCCAGAACAACTACACTTTTGCACCCCCACACCAGAGTGCAGCGCGCGCGGCGGGAGCATTGAGCACCATGAAGACAGGCAGTCAGGAAAAGATTGAAATGACTCTCGGGCCAAACAGAAACGACGGGGGCCTCTTTTCGGACGGTAATATAATAGCTTATAGCGGCCTTGAGCCGCCGTCGGTGGATGAGGCTGACGACAGTAAACTCGTGCACCAAGCTCAACTAAACAGTAAGCGGCAGCTGGTAACATTTGGCCCCGGAAATAATAACAAACCAAGCCTCCAACACTCGGAACATGATATTAACACTTCTCCTATATTAATCGGGGACAATCACGACGACCCTAATGAGATAGGCGCAGCAAGGTCGTCGAGCCAAAGCACACAACCACAGTCGGGAACTTTTCTCACAACGGCTTCCAGTAGCACGTCGGGTTCCTCTGCCCTACCCAGCAGTATCGACTGGACGACGAAAGTGTCCAACCCATCCGACGGCCGGGCCGGGGGCGGAAGCTTTGCCGCGCAGCTGCCTCCCGGTTCGAAACTTTCTTCCGCGGGGCATCTCGCCTCGGGGGTGTCATACGATTTGGAGCCGCAGCCACCCAATACGATCATGTCCAACACTTCGAGTTTGTATCTCGGGACCCTCGGGGAGCATCCGCATGGGCTCCAGCACCTGACGAACACCTTACCACCTGGAGCTCCTGTAGTCGGGGGTCCTCAACACCAAACCGGGCTTGCTCAGGGCATCAATCCCGCTGGGACCACCCTCGCGACGACCACCGGGGCGGCGCACCAGCATCTTCAAATGCGGAAGCTGGATTTATCGTCCCCCAATATCCCTGGCGGGTTCGCGAAGGCCGCTGTTCTAGAGGATGAGATGATCGGAACGCCGCGGGAGATCTACTTTGGCCACGAGACGCTCGGCTTCGTGGTCACCAGCTTCGGCGCGCGGGTGGAGCACACGGGGGCCAAGCACACCGTGGAGGCGATTTCGGACGACGTGTTTTGTGCGTGTTTGTCCGGACAGGACTTCAACCGGTTACTCCGCCCTCTCGCGGAGCAACTCACCACCGCGGCCAGCTGGGCGAAGCGGCAATCGGCGATGGAGATCGTGAAGCGGAACTCCGAAACCCACGCGCTGGAGCAGGAGATGGCGAATCTGAAGTTTTCCCACTTGGCAAAGCAAGCCATTCTCGGCTACGGGGGCTTCGGGGTGGTCAGTCTGGAGAAAAACCTCCTCACCGGGAAAGCGTACGCGCTGAAGTCGATCCGGAAGGGGTGGGTGGTGAGCCACAAGCTGGAAAAAGCGGTCTTCACCGAGAAGAAGCTGATGCTGCTGTGCCGGAACTGCGACTTCGTGGTCCGCTTGTTGGCGACCTTCAACCTGCGGAACGCCCTGTGCATTTTGATGGAGCCGATGCTGGGCGGAGAACTGTATCACCAGTACCACACCAAAATGTTCCACGGCGATAGCAAGAAGGCGCGGTTTTATTGCGCGGCCACCATTGAGGCGTTGCACTACATGCACGGCCGGAGCATCCTCTTCCGGGATCTGAAGCCCGAGAACCTCTTGCTGGACGTCGACGGACGGTGCAAGCTGACCGATTTCGGGCTGGCGAAGCAAACCATGACGAAGACCTACACCACTTGCGGCACGCCGGACTACTACGCGCCGGAGATCATCGCGCACACGGGCCACCACTTCGGCGTGGATTGGTGGACGCTGGGGGTGATGCTGCACGAGTTCATGTCCGGGCACGCGCCGTTCGAAGCCAGCACCGCGCAGAAAACGTACGCGCTGATTCGACGCGGGGTCACCTTCGTTCGGTTTCCGTATCGCGGGAGCGATCCTTTAGCCGTCGACCTCGTGATCCAACTACTGCAAGCGAATCCAGAAGACCGGTTACCGATGAAGCCGGATGGGGCGACTCTGTTGAAAGAGCATCCCTGGTATTTCAAGGCAGATTTTGTCTGGCGAGATTTCGAATCGAAAAAGATGCCCGCGCCTTTCAAACCGGATCTGCGCGGGATGTTCGATACGCGACAGTTCAAGGCTCTCAGCGAGAAAGATGTGCCCGATGTCTTTGATTCGCATTATGAGGATCCGAAGAACGGCTGGGATATAGGCTTCTGATGACACGAAGAAGAAGATCATGTTGATCTGGCCTAATTTCTTTTGCCTGCAGCTTCGATCGATAGTCCTCACGGGGGTAGCTTTGGTGGTGTTTATTTCCGACCCCAGCGCTTTCAACAGGAGCAGAAACGAAATTTTTCAACATCGCACTCTCGTGGTTCTGGTTTCGTATTTGAGACAACGCATAACATCAGTGCGCGGGGGCTTTTCCCGAATCTTCTGAGGATGTTTTTCATCGTCATTGCTGATTTGTTACCGATGGATGTGCTATACTAGCTGTGTTCCTCACAAGCGAGAGAGTCTGAAACAGTAGAAAAAACCACTCTTCCACCTTTAGGCTCAGACCTTTACGCTCAGACCGGCTTTCTACTGAAATATTTGAACAATGAATGTAAGTATGTAAGACTTTCTTCTGACTGTTTTGGTTATTTTTCGCTCGTTTTGCTTTCCTCGGTTCTCCCACTTCTCTGTGCTTGCGTTATTTTGGATCCGATTTTCTTGCTTGTCGTTGTTCTTCGTTTTGATGTGGTTCATAAGCAGCTCACACAGTAGAAGGAGAACAATTCTACTAGTTCGTAGTTTTGATTTGCTATTGCTTCCACGACGACCTTTCATCAAAAAACCATAGAGATTTGCTCGCTCCTTTCCAAGAAATTTGTGGTCATTGGACAACGGAAGTCGTTTTGTGCACCTTCGACTTGTGGTCGTCTCACAGCGAAGCGCATACTCTTTCAGGACAGAAAATTGGCCGTCCCAGCACTGAGACTGACGGTTGAGTACGACGAGTCAAGATCTTGGTCCTGCTAGTGCTCCTTTTTGTCGTTCTTCGTCATCTTTACGTTCACGCACTGCATTTGCACATACCTTCATCCCACAAAGAATAAGATGATCGATCCTGTTGAGGTTCTCCAGGTCCATGAGGCTACGGGTGTTTCTGCGTGGTACGCTGCGGAGGTGGTGGATTGGAGCGATGACAAACTGAAGTGCGCTATCGATGCGGACACAACGGTGGAGGTTGACTTTAGCTGCGTCAGGCTCGCTATGCATTGCAAAAGCATGATCGCGCTAGTTGTAGTAACAATTGCACTTCTACAGCCTTTGCATCTCTACGTTGAAAAGTTGCAATGGAAAAGAAGAGTTGTAACAAACGCTGAACTCGCTCACGACGAGCAGCGAAATTTGTCAAGCAAGGTTGCAGTTACTACGAGCGCGATACGTTTTGCGCAGGATACTGGCAAAGGATCAAGCGGCCTCGAACGAAGCGTTTCAGCCACAGGTACCTTTGCTTTAGTGGCGCTTGAGTGAAAATCAAAATTCATTATATCTTGTTCGATATTGTTTTGTATTTGTTCTTGTTGTGTACCAGCCACATATTGTTTACAGTTGATGCTAGAGCCTCTACCTGAAGCCGAGACCACATCGCTCACAGTGGCAAGAAAATCTTCCACAATACTCAAACCCAAAGCCCGGCACCGTGTGTGAAGTTTTGAAGCAAGGGCCTCTGAAAGCGCTGGGATGGCAGCAATGCTGCATAAAGCAGATTCGAGACGACTTCTATTTCGTGTACCAGGGGGATCCAGCAAAGTATTGGTTGATAAATTTTAATTACTTGTCTACTTGACAGTAGGTACGTTGTGCTTGTGATGTTGTCTACCTCTTGCCTGCGCCTGCCACAAACTCAAACCACCTGCATAACTGCATTTGCAGGTTTGTGCGTGATGAGCCCCCGGTATTCGATGAACAAGCGTTTGAATTAAAGATACGAATAAAACGCTATCACTCCTATCAGCTCATGGATCGTGGAGCGGTCGAACCTGCGGCCGATCCAGGATAGCAGCAGCAGCGGCGGCGGTTCCTCAGGTTTGTCCTTCCAAAACGTATCTCGGGAGGTCATCCCCTTGGAACAGGAACTTTCGGCCTGGGTCACAGACGGCGCCGGGGACGCGGATGCCTGCCTTCAGCAGGTGGCATCCAAGGTGGGACTGCTCATCTGTCGCGGTGGCTTGAACAGCGAAACAAGCAAGCCCGAAGTGGTCATGGTAGGTATAAAGGAAAATAACGACAATATTATACGACTCTCATGTTTTAGTGACCACTCGTGATCATCATGATCATGTTTGATATTCATATTACCAGAAGCAATCTTAGAAGCGAGGCCTTTCAACTTGATATGCGTGCTCATATCGTTCTGACACTGGCTATGACTAAGACTTCTATGCAAGAACGTTGAGAGTTGCAGTTTGATGTCACGACTGTACCTGTAGTGATAAGACATATCATCCACACCAACTTGAGGTGAGAAAGTCGCACTCCGGCGCGGGCGCATGCTGCTGAGCACGCACTTGAAGCACCAGAAGTCAATCCAGCAATTCCATGTGAAGCGGGAGAAAAAGATGAAAGCATTGGTATCCTGAGTAAAAACGTACCCACACCAGAGTCAGGATGGGGATTTTGCAACACAAGCCTCGGAGTTTTGTGAGTCACGCATGACAAGTTGCACTCTGCAGTGTAGTGCAGGTTAGCAAGTGCAGCCGCGTCACAGATTCATCTGCTCATCCTGTTCACAGCATCACAAATTCCAAAACACGACTGGAAATGGCTCTCATGGGGATGCGCATTACAAGTCTTCTTGTCTTTGCAAATCTGCATTACAACTCTGGTGTGGGTACGTTTTTACTCAGGATAATTGGATGAGCAGCGGAACAAATACAGCGACAAATTTTCGCATGTATCTATCATTTTGAAATTTCTGATTAACAAAAATATATAGTTTTTCTCGAGATGTATGAGCATGATAATGATGTACAGGAGCGTGGTCATCTTGGCTAGTACAACCTCCTCTTCACAAAACTCAGAGACGACACACTAAGATGAATCAACTATATCAGGAATGGGTCGCAGAGGGTAAGTGCGCCGGTATGATTGTCGGCAAGGAAGGGAAAAACGTAAAGAGGGTTCGTGCGGCGCACGGCGTCGAGATCCTCATTGATGACGAGGAGGACGGTTCGGTTAAAGTCCGCATCTACGGTGACACGCAGGAGCAGGTGGACAAAGCGCGGGCAGAGCTAGAATACGTGCGGGATGAATTCCAGGTGGAGAAGAACCTGGTCGGCTGGGTCCTGGGGAAGAGACGGGCGAATCTGAATGACATCCAGGAGCAGAGCGGGATCGGGCAATGCATGTATACATAGTTTTGCTTTTAGGTGGGTGCGTGGTTTTTAGTTGCATGGTTCTTTCATCAATTACATCTGGTATAGTACATGATTTTTCATCTCGTAGAGGTTCTTCTTCTTCTTCTTCTTCTTCTTCTTCATTGCTTTCACTGCATCACAGCTTCGACGGCGACAGGAATGTTGTCACGTTGATCGGTCTGAAGGAGCAAGTGCAGGACGCAATGATGCTGCTAGAGGCACACTGCACCTACAACGACGTCTATCAAGAGATGGATGAGGAGCTTGCGGAGCTTGAAAACGAGCTCGACCGCGGCAACAGGGGCGCGGGGAGAGGTGGTATAGGATGGCTGCGTCTTTCGATATTGCATGAAACACATCTTGACTCTTGCACTTTCTCATGCATGAAAATGATGGAGATCGAGATGGACTATACGCTGGATCTGGATGATGTCTTCGTCTTCACTGATAGAAGATCGGCTACCACAGGTACTAAGGGTAAGGGAAAGCGTGGCAAGGACAGCGAGTCTATGCATCGGAAATGTGTCTGGGTATGGAAGATTGCTAGATTTGCCACGCATGTTTGATATGACTCGAGACTCTGTGATGTAGGGACGTGAAGAAAAGGTCGGGCCCTCTTGTCTGTCATGCAAAGCCGCAGCCTGTGCCTGGGCTTGCCATGCGGAACACGCAACACATACTACTACTAGGAGCCCAAAAGTTCAACGTCATGCTTGGCTGCGTTATAATGTTGCAGTGCGCCTAGGATTCACTTTTAGCATTACAGCCTTCTCGACCCAGACATGTTTGCACTTGATAGAGTCCTCCTCCGCCCGCCCGTCCTCCTCCTCAAAGTCCAAGAAGGGATCGGGGAAGATAGGCATCGCAAAAGTATCGTCCTAGTATGAATTGTCACATGACAAATTTTTCCAGAAGGGAACCCGATCAGTTTGTAATGCTGAACAAGACTTATCTAAAAGACAAAAACAGAGAGAGCTGCGTTCATGGCGCAGCAAAGGTGAAATAATAAGTAGCTACGAGTGCTGCGTCAATACTTTTGCACAGGATAGAGGAAGGGCGAGCGCAACTCGCGCAGCAACTACAGTTCCGCGGCGGACAGTCCGGAGGACGGTGCGGGAGAACCAAGACAGCAGGGCAGAAACAGCAACAAATCGGTCGGGAAGAAGGGACGCAACAACATAACTGTTGTCACCCGTACCGCGGATGTGGAGGAATACGATAAGAAAGAGGAGGATTACCCGAGTTTGACGGAAGCTGCAATGACGCCGTCAAACCGCAAGAGTCGCGGGAAAAAGAAGGGGCAGAACAAGAACGACAGCAGTGGTGCAGCGGATGTTGACAAGAAGGATAACGATAGTGGTACTGCTGACAAGACCGCCGACCAACCGGACAAAGACAGCTCCGCCACCTCCAAGCAGGACAGCTCAGCCTCCAAGGTCGTCGTAGCCGGCGCGAGCAACTCCACAGCGACTCCGGTCGTGAACAGCGGGTCAGCGGATGACGCTTCGCCGGGAACGACCATGGCCGCAACTCCGTCATCCTCCTCGCAGAAGAAGCAGCGCGGCCGCCGCTCAGGGGTATGCATCGCAAAAGTACTTTTATCGCGCGCATTATTATGATAATCTGCATATGCAAATCCAAATTTTTAGTTGAGAAGAGCAACTGGAATTGTCATGTTGCATAAGGCAAAAGCAAAAGGTTCGACCTGTCTGTCATGCGTGGCTGCAATTTGAATGTATACGAGTGCGATGGTTGATATTTATATTTTGCGTTGCATACGAGGGAAATAAGGACGACTTGGTGAATGAAAACGACACGTCAAGCTCGCCGGCGGGAAAGGGCGCGAAGAATCTGAAGGCGGAAAGCACTAACACGATCTCCACAACCACAGAGGTGGAGGCGTAGTTGGTTGAGGTCTAAAAATACTGCTGGGGGGCGTTTCAAGATCGGGCGAAACGGAAACAGATTTCTAACATATAGTAAAAACTATTTATTGTTCAGCTTCAGGGCGGGGGTACTTCGACTTGCTGTCACAACTGTGTCTGTGACAAGCATCCTATCCAACCACCTCTACTTGTATACGTTCATATACAACACGGCGATTCATAGGTTCTATTCTTCTACTTTTTCACTCTCAATTAAACTCTTTTTCTACTCCATTTTCTCGAAGAACTGATCTGTATTTAGAAGTTGTCACATAACTCCGAGGTTTCTACCGAAGCTCGTGACAGCAGATGTTTTACTTGATCGCGAAATGTAAAGGAAAAGGCTAGTACAGTTTTCAAAATTGGTTCAGTTGGTTCCATCAAAAAGAGGTCTAAAACTGGCCGATACTAGCAAGCTTATATATATGATTTTGTTTGTCTCCTTTTCATCTTGTTTCATTTATGATATAAAAAACTTTTCCTAGTGCTGGTTGACAAAGAAGCAAAGGTGCAACTACCGACTCAGAACTACTTTTCGTTCTGATTGTATTGTCCAGAAAAACTACCTCGAGCACCAAGTACCGCGGTAGTAAAGTCAACGGCTGGAAGCATTAGCGATAGATGAAATTGACCAAGGAGCGTATAATTTTCAGAGGGGAATAAAATATAAATATTCTCCGAGGTCACTTCTTTTTTGTTGGGAGTACCACAAGAGCAAGTCAAAATTTATGATGTGCAGCACTTGACATTTCGTACTCGTTTTTGTATATATTTGAGGCGATATTGCTTGTCAGATGCTTTTTGAATGCCTTGCTTGATCGCTATTTTGGCCGACGCTGTCAGTGTCGAACCTAAACTGAACCTGGATTGAAGTTTTTTGTTTTTCGAGCACTTGTGAAAAAAAAAGAAAATTGCTCAGCAGAGACTCTATGCTTGTTGTATCGGACTGATTGGTTCAAGAGGCAAAATTGAATCGGCTATGCGCCGCTCTGTTTGTGCTGTCGCTAGCTACTACAAAGCGAAGGCTGACGCCGATGGAAAAGTTTCTCCATTCGTTATCGTGTCGATTTGATGCCCCTGCGTTCAGTACTCACGACGCAAGGGCGCCCCCCCCGGGTTCCTTGTTCATAAGCGGCGGCGCCTGCAGTGTCTCGGCTGCATGGGGGTGGCGCCGCGCCCCGGCGGGGAGGCGCCACCGCTGCGGCGCTTTTGGAAGATTTGGCGGAGGCGGCCCATACGCGCGGCCCCGCGCCGCGGCCCCTGTCCCGTGTGGTTTTGCTTTGCCGTGCTTTGTGAGGGGCCTGCCAGGGTTGTTGATTGGGCATGGGCGTCAGCCTGTCGGGTTTCAGGCTGGGGACGCACGGGCGCCGAGACGGGCGCGCGTATTGGGTGGCCCCGGCTTTGGGGGGCGCCGGTGGGTCCCCTGTTTCGTGTTTTCTCTGGCGCCCGCCGCGCCGGCACTCTGCCCGCCGCCGATGGGGGGCCTTTTCTTGTTGGCGGCGCCGGACTTGGACATGATCCCGAAAAGGGTGAACGCCGCCAAAAGCCCGAAGGAGGAGGAGGCGAAAAGCGTGCCGAAGGTCTCCGCCGGTGTGGCTTTCTCGGCGATTGTGCCGCCGTTGTCCCCGTGCCTGCGTGCCTTTGGACGGCCGGCCCTCTTTTGCGCGCGCGGTATTATTTCCCGGGGCCGCGCGTTGCAAGTTGTATGTCGGAAAGTTGACCGATCCCGATGCGCTATCTGGTGCAGCGAGCTCGACGCGGCCGATATTCCAGTCGGTTGCGCCTTAAGTCTTAAATGAGGCCCGGTTTGGGGAGGATGGCGACATGGCGGAGCTCGATCAGTCCTCAGAAGGCGGCGACTTCGGGCCATTCGCCTGCTCCCTTGGCAGCTCGAAGGGAGGAGCCTCCGCCAGTCTGGTTCTTTAGAAGGGGAGCCCGCCCGGGCCCCTAAGGACCCGGCGCAGCGAATTGGTGGGGCGCTTGGTTGCCTGGCATCCGTGCGGGGCCCGGCTTGGGATTAGGTTGCGGCCCGCTCGGCGAATGCGAAGGAAAGCGGCCCCGCGAAGGGGCCCCCCGGTGGTCATAATGCGCGTGGCCGTCCGCGCGCGCCGCCGCGCGCGGATTGATTTCTTCGTGAAAGAACAAAATGGCGCGAAGTTTTGGAAAGATGCAGCGCCACAACGCGCAAAGCGCAGATCGGGGCGAAGGGCGGCAGCGAACCAGCGCGAGGGCTTTTCGGGCAAAGAACCAACCGACCGCCCAGGTGTTCATGGTGTTGGGCGACTGGAAGGACACTTGCGAGCTGAAGAAGGGGGAGCGTGCGGCCGAATTCACCCGGTGGGCCTTCAAAAAAATCGCCAAGGCCGCCCGCCGGGCGGCCGCCCGGCCGGCGATTGGCGGGAGCCAAGCCCGCCAACCCCGTCCGGCGGCGCCCCTCCGCCAAACGTGCGCGCCCGCCTCGCCAGGTAGCTCGCTCGCTGGGGGGCGTATGGTCGGGCTAGGGCTTTTTCTTAGTGTGTTAGCTTGTGGCGCCGCGCCCGACGCCCCGTCCGTGTGTGCGTTCGTTGCGCGGGAGCTTATCTGATTGCGTTTCCTGTTGCTTCTCTGATTGCGGTTCCTGCGCATTGGTTTCCTGCTATGAACCGCCGGCCGCGTGTGTTGGGTGAGCGGTTGTGGTTGGTGTCTCTCCGTTGTGTCTCTCGGGCATACAGTTTGTTCGGTTCTTGGGCACACGCTACATGGATGCATCTCTGTCTATCTTTGGCATCCGATCATGGCATTTTCTGCTTTGGCTGGCCGGCTGAAAGTAAAAGTAGAGAGGACAGTTAGCGAAAGCGCCAAGAGATTTTTCTGGCGTTGGGGTTGGCGCTCATCGAGGCATCTCCAGCATGTTTCAAAGAAATCGATCCCCTCGCGTTGGTTTCCTTTCTTCTGAACTCGGTTGTCGTGCTGTTTTTGTCAACTCCAACAGGCCTCATCATGTCGATGACGATGTCGATAATCTAGTAGCTGCAGCTGTAGCAGCACATCAGCTGCTTTTTTAGGAGTTACGAACAGAGCACCAGACAACCAGCCTGTCGATGTTTTGTCGGACTATAAGTTTACGCACTCAGGAGCAGCACCGTTCACGAACTAATATGTAACGGAGGGGTCCTCGACTTTCGACATTGAAAGCGCAACCGGGCCCGCCTGCGTGTTTGCCTCTGACCGGCTCGTTTCATGTCCTAGGTCGTTCCTTTCTGCTTCTAATATCTTGTCCTGCTGCGTGTTTCGTCTTGACTTTTGACGAGTAGTGGGAGTGCCACCAGCAGCTGCTCCTGCGCTTCACGCCGCCGACGATTTTTGGTCTCGAGAGTACGTACAAAAGCGCCTGTCTCGACGTAGTGCCATCATTGTTCAACCACCTGGTAATCCGAAGTCGCTGTGAGGACGTCCCTCCGTCCACCATGTTTCTCTCCCGCCACTGGGGCAAGCCTGTGGAGGTGAAGAAATCCGACACGGCAACCACGTGGTACCAAGCTGTCCTCGTTGGCGATGGCAAAAACGGCGAGGCCGCCCGGGTCCGCTTCCCCTACGAGATATTCCCTTTCGACGCGATAGCACAAGCGAGCGCGGCCGCGTCGGGCTACGGCGGGCTGAAAAACCGCGACGTGATTTTAAATCCAACTGCCCTTGCCGGGAACGGGCAACCAGGGAGCAGTGTGAGTAAGACCACTTTATGTGCCTACGATGCGGAGAACGTTCTGTGGGCGGAAAAATTGGTTTTCGTTAAGCAGTGCTGCCGGGAACGACAGAGACCGACCGCAGCGAGCAACTGGGAACCGAGCGTGAATGAGTAAGAAGAAGAACTTCTTCACATGATAGATGAGGATTCAACATGTGATAAATGCAGGGAAACAAGACCACTATGCTAATGCTGCTCCCTCTGCTTCTTTGTCTTCTCTTCTTGTTCTTCATTGAGAGTTTCTTACTTTTTTCCGCAGTGCAGTATTTAGCAGGGGGTATTCTGGTGACCCGCAGAAGAACTCGGCTGTGATGTTGTCGGGAGGATAAGAGCCCTTGCTTCCCACCACAGTCACGCCCGGGTCTGCAATCCCGTGCAGGTCTGGGAGATGCCGTAGTGGAATACCGAAAAGCGTCCTTGCGGAGGCGGTAGGTCACCATGATGCCTACTAGACCTCGGTTGGAGGCTGACAATATGTCAATTCGTGTTGCAACATGGTATAATAGTTACACGGGTCGCTGGCGCTGCACCACCTCCAAACAAGATCACTTCTCTTGCCTCTTTATGATCAAGATCTATCGAAAAACATCACCAGACTCGTGGAGCTTTCCTTCGAGGCCAACAAGTACTACCCCGCTGGCTGGGCGCTTGGCCGCGTGACCGGCACGAAAGACGAGTTTTATTTCGTCCGGTTTGAGGTTGACGAGAGCTCGGGTTTTACGAAAGACCAAAAGACCGTGATCGTGAAGAAAGACGTCTTGCGCCGCCTTCCTGCGTTGCCAGACGGCATGATGAGTGGCAAAAATCAGATCATTTCTTCCGCGACAGGGGCTCCAGCCCTCGGTGGTCCAGCAGCATCCAGCAGTCGCCTGACATCTTCACAGCAAATGCTGAATTACAGTCGGTCGATCTGCCCGGAGGGCAGGTTCAGCAAGAAAATCTGCGAGTTGCCGGACCCGGAAGATCTGCACAGTTTGTGGCTATTCACACCGGACGCGGTGGAGATCCTGTCGCAGCTGAAGAGAAAACTGGAGCTGGTGGTACTATTTTTTTTATTTTTATTATGTTCATACGTCTGCAGCCGCTGCGAAGCATATAGATGTCTGTGTGAAGCAAGAAGAAAACTCAAGAGCAGCATCAGCATCAGAAGTTTTCAACGTTTTTTTAGAACAGGGACCCAGTGGTCGATGATTTTACGTTACAGGGACCCATGATTACGTGAAAACTTCTATCACAGCTCATCGTCCCCTCGCCTGAAGTGTCCTTCGGCGCGATGACGGGTGAGCAGCGCGAGCAATCCACCGCGGAGATCGCTCTGTTCGCCGCGGGGGACAACGAACGGAGCTTGAAAAACCTAGAACAAGCGGAGCTGCTCCTGCAGATACACTGGCACCACCAAACCAAGATCCAGGCGTTTACGCGGGAACGAGAAAAGAAACTGAAGGAGCTGGAGGCGTTAAAGGAGAAATTGGACCGGGGGACGGCAATGGTATAGGCAACTTCAGTTTTTTTTTCTTGAAATAGGTAGAGGCGAATCCATCTTGATGTTCATCGTGGCGTGCTGTCATGCGCGTTGGCCTGCTTGTGTATCTCGACCGTGTCGTGGCAATAAAGAACAAGAAAGATATTAAAGAAAAAGATGCGTAGTAGAAGATCTAGATCATGGGCCACACAACTAAAATTCCACCCCAGCACCGCGAGATTTCTGAGAAGGTTGTCGGCAAGTTGATCGGTAAGAACGGGAAGAATATTGCCAGATTACAGGAGAAATACGGCGTTGAGATCAAAGTTGCGGATAAGAAGCCAACGAAAGCTACAGCGGCAACCCTTGTAGAGGTAGAACATGAACAAGTCGAAGAGGAAGATGAGCAGGTTGCAGCTGAGCCGGCGACGGCGCAGGACGACACCAAAATAAACGGAACTTCTTCTAGTACCACGCCAAAGGGCGGCAGGTCGAACAAAAATAATTCCGCGGTAAAAAATAAGCCCGCAACTTCTTCTGCTACGCGGAAAATCACCATTTTTGGGATTGACAAGGACGCGGTAAAGCAAGCGTGGGAAGAAACGGATCTTGCAATTTCTGAGATGAAACTGACACAGGATCAGTGCAAGTTTCTAAGGCAGAAGTGCCAATTCTCCGAGCTCATGCAGGAAACGGGAGCGAGCTTTATCGGGTAAAGTTGTTTTTTTGGTAAAACTGATTTTTGATGTGACACTGACATACATGCCTGGTGAGACTCGTTTGTACAAAAGCAAAAGCATGCGTGAAGACACTAGGGACGTTTAAATAATATTTTACGTCGGCCTTCTAGTGATCAGCTGGGAGATTCTAAAACGTATGCATCAGCATGGTATGTTGCAAACAACACTACAAACCCATCCCCTTATCAGGTTCGGCTCGAAGGAGTCCACCACGCTAGAGGTTATCGGGAAGGAGATAGAAGTGGAGGAGGCAAAGCTGATATGCATTGCAAAACTATCGCACTAGTATGAATTGCATTACAAATTTCCCCAAGAACAAAAATGCAATTTGTCATGCTATTTCAGGAAGCAAGTTGGATTTGTCATGCATATCTGCAATTAGTACGAGTGTGATACTTTTGCTCAGGATAGCTGATCCTGGAGGGCCATCTGCTCTACTACAGCAGCTACCAAAGCATGAATGAGGCGAAAGAAACACTGCGCACTGAGGAGGAAAAGGTAAGTATAGCTATAGAAGATTTTCGTCAACAACAACATCATGCTCGAGCACTAAAGTATGAAACGCGAGGACACACAGCTGCGACATCGATCATGTGCATCACGTTTTTGAGAAGTTGGGAAACGAACGCTGATGTTGCACCTCAACAACCAGAAGATGAATGCTAGTTCTCACTTATTTCTTTGGTCACATCAATTTTCTCAGTTCCAACAAGAATACGGACGTGCCGGAGGCAAGGGAAAGCGAAAAGGTCGCAAGTCTGCCAAAGACGCAAACGACAACAACGAGGCTGGTGCAGATAATTCGGACAAACAGAAAAAAGGATCTTCGAAAGGTGGCAAGGGGGGTAAGAACGCAAACAAGAACAACAAATCTAAGCCCGATAAACACGAGAAGGACAAAAGAGAGAAGTCTGAGAATAAAGATAAAAGAACTAAGCCTGATCACGCAGCTGCTCCAAACGAGAAAAACACAAAGCCGGAGATCGCCCCCAACCCAAACGAGCCGTCGACTACCAGTAGCCCCGATCTGAAAACCAACAAACCTTCGTCCCCGAGTCCGAAGAGCAAGGGGGGAGCGAAGCGGAAGGGAAGTGTCGACTCTGTGGTCGAGACGGCCACCGCAGCCGAGGCCGCAGCGCCGGCTGCCACGGTGGGGGGCGATTGATTTACTTTTATCTTTTCTCACCACGAACATGATTTGCTATGAGGAGCATGCTGTAGTCGTCCTAATCTGTCACTATTTTTAAAATGAACACATAGAAAAGTTTTACTGGATGAACTGCTAGAAGATTGATGGGTAGTTCTTCTGGAGGAGGTCTTTGTATCCGCATTGCTACGGGGTTTTTGCTCTCGCCCTTTTCCGCTCAGATTTTCTGTTTTTCTCCTGGGTGGTAGCCGCGTCACGACGTACAATAAACGACCAAAATATAAATCGAGGACTAGTTCATCTAGTTCAAGCCAAGGTATAGTACTCAAACGAGCATAAGGGTAAGGCATGCGCCTCGAAAAATACAAATTCAAATTTCTTGAGAGGTAGCATGTCTTTTTTTCTCGTGTGAATTGAATTCCTAGAAACCTGTGTCTGTGCTATAATGACGGCCATCTGTTGATCTGGCAAATGTACTCCAGCTGGATCAACATCCAATTTTCGTCTCTGTGAACAAATGTTGCTGGAAGGCTGTTTTCTGTGAAATGACTCTAAGCACTTTGAGTTTGTTGCAAAGGCCAGCATAGTTCAAAAGAATGGGTGTACTGTAGGAGATGAAATATATGCGTCTTTGCAGTTTCATCTCGAATCAGAGCATTCGTGTGATTATATCAAATCGAAATCGTAAGTGGTCGCTTGAAGTTGCGCAGCCCTCTTGTTTTCTTGCTTTGAAGATTCTGCATCGCAGAAGTAGATCTGTGGCTCTGTGAGTGATCAAGATCAGGCTGTAGAAGATGCATATTGACTGCTTCTGATTCCACGATTTCCAATTCCAGATCCCCTCGCCGATGCACGATCCCGACGGATTTTTTGATTTGCGTATCCATTCCTATTGTACAACTCTGTGATCCACGACACCTAGAACGGAACCGACGTCATTGCTGCCTCTCCTTGCTTTTGTTCGTGGTGGAAGATCATTTGTTTATGCTTTTCGAGGATGAAGTAGAATGCATATGACCTACAGTTCTTTCGTGTTCGTCGGTTTTTCTTCTGATTTCTTTTTCAGGTTAAACTCTGTTGTCATGATCTAGAAAAACAGAAACACACAAGCTCATAAGTACACGAGTGCTACCACTCAAAAAAAATAAAATAAAAATTAAGTAGACTGAGAGACAGACCGATGTTGGACAAAATGAATGTGCTATTGCTTCGCCGTAACTATTCATCGACGGCAGCGGCCGTGGTGAATAAACGCATATTGTCTACTGTCACACAAGGACCACATCAAGATCTATTCGTTGGAACATCAGCAGCAACTTCTTCTTCTTCAGCTTCCAAACTACGACCCCTCCCAACCGCGGTCATCAATTCGGCGCAACTCCTGGATGAGGTGAAGTTAGACGGCCAGAAGTGGATTTCCGACGCGCAAATCGCGAACATCAGCGAGTTGAGCTCGCTCCGGCTCCCGGCAGGCTCGTTGGTCCGGGTGGAGTATGAGAAAACAGCACGAAGTTCAAAATCAAATGGTCGAATATTAAATCAGAAAGAAATAATCGGGGTGGGTGTTTGGAACCGACACTCGTCCGTGCCGATTCGGATGCTGGAAAATGAAGCACTCGACGTCCTCGCGCAGAGCAGTGAAGGCGATGTAGTGACTGCTCTTCCGAGAAGTTTCTTAGCGTACAGAAGCGGTGGTAGGGGTTGTACTACATCTGCAGCTGAAGAAGTTGTACTTGCGTCACACGGCCCATCGTCACAGGTGGATGTTGACGAGGACGCTGCGGAGGGCGCAGATGACGACGAAAATATTTTCGCGGACGGAGACGAAACAACAAACGACGAACAGGTTCAGCTTTCCCGCCGACATTGCGAGGATTTACGGAGCCTCTTAGTAAAACGGCTGACGGCGGTTTCGACTGCATTATCATCTTCCTGTGTATTACCAGATCATGATCATGAGCGAATTGGTACGTCAAACGAGAAACAAAGGAGCGATATCGCCGCGAGAGTATCCATCCCCTTCCTCTACACCCGCATTCTTGACGCTGACGCCGACGGATTCCCAGGTTTATCTGTCGACCGCCATGGCTTCGACGCGGCGGTTCTGACCTACAACACGCTGGGGAGTTACCACTGCTACCACGAAATAGTGGAAAAAACCTTGGAGGACAACGGAATCACGAAAATTGCGCAGCACAAGCTGATCTCAAAGAAGGAGAGGTATTATGCGAACGGAGCAGAATTCGCCACGAGTTTGGTGAAAGGGACGGATCCGAACTTTTTGGTCAGGGAGGTTCTGCCTGAAGATGGTAGTGAAAATCAAGCACAAAGTGGTGCTACTTCTGCTGGACAACTAGACTCCTCGATTAAGGGACGCGACGACGAAAGCGACATCATGGACATGGACAAATTAGATCTTCTCACTGAAGAAACAAGCACAGGGAAGAATAAGAATGCAAATGCAGACACAGGGCCCCAAGCTCCCATTTCTAACGTCCTCGATTTCACCTTTAACGTGTACCAGCACTGCAGTCTAGGGTACGAGCGCCAGTACGACTATTCCTCCGCGAGAATTCGGTCCTACCTTGCGAACTTGGTGAAAGACAAGCAATCCACGGTGCTGGACCTCTGGTGCCATCTCGGCGAAACCGGCCTGCGTTGCGCCAGTCAGGGAAAAGCGGAAGAGGTGATCCTGATCGAGGAGCGAGAGCACTTCGCCGTCGCAACTTTGCAGAACGCGAAGAGAAACGGAGCAACCGCAAACAGGACGACGGTGTTGCACAAGAAGTCAATTTTCACGGAGCTGCGGAACATGGCGCTGGCCGGGCTGAAGTTTTCTTTGGTGGTGTGCAACCCGCCACTGGTGTTCGCGCAGCGGAAGAAAGACAGAAGGAAACAAGTAGCACTAGATGGCGACGTCCTGGACACTGTAGGTGGAGCAGGCCAGCTGCAAAGAAGTACTCAGATTCATGATCAGGACGAGCAGAGAGATTATAGCCAAATTGCCGCCTCATCCACCTGTCCTTCCGGAGATCATGACCTTCCGGATGAGGACGGGTTTGAGCAGGTGGATGACCTCGCAGCTGCTTCCACCGAAGCAGGGCGGCGTGGTAAGATGAGAACTTCGGCAGCAAATGACAAGTCGATCATGGTGCAGGAGCAAACTCCGCTCTCCCATCAATTTGGCAAGCGCTACCGTGTCGACCTTCGCGGCATCTGCCCAATTTTACGGCAAGCCGCACAGGTTACAGCGACGGACGGCTACATTGCGGTGAAGCTGTACTTGAGCCCGCGGAACCGGTCCTGGGGACCGCATTTGCTAAAACTCGCGTTTGAGCAGGCAGATAGAAACGGAAGCATCGTGAAAGAGTTCGCCAGTAGCTCGAATTTACCGAGGATAATGTCCCAAGACTACGAATTACCACACTGGTTCGTGGTCAGGGTGCATTGATGAAGTTATAATATTATGAAAATCATCATTATGATGATGGTGCCGCTACTGCATGTAGCATGCAACTTGCTGCGAACCGCGCATATTTGCACGGCTCTCTAGTAGAGAAGTCATACACATACAGCACAGCTGCAAGCACTAGGACTAGAAGCGCCAGCTTGCAACGCCGCATGAGAGCTGCTACTCAACGCCGCATGAAAGCGCTGGAAACGCAGCGATGAGGGATTCCCCTTCGACGCGTGTACAATTGAGTGTGTTCTACTCAATCTCATCGTCTCTTCTGGGCTTGTTCGGTATCGTTGAGAAAGTGTCCATGTCCACGTAGTGCTTGTCGTTGGCAATGTCGTCGTGAGGGTCGTAGCTGCAGACTGGGCACTGGAAGATATCGACGAAAAGAGAAATATTCATGTTGCATATTGACAGTTCTTGACTCACAACTTCTATCAGAAGATTATTTTGATGGGTGACGAGTCATTTCGTGGTTCAACATTGCACCACAAAAACTCGTTCAGTTAAGGAGTTCCAACTTCAACTCGAGTGTGTCGTGCGAAAGTTGTCAAAAAACCGATAAGCATTAGCCTTCACTTTCTGAATAAAAATGACGTCGCTCCCGCTCCAGTGCAAAGAGCCGCAGCAAATCTGCGAATCGTTGCGGCAAACGCGGCCACGTCGCTACCACCCTTGCGGCGGCGGAAGTCGGCAAAATCGGTATGGTGAGTGCCTACGACGACACGAAGAGGTTCCGCGGCGCGGGCGCCGGGGAAGGTCGTGAGTCCTTCCAGACGCTGGAGGCGGATGGCAGTGCCGGCGAGGCTGCGACCGATGTCCCTGCACAGGAGGACGAGCTGCACACCGGGCCCGGTATATTGTTGAACTTCAGCAGCTGCAGCACCCAAGCGCATGACACTTCATCTTTTTCTTTTTTCACCACCTGCAAGAAGAGCAGGAGCTCATTCTTGATCATGTTTGCCAGTCGCAGCTGTATTCTTTCATGCACCATGTTGTACTATTCTTTCATGGCGTCCCTTCGTGCTTCATGTTCACAACATGGCGGAGCAGAGATCTGAATTCATGTATTTGACACGTTGGCGCAAAAATTGAATCGACTACTTCTGTGCTCACCAAATGAAATAAAAAGATGCGACGTCGGCCAACAGTTTCATCTCGTCGGAGGCGGAGAAGGCGAGGAGGACGAGTGTCCTGAACAATTTTCGACCCGGAAGCACTATCTATGGAACGGGCTTCGCAGGATTATACGGCGAACCAAAGAACCCAAATCCGGAATTAGTTTCTCAAGTTGGTGACCATCTCATCTATCGCGTCCCCGTACCAGCGTCCACCAATGTCTGCAAACCGGGTTTCAGTTTTGCGTCCGGTTTAGTCCAGGGATGGCATACCCGGGGCGGTGCCATCGCGAAGTGCAAAGTCTACAATTGCTTTGGTGGGGAGGTAGACATGAAGGACCAGTGCTGCAACCAAGGATACGACGCCGAGCACAAACTGTTTTACTGCTACGACAAAAGCCCGTTGCCTCAGGTGTGTGAACAATACTCGTCAAAGTAGTTCGTAACTTTACTTCTTCGCACTGCAGTTATTACACCTGAGCAGTGGTCATCAGCGTGACAATGAATATAGAATAATGAAGCAAGCCTTACTTATACTTCCCGCAGGGCCCTCGCCCGTAGATAAATAGTCGTGCTGGTCCTGTTTGTTTGCGCAAATAAATACAACGCTGCCTGCTCCTCGATTTGTAATCTGTAGTGTTGGCTACAGCTTTTTGTACAAAAGGAGAACGCTTTTGATTATCGATAGCCACGCGTTTACATTTGACTAAAGTACAGAGCGATGAAGAAGGTCTGTGCAAAGATCTTTTTCTTCGAATTCGTAGTATTTTCCTTTCGTCGCATTTTTACTGCAACGCCTCTTTATATTTATTGTACAAATTGAAATTGAAATTTTTATGACTACGACTATCACGAAGGAGATGAAGCACCCACCAAGTGCGCACCAAAAAAAAAAAAATGACACCGAGATACAAGAAATTTTGAACCGTAGACTATATATTGCGTTGAAACACAGCGCGTCTCTGCCCTCTTTAGTGTGAAAACAGGAGAGAAGATGTGCGATGGTGCATAGACTCGTAGTACTAATAGTGAATCCAGTTGTTCCAAACACACCAAATCCGCCGTAGTACTGATTCGGATTCGTAGCTGTCGCACAAGTTGTCATAAAGGGCAAACACTGAAATGGAAATAATTTGAAATATTACCACATTATGAATTGAAGCGTGCGCCTTGTCATACTCATAAACATAATATCAATAAGCTTCGGTTGCGTACTGGAACAACTACAACATGAAGTTCGGTGGCGTACTGCAAGAATGAGAAGGACTCGCATCTGTTGCCTACACGTGAAAATACATTCCAGCACTCGGTTGGTCGTTCGTTCATCTTATCGTCCTCTCACCACTCGTGCAAAAATATTAGTTCCGTCTCGTACAACTCGGTCTCGTGCGCCTGATATTGAGGCTGAAGCCAAATTCTGTTTCTGACTTGATAGCTAAAAAATGCGTGCGCGCGGCCGCGCCGGCTCCTTCGTTCCAATGCATTGATCTTCATCTTTCCCACCACGTGGTGTTACAGCTACTTCATCTCACCAGTCTTCGTAGACTAATTTTGTGCTGTATCCCGGCAACAAAAATTGTCTCCTGCCTGTGCTTAAGCTTCAGCAAAGCTTCTTCTTCACAAACTGAACTTTCTAATAGTGCAATTTTACTATCACTCCTCCTCAAGGAAGTTCCCAGTACAATCTCTATCACCACTTACAAAAAGTCCACCAAATCAGGGGCTGTATTGTTACTTCTCGAGTAGAGTAAGATACAACCTGCTTCGATTTTTCGGTTTGGACTTTTTCGAGTGCAGCGCTGTTGAATTCCACTCGGAGTTCAAGAAGGCACTGCATCACTGGTTTATGCAGTTTTAGATGGCTTGCGGTTGCTTTGGCGGTAAATCCGATCTTGTTAAAATGGCTGAATTGCAGGGGTTCCTGAAGTCCGTCTCGCTCTTCCGGCATTTGCCGGACAGCGAGCACAGCACGATTGCGCGCGAGATGCACCGGGTCAAGTACAAGAAGGGCGACATCATTTTCAAGCAGGGTGACCAGGGCGACGCGTTTTACATCGTGGCGCAGGGTGCGGCGAGCGTCCTCGTCCGCCCGTCCGCGTTCATCAAGGTGAACGACTACGTCACGCTCGCGACGGAGCTGATCTTCTCCGGCAAGACCGTGCCGCCGGGCACTGTCGCCCGGGTCGACAAGTATGACGCCAACCGGGACTACCCCTACACCATCCGGCTGCAGGGGCAGAAGTGGGATGGCCAGCGCGGACGCGTCATGCCGGACGAGATCGAGCTGCACCAGGGAAACCCGGAGCCGGTCCACGTCGCGACGCTGAAAGCGGGTACTATTTTTTGGATACTTGCTCATGCTCATTTTTCTACTAGTACTGACTGTAGTGCGACCGAAGTATAAAGTTGTTATTGTATCTGCAAAATCTGACGTGGCAAAGTGGCCTCCAGACGCAACAAGTAGAACATTCATTATCGACTCGTCAGATGGCCTTGTACCATACGGCGCATAGTTGTACTACAATTTTTCCAATACCAAATGAAATTACCCTTTGGAGGACGAACCCCCACATCACTATCAACACCAGGTGATTATTTCGGCGAGCAGTCTCTCCTGAAGGGCAAACCGCGCAATGCGACGATCAAGGCAGCGGAGGACTTGGAATGCGCCGTGATCGACTCCCGGGTGTTCTCCAAGCTCGACCTCGGCTCGAAACTCCAGTTCGCCAAGCGAAAGGCCCTGCAGGCGCACGACGGGGAGAAGAAGTCGGGGGACACCACGAAGTCCGAGGAGGAGATGAAGTTGGTCTTGAATGGTATCCTCGCCAACACGAAATTGACGGAAATCGTCTCGCTCGACGAGCAGCACCTGGACGCCATGGTCGCCGCCGCCTACCGGCAGAAGTTTGAACCAGGTAGAGTTTGATGTGGATGCGTTTTAATATTGCGGTTTCATCTTCATGCATATGGAATTTAAGTTAACCGAGGCGTGTAGTCGTTATCGTTAACGTTTTTTTCCCTATTAAGCACCGCGAGCACTAGTACCGTCGGTGAATGAGAAGAATCCTGGGCGGATCTTTACAAAATCCTAAACCCTTCCTATCTTCCCCTACTCCATCCAGGTGACGTCGTGATCAAGCAGGGAGACATTCAGGCCGAGGAATTCTACGTGATTGCCTCCGGTAAGTTCGATGTTTCCGTGGCGGACCAGCACACCACCGACCACAAGATCCACGCCGCGGAGAACGTCGCCACCTTGTCCTCCGGCCAGTCGTTTGGCGAGCTCGCCCTGCTGTACCAGGCCCCGCGCGCCGCCACGATCACCTGCAAGACCGCGGGGACCTTGTTCGCGATTGACCGGTTCACCTTCAAAGACACGCTGCGCAAGGCGAACGAGAACCGCCACCTCGGGTACGTGAAAATTCTCGATTCCATCCACCTGTTCGACTGCCTGCTCGCGGACGAGAAGGAGGCCATGGCCTCCTGCCTGGTCGAAACCCACTACATCATGGGCGAGACCATCATCAAGGAGGGGGAGGAGGGGGACGCGTTTTACATCCTGAAGCAGGGGCAGATTGCGTTCACGAAGAAGGACGAGAAAGGCCAGGAGAAGGTGGTGTCCCACATGGACAGCACGAAGCCGGGCAAGGGCTGCTACTTCGGCGAGCGGTCCCTTCTGAAGGCGGAAAAACGCGCCGCCACGGTGCGGGTCACGTCCCAGGAAGCCGTGGCGCTTGCGCTGTCGAAAGAGCGGTTTGAGGATATGGTCGGCCCGCTGGCGGACCTGATCAAGGCGCAGGAGGCGGGGCAGCAGCGCACGGCGAAGGTCGCGGCCGCGGGCGCGGCCTCCCCGGGGCAGCAGCGCGACATGAAGACGATCAAGCAGTCCGACCTGAAGCGGTTGGCGCTGCTCGGCTGCGGGGGGTTCGGGGCGGTGACCCTGGAGCAGCACAAGACCACCGGGGACACCTACGCGCTGAAGCGGCTTTCGAAAGGCCACATTGTCAAGACGAAGATGCAAGCCGGGACCATGCGCGAAAAGAACATCCTGGCCATGTGCGATTCCGCGTTCGTGATCCGTCTGTTCGCCACCTTCAAGGACGACCAGTACCTGTTTTTCGTCCTGGAACCGGCCCTCGGCGGGGAGCTGTACGCGACCTACCATAAATACCGTTTTCACGGGGACGTGAAGAAAGCGAAATTTTACGCCGCGACGGTCGTGTTTTGCTTCGAGCACCTGCACGAGCGCAACATTCTGTACCGGGATCTGAAGCCGGAAAACCTGCTGTTGGACGGCCGGGGGATGTGCAAGATCACGGACATGGGGCTGGCCAAGGTGGTCACCGGAAAAACCTTCACCACCTGCGGAACCCCGGATTACTTCGCGCCCGAAGTGGTGCAGCAGGCGGGCATGGGACGCGGCGTCGACTGGTGGACCCTCGGCATTTTGATCCACGAACTCATGTCCGGCCACGCGCCGTTTGAAGCAAACGACCCGATGGAGACCTACCAGAAAATCGTCCGCGGCGTGTCCCGGGTCCGCTTCGTGTACCGTGACGCGGACGCGGTGGACCTGGTCAAGAACATGCTGAAGCACCAGCCGGCCGAGCGACTCCCGATGCGGGTGGGGGGCACGAAAAACGTCAAGCAGCACCCCTGGTTCTCCGACTTTGACTGGGATGCCTGCTACACCCAGAAAATGACGGCACCCTACAAGCCCATCGTGAAATCCCCCACAGACGCCTCCAACTTCCGCGCCAGCGAGTCAGATTTGCCACCAAGTATCAACTATGTGGACGACGGAACGGGCTGGGACGCCGATTTCTAACGATCTACTAAGATCATTTTGGGTCATTTGATTGATTTATTCATAGGGCTGTTTTACTTATTTCATTTCCTAGAAGAACTCTACGTCTACAATAATTACCAAGATGTGTTTTATTTCGTTTTCGTTTATATGACTTTTCAACTTCGTAATTTTAGGATTTATTTCATTACATAACGCGCACAGATTTTCTTTTTTTTCACGAGAGTTTTTTGTTCGGATCTGTTACTGTTTCGATAAAGCACCACTACTCGTCGCAACATCAATTTTCTACCACAGATAAAGGCTAGTTTCTGACTTTTCACAACATACACAATTAAGACACGACGAGGCCGATGGAGACCTTTCGAGACGCGATGGAAATACCTTCTGCGCCTTCGGTCACAGTAGAATTTTGTCAGGAAGTCGTTGGCTCCAAGAGCAAGCGTCTTTTATTTAGCACGACCCACCATCATTTCGCCCCCTCCAACTAAATTTACTACACGCAGCTGATGTTGTATAAAAAACTAGTTCTTCGGTCGGATTGGATTTTTACCTGTAGCCCAGGGTCTCTCTGAAAGCCTGGCAATCAGCGGCATGCTCAACATTCAATGCAAAACGATGGGCTGTTTTTGCAGCTTTGAGGACAACTGACTCCCCTGGCACGCAAGTTAGAGCAGATTGCAGTTTTCCGATTGTCAACCGAATCTACTTCTTTTTCACATGAGCAAAAAGACAGCTCAGCGCGGGGCCGCCGCGGTTTGCGATAGTGCCTGTGTCCTGGTGCCGAGCACAAGTGTGCGTCGTTGTTCATGTCTCAAGTGTGTGCTTGGCATTTTTTTTTTTGCTTTAGGGTCGCTTCATTTTTGGCTTGAGGAACCAAGAGAGATGAGACGGGCTCTTGACCAAGGAGCACTTTTTTGCACTCATATCGTGCTGATAGTAGATCGCGCGTCTCTTTCTTCATCTTCCCATATTCGGTTCTTTTTTCGTGACAAGTCGCATCAGAGTCAGTTCGGTGGATCAGCTGTCTTTTCGGTCGACTGATCGTCATTTTTCTTTTTTTTTTATTTTTTCTGCGTTCACATAAAGAAAGCGTATCTTCGACACTTTATTTCCAAAACACATCAGCAACAGCATCAACAGCACGTTAGCTGCACCTTTAGAAGATTTAGTTGCTACGGTGCTGCTGCTAACTTGGCGCCGAAACCGTCGGAAATTGTCATTGTGTAAAAAAATTGGAGTCCTTGCTTTCCTTCTTGAATGATCCACATCACAACTTGAACCTCAAGATACCTAGAAGAAGTAGTAAAAAGTTTATTTATCACAAAATGGCTGGCATGATTGAGTTCTTGGAGCGCGTGCCGATCTTTCGCACGCTGCAGAAGGATGATCTTTCTGTCATCGCGCAGGGTATGAAGCGGGTCAGCTTCAAAAAGGGGGAGACGGTTTTCGCGCAGGGAGATACGGGGGATGCCTTCTACATCGTGGCTGTTGGACAGGCAAACGTCTGCTCGAGGCCCAGTAGCTTTATCAAGGTACAACTATCAAGATCCTGTGTTTAGAGATTTTGATTTTTGTCCTGTGTCAAAATGCTGAGCCAGAAGCGTAACAAGAGTATGAGTAAAACGGACATGATAAAATAAAATAAACAAGAACTCTTCACATCCTTGCGACAATACTTGTGTCAAGTAGTGCGTGTACCTAGTGTACTACTGGTTGACAACCAGTAGTACACCATGTACACGCACATCCTGTGCGACTAGTCGTCCTACATGACAAGAACTCACCTGAACAATAAGAAAAAATCTCGCTTAGGTTGGTGACTTCGTGGAGCTCCTCACGGACTTGACTTTTGCCGGAAAAATCGTGCCGAAGGGCACAACGGCACGGGTGGACAAGTACGACGCCAGCCGGGATTACCCATACACCGTTAGGGTTCAAGACCCGAAGTTCGGGGGGCAGAGAGGCCGCGTTTTGCCGGACGAAATCGATTTGAAGGAGGGAAAACCCGAATCCGTCCACGTGGCAAACTTGAAGCCAGGTCGGTAGTTAGAAGTCACGTGGAGTAGTTCTAGAGCTTGATGAGCTTCGCTTTTGTAGTCTAGTAAGGAAAATTCATTGTCTGCATGAGCATGGACATGGAAACAGTAGCAGGAGCAGCTGTAAGTTTGCATAACAGACAAACCACGAGCACGACCTCCACCTCGTATCAACATGTATTAAACCTCAACAGGCGACTACTTCGGAGAGCAATCTCTGCTGAAGGGTAAGCCAAGAAACGCCACAATAAAGGCAGGGGAGGATTTGGAGTGCGGCATGATCGACGCCGATTTGTTTAAGCAGCTGGAGCTCGGTTCGAAAATCTCTTTCGCAAAGAGAAAAGCGATCCAGACCTTTGACAGCGAGAAGAAGGAGCCCGGTGGTGATACCAGCAAGAGCGAGGCGGAAATGAAGCTGATTCTGGTAATGAATAAGTTGATGTTACGACGAATTTTGTTTGAAATATAATGCTGTGTTTCGTGGTCATTTATCATTTGTCTCTTTGAATTTCGGTAGTACGTACTAGAGCAGCAAGCGAAAAATTGAAAAACGCAAAATGAAAATATTATACAGGAAGCGATTCAGAACAACAAGAAACTGACGGAGATTATTGACTTCGAGGAGCAGCACCTGAACGCCATGGTCGCTGCGGCTTGGAAAAAACAGTGCTCACCAGGTATGTGCAAGTATTAGTATATGAAAATGAAAATGGCAATGGCTATGGGAAAGAGAAGTTGTAGTTGATTTTTGCGACTACAACAATAATAATCAAGCAAGGTGTAGTACCTGCACGCGGAAGATCTGGATCACGAACTCAGATCTGTTTCGCTACGGGCAAATTTCATGATCCCATAATTTGTTCAGGTGACGTGATCATCTCCCAGGGCGATATTCAGGCGGAGGAGTTTTACGTGGTGAACGGGGGCGAATTTGAAGTGAGTGTCCAAGGGGCCGGTGGCGATTCCGTCGATAGCAAAGCGGTCGCGGCCAAGACCGTGGGGACCCTGCAGGCGGGGGCAAGTTTCGGCGAACTGGCTCTGCTGTACCAAGCTCCGAGAGCAGCCACGGTCACCTGCAAGAGACAGGGGGCAGTACAAATGACATAGGAATTTTTTTTTGGTTTGGATTTCGGTTTCGTGTGTGAGCTTGAGCTGCGGGCTGCAATTATGCAGGATCAACACGATCATGAAGCATTTCTCAAACAATTTGCTTCATTGAAAATCCAGCTATATGCTGTGCTGTCCCTTTTACGATCTTCAGACGACAATATGCAACGACATTTCCAAATCGTGCAGCTCTTCGTTATCGACCGCTACACGTTTAAAGAAGCTCTGCGTCGCGCCAACGTGGACCGAACCAAGGGCTATCTGAAGATCATCGACAGCATCCGGCTCTTCGACTGCATGCTTGCGGACGAAAAGGAAGCGGTTGCAAACGCGCTTGTGGAAACCAGCTTTATCTATCCTCGATGCAAAATAATGAATATCGCACTTCATCTTGCTCTGGGCATACAAGTTCATTGCAGTTGCAGTGAGATCTTCTGCATGACAGACCGAGACCTCTCAACTTACCTGCTCAAACATGATGAGGGATTCGTCATGTGAACCCATTTTCTGCATAGTTTACTTGAGTAATATGCTATGTAGTGACGAGGTCACCGAACGGTTCTAAGCACCAAAAAAAATGCAGTTCCGACTACTAAGCCCTAGTGCGAAATGAATATTTTTCTCACGCATCTCGTCCTCGGTGAGACGATTATCAAGGAGGGCGATGTCGGGAACGCGTTCTACATCCTGTATCAAATGTAAAAATAAATGTCTGGTTGTGGAAGAAGCCGAACTTGTGATGCTGCATTTGGATTCCAAAAAAATCTGTATTGCATGACCAGCAAAGTAAGGGAATGCAATTTTGGCTACGCGGAGAGGGCATTTGTCATGCGGAATAGGCATCGCGAAGCCCTCAAAAAGTCTGTGACGCTAGGGCATGCATCACAGACATCATGTCCCATGCAAAACGTGCGTGACAAGTATCCAAATCTTCCAGACCCAGACATTTTTACAGTTGATATCCTGAAAAAGGGGACGATTGCGTTCACAAAACGGGACCCGAACGACGGCGAGGACAAGGTGATCTCCTACATGGACGCGTCAAAACCAGAAAAGGTATATAAACTTGTCATGCTGACGCCTACGTAGGTAGAGGTACGTACCCCACGGCCACGGCCAGCACAAGGTAAAAACGGTTGTAGGTGAGGGAATTTGTAGTGCATCTTTCACGACTTCCTCGACAAAGAAGTAGATGTTGAACCATACCGAAAGCCAAGAAACCGCAAAACTACAACCACCCAGGGCTGCTTCTTCGGCGAGCGGTCTCTGCTGAAGCAGGAAACTCGTGCCGCCACCGCAAGAGTGACTTCCTCCGAGGCGGTTGCGCTGGCACTTTCCAAGGAGCGGTTTGAAGAGATGCTCGGGTCGCTGTCTGATATGATCAAAGAGAAGGAATCCACCACCTCGCGCCGATCGAAGGTGGTGAAGGAGCACAAACCCAGGGACATGCACACGATCAAGCACGAGGATTTGAAGACCATCGCGCTGCTTATCAGATGCAAGATTACAAAATAACGATCTTCTTCACCGCCCAACTCAGTTTGTACTTTTTATGCACAGGAGTAGACCTGAAAAAGAAAAAATTATTGAAACAAAATTAGCCTGTATTGAGTTGTGCATTTTTACGAACTGAGGTCGAGGGTGGTGAACAAGTAGAACATTTGCTACCGCTCCATAGTGGTCGGCTGTGGTGGTTTCGGCGCGGTCACGTTGGAACAGGACAAAAACACGAACAAGACGTACGCCCTGAAGAGGTTGAGCAAGGGCTTTATCGTGAAAACGAAGATGCAGCTGGGCACCATGCGGGAGAAGCACATCCTGGCGCTGTGCGATTCGGATTTCGTGATCAAGCTTTTCGCCACGTTCAAGGACGCACAGTACCTCTACTTCGTCCTGGAACCAGCGTTGGGCGGGGAGCTGTACGCAACCTACCACAAATTCCGCTTCCACGGAGACGTGAAAAAGGCGAAATACTACTCCGCAACCGTCGTATTCTGCTTTGAGCACCTGCACTCCATGAACATTCTGTACCGCGATTTGAAACCGGAAAACTTGCTATTGGACGACAAGGGAAACTGTAAAATGACCGATATGGGGCTGGCGAAGGTATTTTTTGTTTAGGATACTAGCAGGGCCGTTGTTTCACTGTTTTTGTGTAATGTCTCCTGTATTTTTTCCTGCATGAGGAGGAGGAGGACAATAAATGAATAAACCGGGGGCTCAGGCTCTATAATTTCGAAGCCAGTCATCTCGCTCTCGTGCTGTGCTGCAAAAAAGTAGAAATGATTGAATCTCCAGGTCGTGACCGGTAAAACGTACACCACGTGCGGCACCCCCGACTACTTTGCCCCGGAAGTGATCCAGCAGACCGGTATGGGCCGGGGCGTCGATATCCTGAGTAAAAACGTCCCCACACCAGAGTCAGGATGGGGATTTTGCAACACAAGCCGAGGAGTTTTGGGAGTCACGCATGACAAATTGCAGGCTGTATTGTAATGCAGTTTAGCAAGGGAAGTCGCATTGCAAATACATCTGCTTATGCTGTTTACAGCATTACAAGTTCCAAAACGCGATCGGGAATGCCTATCATGGAGATGCGCATTACAAGTCTTCCAGTCTTTGCAAATCTGCATTACAACTCTGGTGTGGGTACGTTTTTACTCAGGATAGTCGACTGGTGGACGTTAGGCGTCCTCACGCACGAGTTGCTCTGCGGCCACGCATATCAAATGCAAAAACATCGTACTAGTATAGATTGCATTACAAATTAGCCCAGCATTACAAATTGAATTTGTAATGCTGATTTACCTTGAGAAAGAGATTTGTAATGCATATATGCAATTGCTACGAGTGCGATACTTTTGCAAAGCATAGCGCACCGTTCGAGGCCAACGACCCGATGGAAACCTACCAAAAGATCGTGCGCGGCGTGAACCGGGTCAGGTTCAGCTACAAGGACAGCGACGCGATTGACCTCGTGAAGAACATGCTGAAACACCAGGCCAGTGAGCGCCTGCCCATGCGGGTCGGCGGCACGAAGAACATCAAGGGGCATGTCTGGTACTTGTACAGAATAATGGGGCGTAGATATCCTGTAGTTGATTGAAAAGTGGTTTTCATATTTGTTTTTTGAATTTGCCTACTTGCGACATTTTGCATACAGCATAATTTGATTTTAATTGCGATAGATATGAAACAAAACCAAAATAAACAAAGGTTCCGTGACTTCGACTGGGATGCGCTGTTTAGCCGAAATATGGTTCCGCCCTTCAAGCCAACTGTGAAGTCCACCACGGACACCAGTAACTTCCGGGCGAACGAATCCGAAATGCCGCCGAATGTGCCCTACAAGGACGACGGGAGTGGCTGGGATGCGGACTTCTAAGTCCCCTGGTGGCGTTTCCAGTAGAAACGATCAACTTTCGAGTAGCAGTAGGTGATAATTTTTTACAAAAACTTTGTGTTTCAATTTTCGATCGCGTTTGTATAAACAGAAGGGCACCTTCTGCGGTTTGATTCATCCAAACTACGACCGGAATGTCAGCAAATGTGCAACAGAAAGCTAAGCTGTCTTGTGCCATTTTTATTTTCTAGATTCTCAACATGGATCAGCATAAGTAATGAACCAACAGGAAAAGCGATTATCTTTAGAAAACAAGTCGGCAGAAGTGCATATTTTTATTTCCACACATCATGATCGTCTGCATCAACACGGGGGATAGATTGCCATTTCTGAGCAAGTCGCGTTTCGAACGATACAGAAATAAGTCCAACGGAGCACTATTAGACACATAACCTTTGGCGTTTCACTATCACTTCAGAAGATACCTCGAACACATAATGATCTTTCTTACGTTACCAGTAATAGCAAGCAAGACAGTAGCTGTATCAAGAAATAATATTAATCAGTGGAAGATAGCTTTTGCAATACAGGTTTCGAGATGTTGACAAATATTGTGGTCTTTTCCCCCACGAGAGATGATGCAAAATCACGAAGAAGGCGAAGAAAATGGAACAGTACGCGATAACACCAAGGAATTAAAGCGAATAGAACGCTCAACGCAGAACGCCCTCCCTGGATATGAAGAGAGACGAACTACATAACTAAACTCAAAGATATTAAGTAGAACTACATATGGATACCATGGAACCATTGTGGACATAGGAAGATATTACAGTCTAGTATCATGCTGGCCTTCCAGCAACATAGAAAATGATCAGGAGTCGTGATGGGAACGGCTAGAAATAAACTACCTATTAAGCGGAAAGGTTGGTTTTCCAAGCGCCTGCGCACAGCATCTTTCTGGGCCGATCCCGCGGAACGCGTTGTCAGTGAGATGCTGATGTTCATTTGAGCACAGGTGAAGCGATGACGATACGGAAAATTCGAGCAAGATGAAAGATTTATTTTGCAGCTGCGTAAGTACAACATCAGGGCCATCAACAGCCGTGGACTTAGAACCACAAGGTACTGAAAGTGATCGAGATCCAATGGCAATGGAGAGGCAGCGTGAATGGTTCTCCTTCTAGTTCTAACTGACTATTCTTAAATCGGCATCCATTACTAGGCTCATTTTCCAAGAATTTTGGTGCACAGCGAAAGCAAATGTTGTATTTGAACGAATTTGTGTCCTCTTGTTGACACCAAAAGAGGCGGCCAGAGCAAGCTTTAACGTTTTCTGTTTCGTCTGTCCCCTATAAGCACACTATCAAACATGTAAGCAAAACGAAAACGCCAAAGATTGAGATTCTTTGAAGCGCCAATATATTCGAGCTCTGTTGATACTGATTTCACATTGATATTTCTATGTGCATCAACATTTTTTACCGTTGTTGCGTAGTAGACGACAAGCATTTTTCGTGGTATTGTACTACTCTATCTGCGAAAAAAGTACCATGGCCGTGATTGTTCCGAGAAATTTCCGGCTACTAGATGAGCTGGAGAAAGGGCAGAAAGGCGACTGCGCATCGGGCGTAACCTGGGGTCTGGAAGACCCAGACGATATCACGCTGACCTACTGGAACGGCACCATTTTCGGCCCACCAGCGACTGTTTTTGAGAACCGTATTTTATTGCATAGATACTTAAACTTATGGATTCGTAATCGTACTAATACTATTCCTCGTTGATGTAGTAGCGCAAAAATTGTTCGAGTACGAGACTCAAATAAACTGTCAGCATTGAAGATGTGATCACGAAGTTGCATGACTCGCTTACGCTTGACGAGCATTTGTAGCAGGCGTGGAGTTATTTGTGATTTGCTTCTGTACGTATTTGCATCAGATCATAAGCAGGGTGAAAGCGGCACTGGCGCTCCTGTATGACAAAAAAAAAAGGAAAATAAATATCAGGTATCTACTCTCTCTCCGTGGTTTGCGACAAAGATTACCCGGACAAGCCACCAACTATCAAATTCAATACACAAATCAACCTGTCAGTAGCAGACAAAAACGGGATGTGCAAGGTACAGGTCGATCATGTCGATGATAGTTCTTGTTGAATACAGCGTTGACTTGCAGCAGGGGTCCACCTGTTTGTCTACTTCTGTATTATGATGCACCATTTTCATATGTGTTTCTGGTTTTTATTACATCAGTTTCTATCGCAGTTCATTTAGACGAGTCCTCGATTCACCCGTATTAACGGAAAGAAAAGCAAAGATGAGTCATCAAGTCGCCCTCAATGGGTTGGACATACAAAGATGACGCTGATGATGATGATGATGACCAAAAAAAACAGGAGCAGTGGCCCATTATTTCCGGTTGGAGAAGAGAATACACGCTGGAGACAATACTATCAAGCCTGCGACAAGAGATGGCTAGCGGGGCAAATCGAAAGTTACCGCAGCCCCCCGAGGGGACCACTTATCCCGTGAACTAGATGCTGGCCACTTTAGTCGACAATCAGCTTCTTCGCCGAAAGATTGAAATACTAGCACACGACGAGTGGTTGCAGCTTCATCTCAACAAACGCGCAATTTCAATTTGAATTTGTTGTTGCATTTGCGACCATGGAGGTTTCTGCTTTCCGCCCGGTTCCTCGATAGTGAATCATAGACCTCCTCCTATGCCATTCTTTTTACCCCAAGCGAATGCGAAAGCGAAAACTTCCACCGCGACCAAATCAAAAAAATATAACTTCTTAAGGAGCTGCACGCTGTCTTCGGCGCTCACTCCAGACGTGTCTGTGCGCACGCGAAGCAGGTTGTTTTTTCTGTTCCAAGCTGCAGGCTTGACAATGAACTAGAGAAGTTCTTACAAGCACAAAATGAGTATCAAGATGATGATCGACGAAAAATGTTCGAGGGGACGAACGAAATTGATCCTGTGTGTGAGATCTTCACGTTCAAACAACAGAAACCGAAAGTTTTATGTTGATCAGGTGAGAACGGCGTGCCCATAGGTCGGCTCTGGCGTCCTGTCTCAGACTAATTTAAGCGATTTGTTGCAAAGTCGACGAAAAAGGTACTATTCAAATCAAATTTCGAGTGCTTTTGCCGCGGTGATCACCAAGTGGAACCTCATTTTCCTGATTAAGTAAATGTTTACATGTCCTCAAGTAATGAGAAGCGATGTAGTAGAAAGAAAGATTAATACATGTTGATTACTTGTTGCTAATATTTCGACAAGGTACCTATTGGGTGACACAAAAATCGCAGTACGCTGCTGCTAGCTACTGATACTGTACTCTATTTTATTCCTAAATTTAAGAGAGAAGATAAGGATGAGAGAGAAGATAATGATGGATGAGCGAGAGTGCGAGAAGAGAGGATGATGAGGAAGACGCGAAGATGACAGAAATACGAGATGAAGAAAGGATGATGATATGGAAGGCGAGACGAGAGAGAGAGAGAGATGAAGATGAAAGATGAACGAAGAGGAGGGATGAAAATTTTGTAAAATTTAAATTTTTATCGAGATTTGTGATTACGTTCTTTTACTATTTTCATTGATCGTCTCGCTTTCGGCAATTAAAATTATATCAATCTAGATACGTTTTTCGCCTTTATCTCTCTCAACTCACAAACAGTTTGCAAGCTGCACCAACAAGAAAACAGAATGATGTCATCTGCTTTTTGTTTTTCGAACAAAAACGCACGGTTGTTGTTTGTCTTCAAAGTGCTTCTGTGCACCACTATCAACCGGAAGTTGATGCATTGCGCTGCTTTTGCAGCGTCGCCGGGGTCGGGGAGTACTGGTGCCGCGTCACACGACTTTCACGTTGAGGATAAAGACGGCAGTCGCTCTTCACAGACTGCGCCGAGAAATACACTCCACTCCAATACCGGCGACGAGGAGATGTTGCCACTGCCAGGAACCGCGCTCCCGCACGAAACCTGGGAAAAGATCCATTCGTTCTTGTCCCCAACTGAGGCGACGGAGCGTGAGTTTGAGTGGATGGAGCACTACCAACGAGATGAAGACAGTATGGAGGTCTTCCTGAGAGAGGACCAGAAACGCACTGTATCCAATTTGGTCAAGTATCTCGAGAAGCTGAAAGCGGACAGCCTCGCCAAAGTTGCGGACAGCGCGGGGGACAGGTTGTTGATAAGTAGGGTGGTCCGCGACGCTGTGTTAAAATTTCTGCAGCGAAAAACACGACTGGGCCCGGAAATCGACCTTGACGATTCGGGCTTTGCGGGTGCAAGTAAGTACGCGCGCGGCTTGGGAGTGAAGAAGCAGAAGGCGAATATCAAGGGCACGATGAGCAAAACCGAGTATGTACGGGAGTGGCGCAAACAGGTTGAGGTTACGTCGTACCACGATAACTTTATAGCAGGGGGCCGCACGTTCATCTGTCGGGCAGAACTAGAACGGGAGGACTTGATGCTGAACGATAGGCTCGCGCTCACTGTGAATCGGTATAATCGGCAAGTTGGAATTGATTTTGAGGAACGCGATGAACATAAGATTAAGATTAAGAAGAGATGGCTTGGAACCCTGATGCAGCACTGGTTGTCAACATCAAAAGTAGTCGCGAATGAAATTGAGAATAAAACCGGGACATCGAGCGCAGCCGAAGCGATACGCCTCGACGAAGACCACGACGAGCAGGGAGTATTACCAGGATTGTACACTGTAACGTCGAAAGCAACAGCGCGTGTTGAACACCTTAGGTCAACAAGGGAACGCGGCTTTGACGAAGAAGTAGCGCGAAAGAAGAAGCTAAAGGGGTACTGCCCTCGCGTTTTTGCACATGCCTCGGTTTTGGAGGATGAGCCTGCACCGGATGAAGATCGGTTGGAACTAGAAGAAGAAGAGGTGGGTGATCGGAGTCGCATAATTGTATGGCCGAAGGGAAGTGCCACAGGTAGGCTGCGTCAACAAGTCAACACAGTCAAGTTCAGGTATACCACGAACTTCGAGCCCCTGGAGGAACTTCTGAGTGACGAGCGCGTGGGAGCTCGAATCGAACAAGCAATTTTGAACACCAGCCTGTTGCTGTTCCCGAAGATCAACTCACAAGCAGATTACTTTTTGGTGAAGTTTTTGGTCTTGGAATCGCCTACAGTCTTCACATTGCTTATGAAAGCGTCAGGTTGGTGGAAATCCTCAGAGTGGAACTAAATGAAAGCTGTCATCATGCTGCAAAAAATCGGGGCAACAGATTTAAATGCGTGCCCTCCCGCCTGTCATGCTAGTCAACATCTTGTTATTCTGGACCAGGACCACGTCAGCCAGGACTACAACACGAATCGGCCTCCCTTGCTCTCGCCGCAGTTCACGCATTTCTTGTGATGTAGCCCTAGCGCTTCTTGCATCTATAGCTTCCCTTTTGCATTATTTCCAATCTGACGCGTCCATATTGCTTCGCTGTGAGTTTACCATGGAGTGGCCTCCCTCGTCGGACTGCAGGTTCAAGATATGCCAGGCAGCTCGATACACCGACCTACGGTAGACCCGTGGCCACGTCGCTTGAAGACGACCAATCAATGGCGCGGCATCTTCCACCGGCTTCGGGCTCTTTGACGCTTTCAGCACATGACTGATGATCCGCGTTTGTGAACTGTTCCAGTTTATCTTTTACGTGTTGTTTTTATTGGCTTGTTGCGCATGATAGTTTGAGGACGTAGAAGGACTTCTAAGACGAGTGGCACCTTATAGCGTTCGCATCCGATTATGTGTATAATCAGATAGTGCAGCAAGTAAGGAAGCTTCGGACTCTAAGTAACTTCGCCGACAGACCACGAACAATCAATATTCAAATGATTATACCCACTTTTTCGAAGTATCTTTAGGGTTCGACAGGGCTGGAAGTCGAGCTCGAGCATCTTGATAATTTTCAACATGCTCGCAACACGCACGTCGCGCGTCGTTTGTGTATGTGCGTTTGCTAATCATGCCTGGCATCGAAAAACAGAAAGCTGCGCGCGTAAGCATCTTTTGTGTAACATCTGAACGCCATAATTCAACTTCAAAGCTCTACTTAGCGAAGTGAGTTACATCATAAGTAGCGCAATAAACTTTGAGATTGAGTATGATGCAACAGCAGTTGGCCCGTCACACACATTTATTCCTGATTTTTCTCAGCGCACGGATTACTTACTTAATTTGACGATCGATGTTGGTCGCAATTTATGAAGGGGATCTAATGCTGCGATCGATGAGTCCACCAGCACATAAGAGTAGATGGGATCGTGTACGTGTTTGTTTGCCCCGTTCTTGATCCGGATGTTGGAACGTACAAGAGGTACACATACACTTCTGCAGGAGTTGTAGCATGGTAATGAGATGAACAACTACTTCAACATCAAGTAGAACCGCTGCTCGCTCGTGGTTCCCTAAACAGATCAAGATCAAGGAAGCGTATTGATGCGATGATCAGAAGCGCGCTCTTTCTACTTGTGATGAGCACGCCGCGCTGTACTTACGATGATGTCCGATCCCGATGAGCACAATTGTAGGATCTTCCATTTGAGCGTCGTTTCGGAATCAAGTGCCACTATTTCGTAGTTCCCCGCCCGCAAGCGATTATCATTATTATCGCTTAATTACAGGGTTAGTAAAAGTGTCTCCACGACTCTTCCCGAGTCAGAGATTACGATTACGTTTGCGCAAACAAAAAATTGACGTCAACCAGTGTATTATCTTGATCTTCTTACTTGAGTTAAATCAGGAGAATCAGCCCGAAAATGATATCATCCCCTTGCATGAGAGTCTGGTTGTTGATGCCCGTCTTCAAATGTGGCGCTCTCCTGTCCGCGACGATCACACAGCATGGGGTTAATGTTTTTGCAGCTGCCTCCCACCTTCCAGGAGCCACGAAATCCATGGCAAATCATGACGAGTGTCTCCTGGATCATGGTGATTCTGGTTTCATGTCATCAGAGGACGTGCAGGAAGACATTTCTTCGCCTTCGCAGGCGTCTGGTCGTCCGGCCAGTCAGGACGTGCCAGAGGACCTCCCACCTGCTCGCCCTCTGGTGGACGAGAACTGGGAACAGATTCACTCCTTCTTGTCGCAACCCGCGGATTTTTCGAAAGAGGACCAGGAACGGACCGTCGCTAACGTGGCGAAGTACTTGGCGAAGCTCAAAGCTGACACACTGGCCGAGGTCCTTGAAGATGCTGCGGCCAAAAATGCTAGTCGTCCTCCCTCCGACCGCCGGGCCGAGGCGGATCAATTACTAGGCACGGCCATTCGAAACACCGTGCGGAATTTTTTGCTGCGGAAAACGCGCCTGGGACCGGAAAACTTCGCCGGAACAACAACAAGTGACGGCCTTGCGGGCGCGAATAAGAATATGTTCATGCACAGCTTTATCGATCGAAAATTGGTGTCTGAGCCGCCGGAGAACAGCATTTTAGTGGGGCTTGTAGGTTGTATTGCTTGATGTCTAGTATGATTCCGATTTCCGTACTAGCTGCACGTTGGAAGGGGTGTATTGCATTAACGGCTAATACATTTGGAAATGTGTCAACATATAAATATGATCCACCGTCACCAAGAATTCAACCGATTCAGCAACCTCACAAGAAGAAATTTTCCTTCGAGCGAGACACGTTTGCGATTGGATTCGCCTGACCCAGAAGCAGTATCTGAAGGATTGGTACAAAAAGGTGTTCCCGAAAAGGAAAGACACGAGTCAGGACGACATGTGCGGTTGGTACGAAGAATACTCCTGGACGCCAAACCTGATCAGCAGGGACGAACGCGAGCACCGGCCGTTGGTATTCAAGAAAAAAACACCATCACAATCACTCTTGCACATTTACATTTTTGCATATACGAAAATTTTTGATGTCATGCGCAAAAATGCATCACATTCAAGAGTTACTGGTGGTTTCCCTTTGTGTTTTTGAAATACAGGAAAAATTTGTCTTGCGAGAGAAATTTCTGATGCAAAACCTCCTAAATGTGATTTTTGTGATGGTGTTTTTTTCTTGGATAGTTGGCGTCCGGGTTGTACAGGTGTTCGGGGGAGAGCCTTGAAAGCATCAAGAAGATCACGATCCGAAAAGGCAACCGCTTCGATTCCATGCAGCAATGGCTTTCCGTCGACAGCCTGACCACGCCCTGGTTCGAAGCCACCAGCACAAGTGAAGGTGTCGCCACGACGTCGTCCGGCGGGGGGACTGATAGCGGTAGTACTAGTTCTAATTCCGCGAGAGCATTTACATCATCAGCTAGTGGTAGTGGCGGAAGAAATTATAACGAACGCGCGGGGACGATGTATCCAAACAATTTGTTTGGACACAAAGAATTTCCATACGCGGGCGAGACCACCGCCCCCGTGGCGGCGGTGGCCTTTGGCTTTGAGTCTGGGGATATTGGGAGCCACGCGCCTTGGCACGAGCAAGGACCTGAAGCACGGGCTCGCTTTGTCGAACACGTAGTGCAGAACGACATATCGCAAGAAAAAACAATAGTTTCCCTGTGATGTTGCACTTGTTGTGATGTTGCAGAGAATGCATGGCGATGACAGAAGCGTTATCTACACATGCAATGCAGTGCCAGTATGTTCGTAGGTGTATTTCCCCTTAGGAAGTTCGCATGCAGCTTTTTTTTGTAATGTAAAGCAACAGCTGCAAAAATAAGAATAAAGTACGAAACAAACGTGTTGGTGTTGCACAGGGAAGCTACACTTTTTTTGTTTCGATACGACAATCCATCGAGTTACTATCCCCGTGTTTTTTTGGAAAGGAAGTTGACGAGCGAATCCGCTCAAGATTTTTTTTCTATATCGCAGAGAAAAGAGCACAAACTAGTTAAGAACTGCCGCCATCTAGTAGACTGGGGCTAGTATGGAGGCTATGCACAAACGGGAACCACGGTTATTTTAGGTCATGCAAGAGTTATTTATTAAGTAAAAGCACATGCAAATGAGTGCCATTCATTACAACAAGTCAAATATTATTCCCGACAGTTCTCCGCTCATTTGATTCTGTTGCATACCGTGCGCCCCTTGCCCCGAACGAAGACCGGCTTCGTTTCCAATACAAAAGTGGTGGAGAGTGGGACTTTGACCCAGCCGGGTATACCACTGACTTCGATCCAAGTGGCGTGTTCTTCGCCGACAAGTTTCGCACGCGTGGGCCTTGGGACGCAATGTGGCCGAGGAGCGTGTGGAAATTTCTGATCCTGGAATCGCCTACGGTCTTCACGATGTTGCACTGCGAGACGAGCCGTAATTGGGATTGCCGGTTTCGGATCTGCGAACGAGTAAACGAAGCAGTGTACCTCGCTGAACCTCTAAGCTGAACCTGGAGAATAAGAGAACGCGGTCGGGTACCTCTAAGTACTTACCTGCGCCGGATAGTTTCGTCGACTGATATTCCAGTGGAGTTGTAGCAGATAGTCTCGCGGCTGTCGCTCGCACTCCCACGATTTGAGTGTCATGCTTTGATCATTTATACAAATTTTATCCCCTGCAACTACAAGTGCAGCAACCTTTTTCGAGCATGATGAGTGCAGTGTCAATTATGTTCTGACTTCTGCGTACTGTAAGCAATCAAAAATCAGTCTTTCATGTAGTGGCAGACCAGCAAAACAGTGCACGGTGCTGGCCCTGTTGCCACAGTTCTTGCCATTGTGACAATACAATGAGGCGCCGGCCGCGTCGCTTACATAACTAAGAAACTAAACTTTTAAACATTTCGTTTCCTCGGCAAACACTCTCGTGTCTACTCAGCGGCACAGACCACAGCTGTAAAGTTCTTGTCGACGAATAGCTGATAGATGAACAAGGATCACTCAGACGAGACGACCGCGGTATCAAATGAACTCTCAGATGAACAGTGCGAGATGACATCATGGAAACAAGACGAAGCACCTTATTTGTAGCATGATAAAATGAAATTCAGAAAGTGATGAACCACAACAGCATCATCAAGATGCTTTTTCTTCCCCCAGATAGATCATGAAAGCGTGGAGGTGTGAAGATGATCTAAAGCTCGCTCTTTGATTACTGGTAGGTCAACATGGTATTTTGATTTTCTTTTTATTGACGTGAAGCGATGCTGATGCAGAAGCAGATCTTACTCCTGTATCGCCCTAAAGGAGATTTTGTTGCGAGTGCTGAGCAACAGCATAACCATAAATGGATGTGGATTGGCGAGATTTCGTGAAGATCAGATGAGTATTCGAAGCCTGCAGTGAAAAAGAAAAGCTGGCGACAAGAATAAAGTAGTCGGAGTCTACTTGTTGCCGCACTTCTTCCACTGCGACGGCAATACTAGTAAGTTACTGGAAGGAAGTGTAGCTGTAAGTTTTGAGACGGCCGTTTGACAAAGGCGTGCCGCTGCTGCTCCATTCGCGATCTTTTGAAATAAAAGTCTGAGCTACCTTTCCGCTTATCATTAGATATGTCTATGTGGTTATCCTTGAATTGCTCTTTCATCTGCAGCGACCACTACAGCGACCACTCGAAGATTCTGATTTCTCTATTTGTACTTCTATCCCGCACTTCTTCCTCGTTCCAGTTTTCAGATTCAGTCAGTTCAATTTGCCCTCTTGTTTCACCTTTACGACCACAGTTTCTTAACTTCATTTTTTAGTCATTTGAAATTGAAATTGAACCAAGAACGAGCATGATGTTGACGCAAGACCCGCCACAGCAACCGCAAGATGAAGCAGGGAGCATGGCTGGCCCCACGACCTCCTTTGTCGACCCGAACCACCACGCCGATGCGCCCACCGCCGCCCTCGCTTGGTGCTTGGAAGTCCGACCGGACATGCAGAAAGCGTCGCTGCACGTCCAACTCCCTTCGGAAAGCCGGTTTCAGGACGCCCGGATACGCGTGCGGGGGCCAGGGCAGCAATTATACAACCATAACCAACAGGGAGACGTTCCGGCAACATCACCAGGATCATCAACCGATGAGGACGTCGGAGAAAGTCATCGCTTCGGAATTCATCATCTTCGACGGGGTCGTGACCCTTCTACCTATCACGATAAAAACACCTACCTCGACCTGGTTGTGATCCTGAAAAAGAAACGACCCCCAGTGGCAGCAGGAACCTTGTCCCAGTTTATTCATCCCGTGGACGACCGCACTGATTTTGAACTCGAAGTAGAAAAGACGGTGAGCATACTGCTGCATGGGGAGGAAAATTGTACTGAGAATGTTCGTGTTGTTGAACCAGCAACAACATTATTACCCGCGTCCTCTCCGGACTCCTCCTTTTTTGACTTATTTTCGAAATACCAAAATCTCCAACTGATTTCGGTCGACGCGAGGTCCGCGCTCCGGAAAACCGACAAGTTCCTCACCTTGCAGTTTTCCTTTGGCCGTGACGCGGTGTTCTACGAGGACGAAGACTTCATCCTCTGCAGCCCGGCGACGGACGAGAAAATCGGGAATCTGCGGTGCCGAGAGTGCATGGCGATGCTGCTGCCCGGGAAGACATCGGATCGGGAAATCGAGGGTTACGGACTCCCCTCCGCACTGTGGACCAGTTTTTCCGACTGCGTCGCGTGCGAAGAGTGCATTCCCTTCCGCACCGCGAAGATTCCGGCGCAGGCGGGCCGGGTGTACTGGAGCAAACTGTCCGGGTTGGCGCACGTGGACGATTTGTGCCTGCCGGACAACCTGGACGTCCGGACGGGGAAGTGCAACAGCTGCGGCACCGTGGTCGCCGACCCCGTGGACGGGAACAAGGGCATTCAACTGCTCAAGCACAAAATCTTCCTGCTACCCTTCGAGTGTGATGAGGATAAAGAGACAGTAAGCTCTGCCTTGTTGAACGATCACGATGGGCCGTCACAGTCATCCTCATCCCATTCTATGTTGTCAAGTCGAAACTTATTTGCTGCGAACACCGACGAGGCGTGCGTCGGCTTGGTTTTGCGCGACGCGTTAGAGGTGGACACGAATCGCCGCTTTCGCTTGGTGTACGTTCCGCCGGAACAGAAGGTGCATGACGCAGCTGCACCAGATTTCATGATGACCAGTATGGTGGATGAAAGTCCGGCGAGCTCGCTAGGATCTACTTCGACGACTATGGATGTGACGATGTTGGATGGAGGAGCGAGTCGTGAAGAAATCGTCAATTATGGGAACTCGATTGACAGCACCGACACAGAAGCTGCTGCTGTTCGTGGTGACGACTTCGAGGATCATAAGGTAACGACATCAACGAGACCGATCTTGGTGAACGTGATTGCGAAGCGGGTGAAGGTTCTAGTGCCATGCCCTGCCAGTGAGAAAGAAGAAAGCGCATCAACAACAAACTCACAGGAGTTACAACGCGCGGAAGAGTTGAGGAGGCAACGAAACGACATACGGGACCACATGCAGGTGTGGTATCGGGAGGAAGATGAACAAGAAGTAGTAGGAAAAGGGCAATATGCGGACGCGAGGATAATATCAAGTCAAGGTGTCGAAGCACCACAACATCTACAATCTTCACCACCGCTGGCTTCCCGGACCATCACCATTCGCGATCTCGCGGTATTTCGCAAAGTGCGGGAGTATCTGAACAGCTCTGCGAAGTGGATGCCGCAAGACGAAGCGGAAAAATGGACCTCCGGGTATTTGCCACTGCCGCCACCGGAGTAGCAGAGGAAAGGTTTATTTTGTGGAGAAGATGCTTATGCTTTTGTGGATCATGTGTGTGATTGGTGCTTTCTGAGGCGACAGCGAGGACAGCCAAACGCCTGGAACTGGAACTATTTGAAGTAGTCTGTCTCTACTTTTTCGAGGCTTCCGATTAGAAAGAATGAGAAGACCTTGCTCACAAGCAAGTTTCATCGCGGCCGACGGCTGCTTTGCTTTTTTGAACCAGTGGAGATAACCAGCAAAGCTACGTGAGGGAGCAGGCGCAGACGGACCCATCAGAATGAATTTTAAAAAACAAAACCAACGCAAGAGCGTCGTGGATTAAAAAAGCGGAGGCGTCGCGCGAGCCCCCATCATCAAGGCACGTAGCTAGCGTTAAGTGGGTTCGGGTAGTCTGCATTCTATGAATATGATCTGATGCCTTTTCATGCGCATCGATCTCCAAAGGGCGGCGCTTGGAAGGTTAATTTGTTGACCGCGCCACGCTGAGAAATTGGAAGCAGAAGGGGGCCGGCTGCCGCGACCAGTCAAGTAGAGCGACGACCCCCCGGCGCGCTGCAGAGGTGGGCCCGCTGTGTGGCGCGGCGTTTTGGCGGGCCGGTCGGCTGAGAGGCCGCGCAGAGACCAAGCCCAAGGGGGCGCCGGCAGGCCCCCGGCCGAGGACTCCGGGCGAGATCAAGACAGCGGCGGGGGACCCGACAAAGCAGCGGAAGGCTGGCGCCGCAAATTCCAGCGGCCCGGCCCGTCGCGGCGTAAGTTCGCGCCGCACGGGCGCCCCTAGCCTGCCATGGCATATGGCCCGGCCGGCGCTCGGGTCGATAACGCAGCTAGCACAAGGGGGGCACGCAGCTCCGCGGACCTGCCAGCACTTCGAGGGAGATTTTGTAGGGGGCCTACAGAAAACGCAGCAGGAGCGTGGCGCCCGCTTTTTTCTTCCCATCCCCCCGAGCGCGGCCGGGGTGGTTCGCTTGCATGCAATGCCGGGGCCGCCTTTCACATACGGGCCGGACGTGAAGCGCCTGCAGTACCTGGGAGGTTTCTGCGATTTCTGCAGGAAGCAGAGTGCTACCATGGCGAGCCCAGCAAGGAGCGCTTTTCCGGTATTTACGGCGAACCAGGAAGATTTCTTCGGTGGGGGGGCGATTTGGTGGAACTCCTGCGAGCCGTGTTCCACAGATGGGGCGCGTGGCGGGCGAGGGAGGGAGGGGGGGCCCATTGCGGGCGCCGGCGCTTGCAGGGCAGCTGTGGCGCGCACTCTTTGGGTAGGCAGCACCGCAAGCGCTTGGCTTTTCGCTGGGCCAGGCGGCAGGCTCTTGCTTGCATGGGGCCGAGTCGATCGCGGGGCCGCGCGCCCGGGGGCGCCCCCCCCGCCCGGGACGGCCCCGCCATTTTGGAGTGGGCCGTGGGCCGGGTACTACATAGATACGCTGCGCCCCGCGGCGAAGGAGGAGGATAGATTGCGTCGCAGTCGAAGACGGGCACCAAGACGGGGAAACGCACGACGAGGATGGTCAGAAGGAGGGCCGGAGTTTGGCTTTAGTCTGCTAGGTAGATCGGCCCCGGAGCGCATTCATTGCCGCCCCCGGCTTGGCAGGCAGCGGCTGGACGTTGATTGCGGGCCAAGCAAGGGTCCGCCGCGCGGTCTCGCCGAGTGCTCGCTCGGAAAGCACGGGGCCGCGCGCTATTCCCCAGCCCGCGCGAGCGCCAGGAAGCGGGCGCGCGGCCTGCCTCTTGTGTACGCGGTCCGTCGGGCCCCGCCCGAGCCGCGGCGCCGTACGTTCCGCGGGCGTTTTGTTTTTTTTTTATATTAATTTCTTTCCCGGACCCGGCCGCCCGTGCGTACCCGTAGTTGCGCAGCCAGCTGGCATTTGGAACAGTGTTCCAAACCTCGTCGCGGTAGGCACGCACCGGAGCGCGCGCGCCAGATTCTATCTTTGCCGTGCGCCCGTTGGCCCCCACATGCCAGGGCAACTGCCTTGCTTCCTCGATGGGGCCGCGCAGTGCGTAACTTGTTTGGCTGCGTATGTCTATGTTCCCCTGATGTGCATGTCCCAGCAGTAATTAATAAAGCGCCCCCGCGGTTGCGACGTTGTTGTTGGTGCCCGTGTTCCTCCCGGTTCAGTAGACGAAGACGAGAAGCCAATAAGAATAACCAGGCCTCGGCGTCCATTTCCTAGAAGGTCTCGCCCAGCGAATGGCTTTTCTATTTCTTCCTCTTAGTTGATCCAGCAAGCATTTGAAGTTGGAAGGATTGTATACTACGCGTACGCATAGCACGACATGTTGTTTTTAAATAGGCAGGGTCTTCTTGCGCAGCGACGACAGTAAGTTCGTTCACCACGGTTTAGGATTTTATTAGTCTGTGGAATGTCTTACAGGTAAGTAGAAGTACGCAAATGCATGTGGAAGATCAGGATTCCTTGTTGTAGCACAGCTCTGGCTTGTTCAGTTCTTTCAATTAAAAAATCGTCCTGCCTTTTTCTGTGCTTCTACAAGACTTTTAAGGATTTATACGACTCAGCTAGTATTTGTGTTTTTACATACTGACGGGAAACCGTACCGAATAAAAATAAAGATGCCCCGCGTTCCGGATCGTGACATCCGTAGCCTGTCGTGCTACCAGAACACCAAGGAGCTGCGGCTCTTCACTATTTTCGGCCTGCAGAGTCCGCAAGGGAAAAAACTGAATGGCGAAGTTTGCCGCGTGCTCGGCTTCGAGGAAGGACCTTCCGGCGAAAAACGCTTGAAGTGCGACATTGCCATCGACCGGAAACCCGCAACGCCGCAGAAGCACTCAACTTCTGCCTCGTCAACAGCTCCTGCAAGCACAAACGCCGCAAGTGATTCGACCGCGACGTCGGGAAACAAAAAGAAAAACAGCAAATCGAAAGACAAAAAGCAGTCGACCACCACACAAAATGATGATCCGCCCTCAAGAACGTCAAACGCGAAGCCCACAAGTGGAGGTGCAGAAACAGAAAGAACAAAGAACAACACCGACGAGGACGATGAAGATCCCAGCGCCACCAGCACCAGCCTGTTCTATTACTTCTCAGTCGCCAAAGAGGGCCCGCACCGGAAAATGTTGAAGATAGAAAATTTAGCCCCCGCGCACCCCGTGAACCACCTGGAATTTTTGACCGAGCAGTACGACGTGTACGTCTGTCTCGCGGATTTTTTCTCTTTTCTCGGTGACCAGAAGACCTTCACCGGGGAGCGGCTCGTGAAAATGCTGGCGACGCCCAAGTGGTGCGACTGCGGCAAAAACTTGAGCTTTTTCTGCGAAAAGTCCCTCGGCAACTACAAGTTCCGGGATGAGTCGTCCGTATCGTCTTCCGCCGCCACGGCCGCGGACCCTGGTGCGACGTTTTTCGAGGACAAGACTGCGAGCGAGATCGCGGGCGAAATCGCTTCGGATTTGCTGATTGATAACAACAAGCCCGTTTTCGTCCTCTCTCCGACCTACCTCGACAGATACATCGGGCCCGACGCGCCACTGCTCAGTCCGCAAAGGTGCACCCGGGCGAAGAAATTGCTCCTCGAAGTAGAAGAGCTTTTGTCCCCATCCGCACTGCCAACAGGAGCTGCTGCTGGCAATAAAGCTGCGTCTAGAACAAGTACTGATCCGAGCAAACCCGCCACGTTTCGGCGGTACGAAGCGAATTGGTTTAATTTGAGCCTGACCCGCCCGGATTTGTTTGACTTGTACGTCGTTCGGGAAGGGGCGCTGTTGGACAAAAAGTTGATAACTCTATTCGACGAAGAGGGGCTGCGGCTGTGGTATGACTACGCCGAGGAATTTGTTAGGAAGGAGCAGGGGGAGAAGGGGCTGAAGCTTCTTTACGAGGACTGTCTGCCAGATCAAGACCCAAACATCGACCTGGCACTGGAACTTGATCATGACAACGCATCATCATCACCATCTCCATCTGCTGCAGCGTCGTCTTCTTCAGCTACGGGTAGAAGTGCTGCAGCTGCTGGTGGTGCGACAGGAGGAGAACAAGAGGGCGCGGAGATTGTAGCCGCTGAGGACAAGAAGCAGGGCGGAAAAACCACAAGGACAGCCACCACCGGCAACAAGAAAAACCCGTCCTCGAAGATCGCCGGCACCCTGGGCGAGAAGATCGTGACGCTGGCGAAGAAGTTGACGATCAGAGAGATTGTGACCGACTACGACCTCGCCGGATTCTCCTACTCCTACACAGGCTGGGCGCGGAGCATTGGCGAAGTCTCTCCCCACGATCCGGTGTCGCGCGTGCGACCCCGGGTGGAGTATGGCGCGAAGGAGTACGCTCCGAAGGGACGTTACCCGCCGGGCATCTGGATGTGCGGCGCGCTGCTCGGCTACCCGTTTATCAGCTCGCTCTTCTTGACGCTCCTCCCCAGTGCCGGCATGTTTGACATCTCGCGGACGCAGAGAAGCACGTTTCTGCACGGGTTGTGGCGGCGACCGCACGGCAAAATGTCGGCGATCATGGAGATCGGAGTGTCGGAAATTGCGGAGATTGAAACATTGCCGATGGAACAGAGGTATCCTGCGCAAAAGTTCGTGCAAAACAATCGCTCAAATTTGCATAAATGTTATTGGTCGTCAGATCAAAATTGCCTATGAAAATTGGTCGCAAGTTTACTTCCTCACTTAATACCCGACTACGTAACAAGAAAAAGAAAGCTGCGTAGTTTTTGTTTTTCTTGAAAGAAGATGATGGCATCACAAGATGGAGGGGAGGAGTATTTGAACAACTTATTTAACCTGCTACATCATCACGTTATAAGATAAGCGATGTTGCTCCTTGGACTTTTGCAATGCATAAGCAAATGGAGAAGATGGCGCAGATTGCGCATGATTCCGATCCTAACGCCAGGCCGATGAAATTTGAGTTTTTGCGGCTGGACGAGCCGTTCGCGAAAGTGATGGAGGGCGCGTTTCAGACGGTGACGGAGAGCCTAGCCTCTAGTGCGAAAGGAGAGAAAGCACCGGCTGATCCGGAGGAGGACGAGGAGGTGGATTGACAAAAGACTTGACTTGTGGTTGTATTTGATGGGGTAGCAGGAGAGGCGGGAGCAAGTAAGTATTCGCTTGTGTGAAGAAGAAAACCACTTGCACCTGCAGCTTGTACCGCTTTCTCGAGGAAGACATCGTGAGCTGCGGGCGGTCGAAGTGGACCTCCGACGAAGTAGTCCAGCCACTCAGTGCTACTGCTAGCTTGCAGGCCATTGTCTTCCAATCAGGACGGCCGCGCAGGAAGAAAGCCAAGCAGTACACGCTCGAAGTACCAGCCTTATTTCATCAGGAGGCTTTGAAGATACATAATACCACGGCGCGCTTGTACGATTTTTCGACTTACTATTCTTGTTGTTCCAAGAAGAAATAAGCTTGGCCATCACGACGGAGGCGAGGCTTTATCTTCGGGAAGCTCAAATAAGCGAGTAGCGTACGTTACTTTTTCATTTTTGATTTTGGTGCAGTTGCGAGGAACGCCATTCGCATTCGGTGCTCGAAGCTACATCGCAGAAAGCTGATGTGCAGTGCCAGTGCGGCGGTTTCGCACTCGACACGAGCGCAGCTGTGACGCGTTATGATACTAAAGGGTTTTCGTCCAGCACAACGCCCGGCCGCTGCAGTGCCTGTGGGTGTAGTTGGTTCCGCCCCTGAATAAAGATTGACGCTTGCCACTGCTGGACGCTGCACTTTATAATGTTTGCTTTCATCTCCTACTTCTGAGCTGCAAAACCACATAAACACGGTTCTTAAATCTTCCAGTTTTACCTGGCGGAGCTAACTTATGCCTCGAAATCAGCTGGATCATGAAATCTATCTATGCCGCCAAAAAGATCTTCCTGCGCACCATAAAATCTTGCGCAGCATGATAAATAAATTGATCCTCAACAGCAAGGAAGGAGCCAATAGAAATGACCGGCTCAGTCTTTCACGATCTTGTTTGTTTTGCTAGTTTCGCGTTGATGGTATTCTGGGTACAGCTCTCATCTCAAAAAAAAATCTTCTTCGTTCTATTTTACGCTCGATTGTCAGTGTTGTGGCCTGTCTACCACTTGAGAAACAGAAACGCTTTTACTACTAATACAGCGATCTTATCAATGCTTTTTCCGAAAACGTTATTGAATTTCTTTTGCAAAAAAATAAAAAAGATAGAAGATTTGAAGGAGATTGTTTTTATGGGATACCTCGTATTCAAATAAAAAAGTTATGGGTGACAATGATGGAGTCCATTACGGCGGTAAGTATGTCCCGCCGCATATGCGCAAGCGCAGTGCTGACCAACCAGCAAAGACTGTAAGTAGCAGTAACGCGCCGCAGCAGCTTCCTGAGAAGGAACACCAGCGCGACGAGCCTAGAGAGCGTGAGGACGGAAATCAAAACGGGTCTTACTCTAATTCGGGTAACGGGTCGTACACTCGTGGCGGTTACACGGAAGCCGAGTGGGAAGAATGGAATCGTGAGCAGGAGCAAAAAAACAACCGCGGAGGCGGAGGAGGCGAGCGTGGAGGAGGCTACGCCAACGGAGGAGGTGGCTCTAGCAATTGGAACCGACCGGCGGGTGGCGGGTATTCATTGTTTTTCTAGACTTGATGTTTCCTCGGAGGTGGACCATGAGGTCTTGTGCATCCAGAATTTATTTTGATTTCTATTTTTCAATTCCATATCCTAGTTTTGTGTTGCGGGACATATGAGGAGCGGTAACACAAAAATCAATGTAATTTTGCAGTTTCACCGGCGGTTCCGGTGGTCGTTTCGGCGTGGCCGGCGGCCAGCAGAACAACGCACGCTGGGGCGGAGGTAACAACGAAGACTCCTACCAGAACCGTCGCCAGGTGGCCCGCAAGCAGGAGTCGCAAGACGGCGGCTATCACTGGAAAAAGTGTTAACGTTAACGGTTTTGATAGATTGCAAAACTGCATGACAAATTTTGCCTAGAATGCATGCTATGCATGACAAATTTTGGCACGGTTTGGGATGCATTTCTGCATCACAAATTCCGTTAATGTTAACACTTTTTCCTGTGATAGCGGCGGAGAGAATGTCAGTTATTCCAAGCAGGACATCCGCAACCGCGCCCCCGCTGGTTCGAACAACCGCAACAAGGAGCCCCAGAACTGGTTCGAGCGACCGGATTGCCGCCAAAACTATCCGCGTGAGCAAGAAGATGAGGACGAAATCTTTCCCAAGCGACAGCATCGAACTGGTATGCTCTATCCATTCGTATTGTTTCGTGTTGTACCGTTGTGGTGCTGTGGGCAAATAACTCTTTGGGTTTGTGTGCTACTGCTGCAAGTTGTTAGAAGATGCTAGCATAGTCTTGGTTTAAGTGTCATGATTTCCCTTCTTGTCCTCTAGCAGCGCAAGCGAGCCACGCAATGCAAACTCATCCAGGTATTAACTTTGACGACTATGACAAGATCCCGGTGGAGCGATCCGGAAACAACTGTGAGGCTGCCGTTGCCATTTCTCGTTTCTCCGAAGCCAGATTGCACGACGACCTCTATGAGAACGTCACTCGCTGCGGGTAAGAACGCGGACTTATTGTTATTTCAGTATGAATTTGTCGTGTCGCCATTGCGGGAACGTGTAGATTCAGCGCGAAGATCCTAAAGAATCATCATTTCCTCCACCATTTTTTCGTTGCACTTGCATTTTTTGAAAGATCGTGTCACAATCGAGGGGGCGCAACTACTAGAAGCACTTTCATTCGCGCCTTGTTCACACGACTCCACAACATTGACATAAACATTCATTTATATGGCGTCGAAGCAGCATGAAATCAAGAGAGAAAAATATCGCAACAGGTACGACCGTCCCACACCGATTCAGAAGCATTCTATCCCGATCGTCCGCTCCGGTCGCGACGGGATGTGCTGTGCCCAGACGGGTTCCGGTAAGACAGCAGCCTTCTTGATCCCGGCGATTCAGTCGCTTCTGGACAAAGGTCCGCCGGGCCTCCCGGACACATACAATGCGAAGAGCCTGGTTGCCAGGTAAAAACTTCTTTGGAACATAATTGCACACAAACACAACTACCCCTAGCAGTTAGAAATAGAAATAGTTATAGTTTGATATTGGCACATGCGCTTCTTCATCGTACATGATCAAAGTGCTTTAGTTACTGCTTACCAGTGCTTTTTGTAGTTTCAGTTTGAGATGATTCCGATAATTATTTTCTTCTCTATATCAGAGTCGCCATGCCGATCGTCCTCGTTCTCGCCCCGACGCGAGAGTTGGTTTCGCAGATTTACGATGAAGCACGAAAATTCTGTTACAACACGGGAATTCGGCCGGCTGTGGTATACGGTGGCGCACCGCTCATGGACCAGAAGCGTGACGTGATGCGAGGGTAGAAGGCTACAATATGCTTTTATACTTGTTCATGTTTCGCTTTTGCTTCGAATCAATTCGATCTAAAGTTGAAGAAATGTAGTTGGCCAGGAGTAAAGTCTTGACATCAACAACAACCACAACCAGTGCTGGTTCTACTGGTACTACAGGTGAAAAAATGCACGACGACCCATGGCTGCCTCTGTTCATCTTCTTGTTCTTGATTTACTATTTATTCATCTTCAATGAAAATAAATCGCAAACAACTCAGTGTGGACATTTTGGTTGCTGCCCCCGGTCGTCTTACGCACATGACGGAGGCCGGTTGGATCAACCTTGGGTACACCCGCTACTTGGTCCTGGATGAGGCCGACCGCATGTTGGATATGGGGTTCGAACCCCAGGTCCGGCAGATCGTGGAGCACACGAACATATCACAAGAAAAAAGTGTTACAGTGACACATCTATTGCAACTTCAGCAACACAAATTTTCTCTGTGTGGCAGAGAAAACTTGCAATGCAGAGATCCTAAGGGAAAACACATACGAAATGAAGCTCGGATGCATTTCTTGCATGACAAAGGTTGTCTGTCTTGCGGCTCCTGCAACGTAATGTGTAAGTGTAACACCTTTTTCTTGCGATAGAACATGGGCGAGTTCTACTACGGCAACCCGGAGTTCGACCGGCAGACCATGATGTTTTCCGCCACGTTTCAGGACGAGATCCAGATCCTCGCCCGCGACTTTCTCCACGATTACATCTTCTTGACCGTCGGCCGGGTCGGTTCGACCAACGAGTTCATCGAGCAGAAGGTGGTCTACGCCGACGAAATGGAGAAAACCGGGCGCCTGAAGCGGTGTCTGAAGGACGCGGAAATCGGGTGCGGGGGCGAGGGGCTGTGTCTGGTTTTTGTGGAGACGAAAAAGGGCGCGGACGTGCTGGAAAAGGACTTGTGGAAAAACTCCTTCGCCGTTACCGCGATCCACGGCAACCGAAACCAACAGGAACGAGAGGAGGCCCTGCAGGCGTTCCGGACCGGACAGAACCCGATCCTGGTCGCAACCGACGTGGCCGCCCGAGGGTTGGACATCCCAAACGTCTCTTTGGTATTTTTGCGAACATAGAACGTCGTGATTTTTTCTGCTGGTTGTTACGTGCGAACAAAGTTGGCATGACAGGACCAGCTCGATTTTTGTCAAGACGGCCTGATGCTTTGATGTTGATCATGATTTGTATTCTTGCGCATCTTTATATGAGATTTTACATTTGTCATGCATTTTATTTTAATTTTCCCATATCAGGTTATCAACTACGATATGCCGAAGAACATCGACGATTACGTGCACCGAATCGGTCGTACCGGCCGCGCCGGTCGCCGCGGAAAGGCAATCAGCTTCATCAACGACCGCCAGTGCACTAGGGACTTACTGAGAAAGTTGAGCGACTTGCTTGTGGAGGCCAAGCAGGACTGCCCGGACTGGTACAATGCGATAAATAAACTTCACCTTGCTGGTAGTTCTAGTATGCATTGCAAATTATGTGTCTGGAACATCATTATCATTAGCATTATGTTTTCGTGATGCGGGAGGACTTGAAGCAGGACAACAAGATCTGTGGTGCATGAACACCAGGAGTGGCCAAGAAGTCGCAAGAAGCTGTGGAGAACTTGTTGATGTTATTTTCTTGAATTCCCAAAATATACAATTGTCAGGTTCAAGGAGATCGCCCGTGTGAATAACCGCGATGCGAAGCCTTTGGACAAGTACGCTACTGGAAAACAAACCCGCGATATCCGTACGCTCGACAGCAACGATGGTGGCGGCTTCGCGAAACGAGAGCCGGTTCGCCGAGGCGTGGTTACCAACGACAAGAAAAAGGTCGCTGAGAGCTGGGGCGCCAGCGGTGTGGCTGATGCGTGGTAAAGAAACGCGAGACTACTGGACGAATTGGCGACGAAATGAAAATTGTGTTGCGCGACTTCTAGTATCATGCTGGGTTATTTTATCAATGGTTTGATACTGTGTGACGACGATGTAGAAGTAGTTTTTTTTGTTCTTGAAAAAGCTCGGCGGCCCACTAACAATCAACGTTTCATATTGATGTGGGTTATGAACAGAAATGATGGCTGCAGCGGCACCTTCACCCTTCTTTTTCGTTTCTGTAGTGCCAGGCGTTGGAGAGGTATGCATGCGGATAAAGAATAAATTGCCCTCAAGGTTAAGAGCTACTTCTGTTGATGGACTTAGTACAACAAACGCGACACTAATTAGCTTCTTTGACGACTACGCAAGTGCTTGTAAGCCGTCTATCTAGCGGCCGTCTTGCAGCCCCCCGACGAGGACCTCGTCTCAACTTCTACACGGAAGTGATCAATGTATCACTTGCTACGCGGCCTGAAGTAGACTAGCGCAAGCCAACTTTAACTCCACTTAAGCATCATGCATATTGCGACCCAAAATTTTTTCAAGAATGGCATACTTACTCACACGTATTCTTGTAGCAGCACGTTTCGACCTCGTCAACTTCTTGCCACGACGTAGCTTGTTCCCATGTTTATTTTCTATTCAGACTTCTGCGAAACAACAAAAAAAAAATGTGCATTATTCTCAACTTCAATTTTTCTAGTATCTCAACTTCTGACCTCGAAAAAGAACGACGGCCGAAATACAGGCTTGGCGTCAAGGCTATCATGAAACGGCGACAAGTTTGTATTTTGATTTTGTCCTCCACTTTTCGAAAGATCAAATTCTGGTTTAAGTGTTGTCATCTACACGTACAGTCTAATCGACTCTATTTACTCTATAATGAAAAAATCGTCGAAACACGTCTGCAGCTGCAGGGGGGAGCAAAACATTAACAAAAATATTTGGAGGTGTAGCCATTGCTATGCCTGGAGCAGACGAAAGTAGAGTTAGTTTACCGTTGTATGAAATGCAAAAAGGAAGAGGAGCAATTGCATGACAAAGATGTAGAAGATATTAAGATGATACCCATATTACCAGAGCACATCACCACTGAACTCGATCCAGAAAAGCGTTCAATAATTGTGTCGTCTAGTTCTTTTCTGCGTTCTTAAAAATGCTTATGCACCAGCTGCTTCTTTCTAATTCTTTCTGGCTTTTTCTCATATGTTTCCTTCTCTTGAACAAGACACTATTGTTGCGGAGGTGTCTGTAGCTTTCAAGTATTGCTTTGTTTGCTGGAGTTTAGTATTCGTTGCCTACACCTACACGATTCTTTTCAGCTTGATGCTTCCATGTTCTTTCAAATTGAATCGAAGTGCGCGCTCTTCCCTGCGTGTCGTTCGACTGGTGTCCTTCTTGTTGACCGAGCCGGCTCGCAGCGTGAGGACGTTGCCGTTCCGTAGCGAAAGCGAGTTTGACGAAACAACTATATTTGAAATGTTATCGGCATTCGTATCCATTGATTTCTCTGTCATCGCCGGCAAGCAACTACCGGCGGCAGCGTAATCCTCTCTTAATCCTGCGCAGGCTCATCTCCTCTCGACGGGATAGGACGGTTTCTGTTGATCCCGACTTCCTCCTTTTCCAGAAGTTGTGGAGCATTCTTGATCTTGTACTTTTTTGAGGCTCGAGGTAACTAGAGGAAGAAGTAGCAGTGGCGCGGCTGTTGAGATCAATTGTGAGCGAAGTGGCTTTCCGCCTTATTTCGGTTTGTGTGTGCTGAGGGATGGCGGACGCGGAGCGATATTTTTTTATTTTTCTGATCCGGTATTGGAGCTTTATGTTTATACTATATTGAAATTAATCTTCGGGGTTACTGTTTTGTTTCTTCGCTGCCTGTCTTTCCGCTCTGTCGGCACTTTCCAAAAACGAAGAGCAGAGAGCGCGAATCCAGCAACAAAGAGAGGAGGAGCAGAGGGGGCGGGAGGAAATGGCGCAGAAGATCAGCGGCAAGCGCTGGCGCAGAATGCCCGGCGCAAGGGAGTCGGCGTGGCAGTTAGAATGTGACCCAGCGGTGCTATTCGAGGCGTGCGGCGACGACTTCTGCGAGAACAGCGGGAGAGAAATTAAATATGTCGCGGGGGTAGCTTTCTATCGCAACCAGGATGCAACCTGGGCGACGGAATGACCCCGAAGAGTTACAAGCACGGTGTTCGAGTGCACGTCCCGATTGAAATGAAAGAGAAAAGGAACAAAATACATTTCTATAGGACAAGCACCAGTATGATGATGATGATGATGATTAATCTTAATTTCTCGTTCTGTTTCTACGTTTTAGCTCCTCTAGACAGACATCTTCTAGGTTGTATCGAAACCAGACCTGTTTGTTGTCCTGAGAGGCAAAAAACATAAAATGCCGTCCGCCGCGAGTTCGTCTCGTCCTCCTGTGAAGGAGAAGCCCCGGCTCGGGTCCCTCACGTTTGAGATGGAAATCGTCGACCCCATCCCCATTTTGGAGAAGCTCCAGCACATCCGCAAGGACTCGGACGACGCCTTCGTGACGCTCGTGGACACCTGTGCCCGTTGTTTTGAGAAGATGAGAAATTTGCAAGTCGAGCTACAATCGAAGCTGATCCTCACCAACGTGCCGCCGGAGGTCTGGCGCGAGCAGTGGGACGAGACGCAATTGGAAATGCTGAACTTACACGGGTTGCTGTTCCACAAGGAAAACAGCTACCAAGCGTCGCTGAACACGCTAAACATCCAACGGAGGAACTGCCTCGCCAAGCACGACGCCCACTGGGACTTCATCATCAAGGAATTCTCCCGCTGGGCCACCTGCTTGATCAAGCTCTCCCACCGCTACTACATCGTCGAGGACGAAATCAACTCGCGAGGCAAAGAACTTTTGGAGCAGTATACGAAAATCCGGGCGCAGTTGGAGTACGCCACTACAACGCTCGACAACGCGCGCAAAGGGGTGGATTTGATCACGCAGGCGAAGTGGACCAACGACGAGGCGTTGCTGCAAAAATACGAGAACGGGTCGATTTTGATCCAGAAAATCGTTCGGGGGCACCAGACAAGGAAGTTCATGACGACTTTGAGGCATTCTATCGTCTTCATGCGGTACTACGTGAAGAGGTTCCTCGTCAAATTTCGCCGCGAGTTGATGCTGCGAAAGAAATGCGTACCCTACCTGATAAAAGTACAAGCCCATTGTAGACGGCACTTGGCGAAAAAAATCGTTGCTGCCCGGATGAACGAAGTGTGCGGGCCGATCGCGGAGAGGTTGAATCCGTTGCTGAAACGGTACTACTACGACACATGCTGGATGGAAAACACAGTTTTGGCCGGATGGGAAGAGTCGACTTTGGTACTCGACTGTGTAGTTGCGCTTGCTTCTATCGCACGTATGAAACTTTTGAAGTTCTTGCTGTTCTGCATGACAACTGCATTCGACCACACTTGTTCTTGAAGACCAAAACCTCCCTAGAAAAAACTACCCTTATCGCAGACCATGCAGCGTCTCTTCCGTGGCTTCCGCGGTCGCAAGCGGGCTCGGCGCGCCCAGGAGAAGAAGCGGAAAGAAGAGGCGGAGCGAGCGAGGTTGAAAGCGATGGCGCAGGCGGACCGGGATGCGGAGGAGACGAAGCGGAAAATGCGGGAAGAGGAGAAAGCACGGAAGAAGGCGTATTACAATGAAAAATGCCCCCACCCCAGAACTTGGGATCATTTGTATTGCAAACCTTTCCAAGCGAAACACACGCCCTCTTGCATCTATCAGCATCACAGATTGTCAGTCGTGAATAGCAAAAATTTGCATTGCAAAAGACCCCAGCAAGAGCGGCGCTTGTCATGCGAGCGATGCTATATACGCCTACACTCTGCATCAGAAAGATTCACACTCCTTTTATACATGGAAAAAAGTTTTCATTTGGAAACTTCACATCACAAATTATTCTTTTTGCATTTTTGGGGGTCGTGGGGGCATTTTTCACTGTAATAAGGCGGAGGCGGAGTTTGCCGCCGCGCAGGCGAAGCGGGCGGAGATGCGGGCCCAGGCCGAGAAGGAGGAACGGGAGAGGCTAGCGCTGGAAGAGCACCTGAAGCAGGAACGACGGAAGCAGGAGGCGATCGAGCGGCGGAAGGCGGAGCAGGAAGAAAAACTGCGGAAGAAGGACGAGATCGAGAAAAAGCGCGAGGTGATGAGGAGGAATCTGGAGAAACAGCGGAAAATCCAAGCGGAGCGGGAGAACAACCGGAAAGACATCGCGCGAGAAGCGCTGGCGGAACAGAGACGGGAGTACCGGGAAAAGCTCGCGGCGGACCGGGAGCAGCGGAAGCAGGAGGAGGTGGACCGGGAAAATGCGAGGTTGGAATCCGAGGCGTTGAAGCGCGCGAAACTGCAGTGGTTGAACCGGCCGTGGCGGGGGGATGAGGAGGAAATCGCGGAATTCCGGGAGTGGTTCTTCTCGAAGTGGGGCGCGCTCGGTCCGGGAGGGCTGGCCGAAGCGCCGCTGCAGTTGTTGCAGTACCGCTCGACGAAGGCGTTTCAATTTCTAGACCGAGAAGTCGCCGAGGTTTTGCCTGCGCCGGGGTTTTTGGTGAAGAAGTTCACGGAGCTGCTCTGCATGAAGTTGAAGTACTGCCTGGAAATCCGTGCGGTGCAGCTATTCCAAGTTTTGGACCGCGGTTCGGGCGGCACGGGGTTGATCCCCGTGGACGTGATTCTTGGCGAAGCGAGACCCAGTCCGCGGGAACCGGCGGGCCTGGCGGAGCTGCAGAAGTTCAAACGAACCTCCGCTCTGAACGCGGCCATCATCGAACTGTCGAAGCAAACGCCCCTGGTTTTGGAGCCGGGGGACGCGCCACCCGCGGAAAATCCCCCCGCGGTTTGCTTCCGACCGGGCATCGAGCAGCCAGACGTGTTTTTCACGACCGCGTTTTGGGTCATTTCGAATTTCGCGCGCTTCATTTCGGAAAAGAAGGAGGACTTCATGACCGACAAATCTTCTTCAGGAGGAGGAGTCGCCGCCTTGAGGTCCGGAAAGAGGTTATCGCCATTTTTGGAAGATCCTAAAGCGTCCGCCGTTGCGGGGAATTTGATGAGAAGAGACCGCCGGGAGATGAAGCAACGACGAGGTGGACGAGGACAAGCGTCTGCGAGGAACAGAAGCGCGGACCCGGACATCAACAAGGATGACTCGTCGCCGGTACAAGCGGCAGAGGGTGCGGCTGCCGCGGTGCCAGTGAGTCCAGAAGTAGCTCCTGGGGTGTCGTCAAAGAACAACGAAGATCGAGGTCCCTTCGCCAGCGACTCCTCCCCCGGATCTCCATCCTCTCCGGAGCAGGGACATTCAAAATCCCCGTTACAAACACAGCGGACAGCGAGGGCAGCTGCGTCGCCCAGACATGGAGCGACAAACTTCGTTCCCGAAGACCTTTCTTCTCTTTCCGAATATAGCGAGGAGGATGAGGAAAATGAAGCGCAACAGCCCTCTTCTTCCACCAAGCAGAAAGAGATCACCCTGCGGTGCAAGGCTTTCACAGTGGACGACATCCTGGTCGAAATTGAAATGCGGGTCTCGAACCCGCGGAAGACGAACAAGCGGCACCTGTCCATGTTCCTGCGCGCGGCGAAGTCGGTCCACGTGCGGGTGGTTTTCTACGTGGAAAACACGATTGGTCTCCCGAAGGACTTGAAGTTCGAACGATCCAGTGACATTCTCGGGGAACGGAAGTTTCTGGATGACTATTGCGACGAGTATTCCGTGAAACTGAGCAACGACGAACTGGACGCGTTGGCCGGGGAGCCGTTTGGAGAAGGTGCTGGAGGGGAACAAAATAAAGGAGCAGGCAATCTCCTTCCCGGCGCCGTTGAAGCTGCTGCTGCACCAGCGGGACCAGGACCAACAGCAGCAGCAGCAGGACCTACCACAGCGAAATCTGATCTCGCAGTTGGTTTTGTCTTACTCCAAGATCTGAAAGCGAGACCGGACCCAGTGTTGGTTTTCGACCATCCGCAAGATCGGTCGAAACAGGTTGTGAAGTGGCTTCCACAGTTGCGTTTAGAATTCCTCTTGCAGTACTACCCGCGGGGCGTCGGGATCAAATCGCCGCCCTTCAAAATCGGTCGGGACGGCCCCTTCATGCTGGAATTCTGGCCGCGCGGCTCGACGAACGCCACGAAAACCGGGAATTGCAGCATCTGTCTTCACGCCCCGAGGTTAAAGAACGCAGTTTGCAACGTGCAGTTTTGGGCGTGTGAATTGGACTGTTTCGTGGAGGACAACACATTGTCGAAGGAGAAACTTCCCGGCGATGACTTACTGGCAGAAACCGCGGAACAGAAGGCGAAACTGACGCAACGGGACATGGCGCTTGACAGCTCCGGCGGTGGAAATGCGAACAACAAATCAGCGAGGAAGCGAATTCTGTCGAAAGACAAGGAATACCGCTTGGAATACACAGCAGCTGCTCCTTCTATCGGGTTAGGAGCCGGCAGCAGTTCATCCTCTGCCTACCGCCCCTCCGACCGGGTCGCGACGGTGTCTGGTGCGACGTCGAGAGCGGAAAATAAGTGTATGCTGGACGAATTTTGCGCGACGACGGATGTCGCCTTGGAGGAGGACCAGCACGGCGGGAGGTCGGTGGTTCTGGGCTGCGTCTTCAAGCGGCTGGTGGTGGAAGCGCAGAAGGACAAGCTGAAATCCTTGGCGGCAGGCCTGGACGTGGGGTCGATTGCTTTCAACTTTTAGATAGAAATAAATCATCCATCCGTATCCACCGCTACGTTGGCGACTAGAAACGTTTCTTTCTCGTCATAGGACGAGGAGTTTTAAGTTTTGCTCATTAGCTCGAATGATTCATCTCAACATGATTTTGGCTACGAGTGCTTTGGCTTTTATACGTAGGCGAGAGACTTCTTTACATTCATCTGATTTTGCAAGCGCTGCGTTCTGCAGCTGCGCCAGCTTTCGATGAGAACCTCGCTTGAAGATTCGCTTTTCGATTTTAGCCTCCCGCTGCAGCCAATGCTGCTTCATTCGCTTGATGTTTTGCGTCGTCGACGAGAGATTCTGTATCATCGGAGTTGTGCTTGTTCATGGCTACCGGCAAGCCAGGATAAGGAATCGTCTAACTCCTGCGAGCAGTGGTAGACCATCGCCTCGGGTAACAGAGCAATCGTATTTCGTGGTACGACGGACCTTCGAAGAAATCATCGAAATCTTTGGCGCTTCGTAGTATCGGCTGCGAGCTGCAGCAGTGTGCCACGCTCGCTTGCAAGAAAGAGAGTAGAAGCACCCATCTCAATTTTTCCGGAATTTTCGAATTCAACCGGCACTGGCTGTCGTAGATTTGTTCTTCTTTTGTTTTTTCACTCCTGGAGAAGGAGGAGTAAAACAGTTTTAGCAGGAAGTACGAAGAGAGAGCGACGTCCTAATCGGTTTGTTTTGCTGCAGTGTTGGGCTGCAGCGAGAACTTGTTTCGGTTTTTCTTTTCGTCTAAACTTTTTGCATCGCGGCGCGAAAAATCTGCACCATCTGCCTCTGCGGTTGGTGCATTACAAAACTTGCTTCTTCATCACGACAACGACTATCATGACATCCTCGCCGCATCAGGATTGCAAAAAGGCGGTGAAGAGGATGTCTCAACATCCCGAGAACAAAGCTGGAAAACAAGATGAGGCAGCTGTTGATCCCAGTACGAAAAAGCAAAAAACTAATGAGGATGGTGCAGCGGGCACGGGAGCTCCTGGTGGCAATAAAGCCGGCGGGGCAAACGGGAGCAAGGTCCCGAACGCATCTCCAACGGCCTCTAACTCCTCCCACCGCTCGGGGTCGACCGGCCGAACCGGAAAGAATAACAAGGACGCAAAGACGGGTGGTGTCAACGCGGCCGGGAATAAAGGTGGTGATAACTCAGCGCGGAACAACCAGAATACTGGTCCTGGTGGTGGAAAAGGAAAAGCGCCAGCGTTCGTCGCCGCTGGCCCAAATGGAAATGCAGCAAGAAGAAATCCGCTCCCGTCTCCGGAAGGTCCCCGCGGTAACAACAACAACAAGGGAAAGGGAAAAAACGGTGGAAGCAAAGGCGGTGCTGCCGGCAAAGCGGACGGAAACAACAACAAACCGGTGAACAATGGTGCTAGTGCAAATAATGCAGCTGCTAATGCCAACATTGCGTCGAGCGTCGTCTCCGCAAAATCGAAAGAAAATCCTGCCGCAGGAGCTGGTGTTAAAGCCAATGCTGGTGGCGCGAACAAGAATAAAGAAAATTTCCAGCCACCGCTGCGAGGGAAGGTGATCGAAGCGAAAGTAGACACGGGCTTGCACGCAAATCGCGGCCGATCAATGACTCGTGACAAGGAACCGAAGGCGGTGAACCGTGACAAGGAACCGAAGCAGGCGGTGAACCGTGACAAGGAACCGAAGGGGAATAACAACAAAGGAGCGCCGATGAATCCACCTCCCACCGTGCAGCTTCCTTTGAAGCGAAACCGCAGTCCCAAGCGGGCTGCAGAACAACGGGGTAGTTTGCCGAGGCAGAATACAAAGGACAATTGCGGTGCCGGCGTGGCCAAGTTGAACACCTCCTTCGAAAAGCAAGCGGCCGCGGTAGTAGCTGCTGCGAAAAACAAGGACGCTGGTGCAACTTCTGGCGAGCAAAACCCAGCTGCTTCCCTCCAGCAAGTCGGCAAAGCGCATGTGATCGCGAAAGGGGACAAAGCAAGCAGCAAGGAATCCCCCAAGCACGCGGCAAAAGCCGCGGGTTCCACCCTGCACATCCCTGCTCTGGCGAGTAACAAGAGACCGCGGGGGAACTCGTCCGCTTCCAACCCGGGATCCAGCCACAATTCGCCAGTCAACAGTCCGCGTGCAAGGTTAGCGAAGTCTCCAAGCAAAAACGCGCCGGACGGCATCGAGGATAATTTGGAGGGCGATGGTGGGAAAGCGGCAAAGCTCCGGAAATCGAGTATGAATATGGACCAGCTACCGGGAGCGAAAAGTCCCATCAACCGGGCGGCGCGGCAGTCGGATTTGTTAATCAACTTGGACATGCAAAATTTCGAGCTGCCGAAGCGGGATCAGGACGATGAGCTGAACCCGAAATTCGGAATGCACACCTTGAAGGTATAAAGATTCTGAAGGATCATGCTGTTTCTTTCAGTTGCTCCTTGTCTCATTCTTGCATGACAAACAGAATCGAGTGGTTGTTGCAGCTGGTGCGCTGCTGCAGCACATTGAAGTAAGCAAAGACGGCGTTCTACTATAATCACAGGGAAAGCGGGAGACCAACGAAGATGCTCACATCCACATCATGCGTTTTTCCGAGACCGGCTGGGAGAACGCCGGGCTCTACGCCACCAAGGAGAAGCCACTGCAGCTCTACGGTTGCTTCGACGGGCACGGTGGACCGGAGTGCGCAAAGTGGATCGCGAACAAGCTGCCGGGGAAGCTGCGGGAGTACCTCGACTTGATGAACCAGAAAAAGACCAAGCTTGACCCGCCGGCGAAGGACGTGGACAAGGTAAAGTACGCGTTTTCGTTCACCTTCGAACAGTTGGACATCGAGTACATTTCGCAGCACATGAAGTCGGAGGCGGGCTGCACCGCGGTGGTGTGCTTGCTGGACCAGGTCTCCCAGAACATCTTCTGCGCCAACGTCGGGGACAGCCGGGCGATCATCGGGCGCAGCAAGAACGCGTTGGCAATTTCGCGGGACCACGACCCGAAGGCGGAAGGGGAGAAGCAGAGGGTCCAGGCGGTCGGGACCGTGGATCCGGACGTATTTTTTTTTGCGGAAATCGATGAAATGAAGGGTTTTGAGGGTCTGTTTTTTTGCATGATAGTCTTTGTCTGCATTGTATGAAAATAAAAATCACACTGACTTCTATCAGGGTTACGTGAATGACACGGTGAACATGACCCGGTGCTTGGGCGACCGCCAGGGCAAGTTCCGCGAGAACAAGGGCTACTTTTCCCGCAACTTTGCCCTTGCCACCAGCCCGGAGGTGTACATGCAGAAGATTACGGAGGTGCACCAGTTTGTCTTGCTGTGCTGCGACGGCATGTTTGAATCGCCGAAGATCTTCACCAGTGGGTCGCTGTGCTCCCGAGCGCGGGAGCTCCTGCTCGACGGGAAATCGGTGAAACAGGTCCCGAAGATACTGTGCTCGGAGGCGATTGCGAAGGGCAGTGAGGATAACTGCACGGTCATGATGGTCTTGTTCGATAACCCACAGCTGGACGAAATCGTGGAAGAAAACTCGAAAATTTAGATTTTTTCTACGCACAACTTCTGCAGCACTTTAACTGTTCTTAGTCACGTATTGTGCATGGTATGGAAATTCCAATTTGTAGCCGCCAGCTACTGTTTAGTAGAACTACTCTAAAGTAGCTACAGCTAGCACCACCCTTGAGCTCACAAACTGATTTACACTGATTATCCGAGTAGATGCGTCTTCTTGCAGAGCAGACTATCTGCAAGAACAAATAAACAGAATCAAACCCGCCACTCCAGCAGCTATTGACTGCTGTATGTATGGAATTTAGCTTGCACATGCCTACCCACCTTGCTACTTTCTCAACAGGCCTAAAAGATGAAGGACTTCGATATGACTTTCATCTGTTTCTCTTCTACATTACCGAAAATCTGGAAGAAGAGTCGGAAGATGCCCGAGTATTATCCCTTCTGTTCCTTGTGCAGAATGAAGCGGCAACTTCCTCCAGTTCCGTGTTGCAGCAGGTGCTGGAACTTATTGGCCTCGTATTCCACCGCAAACTCTACTACAATAAGCATGCGACCCGCTCTGGTCGTACCGTTCGAGTGCAACGTAAAAACACCATTGAGCTTCCACTTCTCCTTTATTACCCCCTCCATCTTCTACATTAGATTTAGAACGCCGAGCAAGCCAGTTTGTTGGTGATGTCACTTTATTGTCAGAGGTGTCATTGTAAACCTGTCTACTAGCTGCTTCGCTCACTAAATGAGAACCATACTACCCCCCCTCTTCGCAGTAAAGTAGATCTTTAGCTGGACATGTCGTGTAGAACTCGACTACGCAACCCTGATATGAGGTAGCTGTAGTTTACTCTAGTACTCAATAGACTTCTATGCTCTTCGCGCTTTTGCTAGTTTCACTTGTAGAAGCTTTGCATGCTTACTGTCCGTACAAAGCGAGGGCACAGCTGCGTTTTCCTCTTTTCCGAATCCTTGCAGCTCATCTATTACTATTCTATCAATGCTCGTCGTAAAAGGTACGAGCCGTTGACCTCAACCCAACCTCCAGATTCAAAGGAGGACCGGTACTATATTAGAATTTTTGTAAATTTCTTCGTATGAATGTAGTTCTTGCACTCGGCACTGCGCAACTGTTTTTGATGTAGCACCTAAGCTACCTTTACATCAGTTGACAGAAGCAGATTTGGGGTACAATAAAGAATGAGAATCGGGATGCAGCAGAAACAGCTGAGTTGGTGTCGCAGAATCAAGGATGCGGATCAACATCAAATTTCCGCCAGCTCCAGCGCTTCCCGTTGCGACGCCTGTCTCGGAGAAGAGGACAAGTAGATGACTAGGTTCCCGCAGTCCTATACGATTTCTACCGTGAACGCGTTTTGTTTCGACGATGATTTATCGATCACTTTTCGGATCAGTCAAGCCAAGTTTTTTGGCATCGTAACTGGCGTTTTCGCTTGTGGTAGATGATCAGCGTTTCCTCGTCTCCCCTTGCTATGTGGCCGGAGCATTATACATCTGCACATCGGACGAGCGTCAAGCTAGAGGGAGATTTCGTTGAGCGATCAAAAACGTAAACGTATAAAATATGTCAGCACGAAAATTGTTCTTCTACTTGTTCGACTTTGCTGCAGGTAGCGCCTGTGACCCCGGTTCTGGAGTCAGTGCGGCGTGTCTTCGTTTTACTTGTAGAAAACGGTTAATATCGCCACACCGTCGTGATTCATTTTCGCAAATAAGTCCAAAAAGAAAAAGATAAAGTCTTGTCATCGCAATTTGTATTTGATTTCTGGCAGAAGCTTCCGCCGCGTCGTGGCCAAGCAAAACTTTTCCAGTTTTCTTAGAAGCATCAATCATGGTCTTTCGCCAGGAGCTCACGGTAGCTGCACAGGAGCAGGTGCTGCAAGCTTTTGAGAGCAGGCATCAATACGGGGGAGCAAGAAAGCCAATAAAGCTGCTCTTTCGCCCGTGCACATTGATACCTTCGGTCGGAGTTCTTCGTCTTGGACGAGCAAAAGAAATCAGCACCGCGTTCTTTAACGATGATCACCAATCGCCAGCGTGGAAAATCGCGAAAAAGACCGACGACCCGTCTGCCAGGTCTTCACGGCCTTGGCCTTCGGCGTCTTCCTCATCTTGTTCCAGTACAAGAGCGATTAGAAGTTTCAAAAGTAAAGCTCCTGCCAGCACATCCTTCGCAGATACAAACAGTAGCAATTTCGCCTCCAACACGACAGCAGACCTTGTCACCCAGTTCGAAGACGGCACTTTCTTCTCCGACCGGAAAGAAAAGGGCGCACCAAGGTTCACGGTCGAACAAACGGAGTTGAAAACCAAAGACGACGTGGATAAGAAATACGCCGAAGAGAAGGAAAAACTCGGCAGCACAGAGTCCGACAAACTCGACGACGCGTACAAGATGGCGTTTATCCCCTTCCCCGATAACAACAGCGGCGATAACGGGTTGGAACGACCGGAGTTGCTCGCGGAGCAGGAGCGGATTCTCGGTTCCGAAGACCCGGTGACGATTCTGTCCACGAAGAAAAACGACCTGGAATCGGACGAAATCGGATTCCGGAATTTGGAGGAAACAGACCCGAACAAACAGCAGCACGCGGCCAGAAGTCTGTTTGAATTGAGGAAGCGGTGGAATCCGGATTTTCTCCACGGGGATGACAGGGTGATCAAAAAGGTGGAAGCGTCGTACCGGGTGCTGTTCCCGAACGACGAGAATCCGGAGGAGCCGGAGCCGCTGTCGAAAGAGGAAAAGGACGACTTCCCGGAGATGGAGTGGGCGGACGCGCGGAACGTGCCGCGACGGGGGTTCGTGCCGCCGGAATTCATCGCGGACTTGGAGAAAATCGGGAAAAACATCATGCGGGACGTGGAGTCTCTGCAGAAGGAGGCGAAGGAAGCGCTGGACCGGGCGCAGCAGTCCTTCGCGCACCACCGAGACCTGATGAAGCGGGGGTTAGGGGGTTACATGACGCCGACGGATTTCGACGACCCAAACGGGGTCACGTCCCCCTACGCGGTGCCGAAACGGTTTTTGCTCCAGGACAGCCCGCTGTTTCGGAAGCAGCTGGGGCCGGAGGGGGTGACCACGGGGGCGAAGGACAACGCGGCGGAGGGACAGTGGCAAAATTCGTTCCGGGCGAAAAGCTACATGGAGATGTTGTAGTGACGCTCGTTCAAGATCGTGCCACAGTTTGTTCGAGCCAAGAAAGTCCTCGAGCGCGTGTGTTATTGACCCTCAGATTCACTGATGATGTTGATGTTCAGCTACAGACGCACTTCTTCTCCTGTGCGGTTCACACCTCATACCCAGCAGCCATAAAAGGTCGTCTGTCACCAGAAAACCAAAATTAAAGCTAATACTTAAATGAAGCGAAAGCTGTGACGAGCTACAACTTCTACTGGTTTTACCAGCGGTAAGTCTAAGTGAACATATTCCAGACATCAACTGTGTTCTACTTCATAAGTTAAGCGAGTCACTGATGGAGATGGGCGACGTAGTTACTTTATGACCTCCGAGCGAGCGTGAGCGTGTTCCTGGAGCCGGGCCCGCGTTGGAGTGTGCTTGTGTGTGTTCTAATGTGTTTCAGTTCCACGCCGACGCCCTCCCTGGCCGGCCGAGGCGTGAGGCGGCCCACGCGCCGCCGGCTCCCACTTTCAGGGTATGCCTTGGAGACTTGCCGCCGCCGAAGACCATTGCAACGGATGTCGATTGGCGCAGCGAAAGCGTTAGCATTTGTCTCACTCCTGTCGTATACAGGACAAGCAGCTCGCTGATGCTTTCTCTAGCCTAGTAGTTGGGAAGCTAGTGGGCTCGTTTCCTCCGACAGCGGCGTCGCGTCAGGCGTTGGCCTTTGGCTTTGGAGGCCGGAGCGGAAGCGCTTGGCTGCCGCGGCGGATCATCACCGGGCCACTCTCTTGGTGCAGGGGCGCACAACAGAGAAGGACAAGCACCAAGAGGACGCCCGCCGTTCGGTGCCGGAAGCAGTGCAGCCAGTGAGCCGGCGCGCGCCCGCTTTGCTTCGTTTTCGCGCAGCCAGCCCGGTCCCCCGGCCCTACTGCGCGCCGCATGTGGCGCCCCAGGGCCTGCCGAGCCGCCCGCGCGCGGGCGCGCTGCCTGGCCGCGGGTTTGCTTGGTTCCCCGCCATCCGGATGGGGCGCCCGCCCCCGTGCACCCCCGCAATGACTTGGGGGTCGCGCCCCTCTTGCCGCGCGCCCGCACGTGCCCGATCGGCCGCGGCCTTGATTCGGATAATTGCTTGGATTTGTGCATGAGGTTGTGGCCCCTTGGTATGGCAGCCCCCCACCCCCGGCGGGCTGGTAAATAATGTGGCCGGCCGCCGCCGGGCGCATGGGCGCGCGCGGCGGGGCTTGGGCGCGCGCCGTTATGGGCGCCTTCTATCTGTTTCATTTGCGCCCGTCCGCCGGTTGCAGCCGCCTGCCTGACAGGCTGCCGCGGGCGTGCTCCGCCCTGCGGCAGTGGCGTAGAAACAAATTGATCTGCTTGTGCCTGCCGCGCTCGGCTACTTGTTGAATCAATTGAAGCGCCGCACCCATACATACTAGATACCCAGCCCACGCGGCCTAAGGGCCCCACTAATTTCCCGCGAGAATGTGCTATGTGTTCTCGAAGGATGGTTCTTCCTTGGTCATCGCCCGGCGTTGAGGTCTTTGGTCTTCGGGTATCTCTATTTGTTTCCCCTGGCAACCGCAGTTTTCGCAAGAGAGCCCCCCGTGAGCAGCATCTTTGGGCTTTTTTATAAGTATAATTTTGTTTGCTAGTTTCATCTGCTCCTGCTGATGTTCCGCATCAGTCTTTGAGTTTGAACATATACTTGGTTGTCTCGTCGTGTCGTGTCTGCTGCCCTGTTCATCGATAAGCGGCAGAGCTGTTGATGATCATCGGCTTGCGCAGTACTTTATTTTCACGGCAGTGACATTTTCCACAGTCACACCTAGAGTTAACAGATATCGCCGCACTTGGCGGGCGTGGTCGTGGCTGATGGATCGCGAGAGATGTGGGTTGTGCCGCGGGGGCAACAGCAACACCTGTAAGATAATGCACTTAGAAGTGTGTAAGTTGTCCGCGCAATGGACCATGTGATCAACCTGCAGCCCCCCCTTCTAATATGACAATGATGACCACCGAGCTGCAGGCGGCGCACGAGGAGGTGCGCCGCAAGGCGCAGTCCATCGCGGAGGTGCTTGCGTACGTGACCGAAATGAAACACCGCTACGAGCGGGCCATCGATGCACGCGAGGTGGAGCTAAAAACGGAAATCGAATCCCTGGTGCGCCAGGAAAAGGCAGCGGTGTTGGACCGGGAAAAGGGTTTGCTGTTACCGTTGCTGCCACTATTACAAGAAAAAGTGTTTACGTTTACGGTTTTCCTTTTTTTGGAAAAAAATTTTTTTGTGGCTACTCAGCACTACCAATTTCGATTTTTTTTTTCTCGCAGCCGCGCAGCGATGCCCTTCGCCCTTTCGGGGCTCTGAATTAGTAAAATTGTCGGGAAGCAGCTCGCGCGCAAGATGCGAAAACTATGAAGCGCCGCCGTAATATTGCGCCCCTTTAGACCTTGAAAGAGCTGCCCAAGCCCTGTCCGGGCTCCAGGGCAATGGTGGCCGTAAGCAAGTGGCCCAGGGCCCCAGGCACTGGTGACGAGATCCGCCCCCGAAGGCGTCGTAACGATCGACACCGGAGAGGGACCTGTTTGGGTGAGGGGAAATGGATCATGGCATGCTGTCTAGAGATGACGTTTACGGTTTTTTAGGGTAGAGGAGAAATCCGAGGAAAAAAGCATCAATTTGGTACCATTTCGAGGCCAAAAATTGCAAATCCCAGAAAAACCGCAAACACCTTACCTAGACTGCGCGCTATGATCCATTTCCCTCCAGTCAAACTGGGGCAAGCACGCGAGCACACTTTTTGGACAGGGAAATCGAGCATAGCGTGCTGCCTAGAGAGCATGTTTACGGTTTTTGGGGTCGATTTCATACAAAGCAGCACGTTTTCGGAGGGATGGATCGATCATACCATCGTGGTTAGGTAACATGTTTACGGTTTTTTGGGTGCCGGCAAATTTTGGGCTTTTTGGTACCCAAAATTTGCCAATTTCCCACATCCTCAAAAATGCGACTTTTTCTCCAGTCATGGGGAAAATTTGGCTAGAAGTTCCAAAAGTTCCGAGATGGAAGTTAGGAAGGCCGCACAGCGATAAAGTGGTGGTGAGGCCATGCAGATGCCAGCTCTTAGACTCACAAGTCCGAGCCACAGCCACTCCTCGGGGCTGGACCGTCCTGACCCGGGTCCAATAGCCGACGTTGAGGGAAAGGCACAGCATCAGGTGGCTCCGGTGGGCGACATTCCGCGTCGCCATACCTTGCGCACTGGCTAGATCCAACCCAGTGAGCTACTGCAGAGTCCCGCAATAGCTAACAGAGTCAACGAGCCAATTTGAATGTGTAAAAAATGCCCCCAATGCACAGCCAAAAAATTTTTAATCCAAAAAACGACAAACCGTAAACGTAAACACTTTTTCTTTCGATAGCCACAAAAGTCCAGATGTGCGGCGGCGTTGGTGGAAATTGAAAAGTTGCTGCACAAGGTAAAAAGATTGGTTTGGTCGTTTAGTTTTAGGGCTTCGTGTGTTCATCTTGAAAGTGCTACCCCTGCTCATCAATGAATGTGTTTGTCATAGTTTTTCTCTATTCGTCGATAATTATCAGCGGCGAGAGAGCAATTCGTGAGGCCGCGGCAACTACAAACACCAACTGTTAGGTCCACGCCGCCGAAGCGGGCACTCCGTCTCTTCATCCCGCAGACAAGGCGCAACTCGCGGACGAAGTGAAAGCGACGCTAAAAGCAACCGAACCGACCCGACGGGGAACGGACCTGGCACAGCTCCCCGTCGACGACCTGGTGTCGCAGTGGGAAAAAATCCCGTCCTGGCGCGTTGTCGTTGCCCCGCCGGAACGGGAAGTAATCATGCCGACCTACTACAAGTCAAGGATGCTGCAGCAGCAGAGAAAGGGAACCCAGCAACTCTACCAGCGGCCGCTTTCTTCGAAAGCGCGGAAGCACAAAAGAGACCCGAATGTTGACGGCAGGGCGGCTTACTCGGAGCAAGGCGGCGCGTGGGTGTATGAAGACTTGCTGCACGCGCAAAAGCAGGATGAGAGGGGAAACGCAAATGAGGTTTTTGACCATGAGTTTGAGTCTGGTTCTGCACAGCTCCTTCACGGCGATCCGTACGAAGGGACAAGTGCGGGCCTGCTACATACAAGCTTGACAGCGAAACGCCCGGCGCATGCTGGTGGTGGCAAATCATCCTCGAAGAAGCAGGTGCGGGGGCAGGAGCACTACGAAGTAGGCCCCAGCGATAGTACAATATCGCGACCCCAGCCCGACAGATCAGGAAGAAGTGGCGCAGCACCATCCTCTTCACATCAGCAGTACACGAGTATGGAGCACCAGGTACATGATCACCGATTTCAGCCGCCCACTCGGCGTGGAGGTGGTGAATCCAGTGGGCGTGCGCTTTCTTCTTCCGCTAGATTTGTATCCGAGGGGGCACAGCGACAGCACGAGCACCAACATTCTCAAGGACCAGGCGGTGTTCCAAAGGCGCGCAGCGCGTGGGAAAGAACATCAGAGGCAAGAAGCAGGCCGAATAAGCACAACAAATACAGCAGCAACATCAGCGCCAGCGGAAAGTACCCCGGACTTGCTGCTCAGCATCCACTTCCGGGCAAATCCCTACACGACCAGCAACTTCTTTTGCGCGACCAATCGATCTCCAGCTTGCGACCGCAGAGTTCCAAAGCGCGGAAACACAAGCGGGTGTTTCTGCGTCCGGCGGAAGTGGAGGAGGATCAATTTGTGTTTTACGACAATGCCGTGGAGGAGGATCAGTTTCGGGGGAGGAATTTACTGGTCAGCAGGACCGGACCGTTGGAGCTCGCGGACATCGACATCAGTGACGATGAGAGTGACGACGAGGATGGGTCGGTATTGTCGGGGGGAAAGGAAGATTTCCTGGTGAAAGGTATAGAGTTTGTGTTTGATACTTCGCTTCTGATTAATATACCGATAGCAGAGCAGCTGTGTAGTACAAGAAGAAGAACGATGATTGATGCGGATGCGGGAGTTGTCACATCTCGCCTGCGCGAAAATTTCCGAGAGTCAGCCATGTGGAGTGGGAAAAGTAGTAACACTAACCAGGGAAAATATAATTATGAACAGGTGGCTCCAATGTTCCCGTGCTTGCTCCGCCATCCGAAGACGATGCGAGTGTGGATCCAGGCAGAACAGATTTTCCTAGTGGTAGGGGCGCAGGCGCTCCTGCAGACGCAGTACTAAAGCAGCGCACCGTTTCGAGTGTAGTACCACCTTCACAAGACGCAACGCCTTTAGCCGCGCCCGCAACAGACACTGTCGCGGAAAGCTATGCACGGGAGTCGGAGAGGAAAGTTCGAGAGTTCTTTCTGAACAAACAGCAGGAAAAGAAGTCAAGGGGCCCGGAAAGTAGAGCGGATGGTGGCGGTGAGCATGACAAAACTGCTCCGATTTCGTCTTCCAGTAGCAATGCTGACGCGGACTTTGTCCACGTCTCTGCAGTTGAGGAGGAGGGCGGTGGGGGCGGACGCGACGAGAAAGTAGACTCAGACCTCGCACCAGAGCAAAACACGTTTGTCAGCGCGACCTCTCCGACAGCGAACGCGTCGGAGCAAGCAGCGAAGACATCAGCTGTGCCTCCAGAACCTCCCGAAACTACCTCGAAACAAAACTACGAACGCGCGTCATCATCTTTTTGGAAAACTACAGCTGATCAGGATGAAACCGATGACCCGGCGCCCGCGGAGAAGATTCGAAAGCGGAAAAGCCCTCGCAGATCGCCACACCGTGCGCATGACAAGGCCGCCACCAAGGAAGATGCTAGTAGGGAAAAACCTGAAACCAGACAAAACATTGAGCGTCTCGATTTTTCCTACAACGAAGACCTTGACTATTCCGCGCCGGACAAGGTTGAGAGCTTACTCGCGGAAGTGGATTCCGCGCTGCAGCAGAGCAACGCCAATGCGTCCTTTATCTCCGCCGTGTCGATGAAATTTTCCCCGAAAAGGCGGAATCAGAGTGCGGAAGATTTCCGTGCGTCCGCGGAGGACATCATTGCGCAGATACGGGCTGGTATAGACCTGTTCTTTTGTTCGGATGCTAGTCATTAGTATTGAGACGAGTGAATGTGAAATAATGACCACGCTTCTCATAACTAGACGCGCGTAGAATTATGGTGAAAATTAAAATTTATGTTGCAGATGATGTATCAGTATTACCCTTCACTTTCACAACAACTTCTCAAAACTTCAGGCCATAACCCGTCCGACGGTCAAGCACAAGATCCGGGCCACCTCCCCCCGGCGGAGCAAGTAGATCGTCAGCAGTCCAAGGACGACGATTTCATTATCTATGACGACGAGGACGATTCTTCTGAGGGCGTGGACCAACAGGACGTGGAAATCAGAAACCACCTCGAAGAGTACTACCAACGGCACCCGGGCCGGAGAAGACCGACCACGTCGAGAACGCCGGTGACTGGTACAACTTCTGGGAGTGGAGTGGTTATGTCGGCGCCGGCCACCGCGCACCCGGAGTCAAGGGCTGTGAAGGAAAAAGATTTATTGGCTTCTGGTGGAACAAGCTACCTTGTTGAAGATTCGCGAGGACGAGGAGGTGGTGGAGCGCGTAAGTACCAACACCAAGTCGTAGAGCCTGCTGCGACCACCTCTCGCACTGCTCCTCTGGGTCAACAGCATTTGTTCTATCCCAGCGCCACGAACAGTTCTACTGCCGCAGGTGCTGTCCATTCCGGACCCGGACGGTCCCAAGCGCAAGGCGTGTCCTCCTCTTCACCGCAGGCACAGCCCACTACTTCTGCAGCGAACCATTCGACGACGCGGTACCAGGCCAAGCCCCTCGCTGGTCATTCGTACTTCGGAACCGCAAATACAACGAGCACAATGCCAGCGTCCTCCTCCACCACCAGCCCTCGACCGCTGCAGGTCCAATCCTCCTCAAGACCGGGGCCGGCAGCTTCTTCCTATGAGAACTCTCGGACTCTGCAAGCCGTCCCCGGCGAGCAGAATTTCGAAATCAAACCGACTTTCAACTGCTACGTGCCTGGGAAGGAGATGCCCGGGCTGCCGCCGGTCCTCCAGGTCGCCGTGAATCTGACGAAGAACAAGCAGAACAGTGTAGGCGAGGTGATTCAGGCGTTGAAGGAACAGCACTACGCGCTTTTGGCGTCCGGGACAAATTTAAATTCGGGCTGCAATGGTGGTGGTGGTAACTCGAGTTCGAAAAAGAAATCCTCCTCGTTGCAGCTTACGCTTTGCCTCCGAACCCACGAATCCGGCACGCCGATCTGGTTGTGCGATTCAGAAGTGGTGCAAGACGTTTTGCGCGAATGGAAGCCGGTGTCGGATCCTGGGGTGGATTGGCCGAGGCTTTACTTGCAGCCAATTTGAGTTCCTGGAGGAAAGATTGGGGCGGTCAGACTCTTTGACGTTACAATTCGTGACCGAGGATATTGATATCCCAGGCTCAGGCAAACATTGACTAACATTTAAACATAAACTTAAGCTAGTTTCGATGTCTTTTACGATTCACGCAGCACATGCAGCTTTGCTGCGTGCTTCTACGCGTTTGGTTTCTTTCTGAAAATAGTTCAGTGTTGTGGTTTCTTTTTCAAGATGAAGAGTGGAGTATCAATATCTCACAAAAAGAAAAAGGATCTACACCAGACCCAGAGGCGCGTCGCTTCCTACTACGTCGCGGCCTCTATCTGTTCTCAAAGCGAAATTATTTTTCATCGTGCGAAGTTTAAGTTTTGTATTGCTGTCACGTGTATTTGGAACTACAACTACCACGAGAGGCGTGTTGTCGCGTAGACTCACACGCGACGATAAAGACCAAGAAACTGAAACAGGTCCGGGAGGAGGAGCAACAGAGAGATGAGGATCACAGCTCAGTCAGAAGAAGCAGCGGAGGTCTACTCAAGTTACGCAACCGTAAGGAGATAAACCACCACGGAAGATCAAGCCATTGTATATGCTGAGGATAAAGAATAAGAATTGCGAAAGACCACACGAGATCTTTTGAGATATTTCGGCAAGCTCTGTCGATTGCTTATTTCAAGGGAAGAGCAAGAGCGGCGCAAAAGAGACATCAAACACCAGCAGAGCACGCAGCTCGAGCTTCTCCGACTCGTCCGGTTTCTGGTCCCCTGCATGAGAGCCCCCCTGTCCTGAGTTCTTGCAGGTTTTGTTTCGCGTCTGCGTGAGGCAGTCGAGGAGGAACTGGACGACTCTGGGCTAGTACCACCACGGGGCTGTTTCATCTAGCTGCTCTCGTTCTTCACGATCAGCTACTACAGTAGGCAGGGACCGTAGAGAGCAGTACACGAGCGCTCCTCCGGTGCATTCGACGACCGAGGAAGATCATTCAGTTTCGGCACCGCTCGGCTGACACTGTTGTAGCGTTACAGTTACTTACTTCCCGTTCGCGGACAGTCAAAATGCAGAAGCAGGCGGTAGAAAACAGCTACGTGCTCGCGCCGGAGTACAAAAACAAATTTAGGCAACCAACGGTCAAGGAGATACTGAAGGAGATTTTGAACGACAAGCTGCAAGGGGTCACCTACCACGCAGAAGGGTCAAATGTGCTGGCGAAGCAGGTATGATAAGGTCATGTGTGCTGTAGCATACATCACAGATTGCAGGTCCCGATTTTTTTACTAGCGTAGAGAAATAGCAGAGAAAGCTGTTCCTGTAGTGCTGATGAATTATAGAAAACCAAACAATCCAACACCAGGTGGCAGACGAGATAAAAGAACGACTAAGAGACGAACAGCAGGCACAGCGATTGGATTCACGATACAAAATCGTTACACAGGTAATTACACCACTCAAACACAAACCTATGGTTATGATTTGCATCCACGATAATGCAATGGCAATTCATGTTTATTTGTTGTGCTTTTGCTTCATATCTTCTTCACACTTCTTCTTGGGACTTCAACAACCACATCACGAGGTATTTATCCTGGAGCAGCGAGGGCAGGGTGTGCGGATCGGCCACCGGGCTTTCTGGGATGAAGAGACGGACTCTTTCGCAACGGAGAGTTTTTCAAACGATCACATCTTCTGCGTCGCCACCGCCTACGGAATCTACTTTTACTAGAGGAAGGACTGGCTGTGGTTGTACAGTACGAGCGCTCTCGATGTCTGCGGAAGGGGGAAGATAACTGCTCAGAAGTAGTCGCACGTGACTCGCATACTTCCGATAGGCTGTCGATCAAAAATGTGAACAATTCAATCATAAGCGTGGTTTTTATTGAAGACCATTGATCTGAGCTTTAAGTTTAAGTTTAACTAACTTCAAAGAATTGTGCAGCTGCCAAAGTGCCAAACGATCAGAAAAAAATACGCAGAGAAAAAGCAGCTGCAGTGCGCATGCGTTTGCGTTTGCCATGAGTAGATATTTCAATAAAAGGTCGGATGTCTAGTGGCGGCGACTGCGATGCTCTCCATTGTTTGGATGTTGTTCATGTTTCGCGGCGTGTTGCTATTTTTGTTGGCTCTTGCTATAGATTATCACGCCCTGCGCCCGCCCCGTCATCTTTCTCCGCCTGGCAGGCGCGTGCGCGCAGGGGGAGCCGACACAGACGCGGACGGAGAACGCAGCCACGCGGGCAAGACAGACACAGCCACGCGCCCGAGAGGCAGGGGCCAGCAAGCCGACGCAGACGCGCGCGCGCTGCCACCAAGGAGGGGGCGGGCGCGTCAGTTCGGCGCCCTCGGGGAAAAAAAAAACGCAGCGGCGCCGGAGCTTCAGAACGCGCGCGCGTGCCGTCTGTCTCTGTGGGTGCGGGCCAGCTGCGTAGTTCCGGAGCCATTGGACGCCCGCGCTTTCGCCCTGGCCTATTGCCGGCCGGTAGCCGCGCTACAGATTACGTCTGCCCCATCGGCGAGCTCTCTGCCGCCGCTAAGGCCGCGGCGAAGGATGCCCGCGCCAAGGGGCGCGGCGCTGCCTGGCCCTTCCCGCGGAAAAAGCGCGAGGAGTTGCGAAACACGCGCAGGCGGCCGGATGTCGCCGCCCGCGAAGCAGAGGCCGCCGGTCGGGTGGAGAGGTGCGCTGGCCGCCTACCGTGTGGGGGCCCTTCCTCCCTGTCCTTGCCGCGGGCGGTTTTGTGGTTGGGCCGGAGGAAGCGGCCGGGGGGGCGGCCATAGATATTGGGCCAGTTTGCCCAAATCAAAATAAGGCTCACTCTAGTCCCGATCTGTAATCGAAGTCATAGTGTGAAGATCGCGTGCGATGTCTGTGGTCCGATTTAGAGCAAATTTCTGAACAGTTTGAGCGGGAATCTTTACCCCCTTACAGGCTGGGGCGCTAGTACCGCTAGCGATTGACTGCAAAACGAGACGCCCGCGGAGAGAAGTGGCCCGCTATGAATTGCGAAAGCGCCGCGCGCGGGAGGTCAGCTCCGACACTCTGGCGCTGGACATTAAGGAGCTTGCTGGAGAAGGGGCGGGCTGCGAAGGCGGGGCGAGCGCGCCCCCATAAGCAGCCTGCGGCGGCTCCAGGCGCAAAGGGCATAGCGAGAATCTACCTGGTTCGGGGCGGGGTTCCGGTGGCGCCGTTGTTTTCTATGAAAGAAAGGAAGCGACGACCGGCAAAATCGGAGCGCTCTGCCGCGTCGTGGTGCTTGCCGCTTCCAGCCGAATGGCCCTTCCAGGGGCGCGGCGTGATCTACCCGCAACGCGCCCTGCATGTACATGGCCCAGCTGTGTGATGAGACGCAGAAACGGGAAGAGCCGACGGCCTTCGGTGGTCACTGTCCTGAGTAGGGGCGCCGCCTTCTTGGCCGGCCCCGCGGGGCTGCCTGCCTTTGGGAGGGGGGAAAGCCACCAAGGGCCCCACGGTGGGCCAGGCCACCCAGCACGCCCCGCGGCGCGGCAGGCGCAAAAACGTGCGCCAGTGGGGGGGGGGGGTGGGTGGCTTGCGGAATTTGGCGCGCCGGCCAATCTAGCAAGCTAGCTCGCTGCCCGCCGGGGGGGCGGGCAGCGCCTGCGCCACTGGTTGGCTTTTGGTCGGCAGGTTTGCGGCTTCCTGGGGTTGTGGCACGGCTTGCAGCTGCCCGCAGGGGGGCTTGGGCCATTTGTTGGCCCGCCATTGTGGCAGTTGTTGTTACAGGAGGTGTGTGCGTTTTGCTTTGGGGCGTGCAACCTGGGTCGCTGCCACCATGCCGCGCCAACAGGTAGGGCCCATTAGCGCGGCGCCGCCGAGCGGCCGGGCCGCGTCGGTCCGCGGCCGCCCCCCGGGCGTATTAATTGGCTTGCCAAGGATGCCAGCGCGCCGGGTCAACGCGGTCGCTTGCTAGCGCGCATGGCATAGAGACATAGTTCCTTCAGCCGGTTGGTCGTGTGCGACGCCTCCTCGACTTATGGGTATGCACACCGCAGCGGCTCGCCTGGCTCCTGAGCTTGCGACCCCTTCTGGCATGAAGAGTGCTCGTTTTCTGTGGCAGGCGTGTTCTTACGAGGCAGCGTTGGCCGCTCTATTCCTGTGCCTGCCGTGCCGTTGCCGAGTGTCGTATGCGAGAAAGTTGGCTCTGCAGCAGGATCCTCAGACTTCCTCTCTGCTCCCTGGAGGTCACCACGGTCCTCGCGCGTTGATCTTAGTCTTACTTTTCATTTTCCACGACTCGACGCCTGCTTCATTAATTAGGTATAAGTTTGCTTTGTTCGATAAGTTGAATATTAGCTCAAGGAAAAACTACAAAAAGATGATGCCTTCGCGTCGTTGTACTAGCAGTCGGCGGACTCTTCTGTCCGGTGTATGCTCTGCGTTCTTGGCTGCATTGTTGCAAAACGCGACAGGCGCAGCTGTTACGCCGACAAGCTCTACTAGTATCTCAGGCTCCTCGGCGGGCGAAGGATATTTTTATCGCGAGGACCAGCAAGAACACGACGTGCGCACGTCCCCCGCACATAGTGACGGTGCTCAGGAGGAACACCAGCACGACCAACAGCTAGATCATGAAGCGACATCCTCCTCATCCGGTGCCTCGACCCCAGAACAGGTCTCTTCCCCAACTTGCTCGTCTTCCTCGTCGCTCCTCGCTCGAGGCCTGGGACCAGGCGGACCCACCACTGGGGATGTTGCTGATAATTGCAACACGTCAGATCACAGCATGCTCCTGCTGCAGAAGGGATCTCCGCGGGGAGCAGAGCAAGACTGGATGGCGTTGTCACAACTTCTGGTGGACGAGATGAGCGAGTATGTCATCGTCGAAGAGGATGGAGAAGAGAAGCCAGCGACAGGCTCGGCGCAAGGCCAAAAGCACAAGCAACAAGAAGCAGAGGGACTCGGAGGTGGATCTGGCGCGTCAGCCTCCTCCTCCGGGATTACAGGTCAAGGAGCTCCTTCTGTGCCGGAGATGACGCAAAACACCAGTCGCGGCGCGCTGGCCGCGCTACCCGAGGAGGGGGAGCCCCGGCAGGGAAACGGTGACGCCGGTGCGGGGCAAGAGCAGCCGCTGGGGTTTCTTGGAGGGTATGTAAGGGGTCGCCTTGCTAAATGTTTTCTGTTGGATTGGCAATCCGGGGCATTGGTATGCAGAATTACCACTGCTACATTGCCATTGTATGTCATGCATGTCTGCTTCTCAGTCGTAGGTATCGAGTCTTTCGCTTTAAAAACAGCTTCCTCCGCTTCGTAAAGAAGCCACCGTCGACCTGCGGTTCTGGCGAAACGGTTTCTAGTCGCGAACTAGCGCCTTCTGATCCAGACGGTGGCGGCTCTGAGGTAAAAAAAATTGACAACTTTTGCTCGATGTACTACTGTTTTTGTAACTAGTTGTCTAGTCAGTCTTGCTAAAAATCATGTGTAGTAGTTGCATCAAATTCGCGTTTGCAGCGCACCAAACGACATCATCAAGAAAACAAAATCACTCGATTTAGGGGCCCGAAAACACTGGCGCTACAGCCTGTGGCGTTCACCGGTCGCCGAGCACGGAAGCGGTGCTCATGGCCGAGGAGGATAAGGCGGATACTCAGAACGAAATCGAGTTGGGAGCGGAGGAAAATACCAGCATTCCTCTTATCCCGTCCCCGCAGATGACCATGGTTGTGGAAGAACAGAACGAATGCGAATGGGGAGGCGGACAATTATACGCTCCAGGGCATCAAGTGGAGTCGAGCTCAAGTTTTACTGAAAGAGCCAACATTGTGGTCTCTGCAAACGCATCTCCAGAAGGAACTGGAGCTGCTGGCCGCACTCTTATAACTGCGTCGTCAACGACTGAGACGGAAGGCGGTGGGGGTCCTCCGAGCGCGGCAACAAGAACTACAAGCGCAACAAGTAAATCAAGCACTACTTTTCTGGCGCCCACAGCAGCCTACTTGGAAGGTCATCCACCCCCTGTGAAGCCGAAACCGCTGGAGCAACCATTTTCCCCGTTCTCCTCGTTTTCCGCGGGGTCCACGGCGTCTCCGCTATGACGTTCTCAACTGTTACATTCTCAACTGTTGCGTGATTTGTCATGCAAAATTGCCATAAGCCGGCACGCGTCACGCGATCAAGGTGCTTCGCATGACAAATTATCTAAATCTGTTCCAAATTTATAATGCAAAGCACGCAATCTTCCCGCGTTCACTTTTGCTGTTCTTGCATGACAAATTCATGTAACAGTTGAGACTGTAACATTTGAGAATTCCATATCCGCCGCTATCACCGTCGGAGATGGACGCAACAAGCAAAACTATTGGGGGAAGATCATCTACCTCAGGCGCTGCCGTTTCTGGTCCTCAGCCTGTGTATCAGGATAGAAATCAGCAGCACCCACACTACGCCGAACCCATTTCTCTCGCCGCGGCCGCTACAACCTGTATTTCTAACCTCGAAGGCCAAAAGCAAGTGACCGACTTTGTGAATGCGGTCTGCCAACACGAGCACCCGCTCGCTGGGAGTATGATCGACCTTGAAGGAGGGGCATCAACAGCTTCTACGGTGGCTGCAGCACAGCTGCAAAATCACCAAGGGCGTGAGCAGCATCCCGCGCCCGCCTCTACTACTGCTGCTTTCTACGGTCCAACCATCACCACTCGGCCCCCGCAGTCCACGAAGTTGGTTCATCCGCCGGGCGCCATGGCGACAACCTCGACTCCTGATACCAACTCCTTGAATTGTCCCACAAACACTTCTCTCGAGAACCTCCACCAACAAATCTCCATGTTCCCCGCAGACGCCGACCCGTGGCACCACTCCTCCTGGGGTGCGCTGCGACAGGCCTGCGACAGAGTCATCCAAGATCAAGCACAACTCGAGCGCGACATCGAGCGCGCGAAACAGCTGGCAAGTAACGCGGGCGGTGGCTCTGGTGGAGGTGTTTCTTGCGGTGCGAGGGCGACGAGGCCGCCATGCGTCGAAAATTCGTCCCTTGACCACGCGACAACCATTAACATTGACACCGCACCTGTAGTCCCGGTCGTAACTACCGCAAACACCTGCCCCTGGACCGTGTCCGCGGATGTGGCAGACCTCGAAAGCGGTTTGTCGCACTTGACGCTTGACAAGGAGAGAAAAATGAGTCCGCCCGCGACCCGGTTGATGATGGCAAACACTGTGCAGCCCGGCGTGGTGGTTGGAACACCTCCGACTACAGGCATGGGAGGTGCTGGAGCATCTGCGGTCTCGTCCTCGGGGAAGGGCTACGGGTATTCTAATACCGGCTCTACGAATCAGCACCCTTTGAACAACGGACCACAGGCCGTGACGGAAGAAGACTTTGCGCAAGCTTGGTACGGCTACGCGCCAAACAAAGAGTACGGGCCGACAAACGGCGGTAGGGACTGCCCTCCTTTCACCAACAACGGCTTTTTCCAATCCACGGCGGGGAACTGTTTGAAGGAGTGCATCGAGCTGTTGTGCGGCTGCGCGAAAATGGCGGCGACTAGGACGATGCCGGCGAATTACGGGGTGGTCAGGACCGACCCAGTGAGGAAGAATGAGTGACGAGGCGGGTCGTGGAAAGGACGTGTAGTAGAAGTACAAACTGAAACTGGACTTCTGCATTAGCAGTAGGGTTCCTCGGTCATCGCCACTATAGGTTTCCTCCGCTTGGTGCTACTTTTTTTGAGAATACTATATCCGACGAGCTTTGTATTGTTTCAAGACCAAGCAAATTTTCGCTGTCACAGCACGAAAATGTTGATGGCTATTTTGAGAATACAAGAAAACGACAGAAGTTTACGAGATTTTCTATCAAGAGCAAGGGCCTACATCCAACACTGAGTTTGCAGTTCATGATCCATGGCTTATCCGTATCACTTTCCTTTTTACGCTTCCGAGTTCCATCAATTTCATATGTACTAAGCAAAATCTTGAAAAACATTGCGCCTCTCCGAAAGAAATGTATCCTGCTGATGTCCGCAAAATATTTTGACCAAAGTGATTTTGTGATCGAAGACAAATTAAAATGTAAGGAAAGGACCAGAGCGAGAGGGTGCTACTCGACAAAAAAAATGTTGGTGTTGTCGTTCGCTTAAAATCGAAAGCTTGAAGATCTTTTTCGATCTCGAAGATCAAGAACAGTCTTCGCAAAAACTTCGCGGCGTGACATCAAAACCTTTTTGATATCTTCACGAACTACAAATTTTCATCAGGAATTGCTACGCCAAAGTAGGTATGACGGCCACTCAAGAAGCGCTGTTGTAAAAACTGTAACGACAAAGGATTTTTTTATTTAGGTACAACATCGATTATTTCAGTAGCTAGGTAGTACTCTGTTTTCGTGCACAAAGAAAGTTCTTCACCGGAAAAATTGTTGTATCGTAGCAGGCACAAGAAAACCATCAAAACCAGAAAGAAGCAGGTAGAATATGTACCACGAGAGTGATTTTCAGTAGACTTTTGACAGGAAAATATCCTCTTTGTGAACACCAACACGAAAGAATCTACCTCCGAAAGCCGACAAAATGACCGCGGGCATCGGCATGGACGGTGACAGTTTATCAAAAGTAAAAATGTCTGGGTCTGGAAACTTGTGATGCTGGGTGGCGTCTCATGATGAGGCTACAAATGCTGGCTCAGCATGACAAGTTTCTGAGCTCCTAGGTGTTGCCTATTCTGCATGACAAACTGCGCTTCTGCATCACAGAAAAGCGGAGCTCTTGGGTAACGTGCATGACAGATTTAAGAGTCATGCCAGACAAGCATGACAAACATGAATTCTTCCAGACCCAGACATTTTTACAGTTGATACAGTTGGCGCGGAAACAACGGGATGGACGGCTCCTGGCGAGGTGGGGGTGGTTTCAACCCCGGCGCGCAGGAGTTCAACCCGCAGGCGCAGACCTTCATTCCGAACATCCAGCACCAGGACCAGCAGCAGTTCGGTGGCCCGCAGAACGGCGGTTTCGGCGGAGGCATGAACATGGGCGGGGGAATGAATGCTGGATTCAACAACGGCATGGGTGGCGGTAACGGGTTCAACAACGGGATGGGAGGCAACGGCTTTAACAACAACAACATGAACGGCGGCGGCTTTAACAACAACATGAACGGCGGCTACGGGGGCGGTATGAACAACGGATTTCCGGGTAGCAGTTCCAGTTTCGAGTCCGGTTTCGGCGGCATGAACGGCGGTATGAACAAGTACGATCCGAGTTTCGGCGCCGGAGGGTTCAATAACGGGTATGGAGGTGGCTACGGGGGGTTCGGAAATGGATACGGTACTGATTTTTGCACGCTTCTACAAGCTTTTCGCATAAATCCAAAATAGCGAGTGATTCCCTCCTCGCCAGCTTGTATTTGCGATATGGTAAAAAATGCATATGCTTACATTATCATATCTCAGGTGGTGGCTTCCAGATCGGCAACAACGGTTTTGGCGCCAACATCGAGCGCATCGACTGGGGGCAGGAAGCCGCGCTCCTCGAGCGAACGGGTATTCAGAAGAACTTCTACACCGAGCACCCAGACGTCGTTGCGATGACCGACGAAGAAGCTGATGAATTCCGCCGGCAAAACGCCATTTCCTTCCAGAACTGCTGGGGTCCGAAACCCATCCGCATGTTCCACGAGGCGGGATTCCCCGAATACATCATGAAGGCGATTGGCGACGCCGGATTCGAGAAGCCGAGTCCGATCCAGGCCCAGGGGTGGCCGGTCGCGCTCGGTGGGAACGACATGATCGGGATTGCGGATACCGGAAGTGGAAAAACGCTAGCGTTTTTGTTACCAGGTATCATGAATGAAGAAAATTATTATCTGTGTTGTAATTTTCTGTGCAGGTACTCTTCGTCTTCACCTGGGCATGCGCTTGCGCTGAATGAGAAAATCAAAGTTTCATCCGAATTATGCATTGGAAAACTACGTTCAACATGATGTTGCTTCACATCGTTAACTTCAACGTCAACCCTACATCAGGTATGATCCACATCATACGGTAGGGAAAACTGTCCCCACTACCCCGGTTTTCCCCAAAGACAATTTTTTTTTTTCTATCCAACTGTAAGCAGGGCGGTCCCTTCGCAAGCGACCTACGCCGCGAATGACCAGACCGCGACGCCCGCTCCCCCAGGTGTGTTGCTTTATGGAATCAAAGAATTTGCGTAGCTAGTGGCACCCAGTAACTATTTTAGCAGCCCCTCCAGAAACATGCGCGCAATTTCAGAAAGGGCTCCGGGGCTCGGAGTCGAGACTCAGCCTGCCGCCCAGCCTTCAGAGCAGGGCAGCTCGCTGATGTTCTCTGCGGCCGACCCTCGTGCGCCTCTCTAATATTGCTGCCCTGCGCAAAAAGCGACGCGCATGCGCCAGCAGTTTTTTCGCGCAGGACCCGTTGCGCCGTCCGCGGAACTTGTTGCGCCGCGGGCGCGCCGGTCTACCTGGTTCCCATGTGGCAAAACCAAGAACCGGGGCGCGCGACCTTCCCACCCGGGGCAGCGGAAAGGAGACAGGCAAACGCGGCATGGCAACGCTTTGGGCTTGGCGCCCATCTTGGCTGCCGACCGCCCGCCCTTGCAGGGGAAGGGCTTATGCATGGATGGCACCCCGGCGAAGGGCGTCGCGGTGGTGTTCCCCTGCGTGCGGCCCTTCCACTGGGGAAGGGCGCCGGGGGCACCGTACGGCGCGGCCACTCTGACGCACCCTCTTGGCATCCCCGGCGCCGCTTCTTTGCGGGCGCCTTGCAATTGTTTCGGGCCGATTCCTGCCGCCGCGAAAATCGCGCCCGGGTGGGTTTTGGAAACGCCCCCGGATGCCCCCGCCCGCAATCGCGCCGCCGCTAATGAAGCGCGCGCCCATCCCCCTGCCCCGGACCGCCGCCAGGGCGCAGGCCCCCGGCCTCATATTATCCAACCGGTGGCCCAGCGCCCTGCGGCGCGCATTTTGGCGCTAGTCACTGCTCCCCACCCGCCTTCGCGGGGCCCTTGCGCTTCAGCGGCCGACCCCTGGCACGAAACAAAGACGGGCCGCATTTTGGGCACGCGAGCAAAATGAGACCCGAAAGCCCAGCGCCCAGGTGGCCAACGCCATGGAAGTATGTTGGGGGGCGACATGCCTACAAACGGAAAACACAAGCAGCCCCCCTCTATGTATGTCGTTGCAACATATCCGCACGCAAGCCCTGCGCGCCTGATGCGTAACACAGTCAAAGCCCCGGGCAGCTAGCCAGCGGGCCGCCCCAACGGTGACCAGGGAGGTGGCCCGGCGCTTTCGAGAAAAGCGCAAACGCAACAACTCGCCCCGCGGGCCTGGCCGGTGCCTGAAAGAAGGCGCCGGCGCTGCCTCGCCGGGCCGATGGGCCTTGCATCGGTGTGGCCGGCCCCCTGTCCTCCACGCCGAAAAGCGCAACGCCCGGCCCGCCTTTTTGGGGCGCAAGCAGCTCGGGCCCCGCGAAATAGTGCACTGGGCATGGCGCCCGGGACAGACCCGCCTCCCGGCCACCCAAGGCTGATCGCGAAGCCCCTTGCCGCGGACCTGTCCTCTCCGTCTTGGGGCTTGCCGGCAGCGTTTCCCTGAGTGCATGCTCGGACACGTTGGCGAGAAAAAAAACGCATGCTGGGGATTTCGGTCCTAAGCGGCTATCTACGCACTTTCGGCCACAAAAACGAGCACCAAAAGCCCCCCGAAAAGGTACGCATGCACGACCTCCAGGGAAACGGCGACGCCGGGTCCCCAGAAGTTGGGCGCGGCCTTCAAAGCCCGGGGGCCACTTGGGCCAGGGAACGGGGCCAAACCACGACCATAGGCGGGCCCGCGCGGCCCTGCCCAAACGCTCTGCCGCCGCATCCGCCGACGCGCCCCTCCTCGCTGCGCGACGCAGACTGCGCGCTCGGGAGCGAGCGCTGGGAAAGCAGATAAAAGAAGCAACGGGGGCCCCGGCGCCTGTGGTCTATCATCCAACCCAAGAAAAAGCGGGCGCCGGCCTTCTGGGGAGGTGCCCACCATACTCAGCGCAGCCAAGCGGACGAACTTCAGGCGCCGGCTTGGCGAGGTCATCCGAGTGGCCGGGCCGATGGTCCATGCGCAGGCCACCGCCCTGCGTGTGCGGGCGCCCGCACCCCCGTGGCGGCCGTTTCGCATTTCCCATGCGGCCACACGCGGGCGGGCGGCGCGGATGCGTCTTTTTGCGTGGCCCCTTGGCCTGCGCGCGCGTACGGGCCAAGGGGCGAGCCCCCGGCGGGATGGCGCGGCCCAACGCGTTCGGGGCTTTTCGGTTCGAAGCGCGTCGTGAATTGCCAGGCCGCTGCATCTTGCGAGGCCCGCGCCCAAAAAGGTGGCGCCGGCCTGTTGCTCGGCAAGAATTTGGGCACATTGCCGGGGGGGGGCTTCGCGGTTTTGTGAAATTGCGAAACGCGCAGGCGGGCTGCTTTCGGTTTCTGTATTACGCAAGGGGCGCGGGCCATCAGCATGGGGCGCAGGCAGATCAGTCTGAAAAGGCTCCACCCTGCTCTGCGCATTCGGCGCCCGCCTCCCGGCCGGGCTTTGTTGTTGGACAGACGCAAGCCCTTGCCCCGCTCTGCCCGCGGCTAGGGGGCGGGCGCCCGAGGATGCTCCCGCCCCTTATAGAAGTCATATCGGGCCACCAGCTTCCGTGAGTTCTAGCGCGGCCACCAACTGGCTACGGAACGCAAATCGAAGCGGGTGGGCATGGTTCGGCGCCGCGTTTCTTCTTTGTTTTCCTGGTCAAATATTGCCCATGCGCGACAGCGTGGCGCCCTACCTTCGCAAGCAACGACAGGGCCACCACGGGAATGCGCCGCGCGAGACCGAGTTCAAGCAGCTCGGCTGACGACTCCAGGCCGCCGCCCACAGTACAACACGCGCCACAGCAGGTGGGGCTTTAGATCGCTAAGAGAGTCGCGGCGCCCCGCCCGAGGTAGCAGCGCAGCGCATGCTTTACCAGCACCGTGCCCGCGACCAAGTAAGCGTGATCTTTGTGGCGGGGCCGCGTTGCAGTAGCCCACACGCGGATGGGGCCGAAATGGGTACACACATCCACAAGGCCTGCTGCGTCGTCAGCTAATGCGCTGACTTTTGTGCGCCGCTATCTCGCTGGCTTCTTTGCATGCATAACAGAGTCAGAGACTATCCCTGAAGGAAATCCGCTGGCGGATACCATCCGGGCGGGTTGTGCGGCCGGCGGCCGTGTTGTTGTATGAGTTCAAAAAATTTTTTTTGATTTGGGGAAAACCGGGGTATTGGGGACAGTTTTACCTAACGTACATCAAGGCCCAGCCTCCGCTGCAGTGGGGCGACGGTCCGATCATGCTCGTTCTGGCTCCGACCCGCGAGCTCGCCATGCAGATCCAATCGGAAGCCGATAAGTTCGGCAAGATGAGTAATGTGAGAAACACCTGCGTCTACGGAGGTGTCGCCAAGGGACCCCAGATCCGGGACTTGAGACATGGGCGGGAAATCGTCATTGCCACACCGGGACGATTGATCGATCTGATTGACATTAAGGTATTGCAAGAACTACACCAGGGAGAATTTACCATTTGTTACTCGTCCGTTTTAGTTGCCCTAACATGATAATGATTTTTTGCAGGTCATTGTCATTCGTGTTTTTGTAATAAGAAGTACAACTACACATCATCTGGAACAACAAGCTCCTTGGATAATCGTATCAGCTCGGTGGATGAGAATTTGAATTTGTCTGCTTGAAACAATCCACAGGTAACCAACTTGAAACGTGTCACCTATTTGGTTCTCGACGAGGCCGACCGCATGCTGGACATGGGATTTGAAGACCAGGTATAGATGATTTATTTTCTACGGTTTTTCCTTTTGCTGTTTTACGCGCATGATAAATTTCCTTATGAATTATACCGTACTAAATTCCAGATCCGCACCATCTGTGGGCAACTGCGACAGGACCGGCAGACCCTGCTGTGGTCCGCCACCTGGCCGAAGGAGGTGCAGTCCCTGGCCCGCGACCTGTGCAAGGAACAGCCGATCCACGTGAACATCGGGTCAACGGACCTGAAGGCCAACCACCGGATCAAGCAGGTCGTCGAGATCTTCCCGGGCATGGAGACCGAGCCGGCGCGGCTCAGCCGGTTGTTCGAACTGTTGACGGATTTGCCCATGGGCAAGAAGCTGATTTTCTCGCAGACGAAGCGCGGTGCGGACTTGCTCTGCCGCGAGGTCCGGCGACACGGCATGGTGGCGCAGTCCATCCACGGCGACAAGCGACAGGAGGAGCGCGACTGGGCACTGGCCGAATTCAAAAACGGCAGAACACCCATCCTCATCGCGACGGATGTGGCGGCCAGAGGTACTTATGTTTTGGGATGTTATTGTTCTGAATTTTTGTTTTGCAGCGACTATCTTTCTATGGCGGTAGCGTGGCCGGCTGTATGATATTTTTAGGGTCTTTTCCTAGGTAAATAGCAAAGTTATGCTTGCAGTTGCACCGTAGCGCTAGCTCCCGAAGAACGACCATGGAGGCGGCAAGGGGTTTAGGATTTTGCGACGGTAATGAATTTGCAGTTCGCAATAGTAGAAGCACAAGCAACCCGTTGCAACTAAAAGTACCAAAATTCCTCCGGTGATGGTGTTCGTCGTCAGCGTCACCATAACCATTAATTTTTTACAGCTTTTGCATTATATCTACGCATCCTACCAAAAATCCTCAGGTATTGACGTGAAGGACATCCAGGCGGTGATCAACTTCGACTTCCCCTCTTGTATCGAGGACTACGTGCACCGCATCGGGCGAACCGGTCGCGGGGGCGCGGACGGACTGGCGTTTTCCTTTTTCACGATCGTATGAACTGCAAAAGTATCGTACTAGTATAAACTGCATTAGAAATTAGCCCAGCATTACAAATTAAATTTGTGATGCTGATTTACCTTGAGAAAGAGATTTGTAATGCATAAATGCAATTACTACGAGTGCGATACTTTTGCACAGGATAGATCGACGACAAGGGCAAGATGGCAAAGGACCTCTACAACATCCTGGTATGAAATGCAAATATGTCTGGGTCTGGAAGAATGCAAGATTTGTCATGCAGGTTTTCCATGACCCATGAGGTCAGGAATGCGAGACCCAGCATGACAGATTCTTTGAGGTCTCTATCATGCCTTTCCTGCATGAGAGACTCCCTCTCAACTTGGTCAAAAGCGGGCAGCTTTTGGAGGTACTCACGCAGCACAGATTTTTGCATCATTCAGATTCAGCATGACAACTTCTAATCTTCCAGACCCAGACATTTTTGCACTTGATACCTCGTGGAGGCAAACCAAGAAATCCCGGACGGCTTAGCGGAACAGGTGCAGAAGTTCAGCCGGTTTGGTGGCGGTGGGGGGAACCACAAAGGGAAGGGCAAGATGAAGAAGGGGTTCTTCGGAGGCGGAAAGGGCTCGTTTAACCGAATGGGAAACAAGGGGGGCAAGTTCTAGACGATTTCTTGAATCTGTTCGACGATAGTAGTTGTGTGCCTACTATTAATTGTGTAAGTTCAGATTTGATATTCCTCTAGATGATGAATCGCATCAACATGATGTGGACATTCCCATTGTTGACAAAAAGTATTTAGAAAACGAAAACGAATGACGTCGGACAAATGACCGCGAAGAGCAAGGTCGAGCTTGTATCTCTCTCAGCTGTGATTGCTCCTGCTCCTTCGCTTGAAGAGTTGTCAAGGGCTATTGCGGCTGAGACGAAGAGCGAGAACTTCCATTTTGGTAACGAACCATGTAAACCACGAGCTTTTTTTTTCAACAAGCATCAGAAGGCGAAGATTAGGCTGAGCTGCTGCGAACAACTTTTTTTTTCAATTTCTGAATTTCACGAAAGACCCTAGCTTTGACTCTATTAAAATACAAATAGCACATCAGGTGAGCTACAAGGAGTAATCAAACTGTTTCTATTGCTAAAAGAGGACAAACGTGACAAAAAATCTTCGGAGGACAAGTATCAAGAAATTATCGCAAAAAGCTCGATCCATTGAGCAGTAGAGTATTTATTATCGTTTGAATAGACACAAATCTTGTACTGGAAAAAACTTGAGTTTAGAAGTTATCGAAAATAGGAATACGAATACGCGTTCGCCGCGGGACCAACACCCCACCACGCTGGAGCAGCGCTTATCGCAGAACTAGTTTATCGAACATTTACGCTGTTTCAGAGTAGCAGGGCCGCTGTGCTAAGACTTTATTGATTTGATATAAGAATATGCTATCAACAAAATTTTCACTGGCTGTCTGTTTCCTACTTCAGGGGCAACAAAAAACAACTAACCCACCTCAGCAGGAAAGATACGCTTCAGGGTTGCCATAGAATCACTGAAGTAGAGAGCAACGGCCAGACCGCAAAAACATTTCTGAAGTTAGATTGTTTAGTTTTAGCAGAGCTGTTTACAACGAAGAAGTTCAGGCCGCGCGCGATTTAAGGTTCTTTCATCTCGTCTGCACTCTTGCGCTTGTTTTTACAGCGCAGGTTTCCAGCGAATCAGAACCGTTCTTGTGGCGGCTCCATAAATTGATAGGATTTGTTTAACATCGGGATGGGAGGCATGAATGAACCGAAGACGTAGAGGCTTTTCGCACCGTCTCCGAGGACTTCGAAAAGAACAACAGCATCATTTTTTCCGTGGATGCAAAAACCTAGTCACAAATCTCGGCAAGCTTCTCACTGTGCTAGTAGAGCCCTCGATGGAAAGATGCGGCGACAGAGGACAAATCAACCGCTAGATGCCGCAAACAAGCCGATAGCGATTGTAAAAAGCAGCAGCATGGCGGCTTCGTTTCTATAGTCTGCTTTCTGTAGTAGCTTCTCATTTCTTGATGAGAACAGGAAGTGGGTCGTAGCCACGGCGGCAGTATGACTTTCTAGCCTAGGTGAAGTGTTTTGAGATTCTGATTGGTTTTTGCTGCCATTTTCATTACACATATTTTCCTCAGCTTTGCTTTTTTATCTGCAGGAGCGGGACTTCTCAAGTGGAGCACGAGAAGTATCGTGAACAAGAATTGTACACCAAGTCAACGCGTTTGGATAAACTATTTTTTATTTTTACGAATGTTAGGACACGTCGACGCAAAGTCACAGGTCAACCTTCAAATTTTAGGGCACGCTTTTTTCATCAACACAACAGAAAATGAAAAACGCAACAAGAAGACCCAAAAATAATATAGCAGTCTACGTCCATCGTGGAAAAGGGAAACAAAAACCACGCTGCTCCATGATAATTTGCATGTTGAAGTTACATGATTCGAGTAAAAAAAAAACAAACAGGCTCTCGGACTCTCGACAGGATTCTCGAGTGTCAGTAGAGTTTCATAGTGAAGTAGTTTTCAACCGTTATTTCTGTTTCGACTGTATAAAACCTGTATCTATATTTCGTCAAGAACAGCACAAGTAGTGTCGGACAAGTTCAAACAAGGAGGCTGCTACAACTTCTAAAGCTCCACCACCGCGCTCCCGGGAAGCTGTATTGGCTCACCCTGTGGCGCTTGTTGGGTCGCGGCAATAATGTTGAAAAAAATGTAAATCATTTTGGTGATGTCGTGGTCCCAAAAAGCTGATGACAGAGCATTGTGGTTCTGCTTCTGCCACCGGGGGCCAAAAAAGAAAAAACCAACGAGGTTAGTAGAACTACTACGCATTCTTGCGGCGAGTAAGTACTGACTTATGCTTATCTGAGCTCCCGTTACTGGTCATTGGAATGAGACGGACACGATTCACCTCGCTCCATCAAGAGTGTGGTTTCGTGTATGACCTGCAACGCGGCTGGAGTCTTGTAGGTCAAGAAAGTAGGCAGAAATAGGAGTGGTTCAAAAACAACGGCAACAGATGGAGAGCAGGCATGATCTCGCCCATACACATACTACTTTCACGGCTACTTAGATTAATATTATACCGCAGTAGTATCAGCATCTATTTGGCAGTTACGACGGCGCGGTGGGTGCCCTAATGGGACAGCCGGTGCGGTGATCACAGCATCATTTTTTTTTTGTGACTTGTTTTTGTGTGCGCGACCCCGCCTGTGTTTATGTATTCATGTTTCCGTTTCCGAGTACTGAAGCACGCAGCATCATGTACAACTCTACTTGTGAAACTTCAACACTATAATTTATCATGATTTTGACAGCAAAAGAATGTATGGAAAGGCGTAGCACTACTACAACTCTATTCTTGTTTCAATGAGCCTGAATGTTGACTAATTTCGACAACTAAGACGAGCTATGTTTGAAATGACACTGCGACTATACGAAGAAAATTGTCGCTCTGTAGTACTCCTGCTATTTTCTTACCAATTCTATGCGCAATTGTGCAGAAGGCAAGATTCTATGCGCAACGCACAGTACTAGACCAAATACAAATAGCAAGGGTAGGTTCTTTAGCGATATTTTTCAGAAGGAGTCGAATATTTTGATATAGAGAATGAGAAACGTGAAGAACAAACGCGATGAAATCCAAAGTAAAGCAAGCTGCAGGAGAATCTTTCCATCAATATCGAATGAATCCTTCGAAGACACTCTACCACCTTCTAGCACCTTCGCTTGAATTTATTCGAATACTTTGTTTAACAGAGCGCTGCTGCTGCAATCACACAGAAATATTGAGGAAAAAACCAAGTTTTCAAAAACAACTTTTGCCCGCTGGCACAGCTCCTTTTCATATTCTTTAAAGGAGGAGAAGAAAGAAAGTGAAAAATGAAGGCGGGTGAAAGTAGAAACCTTGAAAAGTAAAAGTAAAAAAATGGTTGCAGTAGTCAGCACAGCAAGAAGAGCATCGCTACTCGAACTACACTTAGAGATGATAGTATCGCGCGATAAGTTTAAGTAGGATGAAATAAAGTTCGAATAGATAAGCAAGCGAGATAAAAAAAAGACGTCAAAGAAGGTAGAACTACATCAAATGGCGCACTGAAAAGATGAAAATAGAAAACTACTCATCCCCTGATGTTATGATCTAGCAAATAAACCAATCGCCAAGGTGTAGTGCTGGCGGTTAGTTTGGATTCCGGACGTCGGATGAGAGCCGCGGTCCTTCTAAAATCAAGAACGCAAAGATTTGTGGCGAATTCAAATTTTATCACAAAAATCTCAAACAGTCCAGAAGAAACCAAGTAGGGGCGACTACTTGTACTCGGCTTTATCTCCGGCGGGCGCTTCGTGTCTTTGTCGCTGTACTCGAACCCACCTTCAGATGTTTGTTTTTCTGATTTCTTTCGAACCTGATTCTTTTTTTCTTTTCATCGTGCTTGGCTTCTAGAAGGCCAATCGGATCCAATTTGTTTTGGTTTTCTTTTTGATGTGTGTAGCAGAGAGGACGGTTATTGGCATTTGCATTGCAGCTAAATATAAAGTGGGGGAGTTGGATGAAAAGAAAGACGAGCAGATTGATCACCCGTGAGAGAAGCAGAGATACGACGAGTGAGGATGACCTAAAGTAACAGTCGCGCGCGTGAGATTTTTATCTTGTAGTTAAAGTAACAAAACGTAGTTCGATGTTAGAGTTAGTCCTGTTTCTGTTTGAGGAAACAAGAAAAATGAAAGCCCCCTGTGGCGAAAATGGTGAATGTTCGCTTGTGTTGTTTCCATTCATCTCGTTTGTGTGTTGTTGGTGATAATTGCGTGCGTCGCCAAGACAACAGCAAGCGCCGGCCGCGCTTGCGCGGTGGGGGTGGCCGCAGCGCAACATCAACAGGCCGATAGTATGGAGCGGACGAGTGGCAGCTCCACGGAGATTTGCGTTGCAGCCATTGCTCCAGACGCAAGGGTAACAAGTGCAATGGCCTTCTCCCCGCTCTTCACGATAGCGTCGCTGTTCTACTTTTCGAGGTGGACATGCTGGGAGGGCGCTTCCACCGAGGAATACAAGTGTCATCGGGAAGATGATTTTTCTCCAGCCACAGGCACAGCTTTGACTTGTTGAGTCCGTCTTCAGGAGCGCATGAATAACTAGGGGATCATGGCTGACGCAGCAGGCCCCTCCGCCCCAGCGGCTGGAAAAGACGCTGCGCCAGCGGCCGCTTCTGCGGCTGCAGAAGGCACAAAAGACACCGCGCCCGCTGCAGAAAAAAAGGATGACAGCGCGAGTTCTAAAACCGCAGCAGTTCCTTCTGGAGGCGGTTCAGCAAAAGCCGGGCCGGATGACGCCGGAAAAAATGCAGCGGACAAAACGAAGAACAAAGACGCCGAGCAAGAAAATGATCAGCCGGAATTGACCGAAGGCGAAGCGGACGCGCGAGAGGCCCTGCTGAACGTCGGCGTCACGCCCAGAGTTGTGTACCAAGACTTTCAGAAACAAAATCGCGCCTACAAATACAAATTTGGGCTCGCGGCGGGACAAGCGCCGAGCAGGGGTACGCAGAGAGAAATCGAGTGCCGACAGAGAACCTGGCGAATCACCCTGGCGCACATTCAACTTCAACCGGAGACTGACGAGCTGTGCAGTGGGAATAAGTATTTACTGGTGCTCTACGTTGGCAGGGATCAGAAAGAATTTCTCGTCAAGGGCGGAATCTTCCTGCTTGGAAGGTTAGGGAAAGTCTTTCGCGTCCCGCTACCGCAACTGGTCCAGAAAAGCGAGGCGATATCTTTACCCGAATCGACGAAGTTTCAGACCGATTTCTCCCTTTCCTACGCACAGGTGGAATCCCAAACTTTAACCGCGGAGCTCTGGCAACTTCGCAGATTTGGCCCGAACAGGTTGGACTGTTGGTGCGCTGAGTCACTCGCCAATGTCATCCCGCGGGAAAACCCCCGGATCTCGCTCCGGCTCGGGAGGGTGGATAAGTTTGGCTACAAATCGATACGGCTGCGCGTCGATTTTTTCATTCGGGTAGAGGAAGTGCACTTGTTCGATGTATGGTTCCAAAACTGGAGCATAAAAAAGCTCACGGACGCGACCGAGTTGTATGATCGAGCGGTGCGGGCGGACCGGAAAAATAAGGAGAAGGAAAAGGCACTGGCGATGGCAGAAAAAGAAACGAGGAATCGAAAATTCGCTTTGGGGTTAACAGGGGACGCTTTAACGAAGCAGATGCTGCAATTTCTACTCATCGCGACAGAAGGCAGGGGGAGCGTGGAAGATCCGAAACTGTGGCTGGAAGCTGCAGAGCCCTTGATAGTACCGAGGCGAAGAAGTAGAGGGAGCTCTGCTGAAGCTGATGTTGTTGGAAGTAGACTCTCTACTGCTTCGGCTGGATCTGACCCCGGGCTAGAAATGATCGCAGACCGTGTGGGGAGCCGCGAGTCCGGGTTTGGCGCACGAAGAACCCTAGCGGAGCAAGAAGACCTCGCATTGAAGCTCTACCCCAGCAGGTTTGTCCGCGAGGTGCTACATCTGGGTACGAGATTCGCGAAACGCTTTGAGAACGAGCCAGAAATGTTTTTTCCGTACGCACTGATCGTGGTATTGTCGAGGATGGATGTTTTTTTGCAAGAGCGGGCGGAGGGGAAGATGTTGACCATGGACGCAGGAGCACTAGGAGGTGGGCCAAGAATTACAACAACTACATTGTTAACCAGATTTACATCCTCTGGTGGACCCCCCGCCGCGTTTGTTGAGGGTGTGCACCAGTCGGAAAATCTGTACAGCGGGTCGTCGTCTGCGTCCTCCCCTCCCTCCTCTTCCTCTCGAGCAGCCTCCGGACAGATTGGCTTCGGCAACTCGAGTTCAGATGAAAAAAGCCAGTTTTCGCCGTCCTCTGTGAAGAACTACGCGCACGAGAAAACGAAATCTCCGGGCGTTTTCCTGTTTGCTCCGGGGGATGATCTTGCTCAAGATGAAGAGGGAGCAAAGTCGACGGAACCAAAGCAGGATAAATTTGATCCACGCGCCTCAGTCGTGAGTCGACAAGGGGATGACGACGCGCCTGTCACTTTATTTAACGATCCAGAAGGTCCTGAGCAGCTGCGTAGACCAGAGGACTTCCTTCAGAGGCTCATTCAGAATGAAACCTCCACAGCCTCCGCTGCAAACAACCACCCAAATAACTCGTCCTCTTCCTCCACATCCAACACCGATTACCAGGTTTGCGAAGTCGACGCCGTGAAGTCCTTGAGTGTCAGCACGAGATCCCACCGCACGAAGCTTGGGAGATTGAAAACCTGGATGGTGATTGACGTGCTGGGGAAGTCCCCCGCGAGGGTGTACAGTAAGCCCGCAATTGGGAAGCAGATGGAGTACGAAATTGCGGGGAACTACGGCTTCAAGGGCGTTTTGTCAGAGCTCCAGTCCTTGTCTATGGTGATCCGGGTGTACACCAACCAAAGATCCGTGTTTGAGAAAAAGTGTTTGACTTTCCGCGATCAGAACATGCTGGCGTCGAACGGTGGGAAGAAAATGAAGAACGGATCGAAAATCAATGGAACTCGCAGGTCGACCGGGAAGAAGATATCGAAATCCGCGGCTGTCAGCAAAACGGAATCTTCAAAAAAATCATCAACATCAAACATGACCGCAATTGGTCGGCGGCAGCTGCTCTCCACCACTCTAGATCTGGAAGAAGCAACACAGGACGCGGCAAGGAAAACCAAACTCCTGGCAAAGCTCCTTCGCCCGGGCGGGCCGAGAAAAGCTTTGGTCGACATGCAGCGGAACGTCCGGATGAGAAGGAAGCGGATGGTGTGTTTAGCGCGAACTGTTGTGAAATTTGAGAGCTTAGCGCAGGGGGTCTTTGAGAAGGAACTCGACCCCGCTCCCGCGGTTGCAAAACGGCTCGGAAAACAAGCTTTCTTGTCTCTGCCGTTGCTGCAACTTCTCGAGCAGCAGAACGGGGATCGTTCATCTTCGGGAGGCGCAGGCGACGGGAAGATGAACAGCAAAACGGGCGCGGCTTCGCAAGGTGAAGGAGGCGTCAGTAGTACGCCCAAAACCACGTCGGAAGCAGGATCCTCTATCTCGCCAACAAGCACTGCTATCGCACCAGGAGCAGAGCGACAGCCGGTGCCAGGATCTGCTAAAAACGCCAAATCCTCTACCAAGACCAACAAGGATGATCGGCAGCACAACAACTTCGAAAACATCGGGACCCTCCAGGGCTACCTCCGTTTAAACGATGACGACCGACCTTTACCCAGGTACACATCGCTTGTCCAATCCACCAGAGGGCTATCCGGACTCTCCCGCTACGTCGGAGGGATTCTCGAGAAGCAAACCGGCCACGCTTACCTCATCGTGCAAATAGACGAGGTGAAAAACGTCGAGCTTTGGCGGGGGTTGGAGTCTTTCGGCCAGAACGCAGCGACCACGGACACCTTCGTGGAGGTGCGGTGTGACGAAACAACTCTGAAAACCGAAACGACAGAGGATTCCACTTCTCTCGCGGTTTTTCGCGAGGAGCTGCTCTTCGACCTCGGACCAGCCGAAACCGTTTTGCAGAAAATCAAAACGCAAAACGGCTTGGAAGTCAGAATCGACCTGTGGCTGGACAGCGATAGTTTTGCGGAGCACATCGGGTTTTGCACGGATAGCGTAGTGAATCTATTGAAATTCGGGGTAGAGGAAGAAGTCGAGATGGCGGTGGCGACGACGGACGGCGCGAGCAGGGAAAGGATCACGGAGGTTGTGGAGAAAAACACGTGTCAGATACTAAGGAGACGAGGTGTGCCTTTGCGGAAGGGCGGCGATATTGGTGCAGCGTCGTCCACTGCAGGTGGCACCGCTGCCGCCGCTCTGCACAACGCCGCGAACGCGGAGCGCAACACGATATCCTACGCAATGTTCATCGCCCACGGGGAGCACGGGGGCTTTTCATCTCCGCGGAAGAAGCAACTGTTGCGCGGCGCCCACAAACAAGCGGTAACGAAGCACCAGCACATGCATAGTTTCCGACTTTTACACGACGCGGCGGTGGCAGCTTTGGCAGCGGATGGGAATATGTCTGTGAAGCAAGTGGAGAAAACTGTACTGGGCAAAGTCTTGACGTCGCCGGGCGCTGGTGGGCTAGACGAGCTTGACGCAGTAGAAGTGGACGAATCGCCGACTGGCACAGACGACGACAAATCTCACTCGTCCGGCGCGTCGGGCGACGAGGAAAATGAGAGGCGCAGCGTGCAGAAATCCGTTCTAGCAACCACGCGGTCGATGCTCGGAAACTACAAGAGCAACAAAACCTTGGCGGGTGGTGGTCGTGGTGTGGGGACCGACTATTCCGCGATTGCCGCCGGTGCGGCTTTGTTGCCGTTTGTTGCCGCGCACAATCCGGGCCGAATCAAAGATTCCTTTCCAAGTGACATGGTAAAGTGGATGTTTGTGCAAGAGTGTCGTACGCAAACCGAACACCAGGCACAGAACGCCGCATCATTTTCATCTTCGTCGTCCAGAGGCTTCGGAAGTAGTGGTGGCGTTCAACAACATCTTTCCGAAGCAGGAGCCGCTTCCTACCTGCGCTCCCAACATTTTCTGCAAGAAAACCTTCGCCTCCGCCCCTTCGCACCCGGGCCGGCGTACCTTCATGGGATCCTGCATTCTCCGAACCCGCGGAACTTCAACGTCTCCAGGCTAGGCCACGACTACTTGCCACACTTCTTATCGACTTTTTGCGGGAAAACACAGCCGGCGCCGCAATTAGAAACGAGTGAGGAAGTCTGTTATTGGATCTCGTGTTTGCAATATCGAGACGATCACCAAGCAGGGCCATCGAAGTCGTCAATCGGGAGTGCTAGCACGGCTACAGTAGACAACGAAGTTTGGCAAGCTCCGGATCTCACGCTTTCCGAGCGCAGCGGCGGGCAGTTGGAGCACGTTTTACTGCACTACGCTCTTCTGCGGTCGATCAACAAGTTTCCCTTCATCTGTGTCGGTACGCTGCACAGCGGCAAGCCGCACGTCTGGTTGGCAACACTAGAGAAGCGAGGGAACGTGAGGTTTTGGGAACCGCAGAGTTCTGGGTGTGGCATTGCTGGAATGAGTAGTTCATCAGGAACTACTCTTGAGTCTTCACATGGGAACATCAAAGCTGGCGCCGCACTACCCAAAAATCTGACTCGTTCTTCCGTTCCGAAACCTTTCCGAGAGCTACCAACCCGCATTTCCCACCCGGAGCAGTGGAGGCTCGTGGCGCGCAGCTTTTACTCGCACAAGGGCGAGGAAAAATGGCAAAACGTTGAACTGCACCGCCGGAGACTGCTGTTCGCACAGAGGATTGCATTTCTGTTTCATGTGCGAAAACGATCGAGTTCGAGGTCAAGCTCCGGCACGAACAACAGCGCCGCGTCGTCCATTATCTGGGTTTTCGACCGGCAGAAGCGAGAAGCTGCGGATGAGCTCGTCAACCAGCAGGACAGCGACTTGCAACGGCGGAAGAACCTCTTTCAGACGAGGAACTCTGTGGTCGAGAAGAAATTACAAGATCTGACGGAGATCGAAAACTTTTTAAAAGTTCAAGAGACGCTCCGGAAAGCGAGTTTGAAATGCTGCCGAAAAGTCGCGGAGGTCGAAGATAACGAGGAGATGCGGTTTGCGATTCCCGGTGGGCTGAATATCGACACGCAGTTAGTTCTGCAGAGCGAAAAGCTACGCGACCACACGCTCGTATACACCGATATCTTCCACGACGGACTTGTTGAGAGAGGGGATTTGCCGGGTGATGTCGCTGGAGAGGATACCTCTGGTCGGGCGTCGGTGTCTGGAACTAGTGGAAACAACTCCAGAGTGAACGCAGGACCGGACGCGAAGGAGCATCCAGATGATGATGCCAGGTCAGGCGCAACTTTCCGGCAACATATGAGCCGAAAATATCGGAAGCATCTACTGTTCAGTGAGTCCCTCGACGAGGCAGACCAGAACATTCTTCGGACGGAGATTTTGCAAAATTTCCTTTCCTCGACAGATTTGCGCACTGGAAAGGCGGTTATGTGTCCGCCTGGAAAAAATGGAAAGGACAACAAAACCGAGAAGAAAAAATCCGATACGCAAGCTCGCGGCAAGGTAAAGCAAGATGACGACGCTGTACCAACTCGAACTCAGACGCTGATTGCCACCAGTCCGAAGAGTGGCACTTCGAGAGCGTCCACGTCTGCGTCTGAGGACACCTCTAGCAAGAAGAACGCGAGCTCAGAAATCCTGCGGCCACGGCGATGTTTCGACGGCGCTGTGAGAACGAAGATGTCGCTGCAGCAACTAGTGAAGCCTTGGGCGACCGAAGCAGAGCAAGAGAAGCTGTGGGAGCGCGCGGTCGCGTCCGACACAGCCGGCGGGTTGACGATGGATGACATTCTCCCACCCAGGTGTCTCACCCAGTGCAGCGTGTGCTTTCGAAGTGACTGCATCCGCGGCTTCGTCTGCACGTCTGGGTTGGCTGCAAGATCCATACCACTACGCAAAGTTCCAAGGCACAGACGCTCGTCCAACTTGCTGGTCGCTGGCGCAAAGCGCCTCGCCGGGTCCACAGTCGACCTCGCCGCGCAGGTGGGGAAACGAGTGCGGCATTCTTTCGGAAGTCGTGCCAGTGATGGTCCGGCGGAAACAAACGCAGCGGCTAAGCGACGCCGGACAAGTACCGGCAGCGTTGGAGACTACAAGGAGCAAGAAGAATCTGTAGTGCGAGTAGTTGAGGAAAGCACGACATCGGACGAAGACCAAAATCATCATGCTGACTTTGACACGATGCAGGACAAAAGGGGCGGCAGGAGGAGAACAAGTTCTCTTCAGCAAGACTCTGCAGGAGCTGCTCCTGCTGACACCAGTAAAACACAAGACTTGATCGAAGTCCAGCCGGAAGACGACGTAGCGGACGGCAGACTCCTTCACGACGCGCCGTTCTTCGTCTGTTGGGACTGCGCCATGCAGAAGTACATGCTTGGCGGAGAGCAAGAGGCGGAAACGCTTCTGAAGCCGTTGGAGCCTTGGTTTACGGAGTCACTCCACACCGAGCGCGCGCCGGTTCAGGACCCGCGACTCGTCGTGGGTGTTCATGAGGAGCACGGGACAGGTAATATCAACAGTGACGAGATGATGAATACTACGACGGCTGGTCGCTTTCCGGCAACGCAAGGAGACGCTGCAGATGACCTCCCGGCGCCGGACACTTCTGGCGCAGGAGCTACAACAGCAGTAGCAGGACCTTCTTCATCGTCGTCCAAGACCACTGTCAGAACCAGGTACGCCAAAACCGAGGTGCCTTCGACGGAATACGCGACGCTCGATTTGGTTTTCCACGAGGGCAACACGTATCGGAACCTCCAACACTGGGACCCGTTCGCGATCTACTTTGACCTCTGGGACCAGAACTACTGGCTACCTTTTTCCGCCGTGGATCTGGTGGGGTCCCGCGAGAAAACGCACTGGTGGGGGAAAGCTGTCCTTGGCCCCCCGCACGGCGAGGCGTGGCGGGCCCGGAGGCACACACAAGTGCTGCAGCACTTGAAAAGACAAATCACGGAACTCCGGTCCGGGCAGAGACTGGAAACGCACTGGGTGGCGAGCCGGGTTTTGGGAAATTTCCTCGTTCTGGGGTTGGAATACCTCCGGCAAATCCAGACATGTTCCGAAGACGAGAAAGTAGCCGCTTTGAAGCAATTATCGCACTGGAAAAGAGAGTTGGAATTGAAAACACAGCAAACCGCCACGGCAAACAGTGAGTTGAAAGCTTTGCCAATTCTGTTCTCCGACAGCCGACCAGCGATCGTGTGGCAAAAGTTCGAGCACATCGCCGGGAAACTGTTACGGCAAGCACCGGACGGCGCCCGGTTTGCGCTCGCAGCGGCGTTGGACTGTCTGCCGAACCGCGTCACCGCCTGCTACGTGTTTTTCTTGGTTTTGTTCCCGCCGACATCTTCCGCCGGCAACCAGAAAAGCCTGGCTCCGATGGTGAGACTGGACGGGAATGTGGGGAAGGTGAGGCTAAATGCCGTGCTGGAATGGAACGAAAGAAACCGACTCCCTGCGATCTTGGAGGATGATCTGATGCCCGATGATTTAAACACGTCTGCGGGAGCATTTCTTGGCTCAGACACTGCGGTGGATGTATCCTCTCAGCTGCCGGGGGGCGGGAGACAGATCGAGCTCGAAGATGATCTCGCAGTTGCCGAATTCGAATACGGGACGAGTGATATTACTCCACCAGGAGCAACATCGACAGCCAAAAAGAAGCGCGATTACCACCGGCCCGAGCACGTCCATGGAGCGCACGGCTGGCATGCGAGGCAAAAGGGGAGAAGCGTTGATGTTCAGGGGAACATCGCGACGAAGCTAGTGGGCAAGGCAGGCGAGAATTCAGATTCGGATGTGATCGCCATCGCCGATCATCATTGTTTGCCGTTACCGCTCGGAAGCGTGAAGCAGGACTGCGCGATCGTTCCGGATTGGTACTGGACCCTGGACATCTTCGACGTGAATGAGGAACAAGCTGGAGCAGGACACTATCCCGGCCGCGAAATGATCGAAGACGACCAAGCAGTGAACTTGTTCTACGGGGAAAATAGCAAAGGGACGACGAGCCAATTGCAGTTATACAACAACGAGCATGACAACTACGACCTTTCCTCGTCGGCTTCCTCGTTTTCTGAAGACGAAGGACTGCTGGCGGATGAGTCATCTTTTCAGGATGGCCTAGTTGCCTCTGAGTCGGACGCTGCGCCTGCGGATAACAATAAGAATTATGCGTCGTCATCTTCATCCGCGTCTACTTCTTCGAGAAACATGGGAAATGTAGACCGATATCAAAATAACCGGCACCCAGCGCTGCAAATGCAAGAATACAAAAACCAAAGCAAAAATTTTCGTGAAGGACGACACAGAGCGACAACTCCGAGGGGGGAAGATGAAGGTGGTGACACAGAAACTCTAGGCGCAGCAGGGGGCCTGGAAAACAAGGAGCAGGATCACACAGAACCACAACTTCTTCCGGCTGCGTTGGACGCGTTCTACTTCGAAATTGAAGTTGTTAAGGCGAGGCACAATGCCGGGGGGCGGAATGCTGCTGAAATGGATCAACAATCTTCCGCTACAACAGGTCGAGACGAAGATAGGGACAGACACCACCACCATCGGCAACATTCCAGTGTGGCCAAGGATCGGCGGAAATTGTCCACGAAAAACGATGAGAGCGCGACTTCTGGCCCGTCTCAACAAGCTGGGGGACTCCTGGACCGTTTCATGAGCGGTGCGTTCTTCGGCGCCGGAAAGAACACGGAAGGAGAGCATAACTCAGCGATGGTCCTCTCTTCCGGTACCGACGAAGTAGATGGTGCCACTTCCGGCTCAGGATCTACGCTCAGTCCCGGCCCTTGCTTCGGCTTCACTTGCTTTGATCCCTGGGACCCGAAAAACCAGGTTCCAGAACATCCGAAAGAATTCGACCAGTACACGGTGCTTGCCGGGTTCGGTTCCTCAACATCTCCAGATGGACAATCAGAAGCAGGACCACCGCGACCACGTAGATGCGCAACGGTCTGGGAAAGCAACGACAAGGACCCAGCAAGTCTGTTCTTCGCGACGAGATCTCCTCTGGAAGCGAAGACAACGACAGGTAAAAGTTGGTCGGCTGAGGAAAATCTGCAAGTAGGAGATCGGGTTGGGTTGCTGCTTGGGAGGAAAACCGCAGACAGCCCCTGGTCGCTCGGGCTCTTCGTGAATGGGAAACCGATTTTGTTCAGCAAAAAGACTAAGACGACAGGTGGAAGGAGTAGAACTACATCTTCACGGCAAGGTACAATAGATAACGCAGATGAAGAGGATGATCATGATGAAAAGCAAAATGATGCTGATGATCCAGAAACGCATTTGGTCACCGTTCTTCCGACCGCGGACCTGATCGAAGAGGGCGTGTTCCCCTTTGTCCACCTGGGCGGGTCGAACCTCCGGACGGTCAAACTCATAACGGAACTCAGCGACTACAAGGCCTGTCCCTACTTTTTCACCGGAACCGACGGCGCCTTCAACAAAGGACGGATTAGGCCTTTTTTGAACAACAAAGCGGGTAGCTCTCTCTGCAGCGGATTTTTACCGTTCGCGGCTACAGCAGGAGTGAAGTTCTTTGCGAAGGAGGTGGACGCGGTGGGTTCTCCGGTGTTGAAAAAAGACCCTCGTCGCGGCGGCCAAAAAAACCGCGCAGGGCAGGAAGTGTTTCCAGACGAGGTCTACCACGAAGCTGACGTGAGAGTAACTGGTGGCAGTGTAAGTACGTCGCCTGCTCCGACAAAGCGGAACAAACCGGCCCTGTGTGTCGTTGGAAACGGCCCGCTCATAGCACCCACTGCTCCTCCTCCTGCATCAGACGGCACTGAAAACGGAAATGGCAAACAGGCATTCCGCTTCTTCGAGGTACAGGTGGATGTTGCAGTAGCTTCCACTTCTAGCACGACTGTGGAGCAATCATCAACCATGACGAGCAAACACCCCGCTCCTGTCCAGCTTGCCCTCGCTCTCACGACGTCTGATCCGACAAAGGTTGTGAGCGCAGCCTACGATCTTAAGGCATCAACGGCTTGGATCGCAAAATTTACCGAGTTCGGAGTAGACTTCGTATCGCCTCCACCTGCTGTCGGAAGTAAAGCAAGCAAATCCACTCCCAGCGTTGAGAGGTTCTTCGGCGCGCCAGCAGATGTTGATCTTCCATTACGAGCTGGGACGAACAAGAAAAGCGGTCCCACCACTTCCATGCGCTCCTTCGCGCTACTACATGACAGAAATAAAGACGAGCTGAGCATTTTTGTTGATCGCTGCTGCTATGGGACGATAGACGGGTTCGGAAAGAACTTTGCGAAAAGCCTCCACGGCTTGTATCCGGTGGTGGCCGTGCTACAGCAGGACGAGCCGTCTTCAGTCACTTCGACAGCACCAGCTGCCGCAGTGCATCTTCGACTCATCGAACTCCTCCCGACGGATCCGGTGTTTAACAGGAGAATCAGGCCAACATTGAAATTTGCGAGTGACAGGCCATTCTCGAAGTTCGTGCAACCAGTACCCTCGTCCACCTCGTCTTCTACCACTCGGCCTGGAGGAATGACCCAGATGGTCCAGTCAGATTTGATTTCGGCTGAAGTCGGCGGGGTGGAAGGAGCAGCAGCGCAGGAGAACGGGAGCACTCTCCGAGGTTTTCCCACGCCCGTTGTCGGGGACGGAGCCTTGCCGGCGTGGAGGGTTGTGAAGGGAGATGATCAACAAGAGGACGGAGGAGAAGCATCGGCAGAAAGTTTAGCGTTCTCTTTTGAAGTAGAAATCGAACGCGTGGACGAGGAAAGACGCAGGGATTTACAGGAGGAACGGCTAAAGGCAAACGGACAAGGAATGTTGGCGCATTTTGAGGAGGCGAGCGCAGCAGCAGGTGCTGCTGCAGGAGCTGGAAAATTAGCGTCGAAACTGCGCGAGGGGTTGCATCGTGCCGCGCTTGACGCGAGAAGTTCTTCACGGGGGACAAACACCTCCTCGGACTTCTACACCAGCAGCAGCGCCGCCGCAGGGCGACCAAGAGGCCGCGAGCATCAGCAAGATACTTCTGTTGTTCGGAACAAAAAGCGGGGAAGAGGCCTCCTCTCGAGGTTACAAAAGTTTTTCTTCGCTCCGGCGGAGAGGGAAAGCAGCAAAGAGGACGCTGCTCAACAAGCACTCCACCTTGGTGGTCCGAGCAGTTCCGCTTCCGGTGGAGGCAAGAATCAGGAACAAGAATTTCAATTTTCAGACATGGAGGCCCGCTTGAAATTTACTTCGTCCCCGATGTATCTTGGCGCAACCCTCTGCAGTCCGCATATGGTCATGAGCACGGATTTTATTTCCGGAAATTCTGGTGCTACTTCTGTCTCCGCCGCTGCAACGATATACAATTTTTTCTCCTTTGACGGACCGAAGTACGAGTGTCACTTTGGAAGAAGCCAAGACTTCCGCACAACCTCCCCCTCCGACTGGGACTGCTTGTCTTTGCAAGAGAAGGACAGACTGCATTTCGTAGCAGAGTTTGACCCGCAGAAGTCGCTTTGGTCTTGCTTTCTCTTCGTGAACAATGCTCTGAAAGCCGCCCGGCTGTTTCCGGTTCCGTTACCGGCGACGAAGGGAAGTCCCGACGACGACGACGAGGAGCTCCAACGCAGAAACGTTGCACCCGCGACCACGCCAGCAGCTCCAACACCACCCCTCTACCCCATTCTAGGTCTGCATCGAAACGGCTACGTCCGAGAAGTTCGCGTCGTGCAGCCGTCCTACAAAGAGAAGATCGTCCGTGGTGGGTTCAACAAACAAGTTTCGAAATTTCTCAAAAGTGTCGACACGAATAGATTTCTTCATCCGGCGCAGGTCGCATCGGCCGATAGCCGTGGCACTAGTCCCGTGTTTGAGTCCATGTTTCCAAATGCCTTGGCCCCCGCGAAGCATGTTCTGCATCCCAGAGAAAGAAGAGTCGCTTCTGCTGCCGGGCAAGACCTCCGCTTGAGCCGTTCCAGGATAAGTAGCAATAGACCAGAAGCAGAACGACCCGGCGGGGATGCAAACAAACACACCGAAGAACATCACCTGCAGTTTTCTCGCGACCGGTCCAGTTTTTTTGCCCGCCACGCTCACCATTCTGGATTGACGATGTTTGCGTCGCTAAATCCGTTGAAAGTGCACGCCGTTCGCGAAGTGGAGCAAGTTTCCTTTTTGGTTCGGGTTGATGCGGCGCATGAAAAGATGTCCTTGAACACGATGCTGGATCAACAAGGTGTGGGTGACGAGGAAGATGACGACGAGGCGCCGAGAAATCCATCCGCAAAAGCGTTCGTCGCAGAAGGTTGGATAGGATTTTGCCTCGTGAACAAATTTAGCAGGGATGATGTTGAAGAGAAAATGAATATTACTTCGAATTCTTCTACTAGTTGTGCAAGACCACGACGATCCTCACCTGCAGCTGAGCCGCACCGGCTCGAAGACATTTCCGTCCCTGTTTTCGTGGCGGATCTTGGGGCTGAGTGCTGGCGTTGGAACACTGGCGAAAACTACAGTAAGCCAACAACCGCGTCGGAGCAAGCGAGCAGAAACAAGCGGTCCCAAGATAAATCCCGTCCATCGACGAAGCCTTCTACTTTTTCGAAGGAACCGTGGAGCGACTACTTCGAGGGCGCGCAGAAGCCGGGTGAGGATATCGATGCTGGTGTGAGCATGCGAGTTGGCGACATCCTCCATCTGGAGATCGAGGTGCAAACCGGCGTCATCGCGGTCTTCCAAAACGACGAGGTCCTGGCGGTTTCCAGACCAGAGTTTATCCCCGCAGAACTCCTCGCGGCGGTGAAGGATCAGACACTTGCGGTTCATGCGGTGTTCGACCTAAAGCACTCACTAAGCGACGACTTGTCTCTCAATACCATCGTCGGGCGACCGCTTTCGCTTTCCTACACAGACGCGTGCTTAAGAAGCTTGAAAAGAGAGAACTACACAACTGGAGGACAAGAAGGAGCATCACAACCCGATGAAGATCTCCATCTGGCTTCCTACTTCCCTAAACAGTTCTCCGAACTCGAGCTCCGCGGCTTTTACGACAAGGGAACGTTTCGCGGTCGTTACGTCCAGTACAGCGACGATGTGCAACAGCCCCCGATCTCCATGTTTAAGTCCGCCCGGAGGCAGCGCGGGTTTTGTGGCGCTATCGGCGATAACCCGATTCCATTCTACTCTAGTTTGAAAGGTTTGTTTTTCGAGCTACGGGTCGACAAAGTCGGCCCGGACGCTCCGGAAGGATTGACACTGGGCGTGACGACAAAAAGCCCGGATGTCCTTCACGACCAAGATGCTCTCTTTCCCGCCGTGATTAGCGACGAAGTGTTTGACCCCTGTTGGTGCGTCGGGTTCTCCGGGAAATTGTGGCATAGCGGCATTCTGCAGTGGAACGACTTCCCGCAGTGGCACCCCGGATCGGAGGTTCGGAAAGGGGATAGAGTTGGGCTCTTGGTTGTGGTGGAGGAAGTAACGGTGGAGGAGTTGGGGACGATTTTACAAATACAACTCCCAGGAGGCACCACCGCAGGAGTACGAATGGAGCCAACGAGTAGCTCTTTCACTTTCAAAAACAACCAACACGTTCTCGAGCCGGGGCAGCTCTGTTTGATTGTTAATCGACGGATAGTCGCCGTTGTGGCCTCGAACTTACCCATCAACCGAGATTTCTTTCCTTTAGTCGATTTGCTCGGAAACTGTGAGGCGGTGACGCTCGTGACGGGAGGGCTAGAGGATTTATTCTCCGCTAGTCTTCAAAACGTTCAAGATCAAACGACAGCAAGTTCACGCCAGGACGACCAGAAGTTGCTTGAGGCGGCGCGGGAAGATGTGCTATCCCAGCAGAAAGTGAAAGCACAATCTTCTGGAAATAAGAGAGGCAGTACGACCTCTGTTGCGAGCAAAACTTGGGTTTTGCCCCTCTCCAGAAAGCTGCAAATCGAGCAAACTGTTGCTGTGCGCTACATCGGGCCCCCAAGGTCCGCGGATAGCAAGCTGATGAAGAAAAAATCTTCAGGCGCGCGCGAAGATCACGAGTTGCATCAATCAGCAGCCACGAACCAACGCTGTCATGTGATGACTTACAGTCCCGCGGCATTCGACAAAAAACGGAACGCCGTCGGTTTCGCGGTAAAAGTTGACGAAATGATGGACGACGGGTATAATTTTCATTTTGTTTTTGTATGCTTAGTTCTCGGCTTCGATTTTTCCAACGTCGAACTGGTATCTCTATCTTCACATTGTCGATCATGATTTTCATTTTTGATTTTGTAGTTACCTCCGAATCAACATTACATGGCATTCGCGAACACGGACAAGTTGAACAAGTTCCATCGAGCTAAAAGCTGCACTAGCAGACCACATCACTCAGCCAGCATTTATTTCAATCGCCAACACATTTTTTTTACGCACAGTTTCCACCTGGACGGCTTGACCCTTGGTTTAGTCCAAGAATCTCCGCAGCAGTACGTGAAACGGTCCACCATCCCAGCGACTGCCGATTTGCTGGAAAATTTCACCGGCACTGGATTCGATGGTTGCAGTGTTTGCGCGAACGGGAAGTGGCACGACGACGCGGCGCAGTTCCATCCCGCGGTGGACTTGAAGGAGGGGGATATTGTCGCTGTTTTTCTCGCTACAGACAGTGGCACGAAGTTCTTGTCCTGTGAGATCAACGGGGAGGAGGTTCTGGTGCGACCGGCGTCGGCAGAGGAGGAGGAGGAAGGTGAGGAAAACCAAAAAGCAGGCACCAGTAAGAGCAAGTCAAAAATATCTTCCTCTTCGGCTTCCTCCGCCAGCAAAAGCATTCTGAACGCAACCGCCACCCCCGACTATTTCGGCGTGGCCGAGCTTCGCGGAGCGGTGACAAAAATCTCCTTTTTGACACTTGCCCAATACGAGAAGGAAGCGACGAAGAGAAGTGGTGGGACGAACATGAATTTGAAGCTGTCTGCGGTGGCGAAAGCGAAACGGGCCAAGGAGAAGGCAGATAGCAGGTTTCGGCGCTTGAAGCACTGGGGAGTGCAGAAAGATGTGGTGGAACTGCTGCAGGCGCGGGGGATGGATATTCGAGCGATGGACGATCAAAAGCGACTGAGTAGGACGCTAAGCGCAGCAGGTAGGACGGTGAACAACAAAGAACAGCCGTTATTGAGCGATAGTGACAGTGTAAGTAATTCACACGATGAACACGCGGACGCTAACTCACGGGAAGTCGATCTGGATGACGTGCTTGCAGAGCACGCGGCTGATAAGAAGCCTTTGTCGGTGCTGGAACAAGAGGACTCTGGATCATCTCCATCATCACGAGCAGATCGGCCCTCGAGACAACAGGCTGGATTGTTTTACTCCGAGCAGGGTTTGCTCAATGACTCCGAGGGTATCGACGATGTAGATAACGCGCAGCCCACCTCGTTGTCGTCCGCTTCGGATGATCGCAAAAATCCGCGAGGACGCGCTGTTGATGCTTCTGAAAAACTCAACAGGGACAGAGCAAGGCCACAGGATCATAGCGCATCTTCAGTGTCAACATCTTCCAGTGCTTTCAGCCCGTCCAGCAGAAGTAGCTCCTCCTCGTCAGCCAGCAGGTTGAGATCGGCGACGAGAAGGCACAACGACGAACAGTGGGAGGGCCGTCAAGCAGGACCACCGCGACGCCCTGTCAACGAGAAGAACCGCTCGCACAGGACCAGAACGAGCAGCACGGACAGGAATTATGTGAGAAATGCTTACGACTTGTCCCACTTTCTGCAATTCGACGAGGAAATTCCACCGGCGGGCGCAGCGCCAGTACTGGGCCATCCGTACGGAGGTGGGAGCCGAGTCACGGAGCCGTTTTATTCACCGGTTGCGCAAGAAGAATCTTCGGGGAGAAGTCCTCTTCGCCGACGTCGTAATGCCTCCGGGGATCAACACCTTTCTGCTCCTGGTGCTCGAAAGCTCAAACTCCTGACATCGCCATACATCGAGGAGCCGGCGGGCTTTGCTGGACGGGAAGATGAAAGAGGAAGAGAAGTAGATCTAGATCAAGAGGCATCCTTTTCCTCCTCTTGGACCGTGTCTGAGGAGTGATTCTGCCACGACTCTATGCATTCATGTAATTCTAATTGCTGACAATAATTCATCTACTTTCAGACCTTTCATCTGTATATTATGCTGATAATGATAAATCTCACTAAATCAATTGCGAAGCAAAACTGCAAGCGCGATTCAAGCAAGGTATCTACTGGTAAAAACGTCCGTGCCACAAGAATATATGTATCCTCAAAATGACATCAATAGGCTCGTCTGACAAGAAGAATATTGCGTTGTTTAGTAATGGGTTGCACGCAAGAAGTTGTTGAAGTGAAAAGTGAAATTGCAGATGGCACGTAACCTTCGAGCAGCTACGTGTTTGTTTGTGTACTAGCCGGGTTGTCGGTAAGTCTGTCGATACAAGATTCATCACTATCTGTGCATGTTTTATGACATCGGTTCAATATTACCCATAGCTACGCTAATAATACCTGGAGTCGCACCAGGTAGCACAGATCGGTACTGATGGCTTCGTGCATGTACTATTTGATGCTAACCTTTCGGACGTTGAATTACTTATCTGTGTTTGTTCATTCTCGGTGATTGTGGTGCTGAATTCACTCGGTTGTCCTTAAAATAAAAGCAACGCGCGCATCTCTATTTCATCACTAAAAAGGAAGTAATGTCCTCTGTGACGTCGGAAAAATCATCTTCCAGGAGGACCATTCTGGACGAAAACCCAAATTGTCACAAATTTAAAACCTCCTATACTTGTTTCCTGCTGGTATTTCCACTTCTTGTCTTCAAAGAAGATTGAGCAGTTTTCCATATTTTCCGACTGTTGCTCTTACTGTTTCTTTAAGCAATAGTACAGCACGAACAGCATCATCTTCAGCGCAACTTGCACGAACAAAAACAAAAAATGTACGGGTATGAGGGAAGTCAAGGGTACTGCTACGACGAGGAGCGCGACGACGGCAACTACTACGGCGCCCCACATCAACGACGCGCGGCCCGAGGACGCCACGGCAGCTACTATGATGACGAGGCGCTGCAAAACTACGAGTACGACGACAAGAACTACTACGCCACCCCAAAACCCTCCGCCCGACGCAGATATCATGGTGAGGGCGAGGCTGCTGCACCCAAGAAGGTGAAGAAGAACAAGAACAATGCGGTGCTTGACGCAGACTCCATCGAGGTCGAGATGACCACCCCGGACACGAACAGCCGGCGAACCACGCAGGAACCCCCGGGAGCTGGTCCGTTGGTCGCCGCGGAGGGTGAGAAGTTGTTTCCGAAATCGATGCAAGAAGCCGAAAGTAAGAACGCGATCCAGCCCAAAATCACACGCGGCAAAGGCAAAGCAAGCTGCTGGTGCTGGGGGGAAGAAGGGGAAGGGCAAGGCGATCAAGGGTCCCGTCGTTCCGAGCGAGACAGGCGAGTCTGAGTCCGCGTTCGATGATGACATTATGCTCATGAAGGTGTTGTTGAAAATCCGCTCCTACTACCCCTCTACTTTTTGTAATAATATGTGTTTCGCACAATCTTCACAAGCTCAAACATCATAAAGAAAAAGAATATACGCCTAGATAGAAATCACGACCGGTCAGCACATGTTCAGTCGCTGTCTGGTTGTCGAGCCCGACTCGAATTTAGGCAACTACATCGTGATAATTTTACACGCACCATCCAACCGAGGATGAAAGGGATCGTCGGTGGGGATTCTACTTTTTCCATTGCATAGACACTGGCCGCGAAGATGATGACTCTGAATTCGTGGGCCCCCCGCCGCCAGCACAGAAGCCGGGGAAAGGGAAAGGCAAAAAAGGAAAGGGCAAAGGGGGCCGAGGCAAGAATAAGAAACCAAGTCAGCCCGGCTTCCTGGACAAGGTGTACGAGGTGTCCAACATGGGCTTAATGCTTGGCGTTTATTTCTCCAGCTTCGCGTTTTGCGCGCTGCTCTTCGGTTTGATCGTCGGACTCAGCCTTTCCGATCCGGACCCCGAGAAGGGACCCTGCACTCCTTCGGCTAGTAGTACCACTACCAGCGCGGCGGCAAGTCCAAGCCCCTCGCCGGGTACGTCGAGCACCTCCCCGGCCCCGGCGCCAGTATCACCGACGCCGGCTGCTGCTACATCGGGGTCCGTGTCCTCAACAAGTCCGACTCCGACGCCGACGCCAGCTGCATCTTCACCGACGCCGACGCCAGCTCCTGCGCCCACCCCTGCTGCGGCCCCGACGCCGGCCGTCGGGGTGGCCGGCTCCGGAGCGATTCTCTTCACCAACGAAGCGGGAGATTCCAATATGACAAAGAAAAATGCCCCCTCCCCATATCGAAAAGTAAAACGAATTTTGTGATGCTGCATTTGAGTACACAAATCGGCCTGTATTGCTAGAAGGCCAAGAGACGCAGTTGCGGCCTGAGTTGCAGGCAATTTGTCATGCTGTTTCCCACTTCCAGCTGCCTCCTGTCATGCTGAAGATGCAAGGCCTTACCACGCCAGCCAGCACTACAGTCCGCATCTTTTGCCTCATAGAATGACAAAGCTGATTTGTGACCACAAATCTGCATCACAGATTTCCGTTTTGATATGGGCAGGGGGGATTTTTCTTGTTCATATCCAACACGCGGCGGCAGCAATTCTTCAAGGACTACACCACGCTGGAAACCGTGATATGCATTGCAAAAGCATCGTACTAGTATAAATCGCATGACAAATTTTATCAGGAAGAAAGTTGGAATTTGTAATGCAGATTTGGGTAGGAAACCAGATTTGTTATGCATACCTGCAATTCATACGAGTGCGATACTTTTGCAGTGGATACGTGACTTTCGACGGCAAATCGATCCAGGCGCGCGCCGTCCACAGTTCCGGAGGTGTGGCCGATTGGGTGGTCAGCGAGGGCCAGGGCTATGGGGTGTGGATGGGCGCCGCCACCGTTGCGGGCTTTCGGGTGGCCAACAACTATATGGATTGTAAAAATGTCTGAGTCTCCTGGAAGTTTCTGAGACTTGTCATGCATGTTTTGCATGACCCAGGATGTCTGTAATGCACGACCGCGCGTCACAGGTCTTGAGAGGGCTTCCTGATGCCTACTCCGCATGACAAACGCCCTCCCCGCGTAGCACAAACTAGACTCCTCTTGCTGGTCATGCGACACAGATTTTTCTAGAGTCCAAAGTTAGCATCACAAGTTCCAATCTTCCACCAGACCCAGACATTTTTACTCTTGATAAACTACCGCAAAGCCACGGGGAACGCCGCTTACAACACGGCGGTGCAGGAAACCTACGAAGCCTACCTGGGGTGGCGGCAAATGTGCTACCTCTTATGCATTGCAAAAGAAGTACTTATCGTACTCCTAGTATTTTTGCAATACAAATTAGCTCAGCATGACATCGAATGGAATTTCTCATGCTAATTTAGCTTGAAAAAGAAATTTGTCTTGCATGACTGCGACGAGTACGAGTGCGATAGTCTTGCACATGATACTTCTCCCGGGACAACGACATGATCGACCGGTTCTACTGCGGGGCCAACTGCCCCCACGCGGGCGAGCCCCGGACGTCGGCCCCCAACTGTTATCCCTGTCTGCCCCACTGGAAAACTACGGACAATCTGCAGAGCGTGGTGGGCAAGGGTTCTGCCAGTGACGGGGATCTGGATGGCATCGTGGGCATGATTCTTCTCGTCATTTCGACGGCCCCGGACCGCGACGAGTACACGGGGACAGGCTCCGATCCGCAGAACACCTGGAATTGGCAGGAGCTCGCGCTGCTCACCTACCAGTCCTGCAAGTCCAACTTGATGCACAATTTCGTGACGGGCACCGGGGTCAACTCCGACTTTCTCATGCTGAAACTGGGCACCAACTGGGGCGGGTTCGACCCGGAGTGCAACAATCCGTCCTACCACGGGCCGGGCGCTTACCGGGCGATGCGCGACTACATGTTGGCCTTCGAAACGATCGTCGGGGCCCCGGCCGGGGAGGCCCAGGGCCTGGTGGCCCAATGGAACATGGCGGTCGCGGGCACTTACGGCATGCTGAAGGACAACCAGTGCGCCGACAACGGAATGACCACTAACTGGTTCAAGGTTTCGGCAACGACCAAAGTCGGGACCGGCGGCGGCGACACGTCCTGCAGTGGGTCCGGGACGGACGTTATCGCGGGTGCAATCCACTGACTCAACATCGCCGGAAATTGTATCGACAAGGTCGATGTAGTACAAAGTCAATTCTTCCTCGACTCGTTCCTGTTCAATTGTATCGCATATTTTTCTAGATGAATTGCTGCCTTGTTTAATATTTTCTTCACGACGTCGTGAAGGTGAAAAGCGGCCAAGCGCCTAATGAAGTATAGTATTCCACCGCGTTCTTGTGTTGAAGATCCACATCCCTGTAGTAGTTGTTGCGAACAAAGTATGATGTTGAGTTTTGTGATATTTAAAGTGCATATCCACCACGGAGTACGGCTCTGAGGCGGCCCGTGGTGTGTGGCGTGTTGCGACCGATCTTGTGTGGTACGGCGACAAGACGATTCCAGAGGGCTCGCAGCCCGAAGGGTTCGTGCGCGACACCACCGTCGACAGCTACATGGCTTCGTACGCTCCGTTCGGACCCGCGAGCTATCTGGACAAAATGAACGCGCAACTCGACAAAGCCTACGTGGGCGGTTCGTGTGGCGGGGCCTGCTGGAAGGATGATCTCGCAGTCAGTATTGAAATACTTGAAATAAACGTATAAACCAAACTCCTGTGGTCTTCAAAACAAAATTTTGGTTTCTTTCTCCATCACTTCTTCGGCAGCTACACTACTAGCAGCTGCAGTTGTGTTGTATCATGAAGGATATTGTCCCATGACATAATTCAACGAAGAGTACTAGTAGAGCTACATCATGATCAACATCAATAAAAAAAACTTCTACAACAGCGTCGTGGGCGGGCACCTGCCCTGTGAAGAAGATTCACAGCTCGTGGCAATGGAACTGGTTCATGTTTTGTCCCACCATGACCTCGTTGGTTTACGACAGCCCGATATCCCCTTGAAAAACGACGGCGCAATTATCATCCAATCTTCTCCGCAGCCAGGCTTCTAAAACTTCTGTCATGCATGCTCCATGCTGCGCTAGTTGTGAACTTAAGCAGTAGAAGAGAACAATTTTCAGACGAGTTTGAGGTTTGTTCTTTTACGTCGTCTCCTGCGGATGTTGCCGCCGCGACTCGCAACTACAATGAAACTTCGGAATGATTTCGCTTCCATTTTTTGCGTCAAAACGCAGGAGCCAGCAGTAGATCGTATTTTACATGATCTTGGCGCCATGGGAAAGAATTTTTGGATGGCGTCGCTTTTGCAAATTTTGATATCCAACGCCAACTTCCCACACCAAGAAGGAGCTCTTGGACGCCGCCGGGAAGACCATCGGGACGAAGCAGATGGCGAGCTACTATGCCGCTGCCTGGTTGGCGATCGGGACCATTTCGATCAACGGGGACCTGTTCCGGTGCGGTCAACTGATCCGCGCCATGGCGGTGAATGGACCCAGTTCCACCATGAACTTCCAAAAAGTAATTTTGGACGGGGACACCACGGTGCTGCACACTGGAGGCGAGGCTTCCGCAAAAAACATGTGGCGGTAATAAAGCATGTCATGGATGATTTTTATTTGAGAAGTGCTGCAGCTGTTGCGACGTCCTTTCCATGCGCGTTCATTTTCGTGGCGTAGTTCAACGTCTGCCGCAACTCGTCACTCTTGAAGAAGATTCGTGGTGGTACTACTACTACAAACACATTGTGACATCAGATGCGGTCCTCCCGCTCCCGCTGCTTGTGAGGCGGCTCTCCCCAAGCCGCCCCCGCTTGAGGATTGGCTCCTCGTCGTGCCCCCCTCCCGAGAACTGTAAGTAGGGGACGAGCTCTCCTTCACTTTGACTTTCCCGTTGTTAAAATTTTGTACAGAAGCCCCCGAAAGCGTTTTCTGGTATCTGATTCTGGTTCGTATAAATTTGACGAGAAATCATGCAATGAGTGTTGTCATCCCACGCACCACACTCCATTGAACAGGTAAAGGCCCTTAATATGGGCCTTTATTTGAAGCTGTTGAGCTGACTAGAAGCGCAGCACAAACATAAGCAACGCTATGAAGAAGGGTGCCGAAGAGTGAACCGTTTTTGTTTATACCATCTCCATTTTTTGTTTTTTCAGCTTTAAGATTAACATCAATCACAAATCAACATGAACAGACATGGTCTCTTTTGCAGTCTACTAAGTATAGCGAAGTTCAGTAAGTATTTATGTCATCCATGTAGTATATCAATTTGCTCTGCTGTTATTTTATTCTGTTGTGTTTCACATGTAACATGAGCAGGAATCAATCAAGAACTAGAACACCTACTTCAACACATTTCATCTGACAATTGCTTTGATCGTAAAAACGTCCTCCGTCGGAAGAACAGGTCCGAGACAGGAAATCGAGCTCGTGTCACGAGAACCCCGGCTACACTCTGGCACGCGATCACGATGCGTATTTGACATTCGCGACGCCGATATGCTTCAAATTCATCTCGGTCCATGATTCTCACAGAGCAATATTCTTTTGTCGGTACTTCTAACTCTAGCAAATATTCGTGAGCAGTTCCTGACGTGCAAAAAGTGAATAAATAAGAAGTAAATTCATGAGACACGGTATAATGTGCATCGATGATGATTCTCGTTGTATTTCTGGACAAGGCTTTTCCACCTTCTGTAAGTCAGTATCTATCTTCGTTGGTGAATTTTCATCAAGATTTCTCGGCTTTCATCAAGATTTCTCGGTCTGAATGATCGTGATCTCCACTACACTTGGAAATATTTCGATTCATCCTCCAATCAGTTAACTTCGAAGATGATATTTCCCCACCTGGTGCTCTTTACGGGCTACTGACATCATTTTTTGTTTTTTACTTTCTCTTTTGCAAACTTCATTTGTTTCTTTTCAATTTGAATTTGCACGAACCGAAACGAGCATTACCCCATATTCCTTTGTGTGTTTGTATTTTTGATCTTGATTGTGATTGCATCTAATCCGCTTGCTATCCTGCCGACAAAATGCCACACGGTGGTGAGGAAATCGGAATCGAAATGGAGGAGGTTGTGCAGATATGCTACACAATTTTTCCGCTATCACCCTCAATGAATTTCAATCTCTCCCTCTTAAGTCGTTCTCCTCTGCTAATCCACCCCTTGCATCTTATGCATTGCATGAAACAAAATGACATCGAGATTTACATCTAGAAGGGTGATCGTAACAGGTTTGCATTGGATATTGGGAAAGCAGTCAGGTGGATGTCGAGGAGGATGATGTCGACAGAACTCAGGTTGCACAAGACCACACCATCACCAGCACCGCGAAGACAGACGAGCAGTTGCCCAGCTCCTCCACACGACCTTCGATGGCCCAACGGGAGGGGAAACACCGGAGGCCCGTTTCCGGCATGCCTCCGCCGAAAGGAGCCGGCAAGAAGGGAGGTGCGGTGGGGAAAAAGGCGAAACCTCCACCGAAAATCGTCGATGAACCGGTGGACGACAGCGAGGAAGAAGAGGAGGACGAGATATCCAGGAGCAAAAAGCCTGCGTTTTAACTTTATTTTGTCAAGAAAAGTATAGCTGTAGAACTAGAACGAGAAATAGGCACACACTTTTTTGCAGCTATGACAAAGGGCTGACGAATTCAATTCGTTCATCTTGGTTGCGGGTCATCATGACAGACGTGCTTATTCATATTGCTATTTGCAGGGGTACTAGGACTAGCCATAGACATAGGTTGGGTTTCCACGAAGTAGCAGAACGTGCAAAAAAATAAATCGATCTCCACGACTCATGGTGTTGGTGGCCGCAACAGCGAGAGACTGTGTGAACATATGCATTTCCTGCGAGGTCATCGGCATGACAAGAACTACCTTGCCGGTAAGTATCTACTTCTCTACGACGCAGCCCCCTCTGTCTTCCAGGCTGCACGCAAATTATGAATACAAAGCTACGCCTAAAAGTAAAAATGCAGTAGTTTTTTGCCTGGATATCAAGACGACGGCGACTCCTGGTATTCGGAGAGCGAGGAGGGGCAAACCTGGGGCGAATGGATGTCCGAGACGAACGATTTCACGGGGTGGCGGCTTCTCAAGCGCGCCGGCTTTGCCGGGCTGGTTGGGATTTTGTTCGGTGTCCTGCTGGCAGTGGTGATCAAAAGTGCGGAAGAACCGGAGCAAATCAGCGGCGACCCGTGTCTATCCAGTCGTGCATCCAAAGTATCGTGCTCGTACGTCGTGAATTCATTGCAATATTTTTACGATGACATCAAACCTAGTTATTTCTTGTTAGCTGAATCGGTATGACAAGCCGTATTTTTCCTTCTGAGAAAAGTGGTAACGCAATTGATCCTAAGTACTAGCGCGATCATTATATTTTTGCAATGCATAGCACCCTGCGGACAGCACCGCCCCCGCACCGACACCTGCCGCCACGTCGCCGACACCGACACCTGCCGCCACGTCGCCGACGCCGACACCTGCCGCCACGTCGCCGACGCCGACACCTGCCGCCACGTCGCCGGCCCCTGCGCCAGTGACTGGCACCTGTCCGTACGTGGGCACGCAGCCCGCTTACGCCGTCATCGGTGTGACGGAGGATTGTACCGCTCGTGACGATATCACATGTTGCAAATTATATGTCGTCTGGGTCTGGTGCTGGAAGAGGAAGAAAAAGAGTCATGAATCATGCATCGTCTAGGACGGATAGATTCATAGCCTGGAACACACGCAAAACATAAAAATTTCACCGCCTTTCTTGACAAGGCTTCTTGTCCTTAATGCCAACGACAACGTCGCCGCGTTGAGGAATATTAACTCGCTATTTGTGTAGCAAAATAAAGTGCACAGCGACAGCGTTTCTTGACGCTCATGCAAATAAGTATACAAGTTTTTATATAAATTTACTCTGTCTGCTCGAGTCTACTTATTTACTTACTTGTTCCAGACTCAGCCTACATATTTGCGATGCATAGCCGAGATGTCCATCAAAGTGACGGAAGGCGCGGGCGAGGGCGTGGTGGTGACCCGCGAGCTGATCTTGGACGCGAATTGGCTCTGGGCGAGCACGAAGGACGCTGGCCAGAAAAACTGCTACGGTGGCAAGACCTGGGGCGGCACCGGATGCGAAAAGTGCAACCCCAAGGACTCGGTCGCGCCCGGCGGGCCGAACGCCGCAGACGAGGAATACTCGAAGGCGTGCGGGGAGCAGATGCAGGTGAACTATCCTACCACGGCCCAGCTGAAGGACACCTACGGGCTCCACATGGACGCGGACAAAAAGGGGTTCACCATCGACTTCTACACGCAAACACAGTACGGCGCCACCGTCGGGGGCCGGTACTTCATCGGTGCGGGGGTGGGGAGTATGAAGTACAAGCTGTACAACCTGATGAACATGCAGTTCAGCTTCACCACCGACGTGTCTTCTCTGGAGTGCGGGTTGAATGGTGCGCTCTATTTCGTCAGCATGGAGGAAGACGGCGGCTACTCGAAGGGCAACCCGGGGGCGGACTACGGCAGCGGCTACTGCTATGCAGCGGAAGATTTTTTTTTCTTTACTCGACACGACGTTGTGGCTGTACAGAAAAAGTGGCCGAAGTGCTGACTTGATGCAGCTTGGAGCATGATCGGTCCGTGCTGCTGACCACGTCTTTTGTCTTTTCTAACTACAGGAGTCTGTCGCACCAGGGTATTAAGGATTAGAAATGAATTATTTTATCGAAGCAGCGATCGAATGCGAATGCCACAGAAAACGATAACTCGGTGCAACTTGCAGCACACAGAAAAAACTTAAACTTCTGATGTATCTATTTGTGCGTTGTGTGCGGTAAATTAAACTTTGTGCTGCATAAGTTCGACGCACAGTGCCCACACGATGTGAAGTACAACGAACTTCGGGCAACCGGGAAACATCAATTTTCCGACCGACATGTCGAAATACGACGCGGCCGCAATCCAGAAGATCGCCGACAAATCGCCGAGTTTTTTTGGAAAAGTTGGTACTTCTGCGCCATAATGTATCTTCAATACCTTGAATTTTTTGTTGATCGGTGCAGTACGGATGAGGAGGTAGTGTTGCGCCTTTCTGAAGCCAGGGTTGATTGGAGGCTTCGGCTTTCCTTCTCTCAGGCAACTCCCCGAGCTCGGCTGGTTCACAGCTAAGAAGGGTTTTGTTTCATCGAGCTCCGGTGGTGATAAGTTGAAACACTATTCACCAGCTATTTACAAGCAGGAACATAGATAGTACGTTTAAACAGTTACTCGCTCGCCTAAAGAAGCGAGCACCCGATTGAATTTTTTGTTGAATGATCTTGATCTTCATCTTCTCACTCGTCCAGCTTTTCTGTCGCAAGAAGTTTCGAATCGTTCACCTGTATTCTGTGTGCCCTATCATGCGCGGATTTATCAAACGTAGCAACTAAGTAGTATTTTTTTTGCTCTGATAAGCTAGTTGTAGGGAAACAAATAAATATGAGCAAAAATTATAGTACTCGAATCTATTAGATTCGAGTACTATAATTTTAGACTAACCGAGCGCTTGCTGCATTGGTTAGACTAACCGAGCGCGATAGACTAGAATCGCGCTTGGTTAGACTAACCGAGCGCGATAGACTGCATTGGTTAGACTAGAATCGCGCTCGGTTAGACTAACCGAGCGCGATTACTACGCAGGCGCTTGCTGCCCCGAACTGGACATTTGGGAAGCCAACTCGAAAGCCCAAGCCTACACGACTCATGCCTGCACGAACCACAAGCACACGCTGTGCTACGACGAGCGAACCTGTGTATAGAGATGAAAAAGGTGATCTTCCCGCGTGTTCTTATCCCTAAGAAAAATCGCGCCATACCATCGCGATTCGTGGGCTTTTTTTATTCTAGGCAAGGCCTGGCGTGTCTGAGGCTAACAAAAGCGCCACCGCCCAGGGCTATCCAAAGCCTTCGCCGCGCATCATCCAGAGGGTCGCGCTTTCGTGCTTAGCGCAGCCCCAGCTCATGCGCCAGGGAACGCTCTGCACACTGACAGAAT